GAATGATGTAAACGACAAAACAATAGTGTGACCACCAGCTGGCAGCCTCTCAACCTGCCCAGTCTCACCACAGTCAGCTTGTTTTGCCCTGTCTGATGGCTTTATGGCCTTCTGGGTCTCAGTCCCACCTGCAGACTGCAGTACAGTTGTACGACCTCCGTTTTCTCCTTCTTGGGCCGGTAAAATATTCACACCCAAGGACAGAGACAGGGCCACCGGACAACACAAGAATACAAACAGCAAAGTTCCCACAGCCAGCTGAGTCAGGAGAGCAAAACTGTAACTGACTTATTCCAGGTATTCAGGTGCACTCCGCTTCTGAGAATCTACAAAAACAAGCTTCAACGACCACCTGTTTCAGGATTTCAGCCTCTTCTTGTTTTTTTTTTTCTCGGGGAAAAAAATTTCAGGGATTTTTGTTCAGCTGTTTAAAAAAACTGTTCACAAGCATGGTTCACCCTTAACAGCCACTTCTAGATTGAATTGACATTGTTAAAGAGTGGCAGGGAGTCATTTATAAGACCAAAAAGCCCCCTGTAGAGATATTTCAAAATGAAATTCAAGGAATTGTGAGAGAAAAGAAAAACAGAATCCAACTGAAAAAGCAGACACTGATCTAGATTTTTAATGTATGCTAGTGGATGATCTCTGAAAGTGACATTTTCCACACTTTTCATCATGTAGCTTCATATACGGCGACTCTTTGTCCATAGTGGGGGCCAAAATTGACACAAACAAGAAGTTCAGAAGCTTTAATTCAAAAGTGTCTATTCTTATTTTTTCTTAACTATTGATTATTGTGATCTGAGAAATTGTTGATACTTACTAACATAAACTCAGGCTTTGACACCTTTATGATTAGCCAGTCACCAAATGTTTTGGCTTCACTTTTGTGGAGCTGTTATGCCATACTATTTTTTAAATTTTATTTTAAACATACATTCATCTTGTCAGTCGTTACTCCCACACCAAATTACTCAGAGTTTCTGTGAAAACTTTGTCATGTCCCCGCCCTCGCCATCATCACATGGATGACATCAGCAGAGGTTATTTCTTCCAGACTTGATAAAACTTCTTCTCTGCAGCAGAACATGAAACTGTTGTTACAGCTGGAAGACAACACCGAGGGTGATGGGGAACTTTTTTATTTTCTGCCTTGTGTTAACGCATAGCGAACAAGATGCCCCTTTTCATTTAAATTTATTAAGCAGTAGACTGCATGTAGATTTCAGTAAAAAGTTTGTGACAGCAATTCTATTTCATAGCCTCAATAGCTCAAACTTAAATCAAGCTCATGGCCTTTCCCCGCCTCGGGGCTTGCAGGGTGATCATCCAGTTCAATGCTTACTTGTTTATCTTGTTTAAGAAGCCCATTCAGTTTTGATTATGTGGTTTCACAGCTAGAGCACAGCGAGGAAAAGTGTCTTTTTAAGTCACAAGGTGAGAGAATAAATGCAGTATTGTTAAATATTCCAGTCGGAACTTTGCCCTATTTACCCTTTTTTTTAACCCTTCTTAATGCAATCTATGAATTCACTAAAGCTGTCACATGACTGTGACAAGGAAATGACTCTATTTGCAATGACACAAATAGGATGAAGCAATGTTCTCATTTTTGTTTTGTTGCCGTATTTGGATCCTCATATTCCTTAAATATGTTGGATTAAAATCATACTAGTATTCAAACCTGGTCCATTGTGTTTTGCACAACAGAGATACAATATATTTCAATATTTGTCTAACTGTGTGACTTCTTTAATGCCACCAAGCAGCCACAGTGGGCACATGAGCGTCTGAAAGAATCAGTAAATGTACTAACACAACGTGGGTGAGTTTCTTTGTTAACACACTGCTTGTCCTTCCATGTAAAAATCAAGCAGGAACATTATTCACAAACTTGAACAAGAGGCTCAAACAGAAACAACAAGTGGCCAGTGCAAATCTACAATGTGCATGAAATGTCATGTCACTGCCCGGGTCACTTGGGACAAAAGCTTGGGATCTGTAGGCAGTTCAAAGCTGATGGTAAGGACTGTAGCGTCTTTGATGGAGGAAGCAGTGAAAACAGGGAGCAGGGGAGGAGCACGGGAATCCTCCAGGACACTCGGCAGGAATACAAAGAATTAAGTTTACACTGTTTTTTGCCACATAATTATCCCCCTCTTAAGATGGGCCTGCACTTGTGAATGAAAAAGATCCCCCTCCATACACAAGACAGACTCTCCACATGCCGGTGTGGTGCTCTACCCTCCCCTTCTGTGTCATCCCACAAGTTGACCCTCCTTACTCTCTTCTATTCATGCCACACGTGAAATAGACACTTGGCTATGTTCACTGATTCTAAAGTGGAGAGCTGAGATTTTGAGCCTGCAGGTACGGAAACACGCACATTCAGTCACAGAAGTGGAACAGATGTTTTGCCTTATTATTAAATGATAGTATTTTTTAACTTCCTGTGTAGTAAAATAAAGAAGATTGAGATTTAATAGAGAGAAGCAGCGAGGGGAAAGAGAAAGGGGGGCGCTGCTAATTATGCATGGCGATTGTTGATGCCTTGATTGTCTGCGTCCAGCTGCACGGAGGAGGAGAGGGGAGGGAGGGAGAGGGAGAGGGAGGGCGGGGAGAGAGGCAGACTCACTGACGCCAGGCTCGGAATTCTCCCATCCATTGAAAGAGAGACCCGATTGTGTCCGGGGCCTTTCCGACAAGCACCTGATCCCTACCCAGACACACTAGTGAGTTTGTGTATGTGTGTGCGCGCATGTGTTACGCACAGATTTACGCACAAAACACTATAGAATCTACAGATAGCTCTGTCACAGAAGGAAACACTCTGTTTGCAAGTTTTTGGTGCTTGAAATAGACAAGTTCCATTAGAAGAACACAAACTCACAAGCAGTGTTTCCAAATGAAATAATGTTTAAATGTTTAACTTAACATGGAGAGCTGCAGTGCCAAACATGTTTTCCATTTGCTTGTAGTGAATAAAACCAACAGCTTTCCCAGCAGACTTGGGAAATCCAGGGCAATATTTGTCCTTCCAGCGACATATTTAAGGGAGATATTTAAGGTCAAAGTCTTGTTTGGATACTCTGCACCGCTCACACAATATATCTCTTAAATAGCAGCGGACTGAAGTCCTGTCTCACGGTTCAATATTGTGCTTTGCTCTAAAAGTGAGGCTGCAGAGTGACTTGTCATGCAGGGTCAACGGCTGTGGGGAGGATGAGGAGGGGGGTATGACTGCCAGGACTGGAGGAGGGAGGCAGGGACTTGAACATCTGTGAAACCTCTGCATGGCGTAGGGAGCCGTGCGCATTTACGCACAGCGTGCCCAGATTGGAGATAAGTGTGTGTAGAAAACTAGTGATTAAAAATGCTGTGAAATTATTTGTTTTGATCAAGATTTTTTTTTCTTTTCTCGAGTCTTGACACAATTTCAAAATCTAGTCTGAATACCGTGAGCATTAGTGTTTGGATGACTAAGACGTTAAAAGTGGTTGCAAAATGTCTCGTGAACACATAAGCTACTCATTTGGCACTCCCAAATTGCCGGGCTACCAGTCTTTCTCACTACTGTTCAAAAACCACATCACTTGTTGGTTTAAAAGCAGATTAACGCCCATCTTTGCTTTGATTTAAATCTCATATTCATTTAAATGCAGGTTCACGCCTTAAAGATGATGATCCGTTGTCACCTTCAATAAAAAAGACTCTCTTTATTAAATTTGGTGTGTTCCCTGTTACAAACTTATGTTGTATTTGGAAAGAGTTCCCTGTTAAGTTGCCTGACTACAACACAAGGAGGGAATTCTGGATTCATGTCAGTGAGTGACAGACATGTCCAGCCAATCAGATATCCGAGCGCCTCTGCCTCGCTCCACTCCACTGCCGGACGGGGGAGGGCGGGCCGTCTGCCAAAGAGGGGAGTGCGCGTCGGGGTGAATGGATGACGTCGGGAGGCTGGCGCCAGCATGTCTGGGACTGGCGCGTTAGATCAACACAGCTGGGCCGGGATAGGACACACAGCTGGCTCAGGCCTGCATTCCTCCACAAAACAGGATTGTGAGAAAAGGGGAAAATAAGACCCAAATAGGAGCAGAACGGGACGTGCTTTCATGTAAACTAAAAGAGAGCGACATTTGGAATAGTAAAAATACACGTTTCAAAAGGCCTTTCCACCGAGAGGTTAGGTTTTAGCAGTAGGCTAAGTGATTTGACAGATTTGGAGGAGCCTTTTTTCTGCTCTTAGCTGGTTTGAAATACTTAGAGTTGTGCTGAACCTTACTGAACCTAAACCAAGCATTACAAACTACATAAAAGTGACCAACTTTGGCTACTTATCCAAAGAATGATCATTAGATTAGGATGTACTCAGTAATTAACCAATGTAGACAATAATCTGACCTTTTACCTATTTAATGTAAATCTCGGTTTACCAACAGGCCATATTGGTGTGCTCACTTTTGGATCTGAATAGATGCTTTAAAAACATCCATGTAATGGTCTTTATTATTAAGGGAAACTCCGTTTTCAGTCATTGTTGTTAATTATTTTGTTGGTATGTTATTTTGGTTTGGAGAATTAGACCTGCACTCAAGCTTAAGAGAGGATTTATAGCCAATAAATAACAATTAAACCATATTCCTTTATTAAAATCTACTAATACTATCTCAGAAGATCTTTATTTTGATATATTTATTATTTAAAGTAGACATGAGACACAAACCAAACTAGTATCTGAATTTTTAAAGCCTTTCAATGATAGACTGTGGGCTCTTGAACACAACTGATTCAAATGATGCCCACCTTTTAAAACTTAAACTATTTATCTGAAATAAACAGCAGCACCTGAAAACAGGTAAATTATTGATTGACAAATCGCCTTTAGGCGTCCGAGCCTAATTTCCTCATTCTTTCCAAACCTTCCACAAGGTAGTATCAGCCAATCAGAACGGGCTCACACTCTGCACAGGCTAATCAGAAAGCGGTGCGAAAAAGGGGGCGTCAACAGCGGATGTGTGGCGTATAAAAACAAACAGGACGTCGCTGTCAGATCACTGTACCTTTCCAGGACACCAAGAGGAGATCTCAAAAGGATAAAGCGTCACAAAGTTCTACTCTCGAATCCAATCAGTCTTCTGTCGTTGTTTTTCTCACCATGAAAGCCATCAGTCCTGTCCGCTCGGTGAGGAGCTGCTACAAGGCCGTGTGCTGCATCTCAGAGCAGAGTCTCGCCATCAGCCGGAATAAACACTCGTGTCTTGAGGAGCCGGTGGGCGCCCTGTGTGACATGAACGACTGCTACTCCAAGCTGAAAGAGCTGGTGCCGAGTATCCCGCAAAACAAGTCGGTGAGCCAGGTGGAGATCCTGCAGCATGTCATCGACTACATCTTCGACCTGCAGATCGCGCTTGAAGCGGAGGACGCAGCGGCACCGGAGATGGTTCTGTCAATAAAGGTGAGGGCTGATGCTTGACATAACATCAACTACATGCATAACCACATACATTACTTACCAGTGCGTAAAAAAGTACACATCTGTGGTGTTTTTGCGTGGATTCTGGATTGTGTATTCTTGCAACTTGTGCGTAATTTCTGATTTCTGTTTGCACGCACGATAATGTTTGTTGGAACGTGTAGTATGGAGCTGTAGCGATGCCAGTTTTGAAACGTACTGGAATAAGGTCCCTTGGCTAATAGTTTGTCTTGAATTAAGTGTGTTTTCCATCTGGGTCTAAAACTTCTCCTTTCTGTCTCCATCTAGACTGCGGATCTTGCGCGCAATTTCTCCAAAGAAGGAGGACGATTGTGCCATTAGGCTGTTACAAAGATGACAGACTGTGGTATGTATTGATTCTCATACAATAATCGTCTTATTTTCTGTTTCGAGGAAAAACAAAACCACAAGTTGAATGTACTCGGAAACATTATGCCTTCAGAAGACCCCCGTGCATTCAACAGTAGCTTGTTTTAGCATATCAGATAAAGTAAAAACGTGGAAATGCCACTGGGAACAGTGTTGGCAATGATGTGAAGGTCTCCCTGTCCCTCCACATTCACCGTGGCTGCCAATTAGACAGGCTCAGTGAATGTGTAGCGGATTCATTGCTATCTGCCTGGGGTTAATGAAAGTTCCATGCTAGGCGCCAGTCTGTCTGCTCTCCTCTGCAGGGAGGGAGGGAGGGAGAGAGGGGGAGAGATCTGACTTCACTTTTCTTCCTTTCTCTCCATGCAGGTGCAGGGAAACACATGTCTCCACTTCACTCCGGGCAAGAGGACAAGAGGGGCAGAAAGGGTGGGATAGGTATTTGGAGGAGAAGAAGAAGAAGAAGGGGGAGGAGGAGGCGGAGGGAGGTGGAGGGTTTAAAGAAAGAAAGACAGAAAATACAGAAAAAAGTGGACTGTTTCCTAAATGAGAGGGGATCAACGGTAGTGCAAGACCAAGAAAACAGAGACTCATTCTTTGGCCCTTGGACAGACAAACCAACACACCAAAGCAGAAGCCAGGATTGGAAATTGGAGGCGGACCACCTTGAAAAGAACTGGGACCCCCTGTTTGTAGAAGTAGAAATATTAGTCCACCGTTCCTCAGTTTTGTTTTTGTTTTGTTTTTTTAGATTTGAATATCTTTGTTGCGTTCCAATCACACTTTCCATGGCTTAAGTTCCACATCCAACCTGACACCTGTCTACACCAAGTCTGGCACCATCTCACCTAAGCATTCCCCTCCCTCCTAATCTGATCCATAATAATCCAGAGACTGTTACAGCTTCATGTGATTGTGTACATATCTGCTGTGGGTATGTTTGGATGGACGTCGGTTCTTTTCTGAATTGGAGTTTGGGTTTTCTTAGGTATAATCAGAACTCTATAATAGAGTTTATTGTAACCGTTTGTAGGGATTGTGTTATTTCTACAGACTATGTGTCATGAGTTTTGTAAACTCTTTATTATGAGGTTTGCTTTGTATGTATGTTCTTATGTAATGAAATAAACAAAACGTGAAACAGTCTGGTTGTCATGGTTATGTTTTATTTGAAACAGTGAGAGAGGTTCAGCTGTTTTGGTGTTATTCAGAAAGGTGATGCTGACTTGACTGTCTGGACAAAGATGACAATGAAATGCTGATACAACAGGATGTATTCAGATGAATCTTGAGGTTGAGTGGTTGGAAATCAAACGGAGGGAGTTTCCTGTAAGGGTTTCTGATTTTCCAAAGAATGACTTACCGACAGTTAGAAACAGCTGAGCTTCCTAAATGATGAGGAGGAGAGGATGTTGTGAGAACATGAACCAACCGTCTTCACATGTATATGAAGTGAGAGTGGAGACCATCAAATAGATAACTTAAAATGAAGCAACATGTCTCAGGGACTTTGATAATCATTAATGTAAGAGTGTCATAGTTTTGTAGCCTTTTTTTTTCACGTTCTATTGTGTGGAAGAGTACAAATGTGGTAATAATAGATCGACAGTTAAATATAACAGTACTTTGCTGGTGTCTCAAGTGACTTTACTACTCCACCTTGTGGATCAGTCTGGAAACTCAAGCATTTACTGTTAATACACGACACGAACACCTCTTCTGAATAATGAGCAACACACTATTCATGTTTATTTATTAACAGTTTCATCATATCTGATGACAATTTGGATTAAATATCTAACAGCTGATGACAGAATAGACAGAAATCAACACTGATGTCTTCATATGAGCTACAAAAGCAAATGAGACCATCAAGCTGAAGGCTGATTTTCTCTCGATGGTCATTTCTAACTGCTAAAACTGCTGTTAAAGTATAGTTATAAGACCAAATGCCAAAGACAGTCTGTTTATGCAATGTTCAAAGCAAGCAGTCACCACATGTACATTAAGATTTTAAAAGGGAAAATACAACTTATATGTATACGACAAATTTATTAGATTGATAACACTGTTTTTTTTCCACAGGAGACCCCAGAATCTACTGATAACTTATTACTCAAGCTTTAGGTAAAAAGAGACAAATCAATTATACCCCCAAATTACACCCAAATATGTGCTTGGCAATGATAATCAGAGAGGAACTCTGAGCCTCCAGCTAATGATGAGACAGCAACACCATCTAGTGGTTGACATGTGTCAATGCATCCAAGAACAATTTTTAAAATACAGTATGTCAAATAGTATTTTTGTTTTGGCTATGAACAAAGGCTTTAAGTTCACACATCACACAGCCTCTGTGGTTGTTGATTTTATTTTTTACCATTCACAGTATTTCATGAATGCGTATTCAAAAAGTCTTTCGTGCGCACACGAATCATAACTAACACAAACAATTTTAAATACTAGTTCAATTACTTTATAAATGTTTCCTGTACCAACAAAGACAACATTATCTACTGTTCAGTGCAAATCATTATTGTCAGGTATGAATTAAAACACACCAGATCGGTTGTACATAATCCAAACAAGAACATATATGCTAACATTAGGTCTTAAAGTGACTCCTTGCATTGATCACTCTTTGTTTTTGCACTTTTAAATTTTTGAGAACGATTTGTAAAGGTTGCTTTACTTTTATATGGATTGGTATTTTGTTATTTATGGTTGCTTCATGCAGATGTATTCCCATGCACCTCTTCATTTTATCTTTGAGTACATTTATCACATCTGTAGTAGCCACATTGTCTGTAGCCTCCATAGGTGGTGAGGGTGCTAGTCTATAAGTCAATACGGATGGTGCACTCAGGAGAATGGGGGTCACAGAGTCACTGATTGCAGACTCAAAAAAATTGCATATTAATATACAAAGAATACAAAGAAACCTGAGCCAATTCATAGTCTCTAATGTCATTTCTCATAATATTACTCACAATGGGTGATTTTTTTCTGTTTGTTTGTTTGTTTTTTTGCTGTTAAGAGACAACTAGATGGGGGTTTTGCTTAACATTACTTTTATATGTACATGGCAAGAAATAGAAGGTACAAAATTGCCAACAGGGGGTGCCAAAATTGACATAAACAAGAAGTTTCTCACAGCAGCTTGGGTCAGATCCCCAAAGTAAAGCTTTACTTTTGTTCTGAATAACTTTTTTTTAGATGGTCAAAGAAGAGCTGAGCTATTAGCTAGGTTCCCTTGCTGTCATTAACATATTTTCACAACACCTCAAATGTGCAAATGAGTTGCCAATACAACTTTCTAACAAATGTTTTAAAAACAAATGCTTATTTTCAATTATAAATATTGGTAACATTAATTCCTTTACGGCACAGTCTGAAAAGACCAAACAGAACTCAGCAGCTGTCAAGAGATTATTACACCTGAAAGTACCAGACAATATTATTTTTATTATTGTATTAATGTCATACATTTTCTATTAAGAACAATATTGAATAAATTATTCTATTCAAAAATGGGAAACTGTAGATAGAAGCCACCAATTCAATACCCTTTAGCTAACAGAACGACCAAGAGAAAAAAAAAAACAGAAACAAAACTGAAGTTTACAGTCCCATTCCAGACCACAAGGTGGAGATGTTTTAGGGGATATCACACTCCAGGAATCTGGGAACTAAAAACAGGAGAAGCCTGTCGTTTTGCATGTCAAAATGGATGGCTGGTCCATATATTAACATGAAATTACTTAACATGAATTGAAATCAAAGAAATTAAGATCCAGCTTTGATAAAACTATCTGCAATATAAAGATTGTAAAGTTACATGAAAAAACATTCCGCAAACTCTGAATTAGAGTAACTGAGTCGTGTAATGGTGTATGCCAAGCTAAAGCTGTGAACAACACATATACAGTATATGACATGTGAGTCACAGGCCTTGGGGGTCTACGTGTTTTCCTGTATTCCTGCCTCTATTTTCCTCCTTCAGATACACCTGGAGTGCCTGCCCCACCCCTCTTGTTCAGGGATTGGCTTCACCTGCTTGGAGCCTTTGAAGGGTGGGAGAATTCATGATGGCTTTTCTTCTCTCCCACCTGGAAGGCTGGTGTCTTCCAGGCGCCTACCTTAGTTTTTTGTTTGGTTTTGATTCTGTGGCCTTTAGCCTTGGTTTCCTTTTACACATAGACTCTGTTTGCACACACCTTCTCACAGCACCCAACACTCTCACCTCACTACTGATTGCTGACTTAACAATTAGTTTCTTCTTTGTTGACTAACTTAATAAATTATTTCTTTATTTAAAAGCTGTCACTGTGTCACCTTCCCTTCTTTGTTATGCTCTTCAACGATCTGGGCATAACAGACATCATGATTTATGTTTGTCTGTGCAACCATATGCACCTCAGTTATTTCACACTATTTCATGACCTTGAAAACACTTAGCGTATACATTTTTACTTTACAGCATCTCCATTCTATGTAGACATGGTGGATTTTCTGAAAAATAGGAACTGTATCCAAAGAAAACAACAATAGATTAACAATATTGATATTCATAAACTCAATATTTTGTCCTATATTCCTTTTGTTAATCAGTTGGTATTAATAATGTAAAGTTGATGTTGGAAATTAAGATATGATTGTGCTTTGCAGACTTATTGCAACACCCATTTCTGAACCAGAACAACCTTCTTTTAGCAGAGAGGGGAAAAAATGAATAAGATCAATTTAAGTATGTCAGATTAAACAACGCAGCATATCTAGAACTCCCCCAAAAAGAGGATGAACTGTTTCTGGTTGCACTTTTTGGAGATTATGAGTTCTTTTTGTATTTTTATTTGCTGTTATCTTTCAATACAGCAGTATCATGTAATAAACTAAGCAAATTACTCAACCAAAAGTCAATTAAGAACTACGTTATCTAATCTAAAGTTGTTACCAAGCGACCATGTCAAGTCTTCAACTCACCATCAACTTTTTATTATCAGTCATTTACAAATACATGGAGTGAATGAAGAATAGCTAATTTATCCAGTACTAAGAGCAAAGTCAGCACTGAAAATATCTCAATATGTAGTTCACATCAGGGCCTGACAATAGACTTGCTCTGGGTTGGCAGTCTACATCCTCTTGGCCAATGGGGGTCAAGTCATATGGCTTGGGTTGGGTCACTGTGGATGGGGGAGGGGTTGTTTTCTTTCAATATCTCCTCAGAGCCAATAAGGAAGAATGGTACTGACTGAATCCAATTATCATCTTCAAACTATCTCAACCTTGGATAAGGCCATACACGTTCACAGAATGGAGACACACACTTCCGCTCATTCAGACTCATGATTGTTTCCTTTTACATGATTATTACACATATATATGTCATATTTTCACCAGTATTTTCCTGTATGTTTCTCATTGACTTTAAATAAAATCTTTATCAATACCCTTTAAGAAAAAACAAGAACAGAGAAGACCTGCCTCGATTTCTCTCTTTACTTTCTTAATGAAAATTTAATGCAGTTCTACTTTAGGGCTTATGACTTTTTGATCGTGCTCTCTCAAGCATTTTAAATGAATCACAGTTTATAGGTGTTCATTATATGTTGTGAATGTATATGAAGAACAAATTTATGGTTTTCTATTTGTGTGAAAGCAAACAAGGTAATGATTGTGGTTAAATTTGAGGCAAATATATGAAAAAGTTGCTTATAATGGACTGCAATTAACACAACTTGCATGGTAACAGGAAGGTTATAGGTTTATAATGAAATATCTGTAAACTCTTCTTCAAATTCAATACAGAATTGTCCATTGTCTGAAACATAAACCCACGATAAAAGAACATTATGTCCTGGATCCATGCTACTGGCCCTTTAAGAAGACCAGCCCGACGGCCGTACAACTGTTTTATGCAAATGTGACAAGCCGAACGTGCCGTCAGCCAATCAGAGAGCAGCTGTAACCGCGGGAGATCCAAATTTCGCGGGACGAAGTTTGGCGGTAAAATAGCTGTTCTTTCACAGCGCCTGTCCTCTTGAATGGAGAGAGAGGAGCTCTGAGGTGGACGGACAAGAGGCACAGACTGGGTCGAGTTCCGCATCTGAGGAGTCACAACAAGCTGTAAATCTCAAGGTTGGACTGACTTTGACTGGAACTCTAAAGCCTTTTAAAAGACTGGACTTCAACTACTGGATGTTTATTTTTTAAGCAGGTATTTTTGATAACTTGTTTGAGACTTGCATTTGCTCCCGGACAAAGGATAACAACAACTAGCAGCCTGCAGTGTATGCAAGTAGAATAAATATTACAGGAAAATACAGGAGAGTTGAATGAATTTGAGCATTTTGACTAATGGAATAAGCGCTAAAGGAGTTAATTTTACGTGTTAAATATATGATCATACATAGCATGCAAAGGCAGCTATTCTGCTAGTTGAAGCGACATTAGAGCAAAGCATTTTGTGCCTGTAGCTGCTAGGAAACTTCTCTCTCTGCTTGACCAATCCGGTTAAATTCAGTTTACTCAGGAAAATGATGCGGATGCCTAAAGGCGTCTCTCCGGCAGCGACTCGGCCGGCTGTGGGACTGTCCTGCTCCCAGAACAAAATGAAGGTCTTATCCACTGGAGGAATGAAGGCTGAGTTCTTTGGTTCTGGACTGTCCAGCCCGTTAATGAACACGGTACCGGCTGGATATTTCACCCAGATCGGTAACACTTCAGCGGCCGAACAAAGAGCCAACAGCCTGTACTCAACCCCCCACGGACCAGAGGCTAAACCCATCAGATCATCCTCCGGGCGACTGCCGGTAAAGAATCCAACATATACAACATAAACACGCTGATTGTACCTTAATATCTCCCCTTAATGTGAGTTATGTGACTGCATGTGGGTGGACTAATCCTCCATTTACATTGGTATGCATGTTTAGCAGCATTTAAGGCGCATTCAAATGTGTTTTAAGCCACAGAGGAGCCAGTGTGCCTGCTGCTGGATCTGTGTGTGTCTGCCATGTTCACTTGTGTGACATCTTTCCCCGCAGTCCAGCTGTAGCAGGACAATATCAGTAGATGTGTGTGTATGTGTGATGGTTATGGTGATAATAATGAGGAGGAGGAGGGGGGAGTTAGTGTTTGGAGAGTGTTTGAGGCCCCCATCTCTCTTGTGAAAAGGCTGGATGAGTGGCTCCCACAGTTGAGGATAACTTCCACACATGAGGACTCCAAACTGTTCCCATCTAGTGACTATAAACCCTTGTATCAGTACAGCTATTTAAGTCATTATGTATGACAGCTGCCGGAGCCGCACCTGTCTGTAAGGCACTCCAGGACCTGTGTAACCTGCTCCCATCACTGTAGAAAGGAGCTACAAGGTCAGAGGTCACAGCCTAACAACTGGTGTGTTTTCCTGGGAGCAACAAGTATACAACCCTCCCTGTAAAAGACATCTAAGAGGGCGAGAAACTGAGTATTTTTTTTATGATCGAGGACAATTCATCAGAATGAACTTTGTTAATCAGACGGAAATCTGTAATGGAATACGGTGCCCCGAACACAATCTATGAATCCATCTGACAACTACACAATAAACAAAATAAGACACACGCAAGAGTGTTGGATCAATTCCTGCATTCACAGCTTGTGCTCCACACTGGCTGCATGTTATATTTGATCTCCTCTTTCTTATCCCTGTAGTCTTTTTAGATTCACTGAATAGCTGTGAGGCTAAATGGGTTAAGGGTTAGAGTGTAAACAGGCTAGGGTCTCCAGGTCTCAAGTTAACCCCCTGCCCTTGGAGGCTGTATTTGCTAATAGGCCCCTCAAGAGGATTACTTGGTTGTAAGTAAAGTGGGAAATAGGTTACCACCTGGCTTTTTTATGCCAAGGTGGTCTTAGATTACATTTTTATACCTCTACATTTTCTGGACTAGCTTGGGTATTTACAGTGTTTAGATCAGCTTATGTGACACATGTAACAGTAAGGGCTAAAAGAGGCTCTGATGGAGCTATGCTTGTATTACAGGATGGTGACAAGTTACAGATAAGAAACCAGCTGAGTGTGTGTTTTCTTCCTGATAGTGTTGATGTCCAGTCTTTTCCTCTGCCTCACATACACTCCATGCATCATTTTCATTTATAAGTCCAGATCACTGTATGTTTAAAGCATATGAGCTGCTTAGGAAAATACACATTAATTGACATGTCAGTAACAGCATCAATGTAAATATGCCGGAGTTAGCATAAATGTGAATTTTAATCTGTTATCCTAAGGCAGATGTTCAAAAACATAGAAACAATACATTATAGATACACAATACAGTATGAGAAATAGATAAAACATGCAAGATCTTACATACAGAGTCATTTAATTGGTTATACCTTAACACCTTAACACTATCAACGTTGCGTATACATTTATTACTATATGCCCAAAGTTATACAATTATGTTAAAACAGAGTTGTCCCTCTGAATGTCCCCCTTTCTCACAAACTGCACGTGTTTAACCGTGAGATTTACCACAAAGGTGAGAACACGATTGAGTTGAACATAACTGTCGTACTTTTGAAATGGCAGTGCAGGTTTCAAAAGTCCCAAAGTCGTATAATTGCGAAACTTCCTCAGAACATTTCAGTGAAAGAAGCCAACTTTCAGTAGCATGAAAGGAAAGGACCTTAAAGTCTGAAAAATTACACCACGAGGAGGTGACGGCTGACACCTCTATCATGTCCACGTCATCATCCTTTTTGATTCCCTTTTTTTAAAAATGACAGCAACACAGTGGGCTGTAAGGAGATTTTTCCTCTCTCCTTTCTTCCTTTTCTTAAAGACCTTCACAGCTGTCACCTAGTAGATTAATTTCAAGGCTTTTTTTGCTTAAATACTTAGGTAAAGGGACTGATGCTTCTATGGAGCTTTATTATATCTGACACTGACCTGAATATAAAACTACAGAAGGCTGCACATGGAGAGTTTGGATGTTCCGGGTTGTGTCCACAGAACATTTGGTCCACATTAATACCTTCACACAGAAATGCAGATACAGTTTTTGATTTTGGTTTAAGAAACTAAACTGTGAGTTGGATTTATTTAGGCAATGATAGTCTTGGACCTGGACAGACAAAACAGTTTGACGAGTGTCTTTTTCATGCTCTTGCTGACACAGCTGCTTCATTTCATGTTCACTCATGGGTCTCATGTTTACAGGAAACTGCTGCTTCTTCATCCACATTTCACTTCCTTCAACCCAAACAACATCAAAACCACATTTGTGTAGTTTTTTTTTTTTTTTGTACTTCTCTGCCAACTTTTAAATCTGAGTTTCACAAAGTACAAACAAACTGAGCAAATCCACACAACGGGCTAACATAATCCCACATCTGAGGTTTAGTCACGTGCTTTCGGAGGGGAAAAAAGTTAATGTTTAAGAGAGCTGCAGAGACCACAGGTTAGTGATTTTGCTAACAGAAAGTATATGTGATTAATTATTTAAACTAGGGTGTGTTGTGAAGGTCTCATTTCCTTCTGAATAGCAAGTGAAAATGTCAGACTAGCTTCAGAGTCGATGGGAGCAGACATGTTCAGTAAAAGATGTCAGAAGAATGAATCCCCCTGTCTCCTGTCTTCACCGAACAATAAAGGAGGTTTGATGCTTCTACTAGATACTACAATCCAGAAACAATGTCCCTCTTATTCCCTGCTAATGTCACATGTGAGTTACTCCCAGAGTTACATGGCATGTGGACAATCTGCCAAAACTACTTCAGCATTAATGTCAGCTTTCTCCAATATCCTTTTGGACAGAAAATCTCCTCCATGAGCTTTTATGTAACTTCCTGAGAGCTCTTGAGTCCTGGTCTGGTTCCAGAGATTCCTCACAGCCCCTCTGGTAGATCTCCATTCAGACCCGTGACACTGGGGTGTGACATTGGCCACATCACCAACTGTATGCACTCAACTACAGACCCCCTCTACTTCTCTTTTCTCCTTCACCTCATTTTACCCCGGCCTCTGGTCAATGCAAGCCCCCGCAGCATAATGTCCTCTATAGGGTAGGGGGAGTTTTGCATTTCAAAGCAGCCCACTCCCACCCTCTCCATCAACAGCCCAAATGGGCCGAGGGATCCACCCTTCTTTTTTAACCTCTTGAGGGACACATTGACAATCTCATCAGCATTGTTTTTCATCTAGGGTGTGGTAGCGAGGGGTTTGTGTACAGAGGAGTCGATATATTTACGGGCAAACTGCAACTTGCCCTTGGCTTACTTTGGAATCTGAATCCCATGCAGCCTGACAGACAGGCTTTGTTGTTTTCTTTTTCCAAAGAGATCCGCCTGTAGAGGTCCTTCACGTGACTGTGACTTTGTGTGTGAAATGTCTGCTGCAGACGTTTCGCCACAGCAGCTGAATCGGCGGGAATCGGCCAGAGAAGGTTCAGGAAAACAGAGGAGGCCACGTGTGGTGCTTGGGTGTAACTGGGCAGGCAGGCGGGGTGAGGTTGCAGCTAACATGAGAGGAGTGATACTGCGAGATAAAGAGCTCGAGAGTGTCTTTCCTATCTCACCTGCAGAACTCAGTCTATGCATGTACTTCTTTTTTATATCCACACTGAAAGAGATTGGACCGAACCGAACAATCAGATTTATACATTCAGAGTGTGACTTTGTTTCTGTAGATCAGAGGAAGCCATTCAATGTGTGACCTGGTATGTGAAAGGTTGTTGACTCACCTCAGAAAATCCCACATGCAAAAAAAAAAAAGGAGCACCAAAGCCCCCACCCTCTGCCATACAGCTGCAGGCTGAAACCGTTGATGCCCTCCTAACAACACGTCATCACTCCTGTAACTGCGACTCTTAACATGTAGACCTGGATTATCAGCCTGGAAAACGCAGACACGGCGCTGCTTAAACTCGACAATTAGGTCATGGAAGTCTCTTAACTCAACCCCCTCTGATGTGGTGGGTACTTATGCAACTTATGCAGGTGTGAGGAAGCAAATAAAACAGGCAGATCTTCCCTTGAGGGAGCAGCTGTCGTTGCATGTTCAACATTACAAACAGCACTTTCCAATCCCTCCTTGCCGCCTTTTGTTTTTGAAGGCGACCACAAGATCACTGAGCCTGAACTAAAAAGCAGCTTTTTATCAAATTAAAGAGTAGCTCCGTCCTGATGAATTATCTTTGCATCTGTCTGTTTGCTGAAGGGATTAGATTTACGCGGCCGACAGCACATACACTCGCTGCGCCACTCCAGATGTCGCAAAGCAACAGGTGGACATGTCAGGGAGCGTACTTCGACAATGGCAGCCTTGATTATCTCCCCTCTTACTTCCACACATGCTCAGTTCACCACTTTTTCATTCTCAGTCAGTTGCCTAAATCTATTAGCTCATGGTGCTGCAAGTTACCCAGCAGCCTCTCTGATGCCAGCTCAGGACTTCTTGTCAGGGTGTCGCCAATTTGCGCAACTTGTCGTTTCTGACAGTTGGTCACTTCTTAACGCAGAAAGTGAGTCTTTTTATTTTCACTTTCCTCTAAGTAGCCGATGTGGGTCATTGAGAAGAGTCACGGTCACATGATGAAGATATCTGGTTTATATTGTGGTCTAAAGGTTGTGTGGGTGCTTTCAATCACAGCAGCAGGACTTGGTGTTATGTTGTACTCCTACAGTCTGTTTATGTGTGTCTGTGCGGAGAGCTTTGGAGGTGAGGGGAGGTTGGGAGGGGGAGGAGAGGTCACAGAGTGAATCCAGGGATTTCCTTGCATTTTGCAGGCAGTGGGTTGAGGGTAATCATTCCCCCTTTTCTTACACTCACACACTCAAACAAGATCAGCCCCCCTCTCAAAGCGCTTGGGAAAGTGTGAGGGGGGTGCTTTGTTCCTGCACTTGAGAGCTGTTGGCACATTTACAACACTATTCAGCAACCCCCCTGTTTAGCACTTCTACTGGCATTGATGTCACACTTTCAGGGCCTGCCCATGCACACTTCATTCTCATGACTTAACTTCAACTTCCCATTATGTAAAATCAATGGAGTCCACTTACAGGGACAGTTTGTCCACTGTTGCAGTCTGATTAATGCGAAAAGGAACACAACTGGTAAAACTGTTCCTACAATGACTGAACAATCACAGAATCCTGCATTAAAGAAGACAATATTCATGGTTACCTTTGTTCTTACACTTGTATTGTTTTCATTCCTTCAGGCCAAAAGGAAGCTGGATCTAGAGGATCCTCTTTACTTGCCAGAGTTCCGCACACCTAAAGGCAAAGGCAGCATCGCAGCAAGGATACCAAGTCCGAGAAGTGAGTACCAGTCACCAGACACACAGACTGAAGGCATGAGGAGCATGAAAGAGTTTATTTTGGGGGGTTAGGGTCACAGGTCCAACAAAAACAAAATTCAGATGTTCATCAGTTCCATTTCTGTTAAAAAGTCAAATGATTTTTACTGAAAATTGAAAATATAAAAAAGGTGGAATGTGCTCAGCTGCAATAAAACGCTTTAATTTTATAAAGAGCCGTAAAAAAGCTCTTAAGTGTAAGGAGATAAGCCAGGAAGTCGTCCAATTACAGTTCTTTATGACAGTATGAGTCCAAAGGAAGCAGGAAGGGGTGGGTTGAGTTTTAGGGTTAGTAAGTTGGAGATTGTAAAAAGGACTGAGAGACTGAATATCTTAAGAAAGAGGATGCACCAATCTTTTATACAACAGAGGACCAAGACCTCCCAGAAACACTGAGTTAAAATTTTAGTCCCATATCTGGGCAAAAAGTGGTGTTTTGTTTAGGGCCTATGTCCACTAACAGCATTTTAGAGCCTGAAGTGCCAGTTTCCACCATGCAGGACTTCTTCCACTCCTAACTTTGTCAACAGATCCATAAGCAATAAAAAATTAACCAGTTATTTTTATGAATAATTATTGTGTTTAGAGCAGCTACTGGTACTGACTGTGTGTAACCTTACATATGGTATTAAAAATGTTATTACCTGTACTTCATAAAATTCCACTAAACACACAAACCTAATGGTTACTACCAGGGAAAGCAAAAGTACCACAAGGCAGTCTTTTAACCTCAGCAACAGTAAGCACAAGTAAGATGTGGAATTGGGGTCACAGGTACTGTCTGCACAAAAAATGCCATTAGTGGAGACAGGCCCTTAGAGGGCAATGTTTGTGGAATAATCAACCACATTGATTGAATTTGAATAATAAGCATCATATTGGCATCAGCTTTACACAGCTGATATCAAATCTAAATCAGTTACTGAGTTTAATGCAGTTTAATATTGGTTTACTTTTTACATTTTAATGTTCATAAAATAATGGAGTTATTTATGACTTTTTTATTTCATCTTTGAACCGTGAACATTTCCTTACTGAATACCTTCCACAAAGATCCAAATGTTGAATGTTGTGTAAATTAAATGCTCCTTGATATCCTGCTGCCATTGTGATTTCTTTCTAACCTTTCCCCACCTTCTGTTTCTTCCCTCCCTCTCAGCTCCAAAGTCCCCTGGTGAACGGACGCGGTATGACACCTCCCTGGGCCTTCTGACAAAGAAATTTGTGGGTCTGATTGCTGAGTCGCCTGATGGAGTTCTCGACTTGAACTGGGCCACAGAGGTCCTGGAAGTCCAAAAGAGACGCATCTATGACATCACAAATGTCCTGGAGGGAGTCCAGCTTATCCGAAAGAAATCCAAGAACAACATTCAGTGGCTGTGAGTATCAGAGCAGAGGCAGAAATATCACAAGAGGAAATATTGTCGTTTATGTTTAGGTCATTTTTGGGTGTCGTATCATCAGATACACATTAGGGGGGTACCTTTTAAAAGGTTGAATTAAGAGGCTATTATGTTAGTTTGCTGTAAGACTTCTGCTGACATTGAACTCACACGCCCTCTTGTGGCTGTAAGCAGGTATTGCATCTTCTTTCATCAACAATGAAGACCCTCTGCTGAACTTTATTTAGAAGTTGTGTTTTATTTCATTGCTTCTACATCCTCCCTTGTATTTGTGTGCACCCCTGTAGAGTTGGAGATGTATTTGAAGGCGGTGCAGGCGGGGGAGAGAAGGCCTGCGCCCTGAGGAGAGAGCTCGCAGTCCTGGAGAGACAGGAGAGATCTTTGGATGAGCTGATCCACTCCAGCACCGCACAGCTCAAACAGCTCACCGAATATGAAGATAATCAAAGATATCCTTTACAGCCAGCCGCCATGTGTGTCCCTACACTTCCTCTGGGAGTCTGATGTGTGTCCTCCTTGCTTATATTCGCTCTCTGTGCTTCTGTTTCTATCCTTGACTCCACCTTGTACGTTGGGCTATGTGACATATCAGGACATACGCTCTATTGGCAGTCTCAAAGACCAGACAGTTATTGCTGTGAAGGCCCCCGCTGACACCAAACTGGAGGTGCCGGAGACAGAAGGGGTGAGCACACATCACTTTGTATGAGCGTAACTTTGTGTTTGATGTTTAAAAATATGGGATTCTTGAGAACGGCACATCCCTTTTACTCAAATATCTCTCTCCTGTGAATCTTTTCTTGCAGCAGGGATCATTACAGATCTATTTGAAAAGTAAGAACGGCCCCATTGAGGTCTACCTGTGTCCAGAGGAGGGTCTTGAAGATGCCAGCCCGGTAAAAAGTGCCGTCACCCCTAAGAAGGCGTACCCTCAAACCCACAGCGCTCCGGCTCAAGCTCCAACTCCCATGGGCCCACCAAGCTACAGCGCCAAAGAGGAGCCCACTGAATGTGAGTACAACTCTCAGTCAGGTTTAGAAACCATACAGGAGGACCACTTGGAGCTAACGAGTTAATGAGCCGCCTTATTTCAAGAATAAGTGGAGTGTTAGGCACTGATTACATCCACAAGCTGACCACTTTCAATCCTAGGCAGACACTCTGAAAGCTCAAGTGTTTGAAAAGTAAACATAAATTGTTCAGTCTGGTGATGGCCAGCAAATAATCGACCCCCATATTTCTCATCCTTATTTTGCTGTGCTATCTATTAGAAGCAATACTGCACCAAAAAAACAACCAATATAGAACTTTATATCTAACTCAACTTCTCTTGAATGCAGTAAGCATCTCTACAGCTGCTCCAGCCGCCTCCACCGCTGCAGCCTCCGCCTCCGCCTCCTCCCTGCTGGATGTCGAAGGTCTGCTGGGTTTGCCCCCCAGCCTACTCCAGATCACTGAAGACCAGCTCCCTGGCACCTCCTTTACTGCAGACCCAAACACCCCCTTCGTCAGCTTCTCTCCACCTCTGGACCACGATGATTACCTCTGGAGCCTAGAGGACAGCGAGGGAGTGTCGGATTTCTTTGACACTTATGATCTTGTAGATCTATTGAAGGGCTGAGACATAGATGGAGGTGAGGGAGGGGGGGTATTTAATGAAATACCTTCTAGAGGTAGGAAATATTACACTATGAAGCCATCACTCTTTGTTTATGCCATGTTTGTTTTAATGGGAGAGTTGACTCCTTTGTTGTTTTAATGAAACAAAAATAATTTGTAAATATAATTAAAAAAAAGGAACAGGTGGGGAGGTTTGGAGAGAGATTACACAGATGTGTGTATTCTTGGATCTTAAGAAAACACTGTTTAAAAGCAGGGCCTGTTGGGATTTTCTTCCACATTTCGATTGAGCTACAAATACAGAAACATATAAAATGATTGGAAAACAAATTACAGGAGTTAATATGCATATCACATCACCTCACCAGTAACAAAATCTGACAAGTTCAGGCGACGCTTTCAGTGTGACAACTCAGGAATTTTTGTCTTCCCTTTTTTCCCCAAAGTCTGAATGTTTGTGCCACTCTTTGACCCGTAGGGGGCAGTCTTGTATTATATCAGCTTTAACTATCAGGCAGCTTTTCAGGATTCAACCACTGGTGAAGACTGAGCAAAAGCCATCTAGGACAATTCACCTGGTATGTTTTTAAGAGTCTGGACATCTTCAACACTCACTGAGTTAAGCTGTGAATTACTTTAGTACCAGTTCTTAGACATTAACAAGCATCTACAGATTTATCTAACAGTATCTCATAAATCTGCTTTGACAGGTGCTCATGTTGCTCCTGTCTTATCGGGTTTTTGCCCCCTTTTGTTAAGCTTTATATAAGGCTGTGTTTCTAATTGGTGCAGAGGTCTGTGCCAAAATATGAGACGCCTGATACTGGATATAGATCCAGTGTAAGGGTAAATAAATACAATCCCTACTGAGCAGGATTCTTATCCCTCTTGTCGGTTTGGCAGCTTTATTTCAAGCTAAGGTGCTATTTTTGATTAAGTAGTTGAAAATAAATGTGTAAAATTACAATTGTATTTCTGAGGAAATCGCCTAAGAGTTGAGGATTTTGCTGTTCAAATTTTACTTGGTACAATCTTCTCAAAAGTCAGTCATGCCGCCAAATTCAGAGCATCTGTGACTTTTACCTGTTCTAATTTTTCTTTTCTTCAAGAGGTTTTTTTTAGACATTTGGACATTTGAATTTGATGCTGATGTATTTTATGGCTTTCCCTCTCTGCTGCAGAGATAAGCTAACTGACCTGTCCTAACAAAACTTGAAAATGTGCGTTTGTGTGTGTATTTGACAGCTCGGGGTGTGGTGGTGTGTTTGGGCGTGAGTTTTTACATCGTAGATTTGAAAATATGTGAATTCAGAATTTGTAGGTTTTATTTTCAATGAGCATTATTTTTCTGGTATTTGTACATAGTTTGTTTTTGTATTTATACCCTGTCATGAAATGTTTTTGAAAGTTAATGCTGTCTTTTTATACAGTCAGCACAAACTGCTTTTGTAAGACATGCAGCACTTAATATTTTTTGTAATATTGTGTGGTCTGTTTGAAATGATAAAATAAATACTGAAGCCATGGTCTACACTTGGAATTCTGTCGTGATTTTATTTTGCTCACTTACCATGGAAGGAAACTTGACTTCCTCTTAACATTTAAGGCCAGATTCCTCCCGTAATATTCCATGAAACCTTCGTGGAAACACATCTGAGTTTATATAAATAAATCAAGAGCGCATTTGTTTCCGAGCCTCTGCAACACACATATTCTCGCTGACTTGCAATCGTTCTTTAAAAACCCACGTGGATATTTTCTGTCTCAAATCAGCAAGATCGTGACCACTGAGGGTTTTGATCTAACAAGAAGTGAGAGGAGAGAGAATAGGTAGACATGAGGAGTGACAATGACACTGAATGAGCTATGAACACGTCCAGACAGATAGACAAAGAGCACCCATCATTCTTTGCGGGGTGGTTGCTTTGGAAACAAGCTCACAAAAGGGAGCAGATGCAGAGGGGGTGAAAGGTTAGGGGGTCAGAGTGGAATAGGGAACAGGGTGAGGACATTTGGAAGAAAGATATCTTTGCTTCTTTGGGAAAATAATCAGTATCTTTGAAGACAGTGCGAGTTTAAGTTGGGTCCAAAAAGAGCTGTAACTGTGCACTCAGGGTTCTCAGGAGTACTTTTTTAGAGCACCAGGTTTATAGCCTGAAATCTATAGGGGTTTTGTTTCTACCACAGGAAACTGAAATTTATTGTGGCTGCAACTGTGGCCAAATGTTTCCATCTGTATTATCAAAAAACGTAGGTCTCAGAAATGCGGTCTGTCTTCTTGTGCAGCAGTTTTCTGAGAACCTTAGTGTCTGCCTCTCCAGGTGTCTATTAGCAGTAAAAATGCCTATTAACAGATGTGGCTCATGTGTTTAACAACAGGTCGAAAGCGTAAATGTCAGACACATGTATACACAAACAGAGCCCCTGACTGTGTGGTTTACATATCACTTAAACAGCTCACTGTTAAACCAAAGCAGCAGAAACATTATTAGCCGATCTGCAGCTCAAAGCCTCTCTGTGTGCAGACATGTCATTACTGAAGTGACAGCCTGTTTATGAGCAGCACCAACCTGTAGCCAAAACATTTCACATATTGTTCTGAGATGCAGCTGCAGAAAAGACACACAATGCAGGTATTATACTTGTATAGAGGGGTAGAGCAGTTGAAAGTTGGGGTGTTTAAGGCCACACACATTCTTATTTAGAGCTGCAGAAATCTTGAAGTAACTCCTTGTTCAAAGAGGCTATGAGTCTGAACAGGTTTTGTAGCTCTGAGGTTTTTCCCTGGGTGGTATAAAAAGAGATTAAGCCCTCCTTTTAAGAGATGCTGAATAGATAAATGTAGGTTATCCATCAAGAAGGAGGACTTATTAAGGAGAGAGTGAATGCGATCAACCTCTGAATCCTCTGTAATGACACTGTGACGTAGAGTTGACATAATACTGTATTTGCATACATAGATATGAATCACAAGCATGTTTGACCAGCAGCTTCAAGTGTGGAAAACTTTTAATCACCATGACAGCAGCGATTAGGGTGTCCGTCTGTCTGTCTGAGGGTGTGGTTTATTAACTGGTATGCCGTCAGCTTAGAAGTTATGCCAGAGCAGACTTGCATGGATGACACTTGATTGATTCAGGAATGACACATCACTAAATGTTTTTGCTGTGATTTGATTGCAGCGCCAGGATCTGATTTTCTGTTCCAGTTTCCAGAGCCAGATTACTTTCAGTGCCCTTTTCAAGACACCTCATATGCTTACTCCAGCGGGAAACCAAAAACCTGCTTTGAACCATAAATCAAAACCCTCTCCCCCCTTTTTTTCTTTCTCCTCCAGATCCTCCCATTTTCAGTCATGTGTGTCGACCAGAAGAGGGGGTACTTTACGGTAAGCAGGGGCCTCCTGGCTTGACAGGAGTAGTAAATTGATAGCAGGACTATAGCGGAGCTGAGTCAACATGGAGAGTGCACAGGGAGGTTTTGAAGGAGATTTTTTTTGCTGGGAAGCAGTGAGGAAATCCTGGCAGCTGCAGTCTTTACTGGAAGATGCTGCTACGACCTCTGCATGTGCGTCACAGAGAGAGACAGAAACTGTAGTTGATCTGCCAGAAATTAAGTGTTAGCGGTCTATGAGCAGAGGTACTGTTAAACAGGAAACAGAGGGAAAAAAGAAAGGCAGAGCTTAGTGATGATAGAAGGAATAAGAGTGAAACTGCACACACAGCGGCAGGATGAGTATGATAAGAAATGACAGGTGTACAGTCTTTAGGAAGGAAAAAGGAGGAGACAAGTAGGAAGAACAATAAGTGAGTCAGTGCAGTTTGTGAATCCAGATAATGAGGCTTCCCTCTTTCTCTTCCTGTCATCCAACCTTTGTCATTTCTACGCCCTCTACAACTATTTTCTTCATTGGACTCTCTATTTCTCTATTCCTCTTCCCTGCCTGTGGACTTGTTTGTTGCATCGCCTGCACAGACCGGTTTGTTCACTTTTACAATAAGACCCAGGCTGGAAGGCTGGCAGACGCACAAAGGCGCTGCTTCTTTTACTAGGGGTCTTGCAAGGAAACTGAAGGAGGGTATTGTTTGGATACAGAAAGCATCTGCATTACATCAGCCCGTTTGCACTTCCATGCAAAAAAAAAAAAAATGAGTGCATGCAAAATGAGCATAATAAGTTGCATATATTTTATATAAACACCTGCAAGTATCCATGCAGACTGTTTGCATTCATCTGGAACTCATTCAATCACTGCATTCTTTCACATGTGTGCATACAGGCATGCAACAGAAACAATGACAGAATGCAGTCCTTCTTAACTGGGTCAGCAGAGCTATTTATGTGGCTCTATTGTTTGGAGTTTGTCGCGTGCCCTCACATCCTCGCAAAAGTGGGTGTTTTTTTCTTAAGTATCAGTTGAATAAGGAGAAAGTGTTTGAGCTATCCTCTCTAGAAAGGGTTAGTTCCTTAGAAGACCAAAACATAATTACTTGGTCTGAGACTGTGCACATTCATGCAGAGCAACACAACACAGAAAATCAAACCCTGTGCATGTGCATTCTAGTGTGTCAGAGTTATTTGCCAAGCCGAGAGAATACTACACAGAAACTTGTTTGTCTATCAGTATGAGAATGAACACAACGACACTGTGAGCATGTACAGCTAAGACACAGCTAAAAACATTTTTTACTTCTTTTTTCTTGGCTGACTACAAATAAAATGACCTCCTGTGTCCTACAAAGCCAGGACTAATTTTCCCTGTATGAAGCTAATGTAGGCAAATATGTGGTTTTGTGGTTGATCTAAAGGGAGCCTCTGAATTTGATGCGGCTTCCTGAAATCACCCATCTGCGCTTCATGGTGTATTGTATCACAGCTTCACCCCAGGCAAAGTTCAACGATACACCTCTTTGACATGCTCGACAATGCCGGCGATGCAAGAGTTATAGTCTATGTTCAGTTTTTTCCACCACTCTGATGAACCCTCTCTTTTGTTCATAGTGTCAGACAAATTCAGGGGAAGATCAGCTGCAAGGGACATCAGAAATCCTGCCTGAGGAAAGAAAGAAAGAAAGAAAGAAAGAAAGAAAGAAAGAAAGAAAGAAAGAAAGAAAGAAAGAAAATACATTGGAGGGAGAAGGTAAAAATACCTCAAGGTGACTTTGAATACAAATAGATGGCGGCGATAGAGATGCAACATGTAAGTTGGCTACGGTGGCCCTGAGGTGCAAAACACAACTACAAATCGGAAAACACAACACAACACAAAAAACAACAACACAAAAAGAGAAAACAAAACATAAAAAAACAACACAAAAAGAGACAACACTAAGGCAAATCAGAAAACACAACACAAAAAGAGAAAACACAACGGTTAATGTCGCTGTGTTTTATGATTTGCACTTGTGTTCTATCTTTTTGTGTTGCGTTTTCTGTTTTTGTGTTTGTTTTTCTCTTTTTGTGTTGTGTATTTAGCGTTGTGTTTTCTCTTTTTGTGTTGTTGTTTTTTTGTGTTGTGTTTTCTCTTTTGCCGTTGGTTTTACTCTTTTAGTGTTGTGTTTTCTCTTTTGCTGTAGTGTTGTCCCTTTTTGTGTTGTTTTTTTTGTGTGTGTTGTGTTTTCTCTTTTTGTGTTATGTTTTCTCTTGCCGTTGCTTTTACTTTTTTCGTGTTATGTTATGTCTTTTGCCATTGTTTTTTCTCTTTTTGTGTTGTGTTTTCTCATTTGCCGTTGTGTTTTGCACCTCAGGGTTATCGTAGTTGCCAACTGATTACAACATTTCAATAAAAAAATAAAAACAAGGTCAGTATTTTGGTCAAGATAATGGAAGTCAAGTTTAGATTTGATGATGGGAACAAATATTGATGGAGATGTTGATATCGGCCTTCTGAGGGCAGATGCCAGTAGTGTCAAAATGCCATTACAGGTCACTTATAACTGACCTGATTTATCGGTTAACCATTCAATCAACATGTTCCTTTATACTTGATGGATATGTTCATTTCAGCAAAAGCCTAAAACCTGAGATTTTGATCAACAGTCCAGTTTTCAGTTGCATAGCTTTGTGTCATAATGTTATTCAGGTATGCTTTTGCAAAGTCCTTCCTCAGAACCATCCCCTCCTTATCCATTGAAATTTCTCTCCTTCAGTTCGGTCCGTGAATGAGGCATTCTGCATATCCATGGCGACCACACTGCAGACTCTCTGGAGTTTGCATAGAAATGAGAAAATAAGAATGAAAGGGACGAGAGCGAGGGCACCCTCACTCACAAAAACCACGCACACACTCCCTTTTCTCTCTCTGCAGTGTGCCAAAAAGCACAAACATTCCCACGTGATGATGGAGTTTGTTCCCTCCCTCTCTGGGCGGACAATAGCGCGCGGCTGGCGCACCTCTACGCGCACATTTTCGCAGAGTGGAGTTTCTGTTCGGTCAGGACAGGTCTGATGTCTGATTTTAGATAGTTTCCGCATCGAAAGCGCCAACTCTCTGGGGAATACAGTCTTTCTTTTTCCTCTCCTAGAGTCAAAGGAGGAGTAAAGTGATATTTGCTTTCTACAAATGGGAATTACGCACGCTGGTGAACTTTTGGCTAACTTTTCTCCTCAGTGATTGTCAGCTCTGCTTCGCTGGCGCAACATGCCGGAGCGAATCAGCATTTCGGACTTCGTGGTCCTGACTAACGAGGACTTGTCTTCGCCGGGGACTTCAAGTTTTCAGTCCAAAATGAGCGACTGTCGCTGCACAGTTTCAACCGTGGAGGAGGTGAGGAACGGTAGAGGTGTGGAGAGAAATCTGCGCTTTTGTCCGCTGTTTACCTGGTTTCTCTTAGGAGGCTACACGCTGCTGTGGCTCCACTTCACCTGTAGTCAAGCTAACTTTAGCTTAGGGAGTTTAAACTTTCAATTATATATCTCCACACCATATTTTTGATGTTGTTTAACTGGAAAGACGCGCTGACATAATGAAACAAAACACTACACTTTGTCTTTTTTATAGGTCTTGTCTTTTTATTTATTTATTTAAAATTTATTTATTTATTATTAATTTTTTATCTGTCATTTTTATTTTTTTATACATTAACATTTTTTTATATTTTATATATTTTATTTTTTTTATAGCTCAGTCTTACTACCTTTTGCAAATCTGGGACAGATTTACCTGGGCCACGTCCAAAGTGTTTTATTTGCACAAGCTCGAGTTTAATTTTTCTGTGTTGACATAGATATAAGTGGTAAGATATAAGTCCTCAGAGTGATTTTGCACAGTTTTTAAATCTAAAACTGGTAACCATCAAGTAGGCTGTCTGTGCTTTCTGTTTTGGGTCATGCACTTGCTTTGTCTTCAGATGTGGCTGCATGGATGTTGGCCTTCATGATGATTCAGGGTAGGTTGGTCTGGCTCAGCAGAAAAGTGGAGGTTACATGAGGTAAAGCAGCTCAGAAGAAGTTAACTTGGTCTTCTGTGTCATGGGAGAAAACAGAAAACTCAAGCAGATAAAAGAGTTTTCCTTCAACTGGCTTGTTTTTGTGAGTGTAAGCACATAACACACAGACACACACACACAGATGTTTGTCCATTCTGACAGGCATGTCTGTTGAAGGCCAGTCTGTCTGTTTGAACTCGTACTTTGGCTCAGAGTCTGTTTGAGGTCTCTGTGTGTGAACATTTGTGTTTGTTTGAAATCTGTTCTGCTAAAGCTCCTCAGGCAAAGGAGGAAACACAGGGAAGCTGCCATGAACTCTGCCATAAAACAAATAACCCAAGTTTGCACACCGGTCGAGTCTTCCTTGTTTCTGTGACACAACAGTGTGGTCAGTGTTTTGAATAGTGAAAGATGATTGCAGTGAACATCTGATAGGTCTCGGTTAATCATTCATCTGAATATGTGTCATTACCGAGAAAGACAGAGCTAGAAAACAGACTGCTAATCAAGCATGGGGATCAAAGAAGATTGTGTTTATGAAGAAAACAGTTTCAACCAGCTGTCTCACTTTTTTTTTTTATCTTGTACTAATGTTCTTTATTTATGACTGTGACATCCTGGAAAGTAAATAGTTGGAATAACTGCTCTGGGAAGGGACATGCAAGAATCCTGCACATGTGCACACACGACGGATAAAGGGACAGACCGACAGACGCGGACACAAATGTAAATGCAACAGTCCCTTTATAGAGAAATCAGTGGTTATGTTTAGTCTGCTCAGCTGGGACAAGCCTGATTAATGGCCTGGGCAATGTGTGGGCATGTGTGTGGTTTATGGCAACAAGCGGGGAAACAGAAACACCATTTTACCCCCCACACACACTAGGCTGCTTGTTACTTATTACCCCTGATTTGAGGCAGTGATAGAGAAGTAAGACAGGCAGATAAGGAATGGTTTCGTTTCCTATATCAGTAGTGCGCACACAGCTTTGTGTTCTTGATGGGGGTTTTTTAAGTCAGCTCTAAAGTTCGGCCCTGTTTTTGACACGCTGAAATGAAATACTGTATGTTTTCCTGCTGCTAAGAGTGTCGTAACCCACTGTTGATGTTGTAAATGGAGATCAGATGTCTGTTAGTCATAAAATATCAATATCTGCTGTCACACACCCTAAAGCAGGTGTGACCAACTTTTCATATAAGAGCAAAAAGGTGCTATTAAAACTAGCTTCCCAATAACACAGTGCTGGGAAGATTAGTTGGAATGTGTGTTATTCTTTGCCAGTTTCTCTTGGAGTGTGCGTCCTCCTTGAGTTTTCCCCAGAAAATCAGGAGAAGCAACCTGTTTCCTTCAACCTGCACCGGCTTGTTTTCACTGTTTATTCTTTATCAGCCAGCCAGAAAGCAACTCCCAACCCCAGTCTACTCTTAAATCACTTTCCCATTCATTGTCTGCATGGTCCAATAACACAACAGCCATTCTGCCTTTTAATTAGGAAACTAACACGTAGGGAGTGGACTTGACCAGGGAGGACTGGGGCGTGTGAACAACACCATCTTACATGGCGGAGTCTCTGTTAAATCTAGATTACTGGCTTGTTAAAGCTATTCCTGGTGACAAATAGGTGGAGTTCAGGGTGTCTGAAGCTGTGAAACAAGTGGCCTGTGTGAAGAGAATAAATAGTATGTTGTTTCAAACCTTGTTGGTTTGGAAGGGATTACTTTTCCAAATACAAAGAAGACTGTTTGCGCCTCTGCGACTTCGTGTGTCATGTTTGTAGAAGGGAATTTTTTTCCCGGCTGAGAGAAAACCCTGTCTGGCCTGAGTGTGAGAAAGTGTTGTTTGAACCTGAAAAGTGACAGCCAGTCAGTCAGACAGGTGAAATTCACACTGTGACATCATCGGGGGTTAAACATGACGACGCAAGACAGACGGCTGTGTTGCTAACCAGAGCTGACTCACTTTTTTTTAGTCACACACTGTGGGAAAATTAACTACAGGTGAACTGACACACATAACTTTTGTAAACATGAGGAGGAAAGCAACACAAGTCAAAACTGAGCAGATAATCCTCAAAGTACCAGATAGTCCATGAAAGGGAGGGAGGAGTTTAGATAGTGGTTCACTAGTCCTGTTCTTAAAACGAAGTGCAGAAAGATAACATTATTTTGTCAACATACTTATACTGTAACTCAAAGTTATTGACTTGATGGTTTTCGTGGAGTTAGAAATAACATGGTACATAGAGATGCTCTGATCATAATAAATCTACGCTGATACTGACACTGATGTTGTTTGTACTCATTGTTTTGTCATTCTGTTTGTCTGTTTTCACTGCCAACATGTTTGACTTTGAAAACAAATCAGTTTTGTCCAAATGGTGACCTTAGCTCAATAAAAAAACAAAACCCTCTCTGAATCAGCACATAGGTATACTAGCTGTCAGTATTAAACTACAAAGATGTGATGAGTTACAGTCTACTGAGACTCTATTCTCGTCTGTGCTGCTGTCTATCAACAGAACCAGGTCTTTATTTCTTGATTCTGAATTCATATCTCTTTGTTTTTCATTGTTTTGTTTCAGTCGCTGGAAATGGACCACACAACTCTTCAGAAAATGAAGAAGATCATCAAAACTATTCACACCTCTGGAGTCGGTAAGTGTGTCAGCTCACCATATAAGTGACACAAAATAGTCATTCGAGAAAATGCTGCCAACTTCAGGCTAATAGACTAGCTATTTCTTGAATTTTCTATTGTCTTTGTGAGCAGATGGAGCTTCAGTGACACAAACTGTAAACAGTATTATAGAGGGCTCCACTTATTCACTTAGTGGTCACTTCACTGTCATGGCTTTCAGGTAGGAAGTTACAGAGTCCAGGGCCTGTTACAGTGACCCCGGTACCTTGTGTTCTGTTATGATTTTATTCACAATACTGTCAGGAGTTATTCCCTAAATTGAGTTTAAGTCATGGGTCAGAGGTTATAGTTGGTGTTTAAGACATCATTTTCACACAAGATGCAATCACACGCTTTTTTTTTAAATTATTTTTATCAGCGAGAAACACATAAAATGAGTCCAATCACAATTACACATTTGTGGCAAAGCAAACAAACAGGCCCAATTAGACTAACATATTCTCCTAGCTATTACACTCCCTTTCATTTTATAATATGTAAAGTAAGAATATTTGAACTATGGATGTCACATTTCCTTATTTTCCACAAGATCAACCAATATCAGTTTTCAGTTGTCCAAGTTAATAGTCTGATACTTCAAGTTATGTATCAGATGTATTTAGAGAAGTTCAGGTCTCCGTGCTCTTCTATATCTGATCCAATTCGACCAACGTCTCTTAAATGTCTCCGACTGTTGTCTCAGAGTGAATGTCAGGCGCTCTATAATGTAAATGTTCATGAACAGTTCCTTGCCAGTCTTCCAGTGTCGGTGAGTTGGGTTGTAAGCGCTTCCTTGTTGTAGTCCTCTTTGCTCCAATCAGAAATATCTTCATTAGATATCTGTCTGCTATCACTTGAGTTCGTAATGCCACGGTACCTAAATACATTAAGCTGACACCAAACTGTATAGTAATTTGAAATATGTATTCCAGACTATCATGAATTTCATACCAATAAGATTCGGGTTATTCGAAGTTTCGGGCAGTCCCAAAATAAATGATAATGGTGAGCTAAATCCGAACCACACATCCTCCAACAACTTACTCCACCACCTTGGTGTTTCTTCTGAGCTGGTGTTATAAAAAATCTCATTATGTTTTTCCATCTGAATTCTCGACAGCTATGTGAATTTGTGGTTTTCCACTGTAACTTACAGATATCTTCCCATTCCTCCTCAGATATGACCAAACCTCCCTCCCTTTCCCATCTACATTTAATACCTGAATCAGTCTTGGGTCGGGTTTACTATGTCAAATCACCCTCTACCTCATCAAGACAGAGCTTTAATTTAGCTTGATTGTACAAATGTTTGAGTGTAATGGTCAGTACTCTACTCTTCGCCTGTCCATGCATATTAAGCGTGTCAACTCAGCACTTAAGTGAAGGGCAGCTTTCATTGTGGCAGGGTGATGAGTGCATAGGGGAGCCACTCCATAATTCATTGTGCATGCCTGGTTAAGATGACCTCATCGAGCCCGTGTGGGCAGTGGTGTTTATGAGTGAGGCCCCTTGTTATGGGTGCGTGGGATGAAGGGTGATTGTGTTTATATCAATACAGAGCGCATGGTTTTGTGGTGTATGTGTGTAAAAGCAAAGTGCATGACGGTTTCGGCAACAACAGGGTGCTAAACATTGACGTAGCAGATCCGCTCAACCGCTAAGTGAATGTTTTGTGGATGTGTGTGAGTCATGCATGCCCGCTCTACGACATCAAAATCTATCAGAAGTGAAAAAATGCGTAAGACGTGAGTGTTCGCCTCAAAAATGCGCGGGAGAAACAGAGGAACTGCAATACATATCCTGAAGTTGTTTTTCTGCGCTCGCTAACAAGCCTGCTTCTCATTTCCAGGCTTCTACTCATAGTTTTTGTAAAAGTGAGTCACAGATCCAGCTGCCCAGAATTAAGCAACCAGATACGGTCAGCGGTGATGTTGTTGCTGCGGCAAAGTGCTCAATTTATATTCTCCATACGTGTCCACTCTACCTCTTTATTTCCTCTGGATCTAAGTAGAATCATATGTGCTAGTTCCAGTAATATGACAACAAGACCCCCTCCTCCCTCTTCTCCTTTCCCCTGTTGGTATGTTTTTGAACCCCTCAATCAGTCCTGTTGTTAATCCACAGCCTGACTCACTGCACACACACTCGTACCCCCACTCCTCTCCTCCCCCCATGCAGTCTAATGGTCTGTTACTGGGTCACCAATGCAAAAACACACATACACACATATGGTGAGATGTTCTCCTCTTTCACTCTCTATTCCCATAAAACCACCAAAAGTACCACTTTTCTGCCAAGATGCCGTGGCCCACATCTCTGTGTGTGTTCTGGGTGAGGAGGGAAAGAGCCAAATTGCATTGCTGGTACCTGCTAGTTAAAGGTCAGCTGAAAAATCATCCTCTGAACTCGTCTCTGACTCAGCTGCTTGTAAAGTTGTTTGTGATCACTCTTTAATGAGCTCCTCAGACCCCCTCCCCCCTCCTCGGCACAGATCAGCGTTTTCTACTTAGATTCACAATCCTGCTTTTGCTCTGAAAGTTTGTACAACTGTGTCGGGCTGTCTCTTAGCGACAGACAGTTTATTGATTCATATTTGTCTTGGAGTGGGAACTAGAGCAGAAGAAATCAGCCGACTGTACTCTTCCTGCTTTTGTCTGCTTTGTCTTCTGCAGATGTCTGGTCCAACCATATGTTCCTTTTCTGCTTCCCTAAATCAATATCAACCAGCACTTTTCTTGACCTTTTATCGGTATCTTTTAGTATTTTCTTTGTTGTAGTTGTTAGTAACTCTAAAAGTTCCCAGTGTGGCTTTAAATCTTTACATCATTGAGTTGTTTGATTGATGAAGACTGATTTCCATGGTGGAAACTGTGCTTTTTTGTTATTTGACATCTAAATAAAAGCCTTAAAATGTCTGCAGGGTGAGGTAAAAGCCGATTTAATGTAAAGTCAAGTCGAGTGGTGCCAGTCTGGAGTTTCTTCTCAGCCTTTTTCCACATAAATCCAACAGACTGGAAACTTACAGAGGTTATGACCCCTGGGAAAGTGACCTATAAACCCGAGAGAAACATGGCTCCTGATAAGTCTGCCTGGCTCCTGATGGGTGGAAACCAGTGCTAATTTATCCCACATGCTTGTCTAGTTAAAGTACTCTCTCTGCACCAGGACAAGTCAGTCTGCCCTCCTTAGATTTTCTACACATGCAACTCAAGTCCACATCTCCATTAACTGTCTATTCTATGTGTTGTTTTTTCAGCCCATGTTGACAACAAGGAGCAGTATATCGAGGTGCTGGAGAACCTGGGGAACAGTCACTTGACCCAGGACAACAATGAAGTCTCTACAGGCTTCCTCAACTTGGCGGTGTTCACCAGAGAGGTCACAGCACTCTTCAAAAATCTGGTGAGGAAAGAGGAAAACAGTGGGGAAGGGGAAGGGAGCCAGGTTACTAAAAATTAGCCTCCTCGACAAGAGAACCACAAAAGGGAAACCCAGAGGACTGAGGGGGGGAGGGATGGAAATTAAAACACAACTCAAGGAAAAAGCGATGAATTGCATGACTTGAAAATAACTTCAATGATGGAATTATGTGCGAGTTCAAGTGAGGAGAAAGAAAATAATTACATAAATCTGCAGATGAATGTATCCGATCCTTACCTTTGAGATCCTGGGTGCATGTATTTCTCAAAAGCATGAGAGCGCCCACATACATGCATGAACGAGTGCATGCAGGAAAAAGGCCTTTCAACAGCTGCATTCTCGTGCCTCCAGCCTCCAAATCTAGGGCAGTCGCGAACCCTCCCACTGATAGTTTCTATGGCGATAATAATTCATCCCAGACCTCCATTTGTGAGTCAACAGTCCTGCGCGCACACACTCCCTCCTTTGTGTCAGTCAAGATGTCACAGGGGAGACCGGGCCTTCCAGAGGTGAAGACTAAGTAGGTCCAAATGACTAACAAATCAACCTGAGTGTGGCCCTCAATTTGTGCACACACACTTTTACACGCAGTGATCCATGTCACGTGGTCATTTGTTGACACTTTAAAGGGTTGGTATTTCCCTGTGTCGGAGCTCCATGTAATGTCTATTAGTTACCTCAGCTTATGTAAGCCAACCAAAACAATCGAACCAGTCTCCAGGCCTTGTGTCAATATGTAAAGGTTAGCTCAAAGGAAGTGGTTGAATATTATTTATGTGAGGAACCAAGTGTAGCTTGGTTGGACCCAGTAGGATTCATGGAAAGCCCACAGTGACATTCAGAAAGAGGCTGTGTGCATTTTGGCAGCGGTCAACAGGAGACTCGTGGACAGGATATGAAGGATGGCGTAGCTGCATGCTGAATTATAGAGACTCTGTGACCCCGTGAGGATGTGGGGAAATTGAGAATTAGTGTAAAGCTCAACAGTCGTGGCTTTTCTGGGTGTTTTTTTTTTTTCATCTGTCCCCATGAGATCCCTGATAGACTCAGCCTATTTCATTTCCATCAAAAAAAAACTTGATTTGAACTCCCACTTTACTGTACAGTCATAAAAACAATCGCATCACTCACACTCCCCCTTGAATCCAAAAATCTCAATGGTGCAGATCACTTACGAAGTGTGTCCGTTCGATGAGTCAACGGTTTGAAGTGGCTGAATCATCATGTTTTGGGGTTATTCGGACTCATTCCCAGAAACACAGGTCCACAGGGGTGCAGAGGCATGTGTGAGTGTGAGTGAGTGTTTGTTTTTACAGTGGGAGATAGATAAGGGCCACCTGAAACATCATGGGGAATATTTTAAATTAATTCATCACTTGTTTTTGAATCCTTTTTCAGGTGCAAAACCTCAACAACATCATGTCATTTCCTTTGGAAAATGTGTTGAAGTCAGAACTCCGGGACAGCAGACTCGTGAGTGAAAGTTTTAAAACTTGTCTTGAATGTCTTATTTTAGAGCTGAGAAACCACACCTGAGTAGAAAAAAAGGGTCCAGTTCTAGACCTTTAATAGCTCAGTTTTAATATTTTTGCTGTAGTGATCTACAGCTAATCAATACAGTAAGGTCATATGGTACCTATCAGACCAAAAGAGCTTTTTTGATATCTTGTAAATCACACAAAAGGTGTTGTATTAAATACATTCAAGTTAAAAAAAGGATATTTGTAGGATTGAATATTTAGATGCTTGTAAATACAAATGTTATTCTGTGTGGATGTTAACTTCATGGCCGGCTAAAATCAGTTTAAGATTGGATTTCCTCTTTGAGCTCATAATGCAGCCTGTCTGTGCCTTTAGCTGCAGCTGAATCCCCAAAGATATTGGCAAAGATGTGGCTGTTTATGCAGATTAATGAGTATAAGCCAGAGCTCTGTTCCAGCACTGAAAAGATCTCTCTTTCTCAGTCAGTACTCGGCCTTTTGATTTGTCGTGCCGGCAGACACAGCGAGTAATAACAGGCTAATGCTACTGAAAGCTCCTGTCACTGCCCCTGTGTGTGTGAAACAGCTGATCTGACACATGAACATTGCTTCACTGTTACAGTGAAATAAGGCGAAGTGCTACTGAAATCCTGTTCAGCCTGTTATCTCTATATGAGTAATCATGTCTCCATGCGTTAGCTGTCTGGCTCTACCCAGATCAACGCAGATAATAACAACACATACTTTCTACTCTGACTGTGAATCTGGTCGTTTATAAACAACATTGTCTGATTGTGATGGCAACTATCATGGAGAATTCAGTCTTTACATAAGGGGCGGCATTTTCCTTTGAGAGTTTTATAGTTACACTTTATAGTTAATAAAGTTTTATATCCATGTACGAAGTTAAAAATATCGCTTTCTCTTCTGTCCCCACAGGAGCTCAAGAAACAGATGGAGAAGAGTTGGAAGGAGTATGACATAAAAGTGTAATTATCCATACCCTTGTACTTATCTTGTTATATCTTTAGTTGTCTCATGGATTCAATTTGCTCTTTTAGAGAAGCGTCTGAGGCTCGAGACAGATGTTGTCGCTTACAGAGAACCACGTCATACATTTACAGTTAATGTTCACATTTCACTGGGTCACTGAGGATAGTGTAACTGCAGAGGTTAATGAGATAATAGTTGATTCCCTTCGGCCATCTACATTACATTGCTGTGAAATGAAAGTGCGTCATTGCACTCAGAGACTATCACTCGATCTCACTCTGAATATGATTTAGAGTCTTTTATACCGCTGTAAGGAGAGGTAACCTCTACCGCATAGTCTCTGATCTGATTCTGCTCCTCTTCTTCTCTCTGCACAAAGAAGTCAAATTAAATCATGTAAAAGGCATCAGAGAGAGAGAGCCATGGTGGAAATAATCAACTCATACGAATTGTTGATTTTAAAGTTAATCATTGCAAAAGGATAGAAAGAGGGAGAGTGGATAAGCAGGTAAGAATAGTGAAGCACTGAAACTCTTTCTTTCTCTTCCCTCCCCCCTCAGAGGAAAGCTAGAGAAGGAGAGAAAAGGCAGGCAGCTGGGTCTGATCAGGACAGAGGGATCGGACGGAGGGGAGGACATGGAGCGAGAGAGGCGGACCTTTCAGCTGCAAATGTGTGAGGTGAGGGATCGGTGCCAGTCAAAATACCCGACTCAGACACCTTTCATAAATCTGAGGTGGGCTGGATTAAGTTCACATGGGTGGTCAGATTTTCGTGTTTTCCGTTTGATCTCCTTTCTGTGTCTCCAGTTGTTTTAAATAAACTGTTTATGCTGTTAATAAAACAACAACAAACATGATCTTAATTAGTCGAGTCTGTTAATATTTGGTCACGTACTGTTCATAAAAAAGTGCAGCTTTCTGAATTACGTCTGGAAGCCAAACAGGGGAAAATTCCCTCAAAATGCCATACATATGCTGTTGAACACAGGTGGTGTGGTCTCAGCTTAGTGAGTCCGCTCGACATGTAGAAAACTCTGAGAAAAAAAAGGTCTAATCCTGACTGAGACCAGCTGTTGAGACAAAGAGGAGAGGCAGGGAAAATGGAATTTCCACTTGTTGCAGGCTGCTCCACCCCTCTGTCTCTCTGTTTGATTGTCTTTCTTTCCCCCTGCATACACACAAACACACAGAAACACACAGAAACTCACACAAATATACACATAGACACTTCCCTAGGTCTCTTTCTGCTGTAGTTACACAGAGACAAATGGATCCAGACCTGGGTTTTATGGAGCAAAAACAATGTAGTCATTCCTTCCACTCAGCTATGAAAGTCCTTACACTGTAAATAGTCCTGAAAGCCTTTATGCAGCTTGGGCAGGGTGGAAAATTCACAATAAAGTCTGCATTGTGTGCTTGTTTTTTTGTCATTTGTCTATAAAAGTAACTTGAGCAATGATAACTCTTTTTCTTCTCTATCCTTTCAGTATCTTTTGAAGATCCAGGAACTGAAGATGCGTCAAGGCCCTGATCTTCTCCAGAGCCTCATCAAATATTTTCAGGCTCAGCTCAGGTCAGTCTCAGCCTGCATTACCCTCAGTTTCTACTTTGCTGCTCTTTTGTTACAAAAAGTCAAATCATGAAAAAGTTTTGACTTTTTCCTGGCCAGAAGAGACATATGGATTTAATTGGTACCTTTGGGTTTCAGCCTGAAAGTGAAGCATAATAGTTGAGGTTCTTTGGTTTTCTTTTTCCGTTTACACGCTGTTATTACCTCTGTTAACCATCAACCCATTTTATTCATACCGGGGGTTTGCAGAGCTGCTTATACAGCTTCAGCATGTGATGTTTTGGTCGGTGTGAACTCGGATGTTTGGACTACTATCATGACTCAGCATTTGTTCTTTTTGTGATCTCAGTTTCTTTCAGGACGGGCTGAAAGCTGCGGAGAATCTCGCTCCGTTTATCGAGAAGCTCGCTGCTTCTGTTCACACGGTAAATACAAAGACGCCGCTTGTAGTTCGTCTGCCTACGTGCATTAAGTCTGTCTGTGTTTATGGGGGTAAATGTTAGTCATCTACACAGCTGTTATGATTCAGAACAGAAGATGCTCTTTCATAAAGAAGAGGTGAAAACATTGAGTTTGTGCAAACTGCTGCAGTTACACTCTTACAAAAACACAAGAAGAAAATCCAAGAGGGACTGTTCCCGAAAATGCTCCCCTCTTTTTCCAAAAAAGTGAAAGCAAAAGCATCCCTCATTTCAGCTCTTCACCTTTTTCTTCCAACCGCTCCAACCTGTTTCCAGTTAGCACAGATCTTGCCTTCTGCCCTTTCCTGGATAGAGCTCTGGAAACGAACGGCGATACTGGGAACGTTAGAGGTTTTTCTGGTTCTGAGCTGAAAGAACAGAGACCCGCTCAGACATGCCAGGCCGCACTTTCGAGAAGGAAATCCTGACAATATCTGTTATGACTCTCAGGAAAAAAAGCCAAAATGTTTTAGTTAAATGGAATTATGTTGGATGCAAAACTGGACCGTTTGCTGCTTTATTACAAAATGTACAAACACCCAGAACGGCACACCCGAGTACTGAGATCTGTTTTGTATTATTTAGTCCATTACACAATGCTCTGCTGTATTGTCATTCCACACCCAAGTCTGTGATTGAATTAAGAAAAACACACGGGCTGATGGATACTGGAGAAAACCAGACTCGTCTTTCATCTGTTTGCGTTATTTCAGTGTTAAAGCTGAATAAATGCACTTCTGTGTTTTGCAGGTGCGTGTGGACCAGGATGAGGAGGTTAAACAACTCACTCAGTTGAGGGATTCTCTGAGATTACTCCTGCAAGTGGAGGGGAAAGAGGTGAGCTATACCCCGTAAATATAACTTAATTCAGCTGCAGATGGCTTTTACATTTTCACGATATCCAAACCTCTCCTTTTCATTTTAGGAATACCTGAATAGGAAGAACTCGGGCAATGGGTATAGCATCCACCAACCCCAAGGCAACAAGAAGTATGGGACAGAGAAATCTGGCTTTCTGCTCAAGAAGAGTGACGGGTGTGTAAAAGATTTAGTCACAGTATCCAAAGACGGGATTACAGCCACGTGTTAAAAAAAATCTGTAAACCCCTTAAATAATCCTGTAATTTATGCATTGTTAAGTAGTTTTATGACTGTCCATAAACAACACTTACTGAAGCTTTTATTTAACGTTTTTAGGAGGCAGTTTTCGCTGGGAATGAAACCGATACCTTTGCTATTTTTAAATACCTGTATTATCACTTAATTGTGTTTTAAAATAAAAGTTTTTTATAAAGCTAACTTAATTTAAAAGACTTGGGAAAGGAGAAATAATGTTTGGTACATTTGATTTGAGTTTATGTAGCTTATGGGTGGAGATATAACTGTATGTATACTTATATATTTGTCCTTTTCCTCTCTTTTTTTAACAGTTTACACACTATGCAATGCTCTCTGTTAATACGATTTACTGTCTTATAAACCCATGTGGGTTGGGCACTTTGTGTGCATGACATTTCAATAAATTAACTAACTAACTAACTAACTAATCACTCAAGCCGAGGGCTGGGTGTGGAGTAAGCAAAAAGAGGGGAACTCTAACTCTGTCTGACCCACCTGGTCTTCATTATTGTGGGGTGAAGATTCCTGCAGGGGCCCCTCCTTATGATCTTATTGGCAGACCAGCAAACTGAGCGCATCCAACTTTTGCGTCATGCTCACACACACACACACACACACACACTGAGGTAGATTACTGTGAGATAAAGAGAGGGGATGTGGGTTCAGTAGGCTGAATAGGAGAAGGGAAGAGAGCAAACTGTCCTCAAACCACGAAAACAAAGCAGGACACGCTGTCAGCTTTTCTACCTAAATCAATCAAGATAATGAAAACGAGATTAAACCCTGTGACCAGGAGGTAGCTTTGCCAGCTCTGTTTAGATCATCATTCACTCCAAGGCTACACTGTTTGTACTGAATGCACTGTACAGAAACTGGCCAGGTTGATGACCTCATGGCAATAACACATGCATATCTGTTTTTCTCTCTGCGTCTTGGGGATTTCATCGCTCAGGATCAGGAAAGTTTGGCAGAAGAGGAAGTGTGGAGTGAAATTTGGCTGCCTGACAATTTCTCACAGCACGGTAGGGGTCACATGCTTCAACAGTCACCATGCATTTGGTCACTGAATCGTGTCCGATACAATCCTGACAAAAACATGTGTCTGTGTCTACAGATTAATCGACCGCCAGCTAAACTGAACCTCCTGACCTGTCAGGTGCGGCCGAACCCAGAGGATCGAAGGATCTTTGACCTGGTCACTCGTAGGTTCATTCTTTTGCTATTGACCCTGAACACTTTGACCCTGGGGACCCATGTGCAGTGCAGCTGTGTGCTCGCCTGCCCAGAATTTAAAGAAATAAGAATTAGCCGTGGTGACAATGTCTAAACACCATCTTCCCATCTCCTTAGATAATCGGACGTACCATTTCCAGGCAGAGGACGAGCAGGAATGCGTGATGTAAGTGTTGATATGACTGTAGGCAACACACCAGCCTTCCCTACTGCCATATCCCCCGTACTGTGTTTTCTCTTTACATGGGCTAGTTGTGACATGTATCGCAGCTTAGTTGAAACTATGAGCTGTATGCAAAAGAAGCTGTACAGTGATCTAAAGACGGCTAAGATTGCAGAGAAACCCAGAGGTGTACTCAAATGAATGTCGAAGATAAAAAAACACTTAGTAAAAAGAAGCAGTGTTTTAAAAAATAGAGAGAAACAGAAGGGTGTAGAAGAAGAAAAAAAACTAGTCCTTGAAGAGCCCCCTGGCCTGGCTGGTGTTCAGTGGGATTTTTTTTCTCTCTGAGTTTTTCTCTTTTCAACATCAAGGAAGGGAACATTGTTTGGTGATGTGAGACTAAAAAAAGGAGGTGCATTTAGTCTTTTTTTTCTTCCCTTTACTTGTGTGAGGGCCTCCAGGCAGATTCTTTGATGTGTAAGCTTGGGGACAGAGGGAGTTTGACTAGTTTGAGGGGAAAAGTACCAAAGCTTCAGACATGAAAGATGCGAGGTTTTGGTCTGAGTGGTGGAAGTCATGAAACTTCGAAAGTGAGAGCAATGATGACTAATCATAAAACAACTGAATACATGTGCAAAACACATGGTGGGCTACCACTGATCTTCTGAGTGAAGGGCTGAAATGATTGATCATTTGGTTTCTCTTGATGCCTCAAACTCAAGGGTTTTAAAGTCCCACTCTGATCGCTTTTTTTTTCTTTTTTACCACTTTAAATGTTCTGAGTGGTCTTTAAATTGTGATTATTAAGTTTTTACCAAAAATCACATTACCTGTGTCATCTTCAAGGGCTTTTCTTCAGCAGAGCTCTTGTAGATCATTGACAATTCGCCTCTGAGTCGTAGCGCAGCTCTGCACACTCGTCTTCACGTTAGCTTGCAGCCTAGCATTGTCGGTGTAGTAGAAGTGGAAGGTAACATGGGAGCTGTTTAGCTCTTGGACACTCATATCTGAAAGCTTATATCATAATTAGCTTTCTTATGAGCATTGCAATCCGCTAACGCACACGCTTGTTCTGCAGGCTAAGCTCCGAGGGGGTGGAGCTTGGATTGGTTATGTATGAAATGGTACTGTTTCTGAACCTGCTGTTTGGGTCTGCCAGAGATTCACAGCGATTTGAATGAAGAAATACTCTGAAAAGCAATTGTTTATTTGTTTTTTTATGATGATATGTCCTGTAGCACCAGAAAAGTGCCATATGAACATGTAAAAAACAAGAAAAACATGATTTTCATCGGAGTGGGTCTTCAAAAAGGTTAAAAAAAGAAATTCCTGCCTCCTCCGTTCACACCTTCCTATACTGATATACATCTTCTCTTTAGATGGGTGTCTGTCCTGCAGAACAGTAAAGAGGAGGCCTTGAATACAGCCTTGGGAGGAGACCAGCTTCACCTTCAAGACAGTGGACTCCAGGATCTTTCCCGAGCCATCATCGCCGAGCTCCGACAAATGCCTGGAAATGAAGCCTGTGCCGACTGTGGAGCTGCAGGTCAGCGAATAGCGGCGGTCGATTATGTCTGCTGAGTGAAAAATAGAAACAGATCAAATCACGATAACTTTGAGCTGCTTCCATCTTACTCTTAAAGGCTTTAACAGTTTGAGCTGGGATTTTTGAGAGCATCTTTCAAACAGTCTGTTGACTTTTATCCCAGATCCAACATGGCTGTCGACCAATTTGGGCATCCTGACATGTATAGAGTGCTCTGGCATCCACAGAGAGCTGGGAGTTCACTACTCCAGGATCCAGTCCCTCACTTTGGACCTGCTGAGCACCTCTGAGCTTCTGGTACTAAAATCACACAAAAATACACAGTCATTGTGGGTTTATGAAGTCAAGCTTTCCTAATTACAGACATTATGTAACCGTTTTCTCTTCATTGAAGTAACATCTTTATGTCATTTCAGTTGGCAGTCAGTATTGGCAACACAAGATTCAATGATATCATGGAGGCTGGCCTTCCCAGTGACTCTGTCAAACCATTACCACAAAGTGATATGTGAGTGTCTGTTTCTTATTAGCAAATCTGATTGTTTTGAATGAACAGTTTATGTTTATTAAACGTGTATACTCCTTGATTTTCCATCATTGCGCTTACTTTCCAAACAGGAATGCCAGAAAGGAGTACATCGTGGCGAAGTATGCCGAGCGGCGGTATGTCCTGCGTAGAGAAGAAGCAGATCCCGGCCGGCTGTACGATGCTGTGCGGAGTCGTGATATCACTTCACTTCTGCAGCTCTTCGCTGAGGGAGCAGAGATCTCCAAACCGCTCACACTCCCCGATGGGCAGGTGAAGATGATTTAGTGAATCTCTACAGCTGCTTTCCTTTCTCTGAAATGTATCCCGTTCGGCAGGAAATGCGTGTTGTGACAAATTTAAACTACAACATCCCCACAGATGTCATGCATTTAGTTTGAATGGCAGCTACATCCTGAAGAGGCCGCCCACCCGGCTTGTGTGGAGCTGCATGCACATTTTTTTAAATGAAGGAAAAATCTTGGCGCTTCAGGCATGTGGCTCAAATATCTAAATATAGGATCAAATCCCCTACAGCTTTACAAAAAGCCTCCACATTCAGCATGTAGGAGGTGTGGATAGATACAGTATGTAAAGTATGTGTTGATTGTCTGCATGCCTCATGTGGGTGGGTAGTCCCAGGCCCTCCCATCTCTGCTGGCCTCTAATCCAAACCCTCCTCCCTCATCCTCTTCTGTCTCTATAACTCCTTGTCTGTAATCACCCTCTCTCCTCCTATCATACACTTCCTGCTCAGCATAAGTAGCATGTGTAGCACTGCCGACTTCACTCCATGTGCGCGCGAATGCGAGTGTTTGTTTGTGTTGGTCGGCCCTCGTTTATTATTCCAGCTTCGAGGTCAGAGCTCGAGTCTCTTGAGAACAGGCGAGATGTGCTCATTGAATTACGCAGGCACTTCTGCGTTTCCTCCGCCCATTTATTTACACTGTGAACAGATAGTGTTTGAAGCTCTAACCCACAAACACAAACTAGCTGTTGCACAATCTGGCTTTTTTACATCAGCACAGAACACGACCGTGTGGTGCTGCTGGTTGACATTGAATATTTTGTAAATCTCACTTATTAAAGACCCACTTCGATTGTTTTTTTTTCTTCTTTGCGTTAGTTTGCAGCCTAACATTGCCGGTGTAGTTGAAGAATCAGATAATATAGGAGCTATTCAGTCAGACACTAATGTCTTTAGGAACACAATGAAAGCTAATATCATAATTAGCTTTCTTACAAGCATTGCAATCTGCTAACGCACACACTTGTTCTGCGATCGTCCTCTGTATTTCTCCTCTATATGCAGAGTCTGGCTTGCATAGTGGGGTTTCGGGGGGCGGAGCTTGGATTTGTTACATATGAAATCTCACTGTCACTGAACCTGCCATTTGGGTCTGCCAGAGATTCACAGCGATTTGAATGAAGAAATACTCCGAAAAGCAATTGTGCATTTAGTTTTCTCATGATTTGTCCTGTAGCATCAGGAAAAATGCCATATGAACATATAAAAAACAAGAAAAACATGATTTTCATCAGAGTGGGTCTTTAAGACCAACAGATTTGCTTAATTTGTTTCTGGTTTTGTCTAACTCAAGGGGATAAAAGAGACGGCTCTTCATCTTGCTGTGCGTCTGGAGGAAAAAAGCTCCTTGGCACTGGTGGATTTCCTCTGCCAGAACAGGTTAGACTCTAACAATAAGTCAGATACACCATCCACCCATTGTATGTGGAAGATCAAGCTTTTGATGAGTAATGTTGCTTTGAAAGGTGAAACCAAGAACCCTCTGACTTTACTGTATTTTCTCTGTACAGCAACTGTTTGGAGAAGAGGACAGCAGAAGGAAACACGGCTCTTCATTACAGCGTCTTGTACCACAAACCAGAGTCTCTAAAGCTGTTGCTCAAAGCAAAGGCTGCCCTTCAAACAGGTACCTTAACCTCCTTTAATCTGCTCCTTCTTCACCCACTGATTTCAGTAAACACTTTAATCAGCACTTCTTTTACTACTTCTGCAGTGAACTCAGCTGGAGAGACCGCTCTGGATACTGCTCGCAGACTGCAGCACACACAGTGTATCGAGCTGGTAAGGCCACAATTCCTCCTTTTTTTTTTTTTTTTAAGTGTATGATTTCATTCATAAAATCAGCGAACACACACACACAGAGTGAGGAGGAATTAAGTTGCAACATAAAATGCCTACCAGAAGGCCAACTCCAGAAACAAAACAAGATAACTTCCACAGCTGGAAACACTACCTTAAAATAACTCCCTGTGCAGCAAAGCTCGGCTGAGAACTCACTCCCAGGATGAGGAATCTTATCCTCATCATCTCCCACTGTGGATCATTTATAAACTGGTCTTATTTTCTTACCGGCCATCTGCCCTACTGAATCAGACCTGCTTTGTGTAATATCCTGTTTGATCAACCTTGTTTTACAGGCCTATTGAGCTAGCATTGTTCACTTGTATCAGACAGAGAGCAGCTAATACAGACAGTTAAAATAAAAACCCCAGATCAGGACTACTAACGGACTACTACTGCAACAAATGTACCTGATTAACAGAGCCAAGTACACAGTTACTGCACCATCTCTGTGCCTGTTATTGCTAGTGCATCGCTGGATATGTGTAATGTGTATTTGTGCTCCTGTGTTTGTGTGTTTTAGTTGGAACTGGCCCAGAGTGGGAAGTTCAACTCTCAGATCCACGTGGAGTTCATGTGGGAGACACAGTCCCAGGAGCTTTATGACAGCGAGGATGACCTGGATGAGAGGGTAAACAACACGCTCACACACACACACACACACACACTCAGCAAATCTTTTTACTCAGTTTTTGCAACTTTATACAGTGTAGAGAACAACATGGTGGCATTTCCCAGCAAAATTGCCTTTAACAACTGGAAAAACAAACACTTCATTTTTTTAAAACTGGAAACTAACTTTGTGCTCCTTTTTTAGGTGAGCCCTTTACCCAAAAACCGTTCCCCCCCATCTACAAACGGAGGAGGTGGGTCTCCCTTTTCCCGCTGGAGTGTGGTTAATGGTGCCAACAGTAATTCAGGAAGCAGGCCGTGTCAGACGTACGAGAACTTAGACTTCCTGTACAGAAATCCTCCAGCCAACAGCGCCCCCTCTGGCGCAGCAGCACCACCACCACCTCTGCCAGCAAAGTCCATACAGAGAGGTGACCAAGTTTTTTTTTTTTTTTTTATTGCCAATATAAAGCTCAAAGTCCTTCCTATCTCTCATGGATGTGCACTCTTGCTCCTGCTCTTATTTTGACATCACCTGTCTCCTTCTCTTTCTCAACAGGTCGCTCAGACCCCCAGCTGTCAACCGTGACAATACAGGAAGGCAACGGCATCCCGCGACGCTGCTCCAACCCCATCTCCTCCAGCCCTCAGACACAGACGAGACAGAGCACAAACTCACCAAACACAGAAAACCAGAGCCAAGGTGGAAGACATCCGAGGTCACCTCATGGACAGGGAGGCCATGCGAAGGGGCTGAAAGAGGGCCACACAGGTGCTAGTTCTGGCTCTCAGAGCAATATCGCAACGACGTCATCCTCTCAGAGTCACATCGGACCTGTCAGGTAAGAGGAGTATAAATTTTAACACCCCTTTGACCCTTTTGTTTTTTAACAAAATATTCCCATGTTTCTTCAACACTTTTAACAGTATCACTTCTTGTGAATTCTCCTCCATGCAGTTCAGAGAAGACCACATCTTATCGTCGGACCAGCAGTGGAGGAGGCAGTCAGGGGAAGTGTGGCAAGTTGTCGCCGAGCTGTGTGGGCAGTCAGGAGGAATTGTACTGCAGTTTAGTGGGGAACAGCACCCCTGCTCCCACTCCTGCACCGTCATCCTCACCGACTGTGACCTGTGTCCCACGACCCCGCAGGAATGCCATGGTACAGTCACATAGAAACACTTTTTTCATCTTAACCCTCCTCCTGTGTTCGGGTCTGCACCGACCCGCTTTTGTTTTTAAATGCTTAAAAGGACGACTTAAATTAATTTTTGTGCATCAAGACTTTTTGACTTTGTTAGGAAACTCTATTTCAACAAAATAAAAACAAAAAATTTAATTGACTAAATTATAAAATGCTCTTATTAAAATTATGGCACTTGTCGTGTTAGGGTCGCTGTTGACCCGGTTAGATCAATATCTAATAATTGGAGCAAAAAATAAAATCATACGTGCCATACTGACAGTCAGATCCTCTTCCAATCATGTGATATTTAGGAAATTCTCATTTTTCCTTGTTTTTTACTGCACAAAAAACAACTTCTGGCATGTCCAGACATGTCAGATCAGTTCAGTACAGATGTCTGTGTGAGAGGTATACTGACAAAGAAAGGCCCAGAGGATCACTAAAAAACTATTATAAGCAATATTTTCATGGATAATGAAGCCTAACAAGGTAACCTGGAGATGAGAACCAAACTGGATGATAGAGAAATGTTTTTAGTGTAAAAACCGACCCTTAACATAGTGGGTGCGTAGTAAAAGCTAACACAGGCTGAAGGTTAACCAACAATCTAAGTCCTCCATAGAATAATCAGCATTTTGTCTGGACTCCTGTTTTAATCAGGATGAGCCTGTAAAAACTTCCTGGTCAGATAAACCTGTTTGTGGCACTCTGATAAAGTATCACATGTCTCCTGCAGGTCTCTGGCAGCAGGCCACATCAGAAGCGTGTCAAGGCTTTAGTGGACTGCAGGGCAGTCAGTTTAGAGCAACTTGCCTTTTTCAAAGATGAGATCATTGTGGTCACAGCCACTAGTGACCCCCACTGGTGGGTAAGTGCATCTACAACTTCTTGATTTATTTTTTTAAGGAAGTGAAATTTTCTTCACTTTAGATCCAAGTCTTAAAGCATGGACTTTTCAAATATTAACATTTTAAATTTTGCATTACTCTATCTGCTTACAGGTTGGTCACATAGAGGGGGACCCGAGCAGGAGCGGGACTTTCCCTGTCAACTATGTGCACAAGCTGGACTGAAGGGAATGTATCTTCAGGAGAGGACAGTGTTTTTTCTTTATCCAGATCTGAACTGAGGAAAAACGAAATATATTTACAAGGATAAGCTGACTAAAGGAGACCTGGAGATGGAAATGACACAACTTTGTAATCTTGAACTTCTACTCATGGAGGAAAGCTTTCAGAGCCTCATCAAGCTCCTCATTTTGGACATTATTTCGGTTGTTTTCTTTTCAACAATGTGTTCCTCCAGTTATCTAAAACCATGAAACTCTATTTAAAGGTACAGTGGCCTTTGTGGTCAGGTTAAAAAGTGGTCTGATGTCTGTTTAACCAGATGCAGAGTTTTAAAATACTGCTCTGAGATCTGTACCTAAAGAAAAAATTCACCTGCAGGGGAAACACCCCTTTAAGGCACTTTAAACTCACAAAGAAGAGCAGGCACAGATGTAAACACGGGCACATTAAGCTGCTTAACTTGTGAATGGAAATTTCCTCGTGTTTTCGATTCACGGTGTACTGAGAGTCGGGCTGGAGCCTCAGACCTGCCCAGTGTCTGTTGCAGCCTGTCCCGGGACTCTAAAAGTGGCTTTGTGCCTGCCAGTCTGTCTCTGACAAAACCGGCGGACGTCTGGGCAAACCCATGGAGAGATCTGAAACTTTAGCCGGGCACAGCACACAGGCAGCAAGAAGACTGGAGGGGGGGATCTAATTTCCTCTGGCTCCAAGCTTCATGTCCCTGGAGAACCTGGAGTAACAGTGCGGTGTTATAAAAAAAAAGACTGCTATACCAGGAAATGGCACTTTGAAAGGGCTTGTTAGTAACAGCACCCTGCTGCAGTGATTTGTTCAGTGAACTCACTCTCTCTGTTGGTGCATGCACACACATAGTAGCTCCCAGGATCTAGGAACCTATAGGGAAACAGATGGGGTGCAGCTGCTCCACTTTTTGTACTTGTAATAAAAACCAAATGTAACACATTTCACAGCTATTACACAGAATTTGTTGTACATACTTGTCTATAAATGTTCATAGATGTACAGTATATATAACCTGCTTTCTTATGTGTTGTAAGCATCATAAATGTATCATAACAGATAGTTTAGCCTCATGTCGGTGATTGTTCTTTAATTGGATTACAATTATCCTCCGATCTGTTTCATTATTTGTCTTATTAGCTGTCAGAGAGAGAGAGGGGTAAACAGATTAAGGAAGTGATCAGTGTTCACAGAGCTGAAAACAAACACTGACAATGATGACAGAACGAATCTTTCCTGAGTAAATAACTGTGAGGAGTCTGTTTGGCACTGTGTCTCCTGTCCTTTTTGTGTTGATCACTAAGAAATCAAATCATCACACAGATGTGTTATCAGGAGACTAAAGCAGAGGATGACTGCATCAGAGCACATACACAAAGAGAGACTGTAGAAATGTAAGCAGTAGATCAACTTGTTTTGGTCAAAAAAACATAAAAGACACTTTGAATGGAGTGCCATACTTGGTTTTATTGTGTTAAATAGATGTTGAATTAAATACCTGAAATATACCAGGGTAATGTTGCGCATCTCCTAAGATAGATGTTAAATGTCCTCATTTTTGAGAACAGCTCTGTTAGCTTTGTTTGATTGCTTATTGAAACCTTGCACAGCTCTACTTTAATCAGATTTCAAAGAAATACGGTCCCTGTTCATGTCTTGACATCACAGCATCTGTTTTAATTACAAAAATATGAGCACCACCCTCTGGTAAAATTAATGATTCGACTCTCTGATATGTATGTACACTTTGAAAATAGTATTTTTCACTTCCTCTGTCTATTTCTAGCATCTCTTTCCCCCCCTCATTTTCCGCAAATCGACACTTTTCCATCCACCTCTCCTTGCAGTAATTAAGGTGCAGGTCTTCAGCCACACTTCTGTCTCCATGTGGGCGTTACATGGCCATGATCCTCTGTCTCAGGGCCAGTGTGATGAAATCCCAACCTACCACTTACATAACTGTCCGCCTTGCTGACAGCAAAGATGTTAATGCCAAGGCCTCTTCTGCTCTGCCAGCTGACAGGCCTGTACACAGAAAATACTTCCCCACCTTTAATCCTGACACACAATAAGTAGTTTCATTGATAATGATACAAAACCGAACCATAAGTAGAAATATTTGCTAATGCTCTCATTCATGTTGCATTCATTTATGCACATAGAAAAAAATTGAATGTAATAATCATGAAATACATAAAGCCAGCTCTAATCTCTAGATTTAAATAGTTCCTGGGCAGAGAAATAGCGTCCTCTGGGTCTGACGTTGGAATTTTTTGTATCAGTGCATCAAGTGTTTATATATCATGGTGTATAATCTCTGAAACTGGAGTATAATACAGGATGTTCTCAGATATGCAGATTTGTGTGTCTAAAAGCATCTACCATGGTTAATGTCACTCATTAAGTGAGCAGCAGCAGAAACATCAGCTTAATGGAACTTCACAAATCCCAGCCTGCTATAATGAGCCCTTGGAAATGAGATATATTTCCAGTAATCGTGCCCTTTCCATCTGAACTCACCGTTATCTAACATCCATTTAACAGACACATCAGCTGAGAAGAGGCTCTGAAGGACACGCACACTCCAGAATGACTCTCCGCTACTGCGTTTAGCCTCTAAAGTTTGCGCTCTGCACCATCTTGTTACGTCAAAGTTTTCTGCTGAGCTGGCACTTGAAGCTGCGCTGCTGTGCTCTGACGCAAAGTGACCCCGTTTACTTACCAAGAGCTCCCACGCGACAACAAGAGGATGAAACATTTAGAGATCCCACCTGATTCATATTTCTGTTTCAAGCAGAGACTATTGACAAAGAAATCTTGTGTTTTTAGATTATTTATTCTAATAATTCAGTTTATTTTACAAAACCTGATTATGCTTTAAAGGAATCCGGTGTCTTTATATCAACTAGCTTCCATTACTACTCTTTATTTATTTAATAGTCTTACACATTGTTGCTCTTTGCTCAAGTAAATTGAAGTGTCAAGAAACGTAGATAAGTTGTGGAAAAATTGAAGCATTATAGTTAGCAGAACATTCATTCTTTAAATGTGCAGCAAAAAGCAAAAGTCATTTCAGAAGCAGTGCAAATACAACAAAAAGGTTTGGGGTCTACTTCCTGTCAGTCAGGTTAGTTTAACATTTGATGGCCAATCATCTTTGTGTGTCTCATACCTGTAAACCTGTCATAAACGGTTAAAATTAAGGCTCTTCAACTGTGTATAAAGCTGTTTAATTAAACAGCAAATTGACCCCAAACCTTCTGTTTGCATTGAGCAGATAACATTTTCCAAGTAAAGTTTGACTTAACATTCATAACGAAGTAGAATATACAGTTCTTAATGAACAAAAACTTTCATCACACTGTCAGTAACGGATCATTTTCACCTGAATCAAGGAAAACTAAAAGTTCTGTGCTTTCATTTGCAGAGCTGAAACACCCAACATCATGTAGTCAAACACAACATATCAAAACATTCAAGGATAATCAAAAATTAGGAAAATTTTGGACCTGTGCGTTTGTGTTACTAAAGGGATGAAAGAGCTGATGTAACTTAGTTCCCAGATCTTGAAACTTTTTTTTGTTTGTTTTTTGGCTTAAAATGAATCAAAGTGAAAACAAAATACCAACAACAGGCTCAAACAACATGTACGCACTCTATGAACAGTGTTTTTCAATGGGAGGAAAAGTAGTTCAGTTAAAAATTAACATTACATTCATTCTGCGAGTGGGCCCAGAGATCTTTGGGAAATGTAGTTTTCTTCCTTCATTCATAGAAATACACAAAAAGTTCAGTCCCACAACAGTGCATGAGTTTTCAATGAGGTCAGTGATGGTCATGAGCTGTTCTGTTTACCATCTCCTTCATATCTGCTGTAATCGCTGCAAATGCACAAACACTGCATAAGGCATGTGAATGAAGCAATACATAGGCCAGCTGTATACGCAGTATTGACTCCAGCTATGTACATAGGACCATGAGTATACGTTTAAGGCCTGGGAGACCCTTCGATTCTGCTGAGTGTTCGGCTAGCTAAACTAGCTTAGCTGAGTAATGTTTGGTATAGATGTGCACATAGACAGCAAGTAGTGCGTCCCATGGCCATTAGAAATGCTTTTATAAAGAGAGTGAACATTCAATGATGAGGATGTTAAAAGTTACAGTCTGTGATATTAGAAGAAAGGGGCACTCCTTATTTCTACATCCTACATTTCCCATAATGCATTTGGATTCCATCGGGACTTCTCAGGGAATATATCCAAACAGCTTTCATAATTTCAGTGGTTGTCTCAAATGGAATTAACCCTCACATACCGTTCGGGGTCAAATTTGACCCGTCTTGACTTTTAACAGCAGTAAAAATACCCGAAACATCATTTTTTAAGCCTGAAACTTGACGACTTTTCCTGAAATAACCCAAAATACATGAAATTAATTTTAAAATATTCATGTGTATTTTTGTTTATTTTATACAAATTTTTCCCCTCTAAGGCTGTTATGGGTCAAATTTGACCTATATCTATATTTAGATGGATTTTAGATCTAGCAGTGTGGGACAAGTGACAAACAGTAACAACCGTGTTCAATATAAGGTTTGTTGTTCAAAAAGATATATTCAAATCAACATGAAACTATCATTACCTTGACAGAAACACACACACGCACACAGACATACAGTCACACAGACACACCTAGACAGAGGTCAAAATGACCTAACTAGTCAAGAGAACTTTCTGTGACAGAAAGCTGCTCTTTGAATTCTTTGAAGGAGCAATTTTGACCCGGAACATACTGTGAGGGTACAGGATTTGAACGGTATGTGAGGGTTAAACTGTGCGTAAAATGTTGAAATGCCTCTTTAAAAATATGCTCCCAACAAACGGATCATTCAAGCCCTTATATTTAAAATACAAAACAACCAAGTGTTCTTTGAGTCTTATTTCCCCCTGATTTGCATCAACCTTCATTATTCAACTCATGCCATTAGTCTTTGCATCGAGTTTCACATGCATCATGTTTTCCTCCCTGATCCAGACATCCTGTTGTCAGAGTTACACATCAATGGTTTTTCAGCCGCCCTTGGCTTGACAGAAACAAAGAGCAGCTGTCTTTGTGTGACTCTAATGATCCAGCAACATGTCCAAACAAGCTTGTCTTTGCAAGGGTGCAATCAAAGTTGGAAGATTTAAGTGCACATGATGATTTTCTAAAAACCTTATAGAAAATACACACTCAAAACACGTGCATCTCTTTGTTCTCCAGTGAGGTTATTTATGACAAGAGAGCAAACAAAGGAGAACCGGGGAGTCTTTGTCAGCAGAAACCTTATGTGATCTGTTTAGAAACGAGCACAATTCAACAGGAACTATGACCTCCATCGTGCATCCTTTTTCAAACCAAAGCAGTTCCAGGATTGAACGCCTGCCTCTCTACCATAACCTCCCAGTGCCAAAAATAGACATCCCTGGTGTACTGGCTGTGCTTTCTACACACACACATACACACACAGCTGAAGCGGGAGATTGGTTTTGAGGATCAGACGAATACGGGAGATACTCAGTCGATGCTAATGTGAAGGTGAAGAGAAGGAAAACAAAGGAAAGAATTAGGCCAAAAAAAAAGAGAGACCTGTTTCTATATGTAGAAATCAGGTCATCATCTGCATGGGAGACAAAGATGCCCCACATATATGTCGTACTGACACAGTTACTAAATGATCTGTCAGACTAAGTAAGAACAAGACTGATTGGTTAATTCTTGCCTTACACCCTTTGTTTCTACAAATGCTCTACATGCTATCGTGTTTTATAGCTCTAAATAGCTCCTTTGTAACACATTCAGCTGTAATATCCTCCCATAGCTGTCCTCGTTCATGCATGCATGGCTCAACCTTAAGCACATTCCCGCTAACGTTGAATAAAAGTGGACCTTGAACCACTTCTAGAGTCAAATCTAATTTATTTCTAAAAACATTACAGCCAATAAATCGTTCCTTAAATCCTTCTACGCACAGCTGTCTAGTTGTGTTGTGGTTACAGTGCTCTGCTGAATACATTCTGTATTTTAGTGAAAGCGGATTTAGGATGGAGAGATGAGCGGTTGCTAGGTGACTGGATAAAAAGAGGCCACAGGTGGAATCATCCCATCACCAACTCATCTCCTTCTCTTCCTTCGCTTTGTCTTGTAAATGCTGCCTGAAACACGGTTGTTGTAGCAGAGAAGAAAAGGCACATTTTCTGCATATGCCAACAAAATTCAACACTTTGTGCACTTTATCTTTTTTTTTCTCACGCTGCCTGTTTTACTGCACTGTTGGTTTTATGTAACAGTGCAGCAATCCCTACATAGCCTCACCTCTGATTCTCCCTCACTGCCCTTCACTTCTCTTTCAGCAGTGCAGTCTTCTCTCTTTATCTCTTTCCCCCTCTTTTCTCGACTCCCCCTCTCCTGAGAAGAAGTTATGCATTACATAATCCTCGTTGCTGCATAAGTTTAGAGGTGTACAGCACAGCCGGTCTGAACCTCTCCTCCCACATCACCTGAAAAATGACTCATCCACACTCCATCATATCTATATCAACGAACAATCTCTTTCACGCCACCCTGCAAGCGGCAAAGTAGTTCTGAGAGCGATGAAGACAAAATGACATCCGGTACGCGTCGCACTGGTACTAGTTTGATTGGCTCTCTAGCAGGAGAGTTTCCTTGGAAATGCACACAACAGGAAGCCCCTTACTAGCATTTGTGATAATAGTAGGCACTCTAAAGACCTGGAGGACCAGCCTCAGGATACAAGAGCAGAAAGGTGGTAACTTTAGAGCAGCTGTGTTGAGATAAGAAGTCTATCTTCCAACTGGCGCGAAGCACATTTCTACAGCGAGCGTCTTCTTTGTTGTCTTATTTGAGTTTTACGGGCCAGGGGAGGCACGTGCGAAGTCCCAGCATGGAGGAGAACACAATTGTAGGTCGATGTTTCTTGAACTTGAGGCCTTTCTTCAGCCGTTGTCCGTTTTCCGCCACGTACAGCTCCCCCTGCTGGGCCGCTGTGGTAATCCGTGACACCAACTCCCCGTGAACCACCACCTCCTGCTCCGAGCGCACAAACACCTCCCTGAGCTCCTCCAGTCGCCGCTCCATCTCTCTGATGACACGTTGGCGCTCCTCGACCTCCAGGAGGCGCCGTCGAGCTGCCTCAAACTCCATGCTGGAGCTCGGGGTGACCAGTTTGGAGGAGGGGGCCGTAGCGGAGGTGGAGTGGGGCTCTGAACCTGCTAGCAGCGCCCCTGTCACCCTCCGAAAGTCTCCCATGGAAATGGAGCGCCGGGTGGCTGGAGAAGCCAGAGCCAGGAGGGCTGAGGCTGATGTAGAAGGAGGCATGGCTAACGGAGGGAGAGGTGGAGAGGACGATGATGGAGAAGGTGAGTCCGGGGGTTGGATTTCAGGATGTGGATCTTTGTTTTTAATAGCAGCAGCCATGTCCTCGGTTGTTTCCTCATCATGAATGTCTCTGTTTCTTTGTCGTCGCTTCATCTCAGCTGAACAACTCTTCTTCTTCTACTGCTGATTTCCTGGTTGTCAATGATGTTTCCTTCCTGTGTTGTAGCAGAGAGTAGCAGAGATCAGAGAGCAGAGACGTGCAGTGATCCAGCCCGGGAGCCGCTCCATTCATTAATAACAGATCTGAAGCAGGCGGGTGCTGTCTCTGCATCTGAGTGGTTGTGCTGGGGAGGAGCCTCCTGGCAGCTCATTGGCTGCACGTCAGCTGATGATAGGGCAGTTTGCCTCGATGCTGCTGATGCTGGCAGGATGTCGTGTCCTCTGCCTGCCTGTTTTCTGATCTGTAGTCGTCATCATCTGGGGCTCACTCGAGCAAAGCAGAGCGAGGCAGGTTATGCAGAGGAGGCAGGTTTTTCTCCTCTTTTTCTCCTTCTTACCTCTCCTAAGCCTCTCTGCTGCCACTCCTCCTACCAGACTATTCCCAAATATTCATCTATCTCCTTCTCTCTTTCTCGAACAGTTGCCCTTAGCAACACTGTCTCTGCATCAGATGGAACAAGCAGGAGCGAGGGCTTCAGCTCCTATGTCTCTCTCTCTCTCTCTCTCTCTCTCTCTCTCTCTCTCTCTCTCCTCTCTATCACCTTGCTGCTCAGCATTATCAGCCTTTGCTCGTACTCATTTTACAAACATTCCCTCCCTCTTTTGACCTATTTCACAGCTTTTAACCTTTCTGAATATAAATAGACACCCATCATGCTGTATGCAAACAAAAACATGTATATAAACAGCACTATTCATTTATATTCATTTTCCCAAGTAACAGAAAGTGCAGAAAATAGTGCACAGACAAATACTGGACGGCACTGAAACAGTCTGCATTGAGGATGGACAGTTGCTAAGAAACGGCTTTTGGAAGCAGACTCTCTGGCTTGAGAGGACAAAAGCATTATTCAGACATTGTGTTTGATTGACATGATGTACCCAAAGCAATAGAAAAGAAATCATAAAAGGTTTATAAAAAGCAAATACCACCACTGTGTGTAATCCTCTCTGTGCTCTGTCATCCTGTGACTTTAAATCCATATTTCAGTTAATCATAACAGATACTGCCGTGGACCTTAAATTCAATCTCATTTTGCTGAACTGAAGTTAAAAAAAAAACCAAAACTCCACAGTCCGTTGGTGTTTGGTGTGTGTTGTGATAATCCTGAAGATTAATACCCAAAATACTAATCTGTAACCTGTTTTTAAGCCTTACAAAGGTGGAAATTCGCACCTGTCTAAGGGTGTTAAATTCTATTTATACTGCTGCATTTTAAGATTAAAAACTTGAGCCTTAAGCGTGTATTTCAGAGCCGGATGGTTGCACTAAGCTTGATGAATGTCGGCATGACTGAAATACAAGTGTGCAGTTTCATTGTCCTGATATAATACCTTGAATTTTTCTTCTCTCTCCACTTCCTGTAATTTCTGCTCCATTAAGAGCTATGTTTACCCCCACGGTCTAGACAGATATTGATTGGTTCTGCAGCATTGTTGCCAGGCTGACATGGTATGATAAGTATAAAGTAAGACACAGGATGTGCTCTCTTTCTCAGGGAGAAAGAGAGACGTTCATATATGATTGTAGATAGTCATGCTTGTGCATTTTGAGCTGTTGGTGATAACCTCCTTCAACTTGACAGAGACGCTTAAAACAAAGACGCTTTTAGCAGGTGAAAGGTGTGTGTGTGTGTGTGTGTGTGTGTGTCCATTTGCTTGCATATTTGAGTGAACACTTAGGCCTTTGCTGGCAGTGCATTAGCTGCAGCACTGGATGTTCTTGCCCTGCTTTCAGCTTTGCTGGCCTCCTGATCTCTGGAGAGAACAGACAGAGGGAACGGAAGAGGAACATAAAGACAGAGGAGCAAAATGGAAACTGGAACGTTGTGTTGCATGAGCACTTTAAAAGTTAAGAATCAAAACAGCCAGGCTGCTTCAAACAGATGTGAAACCTAAAGAGGGTACAAAGACGATTCGTACGATACATATTATAGTTTTATAATATCCTTTGTCATTTGAACGAGGGTTATGGTGTAAAGCCCTCTGATGCTGACTTGCATTTGTTGTACAATTCCCCCAAGTTTAATACAGTTGTGCAATATTAACCCCGCAGCTTGGGTCAGTTAAGATTTAGGAGATCAGAAAAGATGCTACAGTCTTTTTTTTTTTTTTACCATGATGCCCATTTTTGGAAGATTTAAATTGATTACACAACATCCCGCTGTTAGAAACCACTCGCTCTAAACTAATCCCACATGCTGCTTGCAGAGCTGCACACAGATTGCCATCATCACTGGCAAACATCTTGAGCAGCATTTGCACAGCCTGAAACACAAGGACGCCTGAACCAAAGAGAAAATTCTGTTCTCTTACACAAAGACTCCAACATGGGGGAACTCCATGCAAACAGTCTTTGTACAAAAACGCTGAAACCACTGACACACACATGAGAAGCTGATCTCTATCTCTCCACTTTGAAGGCCCTTCAAGTGAATAATCTATTCAAATACAAGTGTCTCTACCCCTCGAGCACACTTCTCTTGTTCTCCTCTCCTCTCTGTTTTTAGTGAAAAATGTGATAAAAGCCTGCTCTCAATCTCTCTTACCCCCTCATCACAGCTCCAGATTACTTTAATCCGGGCAGTTTGTGTGTATTTGGTATGTGTGCAAGTAGAGGGGTGGGCACATCTGTGTGCCTGTACCTCATCCCATCTGCTCAAAACTGCTTATTTAGTCTTACCCTCTGCTGTTTGTCCTCAGCGTAATACCACATAATTTCTGCCAACTGGGGACCTGGAGGTGTGCACGTTTCTGAGACAATGTTCTGCAGTCTGTTGCTTGCTTGAGCTGGAATTTTACTAACCCATTCACTCATCTCTTATTTGAATAGCTAACAGCTACAGGCAGTCTGTAGGACCGTAGAAGAAATGTTCAACAGGCTGCTGAGAAAAAAACACTTACTATATGTGTGTCCCAAATCGCATACTTCCATACTAAATACTTAAAATTTTGAGTATACTCAACTCAAAACTGCAAAAACTGAGTATTCAAAAGTACCCGGATTAGATATGAGTGTGAGTGGTTGTCTGTCTCTCTATGTGGCTCTGCAATTGACTGGCGAGTGATTCAGAGTGTACCCCGCCTCTCACCCGATGAAAGCTGGTATAGGCTCCAGCCCACCCGCAACCCCGAAAGGGATAAGCAGAACAGAAGATGAATGAATGAATGAGATTTTCATGTGCCGTTTTTTCATGGAAGCAACAAGAATTTTTTTTAAAGAATTTTAGATAAGAAACAACAAAAAGTCATGTCAATTTTTGAAAGATTTTCAATTTAAATTCTATGGGAGTTGTCCATGAAAACAGACCATTTTTTAAAACTTTTTTTTAAAATATAGGAAATAGAAAAAATCTGTGAAATTTCGAGATTCTCAAATTTAGTATGAGGTGTGTTTTGGACACTATCAGTGGTTTTGTTTCACCCACTCAACTTCTTTCTTGTTTTTCCTACTCCTGACGTTAGAACTATATGGGAACACTGAGGAAAGCTGCTGGGGGCTGATTATTTTTCAGTAACCTTCCTGAATTGTGCAGCTTTGTAAACATTACATGTACAGTACCTTTTGATATATCACAAGCATTGGGTGACTGAATGACAGGTTTGCAATCACATTTTCCCACTTGCGTGAATTTTGGAGGATGTGATTTATGCAGAAGAGGATGCATTATGTATGTAAATGCATGCAGTGAATTATGGGGGTACCGTTTTGTTACCATGACAATGATTGATTAGAATGAAGACATGCTGCAGAGGGAGCAAGACTGAGATGGAGGGTAAATGAGGTTTTTGTGCTTGCTTGTGCACTTAACAGATCCACAGGAGGAGCTACACAGCACAGAAAAATCACACCAAAGAAACCTTTAAATCAAGGGGACATCCTGCAAAGTATACGGCTTTTGGCAGGGTCCCCAGATCAGTCTGTCAGACACCATACACCTCCACAGTTTTTTGAAACTCAAGGAAATGTCTGTTTAGATTTAAGCAGAGCTACCTTCAGCTGACAGCTGCAGTAAACTGAGGAGAAAAACTGCACGATTGTCTTCTACTCATCCGCAGCAGACAGAGGATGGTGATGATGCTGGTTTTCCACTGTTCTGTAATCAATATAATTTTACTGCTGCAGGCTGAGTCAGTCTGTCTAAACATGAGTGTGTGTGTGAGCGTGTTGCAGTGTGAGCTACCTTAACAAAGACGTCAGAGTACTTCAGAGAAACCAAACCTCAACAGGGAATACATGAGAGTCTGTCTATGATTGAAATTCCTGTGACATGCTTGTGTATGGTCAGAATAGCTGTCCATTGTCATCATGTCTGTAAAATTCAGACTATGCAGGGGAAACAGCAACCATGCACACAGCCAGAGCAGCGCTCACTGTGTGACTGTTATATAAGCGAGTGCTGCTTCGCATACAGAAGCAGGAAACATCAGGTAGAAGTGTGTGGTGGTACCATGAGTTGACAGTGAAAAGAAAAGAACGTCCTGAAATGCATGCTGGACAGAGGCACGAAGAGGAAGAGGAGGAGGAGGAGGAGGAGGATGAAGAGAGAGGATATGATGGTAGTTTAAGAGCTTACCGGCAAGAAGAAGCAGATGGAGAGGAGTTGGAGCAGAAACTCATTTGCATGCACAAACTGTAAGGTGACAACATGGACTGAACTTAGATCAAATATGGCAGACATTGTGAGATAGTTACTCAAAGTCATTATATATAAAGAAAGACAATTCACTTAAAAAAAATGTATTCTAGTATACTGCAAAGCTTGTAACACAGAATTTAAAATTAGAGCAGCAGTTTCTTTGAGTTACACAGGACAAGCATCTTACTAGATGGATAGGATTGTATTTTGATTGAGCATTAAAAAAAACAAGCTTGCACTCTTACTCCCTCTAGTGACAAGAGGTAGAAATACACAAAGAACACATGAAAATGAACAGAAAGGTTCAAAGTGGAGAAACATTGATTTAACATTGATACAGCGACTGTCTCCTGAATCCAGTTTTGCTGGATACCAGCTGATTCACCTTGTGAGTAAAAAGTCACATCTGTGTTTGGAACTTAAGAGGCAATTTCAGATTAAAGCTTTCTGGGATAGCCCATGCTTTGACTCATACTGAAAAATGAATACATGCAATAGTAGATTTCTGAATCGGAATCAGATTTCTGCCCATCTCTTAAATATTTGGTCACATGATCAATTTCTTTTACCATTTCCAAGCAACAGGGGGGTGACTCAACTTACCCCACTCTCCCCTATGTCAAACGTTGATGTTCGAGTGAAGTTAAAGCCAAGATCTGACTAACAGTTGAAGCATATAAGTGCAGATACTGTTCCAGCATGTTAAAAAGTGTATTCTTTGGACCAACCTGAACTATGTTTTGATTTCACTTCATGTTTACAGCAAGAGACTGATGTTTTTAAAGATTTTCAGTCAAAGAATTAAGATGGACGAACTGCGAATACTGGCTGATCGCAAATAGGTCACATATCCCGCCTCCTTTGTGTTATATCAGCAGATGGAGCAAGTGCAGGGTGACCAGTGTGTGTGTGTGTGTGTGTGTGTGTTTTTTTTTGTGAGTTTCACAAGTAGTGTGAGGCATAATGTTGGCAACAAGGATGTTGACAGGTTGGTAAGCCCTGTGAGTCCTTGACTCACAGCACTGTGCATGTGCTGATTATTTGACATCTGACTCATGCAATAGTCACGGCCTTCTCTTACTTTCGTTACAGCCATTAGATAAAAGATGAAAAACTAGAGTCAATCAAAAGCAAAGTGAACTCTAGTAACCCCCTTAACTACAAAAACAACATGAAACAGTTTGTCATAGCAACTGAATTTTTAATATTTGTAAGATATAAAAATCTTCATCTTTATCATACAATAACATCTTACCATAAATTTAGTCAAAAGAGGGAGTTTTGCCACCAAACAAGAATTATAACATCACTTTGATCCCTTTTGAGGTAAGACAGCTGGTTCATTGATTCTTTGGCCACACAGGTCTTTCCTTTGACACATATACAGACGTTTTTTCCTCATGTTTAATCCATGTAAGACATTCTGCCTCACCTCTAGGTCCAGGCACTGAGCTATAAAACAGGACTTCCCCTATGAAGCCAGTCAATGGAAATTCAAAAAAAAATGAATGCAAGATTTAACTGAGACTGTTTCGTCAGGTTAAAGGCATATCTTTTATGATCTGTCAGGGTTTTCAAAGGGGCTTGGGTGGCTTTTTTGGAGTGCTCAAATGAAGAAAAAAAACCACCCTTTCTGCCCTTTTCTATTTTAAAGAAGAAGGAGAGACCTGTGGGGCATTGAGTTCACAGATTGTGATGTGCTCAGCGTATCTTTAACTACTTTTAATCACCACGTTCTTTGGACAAAAAGAAAAGAAAAACAGTCAACAACAAAAGCAGTCAACACAGGAAACAGCATTCAATATGCATTATCAAAGAAACACAGTGGAAAAACAGGAAAACAAAGCAAATATAGATTTTTTTTAACATGCCACATTGTTCCTTTGGGCAAGTTTTCTTTCACAGAAAGCCACCTAATGTTACTAGTTTGTGTAGTAATAAAAATAAGAGACATCTCAAATGGTTGCCAGCGAGTTGACCAAGCAGAGAAGAGGGAGAGAAACGAGGAAGCCACATGACATCATCACATCACCGGACCATGCACGTGACCCTGCAGCGTCCAGCAAGACACTACACACACTCTGCAAGTCATGCAACTAACACACACCACACATACACTCTCTCTGTAAAACAAAAACAAGCATAGATTGACATTAACGAAACATCAGCATTGACATTTCCCAGAATCCACTTATTCTGGCTGTACCAAGCCAAAAGAGGCATTTATGGCAGAAATGTTTCATATTCATATTAATTATGCTCTTTCAAAAACATTTAAAAGCAGTTGGACAGTACTCTGGTTACGTGCTGTCGGCACATTTTGATTTGGCAGCACGACCGGAAATATAAAGCTCATCAACTTTACAAAAAGAAGACAAAATACAACAAAACAGGCAGACAGACAGGCGTGCAGCAAGCTGAGTGACAACCGATTACAGCAGTGATGAGGAGAGAAAAACTGTCGTCACAATCCAAAACATGGCTGCATTGACTCTGAGGCAGGTCATTCGCACACACACTTTCTCACGCCCACACACACACACACACACACCCACCCACACACACACACACACACACACACACACACTTACACATCTGCCAAAACCTGCACCTTATTTTGCCCTAATTGCCCCCATCTATTTTCAGAGTATTTTTCTGCTAGTCTAAAGACCGGCCAATGAGGAGGATGATACAGGAGCAAGAAGGGGGCGAGTGATGTCACAAGATGGGGGCAGGACCACAGTCAGTGTTCCTTGGCTGGTAGAGGGGGGGTGGATGCTGAGTCCCCGATGCAAGCTGACTGGGCGGTTGGAGCCAGGAGGTGCAATTCTTGTTAGCCTCCAGCGAGCTGATTGGCTGTTTTTTTTAATTTTTTTTTTGAAGAGTTTCTACAGGGAAGTGGAGGGAAGCTTCTTCACCCGCCTTTGGGCCAGGAAGGAGCTCTCAATAGGCTTGAGTTCTGGAGTTGGTTGAGACTTTTTCAGAGCGGAGTAGGTGGCTGCCATTGCACCCTGAACAACAACAAAAAAAAGCAGTATGGTGATTGTAGTCCAAATAAACAGTTTAACAGTTATTTCGCAGTATTCAACAGTTTTATGTGATGATCTGTGTATCAAAAACTATCTCAACACAAAGCTCTGTTACCTTGACCAGTTTGGGGTCATGGTGTGGAAGCTGGCTGTTGGGGAGTTTGTCTCTTTGGACGATCCAGGGATGTTTGAGTACCTGCCTAGCCGTCAGTCTCTGATGAGGGTCCACATGAAGCATCTTGGACACAAGATCCTGCAACAATCACACATTTGGTGAAAAACTGTAAAACTGATGTCTGGACAGAAAACAAAACTGACAGATACAAACAACATAAAATCGGATTTTCAGCTCCACCTTGGCAGCGTCAGACACAGTGTCCCAGTTCCCTCCAGTCAGACTGAAGTGACCGTTGCCTATCCTGTTCAGGATCTCATTAGGGGTGTCCTCAGGTCCATTAGCAAATGGAGTAAAACTGGAGACAAGAGAAAAAAAAGAGAGATGACAGAGTGAGCGAGCGAGTAGGGCAATGAGAGAAAACAGGTCTGCTGAGTCACAGAGGTTCAAGTGTTATTTACCCGGCCAGCATTGTGTATAGCAGGACTCCAAGACTCCAAATGTCACATCCTTCATCATAGCCTTGACGCTTCAACACCTAAAAAAACAGATGATAAAAACACAGATTTCACCAATTACTTTAATTTCAATGAATTCAAAAGTTTTAGTTTGGCTCATTTAAATAACATCTTCACAGCCTCTGTAAACCCTTCTGTTTACCTCAGGAGCTACAAAGTTAGCAGTGTAGCACGGGGTCATCAGCAAGCCGTTGTTGGCTCGCAGTTGTTTAGCGAAGCCAAAGTCGCAGATCCTGATGGACTCCGGATTACCTGACTCGTCGACGTAGAGGATGTTACTGGGTTTCAGGTCTCTGTGAACCACCTGGAGGATGAAAGGAGATAATCACGAGGACAGAGACAGTGAGTACGTTTTAAGATAAGATTTGAATTGCAGGTTACTGACATAGACTGTATATACTATGGACAACTTGGTTCCGCCTTCCGCTAGTATACGGATTTGAATCCAAAAAGCTCTTGGTGACTGCGTTTTTTCTGAAACCAACATTGTGCAGTAGCGTTGTACACATTTGGCGGGAGAGTCACAGAGAGTCGCAGTGATGACCCACGGGTGAGCTATGCAATCCCTGAACGCCCATAGGTTGTATCAAGTGTCAATCATAGAAAACACGAACCCCCTAATAACTTTTAAAAATGGAGCTTCACAGAAAAAAGAGGACTGGAGCACAAACCAGTCTTACAATAACAACATGTCAACATCACAAACAAGGGGGAAAAAAATATATGTTCTGTGTAATTAATTTCTAAAGTTTGTCCACAGCTCAATAAACTTTGCTGAAGAAGGCGGGATTTATGACCAATACTGCAGTCCATCACCAGAGGGTGCTGTTCTCAGAGTGGCTTCACCCAGTGAGGAGGCAGACTCTGTCCGTTCGATATACAGTCTATGGTCATTGATTATTTAAGAGGCGAGACGAGGGACCCTGAAAGGTTTTGAGTGTTTAATAGCATCCTCACCCCCTGCGAGTGCAGGTACTCCACCGTCTTGGTGATGGTGTGAAGCACAGCGCTGGCCTCTCTCTCTGAGAAGAACTTCTGCTTGAGGATCCGATCCAGCAGCTCTCCTCCGCGCATCAGCTCTGTCACTAGGAACACCTGCTTACTGTTGTCATACACCTGACACACAAACACACATAGTTAAATCAGCAGCTGTTTACACCCACAGTCCAAAGTAAGCATGTTTTTTTTTTTTAACTCACATCCTTCAGGGTGATGATGTTCGGGTGCTGTCCATATCGAAGAAGGATCTCAATCTCCTCAGAGGGGTCTGTGCTGGTCTTGTCAATCATCTGTCAGTCAGAGAAACAAAAGCACTTTGTAAAGCTCAAATTATTGAATCCACATTTGTGCTTCAGTTTCTTTCTGCTCACAGCTCTCCTGAGATGGTACGAGCTAAAATTACAACCACATGACCTCAATTGTTGCCGTATCTTTTAATCATACCTTGACAGCGTATTCTGTGTTGGTGGTTTTGTGAATACATCGTTTACAGACAGAGAAAGAACCCATGCCGATGTCCTCCTTCAGTACGTATCCGTCACTGAACAGCAAGTTCTTTCCGTGTAGTTGCTGCAGAGAGGGTTGATATGGAAATGATGACTCACAGTTTGAAAGAACAATGGTAGTAGTGAAGATGATGGATGACGCCAGGGGTCAGCCGGAAATTAAATCTAAGTTTAGAAACACTTTTGTCCCCCTTTACTTGTATTACGTGATGGTTTCTGAGGCCGAACATCGAAACTACAACAGACAAAAATCATCACAGTGAATCATCTTATTAATCTGACCTGGACCACTGGGTGTGGAGGAGGCTGCACCGGCTCCACTGAACCTTCCTCATCCAACAGCGTTGATGCAATAAAGCTAAAACCTCTGAAGAGCTGGTGAGCTCCGGCACTGGGGGGTACACCAGGGGAGTCTGGGAAATAAAAATACAATTCCAGTCATGTAAAAAAAAAGAGGAACATTTCTCCTACGTAATGCTGAAGATGGAAAGATTATATATATTTTTTATAAGCACAGTTATCATAAAAAGATATTGCATCTTTATGGTGTTGTGCATTGATTTATTTATAAGCTGAGAGAGGAAAACAAGGGAACTGTGACAGACTGATTTAACAGGTGGACAATAAACTTGATTTAAGACCTTTAGGAGTGCGGGAGGTGAACTCGGAGTCAAAGTAAAAGGTGTCATCTGGACGTGCCACTGCTGGTCTGAATGGAGGCTTTACTTCTCTTCTGAAGAGTTTCTAAAAAGGTACGAAGCAGGATTTTAAACAAGCTGTAGCCAAAGAGTTTACTCACCAAATAATAACATAATGATAATAAAAAAGAGTTGAAAAATCTTTTAATGACAGACACTCACATTCCAGTCTATGGTGGAGAAGAAACCATACCGTTTGATCTCCTCTGCACCATCAGCTCCAGATCCTGTAAAAAAAAAACATCAAGAGAAGAGGTTTTACTCTCAGCTAAGACTCGACTCTTGCAAGATATACAGCTGAAAGTGCTGCCAGAATAAAAAAAGCTAAAGAAAAAAAAAGATGCCAGACATAAGAACATCATTAAAACAAAGACAAAAACTTAAGAGTCAAAAGAAGAACTCCAAGAACTCCAGACAGCTTTCCATTAAGATATCCAGAGGCAGCAGATTTCGAAGTTTGGGGCCTAAAAACACAGTCAATAATCTTCCCCTTCTTCTAAATAACAACAACAACAACAAAAAAAAGAAAAGGTTATGTTGCCATTTCTAAATATCATGCTCCTGAGGTGATACCAACCCAGTCTATTGATGGGGTTTCTCTTGAACAGGGCCCTGAGCAGAGACTGGGCCTCTGCACTCAAGAACTGAGGCATCCCCAGCCGCGCCCTGCAGGAAGAAAGAGAGACACCTGTAAGTATAGATTAAGTACTGGATCCTATTATCAAAAACTGTATTTAACAAAAGGATGCTAATTCTGCTTGTGCTTAAGTCAAACAAATCCTCACTTCAGAATCAGGTTCATGGTTTCTTTGCGGTCCTTCCCTTGAAACGGCAGCGATCCGGTCAACATCTCAAACTGGAAAACATGAAGCACAGCTGTGATGTTTGTCTGCATAAGATGAATATATGATTTTTATTCACACTTCACTAAATGAGCTTTATTTTTCTGCTTACCATTAGTACTCCAAATGACCACCAGTCGGCGCTGTGGGTGTGTCCCTGTCTGTTCACCACTTCTGGTGCCATGTACTCCACAGTGCCACAGAAGGAATACGCTTTCTTCTCATGATCGATGGCCTCTTTACACAAGCCAAAATCTGGAGGATGCAGAAGATACAACTTTTTGTTTGATATTCATGAAAAAACAAATCTTTCATCATCTATTTACAGCACTTTTTAAGTTGTCTTCATTTTTAGGGGGGATTTAATCTAAAAAAAAGATTATTAACCGTATGTAATCTTCCCTGAAAAAGCTGCAGAGTTTAATCCATGTCGGCATTTACCACCTTCATGCTTCATCAGTGTTAGCTGTAATATTACCTCTCTGTAATCTCAGAGTCACCTCTGAGCCAGTGATGGGGTGGACCCCGCAGGGGGGTAAACAAATGTGATTACAGAGATTGACAAAGAGATAAAGTGTAATAATTAACTTGAAGAGCATGTGCTGGCGTGTATGTAGATATCTGGAGCCAGTGAGATAAGGCTGCTTCCCCAGCGTGAGTAATGAAGGTCAATGAGGTAGAGAGGAGGGAAGTGTGTGTGTGTGTGTGTGTGTGTGTGTCAGAGATAAAGTAAGAAAAGAGGAAGCAGCAGACTCACCTGTAAGTTTGATATGTCCCTCCTCATCCAGGAGAATACTAAAAAACATCATCAGATATCAGTACATGAATGTTTTAGAGACGAGAACATTTAAATAAATAAAGACATCAAACTCCTATTTTTGGCTCTGCTGTAGTCTGAGCTATCTTTTAAATATGTCAAAGATACTCTTAATGTTTCCTAAACTGGGTTTGTTGACCACAAGCATGGGAAACAGCTGAGGCATGGGCTGCAGTCAGGCATATTAGACTCCATATTAAAAGGGAGAGTAGTAAGACTACACGCTGAAACTTAATAGCGCAGGGTTAACACAGAGCATTAAAAAGATAAGCAAACACTTAATGAGGCAGGGTTGCATAAAAGATAACTGTGGCAATGTTGTATGGGTAGTGTAGTTTTTTAAAGAGGTTCTGCTTGTTGCTGTGGTTGGCAGAGGGAATTGACATGGAGGAGGGTGGTTCGGGATGCCAGAGCTTATTGGCCTGATTTAGTGAGGTGCCCACTTGATAACCCTGGTGGTGTGCTGGCTCTCCCATCTGTTCCTATCCATCTCAGGTTGTGAGAGGCATATGTGGTAGGCTACATATCTTAATCTCAATCCCTCAAAATAAAAGCCTAAAGCCTAAATCTAAATGCTTTTCTGCTCAGGGACATATGAATTAAAATAGATCAACTTTAATTTCTCTAGAGTGTTTCTTTGGTTCTTACTTTTCAGGTTTGAGGTCTCTGTAGATAATGCCCAGGCCGTGGAGGTGGTCCAGTCCCAGTGCCAGCTCAGCTAGATAAAACTTGACATCCTCCTCTGTGAACATCACCTAAGAGGAACCAGACAGGAGAAGAAACTTTGAGGGGGGGAAAAAAAACTTGAAAAGGGACTTAAAAAATAATGATACAAATAAACAGGACAACAAAAATCTAAGGAATGACCCTCACCTCTTTGGAGAGTCTAGTAAAGAGATCTCCTCCTCTGAGAAAGTCCAAGATCAAGTACAATTTGCCCTCAGTTTGGAATGCTGCAAATACATGCGTGACTATTAGACAAGCTTTGCCAATGTCTCTGCCCACTCTATCTAGAGAAGTTCGGGGGGTTTGAGAAGTTAAGTAAGGGAGTGCTTGCTCACCATAGTGCAGTTTGACAACAAACGGGTGGTTTACATCTGCCAGGATGTCTCGCTCCATCTTGGTCCTCACGCGATCTCTCACTGTGGGGTAATTAAGCACAATTCAGTATATCTTCTTGAAGTACAGGGGATATCTTGTTAAAGGATTAAAATATGTTATAAAGTGACTGAGTGCTAGCACGCATGTTGATATGGATGAACTGTGAACAAACTCAGTGCATGCAGGTTTCTAAACCCTCAAGTATGAACAGAAAGGGAAAGAAAGTGTACACCTGCACTGTTTGAACCAACCACATCATATATGGGAGAATCACACTGTACAGGCTGTTCATTTAAAAAAGTTGCCTGCACACGTGAAAAAAAAACAAAAACAAAAAAAACAACAACCTGTAAGTGGTGGGCTTACACGATTCCACTATGAGGGGAAAGTATACGCCCTCTTACATGAAACTGAGAGCATCTGCCACATGAAGGTAAACAATTCAATCACCACAAAAGCCAAAATGGAAGATCTTTGAAATGATTTTAGACTTTGTGCTGATGTTCACGTACCTTTAAGTGTGGCCTTCTTGAGCACCTTCATGGCGTAGAGCTGGTTCGCATCAGGAGCGGTCACCTTTCGCACCAGGAACACCTGTAATGTAAAGAACAAGAACAAAACTCATGTATGTCGAGTTCAAGAGAAGTAAAGGAGTGAAGGGGGAGGTTATGAGAATTTTCGTTACCTTGCCAAACGATCCCTGTCCCAAAACTTTGAGCAGCTCGAATTGAGAAGCGTCAGCCTTCTCCGAGCCCTCCTTGACCACATGGGTGATGTTGATTTCCTTGATGTCTCCATCGTCCTGAGGAGCGGAAAACAAAGGTGGACGGTTTAATAAAGCTGTCAGTTCAAAATAAGAAATGTCTTCAACAATGAGATAGTGAATGTGTGTCAGAGACTGTTTTCTGTAGATAAGAAGAAGTCTTTTATTGAAGTGTCTCCTGCATAAATAGCACTCTCGATATAAAACGCTCAAGAAAAAGGAAGCACAGTATAAAGTGAGGTGTGTGTGTGTGTGTGTGTGTGTGAGAGAGAGAGAGTGAGTTATTGCACTATTGCTTTTTGTCAGTGAGCGTTTACAGAAGTATCAGGAACACTGTCACTACAAGAGAGTAAAACATCCCTTTAAACCGAGCAACTTAACAGTCCTCCTGTGGTTCAGTTCTGTGTTTTTGGACACAGGTTGTGAAACCACAAAGGACTGTAAAGAGAAGCTCACTGGGGTTTTCACAGGGTGGAGCACCAACACAGCTGACAGCTCCTCCACACCAGCGCGCTAGCGTCAACCTCAACCAACAACACCCAACAGAAAAGCAACAAAGCATCAACAAGCAAGCATCAAGTATGACAACCTCTTTTGAGATGCTGTTTTTTTTTTAACTTCTCTGTACCACAGGTTCCCTTGAGTTTCACGCCCCAGGCCACAGATGAAGTATGGTACTCTGATAGCCTGTGGGGTGAATCTAAAATTCCTACAGTGTGGTGTTGAGGGAACTTTTACTTCTCAGAGATTCACAACTACATAAAAACAGTTAAACTCTTGAATTTGGGGCAGTTAAGTAGGACACCTTTTTTTTTTTTTAAGTCAATTATACAACAGGATATGACATTTATTTGCATCAAGCTCCTTACAGCCACACACTGAGTGTAAATATATGTCATTGGGTGAACGATGACATGCTAATAAACAAGAAGCAACCTCAGAGTTAGATTATGAGGTCAATGTAGAAGTGCTAAAACCTGAAGTTCCTCCAGTGTCCAATTGTGGCCGGCTTTAGACTTCCTCTAGACCCCTTCAACACCCATGTTAAAAGAGTGTATAATGCTTGAAGATAAGATACGGACAATGTGCCTCTAGATCTTGACACAGATTACTACAGATTATTACAGACAATTTACAATTGTTTTGATGCACTCACAAATTATGAAAAGTTCAAAAGGATTAGGGATTAAAAGAAATCTTTTTTATGTGACTAATAAAAGGCTTCATAATCGATTAATCACATATATTTATTTACATATATCAATAATGTGAGTAGCATTGTTTTACAAGCAGTTATTCTGCATAACCCTATTTCTACAGTTACTTTTAATGATTTCATTAATACCCAACACAATGTTTATCGCTAATTAGATAAAACAGGGAGCATATTTGAGAAAAATAATAGTTGGGGTGTATCTTAATTTTCTATTTCCTATTTATCTGTTATATAGTAACTCAGCAAACTTATTTTATATCAGTCAACACAAATCATGATATCTGAATGATGTTTTCATTTCAAAAGCAGAAACAAAGCAAATTATGAACATTATTTTGGATTGATTTTCTTTTTTGTTTTGGCCCGAGGGTTACATAAAAGCAAGTATCATTAAAATGTGTCTTGAATCTGGGAACTAGACCAATTTTCATAAACTTTAGCAATCATAGATAAACTTGTTTTCTGTATTTACACACAAAAGCAAATGTCCGATCTTTGGTTACTGAAAAACAAATCTTTAGCTGCAAACTTTAAAAAGGGTGATGTACTTATTAATCCCTTTGTCAGAGAGCTTTAACTATTTGTCACCACAGGCCACAGAGGCTCGGTATCTAACTTGACAACAGGAAACCAGAGTTTGCTTAAATGTGCAGGCTTGCAGCTTGACTGAGTTTCTGCACAAACACGGATAACATCAACGAGCCTGCAGACTCCATCATGAATAAATAACAATTTTCTGCTTTTTAACAAATACGTAACGACAGTAACAGCTCCCTGAGGATGCATCAAATTCGATCAAGATGAAGGGTGATCACTTTACCGTCCAGTAGCTCCTCGGTGCAGGTAGTGTGTCACAGCTCTTTTTGGTAGCTGATGTTGATTTGAGGCTGTTACAGTGAGCAGCTCTGCCAGTCAAAGCTTTGTTCTTTTTGGAGAGGTAGAGGGACAGAAAGCGGCTAAGGTTGAACTTTCTCTTATCCTTCTCCATCTCAGCACTTCTTCAACTGCTGCTTCAGCATCTTAACAGTCCCCTGAACAAGTCGAACACCGCTCTATCTGGCATAAATCATCCTAAAACTCCTCACCTCATCTCACCACAAGTACACTTTGAGCTCAACTGTGCACTCATATCAGGATCAGTTCTGTGGACGGCAGGTAAATCTGGAAAAATCTCTCTTAGCCTCTGCCCTCTATCTATTCTCTGCGCAGAGGCCCTCTGCTGTAACTTATATCAACTCTTCATCTCCATCTTCTCTTCCATTATCTCTCCTGTCCTCCCACTCTGTGTTTCTCCTCGCCCTGAGAGTGTGTGTGTGTGTCCTCAGTGACCGACTGCAGCTGAACTGAACTGGAACCAAAGTGAGCAGGAAGGAAGAGCCTGTACTTATTCTCACAGTCCTGCACCCAACAAGTCCCACACACAAAAACACTTCGCCACACACACACACACATACAAACACATCTGTGGCTGTGAGACAGAGTGAGAGTGACAGAGAGAAACTGAACTAGCTTTAGTTAAGAATCTAAGGTGCTCTTTCAGTTTGACATGGTTGAATTGGCAGACATTAAAATTTTGACACTCATACCAGAACCAATTTTAAAGGGCTTTAGTTTTGGTGTTTCTTTTCATATCTAGGATGAAAGTTGACATTTGCTTTGTGGATTGTGCGATATTAATAAACAGTTAAGTTAGAAATAAGTCTGCTTTCTGGAAAAAAAAAATGTGAATAGAGGTTACAGGATGAAAGAAACTAATTTCTTTATTGTCAAAATGAAGATTTTGATTTTTACTTTCCACTCCAAAACTCTTTAATAAAAAGTGGAATATGTCAATTATTAGATCACAGAGCCTGCCGGTAAATTTTTAGCCAAATTGATTTGCTGACTGTGACAAAGGCTAGCAGAGTTAGCACCACCAGCCGTCCTCCTTAGAGGATATCATCTACATGTCTGTGCCGGATACACATTGGAGCATCCATGGAGTGATTGTACCATTTCCAAATAATCCCAGGTGTATTAAAATGTACTTGTTTTCAATACTGATACATCTGTCCTAGTTAATTACTGGCTGATAATGACAGGTGATTAAGTTGCATATAGATATACAGCTTGTTACTGCATGGTTCTGTCGACCCCCAAACCAGGATTTATGCCACTTAACGTCACCCACAATCCAACAGGAAAAAGGGGAGGCAGGCCGAGGGAGGATGAGGTCGAGGCAACTTACTTGTGGATGACAGAGATTTTCCTGTCTCTAGTCGCACATGTCCCTCTCATAATGGTCTATTCCTGCTCATCCTGCCCCTTATAAACAGCCTCTTAACCCTTTTTCTCCTCACTGCCACCTCTCGCTTTATTATTCATATACAGTAAATACATCCCTTACTGTGGAGAGAACAGGCCTTTTCATACAGAGATGAGTGCAACCCATGAGTCAACATCTCTCTTGAGCAAACAGCAGCATGATGGAGCTGTCAGCAGACACCAGCATGTGATTACACTGCAGCGCAGGACACGCTCAGGTCAGGACTGCAGATTGTTAGTAGAAAAATATGCGAGAGTGTGAGAAGGCTGTAATGCAGAGATGCGAAAAACAACAATAAGCTTGTTTGCTCTGAAGAAGAGGAGCTGCAGCAGATTAGTTCTGGTAGAAAGGCAGATGTACAGTTATGTGGTAAAAGCTTACCTTGGTTCTAATATTGGCAAATTCCTTCTCTATCCAGGAAATATGAGACACATTCTATAGGGGAAGATTATTGTGTTAGGACATGACTATTTGTTGCAGTGAACATGCTTGTTTGTACAGAGTTTCTTTGTAGGTCAAACTGTAAAACACACACTCATACTCAGACAGAGGAGGGTAAAGAGGGCAACATGGCGATGGTTGCCACACCAGTGTCAGGAAACCTCTCTTCCCTCAGAGTTTTCACTTCCTCTTTTCTTGAACTGATCTCACGTCCTTCCTGCTCGATGATTTAAGCACGTTTCTGTTAGCAGCGGGGAGCTACGGCTCGAAGTTAAACTGCCGCTCAGAAAACCTTCAATTTTGCTGAACTTCTGCAGCTCACATGCTTGAAAACGCCGAGAAGAGCTCAAGTTAAAAGTCTTCCTAAATTAATTGGTGTGAAAAGCACTGGACTTAACCCACCATATGGTCTTGAGAATATTTCAGAGTGAATTTAATTTACTGTTTAAGAGTTAGCCATGAAATAAATCATCTAGAAGGTGTGATCAAGCTGGAATTAAAAGCCAGAGTTTATGAGTTTCAATTACCAGGCAGAGCTAATCCTTTGAGGTGCAAATGAGGGTTAAAGGAGGTGGAAGAAAAACCTGTCCTCCTGCATTTTCTTGTAGTTTTCAGACGGCAGCTGAGCATCCGTTTACACACACACACACACACATAGAAAAACCCATCCTCACCCCACACACTGCTTCCTGCTGCAACCCCCCACCCCCAAATCCTCCTCACATCCATCAACCCCCTGCTGCACCACCCACACTGACAGACTCTCACTCTACTCCAGCTTCAGGTCAGTGACACCAGCGTGATAAAACAAACATCCACTTGCCTCTTTTGTGCGAGTTTTGGTGCGGAAAATGAGCCTCCACATGTCTGTGTCCGAGTATTGCCATGTCACTCATGTAAGTGAATCTCTGTTGAGTTCACGGTCTTATAGACACACAGCATCTGTGTCGGAATTAGCTAACAGAATCTGTATGCAACATCACAGTGACAAAGATACAATCAGCATACAGACACACACACACACATCAAAATGGGAAGTGAAGTTTTATTTAAGTGAATGTGAGCAGCAGACCGACACGTCGACCCAGAGAGAGTCCAGGAAGTGCTTCTCAGGATGTGTTTTTTCATGAAGGGGTGAAAAGTGTGTGCAGGGAGGAATTAAAAAGAGGTACAGAGGAGTATTCTGAAACTTTGATGTGATGTTGAACAAAAGAGACTCACTTGGCATGATGAGGCACTCTCTGTGGTTACACAAGCAGAGAGGAGGAGAGGAAACTGATTGCACACTGATGCATGCTTGACGAGAAATAAGAGATTCTCGTGAAAATGACAGTCCTGTTTGACGTTTGCACGATTCTTCTGAACCTAACCTGGTTAAATTCCACATAAATCTCCCTTTTAATAAACCAATCATGGTCAGGCTTTTAAAACAACAACAAAACTGCTATCAAGTCAAAACAAACCAAATGGATGCAGAGGCTTCAATAAAAAGTGTCGGTTGAGCACATCGTCTTACAAAACCCTGACACTGACAGAGAGCACACAAACTTTCCACATACTAACACGGTGTAATGCTCTCTGATAAACACAAGGGGCCAGTGCAGGTCTGCAGCCGAGACAGTGGCGGGCGCTTGAAAGAAGATAAAAGCTTTACCCAAGTTAGGGCATGTTCACATTAGCAATTCATGCCTCCTTAAGAGTCCTGACATGCCCTGTTTGATAATGAAGCTCACAAATGAAGACGAAAAGCTGAGGACACGAAGGGGAAAACAGAATCACAAGGAAAGATGGTGAATGTAGGAGAAGTTCGGATAGTTAGATAGATAACTACTGTACTCGTGTCTCTCTCTGAAGCTGCTCCTCTTTCCAGGAAAAGTGAGCAGCAGCACCTGCACGATTTCAAACCCTGACAGCTCAGACTTTACGCACAGAGAGGAAGAGGAAAATAAAGAAAGTTCGGGGCGAGAGGCCAGCGCACACAGAGGGAGATAGTGTAGTCCAAACATCCATCCATTCAGTCTTATTACTGTGAAAACAAACTTTGTCTATCACACACACACATACTTCCACATATATACAGATGGTACAGTACTCTTTTAAAATACTTCATTGTATGAGATAAAAGAAAGGAACCTGAGAAAAAAGTTATATAAATGTTGTTATTTCCATCAGCAATGACAGAGGCTGTTATAGATTACATCTGCAGTCTTTATCAATAATGCAGGAATTATATAAGTCTGTTAATCACAGTCGATTCTTGGTAAATTGATGACTGTTATTGTTAAAACTTTGTCTACACAACTCCAGATTTGATCTTTATTTGTCTTGGACACATCCACAAAAATGTTAAAGCAAACAAAGACAGAAAAACTGTCTTCATGGCAACAAAAGCTGACAAAAAATAAAAGAAAGACACACAGTGATGGCTTCAAGAAGAGGCAGAAAGAAGCAACAGCTTATTTATACCTGCCTCTTCTTCACAAAATCAGTTAACAAGTGGGGTTTTTTTGTAACGTTTGAGCGTTTTGTTTTCTTTATTAATGGAGTGATTGAAACGTAATCATCCAGAGCTGTTTCATATTCTGCTAATTAATTGATGATTTAATCTACTATTTGATCAGCTATGTAATATTTTATGGGTTATTTATTACAGATTCTGAATCTGGTCTACCAGCATGGCATTAGCTTTGTTTTTATATATATTAAAAATACAACTCCACAGGACTGTTGGTCCACTTTATTAACCCCAAAAAAAGATTATAATTTATAGATGGACAACTTATGCACACTTTTAACTGCACACCTTATATACTGCATCATAATTTGGGTTACATTTCCAAGCACAGTAAAAATAAAAAATGAAGAATTCGTTTTTAAAATCTCTATGAATGCAAATATAACACTTCAAATTGCATTGATAAAGAAATTAAATTTACTAACTTAACTTTTCAGAGAGTAAAAAGTATTACTGACTAACACAGCACTGTCGCCACAAGTGGTTCTCAAGAGAGCAAAAGTCCAAACTTGTTTGTGAGAGAGGGTCCAGACATGTCTCCAGGCAGGCTCCTAAATCTGTCAGTGCAGCGTCAGGAAAGCCTCTTTCTGTGCTTCTCAGTCTGAACCTCAGTTTTCTTGCTGCTACATTTGAGCGGGCAGGTCTGACTCATTCATTCAACAGATTAATTTCCTACTCATTATCTCTTTTTTTTTCCATAAGCAGAAAAGGCTGCCTCTGAGGCACACCTTTTTCCCTCTTGGCCCCTCGATCTGTTCATCCTGCCCTTTCCCCCCTGTCTTGTTCTTCTCCTCTGTTATCTTTGCCCTCTAGAAACACCTGTTGTTAGAGCCATGACTGACAGGCCGGCAGAGGAAGAGAAAGATGCATCGGTGTTGCAGATGGATGAGCACCCAGTCCCAGTGCAGTCCCCTCATAATCTTTTTTATTTGGAGTTAGCCTGAGGCAGGCCGAGGAGGAAACCAGAGGAGATTCAAAGAATGTAGAAAAATAAGAAAGTTCAGCATCAAACCAAGAACACAGACCCAGCAGTATTGCAAAGTCTTTTGGTCTGACTCCCTCGCTGATGAAAGTAATGACCTTAGTCAAGCTGCTGTTATCCTTCAAACAGCTGTAACACAGAGCTCCATCTAAAATTATAAGAATAAGAAATAGACAAACACAAATCATGAGGAGTGGACTCAGTTTGCACATGCACGCTCACAAGTGATCGAACCGGCACATGTGCAAGGAGTCTCACTCGGGCACTATTGCTCGTGTCACATGGTGCATATAAGTTGAGAGTGGACGCTACAGGAAATATAACATTGCTAGCACGGGATTAGCACAGATGCTACAGGAAATCCTGTGCTGACATCTGTAGTATTTATAGCAGCAGCAGTAAGATGATAGGCAGATCAGCGCTGGGCCAGTTGACATGAGGCCATAATGGTGTTGTGTAATATCAACAGTGGCAGTCATGGTCAATAAATAAATAAATAAATAAATAAATAAAAAGAGGGTCAAAAAAGGCAGGAAGGAGTTAGAGAGAACAACATGAAAGGGACGGAGGGATGAGTGGGAGTGAGGGATGAGACAGAGGAAGAGGCAGAAAAGAGTGGATGTCGGTAATATAAACAATGAGGTCATCCGAGCTGAGCTGGCAGACTGCGGTGGAAATGTGTAGCAAACCTCACATCGGCGTGCACAGGCCAAACAGCACAACCTATCAACACGTAAACAATAACACGGCTCATCAAACCTCCTGAACACCTCTATCATCACATAACCAGAGTTCGAACCCTTCACACCAGCCGGAGTGGCCTGAAATAGCAGCTTCATATCTCAGTCAATACTTCCTGCTTCCTCCCTCTCATGGTCTGCCTGAAATATCAATTCAAGCTCTTGCCAAAAACACACACACTCAAAGCAAACAAATCAAAACTCGGCTGCTCACCCCCTCTTGTCTAAAACATAACTAATAACTTCCAGCTTTATTCAATAACACCCTGTCTATAGAGGTCTGCCACTCTAATTAACAAGTTTGGGACTCACTTCTTGACCCGGGGTGCCACATCACTGGCTGGCATTGGTACTGTGTGTTTTATCAAGTCCAAAACCTGCACCTGTCTGCCGTGAGATTTTAGAGCACTCTGAGTTTCCATCTCCTCACAAGGTGTTAGGAAGATGCTATTTCCTTCTTCCTGCAGGACTTAGCACCTGCCCACAGTGCCAAAATTCCCAACAAATGTTATGCTGACAATTATATCACTGTGCCAGAAACTGTATTTCTGATTTTCATAAGCTGTAAGCCAAAATCATCAAAACCAGAAATGAATAAGAACATATCATCACCCTATTAAAATAAGATCATGCCATGATCCTTTCTACTAAGGATTTAGGTGATTTTACCAGAGATGGCCAACATTATCATAAGGTGATTTAGGCCAAAAACTCATTTTGGTCAAAAATTGACTTAATTATTATTTCAATAGGGTGACGATGTGAAAACTTACCTCACTGAGTCAAATGACAGCGAACTCTATATTCAAGTTCATTAAGATGATCCTGCATGGATTTAATTCTAAAATCAGTCAAGTGGTTTTAAATCTCCTGAGACAAACCTTTTTATTGTGTTGATTTTGATGCCCCCTATGGGCATTGGGATGAATAAATATGCTGATAATAATCAACTACTTTTAGACATAGACTGTATATACTATGGACATTTTGGTTCCGCCTCCCGCCTGTATACGGATTTGAAGCTGAAACCCCTCGGTATTTCCAGGATTTTTCTTCATTTACTGGAACCAACATTGCGCAGTAGCATTGTATGCATTCATCCAGAGAGTCGCTGTGATGACGCTTGGCTCAAACAGTGTATCCCCCGGGTGAGCTACGCAATCCCTGAATGCCCATAGGCTGTATAAAGTGTCAATCAAAGAAAACATGAACCCCCTAATAACTTTTAAAAACGGAGCTGCGCAGAAAAAAAGAGAACTTAAACACAAACCAGTCTTATAGTAACTACATGTCAACATCACAAGCAGGGGGGAGAAAAAATTTTGTTCTGTGTAATAAATGTCTAAAGTTTGTCCACAGCTCCATAAGCTTTGCTGACGGAAGCGGGATTTATGACCTATACTGCAGCCCGTCACCAGAGGGTGCTGTTCTCGTAGTGGCTTCACCCAGCGAGGAGGCAGATGGCGTCCATTCTATATACAGTCTATGCTTTTAGACAGAAATGTCCCTTTAAGCCAGCTCTCTCATTTAAATTCTTCATCTTTACACTCAGATGGCTGAACAGGCTGCTAATGAAATGAAGCGTGAATTTATTGCTGTAGATGATTTTCAGGCGTCAGTATTTAAATGCAAAAGTAGAAAAATGACAAATTTGTGATTTCATCATTTTATTTTAATGCATATCATTAAAACAAAATGATTTTAACTGCATAGATTGACTGCAGCTCCTGCCTTAGCTACTGGGGTCAAAGGTCATCTGGTCCTGGAGGCGGTACTTCAAACTGCTGAGGAGGACTAACAGATAACACGGTGAAAGAGAACAAAAGAAAACAAGGATCCCCTTCTTCATCTATTCATTTCCTGTAATAATAAACCATCAAATGTAAATTTAAAAAATCAGATGTACGTTTAAAGAAGAGGCACTAGGGGGTTATGTTAAACCAAGAAAGAGGAACAAGGGGCAGGCAATAATCACCAACAGCATCCATATTTATGAGAACTTGAGAGGATGAGAGCAACTGGTCGAATAATTCTCCTAATCGTTGTTGAGAGTATGAAACTATGGCAACTGTGTTTTTCTCTCCATCTCCATCTCCCTGCATCCTCTATGTGAGACTAGATATGATACTAGAGGCAAGGCCACACACAAACACACTCAGAGGAAAAGACTATTCATATGATGCTTCCAGGTAACATTTGCCAGCCTCCATCTTCACAAATAGAGCACTTTGGGGCCCTCACGCTGCACTCCAGTGTGCGATTTTGGTGCCAGGATTCTCCCTGTAACATCTGAGTTGCAGGAGCATGAATTCATCTGTGTTTATCCAGGAAGTTAGTTTTTTTATGACAGCCTTTAAAAGCTGAAAATGAAGCTCTAATATCAGAGACCTTTTCAGAAAGCGCAGACTTATCTATGAGACAACCCGCAAGCACACGCTAGATGATTAATGAGGATGACACTAGCCGAGTAGCCCTGTGTGTATATGCTGAACTAGTGCCTGTGTGTGTCTGTGCGTGTCTGTGCATGTTGCTCCGTTTATGTCCACACGCGACTGATGCCAAAGCGATCCATAAATGAAAATCCATATCAGAAGACCTCTGTAGATTTATGGGAAGTGTGTGTGTTTATACACATCTTCTCTTGTGTGTATTAGTGTTATCATAAACCTTTTTGCTCTTGGCGGCACAATCAGGGCTTAGCGACTGCAAGGACACAGTAACCATGACAACAAGGCCCATAGCAGCCATGAATGGATGGAGGAGGGGAAGAAGTGAAAAGATGGATGGAGCAGGAGTCTGAGGGGCTGCTGGTACAAGTCTGGTAGGTTGTTTCAGTTTGTTGTGTGATGATGAAACACACTGGTATTTGGACTGGACATGCTGAGTGCACAAACACACAGTCAGGGTGCATCCATTCACAAAAATCTCCTGCAGTTTTACGAATCAATACCAGATTTGTGTGTCTTAACAGACTCAGACAGTTTTGATGAGTTGTTGGCACACAGCCAAGATAACAAGGGAGTCTCTTCAGGACAAGTCTAGAAATATTTTTGAGGGGCACAGCCGGAGTTTGGACTTGAACCCTATCAAGCAACACTGAAAAGGCCAGACAGTCACAACACACCAACATTATTGGCTGTTCATGGGTGTATTTTTGAAAGGACAAATAAAGTTTGTAACTTTAAGAGTAAGTCTGTGACATAACAACATGTAGAGGGGATGTGTCAGCTAACTTTTCTATTGTCCCTGTCTATAAAACATTTTTAATAACAAGCTGTGTTGTGTTTATCAAGTATGCAAGTATGCCCCTGCTTACTCTGTATGTGTGTGTGTGGGGGGGTTGGAGGTCTCAGCAAAACAAAACTTTTAGGATTTGATGTATTAGTAAAAACGTTAAGAGAAGAGAAGTTATTGTCAACCTGGCTGCTTAGAAAAAATGGAAAACAATGCATCATGACAGCAACGTGGTGCCTGCAGGTGCATTAAATTATTTCTCCTCATGTTTCACCAATTATCCAAATAATTGTCGGAAGATTGTTTTCCTCTTTTTGATGTTTCTTGCTGACTATCTTCGTGGCTTTTGTTTTATAGCAGCATATTTTACTTAAAAATAAGATCAATGATTTCCCTGTAATGTGTAGAGAATGAATCATACAGCCTAGAGTGGTCACTCTGTCTGTGTCAAAAGTTTAAATCTTGCTAGAATGTAAAACTCCTTCAAAATATTTATACATTTTTATTATTAATATGCAATTTTGTGTTCTCTATCAAATGATTAAATCTTTACGATACAATACGATACGATACGACACAAAATGAGACAATACGGTACGATATGATATGATACGACACAATATGAGACAATACGGTACGATATGATACGATATAATACGATATGATACAATACAATACGATATGATACGATATGATACAATACATTATGATACGATATGATACGATATGATACAATACGATACAATACGATATGATACGATACGACACAATATGAGACAATACGGTACGATATGATACGATATGATATGATACAATACGATATAATACAATACAATACGATATGATACGATATGATACAATACATTATGATACGATACGATACGATATGATAGAATACGATACAATACGATATGATTCGATACGACACAATATGAGACAATACGGTACAATATGATACGATACAATACGATATGATACAATACAATACGATACAATACATTACGATATGATACGATACGATACGATATGATACAATACAATAGGATATGATAAGTCTAAAGGAAAAAGTGAGCTACTTTTTTCCACTGGCTGACTACTTCATGTTCATATGTTCATGGAATCACAAAGATCTTAAGCAAATTATCAGGTTTGCCTAACTGTTTTTGAACAAGAAAAGCATCAAAAATGGATATACCAAAACTCCTACTGTTATCCAAGTTTATAAATTTACCAGCAAAGCCAAAAATATCTTAATCTATGAAATTAAGCCTTCATAAAACTGAATGCAGGGTTGCCTTAACTTAACAAATTTACAAATGTATAAGTATGGTGGCACTGTATGACATGTTTATGGTTTGTACAAGTGTTTTGTTTCTTAATCTGAGTTTAACAGGACACCACTATGAGTCTAAAACATCTGCCGAGGACATAAAACTGAGTAAAAGTGCTTCAGATGAAAACAGAGTGGTTAGATAAGGTGCGGTGTACTCAAAGGAAAAGTGAACAGAGCCTAAGGATTTAAGGGCCTCTCCCAGCACCTAGGCAGGCTGGGTAATTGAGTCATAAACAATCACCAAGCCTCTATGCAAGTGTGTGTGCAAACCAGCTCCCTGATCTGCCTACAGTAAACCGCTGCTGCATTAACATCAGATTCTGTTGATGATAAATTCAGATACTGTGAGCCTGACATGCACTGCAATCAAAAACCTCGCCCCTCCTCCTCCTCATTGATTTATATCTTCTGGGCACGTGCACACACACAAACACACATACACACACACATATACACACTTCACAAGGTCTGTTAGCTATTGCTCAGAACAAGGAGCCATTTTAATCTGTGTAAAACCTTCTGGAGAGGCTCAATTACTGTGACCATAAAGACAAAACCCTGAGTCACACTCCATAGAATTAGAGCGATTGTGTTCAAGTGTTTGTATGAGCGTGTGTGTGTGTGTGTGTGTGTGTGTGTGTGTGTGTGTGTGTGCGCGCGCGGGCACGTGGATAAGCTGAAGTAATTTTCTTCATTTGAACTAGAAGAGTGTGAAGGTTTTGTGGGTGTGTGTCTGAGCAAAGTCCGTCTGTCTTGTGTAATAAAGCAGATTGATTTTCCATTCCTCGCTCTTGTTAACCGACAAACTTACAGCGCACAAGCAGGAACACTAAGAGTTGTTTATACATAACTGATGAACCAAAAACTCCTCTAAATATTCGCTAAAAAGGAGCTTTTGATTTGCCGCGCGTCACTCACTCTGTCAAGCGTCACAATGTCAAACATCCTCTTTTTTTGTGAGGCTTGGCAGCCTTGCTGAAAAACTAGCTTTTTACAATGCTACAAAAGGTTGATTCGAGTCTGTCCTCGCCTTGGAGAGTCGAACTTGATGAAAAAGCGGGAGAAGTTTGTCTCAGAAACTTTGCCAGAACAAAAAGCTGAAAGGATGAAAACGGAGCAGGACAGCCAAGCCAAGGTCGCCTGCTAAACAGATTGTTAAATAGCTGTGTTTTATCTGGACTACAAGACAAAATGATGTATGGGACTTAAAGAAGTGAAGCTGAAGATGGGAGATAAAGCAGGAGGAGGAGGTGGAGAGGAGGAAGCGGCGTTGGAACGAGCTGAAAAATGATAAGTGGCTGTGGGACAGAGAGCGTGAAAGGGGGGCATCTTCAAGCCTCGCTGCCTTTCCTCATTTGGAGAGTGTGTGTGTGAGAGTACGTATGCGTGTGCGTCACTAGGGTTCCCTCGCTGTCGTCATCTAAGTCCAGCAGAAACACCAGAGCCCACTTTGACATGATCCAGAGGTCCTTTCCACTTGTTGTTACCGCCCTAATTGTTATCATCTGATTGATCGGGAATAAAAAAAGGGACTGACGGGGCAGGTTTACTCTCCCCTCAAATAATCGAACGAGCCAGAGCTCGCTGCCTTTCACACTGACACAGTCAATCAAAAGTCAGCGTGATGGACGCAGATGGAGAGGCAGAAAAAGGGGCCAGAGCCAACTGAGTAAGATGGATAACAGCTGACATATTCAGGTCAAGTTGCATCTCTTTGAAAGGACAAGACCAAATCAGCACGAAAAATACTCACAGGAGCTTTAAATTATTTCTGTTTGCAAAGACGTGTAAATGAAGCAGCTGTGACATCGTGTTTAACGTTTTTACTATTCAAAATAAACATAACTAGTAGTGGCAGCAGTCCTCTGAAGGTTACTTGGCTTTGATGAATGTCTATCAATAAATATCTAATGCTAAAAAACTGCTTTTAGATGTTCACTTTAAACTTCACAGTAAAGATTTATCTACTCGGTCCTTTAGGTTTTTAGTTTCGCAACATAAAACTTAGTCATCTACCAAAGTCAAGTCTCAAAGTTGTTCTGAGTTTTCCATCACAGTTCTGTTGGCTTGACATAAAAACATTTCAAACTTTTGTCTTACTGCTTAGTCATATTTTTTTTTTTATAATCACACCATAAAACCAGTATAGGTCATTTGAGTCATTGAGTGATTTAAAGGTATTTGTCAGGTCAGCCCACAGCTTCCATAGGCAAACAGAAAAACACAGATTTTTTTTCAGAGTTAAACTGATCTATTCAGTATTTTCATTGACTTTAAATACTGGCTCTGTTACTTTTAAAACAGAGTAAAGCTCCGTGGATAATTCGGCTCTTGTAAAAACCTTACAAACTCAAAAGGGATCATCTTAAGGCGGACTTTGGGGAGTTTACAGCCTGCCATGCTCGGGGTAAAGTGACACAGCTGAAAAGAAACAACTGGAGAGATCTGATTGGTGTAGCTCTGAAATAAGGATTTCAATCATGAACTTTTATAAGAAAATCTACAAATCTACAGGGATCAATTTTCTAATTCCAAGGGTTTACAAGCAGCCACAGAGATAAACAATTGGGCTAATCTCTCAGAAAAAAAAGAGACTTTTTGAGAAAAACACTTTGATAACTGAGGGGACAATCATGTAGCTATGCACTGAATCATCATTCGGACCAATCATAGCCAATCACTTAAGAAGCTTTTCTATGGTCTAACATCGTGCGCTGCTGTTGAGAGGAGGACTGTAATCAGCGTGCACAGAGACAAATACTCAAAAAAAGTGCTGCTTCTATGAACGGTCAAAATCCTACAGACTAACCTGCATCAACATCAAATCTGGGTCACAAAACAGCATTGTTTTACTCTTTTGGTACTTTAGAAACTGTAAATGCTGATGCTGCTCATTGAGAGAGGAAACTGTATAACACAAAAACCAAATAAAGCAGCGACGTGCATTAATCCTGTTTTTATTCAACCTGTTTTCTTATAAAGGTCATCTGCTTTAAAAGAGGGGAAACTTCAAATCCTACCTCTACCTTGAGCTGCTTTGATCAAAAACAAAAAAAAAAAAAAACACACTCTCTTTTAAAATCTAGTTTCAAATTTGAGATTGACCTCCAGAATATGTCTCACATCTGCTGAAAAACTTTTGATGCTTATTTTTTTTACAAAGAGAGCTTAGAGATACAGTGTATTAAAGTCAAAACGTAGACGTCCCTCTTGGCGGGCATTACTAATCAACCCCTGTTCCATTCAAACTGATGCTTACATAACCAATCAAACGTCAGCTTTACATTCTTGACCTTCAGTGCTGATTTTTAGGTCGGTTATTATTAGCTTCCCTTTGACTGCTCTCTATTGTCACATGAAAGAAACTGAACAATTTAACAAAAAAAACAACCAACAAAGAAAACGTTTTAACAGCAAACCCTGCAAACACACGTTCACACTACATCCACTTTTTGATGAGTCATGGAGACAGGCGATTGAGCTCAGTCACAGCTGGAAAACAGAGCACTCTGTTAACACATACAAGTCAGAGAGAGCATTAGCAGCTGACTGTGGATTTTTGGTTGTAATTGCAAACAAGGCAAATTGACTTTTTGAACACAGCACTAATCTAATGGTGACGTCAATCAAATACATACTCATAAGTGCAGCCTTAGCTTATAAACCCACAATCCTGGTGTGCTAAACCTGACCTTGGTTACATCATGGATGCAACACCTGCTGCTATTCACCCATGCCTTTTATTCACCACTATTAATAGGCCTCATTTATGGAGCTATTTAAAGGCACATAGCAGTGGTGTTATTTTATATGGGTGTTGTCACTTTCAGTGTTCGGATGTTTGATTTTCCACTGCCTTCTCGTACATATAAATGAAATGATTGACAGCTTTTAATAAAAGTGTTCAAACTTTGATCGGAGCAGAAAGGCAACAGTTGAGTGTTCATCTCAATCTGTCCATGGGTGTCCGCCTGCAGCACCTCCCACCTCTTAACCTCCATGCATCTTTCCTACAGTGGTATACTAAAACCACTTATACTGTCAAATCTTTCACAAACGTCTCACAAAAAGCATCACAAGCTCCATTAACATTCCTGACTTACATGAAAGGGAACAACAATCTCATTAATTTGCACAATTATTCAAACCATGTGTAGCGAGAGGTCTAATTGCAGAGCATTGTTGGCGAGAATAGAAGAATATTTGACTCACAGAAATACTTAAGTATACTGACCGAGTGCAAGGATAATGCTCATATAGAAGTCCACATAAGGGGCAACTAGTACATTTGCTTTTCAGACCTATAATTACATAGCTGTGCATAATCACAATGCAGAATGAAACACTGCCCGCTCACTGCTTCTCTCAGACCTTGCCAAAGCTGCGTGACAGCATGCAAAGGTCTTCAGAGACCATGTTGATTTTCTGGTCTGGAACAGGAGCAGAACAAGAACACAGTGTTTGTTGCCCGCAAGGCCCCCCATCTCAGAGCAATCTTTATCCTAAAATTCTGTGTGAAAGCTTCGCCATCCATTGTTTTTTTCAAGGCAAAGGTTCCCGCATTGCAATCTTATCCCCCTCCAGGAGATGAGATTTACAAGTGCTGTGATTTCTCTTTTTTTTTCCTCTGGTCCAACCAAAGATCCCCTCTCCGGTGCACTTTTACCAAGACTCCTGCATCTTAAAGGGACACCTATGCATGTGTTTCGGCTACAAGTCAAAAGAGAGAGTCTTTCTGTCGGCTCTATATGTGCAATTTTTCTGATTTTCAAGATCAATTTCTGTTATTTCGACTTTTATCAGATGGGACATCATTGGAGTCCATGAAATCTCAGATAAATTTGCAAATTGGGTGAAATTTGAAGTATTGGAACTCATTTTATTTAACTGTTGTCATAGATACCAAGCTTACGCACATGCGCAGCCTTACAATGAGGCACAAACGCCACATATTCCAGTCTGTAGGTATATTATCACGTGCAAACAGAGGGTGTATATGCGCAAGAAAATCTGGATCACATTGACGGCAAATGTCTACACAACCTTTATAGAGTCTCAGATCCTTCTATTTACCTGCATTTTCAGACTTTGATCTAGATTTAAAACCTTCAGATTCACCCAACAATAGAAAGCTTTCATCCCTAAATCACATTTTTCTGAAGTATAGTCCTCTGACATCTTATCAAACCATCATATGCTGTCTGCTTTATTTGAAAACATTTCGATAATGGAAACTACAACTGTCATAGTCCTCAAACACAGTGTGTTAAATGTCTAATTTTTTTTTCTTTGACAATCTCATTTTGCACTCTCATCCTCGCCCCTGGGTGTATCTTTTATGAACATCTCTGCTTGTTACTGTGATGGCTTACTAGCAGCTAATTACACACCCAGGAAATGAAAGGAGGTGGAGAGGTTTGATGGGTAATAGTGTATGTTTCCATGGAAGGAAAAAAGGAGAGAGAGGAAACACGGAGAGCTCATATGAGGACAGCAAAGTGCAATAAGCTCTGTCAACTCGGAGTCCGGCATAGTCCGGGTAAACAGTCGAATCACTGGGTTGTTAAGAGTCTGAGTCATATTTGAGCAGGAAGACTATAGACTACGACACATTAACGAGTGAGAGAAGATGAGCACTCCAGCATGAAAAAAATGATATGTAACAGGCAGACAGCCATTAAGCACCGCCGTCTGTCAGTGCTATATCCTGTGTTTGTGCGCCAGTGACACTGGAGATACCTGCAGCCACACATATAAATGCAATCCAAGACAATGCTGTCAGACGGCTGAATGATACGATAATAGAGCTGTTTGTAAAGTATGTTGTAAAAATACCAACCCACGAGCCAGGAGCTAACACACTTACTCACTATTCTTAGGATGTGTGTGCTTGTTTGTGCATTTACGCATGTGTTTACGAGTGTGCTGGAGCCACATCCGCGTTGGACACGAGCAATGTCACCTCTGAGTCTGTGCCAAAGTGCTGACAACAGCACTTCCCTTCACTTAAATGTAGAAACTTGACGTTTTTGTTGACCTCAAAGCTTCAACCGAAACAACCAAACTCACATTTTGAAAGGGAAGTGTGCATAAAATCCTGAAAACGCTTACAAAACATATTTTACAAGCTGGACATGAACTTTTCTGAACAGCTGCAGCATTTTAGGAATAACTTTGGCAACAGATAGTATAAACTGAGTATTTTCTATTTGAACCTTTGCTTGAAGTTAGACTGATCTCAGGACAGAGCACCCATATTATACACCTCTTCTGTGTGCACTGATGAGACACTAACACCTTAAGTGCATGTTAGGCTACATCCTGGAGTCTGGGGTGGTGTAATGAGCTCTATACTCTTTATATCTAGCCTCTCCCCCCTCTTCACAAGCCTCCCTCTAACCCTGCGGAGGAATGTGAAGTGTTTAGCTCTGTCAGGCTCCGAGGCGTGTCCAAACCTTGTTAATACAGGCCTCTCTCTGCTCACTGGGGATTAAAGCCAAGCAGATGCTGAGCATAATGCATCACCCCTCCTGGAGAGATTTTACACTCCACTGCAAGATGAAGATGATCAGGTTTTCGAAGAAATGTTTGACGCTTTCCAGTGATGGAAATGTTTGGTGAGTCTGTGCAAACCAGCAAAAACCCAACAGAGCACAGGATCTCTGCAGCAAATCCTCTGTCTATTAAGTTTACTGAATCATAAAACCTTTAATACACTTTTAAGGGTCCACTGACAATGCAAGCCACTTTTGCACAGTCATCCAGTTATGCACAGTCATACCTAAAAGCTACCTTGTGTAGAATCCTGATTACCTATTGCACAACTGAAATGACTAGAGGTTGAGTCACTTGCACATGGTTGTTTGAAGGTGGGAGTAAAAAAAAAAAAAAAGAACATGTTGATATATTTCAAAGAATAAGATAAAATAAAATTCAGATAATGTGAAGGTCTGCTGTTATGATCATCGGAGGATACGCAAATATTTCTTGGCACACAATTGAACTTGGCAAACAGGAGCAGCAGATGGTTCAGGAGTAATGCCATATTCAGACGGTGGCAGGTTGTTTATTAAACACAAGAAAACCGAAGAGTATGTGTTCGTGTAGCAAGCTATCTGGCACTCTAGGCTGGGATTTACAGTAACATCTCAGTGTTTACAGTGGGATTCTTCATGGTTAAAGTTTACAGTTTCTTCTACACTGAAACTTCATGAACTTTATAAAGACTGATACACTTAAATTAAATAAATGAGAAGAAAAACACTAGCTTATATTTTTTTTAAAGACCCACTTCAATGAAAATCATGTTTTTCTTGTTGTCTACATGTTCATATGGCATTTTTCTGATGATACAGGACATATCATGAGAAAACTATAAATGTGAAATTGCTTTTTTGAGTATCTCTTCATTCAAATTGCTGTGACTCTCTGGCAGACCCAAACGGCAGGTTAAGATACAGTGAGATTTCATATGTAATCAATCCAAGCTCCGCCCCTCTATATGCAGGCCACACTCTTCATATAGAGGAGAAATACAGAGGACGATCGCAGAACAAGTGTGTGTGTTATCGGATTGCAATGCTCGTAAGAAAGCTAATTATGATACCAACTTTCATCATGTCCCTAAAGACATTAGTGTCCGAGAGCTGAATTGACTCCTATGTTACCTGCCACTTCTGCCGCACAGGTAATGTTAGGCTGCAAGCTAACGTGAAGGCGAGTCTGCAGAGCAGCGCTGTCTCTGCCCACGAATCAGAGGTGAATTGCTAATGATCTACTAGACTTCTGCAGAAGAAACGCCCTTGAAAACAGGAAACGTGATTTCGGCAATAAACTTCATAATCACAATTTAAAGACCACTGAGTAGTAAATGGGATCGGAGTGGGACTTTAAAGCTAAAGCTATGAAATCATGAACTAGTAAGCATTACCTTGCCATATTATAAGCAACGCTGCTCTGATTTGCTGCTGAAACAAAAAAAGTCCTGACGATGTTGAGAGATTTTAATAGGAGCCAGCGTGCTTGACAGTTCACCCTTTAGCGAGCTCAATTCTGCATGTAGCTGCCAAAGATTACAGGCAATGTGCCACAGACTTCCTGGCATTAAAGTCACAGCATCACTTTGTGGGATGAAAACATGATTTGACCAGAAGATCCGAATACAGAAGAAATCAAATCTATAAGTCTAAAACCTATACTCTTCTCGGGATAAATTCTGACCCATTTCAACCCACAAATATGAGCTTCAGTTTAAGCTCCAGGCAAACAAGCCCTGTTTCTTTTCATGTTTCTCACTATTACTCAGCAAAAACTCAAAGGGGCAAAGAGAGCGAGCTGTAAAAAGGATGGGATGCTTCTCATCAGGAGGCACAAATACAAACAGCCCCTACGGGAGCATGAGCCAAGAGGAGAGGAGACAGCTCAAGCAGGGGGGAGAGGAACAGAGAGAGACAGAGGGATAAAAAATTTACTCCTGTTTTCTTTCTCTTCCTCTGTCTTTCAGCCCTTCTGTCCCTCTGAGGGGAGTTCAGTAAATTAAGCCGATTGAAAGCTCTCATAGGAGCAATGCTTGAACTTCGCCTGCTAAAAGAAAGTGCTCCCCATTACCGACAGACACAGGGAGGAAAGATGGCAGCAGGAATAAGCTTGCAAACAATACAGGCATCCCTGTGAGGGATAGTTGACTTATTTGGCAATGTGCTTGTTAGTTTTCCAGCAGAAACCCCAGACTGGAACTCTTTCTAGTAAATATACAGCTACACTGGAGTTTTCTTGTGTAACTCCAGTGTGACTTCTGAAGCATTATCACCCAGATCATCATAATATAGGACAGTACTCATGTGTGCAAATGACTCCAACACACAAACAACAAGAGCTTTAGGATAACCACTGAACACAGATTGTACACCAGTGTGTTAAGTCATAGGGAGCGTCTTCCTGTATAATCTTCACTCTATCCAGGATTTCCAGATAATACAGCTCAGTGAAACATCTATGTGTGTATGTGTGTGTGTGTGTGTGAGTGTGTGTGTGTCAGTCGGTGTCTCTGTGTGGAGGGGGGAGGGGGTGGGGGTTGCCACAAAAATCAAGTGCGAGGTCAGGTTTGTGAAGAAAAGCGAGAGCAGTTGCCATGCCTACACCATGCATGTGCACACAGAGAGGCTTATGCTTGCACAAACACATGCATCGCCGGGCTACGCAGCCTTGACTTTCCCATTTCCTGACTCGCCAGCCCTGCAGTGATCTACGGTAGCCCTAGAGGTCAAAAAGCTCATCGTGTAAGCTGCAATCCCTGCCTACACACTCTCACCACTGGTAAATATTTAATCAGCGCTGGAGTCGGTCACCACCGAGAGCTGCTGAGCCTGTCCTTCTGATAAACACATGCACAAGGATCTGTGGGTAAAGAAAGATCAACCAGAAGTACAGACATGTTTGTGAGCTTCTACTCCACTCATCATCTTTGCAAGGGACTCAAAATGAGCACCTGAAGTAATTTGCAACAACCCCCGTTTCGGTTTTATGGAAGCCCAGTCTCTCTGCAGTCACATTATTTTTAACTGTGTCATTATTTTCTGTCCTCAACTGAAGAATAATTTGCTTTGTTTCTGCGCTTCCTCAGCTGATATATGTACTCCTCTCTGTGTTCCCTCTCCTCTCATGTTCTTTACAATCCCCTTTCTCGCTCACTCCCTCTTCCCCCCCACTGTGTCCTGTGAAGTCTGTGAAGCACGGATAGCTGTTGCTCAGCACCTATAGCTGCAGAGAGAAGCCATCATCAACATTACAGGCTACAAAAATGTCAGCAACACCAATGGAAAAAGGTATTACCTCTTCCTTCCCCTCTGGCTAGATAGGTGGGAGTTCATGCTGAAGTGAGAATCACAGTGGCAGAAAAGAAGATGAGTACAAGAACACACAAACACACGGGGAGAAGCACTACAGCGGGTAAATGTATCCACTACATGCACTGTTGCTTACAGAATGATTAAGGGAATGGTGTGAATACTTTAAGCAACACTAAAACCAAGACATTTGGAGCATTAAACCCTTTCTTGATGTGTTTTCTCTGAGGTTACAACAAAGTGTGTTGTATAGAGAAATTTAAAGCTGACAAGCTACCAAAACAAACCAGGCAGTTGATTTGTAAACCTCCATTGATCAGTTGCCATGAAAATAAGCAACACAAAAAAGCCTCACATCTAGGCACTTGTATGCCCTCAGTTTGTCTTATACACTACAGTCTCTTTGCCTTTATATTACCAATAAAACTCTTCGTCCAGAGAGGAAAAGACATCACATATTTGGACAGACCTGGGTTGCTTCATATCATATCATGCCATGTCATATCATGACATATTGTATCGTCTTGTCTTGTGTCATATCCTATCGTGTTGTGTTGTGTCGTATCAAAATAGTCAATGCGTCAAATTGTGTTGTATTGTGTCATATTGTATCCTATTGTGACATGTCGTATCAAAATCGAATCGTATAATATCATGACATGTTGTATTGTATCTTATTGTAACGTCTCGTGTCATATTCTTTCGTATCATGTTGTGTATTGTATCAAATCGAATCATATCATGGCATATCATATCTTATTGTGTCACAATGTGTTGTATTGTGTTATATTGTATCGTTTCACAATACAGCCTGTCATATTGTATCATATTGTGTCATGTCGTATCTAATCAAATCGTACCGTGTCATATTGTATGGTGTCATATCGTGTAGTATCGCATCGTGTCATATCATATTGTGTCGTATTGTATCAAATCGTGTTATGTGGTGTCATATATTGTGTCGTATCGTATCCTGTTTACATAAAAATGCGTTTACTTAGGCTTTACGAGTTACAAGTTTTTACCCATTCTAGTTTGACTCATTATAAAATAATTGCAACTTACAGTCCCACTAATTGGTCCAGCTGTCATGGAGAAGTGTAATTTCTCCTTCCTGGGTACTTCAGGTACAGCATTTGTTTTAAAAATTGCTTACTGCCTTTGAATCTTAACCTGACTATTCATCATGAACAAAGCCCCAGTTAATGAAATGTTAAATTAAATTCACCTCATGACTGAGATCTGCATAATGTCTTTAGTGTCTTTAATTTGTAGTTTTCCCCAGGGGTAGGAAACAACAAAGAATCTCTTTGGTCTACTCCTGCAACACCATTGACTTACACATAGTTCATTCACATGTTTCGTTTGTTGCACACTGTGACATTTACAGATATGTGATGTCAATGTAATGTAAGAAATCCTGCACACAGTTTCCCAGAGCTGAAGCCTCATAAATCTGCAAGAACATGACTTTATATCTCAGGTCTTCATCCTTGCACAAACATGCTGTGCCATAATGCCAACCAGACATTATAATATCCCACCTCCCTTCATCCAGAGACATTATTTCTCATGAATATCTTAAAGTTAAGCTTAAAGTTAATAGCTCTGTTAGATATGCTCTCAAAATTTCCCCCTATATTTACAGAAGCATGGGAAATCTTGAATTATTCAGTCATATCTTTTTTTGCAGCTGCTCGGATATCAAACTTTCACGAAAATATCCCCTGTGGTTATCATGTTCAAAGCAGGGAACATTTTGGCATCCATGATTAGCAAAAACGAAAAAACTTACAGACCAGAAAAGTGGATATTTTGCTGTATTTGTTACTCCTTGCCTCATGGTTTGGAGTGAGCAGGACTTCGATGAAAAAGCAACATGTCACCAGGATGAGGATTCCATTAATGTCATCATACAATTAACTTTAACAGCAGCCAATTTAGTCCTGAATGAATAATGTGTCAGATAAATAGTTCATAATTAAAACCAGGCTGACGTGCAATCATTCAATCGAGAGTGAGTGACACAGCTTCACTAACAAAGCAATCCACAGCTAATCGAGACTTACAGCTACTTCATTAGTACAGCAGGCTAATGTGTTTAGGTTGTGTTAATGACATCAGGCTGAATAGATAATGTGTCAGTCAGTTCAGGTTCAGTCTTCCCTTTACTATCCGTAATGTTGTTAACTGGCTTTTGCTTGACTTTATTAGTCAATGCTAGAGGTAAAACAGTAAGACTCTCTGATTGGTCAAAGCAGGAGGTTCAGTGGGGATGTCGACCAATCACCTGGCAATGACTGAAAACCACATTTCATTTTCAAATGAATGCCGAAAGTTGACTGTCAACACACCCCTGTGTTGTGAAGAGGTCACAGGAGGTTTGGATATATCTCGGTTCATATCCTCGTGAAAGGTCACATCCTTCTAGTTGAGTGATTTTCACCTGGCTTTGGCAGCTCTATAGACAGTTCTCACCTTCCCTTATCCTAAACCCACCCAGCTGTAGCACCTCCAGGCATTGAAGCTGTCATATCCGTTGTTTCAACTTTATGAGTAAATCCATCTCCCAAGTTGAAATACACCAATTTCCACACTTGAGTGCAAGCAGATCATTGTAAGCCTGGCTTAATGCCAGGGAGTGAACTGCTGGGTAATATCATTCCCCCCTGTGACGGGACCTCTCCTGTGACTTTTCTCTGCTTCTCAACACAGCCATTTGTGTGTCATAGCATCTGTACTGCCACCGCACCAATTCTCCCTCCAAGGACTTTTTACCTAGTATAGAAACAGCTACTTCCTATAATCGATAAATAATAGTTGCACTGGAGAAGTAGAGCTTTTGATGCTGTTCTTAGGTGTCACTTTGTCCTTAAACATACCATAGAAAGGACAAAAGAAAGAGAGTTGACAAATATGAACAGAAGCTTGTCAGGGTGCCTTACCTACTGCAGTCACATTCACTTTCAGGTTAATGACTCCGTAAAAGCACAGGAGGGACAAAAGCAGCATTGCTGGCCAAATAAATCCCCCTGTGTATTCAGCGATTTCTACACTTTGTAAAAGGGTCGAACAGAAAGAGAGCGACACAGAGAGTGTCTGTCAGTGGACAGTAGACGGCTCATTACTGGTGTGGATGTTTTCTCCAGGGGCAGAGGACCAACTTGACCTCCCTGACACCAAACCCACATACAGACACATACACATCCTCAACACTACAGATGACCACTTTTTCAGTTCTGAAGACGTTAAGTTTTAACACAGGTTCAGCCAACAAGGGCAGCCACTTTCTCCTTCTCCTTTCATCTAAGACCTTTCCCTTCCCCCCCCCCCCTCTCTTCCTCCTCTTTGTTCCTCCCATTAGGTCTGCTGGAGCCAGGTTGCTCCCATGGCTGGAGTAGATAACAGCAGCCATTATCAGATTCCCAGCATTTAAACAGCAGCTTGGCATCGATCGCTGCAGCTATACTGGTCTCGACTGTCCTGCCTGCACGGTGCCGGAGCATTCTGAGAGTGAGATATACCCCCATACACAACAGCCATGATCTAATCTGTCAGAGCGACTAATTTCTCATAAAGGCTTTTGACTCAATCCTTCATATTCACGTCAAATTCTATCACGCTGTCTGGTGCATCTTCTTTGAGAAACCCGATCCATCTCTCCCACAGAATCACAGGCAGATAATCCTGCTGCCCGTTTGCAGAGCATCCTAATTAACACGATTACATAACTGATCAGATTACTGAAATACTCCCCAATCAATTAGGACGACATGTAATGTACATAATTATCCAGGCCGGAGTGATAATCAGATAATTGACCTCTAGCAGCAGCATGTTGTGGTGATATGATTAGGGATTTGCCAATCTAACATACAGGACTGGTATCAGCTCACCGTCATGTGGATCAGGTGATTACTAAAATGTCACCCAGAGTTTGAATAATCTTTATTTACAGATTTTACAGGGACGGTTTCATCCATAATGCAGGGTCTGTGTATGATTTCTGAAGAGGATTCTGAGATCAGCTGGAAACAGGTGAATGGGCTGTACTGGAAGATGTAACAAACCAAGAAATGACAGGCAGCGTTCACGCCACATCAGACAATGACTTCAGGTCGGTTCTGACGTTGATCTCATTCATGTCAGACTAAAAGTTGGACGCCATGACAGTCTGCTTAGTCACTTTTCTTCTGACACATTAATCCCTCACTTCATGTTATCTCATACAATAAGATCCTGGATGCAGAGACCCCTCTCAAACCTTAATTTTGATGGGCTGACTTCCCCAGTTTTACAAGAATTTTTTTTTTTTTTTTAATTTATTATTTTTATTTGCCACTATTTCATTTCTTTGGAAACCTTCTCAATTTCGACTGGGGTTCATTTAAAATGCTAGTTTTAAATCACGCTAATCTTTAGCATCAGTAGATAAATCACCATACCGAATCAGAATTTTGGCCAAGAATAGGGGACTGAATTACCCAGGTTAAAGGTCGAGTGGGTGATTGCTGGTTTGTATTGAAAATCCAGGATGCACTTTATTTGATGCCTATCTCTTGTACGCATTATGAATATATGTATAATGTGTTATGTCACGTTATAGCACTGTATAACTATAGTTATAAACACTCATAAATGATCATTATGCTTTATAGCAATAATCATCATAACACATTATAAAGCATTTTACCATGACTTACAAGGTCAGGTATTATAATGACTTATAACTGTTCACAAGTCACTGACAATGCCCACATAGATAACGCAATGCAACTGTTGTTAACAGTTATAACACTTTATAATACTTGACCTTGTAAGTCATGGTGAAAAGCTTTATAATGTGTTATGATGATTATTGCTCTAAAGCATTATAATCATTTGTGAGTGTTTATAACTATAGTTATACAGTGCTATAATGTGATTATAACGCATTATAAATATATTTGTAATGATAATCTGTCAGATACCATTTGCTCATCAGGCCTTTGCTGACTTCTGTAGAAAAAGGAAAATTAGGCCCAAAATCAGCACAGTTATCTTGTAGTGTATGCCCTGCTTTATTGATTGCTTAATGAAATTTTGGCCGGGGAAAATATACAAACGTCTGCCTTTGCAATATGCAATAACATGATGTACACCTACCTCTTGGCAGTGGCCTAAGACATTAAAAAAAACTGCATAGAAAGTGTCATATCCTTATCTCCCCACAGTAGCTTTAATAAATCAACTAAAGTGATGATAAAACTACTTTCTGCATGTTCCCATATCATGTTAATAACCAATATATAGATAACCTGAATCATACAGCCTACTTTACTAATAGTAGAATTCAAAGTACACCCTAAATCTAGGTTCTCTTGCCACCTGAAGTTAAAGACTCTGACAAGCTCTGCCCCCGAGTGCCTGCTCCTTTGACTGAAACCCCTCTTTCCCAGCCGACCCCGAGCACACAGCTCCACCTCAGCCAAACCACTTTATTCTGACCTGAAAGCACAGAGGACGTGCTCTCCAGACTGTGTCCCCCTTGAGAGCGAGGACAGTAGAAAAAAAGAAAAAAGAAAACCTAACCAAGAGGGAACATTTCCTCATCCTCTTCAACACGGCCGGAGAGTAATAGTCTGCAGGAGGAAACAGGATCGCATTTCAGAGCCGGACAATGAAGCAAAGAGTAGAGCCGGGCCAGAAAGCAGGACAAGGCTGACTCAATGCTCTTCAGTTTATGTGAGTGTGTCCAAGCTTTGTGTGTGTTTGCTTCTGCATAATTTGGTAGATGTGAACAGGACACATGAGGACATGCTGTCTGTGTGATAATACCACCCCATTATATTGACCCAGACACATCAGTACACACAGTGGCTCACTCAGGCTGTATTCAACACATCCAGCTCTCGCCTGCAGATGCACTCAGAGAGCCCTTGATTAAATTGCTATAAGAATGACCCACAGTTGCACATTCACACAGATATGTTCAAGTTTGATGGCTCTCTTGCCTCTTTTAGAGAATTTAGAAATGGCTCGTTATGAAGATTCACACCAGAATTTGTCTCTTGATGGAATTTGGCCCTCGTAGAAAAGCAACGACAAAAGCCAAAGAATTCAGGAGTTGTGTCCAAGTCTTCACTTTAATTTATCAAATGTTAGGCTGCATGAATATTGGCTCACATCCGTGTGTGTGTGTTGTCTTTGAGTTTGTGTGTCTCAGAGATGCGATGTACCTTGACAGCAGGCGTGACTCCATCTTCAGTAGTGCTCTGCCCATTCTGTCAAAAAAAGCAGATGTGAGAAACAGTCAGAAAGTGTGACAGTGCAAATATTATTTTCTGTGTGTGTGCAGAGAGAAAGAGAGAGAGCGAAAAGGGAGTCACACAAAGAAGAGAAAGAGAGGAAGAATATTTGCAAGACTGTGTGGGTGGCTGCAGTCCATTGTATCTAGCACTTTGCTCCTCTGCTGGCAAACCTAATAATGTTAGACTGCGACACAAACGCACATCCTTCATCCGTTCCCCTGTTGGCAAGTCAGGTTGAAAGGGGTAATTATTGTTATTTGGAAAACAAAGGCTCACCTGAGACCGTTCGCACAACCTCCACATTTTGTACCATAGGATATAATTGGGTGGGTTACTTTGAAAATGACAAAGGAGACGATGTGGGTATAATTCTGTGGCACACAAAAGCGCAACAAAAGGAGAAAAGAGAAGGAGGGATATCTGTGGAATAATTGCCTGTGTAAGGTCCACAGGGGCTACACAAACACCAAAAGGCAAAGAGAGAAATCTTACGGCTCTGGACCCTGGAAGTGTACTAAAGAGTTTGGCTCTGTGTTTGAACAGTTTTGGTCCAGGCCAGCAGTCCTGGGCTGGACTTAAAGAGGCGTACAGACCTGTATCTGGACAGATTCAATCAAATCCAAGTTTATGGATCTGTATTATCTCCATACAAAGTGAAAGGAGATCTGTTCTGTCACTGATTCTTATGATGATACTGTCCATCTACAATTTGTGTTATAAGAGATCTGACAAATGAATCCCTGCATTTCAAGGCAACTTCACATACAGACATAAAAAGACATTTGATCTAATTATTGATGCCAACATTAACTTTATTATTTGTAGTCTGAGGTATTGTTTAAATCTTAGAGTGTCACCCCTGGAGTTTGTGGTACAGTTTTTAATAAGGCAGGCTTCAGTTTTTAATCAAGTTTACCCATGTTATTAATTTGTCTCATGCCTGACGAAGTGGCCCAAGAGCCAAAAGGACTCCAGGCTGATTGACGAGTACATTGTAATGAGCTGAGTGAGAGACTGACAGGCTCTCAGCATCAAGTAAAGCAGCTGTCAGTAACGTGTATTTACAAATGCTCAGATAAGATGAGACAAATCCTGATACTGATTTGAGGCTATTTCACCCAGCATTAGTTACCATGTGAAAATAAATCTATAACCACCTCTTTTTTTCAGTGATTGAGGAACTCCTACATAGAGAGTCAAGTATTCTGGACAAGTGTCACAACACGCCAAGTACCAGCTCCCCGATTTCCGCTTCATGCTTTGTTTTTCCATTACTGAGGGATAACTCTGAGGCTACTCACTTCCTCCGTGCCCTCCTTCTTCCTCCGCTTCCTTCAGACCACACTAAACAACACAGGCAGCAACACAGGGGCAAGCAGTCGCATCAGCAATCTACCATGATACAGTGAGAGCGAGATGTCAAAGGAGCATGAATAGAGACAGGTTAGGCCGCTGCCTCTGCCTATGCAGGAAAAATAAAGGCGCGCTGGGGATCCTATACATTATCCTTCACAGCACCGTACATTCACTCCTATAGTGAGGCTGGATTTCATCTGGAACTGGATGTACTTCCTATTTTCAGGCTTATGCTTGCTTTCGCAACAGCAAAGAGCTAAACTGGGTCTGTTGGGCACCTACAAAAAGCAAAAGTTAATCTAATTTAACTTTAAATACTTCTAACTTAACCAAACCAGGTTCAGCTACTTGCTGAGCAACACATTTATTCCTTTAAGTTACCAACCATTATCTTCAACTCTGAGATACTTTGGAAATTACTTTTTGGATGCTGAGGTGTCTTAATGCTTACGTTATCTAACTTCGCAAACGTTAGCTAAATGTTACTTTTTTGGGTATAAATCTTCAGATTTAAAAGGGATATTCTGGTGTAAAATTAAGTTAGGGTCGAACACACCGTAACACTGAGTTAGGCACCTTGTCGAGAGATGAATGTTGCCGACTGCTTGCTTCTCTAGTTATACCAACTTAAGTAACAACCGCATGATAGAAATACAGAGAGCCACACGCTCAACCAAAAAGCCACTCTATATCCACAAATAATGCTCAGAACAGCACCTAACTTCATCAACAGGACATATAGGGTCCCAGCCACAGCACTAGCCACCAAACATCTTTTTAACTTTGTCTAATTTCTTTAGCAGAGAAACTAAACACAACTCACCTACTCTCTTCCAGCAGCCGCTTGTTTGTATGGAGAGCTCAGGCCAGTCCATTATGGACTGCTGTGGGGTGACACAGCTCAAGGAAGAACATTTATGATCATTACTTTATCATTTTCTTGAAGTAATAATCATCATATTAATCATTTTGCACTGCAGACGCGGTAGTTCTTCTGCTTTAGCGTCTCGGTCTGATTGCATTTTCATGAGGAAATGATCATAAATGTTCTTCCTTGAGCTGCGTCACCCCGCTGCAGTTGATGGACTCGTCCAAGGTCTCACTACAAATAAGCGGCTGAACAGATTTATACCACCTGTCATTTTTCAGTTTATTATCAATCAGCATTTATCTGATACAAAATCCAGCAATAAATGAGGCACCCTGAAATGTCCTTTCCTTGCATCTTCCTTCTAAGAGGCATGGTTGGCTGTCTTTGTCTAACCCAGTATGTTTAAGATAAGCAGCGTGACTCTGACCGTATGTGTGTAAGTTCAACCGTCAGGAGTGTGCGTGTGTTGTTGGTCAGCGATGCCTTCGCGACGTTGCCTCTCGCAACACATTTTGCCCTCATTAGCTTTGCATGGTTGATCCAAGTGGCCCAGTTAATGGTGCTTCCCTTCCTCTGGGCTTCCTCAATGAGAGCGCAGACATGCACACAGACTATAACAACCACATGAGTATGCTCAGAGTTAAAAGAGACGTGATTCGATTGAATTCAAAAACGCTGTTGCGAGGTGTGCCTAAATAATGCACACACAAGATGGAATGTGCAGACCGCAGGAATGCTGCAAAAGATTTACAGCCAGAGCAACGAAGGACAACTTTTAATTTCTGCTTCATATTCTGGAAAAGTAAACAATGTTAAGAGCACTGTAGTGGTGTGTGTCTAACAGACAATCTGTGTTTTAACAGCCAGATTGGAGCAGCACTGCCCTGTAACTAGGCAACTAAGAAATACAATGGCTACACTCATGTCTGTGCCCGTAATCCTATCTGACAAAATTTCTCGTAACCTCACTTTGCACCGAGTATTGACAGAAGGTCACATTACAAATGTCCTCTTTTTGGTCAATGCCCAGAAAATGGATAAAAGCCATTTCCAGCTTTCTTATCAAAAGGGTGTTACAAGGTTTGTTCTTAACCCCTGCAGCCCCAGTGTGTCAAAGGAGTTTTTACTTCTTCAACACCACATCCCCCTACAAATAATGCTGTATTTACAACTTTAAGACTTACTTATTTACAATTTTTAGACTTAAAGTCACAAGGGGTGCCACTTTGTAAGAGCACTTATCAAGCAAAGTGTTGTGTTATCACATGTCCGCCCAGCCCTGCTCAGGTGTTCTCCAGGTCACGCCCAGATAAGCTGGAGCTAAGCCTGCGTGCCTGCGTGCGTGCGTGCGTGCACAGGAACACACTGAACTTCAAGTACTCTGAGCGAGCACTGCTGACCACGCCTGGCAAGCAAACATGGCATGCATTCCCTCTGTTAACCCTACTTTCTCCTTTACATGCTGTATTGCATAATAAGTGAAGAAACTCGCTTCTGTATGTAGGCTTCTTAAGTCCTTCTATTAAGGCTCAGCATGTTCAGTGGTTACAAAAACCTACAGATTCTGGTTTGGTTCCTGTTCCAGCTCTGATTTATTCCCATAAAAACTGCTACTAGAGTTCCAGTTTGGAAACCTGGCAACCAATGGGAAAGTTTGTGTTGAGCCCTGGGCTGGTTCTGACTGTTTGCGAGTGACACATTGCTACGATTTCACCCCCGATTTCTCTTTGAGGCACTAGAAAGCAACGCTGGGTTAAAACAGAGTTCATGTAGTAGAAATAAATACTTAAAATATAATACAAGGGTGTGAAAGACTGACTGTGCACTGCACTCATCCTGTTCTGCAATATTTTCACAGTGCAATATGAAACAATTGAGTTGGGTTGCACTAGGACACTGGGACAGTTGGAAAAATAGACAGACAAGCTGGAAAAAGAGCGCCTCTGGCCAAAGCTTTTGCCAGCATTGAGGCATAAAATCCTCATATTAAAGATGCAGAGAGATGAGGTGGAATAATCAGCTCTATGAATACAAAAAAAGCACCAAACTAACTACTAAATACCTCAAGCATCTTCTAAACCTTGTTAAATCCAGCGAACGTTTCTCAAGTTTAAAGAGAACAATGATAGCATTGGTCGATGCAGGTGGTACTGACTCAACTGGGACGGGATCTGCATGATTTACTGAAGAGGCTTCATCAGAGATGATTCACTGACAAGTCAATTCATAACAGACGTGGTTTGGGGATGAATAAAAGAGTTCAATCAAACAAACGTTTGTGAATAGCTCTTTTTACACGTTTCCAGCCTGCTTTGCCACAAATCTGCAGCACAAAAGGCTGTTGATCTGATTTCCATTCATGACACCTTGTCTGCTTCCAAACACAGGCGCTCATGTAATGTGCAATGTGGAAGCAGACTTGTCACCAGCTGTCGTATCATAGCACGTCGTCTGTGCTGATGAGAGTGGTGTTCTTTTGAGGGGGGTGATTTTGAGTTTTCATCTGGTTTTTATTCCCCAAATTTGTCCTGAAGTGTTTTCCGTCTGTCCCATCTGCACGTGTGCGACCGCTCCGAAAGATGTGCTTCCCGTTTGACTCTCCAAACATGTTAAACTGGCATCGCCTCGGGTCACACTCACACTTATTGCTCAGTCTCAGCCCTGAGGTAACTCTCTCTCTCCCTTTTGCTAAGTGTACAGATGGCTCGAAGGTTTGCGACAATGATGCATTACACATATTGCAGTTTCTGGTGCGAACAAAATGATTTCACAAACTGGATTCCAGCCCCAGATGCTTCCATGTGACACCCAAAATAATGCTTTATATTTTTCGATAAAAGCCGCATGATATTTACAAATGAATACTGTTTTTCTTTTTGCCATTATCTCACCAATTTGCGAATTCAAAGGCTGTGTATTTTTGCAGTCTGAAACTTTGCGCTCTTCACAGGCTCCGCACTACCATCTGTTCAGTTGTGATATGCTACCCAGCCAACTCATATGCTGCAGGATACTGTAAACAGTGGAGTCTGCAGGAGAAACTAAGTCAGGATGACACCGTTTCTAAATGGCTAAGTGCTTCCTCTACAGGTTTTTCATTCATCATAAAGCACTTGTGAAAACATCTGTCTGCTCTACAATTAATGCAACAACTGCATAATCAATAATGTCTACTTCCTCGCATGTGCTCGTACTCTTGGAATTAATTACACGGCTAAATTAAATAAGCCTTTGCTGCTTCTGGATTCAGCCTTTAATCCAATATAGTACTTCAGAATCAGAGAGTAAAAGCGATCATTTTTCACTCAATTCCTCTGCCCTTTTTTCCATTTTTATTACATTTGAACTCTCATCAAATGAAAGAAGTTCACCACCAGGCAGGAACAGACATAACTAGTCTTTTTCTCCAGTCAGACTGATCTCTTGTAAGATTGATTGAGCACAATGTAATATTGTGCATGGAGCTTTTTATTAGAGAGGTTGCAAACGCAATAACACCTCACTTGGCTCATTTGTAGGTGCAAGTTTAATTAAAAAATGAGGCAATTCATAACACGGAACAGGTTGCTCTCATGCTGGCCATGTGCGCTCATCTTAACTGATATGAAGGCTGTTTAGCCACCAGTCATCCAGTCTGTTTGAGAGACAGCTGAAGGGTCATGAATAATTATGAAGAAGAAGAAGAGGGGTATACACACTCTTAAGGTCTCAAATCTGTCTCACTTTCCCACTCTTAACTCTACACATTTGAGGTCAAAGCTCCTTTAAGAAACTTTTGGTTTGTCTCGATTTTCTTTGTTAATTTTGTCCTCAAACCTCATCCTGCTGATTTTTGACAATCGCCATCCCCTATCAGTATTTTACATGCAAATTGTGAAATCAGGACTGCTTATTCGACTGATTAGCTGACACCTACCCCATTGCACCACTTTCAGGTATTAAATATTCCAAAACAAAATCATCAGCCTTGTAGCTAATGGTCTTGTTTGTTTTTGGACATCATGAAAAAGCTTCATAATGAATTTGAGTCTATTTTGTAAACATCAAAAAACTCTTCCTAGGAGCTTTAACTGATGAAAAGTGTAAAATATGCTAATTTTATTCAAGTCGACACTCAGAGTGTAATCCGCAGCTTGAAATTGGGTGTGCATTAAAGCTTTTGTAGATCATTGAAGGGGGAATATACTTTTGCAATGTGTTTTCCTGAAGTCAAACTTAAGGTTAGACATTATTGACTTTTTAATGTGCCACTCACAGAAGCAGGCACTGGAAACCACTTCAAAGGTAGGAGCAGTGAGGCAGCAATGATGAATCTGTACATTTCCTTTAGGTCGCACAGCTCTTCTCTTCTCTTAGCTCTTCTCCCCCCAGCTATGAGCTTTGAAACGAACTCACACAAGAGCAGGGGTCGACTGATTATCAGCTTGGCCAATTATCAGGCTGGCCGAGCAATTAAAGGCCTATATTTGACATTTTACTGACCATGCACAGGCCTGTGGTTGTTTGATATTAGGGATCTCAGGTAAATTTAAACGATTAAAAAGTTGTGTCTTTCCCTTTGGTTCTGTTTTCACTCCTCACTCTATCGTGCTTAAAGTTCAGCCGAAAACCACCACTACTTTATCGATGTAAGAAATCTAGGGTCTATAAAAGTGGTCAATACATACATGAGCTGTAAAAGTTGTGCAGTTGCTAGAGAGAAAAACTCAACTTTAATTGCTTCACATGCATCTATAAAAATTTGTAGCAGATAATGAAGGCTGTTTATCTCTTTTCTTTTTCTTTTATGAACGACAGGTTTTGACACCTTCTACTGTGAATGGATATCAGTATGTATATTGCCTCCTGAATGATCTATATCGGTTCTGGAAAAAACAGTATCAGCCATCAACTCCCACACCAGCTCCAGGAAGAGAGAGGAGAGAAGTTTTCTTGACCCAAGCTCTTAAAAAACACTTTTTGTACTGGCTTGACTGTCATTATTACAGTAACCAGAAAAACTAGGGAAACTGCACCTCCTAAGAAACTGCAAGGCCTAAAATAATGTATCTAATCCCGCTCTGATGTAAGAAATCAAAGGTCTGTAAAAATGGTCAATGCACACATGAGCTGTAAAAGTTGTGCAGAGAGAAAAACTCAACTTTTATTGCTACGAATACATCTATAAAAATTTGTAGCTGATAATGAAGGCTGTTTATCTCCTTCCTTTTTCTTTTATGAACGACTGGTTTCAGCACCTTCTACTGTGAATGGATATAGGTTCTCAATATCGATAATATGCCTCCTGAATGATCTATATCGGTCCTAGAAAAAACGATATCAGTCGTCAGCTCCCACACCAGCTCCAGGAAGAGAAAGGAGAGAAGTTTTCTTGACCCAAGCTCTTAAAAGACACTTTTTGTACTGGCTTGTCTGTCATTATTACAGTAACCAGGCAAACTGGGGAAACTGCACCTAAAATAATACATTAAATCCCACTCTGACACTTAATTAATCCAGGATTAATATGATGAATTATCAATTAAACCAATTCACCCTCGTTTTAGTCTGTTTGTTTCAAAGTAAAGCTTCAAAGTCAACCCAGCTCTATCATTTCAACTTCACTTTGACTTTGTCTGCAAACTGGTGACTCGTGAACACCTTCATTCTCACGTCGCTCGCCATTTTTAATTTCACCTGAACCATCTGAATTTCAAACCGGTCAAACAGCGCGTGCACAGAGACGTCACCTCTCATTACCTCGGTCTCGAGCTGCACTAGTTCCATCGTGGGCCATGGCTCCGCAATCTGTGCAAGAGGCATTTTCGCCGGATTCTCTGTTTCCTCTTCAGCTGCTTAAATGAGGTCTCCGCGGATTTCAACAGCGCTGCTCCTCCTGTCAAGTGCAGCTCAGAGAAGAGGAAGAAAAAGGAGCTCCAAAGTCCAGGTACAGATGATTTATCAGCACTTTGATACCGGCTCACAGGGGAAGACGCGCAAACAGCCACTGCGGGCTTAAATTACGATTGTAATCCTTTACTTCTGACTTCGCCGTCGGTTTGCCACTTGTGCGTTTATGTGGAGTGATAATCCAGCAGAAATGACCAACAAAACACTCAATAAACCGCTTCTCTGTCCAGGTGCGCGCGTTGCTTTCTCTGGGGTTTTTGCAAGAAGGAAAGGAGACTCCAATCCAAGCTCTCTCAGCAGCAAGAGTGCGCAAAATCTAATGCCACCTGGAGGATTTAACAAAAGAGTCCCCTCTAGTCGACGCCGTTATCCGCTCCTGACGTCTACCTCCCCGTGTGTATCTGTGATTTCTCCCCGGGCAGAAAGCGAACACTTCACTCAGTCCGCCTGCTTTCCCAGCACAGACCTCAGTGTGGCTCTGTAGTACGAGCAGCCTCCAAACTCGAGCTGTTATTGGCAGGCTCCAGCAGGATATCATCCAGCCCTCCTCCTTTTTTTTTTTTTACTCCATCTGTTCCGCCCAGGTCCGACTCTGCCTCCATCTGACGGAGAGAGAAACTGCAACTACGTAATGCAAGAGTTGGAGGCTGTTATTCATGAACGAAAGGCTGGTTTTCTTTGATGCTTTTGGTGCAGCAGGTGCATCAAGGGGAAAATAGATCCCCTGCGTTCAAAAGGAGAGCTGTCAGTCAAACCATGAATGGCTGCAAAAGAAGAAAAAAGGGAAGTGTGTTGTTGCATAATTTAGAAAAACAAAAAACAACAGGACAGAGCATGATTGTGCAACTTTGACAGCTGGAGTTGACTTCCTTTATCCAGATATTCAACATATCATCTTAAAATTATGATAGTAGATTCAGAGCACTGCTTTTAGATCTAAAACTTCCTCACACATTGTTCCAGAAATTACATAACACAGATTACACAATAATGCAATGTAAAGAAGAAAGAGAATAGAAACCACTGGCGCTTGAGTCGTGACCGCTGCAGTTTGATCCCACCCGGACACCAAATTTGATGCAGCTTCTCTTTTCCATTGATAACAGTGCCGGTGATGGCCCTTGTATTCTTTCAGTGATATAATACACACACCTCTCCGCCCTCAATACTTTGTGTGCTTCATTCACTGCTGAGTGGAATTTGCTCTTGGCTAAAGCTTTGGTTACTATTGGCAACTGGAGAGCATCAATAGTCGCCTCACTGATGGATCAGATAAATTTGATTCAATTCAGTTCGAGGGGGAAAAGGCATGGCATTTCAAAGGAACAAAAATTAGGATTATGGAAAGGTTAAATGGAGCTTGGATGTGCTGTCGTTATTTGTGATGGATGGTGGTCTAACTGTTGTGCATGAAATATACACTTAAAATGGTGAATAGATTTATTTAAAGCATCCTTTAGTCTCTTACATATCACATTCACCCATTCATGCACTGGTGGTAGAGGCTGTTTATATATCCATGTGTGTGTGTGTGTGTGTGTGTGTACAGAGCTGGACACAGCCAGCAGGAGAAGGTCGGGGTCAAGTGTCTTGCATAAAGATCTGCATGTATGCAAGCTTGTCGCTTCCTATCCCTCCATATTTCCACACACCAGGGAAGGAGAAGGAACACGCTAGTAAGGTCAGAGCACACCTCATTTATTTTCTGTCAAATCCATACCACCAAAGGGTGGTCAGAGGGTTCATGTACTGTAGGAGGAGGGCCATCCATCAAAAGCATAATGTATGTAATATTAAAAGTCACTGCCCTCCCAGAGCTCACATTCACCTATCAATTCATCTTGAAGATTGATAAGCAGCTGCCATGGGACAGCTCATGGCACCTCATTACGCTGAATAGGTGTTTTTTATCTTGTGCAGCCGTGCAACACACCACTGATCCTTTCCTTCTTTCTCTCCTTGTGTCTTCTTTTCTTTTCCTCCCCTCTCTGCTTACATTCCTCTATTGTAAAAAGATAAACTGCCACTCTCATCTTGAGCATTTCTCTGTTTATAGCGCCTCTTGTCCGATATGATGAATTACAGACACTCAGTTGGAGCTGAGGGTGAAAGTCAAAGGTGTATAAGGAGATAAATAAAAGAGGACACTAAAAGAAGGCGGCAAAGTCATGTCAGCGGGCCTGGGAAAGCTTTCCTTCCTAAAAAACAATCACTGCATCATCAGAAAAAAGGTCAGATAGGTCCAGAAGGGCCGCTTCTTGTAAGACAGAACCTTTCAAAAGGACGGAGGTACTGATCGGCATGTTCGCTGTTAGATGTTACATGTGAGTCCTCTCTGTCTGCAGGGGATCTCTTCGCCAGTGACATCACAGGTGACAGCGGCGATGACTCAGAGGTGTCTCCCGTCCAGCCACTCCAGGAACACCCTACCCCCCTCCTTCATCCTGAGACAAGAGGCATCATGGGTAATATGACTCAGCCCAAGTGCACTGAAGCAAGAGTTCACCCTGGGACTGTACAAGCTGTGACAAAAGAGCAGATTTACTCCCTGAACAACACTCGCTGTTGTCGAACCTTATTTTCAGTGGAGTAGAAGCGCGGCGATGTTGAGTACTCACTTGGAGAAACAATGAATCATACATTATGTAGAAGCCTCTTATCAGCAATAAACGGCAGTATTAGGATGCAAATACATGCACACTCCAGCTGTGAAGTGGCAGCTGCTCCTGGAACAGCACCTCCAAAACTTCAACTCAGTGTTTATTTCTCCTGCTCCCCTCTGATAACACTTCGTTTAATGACACTGCTCTCAGTCTGTTCATCTTCGACATTTTGTTTTTAATGTTTCTTACTTTATGTTCAGAGAAATGTTTCCTTTGCCTGCCTTAATTTTATTCCTTTGTTTATTATTCCACCTATCATTTTTGCTTTTTAATCACAATACGCTACAGCTAAAGCGAGATTTCAAACTGTAAAGCAATTTTTTAGATAAAATAAAGTAAATAAAATATAATTTACAGATTGCACATTGAGGGATATTTACTTGTTACAGCAGCTAAAAGTAAAGATGTACATTTAAGACTTTGCATCACACTGCTGTTGTTAGTTATTGTCATAGTTTACCTGAAACTTGTAAATTTAGGGAGTGCATATGAACCACGATATTAGTCAGAGTATTGTCTGACCTTTAAAGCTTATGTTGCATTTGAGACTGTGTCAAGTGGAAACTAATAGTGATGGGCACGGCAGTTCTGTTAGATGTACTGAATCACTAGAATCAGTTCATTAGAAAGATTCATTTAAAAGATTCGTTCACAAAATCACAGAATCATTGGCGGGAGGAGCCTGCGATTCAGACTTCCTGAACTGATACACAGCTGAACGGTTCAGGATTCAGTTCAGATCATGGTCTCCCTCCATCACTCCTGTCAAGAGCTTGTTACAGCTGGTGAGTCTCACTCTCTTCTGCCAGCCTAACGTTTTAAATTTGTTTGATTGGGAACTAAATCTGTTAAAACAACGAGAAACAACGGTTACCATGAAAGTGTAGCCCTCAGACAAAAATGATTCCAGAGTGTTGTTCACTTTGTGATTCGTTCACCGAGTGATTCAGGCGTCAGCATGTGCTGTCCGTCGCTCTCCGGCTGCTTGCCCGGCAATGCTGCGTGCTATGGCAGCTGCACTGCTGACAGCTCAACTAAAGTGAGAAACGAACAAATCACTTGAGGAAGTGATTCGGTTCAGTACGGTCACTTAAAAGATTCAGTTCTTTTGAACGCATCATTTGCGAACGACACAACACTGGAAACTAACCACAAGTGAGAGTCCTACCCTTAAATTTTGGTTAAGAAGAAGCGCTGTGTCAGCATTTTAATCAATAGGTGTCAGTTCTCAACACATTTAAGATAAATACTCAAGCAAGGTGTGTGAGAAACTTGTAGTAAAACAGCGGACTGGTAAATTTACTGAACTACACTGTGCAGGGATTTTCACATATGCACATGAGAAATCTTAACATTTCTTTCACATCGTCACAAGTCATCCTAGGTGGAGCTCTTTTGTGAATGTGGGTTCCTGTTTCTCTAAAACCCCCTACTCATTTCTGTCGATACTACTGCTATCAGTACCGATACAAGTTCCAGTATCAGTATCCATACCATTGCTGGTGTCGGTATCAGCATCAGAATAAATCTATTCTAATGCATGTTTATGCTGTAAAATACAACCATACAGCATAACAAGCAGAGTGTAAGATAATGGTTATATTTTACTTTTACTTCACTCTCCACCGTTACTACAATGAATAAACCTGAATTACATCTAAAAGAGGATTAGGATGGAGTTTATGCGAAATGCTTATTTAATCCTGGGGATTTATTTGTTGATGCAACAAAAGCACCGGGAATTGACTCCTCTTGAAGACAAGTGTATCACAGCATTAAAGCACTCGACTGGATACATAAACCGCCTCCAGTGCAGATAAATACAAGAGCCGGACACTAATGGACAAGTCATTTTAAGTCACAACTCAGGATATGTAGCACATTTTCTCTCCGTTCAGTTCATTTTGCTGTCGAATTAATACTCAGGGTGTATCAGGATGGGGTGCAGACCTTTGCTGGTAATTCCCGCTCCACAGAGCTCAATGAGAACACGTCTGCAGAGCAGGGATCACCATCATCAGTGCGGCTCCAGCATAGAACAAATTAATTAGCTGCTCAATGGTGCAGCAGAGGTAATTATATGATCTCTACTGACTACGGCAAGAGAAGATGGCGCTGTAATAGTTTAAAAGCAGCTCTGGGTCTATGCCATGTTAAACAAATGGCTTTCAAACTGTAGAATCATCATGTGTTACTATCAAGTCTGCTGGGATAGCATGGTCGCAGATAGACGAGCAGAGGTATTTACAGATAAGACAAATAAAGAAAATTGGGAGATGAAGAGGTGAGGAGAGGATTTTAGCCTCTCTGTGTGATCTTACTCTCTTTTGTTTTCTCCTAACGCTGCATTTTGCAGCAACTTAGTGTATGCACTGTCAAGCAAACAGCGTGTTGAGGCTTGAATTTGTATCTTTGGTATTTGGGATGGGCTAAAAAGGGCAGGCCGAGCACCAAAAAAAAAACACAGTTGAGATAAAGTTCAACACAGAACAAGCTACACTGAGAAGGAGATTCAGGGTCAGATAGTTTTGTTTGTTCAATTTGGAAAGAAAGAAAGTAAGTGCAGAAAGTTGCATGAATAATTTGTAACATTAGCTGCAGATATCACTGGAATAAAACCGCTGCAGTATAGTGGACAGGGTGATGCAGGAATGCTGGAGGCTTCAAGCAAGAATGGGCAGGAATTTTGCAATCCTCTGCTTAGCAATAACCAAAGATCAGTCTTGATTCGTCAGAATAGTAAACTGATGTGTCAATGGCATGTGCTCGGTTATTTTCCTCTCATATTTAGCAGAGAACATCTTGACTCCACAGGAGTTCAGTAGTGATTCGTGAATCATTTTCACCATTATGCTGAGGGTTAAAAGGAGCGTCCTGCTGCATTTTGATGTTTCAATTTGTTGCTTTTACTTTGAAAAGCACTTATCCTTGATCTATGACAGTCTCAAACAATATTCTCAAGTATAGCCCAACAGATTTTTTCTAATTTTTGGAAAATTAAGCATAAACTGGATGTACGAGGACTATGCCTCTTTCCCTGCTGATATACTGAAGTGTATAAACCTGTTACCCCTTCCTATTAACAGTCTCTCTTGGTTCAAAGAGGATAACAGCAGGGGGTGCCAGATATCAGAGGGCAGCTCTTTTATAACCATGGCCTTTTCATCAGGCCTTGCCCTTTACTTCTAAAGAGACATCCCACAGCCTGATTTACCGGGTACCGTGACGCTGACAGTGATTTCCCAGAGTCGCTCACAGCACAGCTTACATGTTTCGCACATGGATTTCCTCAAGGTGCCAGACATGATTACATGAGCATGAATGAAGCCTGCTGCATTATGCTTCAAAAGCTCCTGGAAGTGGCATTTGATCAACTTCACACACACACTAGCTAGACATTTATGTTATCGTTTGTGGTTTCCTTGAAGAGCAAACGCATAAAATTGAACTTTATAAAGTTAATCATTAAATATTGTTGGGACTTTGAACTCAGGATTGTTTCAGCGCAGTTGCACTGTCATGGCTCTTGGAGAGAACATTTACCATACCGTCAATACAACAAAACATAAAACATTAACCATATAGCATCTTTTGTTTTTGCTTACATGTTGGTTATTTTAAGTTTTGGTATTGGCACACCTCAAAGGATAAAATCAATCAATCAAACTTTATTCATAAAGCGCTTTTCCTACAAGGATTGCAACTTAAAGTGCTTTACAGTCGTGTTTAAAACAAACACTAAGATAATGGACGTGAGGCTAAAAACAGATGAACCTGTTGAGACAGCGCCATCAGAATCAGAGGAGCCGTCAGCACCAGGAGCAGAGAGCTGCCTGCAACCTCAGGACACCAACACAGGGCCAGTGGAGGGATGTGTCAGACACCGACCTCCACCAGGAACCCCGTGGCTGGCCCCTGCAGCCACAAGCGACCACCTCTCCCAGTGCTGAGGGCTCCCTCAGAGGAAACACTGGGGGGGCTGAAAATGATTAAAGGATAAAAACTAAAATATGAATAAAATATAGACCTAAAATAGACCTAGGCTAACTAGTATAAATGAAGATAAAACCAATAAATATTGATTAAAAGCCAAGCTAAAAAGGTGGGTTTTGAGCCTGGAGAAAAGGGAAACATAGGCGGAAAATTCCTCAGAGAGCAGCCTTAAAAGTGGACTTAGAAAAGAGGATTAAGCATGCATGAGAGTTGTGGGAGAGCGTGTTTTTTTCATCCCTTTAATTCCCCTGACAATTTATGAACTTCAAAGGAAACCACACACCATCCTTTCTATTTACTTTTAGACAGAATCACATTGTCTCTATAATAAAGAAGAAAAATCAGATTCTTATTGTTTCTGTTGCACTCTAATGCAACCTCAAGAATGCCCTCTGAATGTACACACAGTCATCATGATCCCGCTGTTTGTCCTTCACAAGATTACTCTCAGGATTACCTGATACAGTACAGGTGTTGCTGTTATTGTGTCACATGTTGCTGCTGTGTAAATACAACAGGCCCTGCGCCTTTTTGGTGACGCATCTGAACCTGGAAGTCAAGCTATGAGGGAGGTTATGAGGCGGTAAAGCACTTTTCACACACTCAGACTATTCCTCCAGGTAAGGTGGAGAAGGAGGAGGAAGAGGGGGGTAGGTGAAGGGGGGAGGGAGGGGTCTTTGCTCCTGATCGAGCTGCCTGACAGTTCCGCACTATCGGTTGTCAGCAGGGGGACTCTCTTACCTGTTGTACCTGTGCGAAGGAGTGCCACTCGTCATCGTCCGACTCAAAATCAGGATCAACTTTTTCGTCCTCCAGGAGCCCGGAGAGGTAAAAGTCGGCGAGGAAGGCTGGGAACTGAACCAGCGACTGCAGCAGGACTCCAAGCATGGAGCCTATCACGTCGTGGAGCGAGGACCGAGTCAGCGAGTGGCTCCAAGGTGAGCAACATACCGCGCTGTGTGATGTGAGCTTTTTTTTTTTTTTACACGCCTTGATCGCCTCACAGGTACTTTGGCTCGGACCGTGGAGTCAAAAATAGACGCGCCACACTAAATCCTCTTGGGAGTGAAAAGTGGAGGGGGAATGAGGAAGTGGACAGGGCTGATAGCAGAGCCACAACAGACCTTTTTTTTCGATCAAGGTGGTATCTTTAGAAACAGACAGACTCCATGTTTACTACTTTCACAGTAGGACGTGTTGCGTTCACGTGTCTTAGTAATTGATACATTCCTTAGCAGAGCAGGTAAACTGCATATTCCTCTATAAACTGCACAGATTATGCAGATTTCTTTTTTTAAATATTACTTTATACCACACTACATAACAGTGAAGACCAAATGTAGCTGGCAGGCCTTTTGGAAAGCTCAACTATGCCTCATTTTGATTAATACTGCAATTGCAAGTGAACTTTATCAACTAAACCGAACCAAACTCTCGGATTGAATGCATTTTTAAATGTTTTAGTATATCACAATTGCTAACATGAGAGTGTTAAAACTACTTCAACTAAATACAAACTGAAAGTAAGACATCATATGCAATGTGGGGTCACAATGTTCCAGTGGTAGCTAATAATAAAACTATGACTGTGGGTACTTTTACTTTGAAAGGTTGAGTACATTGTGTTTTTTTATGCTTCACCTGTATTAAACTTGAAAAGCAGAATTTATGTCGTTAAAGGACTGTATTTTTCCATCATAGTGTTTTTCTTAAGCCTATACTGGGCTCTTTTGTGCTTTTATTTTGAAGGTTTTTTAACTAAAAGTCAGTACAACAGAAACCTATGCAGCCAAAAGTTTCTAAATCCATATTATAACGTTAACGTGGTAGGTAGGTAGGTAGGTAGATAGATAGATAGATAGATAGATAGATAGATAGATAGATAGATAGATAGATAGATAGATAGATAGTATGGTATGGATTGGTATGGCTTATTATTATTATTATTGTGCAAGAAAATCCTTATTCAGTAACACATGTCAGCCTTTTTTTTTAGATCTTATTGCCCAACATTTCTCCAAGCTTATAGGCTACTTCACTTAGGATGCCTGCAGCCCTTTCAGTCCACGCTACCTCTGCATGTCCCTGCCTGCACATGCCAAGGACTCTCTGCCTATATTAGGTTACCATTCATACATATTTACTACATGCATGTTTCTGTGTGTCCCCCTGCCAGGTCTGGATGCCCCCCTGCATCAGTACCCAGTGTCAGAGTGGCATTTGTCAGGTGTGGACCTGCTGCAGCTGACCTCCAAGGACCTGGACAGACTGGGAGTGTATAAAATCGGACATCAGGAGCTCATACTGGAAGCTGTGGAGAAGCTGTGCTCTCTGGTGAGTCAGGAAGCGGATTCACGTGTGTTTGTGTACAGTAGGTGTCCATAGCAGCGCTCTGTGTATCCAAGGCTCTGTGTGCGTGTGGCAGAGAGAAGGGTATTTACCAAGCAGGCTACTCCTTGTCTGGGGATACTCCTGATATCAGAGCATGGGAGGGTATTTTTCTGCTGTTGCGCTGTATTCAGACCATGTACTTGCTTGCACAGTGGAACCAGCAGCCACTTTTATTTGCAAGTCCAGGCTGAATACACAATTGTGTCATCCAAGAGCCTTTTGCAGCACCACATTTTGACTTCATTGCTTTTCTTTGCTTTGCCTTTTTTACATCCAAATTCCCCTTTTCAAGCATATCATGTTGAAATAGTGAAGACTTTATTTTCTGGCTAACCTCAAAGGACTCCATGCTTTAGCACCAATCCAAACAGACTGAGAGCAAATATGCTTTTGCTCATTACTTGTCATGCAAATTTCTAGGAAGATTTTTGCTCTGCTTTAAGAAAAGAGAGAGAAAAAAAAGTCTTATGGTTTGATACTTTTCCTTTTTTTTTTTGTCTGCCTAATTAAATTTCCTCCTCGTCCAATTTTGTGAGGGAGTTTCAGGACACTTAAATAGTGGCGTTGGTGTGTAGGGGTGTTTTTGTGTTTCCAGAAAGGCTTTTGTTTCATTGGAAGGACTAATTGAGCCAGGCAAGGCTCCAGCTCTGGTGGTGTAACAGTCTTTGAACACCAAGAAAAAGCTCAAGCTGCTTAAACTGCACATTGTGGGATTGTTGCAATACAGTTTGAAATGTTCATTAACAGTTCAAATCAAATTCAACAATAATGAGTGTGTGAATAAAGCCCACCCGTCGTTCAAACTTCAAACAGGTGTGCGAGACAGGCAGATTGAAGGAAAGTTTCAATCCATTTCAAGGATTTACAGTTCTGATAGTGAGCTTTTGTGTGTTTATGTGTGCATGCAAATCTTGTCTGGATGCTGCATGGAAGGCTAACACAGGGCTCATTCATAAAAACAACCATCAGACACTCACATGGAGCAGACCAAACACGCTCAAGTGCATGGTTACATAATTAACGACTACAAAGTCGGCAAGGCCATGAAAAATTCATGGCCACTTGTTGATGGAGGATTGTTCCAGCTGGTCGACGTTTGACAACAAAGCCTGAGTGGTCCGGTCTTTCCGACCACCGATGAGTGGGTTTGACAATAACTATCTCCTTTTGTTGTCAGGCGTGTGAGGTAAAAGACGCTCTGTCTTGTTATGTTAGGAACATTTATTCAAAGCCACAATTTGATGTGGCAGCTTTGGTTGATTTTTATTGTGTCAAAGTGACTGAGAGGTGTTTAAGTCTTACATAAATATGGTGAAAAAAATTCTACCTCCTCCATATAGCATTCACAGCCTCCGCCTTATGAGGAGAATCTGCTGCCTTCAACATTAAGATGAAATTTTATTCTGTTTGAAAAAGTTCAAACCAAAAATTGACTTAACTGTGAATGTTTCTTAGCAATAAATCTTAAGTTAGTCTTACATGATAAAATGGGCAGTTTGACATTGGCAGGGATTCCCAAGCTGTGTGCTGTGACCTACAGGTGAGCCTGAAAGAGCTGCATGAGGTCATAAACAAAAAATTCACAAAAAAGACAGAATCCACCTTTAATACAGTTGAAAAAAGACACCTTTAATACAGTCTGTAGTTGTGATATCTTTCCCTTAAAACCAGCATCAACTTTATAACAGTGTGAGCCCCAGTTGCTCTTCTGTTGGACCCTGTCAACTGTTAAAGGGATATTCCAACGTAAAATTAATTTAGGGTCAAACACACTGTAACACCGAGTTAGACACCCCCTTGAGAGATGAATGTTGCTGACTGCTTGCCCCTCTAGTTTTACCAGCTTTAGTAGCCACCAAACATTTTTTTTAGCTTTGCCTAATTTCTTTGGCAAAGAGACTAAACACAACTCACCCACTCTCTTTCAGCAGCTGCTTGTTTGTAGCGAGCACTCAGGCCAGTCCATTACAGACTGCTGCGGGGTGACACAGCTCAAGGAAGAACATTTATGATCATTACTTTATCATTTCCTTAAAGTAATAATCACCATATTAATCATTTTGCACTGCAGACGTGGTAGTTCTTCTGCCTTAGCGTCTTGGTCAATTACATTTCCATGAAGAAATGATCACAAATGTTCTTCCTTGAGCTGCGTCATCCCGCAGCAGTCTGTAATGAACTGGCCTGAGTGCTTGCTACAAACAAGTGGCTGCTGGAAGAGAGGAGGTAAGTTGTGTTTAGTCTCTTTGCTAAAGAAATTAGGCAAAGTTAATAAGATGTTTGGTGGCTAGTCATATGGCTGGGACCCTTTATGTACTGTTGATGAAGTTAGGTGCTGTTCTGAGCATTATTTGTGGCTATAGAGTGGTGTTTTGGTTAAAGTTTGTGTGTGGCTCCTCAGATCGCTGTGTATTGCTATCGTGCGGTCGTTACTAAAGTTGGTATAACTTGAAAAGCAAGCGGTCAGCAACATTCATCTCTCGACGGAGTGTCTAACCCATTGTTACGGTGTGTTTGACCCTAACATAATTTTACGACGGAATATCCCTTTAACTTTTAGTAAGCACTGACCCACATTCTTAGACTCATCTGTTTTTGTTGTTTCCAGCAAATCAAATTTAAGGATGAACTGTACACTTGTATCTTTTGTATCTTTTTTTGTTTGTTTGTTTTGTTTTTTGTATGATGTGAGCTAACTGGGTCTGAAATAAAGTTTTAAATTTACATTACATTACATTACTTGCTGCCTAACATGTTCTACCACACTGACAGGTGCTGTAATAACTACAAAATCACTGTTACTCACTTCAGCTGTCCGTGGTCTTCATGTTTTGGCAGATTTATGTAGTTGGTTAACAGTTTTGTGGGGTTCTTGATTTTAATGTAGCTAAAAAAACATCCTTTTCACCCCTCAGTGTTAGTACGTGTCTCCATGAATCTCCTCTAAGAGCAGCAATAACCTTTCACAACCAACATACTTCTTACATCCTCAAAAAGATGCAGACTAAAAAGAGGAAACAACTTTCACTGCTATTTGAGTGTACTTTCTCCTCGTCTGTTTGAGCTGTTTTAGGTCATTTTATGTCATGAAATCTGTATTAAACAGCAGAACTCTGTCTTCTGTGAAGAGTTGGGACACTTGAAACAGCACATGCTCATCTTGTGTACCAGCTGTAAAATATCTCAGAAGTGGAAATAACTAGTCCCATGTGTGTTTGATCTGAGTGTGTACATGTGCTCTACAGACATATGGTATAGGGGGGGAGAACCTGCGTGGCCTCACAGAGAAGCTGCGCGCTGTGGCCCACACCCTCCAGATGGGCATCCAGAGCCGCTGGCGCCTCAACAGCTACGATGGAGGCATCACCGTCAGGCTGCCTGCAGGAGTCCTGCAGGTTGTAGTGGAGCTCATCACTTCTGCCAAAGGACTCTTCTCTCTGCTCAACAGGTCTGTAAAGAGGGAGTTATCTAACTGTTATATATACAGTACTCCAAATTCTATTTTGTTCTGCAGTTATTTTTCTCTAGGAAAGTGATCTTTGGTGTCTCTCACAAAAATAGCTCTGGCTGTAGTTTTTGTTGCTCAGGGTTTTATGTAAAAAGGATCGCAGTAGGTGAAAGTGGTTTACAGCTGTAGCCTTTGTACAGGAATATTTTTGTCTTTTACTTTTTTAACTTTCCTCTCAAGTGTTTCTTTCTTTTTTTAATCTCTTAGCGCAATTGCCCCTAAATTCGTAACTTTGTATTTCTTCATGTCTATCACCGGCGTGAAACCAAATCACTGTCCAGACTTACTGGGGCCTGAGCACTGCAAATGCAGCAGAACTTCTTTTATATCTTCTTCCCAAAAGGTTTTTTGCAAGGCCCTTAAACACTTTAAAACTTGCTAAACTTAACACACACCAAAAGTAGTGATAAAGTTGTTGTTTTATAAGTCTTGTGCAAGAGTGTAGCAAATGGCTCCATTGCACACCCTTGAAATGTTCAATATAGATATCCCCATAGTCCCTTCTTCCACTTAAGTATGATTGATCATACCAAGACTGATAAAAAAATCTTCTTGTAACCTACACCTAACAGTACTTTTGTCAGGTCAGTTATTTTTTCCCTTGTTTGTCTCTTCAGGTATCAGTTTTCTCAGCTCAGTGGATATACAACCAGCAAGAACATCTTCGATTACTGCAGAGAGCTGGGAGAAATCGTCCACAAGGTTTGTCTATTTCTGGCATAAAGCAGTCATTTCATTGACCTCTTGTAACACAGAATTGCTTGTTTAGTTGACTCCACTGCTCATGTGTTCACGTAAACGTGAGGTTTTATCTTAAGAGGAACTATACCTGGGTGAACCTGGTTTCAGAACTTCCAAAGAGGAACAACAACCTGTGGTTTGGTCAGCTTGTTTTTGCTTGTTTTTTTTTAGTCAGACCTTAAAGTGTAGCAAGAAAAACAGGAGCACAACTCCCTTTTCTTCGTCATTCGTTATCTTTACATTCCTGGCATATTTGCAGGCGGCTGTACCTTGAAGAAACTGTGGTGGAAAGGATTGCCTATGAAGAGGTCTGGTTTTGTGTGTGTTTACACCTTTGCTCTTGTTAGAAATATCCTTAAGAAATATAGAAAAGGAAGCAATAGTAACAGCTGGATAACTGTATAAAAAGTGCACACAGGTAGCTAAAAACGACAGGCCTGGATATGTTAGAGCCCAGAGGAGGGAGGCAAAAAGGGGGAAGGCCGAGAAAGAAGGAGGAGACTGAGGGAGGGACTCCACTCGACTGCTTAATGACTTTTAACTCCTGCAGGAGCGCATGCCACTGAATGAACAGCAGGGAGCCACAAGCAGACAGAGAAGACTATCTCTGGGAGGACTCTATAGTGACAGGAGAGATTAACGGGATGACACAAGTTCAGAGAAAAGAGACAAAGACAAGATGAAGCTGCAGATAGAAGCAGAGTGAGAGATTATTAGAGAGAGAGGTAAAGAGACTGGAGCTGTGGGTAAAAGAGGAGGTTCAGTATTTAGAGGGGTTTATATTTAGACCTTTATAACCGGCTCTGGACGCTTGCCAAGCACGACAGGTACAGTTTTCACCCCTCTGATTGGATAATTCTCCACAAGGTGATAATGCTTGTGCTACTTAAACACTTTGTTTGACTGCTTAGAACAGATCAATCCCACACAGCACAGATTGTAGCTTTTGTCATTGCCTGTCGTGATGTTTTTGCTGTTTTTAAAAGAAGTGGTGGATTATATCCGTGGCTTAATCTTGCTTTAAACAATAATTAGACATTTTTCAAGTTTACAATTATGAAGTTGAACAAGAACAAGCCTGGGGACACTTATGTGATGAATAAAGAGTTGGCGCATGGACATAATTCATAGGGGATCAGGTTGAGAGGAAGGAAGTATGGTTTTCAGAGAGTCTTGTTGCCCTGATAGGATGTTTTTAACAGTGTAAGGTGAATCATATCTGTAACCCATTGAATGTTGTTTTTACTCTGGATGAATGGTACAGCACCGGGTGAGCTTTAAATGAGTTTGAGCTTTGACTGTTTTTGCCTGATGGTCATCGTTTGGTTATGTCTGGCCATTGTTTAGTCCATTCCTGTTATTGAACTTAGAGTGTGGACATTGTGTTAAAGCTTTACAGGTGGTAATAAATGTTGAAAAGGAGAAGCAGGTGGGTATATGTCTAACTAGCTTGTGAGTAGAGTATAAACTCTGCATATGTTTAGGCAGGTGTGGTGTAGAACTAAAGCTCTTTGCCGGTATCAGCTAAAGCTCATTTTTGAAAAGAGAAATCTGACATGCAACAGACTTCATCTGTCAGTTTAAGTATCATCAGAGCATTATTAACCTTCAGGGTGGGTATATAGAAAATGTACATGTCTTCATGATGATCACATCATCATGTGGCATTTCAAAGTTTCGAAGTTCAGCGTTATGCTTGTTTGTTTCATGGCATCTGTTTCTAGAAAACCATCAGCGAATAAGCTGACATCATCTTTTTGCATTTCCAGAAAGGACTTTTTTTTCCTGGTGTTCTGTGTGTGTGTGTCTGAGTGCTTTTGTGTTTCATTTGGCCTCCCCCTAAGGGCCCTCAAGGTCTGCAGTCAGCTGGTGTTGTTGGGATCCCACACTGGCGTTGTCAGGTCTCAGATTCTCATTCAGTGTCAGTGTGCTCTGAGCTAGGAAAGTCACAGAGAGGAGAGAGGGACGAGAATGTATTAAGAGGGCTCTGCGCACCGTGCACTTCGATCTGAGGGCAAAAATTAATTTGAGGAGTTATAAGAAGGTATGTGACTCTAATAATAACTTTAAACCAAGAAAAGGAAATCACATTGGGAGATTAAGCAGCTCCTAAATCATTTTCTAACTGTTTCCTTTTTTTAAGGGCTCCTTTTTGTTATGTAATGAACGTCTTTGCCCAAGAATATTATCATAGAAAACATGATACTAAAAACAGCTCCATTATGCTTAAAAGGCAATGAACGACATCTCTTTGTTTTGGCAGACTTATTTAAAGCTCAGGATGTAGGAAAAAATGAGAGGCTTGAACGCAACTTTTTTATGGTGCCAAAAAAAAGAGAGTTTGAAAAACAGGCTGCAGAATTTAGTGGAAAAAAACAAGGACGTAAACACTGAGGAAAGGGGCCAAGGCAGGGGTGGTACGATGTGAAGGGAAAGGTGAGAAGCAGGTGCAAAAGAGATCTGACATCAAGAGGTCTCATGGTCTTTATATAGCAAGTCATTGACCTGGTGGTGGCAAATGGAAGATATCTGCTGGGGAAGTCCAAGTATGTAAACAGAGACACATGGAACATGTTGGGGCTTGACTTTGGGAGGCTTTTATTTTGAAAGGCTTCGCTGTATAGCATTATCTAATTAAGTCACAGTCAAAACAAAAATGAAAGGCAATAGTCAAATTCTGTTCACTGGTATTTCATCAGTAGTCTGTGTTCACCTATGTAGGTAAGTGTTGTATGTGTCAGGCACCCCTGTGTAATCATTTTGGTGTATGTGTGTCCATGTAGGTTTTTGTTTCCTCTTCTTTTTTTAGGAAGGAAACTCCCACATAAACGCTTCTCTTTGTTTCCAAGACAACTATAAAGAAAACAGCTTTCAGGCACAGAGAATTGCTGTAAAGTCAGCTCTCCACCTGATAAAGCTGCATGAACACACACACATACAAACACACACCAGGCTTCACAATACAAGACCTTTCTTCTACTGAATGAAGACAGCTGCTTGTATCTGTGCAGTGCAGCCGAGGGGAATGACTTGTGCTTTTCTGCATTAATAGCAATGCTGCGAATCACTTTTGTCATTAAGTAAAAGGGTAAAACTTTGATCTAAGATGGTTTGAGAGTTGGTGCAGCTCGTTATGTATTAAATTGCCCACCACCTTTTTACAGAGGCTCATCTTTAGTTAAAGGTCAATCATGAAAGTCTGTCTGTGGATTGAACTTTCATCCAGTTGTTTCTGAAAGGTCAATACAGCGAAAATATTGCTTATTGTAGTCCTGTGGGAATCAGTAGTTTGGAGTGACATAATGTGGCGCCACATCAACAGTCTTACTTCACTTCCTGGGAGCACTGAGCCAGGTTGGTGTGGATGTTGTGTAACTTTAGACCCTCTTGTTCAGCTGAGGTTTCAAGGAGAACTTAAACGGTTTGATGTCTGACTGTGGCCTTTGACTTGACAGAAAAACCTGAGGGGTTTGATTAAGAATGGAAGCAGTTGTTTGAAAGAGAAGTGTTTCAGTAAATGTCCTGTTTCAGAGAGAAATCAATAGAAGAGCAAATAAGTGGAGCGTGAACATGCTGGAGGCTGTCGGGGACTAAATACGTCTGTACTAGACTTTCTGTCCTCTTCTCCTGTTTCCACTCTATTGCTCATGTGTCTCTGCCTAAGCAAGGACACATATGCTCAACACCTAGAAAAGTATAAAAACTGGCTTTAATTTGAACATTTAGTGTTGTTTCTGTTGATATTTTAACCTATTGAATCAGATCAGACAGTGATTTTGTTCTTGCCAGTCTGAGGCACACCACACCCTCCTGGTATCAACACCAGTTTCACTGCAGAAGTGAACCTGTTGGCCACCTCACACACATTCATGCGTTGTTCTGGCAGAGTTAAAAAGAAACTGGTTTTGGTGCTATCCCACAGGAAGTGGTAAGAGAAAGCAGAGGTGGGGACTTGGCTGAGTTTTTACCTTGTATCTTGAAAGCTTATGGCCAGAAACTGGAAATAAAGAGGTGTTACTCATGAAGCAAAAGGAGAAGTGATGATTGACTGTAGGAGGTGTTAGCCAGATTTATATTGTAGCTTTTATTTATGGTTGACAACTCAGATTGGGGTAAGTTATGATAGTGTTTATTTTGTTGGTTTAAATACCTGGTCAGCATTTGTAACTCCTAAAACCTGTCTGCATCCAGCTTACACATTCAACTGTAATAATATAACCAAATATATTTACATTTAGTGTTCAATTTTACAAGCTCGACTCTATTTTCATTACAGCCATCCACGTGGCATTTGTTGTAGATTTTGTGCTTTGCAGTGGTGAATCAGCATCAGCATGTTAGCATTGTTGAGATAAGATAGCATGCTTATGTTAGCATTTAGCTCATGAAATCAGAGCGACTCAGCTTACTGCGGCATCATCGTCAGGTATAAACTCTGCTTAGTGGCTAAAAGTAATTCTTAATCTATTTTGAGATAGATTAACCCACGTCTGTTTGCACTGATAATATGTTTTTGGTTGTGTTAGCAGCTAGCTTAGAGAAAAGTTACACCTCCAGGTCCAGCACCTTCCTACTTTAAAGCCTGTCACTTTTAATTTAATTTGAGTATACAGCTAATATGCCATGCCGGAGTACTTAGCTTGAGTAGTTATCAAGATGAGCATGTTTGGGTGTTTATACTGAGCTTTAGGTGGTTTGTTATGGTGTAAATGAATATATCTCAGGTTTTGTCTCTGGAGTACACAGCCTGCTCGAGGGGGATAGCAACACCCTCACAAAAACAAACACCGAGCTGACAGAAAAACTGAACTGACCAGTAGTCATGACAGGATCTTTTCCTAGTCGAACCCCTCCCAGCAGACTTGTGTCACAGCCTGTAATTAGCACTGACATCCACCGTGTTCCCTGTTGATCCTTCACTACATTTCACAAGGATTAGTTTCCTCTTACAGTCCTTATGTGAGACAAAACAACAACCGGAAAATGGGAATTAGCTCCATAATATGTGGTGATTTTCAGTGAAATAAGTATTACATGGTTTATTTTATTACATTCTTAGAGCTCCACCATAATAAAGATGGAGTTAAATATGAGGAATTACAGGCCTAATACATCTGAAGTGACTTCCACTGCCTTTGGATTTCTTTGGACTTTCACTTCCTGCTTCAAGCTGTGAAGAGGAAATAGGACATGAGTTTTGTCTGATTGTCCCATTTCCACAAATCAATATCTTCTGTGTGAATTTTTGGTGATCTGCTCAGTGAAACTCATGTCAGATTGTTTTACTCTTTCAACAGCAAACGTCTGTCTTTGAAAAAGAAAAGGACATCATCTCTGTGGTAAGTGTGCAATCTATATTCATGTTTTTATCCTGGTAAAAACAATAAGATATTCTTCACAGTGAAATGTGTTTTATTTCATCCTCCAGTGCCGTCAGATGGTCGCAGTTTGTGATGAAATCCTAAATTCTAGCTCTGAGTCCTTTCTTACTCACACTGCTGAGCTGGAGAGTGTCGACCTGGTTCCTGTCTCACCTGGGGACCAGCTGGTAAAGACTTATTACTCTGTACTTTATGGCTTTTTTAAACCATGAGGATTTTTGACTTTTATGAAATAGACTTAAATTCAAATTTGCGTCTCGTCACTTTTAATGCATGAAACTGGCGTGAGGAGGTAGGAGTCAGCCAAGCAGCTAAAAAAACAGCCCTGTTCTTACAATTTCTACATAAAATACTCAAAAGTGAAGAGGAGGAGTTTTTATTGTCAAAAATAACACTTAAGCATGTAGAGGACAAGATAAGCGAAGACTGCTTTGTCCACAGGGGGCGCCAAAACTGAGTGCCCTTAACATTTGAACCAATCAAAAGACTCTAAATGCCATAGTGCAGGTTTTTTAAAATGTAGTTTTGGTGTCTTTAGATGTTCAGCTGCTGGAAAATAAAGGAGAAAAATTAAAATGAATGATGCTGTTTGTCTTTAGGCTGGCACAGTTAGTTAGATACCCAATCAGGCTTGCTATCAATTTTGAAACAAGATACATTATTGTGCATTTCCCAAAGTAAACAGTTACTTTCTATCTAGCTTATCAACTTGGAGAAATTTCTAATTTTATTTTAGATTATGTTGAAATGAATGTTTTCAGCCATTTTTTTTAATTAATCCTGACAATTTGTAGACACAGTTGATTTATAATTCCAGTCATGATGAATCACGATATTCATGAATAATGAAACAGTCATTTTTAATCACAATCATCCAACTGTGATTAACACAAAATCTTCCACCAAAGTGAAAGGAGATATTTTTGAAGCTGTTAATTACAGTCAGTATCGACTCCCTTAAAGTTCTTTGAAGGTCTCCTTCAGAAGATATTTTTTTAACAACACCCTCTGGAGGATTTTTCTTTTTTTGCCACCTGTTTGTCTCATCTTTAAATCATACCTCTCTTTCTATTTCATCATCTCACTACCCCATTGGCTATCTGAGCATCTTCTTACCTCCTGTCTTATTTTTTTTCTCAATCATGCTGCAGTTTTCAGTGTTGATCACAACCTGGAGATTTCCATCCTGATCTGTTTCCGCTCATCCTTTCTTTCATCAAACTCAAGGTTTCCTCCTTTGTTGTTTATCAGCTCCTCTTTAAAACCTTCCTCACTCCTATTTGTTCATGAACCCTTTCTGTTTATGTCCCTTCTCCCCCTGATGCCATGTATTATAATTATTATAGTTCTTAGTCTACCTTGTCTAGTGTCCTCATTTGTTTCTCCTAAGCAATTTTCAATACTTTTGTTCAATTTCCTTTCCTTTGTGTCCTCAGTCCATTAGGTAAAAATGTCTTTCATGTAAGAAGATAATAGCAGCCCCATTTCCTGTGTTTCTAGTTCCATCTCATCACCTCAGATGCTTCAGAATAACAGACACTTTGTTGTCTTTGAGTCCCCAGACGCATATACCGTGTCAGGTTTTCAATAAACTGTAGCAGGTAATTTTTCACGATGTTTCTGCCGTAGAACAAGGTCATTTTTACAAATGTGCTCGACAACAGACGACAATCCCTGATTATCCCGGTCTGACAGAGAGGAATTGATTTGAGCACATCACAGATAACGAGGTCAGCCTCTAAATGATTGAAAATAATGGGAACAAAAGACAAAAAGGGGAGGCAAAAGGGATTACAATTCGCATACGCTGAATGTACAAACAATGAAGTCCGCTTGTTCATTCATAAAGAAGATGTGAACTCATATGGGAAAGGTCGCCTCCCATCTTTTTTAACTTGCCTTAAAGTTTAATGTGTTCCTGTCACAAAAAAAGAAAGTGAAGATAGAGAGAGGATGTCTGTGATTTCAAAAAGAGGTTTAGGGACATGACTAACAAAACAGTGACTCAGCTGTTATCCTCATCCATCACTGAAAAATGGATTCGCCCTGTCACAGAAAATGATAGGTTTTGTGTATTTCAATGATAATATAACAGCCTTTTGTTTGGACTGAGGAAAAGAATAACAGAGTACTGGCACAAAGGTCAGGTCTATATCTCTGAAATGTTGTTGTTGTGAAGCTATCTCTGCTAAACACAGAGGAAGTCATCAAAGTACCCCCCAAATTATAGTGATTTTTGTCAATCTTTCATTTTACCACTAAGATACTATTTCTGAGCACTGAATGAAGGAAATATGACAGCCTGTGTGCTTTATTTGTGTCAGTAAAAACCATTCACCACGACATTCACCAGTTTGTCATGCATTACCTGAAAGCGAAACTCGATGCAAAGTTTAATAGTAATTTTCCTCTGCAGAAATTGTTCAGTGGAAGTCAAAGTGTCAAGAATTTACACATTTTTTAACTTTCCTCCTGTGTTAGCTTTACTACACACCCACTATGTTAAGGGTCGGTTTCAACCCGTGTCTTAAATCAGCTGTAAATTACACTAAAAACAATTCTCTATCATCCAGTTTGGTTCTCATCTCTAGGTTACCTTGTTCGGCCTCATTATCCATGAAAATATTGCTTATTATATTTTTTGTTGTGGTCCTCTGGGCCTTTCTTTGTCAGTATACCTCTCACACATACAGCTATACTGAGCTGATTTCACATGTCTAGAAATGCAACATAGTTTTTTGTGAGGGAAAAAACAGGCAAAATGAGAATATCCTAAATCTCACATGATTGAAAGAGGATCTGACTGTCAGTGTGGTGCCTGACAGTGCACGTATGATTTTAGTTTTCGCTCTTATTATTAGATATTAATCTAACCGGGTCAACAGCGACCCTAACACCACAAGTGCCATAATTTTAATAAGAGCATTTTATAATTTAGTCAATTTAATTTTTTTAGTTTTTATTTTGTTGAAATAGAGGTTCCTGACAAAGTCAAAAAGTCTTGATGCAAAACAGCTAATTTAAGTGGTTCTTTTAAGCATTTAAAAACAATAACAGGTCAGTGCAGACCCTAACACAGGAGGAGGGTTAAACATTTTCCATCAAAACTTTAAGAAAATTTCAACAACACCTTTAGGACCTTTTTGGCAATTTCCAAAAATTTCATAAAATCTTTTGCTGAATTTTTTTGGCAAGTTTAGTTTTTAAGCCAAGTCTAGAAATTTTAATTCTTAAAGAAATCTATGTGTTTATTCTTGTCTTATTAAGCATCCATAGTACCTTGCGTGACTACGGTTATTATCTGTTCGATGTTTAAATTGATTGGGCACTGGCTTAACTTTGCAGATGGCGCAGATGCCTCAAGGTTTCTGTCTGTGTTGCATTGATCGCAGGTGCGGACCCTAGACCTTGACACTTAAATGATGGCGCTCTCCCCTCCTCGACATTTCCTGTCTCTTCGTTTTTCAATTAGAGCTAAAAAGCTCAAAAATAGACAGAAAAAAAATATATATTCATGTGTCTGTTCTCATGTGACCTGTAACGATTGCAGCTTTCTGCACTGTGATCTGTTTGCTCTCTCCATTATGACCCAAAGTAATCAATCAAGGCAGGCTGATGGGTAATTACAGGCTGAGCCATTGATACATCTGGAGACAGGCATCAATATCGCTGCAGAATCAAGCAGTCATGACAGAAACGGTGCAATGTTTATGAGTCCATTAGTGTGAATCATTGTGAGTCAGTGACATGCAGACCTGACTCTGGATTCTGCAGGTTTTATCCCTCTGAAATGTATAAAGCATCTTTTTGTTCCTCTCTTTCGCTCTCTAACAGGGAATCGAGATAACATCTACGGGCTCCAGTAACCACTACGTGACCGGGACTGTAGTCGAGGTCAGACGCATTCATTTACTCTCCTGCTCTCCCTGTTTACTCAACTTACAAAACACACAGACACGCACACACATACAGTTAACAATTGCTCCCACCTCAGTGCTCTTAGCCAATCCCCCCTGGAAAGCAGCATGACTCAAATTCAGCTCCTCTTGAACCAGAGACCAAAAGGTTAACTTCTACTCCGGAGAGGAGTCTGAAGCCTCGCAGGGTTTCATTTTCAAATCACCTGTAGAGGTCCCTGACATGTCAGAGCGTGACAAAGGTAACAAGCTGTGACCACATGGCTCTTTTTCAGCACATATTTCTGTCAGAGATAAGACCTTTTTTTAGCTGAAAAGCTGAAAGCTTGACGCAGAAATCAAAGTCACTCTGGTGGTGCTCTTATCTGGAAGGATCAGGATGTATATTTACAGGAATAGAGAACAAGAATAAAGTAGCAGCAGAAATATCCTATTTTTTCCGACTCTACATTTGTGACCTTAAACCCTTATTTTCAACACCAGGAGAATCAGTCTGCAAGTATTTATGTTTCTTCTAAGAACCCTGTTTAGCACATTAGAAGTATAAAATTTGGATTTGGAGTCGTTTATCATGAAAGGCTGAGCTGTTTACGAGACAGAAATCCCCCAGAACTACATTTAAATGGCATTTTATTTTTAGTTGTGGGCTTATCTTTCATTGCTTCTCTGCTTTGAAACGGAAACCAATCTGAGCCCTTGTGCTTCTGATACTTTGTATGATTAATACTGTATGTACTCGTGGCTGCAGACTGCGATCTGCTCATGAACAGGGATCTCTTAACTATAACACGGCTTGCAACAACTATTTGTTTAATTAGTTAAAAGTTTAATGTTCTTTGTTTCGTATTTTACCTAAATAAGATATTTTTTTCCATTGTACTGTTTTATATAGATTAGGGAACAGGGAAGGTATTTATTCACTGCTGAATTATTTATACTCACAGCAAATCTAGCTCTGAGGATTTAGAACATTAAAAGAGTCTCATTTTTGTAGTTTAATGGCTATTTGGCTTCTCTGGGAAATAAAACCATCCCATTGCAGAAGCAAGGGTTAATGAATTTCTGAGAAAACCAACAATCACTGGGGCCATAAGGCTTTTAAACTAAACTGGAGAGCAGAGCAGGGTTGAAGGAGTGTTTATCAGCCTGAAGAAGAAGAAGAAGAGGAAGAAGAGGAGCTCGTAAACTGAGTGAGGGTAAAGCTCTCCTGAGGGACATGAAGATGGGAGATGTTATTTTTCCATGATGTCAACAACAAAGTACCCCTGACTCCCCTGCTGCTGCTGCTGCTGCTGCTGCTGTTACATCACTGCAGCTGACTGCAACAAGAGACGTGACCACTGCCCACACTCACTAACAACACATGCACGCACGCACACACACACACACACACACAGTGGAGCTTTTGTGCAACTATGCAGTCTTTCCACTGCTCCACACAGAGATTCAGCCACACCAAGGTGCTTATTCTTTGCAGTAGTCCATTATTTATGGGCTGTAGTTGAATTTATAAAGACATGGCACCCATGTGGTGGAGTCATGTGAATTCAGAAGGTATTTAATACTTAGGATCAACTCAACAACTGATGCTTCAATCATGTTATTTGCATTTGTTCCGGTTTCTTTACATGGCTTTATTCGACACACTGTATGTTGAAGTTGTTGGGTGGTGGAGTTACAAATCATGTTGCAAACTCTAATACAACATCACCAATTTAGGGTTTCCAGTTACTCCCAGCCTCAAAGGAAATTTTGCAACCACATTAAAAGTTTTAAGAATAACTATAAAAATGTTTTTTTTTTCCTGTATGTTTTGAAATGTAGATAGTGTGATGCCTGAATGAGATATTGGAAAGCAAACATACATAGAACAAATTAAATTCATACGTTTACTTATACAGAAAAGTTGATAATACCCTTATGCAAGAGAAGTGCTCTCATGCATCCACGAAAAATTGAAATGCACGTTACAGAAATTGAAAAAACTCTCAGTGTGTGGAGCAAAATATGAAATGAATCTCTTAAAATGATAAACAAATAATTAAAAGTTAGAGCAGACAAAGCTCATTTGTTTTGAATTAATCTTTGAATTATTTACTCGTCTTTTGCAGCCGTCAGCTGATACTTTTGTGAAGATCTTGGCAGGTGATGAAGTGATTCAAGTCAATGACCAGATAGTGGTAAGAGCTGCATTATTTATACTACTCATGGACACAATCCTGTTTTTTTATTGTGTATGTGTGACGATGCAAATATGAAGTGTGAAGTGTCTTAGCTCCAAGGTAACTGAGAAAAACCTCTGCACCTGGGTTATTCCTGCAAAATGTTTCAGTGTCTGAAATAATAAGTGTTACCGGGAATAATGATGTGTGTCTGCTGCTGCTGCTGCTGCTGCCTCAGGTGGGCTGGAGCAGAGCTAACCTGGTGAAGAAGCTGAAGGAGAATCCCAGTGGAGTCACTCTGGTCCTGAAGAAGATTCCTGGATCACTGAGACGCAAAGACTCGGTCCCGCTCTCCCCCACACAGGTTAGGGGTCATTAAAAATGTTGTCAATGCCAGTATCATCCCCCCATCGTTTTAAATTTACCAGAGTGAAAGTTAAAGCTGTAGATGATACAGATCCAGACACAGAAACACATCGTCACCCTAATAAAATAATGGCCTAAGTCATGTTTTGATGAAAATTAGTTTTTGGCCTAAATCATCTTATGATAATGCTTAGATCCATAGTTGAAAGGATCATGCCGTGCCATGACCCTCTAAACTAAGGATTTAGGTGATTTTACCAGAGATGGCCAGCATTATCAAGAGGTAATTTAGGCCAAAAACTACAATGACTTAGGTCATTATTTTAATAGAGTGACAACATGAGAAAAAACAAAACCCTCCCCCACTCATAGCTTTGGTTGCAGGAAGATCAGACTCTCTGATTTTGAACATTAAAGGTACTTTTAGGGCTTGTTTCCATTTAAAGCATATTTTGCACATTTCCAGAGCTTATTTTCTCAAGCATAAAAGACCCCCAGCATCAGCTGATTTTGATCACCGTGCTAGCAATTAGAGACAGTCATAATGAGGGGTTTATACTTGCAAGTGCAGGGATACTTTTTCTTTTGAGTGTTTTGACTTTTTTTAAAAGTCCATTAAGTGCAGGTCAATAAGAAGCATGTAGAACATTTTAAAACACACTCAACAAAGGGGGGTAGAAATGAAAAAGGAGTAACTTGACTAACCTAACAACGGTAAGCATCAGTGTAAAATGTAAAATGCACTGAAATTAAGGTTATTGGTGCTGTGTTGCAATGCCTAAAAAAATGCTGCTAGTGGACACAGGCCCTAAACTCACTAATATCAAGATTTGTATTGAGTATATAGAAATAAGTGTTTTATGTTGTCTTTTTATGGTAATTGCATTCTTCTCCTTCTTACCTCTTTACTCTAACATGACCTGAGAGGTTTGAGAGCACAATTTAGAACATTTAAAAAAACTATTCAAAGTAATTCAAAGCTAACAATATCATAGATGCGCCCAGACCACTTAGATTTTCCACTACTCTGTGTCTGGTTTGGATCCTTTCATCTATAGTTGAACGTGAAATCATCAGTAAAAGATGGATTGTTCACCCACTGATCCTGTGCATTTCCATCTCATGAGATTCTGCACTAGTCACTCTGCAGACTGTCTTTAAACTGTATGCTGAATTTGCACACACACACACTGCACATTTCACACCCCCTTGTGACCCTCACCATGTTAATCTGTGATCAAGCTGCTGCCTGAGGGTGAGGAAGCACACATAAGGAGATGTGAATCAGCTGAGTGTATCAGCTCACTTGATGCTCGGCTTTCAGAGAGACTGTGTGTGTGTGTGTGTCCCTTTCTATAAGCCACAGCGAACACAAACAGACACCTGAGGAGAAGACTGCCATCACAGTCCACATGATGTCCACCTCCTTATCCCTCCGCTAACCTCTAAACAAACCCACGCGGTTACAGTTTACCGTGTGCGCTCATGCTTGTGTTTCTGCTTATTGTTTCTTCTTAGAAAGAGGAAGAGGAGACAGAGGAGAGGTCAGAAGAGGAGGAGGAGAACCCGAGGCACTCCATATTTGAGAGGGTAGCAGCTTCTGTCAGGTCACTGTCTTTTAGGTAAGAACTGGATCACTTACAAGCCTACAGCCGGACATTTAAACAAGATTAGTTTACAGGCATGATCATAAACTCATAAGGAGAAGTTGACAGATTGGAAATAAGAAGAAAATTTACAGCTTTTACTTCGCTGACAGAGAGCCGGTTTCATTTTAGCACTTTTCACAGATGTGGCACAAACAGTAAGTGTTGCTGAGCCCGCAGCACCTGCATCCACACTTTTAAGTTCCTTTCCTCATGGTCTCTTTGAATGATTCATTATTTAATTACTGAGCACCTGCTCTTTTCACAATGTTTTCAGAAAACTAGTGTTGTGATTTAGCACCATAAAGACGAAAATTGATTGATTAATTGAAGCCTGTAATAGAAACCTTAATCTGCTGCTTCGTTATTGGAAACACTCAAATTTAATCATCTCCCACTCTATGTCTGCTCAGGATCATTATGCACACAGACCATTCAGCCTCAGGGATGAATACAGAAGCTTTTAGAGAGAGAGAGAGAGAGATGTCGCACAATCAACATTTTATGTGTTTGGATAAGAGCTACACAGGGAATTTTCAATGTAAAACACCTAACATGACCTGAATAAGCTAATGGAGGGATGTTATCTCGCCATATTTATAATTATATTCAATCTTTTATATGAAAAGTCGATGTTTAATAAGCTGATAAGTCCACCTGAGAGAACTCGCAGTATTCAGAAAAATTGAAGCTCTGCGCTCCAGAGCATGGTGGACGAAAATTTGGTCCAATAAAAACTCCAGAGAATTTACCCGGTACAGCTGAGCCTCCCACGGACCCTTTTGACCCCATTAATCTGCCAGGACCCAGTAGGTTTGCGATGAGGTCACACTGCAAATGCCATAAATTCTTATTCTATCACACCCACCGTTCCCCCCTTGACTGGAAATGAGAGAGAGGGAGGAGAAAGAGGAAAAAAAGTCGATGGAAGGAGTTTGTGAGAGATGAGGAAAGACACGAATAAGGTGAGGCGGAAAAAAAGAAAAAAGGAAGGAGGGAGGAAAGAGAGTGATGGAGAGGCAAGAGGAGATGGTGAGAGCTGATGGAGAGCAGGCGGGCTCAGAAAAATGGAAGGAGTAGGCGGGGACGGCGCATTAAAGGTTATAAATGATCCTGTCACATCCTGATACACTTAGTCCAGTCTAAAGGGAAAACAAGCGCAAACTTTTGACTTCTGCCACAGAGTCATATTTCACCGCTTTAAAAACCTGTTCATGACGTTACACTTCATTATAATCTCTCTTTCTGTTGAAGACCGACATCATGGTGGTAAAGAGAGGCTTTTCTGCCAGTCGCTGGGCATTATTCATTGGCTTTGAATTCCAAAACTCTGACGATGCAGCGTCTTGAATTCAGCTTCATGGATTCGCTTTTGGACCTTTTTTTGTTTGTTTTCCTTTTCTCCAGGAAAGCCATTCAAGGGCCAGAAGCAGCGCAGCAGCCTATGGGACAGGAGGAATCTGATTTGTCCACCAACAAGGAGGCGGAGGGGGGTCTGACGGTCACTTCATATCAAAACCAGCAGAAGGGGCTGTCACCACTTTCTATCACAGGTAAGAAATCGCAGAGTCGAGTCAGGCCTCAGGGCTCTTTGTTCACTTTACTCGCTGTGACATGAGCTGTGATAGAAGATCCTGCTCAGACAGAGGGGATTTATATATAAATATGAGACATTAGCTGCCATGTTAGCCCTCCAGATGTTGGTATAAGATGTTAATTAAAGCAGCGGTAGAATACTATTACACACGGTCTACAGGGAGTGATAACGCTTTCTTGATTTGATTAGCTGCAAAAGGGAATTGAGAAGGACCAAGGGGTGATTTTTGGAGTCTGTGAAGTAACAGGAGCTCGAGAGTTTTGTTTTCCTCTTCATCATAATTAAAATGATAATAGAAATAAAATGTGAGTGATTATTTTAACAAAAATGTTGATTTGAAGAGGATTTTATTGATATGGCCAGAGTTAAGTAAAAGAACCACTTATTAAAAGGAAGGAAGAAGGACATTAACTATCGGGTGTTGTCTCAAATGATTAATGTACTTATTTATTCTATTTATGTTGTAATTTATATATAAATATAATTTAATTTTGCTGGAGACTGACTGTTTTTATTGAGTAAAGGAGAAGGGATAGGTTTTAAAAAAAAAAACATAATGCTTCATCGTACTCCTTTTCGGACATGTTGGGTTTGCATTATTATTATTATTATTATTAGTTTTTTTTTATTATTATAATTATTATTTTATTTTATTATATTTTTACTTTTTTGCTTTGATTATTGTTATTGCAATTTTGAATATTCTCACTGGTTATGTCTGTTTTCAGTTTACTTTTGGTGTTGCACGCACATGCTCGAAAAAAATAAAAAAATAAAAAATGAAACCAGGTAATAAAAGCGTATTAAATGTCTTATATAGATTCAAAGTGAACTTAAACTGTGTGTTTGAATATTTAATGTTACTTGACATAGTATATCCTTGCTTTTTTTAGGGACTGAGGTACAACGTTCAGAGAGTTCGCGGCTCTCTCCAAGACTAAGAAGAGATCGGTCACCTTCACCCAGAAGTCCCTCCCCATTTGAATTCAGCAGTCATTCCCCTCAGGGAGTCAACCAGGAGAGAGCGAGCGTCAGTTCCTGCCCTGAAATGGTGGGACACACGGTGAGCAGAGAAAGACAGACATGCAGATATTTTAAAGAAATGTTTAAACCCCCACATTAAAACCGACTAAAGTTTACTTTCCTAACTTGTAGATATATATAACTAAACTGTTGCTTTCTTTTTAGGGGAATAAAGAAACGAAGAAAACCTCTGTAAAAGGTAAAAATTGTGCTGAAAAAGAAAAACGTGCTAAATTAGAAACACCCGGTTAAAGCCAAATCAGGCCAGAGTTTGAAGAATTTCTGGTTTAAGGTTTAAGTTTCCCACTTATGAATGGATGATCCTTCAGTATATGGAATTCATAACTTATGGCCATAACTTTCAAGGTGAGGGCAATTTCAAAAACAGAGAGTAAGCCCCCACATCAGTGAAATGCTCCACATCTCACTGCTACCTTCTCAGTGATTTTTTCTTTCACCCCACCATCCTTTCGTTCTCCTTCCAGGCATGACGACGGCCCTGAGTCGGCGCCGTGTGTCCTGCCGTGAACTGGGTCGACCTGACTGTGACGGCTGGTTGTGGAAGAAGAGAAGGGACAGCAGTGTTTTCATAGCCCAGAAGTGGCAGCGCTTCTGGTTCATCCTGACGGGGCCTTCACTCTACTGGTACACAAGCCAACAGGTGGGAAAGAGAAACTACGGAGAAATTTCATCTATGTTGATCAAATTTAAAGGCCTACAAACAAGATCATCTCTGCACTACCGGTTTACAACTAAAGCTTTTAATTGTTTTCTCTGCAGGATGAGAAGGCGGAGGGTTTCGTCAACATCTCCAGCTATAACATAGAGAGCGCTGGAGAGCACAAGAGAAAATAGTAAGCATTGACTCCTAGATGGATGGCATGAACAGACGTTTTTTTTATCGGAATATGCGTGGAAATATCATTTGAAGGTTTTATTAACATGGCTATAATAATTAGAAACTGTTAAAGTATTTAGTTTTTATAGACATAGCTTGGAGCTTTAAAACAGAGGCTTCATTGTCCCCTCATGCACAGTTAAAATGCCTCTTGGGTTTATGAAGTATGCCTATATGACGCCAGAAAATGTGTGAAATGACTTCCTTATTAACAGTTTAGAAGAGAGAGCGCATATGTTGTATTTTATATTTTATGAACAAGTGGAAGCTTATCTCTGCTCACAAAGAGTCTGTCTGCATGAATTTTAATTTCTCTTTGATGATTTCCATGTGACCTAAAACTCTTTCCTCCTCCTCTTTCTTTTACTTTCTCCTCAAGCGTGTTCAAAATGTACCACCCCAGATTTCAAAACTTCTTCTTTGCTGCGGACAACGTTAGTGACATGAGCAAGTAAGTTGGATTGATCACAGACAAAAAAAAGACTTGATTCAGCCTGAGTGTCTTCTTTTTTCTCGTCTTTGACAAAGAACCTACACGGATCAGTTAAGACTGTTAAGTGATGCAAGTCTAGCCTCTCTGTGAACAGATGCCTCAGATATAGAACCATTACTAATGATAATCAGGGCACGAAAGGGGTGAAATCGCACTCTAACAGGTGTTGGTGTATACCGCCCCCTGCAGGCAGCTCTTCACAATCCTGTTTTTAAACCCTTGGCTCTCATTGATTCTCATGTAAAGCTGTGGTAGCCTTAACATCAACATCACTCAAATTGAATTACTTGTCATCTGTTTTGATAAAGCTTATTATTTCTTTCCTTCAGGTGGGTTAAATGTCTGATCACAGCCACACAGAAGCATAAGCAGGGAGGCCCAGAAAGTGAAGAAGGTGAAGAAATACTCTGTAACTTGTATTCACTCCTTTTTTTTTTTTTTTAACTTTTATTTATTCCACAATGAGTCAGAAGATTCATCTTAAATAACAACAATACATAAGTGATTTTTTCCCCCCTCAAACCCCCAGCCCGCCCCCTCCAGTCCCCGTACCCCCCCCAAAAAAAAAAAAAAAAAAAAATTCTCAACAAATACATACCAGAAAAAAAATAAATAAAAGAAAAAAAAAAAAAAAAAAGAAAAGTAAATGATGATGATAATGTGTATTTCTGTATTCAGACTCCTGCTTATCAAAAGGAGGCACTTAAATGAGCATCCTTAACGCATTGCAATACCTATAATACCTATTTGACTTGCTGTGGAGTGTCTTGCTGAGATAAAAATGCATTGTTGAACATACGTCTCTTAAGTTTGCTCGTCCAATAGTTTGTGATTGTGTTGGAATAGTAACCTGTAAGTTTGTTGCACTTAAAAATCATATCAAAGGTTGGTACTTTTTATATAAATAGTTTGACAGCTTGTTTATTTGTGCGCAGAATGCTACAGTGAGACTGAATCAGAGAGTGAGAGCTCACCTTCACCCCGCAGAAGAATCAAGGTCCGTGGATTAAAAAATGTACTCATCTGCGCACAAAAACAGATCTTCTGTAGCATATTCTAGATCCTTATAGGAGTCTTTTTTTGTGTGTGTGTGTTTCAGAAAGTGCAGTCCAACACTTTGCCTCGGCCCAAAGGGAAAACTAACAAGGTGCCATTATCAAGTCCTTCAACAGGGGGCAGCAAAGGAACAGGTAAGGAGTGCCCTCGCTTATACAAGCTTTCTGTGCTGCTTTGTTGTTCTCTCTTTTATAAATAATTCCTTCAAACAGTGAAAACTCAGCCTTTCTTATTGATGTTTTAATCATTTCATCTCTGTCATGTCTCACGCTGTCTCTATGTTAAGGAGGACAAGTGGACGAAATGGGCATGATGCTGAACAACATAAAGGAAGGAGGAGTGACTTTGATCGGCAGCGAGCAGCCGTTTACGCACGACCACTTCAGGAAATCATTCAAACTGCGTAACAAGAACCCTGTCATTAATGAGAAGGCACACACGCTCCGGGCCCTGCAAAGTACCCTTAAGGTGACTCATTCAGTGGGGCATGTGTCAGGTCCTCAGATTGCACACATTTCACAAACCTTTTTTTCCTGAATCTTTCTTAACTTTCTGAGCATTTGCACAAGCTCAAGGTTAAAATAAAACAGGTTATGTTTGACTTCTCATGATAACTCAGACCTCTCTCTCTCTACAGGCCAAAGAGGCCGAGCTTCTGCAGCTCAACAAGCTGTTGGAGGAGTCTGACCTGACGGCCTCAAAGTATCGCCAGTGGAAGGAGAACAACGAGGAACTTGTTCAAGAGATTGACAGACTGGCCGCACTCAAGGCCTCCAAAGCAGGGGAAGAAAGGACAGTGCAGGACACACCTGCTGAGGAGGTTGCCTTAGAAACTGTTGCTACAGAAACAACTACCACAGAGACAGAGGGCGCATACAGACTGAGCCTCAGTGACGGGGAGCAGTTAGTGGATGCAGAACCGGCTGATGTCCTCCTGGAGATTCCTCAGGGCTCTCCGAGCGAAGAGGACAGCCCGGTGTTGGAGCTCTCACTGGGATCGTTGCAGGATTCAATTAACCGAGAGCTGAGTGAAATGGCCGGGAGCGGAGAAGCTGCCGAGCACTACTTTTACATTTAAGACCCCCCGCTGGAAGTGTCAAATCACTGCAAAGTTGCTCCTTTGAGACAAATGAGCAATGCTTTAAAAAAAATGTTTTTTTATGCTGTAAAGTGAAGAGGTGCATCCCACTGACAGGATCAGCCCGAAACGCACTTTAATCAGGGTTGTGGGTGAAACACAACAGATTTGGACCTAAACTCCCTCCCAGAAAGTGAAATGAATCTTGGGACACAGAAATGAACATATTGCCAAGTGTCATTTTGACTTAAGTGTGTATTTATAAAATTATAAGACTGTTTTACTTCAAGAAAAAAAAGAACCTTTCTTTGAATTTAGAAAAAATTGTAATATAAGTCATGTTTCTTTTAAAGTGATATGTAAATACAGTTTTAAAAAAAATGTGCATTTGTTCATTGATACTACCTTAATAAAGGTATTCCTGTAAAATGTTTGTTTTAAACACGACTGATCTGTCTCTTACTTCTTAGTCTGGTAACAGTCCTGCTTCTTTAGCCTGGATCTGCAATGCATTTTATCGTATATACAAAAACTCCTCACGTCGTCTTCATCTCTGATCCTTCTTACTGGTTATTTATCCCTTTAATCAAACCAGGGTTAAGGTGGCTGGATAGGAAATGATTTGTGACGCAGATAAAGCAAATGTCGCAGCCACTCTTTGGTGTCAAACTCACAGGGATTTGTACAATGTTTTCACAGTCCTTGTACTGCAGGTCTCTCTCTTGTCTGAATGTTCCTGCGTGTCAGAGCTTTACATCCCTGCATGAGCTTATAAGTGGAGTTTGCGTCATTTTCTTGAAGTCTTTCATTACGGCTCGCTACTTCTTTTTGACCTTTTGCAGCATGAACAGTGCTGCTTTCAGCACAGCTTTGATGGAGCACGATACTGTGAAGTCATTTAATTTAATTTAATCTTTTCAAAAGTAGGTGTCGCATGATAAAACTGTGAACAGTCACTGTTTCTTCATCTATAAGGTTTGTATTACTATTAGTCTTTCATTTGTTATTAAACCTGGTTCTATGGAGACAGATAAGGCTGTATTTTGATGTTGAAGAGGAACAGTAGAGGAGGAAGACATTGATTAACAGACAGCTAAAGGCGGATCCAGGAAATGGATCTTATCCATGAAATTACTCAAGACTATTTTGTAAATTTACCGACATGTTCTTTATTTATCATTTTATTTATCATTTATGTTTAGTATACACTCACCGGCCACTTTATTAGGTATATACTTAGTATTTTATATACTTCTTATATTTAATGATATTTAGTATTTAGTTTTTGCTGCTGTAATAAGAGAATTTCCCAGTGTGGGATCAATAAAGTCTATCTATCTATCTATCTATCTATCTATCTATCTTTCTATCTAATACTAAAGTGTCACACAACATCCATAATATGACATAATGCTCCTACTTTAGGCGCAGGGATGATGTCACCCTGTTTCCTTTGTTTGAATAGGATATTTTACACAATTTAACTGAATATTAAAAATAATCCCAATTCCAAGAAGGTTATTTAAAATATAGACCAAATATATTTTGCTTCTACTTGCATTCAACAGTTCAGCCAACAGTTTAAATATTGATCAGGACACAGTGAAATGCTGCTAAAATGTTTTATTCAATGCAGCACGCATCACCAGGTATGAACACAATATTGCGAGTCTACAACAATGATTCATTAGCAAAGAACAAACAACACCCTGTATTACATCCTCCTACTCGAACACTTTGTTTCTTCTCAGCATTTGTATCATGGAGTCCCATAATTACCAGAGAAGAGCTCCTCATCTATCATACAAGTACCTCGCTGAGCAAATAATAATTTTCTTTTAAAATGGGACTTAGTCATGACAATATTAAAAGCAGATTGCATATCCTTTTCCAAATAAATGATAAATTTCTTTCAACAAAAACTTTTTTCTATGACTATTTAATATTAACAAGTGGAGCCAAACTCAAACACAGATAAAATCCACCTTTTGTTCGGTATCTGAAACAAGCTCAAACACTGTTTCTGTAAAGCTCCAAAATAACTTCAGCTATCAGCTCTTTGAATTTATCACAAATATTTACATTTCACAGTTTTGTTCGGACACAAAAAAACATGTTGCTTGCTAACAGTACGTATGCATGGCTACAAAACTAAAGGCAGCACATAAAGACACTTGAGTCTTTTTTTTTTACTACATGTTGCAGTTAAAGGCAGCAGGAACCGAAGCTCTTTTTTCAACAATGGAGATTTTGATGAAAATATGACAATCTCTGATGCATTATTTTGTATTTTTTCATCCCAAAACTTGGTGTGTGTCCGTGCATGAGGCGATCGTATCCATCTGTTCATGTTCATACTCATTTTCAGAGTTCATCACTGAGGCAGTGGTGATGTCCTGCAGCTCACAGTCATACATGAATTATCTCACTTCATTTGCAGTCAGATTGAGTAGCTGATCGGTTGGATGTGTATGTCCAGGTGCGTCTTTAGCCTAACAGCTGACCTCATATACATCTGTGTCTGGTTTGTTTGCGATCTCTGGACATGAGCGACATGCGGGACAAGCTGGGAGCTCCGGGCAGGATGGGCAGGTTGGACATTTGGGTCGTTTGAAGCTGAATAGCAGAGCGCTTCCTCCCAGCACCTGCAAACATGAACCTAGCCAGCCAAAGTAAAGAGAGCCTGCTGCACGCAGGCTGAGCTGGGGGAGTCTGGGATTATTAATTCCTTGACTGCTCATTCCCAAAATCCCAAGGTTGTGTGTGTACACCCCGAGAGCGGTCAAACTTAAAACCCCAGCAATCACCACCAAGAGTCCTCCTGTCGCTGCTACACCTCTCAGAGGAAGATCGGTCCAACAGCGGACCCCGATGCATGCAAGAACAATACCGATGCCGCACAGGAACAGTGAGGTCAGGATCAAACCCTGAGTGAGACGAACTCTTGGGTCCCTCTGGTACGGACCTGCGACAGGCCAGCACTGCTTCAGCTCTGACTGCTCCACTTGCAGGCAGCTCTCCCAAAGCCCATCAGAGCGGAGCAAGAGTAGGGAATCCACTGACCCTTGACCTTTCACCCCTAACCGGAGCACTGATCCTGGCCCAGACATACCCAAGCGTGCTTGCCCCTCTCTCCACTGTGGGGTGATGGCCGCAGTGAAGACGAGGACCAACCCCAAAGGGGAAAAGACGATCCCCATCACCATGGAGGCTGGAGTGTGCATCACAGGCGATCCAACCTGGATTTTTGTTGAAAACTCCCAAATCCTTTTTCTCTTTCACTCCTTTTGGAAACTTATCATCTCAGCTGCAAAATCCCTGTCCTCAGTGTGCTTTCCTCTGTCTTACCCAAAGTGGAGATGGCACAGGCTGCTACGCCTCATATGGATGCTGCTTGTTGTATGTTTGTATCGTAGCACTCCTCAGAACTGGAAAAATTCACCCTGAGAGAAAAAAGACAATACATTCATGTTTGAAAGCATCCAAACAAAGCAAAATCCAGAAGCAATTATCCTCTTTGTCCTTTCAAAGACAGAATCTGGAATATTTTCTACAAAAATTAAGCATCAAGCTGCAGAAAGCAAAGAAAGTAAGAGCAGTGAACACCCTCGATAAACTGAAGCTCAGCCTTTACCTCTTTGAAGAAAATCTCCCGCCTTCCAGCTGCAGAGTCCTCGCTCTGACTCCTTGGATGAAAGAGAAATATTAATTCAGAGAGAGATGTATAGTGCACATCAGGTCGAAGTGATGCGGAAAGACGGAGATGAGACCAAAAACAGAGGTGTGAAGCGGAGAGGAGACTGGTGTGCTCCAGCAGCAGAGAAAGCAGGAGGGCGGTTTGGCTTCACAGCTCCAGCGCTGGACAGGAAAAGACAGAGTGGTCGATGTCTGTCTCTGTTGCTAGGATACCACAACTTGGCCAGCCAGAATGTGACAGTACGTGTGTATGTGCGTGTGCGAGTGTCTGTGTGTGTGTGTAGTTTTATTTATAACAAACCTAGTTAGACTTTATGGAAATGAGTTTAAGTTGGTCCTGCTGTGTCCATAAATGTCGGTATACTATCATAAAGCTCTTCATATGTACACGCTTGCATGTTTTCTGTTTGTTAGTTTTTTCAAAGTCTGATGATTAATGGCCGGCTCTGACCTTGGAAAATTTCAGTACGGTAAGTAATTATATCAGGCCAATGTCTGAATGCAGAGTGAGTGTATCAGCGGGGCTTCTGTCCCAGAGGGGGGGATAAAGATTGTCCTCTGGGACCGAGACGAGACAACTATAAGGGGAGTATGACTCATGAGGACAAACGCAAACACACACGGGTGGCCATAATCAATATGATCCCTGCCAGACAAACACAAGCCTCTTAAAGAAGAAAAACACCCAGGCTTGGTTTTCTCCAGACACACCAGTGGTGCTGGCAGAAGTCAAAGAATTCAACCCTTATTCAACCCAACAGTATATCCACTAAAATAGGCCAAAACTTCCCTGAATGTAAATCAATTATAATCAGTTTTTAAAGCCACATCACAGGTAAAGTTACAGACAACAACAGGCACATTAACACCACAAAATATAGCCTCTTGATCCAAAACATACAACTGGCAGAAGCAACTGAATCAGTATCAAGTGCATGAATACGATCCATCAAGAAGGCTCTGATTCAGAGGGCAGAGGTGCCGAGTGGGCTGAGGCACACCAAATCCACCCTGTGAAGTGTTTTTTAAGGGTTTTAAGGGCGTGGAAGTGGGGGTAAAAGGTACATTTTAGCATGTTTTTGTTTGGGTGCACAAAGAAGATGATGCTTAACCAACATTTCACCTACAGTTAAGCATGTTTGTTTGGCCTATTTTACACTGTCCGTTCCATTAACATCTCTGTGAAAGCCAGATGATGTGTTGCCTATGTATTTATGGTTGCAGTTTTAATTTCTTAACTCTGTTTTCTTGTCCCTTTTTTTTAATTCACTGACTGTAAAGGCACTTTTTAATTTCATGCTTATCACAATGACAATGAATTCTATTCTATTCTATTTTAACTCTGCAAATACCTCTGCAGAGTTATTATAAGACAATTGGCCAATTAAAATATTGAGATTCATAAAGAAAAAAAAAAGTAAGAAAAAAAAAAAAAGAAATCATAATACTCTATTTTCAGTCTAGACATGGTAGAAAAACTTTTTCCCAGTATGTCAGAATAAACCAGAGTTTACTACAATACAAATAGATCAACCATGAGAGTTTTGAAACTGTGCTGAGGTGCCTTAGTAGAAGGTGCACTCATAAACACATACCGAACATCTATTGTCATCAGCGTCTTAAATCACGGGCCAACATTGTAATTACAAATATCCCAGTATTTCCTGTTCTGCTACTGAAAAATCTAAACTCAAGTCACATGAACAGGAGAGACAAGACATCAAATACTTCTCTGCCTCTGGAGAGAAATAATAAAAACCATTCCTCAGTTGAAATTACACTTTCTCTCCTAATTTGGTCGAATATTGAGTAAAAAAAAATTGAACATGCACAGAGGCCAATTCACATTTTGTGCAAAAACATGCAAATTCTAGTTGTGCAGCTGCAACGGTGAAAATGCACTGACTTCTCTTGGTTTGTTTTGATGTGGAGGAAGCATGAGAGAAAATGCACGCCTGCAGGGAGAGACTCAACACTGAGGAGGCTGCTGCTCATGGACTGACTATGACGAGCATACTGTCGGTTATTAATGATCCAAACACCTTCCCTCACACAGGGAAATGTAAACACACACACGCAAACGCAAACAGCCCATGTAGTCACTCACCATTCAGAGGAGGCGATGTGCATGTCTCGTTGCGGATCGCAGGCTGCCTCCTCTGCTCTCATCATAACATGTTTCTCTCTCGGGCAGCAGATGGTGCAACCACCTTTTCATTATTCGTCTCCACTTTTCCCTCGTCGCTTCAGCCACTTCGCCACCTGTCTCTGCAGGCTGATTCTCTCTGTCCTCATGTCCCTGTTTGTCCTTGAGTCTGTCCCTTTTCTCTCTGCCTGCCCCTCTGTGCCCCTCTCCTTGTCTTACTGGAGGATGTCTGTGTTTTATCTAGGACAGAGTGCCTCCTTGCTTTTTCCCGTCAGTGGCACCAAATAGGGGAAAACAGTTCCTTCTGTTTATGCTTATACGTAAAGGAGAGGGTGCTGCATCAGGCACAATATGAATGTTCTTTGTTTCTGTGCTCATCTTCTAGACAAAAGCAGACGACCTCATTTGATGCTTTTGTTTGGTTTATAGCCAGCAAAGAGTGATCAGCTGTTTCAGATAATCTCATTTTCTCTAAAGAATAACTGTGCAGATGCAAACAGACCCTTAAGCAGCCTCATTTATCTTCACATTGATATGTATGTATTAGTACGGTGGCCGACAACTGCCACTGCTGCAAATAAAAATTAAAAAAAAAATTTAAAAGAAAAGAAAAAAAAAGAGGTCGCAACAGAAGTTACTGATGCAAAACATAGAAATGGAAGCCCGCTGCAAATGAAAAAAGAAATCGTGCAGATAAAAAAAAAACCACCACAACTGAAGTGAACGACGCAAAAAAAAAAAAAAGAGTTACTGCGAAAATAAAAGGATTCAAATTGAAAAAAGCCACAACAGAAGTGAGCCTCCGGGACCCAATAATGATGATGCACCAGTGATCTCGCGATCTAGACACAGCCGACGACGACGGTCAGAAGAGGAGCGACAAAGTTAATGGAAAGGTTATTGTTTAATTTCGCTTCGTAAACTTTTCAATGTGTCATTTGGTTGGGCCATGTAGCGCCTGAGTTGATATGAAGTTGAACTGGAGTATGCCGGTGTAGTGTTAGCTTTAGTTCAACTTCATATCGACTCACATGCTACATGGCCTAACCAAATGACACATTGAAAAGTTTACGAAGCAAAATTAAATAATAACCTTTCCACTTACTCTTTTTCTCGTCTTCTTGCATCATCGTTATTGGTCCCTGGCAGCTCACTTCCATTGTGGCTTTTTTTTTTTTTGCATCCTTTTATTATATTTTCGCTGTAAGTCATCTTTTTTTTTTTTGTAAGTCATCTTTTTTTTTTTTCTGCACCATCTTTATTTTATTTGCTTGCATGGTGACTTTTTTTTTTTTTGCATTCTTTTTTTTATTTGCAGCAGTGACGCTTCTCGGCCACCGTACATTAGAACCAATTTAAGAAAAAAAGGGAGACAACAGCAAAAATCTATCATGCATTTTCTTTATTTTCTTATAAAAGAGGCAAGATATGCTAATACAACCAGAATTGCCATGGTAAATAATGAAATATAACAGGGATACATGTTTGATTTGAAATGATGCATATAGGAGGAAAAAAAATCCTGCAACCTCTTACACACAAACACACACACGTACATGCATACCGTGAAAAACCTCTGGCAGGGTTAGGGGAGAAGGAGAGAGGGAGGGGGTCAGGTCTGTGGTTACCCTATACAGGCAGGAAATGTCCACATTTTGGGCTAAATGAGGGCCAATACTAACTCTTGTGTGGTTTGTTTGGTGGAAATGTCTGACTTTTGGTTCTGAACTTTGCCCAGTGTCGGGCTACAATAGTCGTGAAACTAAGAGGAACCAACAGGAACACACTCGTGGCAACATCATGAGTTGGTTGTGGGTGAGTTTTGTAGAAGAAATGATGAGTACATTGAAAGCAGCAAGAACAGCAACCTCTTATAAAATGCATAAATGAAAAACACTCTGTACACAGGTCATGTGCAGAGCTCTGTAAAAAAATTGAAATACATAATTTGCGGAAATAATGGATCGCGACACGCACATGGCTGTTTCATTAAACACTGTCATATTAAAATCTATTTACATTATATATACAAACTGTTCATGATAAATGCTCTTACGTTAGAATATTAAATTCAAACAAACATGTCAGGAGAACTGGGGTAAGTGGTATATACATAACCGAGAAAAGGCTTTGAGGTTTAGCTTGAAACTGGAAAGGGTCTCTTCAGTCCAGTTCTCGTACTGGTTTTGGCAGTCACAGCTCACATTGTCTTTGGTCGGGCAGTGCTTTTGGAGATGGTTTAAAAAGGCAGCTGTGAATTCTTCTTTTAAAACATCCTTCAGTGGTGCAGGCAGCTGACTGGATGCTGGTTTTCATACTTCAATAAGGGTGACCTGGAACTGTCCGGAGGCGACCTCGGACATCTCGATGAGGAAGGCCGACTGGTTGGTGTAATGTTCGATGATGTTGTCGTCCATGTTGACGTAAATCCTGGAGAATAGATGAGGAAAAAGAGTTAGTCAGGTATACACAAAGAAACTCAACATGATAAAATAAAAACAGAGCAGGGGTGGATCCAAACTATTTTGACTTGGGTGGCCCAACTCACTTTTGCAGGGGTGGCCTGTATTGTGCCTACATCCATAATTAGATTATACATGAGATTATGTATTCGTATATTTATATATATTTTTTCTGAGTGGCAACACTTACAAAAATGTATGAGTTAAGAAAATGCGCTACAATTATATGCAAAGAAAACTACATGTCTTGTTACAGCGCAAATAGTTTTTACCTCTAGTCCAGAACTTTAAGGCTGAACTAATTTAGTGGGGGCTGTGCCACCCCTTACCACCCCTCTGAACACACCACTGAAACAGAGCTGTCTTTGAATAGTACACTGACTCTTAACACTTCATGCTCTATTTTTCACTCACAGGCAACAGGACACAAGGTTTGTTATTTGGACAACATGTCATTTGTTTAGAGGAAGCACCTGAGTCTAAAAAACAGCCGGGCAGTCTATCTCCTGCATCAGTACAGGTAGTAAATCAGGTCACCTTCCTCCTCCTCCCTCCCTCCGCTCAATCTAACCTGTAAGTCTTAAAGGCTTTAATGACTGAACTTATGCATTCTGCCTGCAGGGACAAGGCTGATTGAAGACAAGAGGTGAAGAGGAGGGAGGAAACCGCGGGGAGAATGTAACCGAACCTGTTAGCTTAGCTGCTCCCCCCTGAAGTGCCTGCTACAAGCACGCAGCGGGGAAAACCACCCAAAGGTGTTCCAGTGTCTCCTAAGGAGATTTTACCAACACTTGTCCTCTGATCTCTTCTTTTAATTTAAAGACAGAGGCTCAGACTAGGATAAGTTTGACAGCTGTAGACTATGTGTCGCAATAAATGTGTCATGGGGTTTTTTGTTGGGCGGAGCGAGCATATAGCTGTACCTATGTTACTGTTAAGCTGATAAAAATGTAACAGGATGGAAAAGGTTAAAAACTGGACGGACAACCTCTAGTTAGAGACGGGAATCAGCTTAATCAAACTAGATATCTCTTTTAACAACAGAAACATCCTGATGGTCGAATGAGATGAGGTTATGAAAACAATAAGAAGCACAACAATCAGCTGTGACTCATCTGAAAGACTTCAAAAATGATTCCCTTTCAGTCACCCGTCTTTCTTTTAGAGGATACAATTAACACATTCCAGCAGGCTGAGCCAACCAACCTACCCACCCTGTCTGTCGACCTGAGCTTCCTTCAAGAAGGATAAGGTTGAAATGACAAACTAAGCCCTCAATTTATGCCCATCACCTGCCTGAAATGACCTCTTTGAATCCAACATGTGTGTAAAGCCACTTGCACAATAGCATCACCTTCAACTGACAAAAAAAGCATGAAGACACTCACCCTCTCTTGCATTTTTTGTAGATTTTCCCAATGGTGTCTTTTTGCATACCGTACTTTTCTGAAACCTGAGGGAGGAAGGGAACGTAAGATGACAGTTAGCGTGATCCGCTGAAAGGCAAATGATATGCTTGAGAGATAGCGTCACGTAGAGACAATGCTATGTGAGCGTGATGTACTATGCAAGCGTGTGTTTACGGGAGGGAGACAACAAAGACAAAATGGAGGAAAATCAGGTCAGATCATTCAGGAATGTTTTGAAGTTAAGAGCGCGTTTACTTACGGCTTCTCGGAGACCGGACAGCGTTGGCGTGTTGAGCATGAGGGCGTCAAACACCTCCTCGGCGCCTGTTCTCACGTACAGAAGAACTGTTGGAAGACAGGAAACATTGAGCAAGAGGAAAAAGGGAAGCTAAGTGGCTAATCGTTCATATTTGCATCTTTTATCTACCTCTTTGTGGGTCGTCTCTGCGCGCTAGCTTGCTCGGTGGAGAGCTGGTCTGGTCTCTGTTTTGGTACATCCTTTTCATTGAACTCCTTTACAAACAGAAACAGACACTCTTATTAGACTTAAATAGCCTCTATGTTCAAATGAGAAAAATAACCAGCTATGTTTGCTAGCTGTTAAACGTAATCTTGTCCTTGCTTACCTGTCAACCTCGTCCATGGGAGCGGCCTAGAAAGACAAAAACAGAGGGAGACCTGATTAGAGATCTGATGAGACACCGCTCCACTGATAAAAAGCATTGCCTAATGCTCCCCTTCCCACCATTGTCTGAGCGCGATGCCTTCAAAAGGAATCTTATCGTTTCTTTAAGACTGCATTTCCCATAACCTCTAACAGAACAACATACGCACGGGCGCTGATGCAGACATAAAGATAGAAGCGTCCTACACTTTATCACGTCAGCCAATCGAAGACGTTTTCTGTCTTTGTTGTATTATTACGTCATTCTGCGATCGCAGGAAGTCGGGGAAACTTCTTCTCTATGTATGTCACTCTAGACTGCACAGCGTGGGAAAACTGGCCTGTCTGAACAGCACCCTCACCTCAATGTTTTTGCAAGTGTGTGTTAGTGAAAGACACAGGAAACATGAGGGTGGTGCATACTGTAAGGCCCAACAGGTGTGTGTGTGTATGTGTGTGTGTGTGTTTTCGTCTTAACCCCCACAAACTGAGATCAGTGTCAGTTGCTGCTGCGGCTTGTACCTGCGCCTGGTTTCGACTCCACTTGGCTCACCTGATCTTTACCCTCACTTTCACTGACACCTTCCCCCCCTCTCTCCTTTTCCCAGCCCACTTTTCCCACTGCATACTTTCCCACAGTTTTTTCCCTGCCTCTCTCGTGCCTGTCCTATCGCCTGCAGGGATACGAGGGTCGGGAACATGATTCACTCGACAGGGGAAAAAAAGAGAAGGGATTTACTGCCAATAACAAACCGCGGTTGTAGGAGGACTTACCATGCGCTGTAAGCTGGAGAGGTGTGTTTCTGGGATGAAGAGGACAGGCTGGGTAACGTGGTCCTCCAGAGTTTGGAAGAAGGTGCAGTCACTGCCTATCGAGCTGCTCACCAAAGATTTGTTGGCTGCAAATAAACAACCACGAATATTAAAAAAACACTCTCTGAAGACTTTGTTCACATAATCAGTATATAATGGCGGATGCAACACTCACTGTTGGCATCGTTCTTTCCCCTCCTTTTGGATCTCTTTCTTTCCTCATCGCGCATCTTCCTCTCCGCACCCTGAGGGAACACAGCCGCACGGTTATGAAACATTAATTTCCTTTTTGCATGTAAGAATAAGAAAGGAAGTAAATCAGCTCGAGCGACGTACCTTATCACAGAAAATCTTGACCTGGCAGGCAGCTCTGTGTATGAGCTGGTTTGTTCCTGAGCTGAAGTCGTACGTGTCGATCTGAATGTTGAGAGGCAGGCCTTTCACTCCCTTCTGAGAGGAGAAGTCTGTGCTCAGAGAGTTGATGCCGATGTACACCTGCAGACAAAGAGAGCATGGAGTTTAACGACGATAATGTTCTGACAGTTTTCACGATTTGTACCAATAAAGAAGGGATCAAACTGTGCACAACATGGTGTCATATGTTTGGAGTGGGCTTAAGAACACTGTCTTCTCTCTCAAACACACAACACTTTTATTCATCTTAAATCACAGTCTTTCTTCTCCTTAGTCTTCTTCCTTCTTTGCACCTGCAGCAGGTTTGGTGGCCCCACCCCGGCGCCTTCAGGCCACAGAGACGCTCAAATTAGCTGTCGTGGCTCTCGCATGCTGTGGTGACAGGAGCCCTCAGGGCCAAACACATTTCTGGGATTCCTCCCCTCCCTCCCTCAGCCACTCCTTCACTCTCCACCTTCCTTCTCTACCTTTCCTCTCTTTTCCTCTAAACCCTCCACCTGTTTTGCACCTTCTCTATGGCCTAATAGAGCAGCGTTATATAAAAATATCAATGCATTGTTGTTTCAGTCATGATCTGTCAAGTGCGGGTTTACCTTCGCCTCTTCAGTGGGGTTCCAAACAAAGGAAAGAGCGTTGAAGGCCACCTCCTCTATGTTGCTGATGCCATTGTATACTTCTTTATAGTCGGCTGTGGAAGAAAAGTGACGTTTTTAATCTTCTTTTTCTATCAAAGGAGAATTCTGAGCATATTTCCACTTTTATGTAACAGCTTAAATCATGCACATCCAGGTGTACGGGGACTTTGAGCAACATACCAATGTCAATGACCCTCTGCTTGGCGGTGGGCTGACGTGCATGCCAGTGATTCCAAAAGCGGAGCTGCATCTCTGGACTCTTGTCATTCTCGAAGACAGCCATCACCACTGTCTGTTGTGGAGGAGGAGAGGTGACAGTAAAACACAGTTAGGAAGATTTGTCAAGCTGTATGCCATTCATTAACCTGCCTGCACCTCTTTAAAGGACTGAGTCTTTTTTTCAAAGCCGCCATGTTCCATTTATCACTCTAAATCCTCCTATTCTCCGCACATCGTCATGGGTTATTTGCAGTGAGCGGGTGTGTGTTTGTGCATGGTCTTATCCTCTGATTCACTTGACTAAGAAAAAGGGCTGTCACCGATGTTTTAAAATCACACCACACCTTCCCCCTCTTCTTGTTCGCCACTCTTTTTTTTTTCCACCCTCAGACAGTCAGAGCTGAGCTCCTGTGCTCTCTGGCCTCATTACACCAGCATAGAAAACATTATACAGGGCAGGACACTGTCATTTTAATGGCAGCGGCCCTGTGCCCAGGACGTCAGCAGGGAATTAGTCACTGAGGAGCTGGCTCCAAGGGAGGGACGGATCATTGGGAAGGGTTGGCTCGGTGGCACGCAAGGAATTTGTGGGTGAAAAAAGGCCTGAAGGGAAGGATGCCACCTAGAGCAAAAGTCACCTTTTTTTCTAACAGAATGTGTCATAAAACTAAACAAAGCAGGAACTTTAAATCATCATCTCCAAATCGTCAGTGCTCACGGCTTTCCTAATGATGACTCACCTTGACTTTAGTGGCAGTGAGGCAGGCGCTGCTGTCCACCCCCTGCAGAGTGATGGGGTAAAACTGGCCCTTGTTCAGATAAACCATGGGCAGCTCGCTGGACTTGTAAGGAGAAGCGAGAGGAGCACCCAAAGAAAACTGGAACTCGCTCCTGAATCTCTCTGGTGGAGAGCCGGTGTAGGAGCCTGAGTAGACCGGGCTGGAGTGGTCTTCAGGGAAGGGATCGCTGTAGGGAAGAGTCTAAAATCCACAAAGATAATGAAATTTTGTTAGTATTTTCAAGAGGGAATTATCAAAAACAAGCACAAGGAATCATGGATGGACGTTCAGATAAAGATTTTAAATTTACCTCAGTGCTAGGGTCTGGGAAAGCCCCGCTCTCTGGCCACTTCTGCAGTAAGGAGTCAAAGATAATGTTGAGCTCCTGCTTGTCATAAGTGTCCGCTACCACGCTGGTCAAAGTGGCATATGTGTCTGAGGTGGTGGCAACTGGCAGAGAGGGGTTATGCTTGGACCCCAAAACCTCATGAGCATGGCTCAGAGGGACACCCTCAGAGAGGATCTTCATGACGTTGGCAGATGTCTCCAGTGAAACAAAGTCATTGGCGTTTGTTGGAGTCCTGGAATAAAAAAAAAGGGAAAGACAAATCTATTTAACCACTTATGTGTAATCAGCATGACTCAGAAATACTACACCCATGTAGAGAAAGAGAGGAAAACAGAGGAACAAACAGCCTTCAAAGTGGTGTAAAGTGTAGGGCCTGCAGAACAGTACAGAAGCCTGTGCAAACAAACACTAGTCTAAACTCTCTGAGCACACACAGCTACCGCCAGGACAGCCTGAAGACAGATTTGGTTTGAGTCTGGGTGGGTTCTGTTTGTACCCTAATCTAGCTTTCTTTCTTTTCTGTTTGAGTTTCTCTGGTTAAGATGTTTGAAAGGACAACACCGCACCCCAACAATGGCCGTTTTTCTCCCGACAATAAGCCGCAGGAGTGAAGACAGAAGAAGGGAAAAAACAACACATGTTGGGAAACTCACAGCAAGGCCGAGGTGATGATAGTGAGAGGAGAGATGGATGGATGGACTGGAGGGGTAGACAATAATCCCTCAGACTGTTTGTTTTGGGGATTACCCTCTCACGTGTTTTTGGCCACCAGTAGCCCTGCCTTTCCCTCTCTGTTTTAGCATCCTCCAACAATACATAAAGGTGGATCATGTGTCTTACCTCTCTGTTGTTTTGCAGATATTTCCTCCACGGTTGCAGCTGGCGTTCTTCTGCTCTTTCTGGCTCTGAGACAAAAACAACATGTTAGTGAAAGGGGGAAAAAAATTGGGATTTCCTTGAGAATTCTTCTTCAGTGTCTGTTTCTTCCTTCAGTTTCTACCTTGCACTGTTCATAAAGCATGGTTAACGCTGCCAAGTCGTCTCCCGGGTGGAGTCTGGGTTTGGGGGGGTTTGGCTCAGGGATGGGGTTCTCCAGGTAGGACCAAGAGTCCATGATGTGGTTAGTGTAACGGTTTAAGTTGAAATTCTCACTCTGAAAGATCAGTCCCAGAGTCCTAGAAAAAAAAGAGACAAAAACAGTGAGATATTTATTCAAAGTGAAGAAATTAAGATTGATTTAGTTGAGGTAAAACAAATATATTTTAGTGTCTTCTGATAAACGGAGTTAGACGGCGTAAGTCTATGCCGTAATTTCGCAGCAGTACCTGAGCCTCGGGGCGCTGCACATACTTGCCTCAGAGCGTGGAGGGTTTCGATTGCAAAACCACAGAGCTGAGTAACATCCCTTTAGGAGCGGTGGTGTCAAAAAGGTTTAAAAGGCCACCCACTAACACCCCCACCTCCAATCCTTTCCAAACTCACTTATTTGCATTGGTCTCAAAAGAGATGACAAGATATCCCGCTATGTAAATAGAAACCCACAATTGCGCTCAGGTGAGCTCTGCTTTCCCTTGTCACTTGTAATGAGGGGGTAAAGCTCGGGATTCTGAGGATTGGATTTGTTTGGAAAGACTCACAGTGGCACTGGATTGTATATATCCTGCCTACTAGGATAAGCCCCCTTTGGAGTGGGTTTGAAGTAGCTAATGAACAAATAAGCAGGGTTTACTCAGCATAAACAGATAATTAAATGTGCTGACAGGAGGGAGAGAGCACAGGTGTTCACAACTGCAGAGAAGCTGAAGAAATTAAGTGGGTTCTTGCAAGAGTTAATGAAAGAGCACATTAAATACTAGATACACTGTAATTTAAGAGTGAACTTTAACTCTTCTATTACAGCCTTAGTTTATATTTCTTTGCCTGATATTCACTGCTCATACACCTGCTCTGAGATGCACCTGTTTCTCCTTCTCACACCCAGCAACCTCAGCAAAAAAAAAAAAACCCATTACAGCCCCATTAGTTTCTCTCCATTTCCCCCAAAACCAGCCAAGTGCAGATGTTTTTACACACACACACAGTGGGGCTCGTGTCTAGGGTTTCTCCATTATGTAACTCAATGCATTACATGCTGTCATTGCCCTGCAACACCTCAAGAGGAGATTCTCATTTCCCTGGTGTCCTTTTGTGCTCAGTGGCCCCTAGGTTAGTGACAACACAAGCCGAAACAGACCCCGTCAACTCCAGACCTGAGTGTGTGTTTAAACTATCCATATCGATTTCCCCTGCAAAACACCCCTTTCTTAAAACAGGGGTTTTTCACATGGGGGTCTCATTGCAAATAGGAAGAAGGGGGGGTTTCTGTACCTCCTATGAGAATCTAACATCACATCTTGAAGTAAACACACAGTCCAGTTTGAATTTTCCTGATTTAGTTGAGAAAAAAAATCATTTTGAACCAAAAAAATGACCTGAGTAAATACAAATTTTAGACTAAAAACAGAAGAAAATCTTTAAAAAAACTTACTCAGTCTCTTTGGTCATGTCTCCAGTCCAAGTCAGCCGGGTTAGGTTCCTTTGATTTAAACTCTGCGTGTCTCCTTCTGTCTCAGAGAGTCTATCAGTCTAGCAGAGAGGAGCAGTGACACACAGATGAGTCAAGTGTTGTGATTCCCTCAGACGGGGCCCGGATTTATTTCATGTGAGCCAAGTATTCCCTCTGAGCTCTGATTGGCTCAGAGGACCGAAACAGGTGCCTGATAGGACAGGTGTAGGATCATTAACTCTTCCCAGGCTGGAGAGAAACTGACATGCATGTGCATGAGTATGTACAGCCTGGAGAGCACTTAGCAAGACAACAAGACAGGAGTTTTTAGGACCTCATTAACATGTGGGATAAAAGAGTGAGATTGGGGATCCGGGAGGTGTCAAGGGCTCCTTAATGATTCTGAGAAAGCAAGGATTGATCTGGGACTGGGCTTTAATATGCTAATAGTTAGTCAGTATCATTTTTCACTCTCTCAGTTATTTCCATGAGCTTTAAAGGTTTTGGTTTCTTTATTGGTGAAAGATAAATTAAAAAAAAGGAAAAGAAAAGGAGGATACCCTATTACAAAACATCTGAGGAAATGCTAAGGAGAAGAGCCTTTGAGAAACTAAGGTTTTAGGATCTTAATAAAGTAGAAAGTAATTTAAAATGATAAGATATAAAAGGGATTAAGATAGATTAGCGTAAAATAGAAACATGAGTGACTTTTTTTAGCTGCAATTTCTATTAACCCACTGTAAAAACTGAACTTAATTAATTTAGACTTTTTTAAAACAACTAAATATGTTGGTAGTGTGTATTAAGTCAATCTGACTAGCATGCAGATTCACCTTCACAGCAGATTGGAGGATAACACATAAATATGGTTCAGTTAGGTATAGTTTTTTTTTATGCTGTTAGTTTTATCTGAATTTTTAAAACTTGTAAAAAGGCATCAAATTTAATTTCAGTTCTTTTGGAAACAGATTAAAACAGGTCATTTTTGCTACCTTAAGTTATCAGAGTTGAAGATACATTCAAAATATATGGAGGCAAATAATCAGAGGTCACCACAGACCAGAAGTAATTCTGACATCTGTTTTAGATTAATTAAAATTAAAAAATATCTAACCCTGTTTTTGCTCAAACAGAAAAGTCTATCATATCTGAAGGATCTTTGCAGCAGGGAGTTTGAAAATAAATGTAATTAAGCATTTTAAAGTTAATCACTGTATTTGACATTTACCTCAGCAGCAGTTACAGACATTTAAAACAATGATAAAGACACAATCAGTCCTTGTGGTGATGGTCTCTTTTGCTTTTGTAGCTTCATCAGGGCATCATAATATGAAATCACACACACATACACACACGTTTCTTATTCAGTACAGCCAAAGATCACAGCTTGTGCAACCAGGGATCTACAAGCATGAGGCTCATAAGGTTTTCATGTCAGTCCAGGATATTCTCCACCCACTGACCTGTGTGCACCTATACTAACGCATAAACACACACAGATAGAGATAGAAAGTGCAGTGTGAGTGTATAATTTTTTGGGAATGTTTATCTGTTCCTTTTGTGTGTGTGTGTGTGTGTGTGTACGTGTGCATGTGTATGTACACCTCTAGCGGCTGACACCCGAGGGGATCTGGCGTGGTAAAACACAAGGGTGCGTGCTGTGCAGTCTGCCCACACAAATACATACACACACTTGTACGCACACCCTCACTGACTCCTGAACACACACTCACAGACACACAAGGCCCAGGGGCAAGTTGGCATCAAGTCAGAGGGGAAAGAAGAAAGATTTCCTTGGTGCGGCACACCTTTTCAAATGTTCATTAAAACCTTCTCTATCTATTAGAGGTCTACGTTTTTCTTTTTGGCTCTCTCTAGCAGAGACAATCTAACCTTTCAGAATAAATAAAAATAGGGAGAAATAACTTAACAGACGATGAAACATGGATGTGGGTCGTTCACACTTGCTGGCTCTTCTCATCAGCTCGTTGAAGAGCATAAAGAGCTTCTCTCATCTGCGGGGTTTTCTCTCTCACTCTGCCTTTATTAGCTTTTCTCAATCTGTCCCTCATCAACACTGTGAAATTAGCACACCCATGAACAGCTGTTTCTGTTTCTTTTACTGCAGGAAAAAAAAACCCAGAGTTTCCTGATGCAAAAGACAATCATACCTATATAAAAAAAAATGTATACAATCATTAAGAAATGATCTAATGTACAAATGTGAGCATTACTTACAGAATACTTCATGGTTTACATTGGCTGCAAGTTCTTAAAGCTTCTGTAAGACCTTTTTACAATCACAAAACAGTCTAAAATTAATTATGACGCCTCTATATGACAAACAGAAGCAAACAAGTGCATCAGCAAAAAGTTTTCTGTCACACTTTTTAATGACGTCTTTCAAATGTCTGTACTTCATTTGCTCCAATTCTTCCAATAAAATTTTTAATTAGAGATAAAAGAAAATGCCAACAGGGGTAAGTGTCATTATAGCTAACTAACTGCACAGAAAAGTCTAATTCTTGTATTTTTAATGGCAGGTATTTAAGCTATACATTCATATTTAAGAGTCCAGAGTGAATATGATCACACAGTGGACATTATCCTTAAAAAGGTACATGTACAGTTTTGTCCACAGGGGGCGCCAAAATCAACACAATTCCTCACAGGAGCTTTAAGTTCTAAAATCTGGAAATAAATGTGTAAAAACACTTTTTTAAGTTCCACTCATGTCATTATAGTTCTGAAATATTTTCACTTTCTTTGTTCCCTTTCCTTTCACTTTCTCAGGACTGTATCATCATGCTCTTGCTACAGCTTTATTTTAAAACATACAGGCATACAGTGGGTAGAGATATAGAGTAAGTTTAAATCAGTTCACTGCATTAAAAGCCTCAATTCAAAATATACTATAAATTTTTTATCTTAAGTAATTGATATCTTGCAGTCGTGTGGATTCATGTAAGCCACACTTAAAAAAAACACATACTTCTTCCTGGAAATTCACAAGATGACAAAAGCCTATAAATATGGTTTTACGTATTTGGGAGAAAGGGAAACAATGCCAGCAAATAAAGGTCATAAGTCCATTCAATATCATGATTCATCTTCAACATTTCTAAAAATCACTTGACAATGAATTGACAATACATGACTTTCCATCAATCTTACTGTCAGCGTTGAGCTTTTAAGTCTTAATTGCGTAAAAATGCCAGTGATCCCAAAAGGCCCTGTGTTGAAACAGACGTGGAAAAACTTCACAGGATGTTCAAACGGCAGGCTGACATGCCTTGAAACTGACCCATGTAGTGTGAAACCAGGACCCCGGAGTCCCACTGCTCTGGTTTGTTATGTGTGTGTGTGTGGCCGTGCGTGTGAGCATGCAACCATGCATGGAGGCTTACAAACAGACCCCAGCACTGGTTCTATGCACCACTGCTGTTGAGAAGGAGCTCTCTCATCACCTCTGTCCTCCCACTATCTTCCTCTTTCTCTTTCTCTTTTCCTGTGTTCCTCTCACTCCTCCTTTCACCTACTTTTTCCTGCTCCCCCTCGTAACGACTGTTTGACCACTGCCTCACTTTGCCTTTCCTATCTCAACCTAAAGGTCATGCATTTAAACAGGAAAAAAAAACACAGTCATGCGAGATTAAGCAACCAATTAAAACAGAAACCATTTTCTGCTCATCAGTTAATCCTTCTCACCAACTCCCACACAGCATGCATATCTCTGCATCTTCTTTCTCTATCTGTCTCACTGATCTAATGCCTGGTTTGTCATGGAGGAATGTGTGCTGAAGGTTGACAGAGATATAGGGAGCCTGCAGGGCATGTTGCACTCTGTCTGCTCCTCAGCACTGGGAAAGAAAGCAACATGTGGTGCACCTGTTACCGTAAAGCCCAAACACATCGACTCAAAAAGAGCTCTACTTAAATAGCGACACTTCCCGTCTTCATACCAACAACACTTCCCGGACTAAGTTCATTTTGTGATGTTTACTGAAATATTCACCTAAATTAAATACAAAGTGACAAAGTTCCTGATAATACTGGAGAAAAACTGTCTTTTATTAAACCTTTATCACTGTAGGGGCTCTTTTTTCATATTTAGCACTCACAAACTTAGTTTAAGCTACTTAGAGCTGGTACGTTTTTATTTATTTTTGTTGACAAAGCATATAAAAAAGAGATTAATTTCATTATAATATATTCCATAACACCCAAATAATTCTATTACTTGACTAAAACTTTAGAGTCTCAACTTTCTTCTATCATATGTAACTTGGGCTAAAACTTCTGCTGCAGTCATGTTAAAGCTCCAGTAAGGAACTCTCTGTCTGTGTTCTCTTTGGCGCCCCCTGTGGAGAAAGTCTTAACATTTCTATTTTTGCTAGTTTCATCTCATCCTTATAAAGTGCTGTTAATTAACAAAAATATCCTCTTGTTGTGTTTTTTTTAATGCAAAATTTATGACTATTTGATGTAGATGAAGTAGCTAAGGCTGATTGTTTAGAGTACCAGCCCAGTCACAGCAGCAACAGGTGTTGAAAATTGCATGTTATATATTGTTAATCTTGTCATAAGTGTTCCCATTTGCTTTTGTACATCATAGGAAAACATGGCCATTCATTTCAGTCTGTTTCATCACCTTTCAAAAACTCCTCAGAGGAGCTTTAATGCAATTCTGAGCTATTTGTAATTTAAGTAATTAATTTTTTCTGCACCAACTGCTGGGGGGACCTTCAGTTTGGGTCCCTTTGCAGACAAATTGTAACCACTGATCTGTTTTTTGACCTGTCCTGTTCATAAGAATGTTCATGTTTACAAAAAGCAATTTCTTTTCAACAAAAATCACATCCTGCTTCTTTTTTAAATCTGCCTCTTATTAAGATTATTAGCAGTGGAAAATGCTTAACTCTAAATAACTGCATCACAATAATCAGTGGTTTGCAAAGAGGCATCAGTGTTTGTGAGCCGCTTTTATTGTTTGGTTGTAGCACCTTTGGGTCTGAGACAAAGTCTTGTTGCAGCAAATAAGTCCTTAAAGGAGGCTTGAATCTGGTTAAAAGCCTCATTCTGTTTCCAGAACACTAAGATGTCGTATGCGCCCCATGTGCAGTTCCTTTACCGATGTGTGTGTGTTTGCAGGGTGCTTTGACCTCTACCGGGTGATCTGACCTCCTCAGTGCCATGATACTGAGGTGAGAGCTCTTCAGCAGAATGCTGCTGTCACTTTGTTTGACCTGGACTAGAGAGGCTCCAAGAGTCTGAGAGAACCCTCAAACCCCCCCTCCTTAACAGCCCCTTTTCCTGTTTTAATATTGTACCCAACAGGCGGCAGCAGCCACTCCCAGAAACTCCACATGGCCCCAAGTGAAGGATCAGGACTAAGGAGGGGGATGAGAGGAGAGGAGAGGGTTTGGGTCAAGGAGCGGGGGAAATAAGTGTAAAACTGAATGGTGAGAAGGTGTCAGAGGAGAGTATGAAAAAGCGGCAGATTTATGGTAATACTGGAGAGGACGGGAGAGAAAATGGAGAGCTGTCAAGGGGGCTTCAAAGAATCACTTCAAAGTTTCAGTATTAGTGTTTCCATGATGGCCTCAGAGGGTTGGGACACTATACACCTGAGGCGAGAGGAAGCTGCAGAGGAGAGTCGCTGCATTGCGTAATACGACGTGGGTCTCTGAGCCGTGCCCGGGGGCAAGTGTGTTGAAATTCAACAGTACATGGGGTTTTTACAAGCAACAAAATAAGCACCTCCGTATTGCTACAAAACCGGACAAATATTTTCCACCTCATGAGTAATAACTGCAAGTGTCTGTGATAGGAACAAGTGTTTTTTTAGGATGTTATTAGTTTTTAGGGTGATCGAATTTTCATTCTTTGCATTGACAATACCTCCATCAAGTAAAAGAAAACACTAATCTGACGGCTTATTATATCAACTATATCTGTACAAGTGTAACTTTCTAGAAACAGGGTTAAATTTTGAGTAATCATTACTTTGAATAAAATCATTCTCTTGTAAAAAGTTAGTTAAACTTTGCAGCCATGCGTTACATATGTCAGTTTCAAAAACTGTGAAGATAATAAGGTTTATAATAATAAGGTTTATTCTTTCCCAGAGAAATTATAGCATCTTGTGCTAGGAAGTGTACGACCATGCAGCCTTTAAACTTTTCGCTGAAAAATCTCAGCGATGCAGATAATTTAACTCCAAAGAATTTGCTTGAATTCTCACCAAGGACACTTGAGTTTAGGACAAAGTTACATAAAAACTTATATACGTCAGTTCTGTGCAGATTTCTTCATGAGCATCATACCCAGAGGTCTTTTTTATCTCTATACGACCACACAGCCTTTCCGTCATTTATGATGGGTGTTTACTCTACACTAACTTTGGCATGTCGGATCATTCCAAGCACGCAGAACTGTTTGTTTAACACAGCGGAAAGTCTCTGCTTTGTTTGTGAAGACTCATTCCTCTTTCATTTCTCTCTTAAACTTTGCTTTTGTTTTGTGGGGATTGGTATGAATCTAGCTGAAAGAGCCACTAAGATAACAACAACTGTGGAATGACATACCTGCTGTAGGCACACAGACAAACACACACAAATCCACAATTAAGTGTGCATGCAACTGTCTTCTGCATTTTAACATGAAGTCTTGGAGATTATGCACAGTAACACACACACACACACGCGCGCGCGCAAACAGACGTGCTAGATGCAGACGTGAGATAATCTCATCTGCCCAACAAACCAGATCTCTACACCACCTCTCAGTTTTCTCAGTGCAGACAAATCAGTGAAGTAAGGCCTGTCAAAGAGACACATCTGCCAAGAAAGACAAAGAGAGTCAAGATTCAAGGAAACATTACCTCAGATACAATACTTATTAAGCAACTGAAACTAGCAACACATGATCTATGAAAAGCAGTAAAAGGTAAAAGGAAACCTTAGAGGTGTGTGAGCGTATTTACATTTGCAATCAAGGTTGAAACTGGTTGACAAGTGAGATCCAACACGTAGAATTTGGTGTCAAAACTGTAATGCCAGAGGTAAGAACTCATCATCGCACTTAACTAAACTGCTTAGAAGGCGGCAGAAATGAGTTTTTCAGAGAGTACGCTCATGTGTGTGCACACACACTAAGCCACTTTATGGTGTTTGGGCCATTGATCGTGGTTCCACCCAAACAGAGAACAGGTATTGGGCTCATCTCCATATCAGGTTTCAGTGAGGGTCCCTCAGGCTAAAGCTTGATACAGCCCTACTTCACAATTAGCCCCTGCAGGACACTCATATTTACAGCAGGTATGTGCATAATTGACCTCTGACCTGAGCTGGTGGAACATTCCCAGAGTTTAAACAGAGAGACATGCACCTTTTATATGGTACATCTTAATTCATTTCACTTCCTGGTTGCTGTATTAAGCCTGGAACAATAACAGACATACTGTGACAGTGACATACTTGAACAGAATATTTGCATAAGCTGATGTCACCTTTATGTTTCTGCTTTCATCAAGAAGCTCCAAATAGCTGCCGGTTAAATACTGGGAACAATGGTGAAAAAGTTTCCCGGCACCCTTAAAGCTTTTCACATTTATTAATTTTGTCACACATAAAAGGGAGTAGAAACAGCAAGTTTTGGAGAGCATTACTCACCAAACAAGCATAATAAGTAGGCCAAAGAAGTTTGCAAAGCCCTAGCAAAGATATTTACATTAGGAAGTGAGTTTTAAAGATGAATTAGCTTTGTTGAGTTTTGTTAACTTCAGGCAACTCCAGGCTTGTTGTTAAAATGGGTTCCCAATCTGTGGGCTAAGCTAAGTGGCAGCTGACTGTTGTTTTGAGAAGTGTAAACACCAAGACTACTGTAATGTGGACATTTCATCATTACTCTACACTGATGCTCCAGTTGTAAGTTATTGTAGTGGTGTGGATGCTATCTGCCACATATGCTGACAATCAATTACCCTGACAGTACAATATTTATATTTAATAGCATGGATGCCAAAGGAAAATTTCACCACTGGGACAAATAAGTTTATCATAATGTGAGGTATATCGTATCATATCTATTGTACCGTATCTATCTTATTGTACTGTATATTATTGTATTGTAAGGATTCAGATCATGGTTTTGTATTGAACTGTATCATAAAGTCAAGTACTGAATTGTATTGTAAAGAAAAGTATGTCACATTATGATATGAAGCCATATGATACTTGTCTTTATAATACATTGCAAAATAATACTTGACTTTATGATGCGGTTCAACACAAAACCATGTCACATCAAATGTTATGTATTGCACTGTATTAGATTGAATCCATCTATCTATCTATCTATCTATCTATCTATCTATCTATCTATCTATCTATCTATCTATCTATCTATCTATCTATCTATCTATCTATCTATCTATCTTTGTGTGTGTGTGTGTGTTTGTGCAGATATATCAAACTGTAAATTCCTGAATATCGTATCCTACTGAAAAGTGTCCTTTAAGATTATACACTATTGTTTCATATTATACCATGTTAAATCATACTGCATTGACTTCATCACATTGTTAAGCCTCATATCAAATTATATTATACTAACTGTATCTTCTTGAAACACATTTTATCTAACAATGCATATTGTGTTTTATCTTATCATATTTATGCCATATTATATTAAATTGATACAGACTGAATGGTCTGGTCTAGTATAGTAAGTATCGGCTCTTATTGTATTTATTGTGTCATATATCTTATAACATACCATACTGTTTATACCACATTGTAGATTGTAGAAGCAGTGCAATGTCCTACAGAGTGTCAAGTCATAAAGTTATTAATGAAAATAATGTAAAACCCTTGCAAATTAACTTGAATCAGTCTTAAAAATGAAAAGAAAACTGGTGTATTTACCGTCAGAGGACATCTTGGGATTTAAACCTTGGAGAATCATTACAATTTTGGTTTACCCCTTATTACTTTCTAGCATAAACAGCTGATATAGAAAAGAAAAACAATCTCTCTGTAACTCTAAAATGTCACAATAAGTATTCTTCAGTTTTTTCTCTGCCAATCAAAATGACAAATAAGAAATTTGGTCAGATAAAAATCAATGCAGAATTATACACCAATTTAAGAGATTATCTGCTAGACTGGTTTCTACTGTCTTCTGTATCCTCAGGCCACTGACACCCTAAAGGAACAAGAGGACCTTATGTTTTGGTGAAAATTTCCTGCAGGCAGTAATACTACACGTAGGCAGTGCGGGTTCACAGCAGATACAATGCAGCTCATATGCTCCACAAAGAGTTGCGTTATTGCTCGCTTGCTGTATAACAATAAGTGCTCTTTTCTGGGACTCTGTTGCAATTAGAAGACAAAATGTTCTGCAGCGTTTCCATTGTTTGTATGAGTCAAATGCAGGTCCAGGGTAATTGTTTGGGGTGTGTGCTTCAAGTTGTATTTTAACACGTGTTTGTTTACAGGCATGTTTGTTCATTTGTGGGTCAAAGTTAAGTAGAAAAAGAAGAAGAAGAGCAGCAGAGAGAAAAATCAGACTCGATAATCAATGAAAAATTCTGACATGAGCTGTACACCTTTCACTTTCCTTTCAGACAAACATCTTTCTTTTTCCTCTCCACCCTCCTCCCTCTTTCTCTTCTCCTCATCTTCACATCATCCCTCTCAGTCCCTCTTCCTCTATGGATGAGTGGTGATATTCCCGTGGGATAGTGAAGGAGGAGACTTTTCCAGGGTCTTGCCTCATCATCCCAAATAAAGCAGGGAACATGTTCAGACCACCTCGACTCAGACAGAAACTCTTTTTTTTTTTCAGGGTTGCAGACACCCCGTGTAGACACGTTGTCTGTCTTTAAGCGCTTCTCTAAACTTTAACAATGTCTGTCTTTTTGCAATCCTATCTTTCCCCTTATCTCATGTTTTTATCCTTTTATAAGTCTTATTTCTTTTTGTTTCTGTTGCATGTGAAGTCTGAATATACAGATTCACCTATCGACTTTAAATTTAATGCACTCTGAAGTTGTTTTTGTAAATTTCTGTAGTCATATTATTGGACAAAAGTTTACAATTTCTCCTACTAAAGTCCTGCGCACTCTGATTAGGAGGAAAAAATTTTCCATGTTCACCTGCGATACTTCCCTATGATCTATTTCTCTCTCTCTCCCTCCCTTTTCCTTTCTTCGACTCGCGCCCAGTTTCAGTCTACGTGTCTCAGCTTGTCGGAGATTTAGAGGAACCACGCATTCCTTTTCTCCTCAGCCTTCTGGAACAATTACAGCCTGCCCTGCTCAAGGGCAGCAGCAGGGTGCGTCCCAGTTGGATGGCAAGGCACAAGAAGATTGACGTACTGCTGACCTGATGGGTTTGGTCCGCAAATCTGTAACCATGGAGATAAATTAACTAGCTTTTAACTGAATGCTGACTGCTTGTCTGTTTGATTTTTCCCATGGGGGATTAAAAAACTACCTTCCTGCATAAGAAACTACCATCAAAAGTTCACATTTGTGACGCATAGTTTTTTGCATATCTGTTAAAAGTTCATGTTAAAGTTTATTTCATTTCGACAGCACCTCAGAAGCAAACAAGTTTTGCATTGGGGTGTTTATCAAAGACAAAAACATTTAAGCAGTGCTATGCATTTTTAATTCCTCTTCCCAAACTGGAAAATTAAAATCAGTTTGATTCAATAAGGAATAAATAATGGGTCGACTGACAGTAATGTGGTGTTTTTACCTGGTAGCAAATGTTCTGAAGAGCTGAAATTTTAATTTGTGAATCAAGTTTTTTTCTTTAAAATTTCAGCTGAATTTATTATCTATGTAGAATGCACTTTTAAATGAGAAAGCACACGTAAAGATTATTAAAAACTGAGTTTAAAAAACGTTAATCACAATCAAATTTGTAAAGTTGGATTGTTCTCAGTGGAATTCAAGAAAAACTTCATTTAAATTAAAATAAATGCAAATAAAAGTCTGATTCTTCTTCATAAAGTGGATATTAAGTTACTTATTTTGCTGTTTTAATTCCTGCAAACCAGATAAAGAACTTCCTGGAGAGTATGAAGTAATCAAAGCAGCAGAGAAAGACCGTTATTACACGTGAAGTTTCAAATAGTTTTAGAGCTATTTCAACACGATAATGAGAACCACTCCCATTATCAAAGCACCTTATGGGAGTGCGAGAGAGTTATTGACTGCAGGAGACACACTAAAATGCTCAATAGGTATATGTTGAGTCAGATGTTTTAGTTTTAATGATGATGAACATTTTCCGAATACTAAAAGTCTACACAACTTTTAAAACAGAGAAGACTATAAAGCGAGGAGGTTTAATGTAGAAATCTGAAGAAGTCAAGAATCCAGACATCAGTGAAGCTTTATGAGCTGAAAAAGGCATCAGATGTTTCCTGCCAAAAGAAGTCCCTGTGAGTTTTCAGAGTGTCAGTGAAATATTGTTTAAATAAAGCTGAAGAAAAATGTTGGGTAACTTTAGTTCATATAAACACAGTCTTCTCCGGAAGACATGCACCTGCTATTTTAGACTTAAGCCTCCTCTGAAAAAGAATCCACCTGTTGCAAGGTGTGGAGAGGCGAGGAGGGAGGGTGGGTGGGGGAGGCAGGGAGGGAGAGAGGGAAGGAAGCAGGGAGAGACAGTCATGCCTTTGAGACAAATGCATCCTGTCACCTGTTAAAAAGAAAAAAACGCAAATCAAGGCAGAGGTGTGGATGTATAGAGGTGGAGGGTAGGTAAGAAGGTGTGGATGAAGAAGGTGGAGGTGGCAAGAGAGGGTCGGGGGGGGGGGGGGGTGTTAAGACAGAAAAGAGGGGAAGGAGGGAGGGAGTTGTCGTCTCCTGCAACAAGTTTAACCTGAATCCAAAGCTAACAAGATGCCCTGATTGCAGGGCACTGAAAATATGAAGGAACTAGCAAAGACAACAGAGAGAGAAAAAAGAAAATCAAACACAAGCTTTTGTTCGCTCGCTCCCCTCTCTCTCTCCTCAGGTTTCAGACAGACGACAGCTCTCTCTATCCCTGACACAAAAACAGATGAACCCACACTCCTTTGTTTGACCTGGAAAAAGATGTGTCTGATGAGACGAAATCTGCACGGTTGCTTGAAGGCAACACACGCAAGGTCAATCTTAATGTAATCTAGGAACAGTGCACTCTCAACTATCTACTGTAGCTGTATGATAGAAAACATGACAGAAGCTCTCATTGTATTTCACTGCAGCGATATAAGCTGTGTAAGGTTTACAGAGGTCAACAGTTGAGACCAAGTGTTATCTTTCTTCTCTTATTACTGCGGGTGAATGATAACAAAGGCTTCAGACGTGAGCTGTGTTATATGCGGGCTCTCACAACACTGTTTTAATGTCACTGTCTCAAAGCTTGACAGCTAACATAGGAAAACTGATATCGACTAAGTATATTAACAATAATTCCTAAAACTGAACACAAATATTTTATTCTGCTGTAATGTTACTTTAAATTTTTTAGCATTACGTAAGATTAAAAGCCCAATCATCTGGTAGAAATGTCCGTTAAATTGTTGCTCAATCTGATGTAAATACTGCAGGTTCATTAGGAGGATTTCATCATGACTCAGTTCAGTGACTGTTTGAAGTCATTCTTCTATAACTGTTGCCCTGAGTCACTGTAATGCATCATAACTCCCTACTGAAACAGATATATCTGAATAAGTCATTGATAAGCAGGAATGCTGATGGGCCAGTTATTTCACATGAATTGGAGGTTTTAATGTCAGACGAGTTGGGAGATCTAATTCATATGTTTGTTAGAGAGAGATCTGAGAAACCAAATAGATCAGTGCAAACAACGATTCCACTGATATAACCTGAAATAAAGAACAAATATACGATTCGACTTGAATACTTGATTCTGATTGGGTGAAAACCTCCTCACAATGGGTATAAATTCTGAGTAGTGGGAAATCCAGATCACACACAGTGACAATATTTTCTGAGAAGAGTGCATTTGTAAAAGAAAATGAAACATCATTGATAATTTTGTAATACCGTAGTTTCTCCAATATGAACATCCCCTGAAATAAAATATATTTTATGGTAAGTCCATACAGCATAATCAGTTTAAATTATGATCTATATTTGTATTTTAATTACTCATCTCCATCTGACAAGCTGTCTAAAGTCTTCAATAAAGCAGGGACAGGAGCTTCTGTAACCTCCTGCCTGTATTCCTGCATAAGAAATCCCTAATTACAGAGATTAGCATGTCCTGATTCTCCTCTCACACATAATGGCCAGGTATGACAAAGTCCAGCATGCAGATGGTCTCTACAGGAAGTGAGATGGACTGTTTTTGCTGGTTTTATCTCAAAGGAAAGAGGTTTTTGGTGCATGCTTCCTCCATTGTTGTAAAATATTAACAGGGGTTTGGGGTAATTGAGCTGACTAAACGTGGATAATCTGTGTGAATTTGAACAAAGCTGGGGATTGGGTTGTTCTTGTGTCGAAGGCTGAGGGCTAGAATGAGGGGGATTAGCTGTACAAATCTTTTACACAGCTGGAGTGAATTAAATTGAACTTTTTATGTAAATTCAAAAGTGTGTTTGAGAAGATCTTCATCAGGAGACTTGTGGGAGCAAACAAAAAGGATAAAAATGTGATACCCATTTAATCATCGCTTCTAATAACAGACAGTCTTTTGTGGCACAGGTTTCTTCATCCTGTTTGGCACACGATTAAAAAGCACACGCAGTGTCGTCGAAACCAGAAATCTGGAGGGATGCCCGCAAATCACAAAGGAAAGTAGATTTGTTAGTACAATCAGCGACACCCATTGCCACAGGTTGCGTCTAATTGTCCTCAGATCTTCACTTATAATGTTGTCATTGTCACTTGTGAGTCACTTCACGTCCCAGACAGGCCTGGACATGCAGAGGATTTAGGAAAAGCCTGCTCTTCCACCACTGCTTTGTAACGTGTTCACATTCCTCCACAGGATGGAGTATCACCTCATGGAGAAGCCACTTCCTGTTCATCGCTGCCATACAGTCGTGAAAACGTCCCCTTTCATTCCCTGTTCCTATCTAACGTACAAACATTCTTCAGTCATTACAAACGGATGCTGGTCTGTTTGGTTTTTTAAAACTGGCCCAGCAGTTATTAAAATACACACCGTCGTGTTTGCCGCTAACGTTCGCGCATTCCTTTGGAGATGGTAGATGGCACCCACGCATGGGATGTAACAGATACTGCAAATATTTTGTTGATAGTTCACACAAAACAATCATTAAATCTCAGTTTTTTGGTGGGCTGACAAAAGGGTGAAGGCCAAGAAGAAGGAAATTAGAGGACACGTTGGCCAACAAAACTCCCCGTCACCTGTAAATTAGAGGATGCAGAAGAATTTTAAAAACTTCAAGGTGCCTCAACCTGACGCAAAGAGTGCAAAAGTTATAAGAAAAAAGAAAGATGTCAATGGAAACTACTTGGAGGCCTGAAGCAAAAAAGTAACAAAAACCTGCAACTAAGTCTGCACTTTGACCCCTGAACTTTGTCACTTAGAACCAAATTGACACGTACAAGTCTATAAATGCATGAGCATCAGTCTGGGTACCGCCTTTACTATCAATGTAGTTGGTACTGTTGGTAATGCCATGTTTCCATGTTCTACAGAGGTAAGTCAACTAAAAGTCCAGTCTCTGACAGCTGATGTGCCTGGAGAATTCCTCCCCTAATATGATGCCATTCAGGTATTTACTGAACACTAAAAAGAGGGCCTTGAAATAGCAGGTGACTTATCTCATACACTGAACTCCTACATTGAATGTTAAATAAAATTTTCAAAATCCTCTTATTAAGTAGTTTTGTTGGCTGACAAGATGCAGAGGAGTCCAAGTGTTCTCTTTCCCTCTCACTCTTTCTTTCACACACTCTCTTACTCACACAGGTGATGCTGAGCAGGTCTGTTCACTCTTAAGCATGACCTGATGTCTTTGGTAATAAAACACACCACAACTTCTGGACTTAGCATGACCTTAAGACACTAAAATTCAATCTTGACTCTTTATTTACGATGAGTATTTGCATGTTTAGTGACTTTTGGTTCATGTAGATAAAAGTCTTGTTTTCCTTTTGCAGGGGATCACTGTTAATTTCAGAAAATGTTTCTTTCTTTAATGCTGCATCTTGATTTGTATGTGATGCACTTTGAGTGTCAATTAAGTCAAAAGCAGATGAGTATCTTCTCAACGAGCGTGTGCTACTTCTGCAACTATGAGCAATAAATCTTGCAATACATAACAATGAGTACATGCCATAGACTGTATATACTATGGACAACTTGGTTCCGCCTACCGCCTGTATACAGATTTGAAGCCAAAGGCTCTCGGTATTTCCGGGATTTTTCTTAATTTCATGAAACCAGCGCTGCGCAGTAGCGATGCGCACATTCGGCCGCGCAGTCGCCGAGAGTCGCTGTGATGACGTTCGGCTCAAACAGCGTATCCCCCGGGAGAGCTACTCAATCCCTGAATGCCCATAGGCTGTATCAGGTGTCAATCATAGCAAACATGAACCCCCTAATAACTTTTAAAAACACAGCTTCACAGAAAAAAGAGGACTTGAGCACAAACCAGTCCAACATTTACTACATGTCAACATCACAAGCAGGGGGGAGAAAAAAAATATGTTCTGTGTAATAAATTTCTAAAGTTTGTCCACAGCTCCATAAGCTTTGCTGGCGGAGGCGGGATTTATGACCTATACTGCAGCCAGTCACCAGAGGGTGCTGTTCTCGGAGTGGCTTCACCAAGCGAGGAGGCAGACTCTGTCCATTCTATGTACAGTCTATGGTACATGCAGGTTTTAGTTTTTATCATACATAGAATTTATCTACACTCATCTGTATATATGTATATGTATATGTATATAATATCACAGTTAAACTCATGTACGTGTTAACTCTGCCAATGAACTGAATTAAACTCTTCTTTTTGTGAAAAAAAAGGTAGTCCTTAAATTAACGACCTTATCCAACATGTCATTCTTCTATTTATTTTGATTACTGTAATTGCACTCTTGGCACATTGATAATAAAGTTAATTGAAAGGTGTAGCCACTTGGAATAACATGATTGGTGCTCATGTGAGCTAATGCAGTGGAAAAAGAGATTCACCTGCATACCTCCACACACCTGTTAACACCCTGAGGAGAAAAGCACCTGTTCACTGCCTCTATTTATCTTACCCCCCAATCCAAAAGACTAAGAGCTGCAATCAACGTCTGAGTGATAAATAACTACAGGCCGTAACACCTTGTCTCATTCCAAAAAGTCATGTAGGACATTAAAGAGTACCAGGCGGGGCCATAATAAAGGCTTTGTAGTTTGGAGAGGGATGATGTTTTTTGATGTTTTTCAGCGTCTAATGCAAGTGACAGCAGCTGGTTTATTCGGCTCTTTGTTTGCTGCTTGATCATCAGACTGCAGAGACCTACTGGGACTCGTCTGATTTATTTCCCCAGAGTCAAAACTCAATTTCGAGAGGCAGCATTGAAATCTGATTTAGCTCTTGCTCTTTTTATAATTAGGTTAAAGACTTCAGTGCTACACACTGCTTCTTGACTTTTCAATCAATCAGATGAAGTGTATTTTGAAATGGCCTTTTCAGTGCTGCTCCTACATCATGTCCTTAAGCCTATTATGTGTTATATTAAGAGCGACTGTATTGTGTTTGTCCTTATCCTACAGAGGTACCCACCATCAAACTAAACCAGTGTTTAAATACATGTATGAACTATTTTATGCATGCAAAAACATGCAGTTATTTACCTGGGCAATATGCAAAAATTGCACAAATATGTTATCTCTTGATGTCATAGCAAAATAGGAACAATTGGACACAAGAGAGCAGCTCATAATTCCTATGAAGATTTTCACTTGTATCTTTTGATTAAAAAACTGACTTCAGGCCTTGACCTCCCTCTGCTGGGAAGAGGGAATGTCATTCCAGAGGTTGGGTCAAAAAATTATGGGTCCTTCCCCTTATTATACACACAGTAATCAAGTTTGCTTCTCAGACTAGAATTAAACAAAGCTTTTTCTGTTTTTCAAGTTACCTTCAATAAGTGACATACGGTTAATTTGTTGTACTGCTGCCTGAGTTCGGACTTTTATTACCCTTTGCCTTATTTCCTCCAAACACTGCGTGTGAAGGCAATGACTAATCATGTCAGTCGCATGATTCCTGCCTGTAACAGGTACAAGTAAAAAAAAAAAAACCTTTGTAACACCCTTCATTGACCTGCCTTTGTTTTGTGCCACAGCTCCTGTTATAGAAAAAGTGTTGACGTACTGTGGTGTGTCCCTCTTTCACGACTGCAATGACAGTCAGAGGGAAAAACATACCAGAGCTGTTAGTCAGGATTTCATGACGCCATGGTAAGATAGACTTTATTGCAGAACTTATTTTTGTCTCCTTACTTTTTATTTATTCTATCTATTCATCTATTATTAATTTTTGATGTCTGTCTACATTTGAGAACATTTTGAGAAATTAAGGATCACTATGATGGCTTATGTGTCCCCTTACTGATGATGAGCATGTAGCTTTGTCTTATTGGAGACTGGGAAATAATTAGGCTCAGAAATGTCCTGGGAGTCTGGCTAATAACACCACAGAAATGCTCTGGATGAGAGCTGAGAATTTAATGGCATTTGAGTGCTAATTAAACAGATATATCTCTTTACCTCTGTGGTGCACTAGGATCATCTAAGCTCAATGTTGCAGCCTACTGTCCAAAAGTGGTACTGCAACCTAATATCTGGACCTCACCAGACTTAAGTTGGGAATTTGTTTATCAAGATTTAACCAACAAACTACGAACAATGTTTCTAAAATTCCTGATAACCCCCAAAACAAAAGAAACCAACTTTAAGATTATTAATTATTATTAACATCTATCCCTTAAAGGAACTACTCAGACGATGATTTAATATAGAAGACAACATGTGATTGTGAAACTGATACTGAATCAATGGACCATACATTTTTCTCATGTAACATAACACAAACATTCTGGGTTAACATTCACAAATGGATTAAACAAAAAATAACAGTATGTCCACAATGCATTTCTCTCAATAATGTTACTTTTGGAATGATACTACCAAATAAAAATGATGAACTCTGTTGCAATGTAATCTTCTGTCTTGCCAAATATCTCATCCATAAGAATAAAGTTATGAGATCATCCCCCAGATTTATTGTTTTCATAAACAAATTTAAAATGTATCAAACGTTAACTGGTTTGAAGGAACAAAAGTTTTGATAACTTAAAGAATTTTCCCACTGATATGAACAGCTAAAAATGTTTTTAAAAAAAAGAGAGAAAACCCCCTGTAAAATTTTGCATAGCATAAATTGTTTTAAGTTACTTTTATTTTTCTGTTTGCTTGTTGTTCTCCACTACTTTATCTACTTAATTTCATTGCCCTACATGCATTGTTGCTTTCCCATATTGTTAAGTATTTCTCACTGATATGTTATTTCAATATTGAAATTACTGTATTGAACTGATTCTGCTATGTTTGGAATTGTAATTTTGTCAACTCTGAATAAAGCAGAAAAAAGTAGGGAATTTGTTTAAAATGGATAAATAACTATGAGAGTAAATTTTAAGATTCGAGTTACAATACACATACGAGCTTTAAGTCCGTTTTAAAGACATTTTAAAGACCAACTTTGTAAATAGCCGACTTCCTTTGATTTTGAAGTTATGAATGGCGTCTTAAAACTAAAATGGCTGAAATCTTTTCTAACGGATAGGGATTCATTTTGGTTCACTGTTCCTAATTTTCAAAAAACTGGGTGGAATAGGTTTTTTGCTACGATGTGATTTTTAATGAAAATTGTTACCGGTTACACTCTCTGATTTTCATCAACAAGCCCTTCTAGAATAGAATATTCCTTTTATTGATCCCCCATGGGGGAAATTTTTTTGTCACAGCAGCATCACAGACAAGACAGAAAGTGCAAAATGCAGTTATAACAATAAGGGTCCTAATATTAAGAACTTAATAAATGTAATAATTAAGAAAAAAAAAAAAATTGAAAAGAGAAAAGGGAGAAGAAAAAATAAAGCTTTCTGCAATATACACAATTTAAATGCCATAAAAAAAGTGGTGGTGTAAATCCAGTTTTGTTACTGTTCATTGTAAAGTCTTATTGCAGAGGGGAGGAATGATCTGCGGTAGCGCTCCGTCCTGCAGGGTGGGAGTCTCAGTCTGCTGCTGAAGGAGCTGCCTAAAGCCCCCACAGTCTGGTGCAGTGGGTGAGAGGGATTGTCCATGATGGATATAAGCTTTGTTAACATCCTCCTCTCACCCACCTCCTCCAGGGAGTCCACAGAGCAGTCCAGGACAGAACCGGCCCTCCTGACCAGTCTATTCAGTCTCTTCCTGTCCCTCTCGGTGCTCCCTGCCCCCCAGCAGACCACTGCATAGAAAAGTGCAGATGCTACCACAGAGTCATAGAAAGTCCTGAGCAGAGTCCTGCACACTCCAAAGGACCTCAGTCTCCTCAGCAGGTGGAGACGACTTTGGCCCTTCTTGTACAGAACGTCTGTGTTTGTTGACCAGTCCAGTTTGTTGTTGAGGTGGACACCCAGGAATCTGTAGGACTCCACCATCTCGATGTCCAGACCCTGTATGTTCACTGGAACTGTTTGAGGTGTCCCCCTCCTGCGGAAATCCACAACCATCTCCTTTGTCTTACTGGCGTTGAGCTGGAGGTGGTTTGTGCCACACCAGTTGACAAAGTCAGTGATGACAGTCCTGTATTCCCGCTCGTCCCCTGACGATACACATCCGACGATGGCTGTGTCATCAGAGAACTTCTGGAGGTGACAGCTCCCAGAGTTGTAGCTGAAGTCTGAGGTGTACAGGGTGAAGAGGAAGGGGGAGAGCACTGTCCCCTGTGGAGCCCCCGTGCTGCAGACCACCGTGTCTGATACACAGTTCTGAAGCCTCACAAACTGTGGTCTGTCGGTGAGGTAGTCCACGGTCCATGCGGCTAGGTGACAGTCCACTCCCGCCCGCTCGAGCTTCCCCCTGAGCAGTGAAGGCTGGATGGTGTTGAACGCACTGGAGAAGTCAAAAAACATGACCCTCACAGTGCTGCCAGTGTTCTCCAGGTGAGCCATGGACCTCTGCAGCAGGTAGATGACTGCGTCATCCACCCCGATGTTCGGCTGGTACGCAAACTGCAGAGGATCCAGATGAGAGCTCACCAGGGGGCGGAGGTTCCTCAGCACGATCCTCTCCAGAGTCTTCATCAGGTGAGAAGTGAGGGCCACAGGTCTGAAGTGGTTGGGCTCCCTAGGGTGCGCTGTCTTGGGGACAGGAATCACGCAGGAAGTCTTCCACAGTGTTGGGACCCTCTCCAGACTCAGGCTCAAGCTGAAGATGTGCAGTAGCACCTCACAGAGCTGGTCTGCACAGTCTTTCAGGAGTCTGGGGCTGATGCCGTCAGGACCCGTGGCTTTCCTTGGCTTCATCTTCCTCAGCTCACTTCTCACCTGGTCAGCTGTTATGGAGAGGCTGGGGGTGGTGCTGGAGGGGGTGGTGGAGGATGAGTGGAGGGGGTTGATGGTGTCGGTGCCATGGGACTGAGGTGGTGTGAATAAGAATAAGAAGAAGGAGGAGCAGCAGACGGGTCGTTGGTTAGATGAGTCGGGGGAGGAGTGGGAGTAGAGTCAAATCTATTGAAGAACAGATTCAGCTCGTTGGCCCACTCCCTGTCTCCTGCTTCAGATCCCCTCTCATGGCCCCTGCTATGACCTGAGATGGATTTTAGGCCTCTCCAGACCTCCCTTGCGTTGTTCTGTTGCAAAAGGTTTTCCATCTTGGTCTTGTAGCTGGCCTTTCCCTCTCTGATTTTCTTCTTCAACTCCTTCTGCACCCTCCTCAGCTCCTCCTTGTCCCCAGATTTAAAGACCCTCCTCTTCTCCTTCAGGAGGACTTTCAGTTCCGGGGTCACCCAGGGTTTGCTGTTGGAGAAACACCGTACTTTCCTGGTGGGTACGGTGTTCTCAACACAGAAGTTAATATAGTCCGTGATGCAGTCAGTCATGGTGTCGATGTCATCACCATGTGGGCCGCACAGTACATCCCAGTCTGTGGTCTCAAAACAGTCCTGCAGCGCCTCAGTGGCCTCCTCAGACCACCTCTTAACATACCTGATGGTGGGGGGTTGTTTCTTCACCATAGGTATGTAAATGGGCTGCAGTCTCACCAGGTCTCTACTGGAAATTGCTTTACTGTCATAATTTTACTCCACACAATACACCAATCTGGAATGATAGATACATATTGATTAATAGAAATTCAGTTTATAAGGATGAATGGAATTCAAAAGAAGTCTGGGCTGTTGCTCACTTGTTAGATGAAAATGGGAACTTGTTGCAACTTTTGAACAAAATACCAAATACAATGTAATGTGAAGGAATATACAAAAATGACAAATGCAATACCCATCTCTCTGAGGGCGATGGTGAGAGAAGATGTTCGATATTCCACAGTCGAAAATTTAACAACAAAGCTCTCGGAATACGCTGGTAAACGAATATTACTCTAGCCCAAATAAAAGGATGTATATTTTGAAGCAATTTGATTTGGATAAGATTTAAAAGATAAAGAATTATATCTCCTTTCCCAAAGGCAAAAGAAGTCCATTTCAAGATCTTGAATGAAATCTATCCTACAAACACATTTTCAAGATTAAGGTTTAACTTTGAAGCAAATAATTGTGTGTTTTGTGATGTGGATGTTGAAAACCTGAGCCATGTGTTTTGTTTTGTTTTTTCACTGTAGTGCGGTACATCCCTTCTGGAGTAACGTGGAGCTGGTTGTGGTCCAAAAACATTGACTTCCGTTTGTCAGCAGAAACTATTTTGTTTGGTGTTTTTAATGAGGATAGGAACTTGGATTTTGTTCTAAATGCTTTGTTGCTTTTGGGGAAGTTCTTCATTCACAAGTGTCGATATTTTAAAACAAGACCATGCCTACCTCACTGGAAGAATGAGCTGCTACTTTTTTGTAAATCCTTAAAACTTGTTACAGACAAGAAAGCCCTACGTCTATTTTCTTTACTAGAAATGTTCGAATTGATATAGAATGACCTCTAACATTGAAATTGTTTTTTTTTCTCTCTTTTGATGTTATTTATGCTCAATCTAAGGCACGTATTCTATATTTTTCTTTTATGATAAATAAAGGCCTTGTTTGTTTGTTTATAATTCAATTACAAAAAAAAAAATAGACGACATCTTGTCTACCTTCCCGTCACGTGGTCCATGCGTCACCGCCGTACGTCAAGGCGTAGCCCGAAGCAGGTGGACTCGAGCCCCGGAAGTGAGATGCACCTCGGTCCTAAAGATGGTGCCTTCCTCAGCGTAGAGTCGGATAAACCCAAAGAAATGCGAATTAAAAGATAATTTCTCAGTGGGATGATAAAATATCTAGTTATTGAATGCCTGCTGACTGTGAGAGATTAATAAACTGCCGCTGAAGGAAAGTAAGATGGATTTTAGCAGAGCCGACGGAGGCTCTTACACGGTGAGACACAAAAACAGTTGTTGAGCTTTTAATCGTCTGTGTACTTCATTTTTTGTCTTATTTTAGCCATTAAACTGCTATTTCAAGTGTCTATTCAGTTTACGTTTAACATTCAATATGGCACTTAACCCGTACAGATAAGATTTTAAAGTGCAGATGGGTCGAAGTTTACTAGGAAGTGGTAAACAAAGACACACAAAAGACGTGTTTGTTTATGAGCTGGATTACACTATTGTGTGACAGGACTCTAAGGTAACCTAACTTTATTGATTTAATGATCTGTTTCTATTCAGGATAATCTCATCGGGACTTTATTGGCTATTTTTGGGAACTTGCTCGTCAGCATCTCTTTAACAATTCAGGTAAGAATCACCTCAGTATCCTCTAATGTATATTTTAGTGCCACATTTGTCACATAAGCATTTTTATTTGTGTTTAGATTTGAGTTTTACCGCTGAACTCTAAATTTGTCATGTCTAATTAGATGTCTGTGCTTGTCATATTGTTAGAATAACCCTTTATTGAACAGTATTTCTTATCAGTCTTCAATATGACCTGATACTATTACAATGTTCCCTCTCAGTCATTAAATCTGTAATTGTATTCGTCTAAAGCCCATCCTTACTGCAAAACCTTTTTTTCTGCATATGTTTGGTTAAGGCCTCCTTATTTTGTTTGCTTTGCTTTACTTACTTCTGCTGTAGTCTTTGTGTTTACCCTTGTCATTGTGTCTTTCTCTCTCAGAAATACAGCCACGTGACATTAGCAGGAACCAAGGACTCGCGTGCCTTTTACTGCACCAAAACCTGGTGGTGTGGTTTCGTGCTGACCTGTCTCGGAGAGGGGGCAAACTTTGTCTCTTATGCCTTCGCTCCCCTGGCTCTCGTAGCACCTCTTAATGCTGTGTCTGTCCTTTGTGAGTGTTTGGTTAATGTCCTGTTATGTTTTTGTGTCAGCTTTTTTGGAAATAGATACAGTTATAATCATTGAAACAATATCTGTGTAAACAAAACCACTGAAATGATGGTTTAAAAAAAAAAAAAAAAGGGTGTTTGCAAAAGACATTTTTTGTGAACAGTTTCCTCTTTTCTTTGTTTTTCAGCAAGCTCAATTTTGGGCCTCATTTTTATACGAGAAAAATCCAAGCCCAAGGACTTTGCAAGTAAGTTTAGCGTATAGCTGTCAGTAATGATAGGAGTGCAGTAGCACTTACACTTACATGTACAGTATATCAAGCTTATGCCATTGTATTGAAATCTGTTATCAACCTGATTCAGAAATGATGTCAGTCAAATATGTAGTTTTAACTTTGAAAGGGAAAGTATGTGTCAGTTACAACAAGGATGTGATTTTTTTCCATATAGTTTTCATGTTGTGTTGAATGTCCTAACATATTTATCTCTGCTTGGCTTTTCAATGTTATTTCAGAGCGTTTTGGACTGTCCGTCCTCGGAGTCATCCTCACCATAGGAGGAACATATCTCTTTGTAGCATTTGGCCCAAACTCTCATGAGAAACTCAAAGCTGAAAACATTGTGAAGCACATTGTAGGATGGCCCGTACTCTTGTACCTGGTGAGTTCATTTTAATACACCACCACTGAGTACATGAACTGAAATGAAACTGCTGAGTCAGATGTTGCTGCCAAACAATAATAGAGATTGTGTTTAAAAATGGGAACTGGTCCCCTTTTGCATCCTTTTCCTTCATTGTCTTAAATGTCTCTTCACCTTGTGTACGTGTGAGTCTTTACCGACACATTCAGGTAGTTGCTGTTCAACAGTGCCAATAATTATAAAAGCACAAGTGAGTCAGATCAGGTGGAATCAGCAGCCAGAGTCTAAGAAACACCGCAGCATTATTAACATTTAAAGAGAGAGACAAAGAAAGGTTGTCTGGTCCCACCCTGAATTTCTGCTGCATTAGTCACAGACATAGCATCTTTATTTAAACTGGCAAAAGGTAAAAGCCTCTAAGACAATAACTTAATGCAGTATGCCAAATAATTAATAACTGCATTTGCAAAGTGGAACAGAGTTTATAATTAAAAGGAACTGTGAATTTCAGCTGAGAGACACTATGTGAGATATTTCCTTTTCAACAATATAAGATGCAGCGATTAAACTGAGCTTAAATAAACTGGTACGCCTTGCAGAGCTGCAGTATAGAATCTTCTACTTGTGTTTGTTTTTTCTGTTAACTATATCTTCTTCTTATAGTGCTTGTTTTGTTTCACCTAATGTAAATATCTGATCCTTCACCTATTATATCTCATAATTATTCGCCTCTAGCTTTATGATTATTTGAGCTGTTATTGGATCTGTCAGTCACTGCCAAGCTTACTTGTGTATTTTACTTTGTTGATATAATATTTATAAGGTGTTAACTTCTGGTTTTATTTTCACTGACAGCTCCTGGAGATCATCACATTCTGCCTGCTGTTGTATTTCTATAAACAGCACCGTGCTAACTACCTCGTTGTTATTCTGATGCTGGTCGCTCTGCTGGGTGAGTCTCTGGCATCAAAGCTGTTCAATTCTGTGATTTATGTGAAATGGAGTATCTGCAATACATTTTCAAAATGCATTGTCATATTTTATGCTCCAAGAGTACCTCAGCTCTGTTTGCTCTGTGTTTAACCGAACATACTTCATTGGTTCACAGGTTCGGTCACAGTCATCACAGTGAAGGCGGTGTCAGGTATGCTGGTTCTCACCTTTGAGGGCACGATGCAGCTGGACTACCCAATCTTTTCTGTCATGTTTGTGTGCATGGTGGCTTCAGTGATCTTCCAGGCCAGGTGAGTGGAAGCGACGTTGCAGTTTCCTGAAATCAGCAAAGAGTTTGGTTTGCACAGTGCTTTTCGCCTTAACTCCTACATTGTTTATGTTTTCATGTCTGATTTGTCCTCTTTAGATTTCTGTCCCATGCTTGTAAACTGTATGACTCCTGTCTGATCGCCAGTGTCAACTACATCCTTTCCACTATCTTGGCTGTTGTAGCAGGTGAGTCATGATATTCTTGGCTGATGATTTTAATTGTGCCTGGATTGACAGGCAAATTCAAAACGCTGCTCGGCACACCGGACAAAGAGGAGCGCTCTGGGGTCTCATTAACGGGCTGCTTTGCTCATTCCTGATGCCTCTGCAGTCACAACATAGAACCTTCTTCTCTTCTGGTTTCAGGAGCTGTGTTTTACTTGGAGTTTAAGAATGAAGATGTCCTTCATATATGCATGTACTTGTTGGGGTGAGTGTAAAACCATCATGGGTCTTTTCAGACAAAAACATTTTGAGGTACAAGATACAAAATTGACAACAGCTGACTTGTATTTATCTGTGCCAGTTTTAAAGTCCTGGTAATGTTTATGTTGTTAACTGTTTAGGCTTATAATGTTATTGTAGAGCCACAATCAATCATAGAAAACAAGCATTTGACAAGGACTTAAAGTAACTTGCAGTGAAATATAAAAAAAAAAAACTTGCAATATTTTCTCGTTTCCTTTTGTGTTTTGTACAGAACTGCATTCTGTTTCCTGGGGGTCTTTCTCATTACCAAAAACAGGAAAAAGAGCAAATCCTTTGAGCCGTATGTCACCATGGATATGGCAAATGGTTTGTTTTAACTTTACATTTCTAATTTAAGATGTTTATATTGATGTGTTTCCATTTTGACTTACTTGAACTTCATCTGTTCTGTCCTGTGCTCTCAACCCAGGTGTCCCAGTCATCCATGATAAAGGCCTGGTTGTTCAGCCGGATTTTAATGGATCATTCTCCTATGGAGCTCTGGTCAACAACGATGGAGTGGCTCCTGCTGCTCTGCCGGTCAAACTGGCGCAACCACCTGTCAGATCCAGATCCCCTGATGCATCCCACAGCCAGCCTGGCCTAAAGACAGACTAAACGTTTTATTTTAACAGTTTTTTGAAAGCATTCAAGGACTTTGAAAGGCCAAGATGTTTTATTTTGCACAAGACCAACCTTCATCCCAGTAGCAGGTGTCCACTGGGTGTTTGAGCTGTCCTCTCACTCTGCCTTAATCTCCTGTCTTCACACTTTTAACTTTTTCTAATACCTTTGATAAGCATTACTTTTTTTGAGAAGATGTCAGTTGTATTCACTCCAAAAATGTACATAAGAAACTGGAATAAACATGGACTCACAGGCACGGCCTCAGTGGTAGGACAGTGGATAGAGACAGTGTTGTGCCTTCAGGCATACTGCCTTTACTCTGTATTTACTCTGAGATGTAATCACTCACTTCCATGGGTTTAAAGCAATTTTGTTCCTATTTTCTGTGATGGGAATACACAGTGATCCGTTCTTCCATTCAGGGTTGTTGTTGGGTCTTAAACAGAGATAACTATGTAAAAATGTTAAATAGTGTAGCTGCAGACTGTCTCAAAAGACTTGAAGTATTACAGTGTGTCTCATAGCAGGTTTCACTCCACATTATCCTGCCTGTTCATGTTCTCAGAATTACATTGTATTCATTCTCTTTCTATTGTGACCAAATAACGGGTGAAGTTATCTTATTTATTGTAATTTATGTGTACATTTTATTCAAGTGTGCCTTAAATGAAGCTGTACACAGAATAACAAGGGTGACGCATCATTGCAGCTTTGCAGTTGTAAAAGACAGATGAAAGCTGTTGTTGCCTCAACTATTATTCTGTAATCTTTGATAGGAAACCTGATGAAACTTAGATTACTTATTTAGAAAGGTAGTGACTTGCTTGTATCATAAAGCTACAATTCAACAATAAACTGTAAATCTACTCCAGTGTGTATAAGCTTTGTGTTTTGATAGAAAAATTTTAATACTATCCTGCTTATGCTTTGAAATTTTATAGAAAATTTGAACTCTAACATTGCAGTTCTCACTGCTAAACAAGTGCAACATCAGAAGCTGAAGAGATCCTACAGGAAAATAAAACAAAATATCTTCACAATCCATACTTTGTAATTCCTTTGTAATTCAAATTTACACTCTCTCTACTTTAAAGCAACGTGTTTCCACGATGTTAGAAAAAAGCAGGAACCTTTTCACAGTATTTGTTAAATCGTTTTTCTGTTTCTATGGTGAATGTGCGTGAGTTCAATAAGTGTCATTGTAATTTAACTGAAGTCTGTCTCATTATATGCCCTCTAATAAAACCAGAACAGCTCTTGAATCATTTACATTTGCTGTTTGAGTCAGACTTGTACATGATATGCAATCTTGTGTCATAGGAAGTGCAGTTAAATTATTTTGGTGTATTTGTCATGAGTCTTGCTATAATCAGTCGAATCTCAGAATTTACAAAATTCTAAATTCTGCTTCTCTTTGCCTCGTGATCATTAAAGTTGGCTGCAAGCTCAAAATTAGTCTTTAAAATCAAATTTTTGTCCATATCTTTGGTGGGGGAGAGTGGAGTAAGTTGAGCCAAAGGGAAAGTTCAGCCACCTCCTGTTGCTTGGAAATGGTTAAAGAAATTGATCATGTAACCAAATACTTAGGAGATGGGCATCAATTCATGGAGTCTGTGAAGGTTAGAAGCACATGGGTGAAGGGAGTAGTTTTAATTTCTTTTGTCTTCTGTGGCTGATTTTTTCTGTTCAAACAATCAATCAAAGAAATAGAAATAAGATGTATCAACATAAAATATTTAAATAAAAAAGGACTTATAAAGTTAAATTAATGTGTAAATTTGTTAACTTAGCTTACATCATTAATGCATCCACTTCAGGGCTTTAAATCATCAATAAATTTGGGGTTAGTTGGACAGCAATCTTGTGAAATAATTTTAGACAATAAACTATACTAGAAATAATACAAATTGGGAGAATCAAACAAAATCAAACTCACATTCACACTCCTTTTGTTCTCTGCTGATCCATGGTTAGGGTGCAAGAGGAGGAGAAGGCTTGAGGGCCTTTTTTTTTTTTTTGCACGCTATATTATCAGGACAGGTATGTTTACACTCATTCTGTTGGCTTGCAGGGATGCACAACATCTTGAAATAAATGCAGATACACTAGTGAGAGACAAAACTTTGATTGCCTTGATGTAGTGATCCGAAATAGGAAAATGACTCATCTTACCCCACTCTCCCCTAACTTGTTTTCTGTGTGCAACAGGTGGATATAGACAGCCGAACCAGCGCTTCATCTGAAAACAAAGATTGAGCCTCCTTAGTTATCATTGCACAGTGCACTTGACAGTCGATAATCACGCAGGATATCTGTTTTTTTCTCTCTGCTTCGTCCATTTAACATTAAATCGCAGTTTCACATCAACATATCCCTCTTGTCACTGCACTGCTGGGTCGCCACCACACTTGAAGCTGCGCATCCTCCCCCTGCTGCTCCCTGATTGGTCGCTTTGAGCCTCCGCTGGCATCTGATTGGTCACACCTGCAGGTCCTGACGCTGGAGTAGGCTGTATCAAACAGTGTCCAATAATCCATTCAAAACAAACATCGAGAAGAGAGCTGACATCTGACGGCGGTCTACGAAACACCACATCATATTAAACCTATTTCACTGACAGAAACATCACCAGAACAAGCTGCATTTTTGAACGCGTAAAATGGGTTGCTCCGATCACTTTCGCTAACATAAGTACGGTGAGTAAAACAGAAAAGTAATTTCACGTTTAGCCGATTAAACAGAAATGAAACCGGTGACCTCATCTATGAACGTGCCACCATTGCCTAGAGCTAACTTTGACGTCAGTTCATCATTCACTGTCGTTTAAACACATTTTAACGAGCTAAACTCTCACTTTTATGCTAGCAGCCCCTGCCAAACAAACCCTCGACCCTTTTACGTAATAACCAGGGGTATCCTTTGAGTGCACGCGATGCATAATTTAATGTCACGAGCCTTTACGGCCATTTCTGCTGTGAGGATGGTGATGTTACTGATGACATTGCCTCTCTTGCTCATTTTGCACTCTAACAACATTGAATAAATCACTAAAGCGTTTATGTTATTGTTTATTTTCACCAAGAATGTATTTCTCCTAAGTATTTGACAATACTTTTGTTCCAGGATGATATGTGAGTACATTTTGGATAATGCATTACTCGGTTAAATGCCCCACTAGATGTCAGTCTATGTCTAGTAGTCTAATGTTTGGAGTTTCACAGTAGGGCAGTTTTGGCCTCAGCATCAACACCCTCTTTATCATTAGTGTTATTTTTTTCCCAAATAGTTGCTTCATATAGCAATTAATAAGTTAACCCTAACTCAGTTCGAGCCATTTTTAAGCACTTGTTTTTAGTCCCAGCGTTTACTATTAAATATGAATATTATATGATTCAATGCTGTCTTGCACACTTCTTTGCCTCATCTTAACACATTCATTTTTCTCTCTCCTTACAATCTTTAACTCTTCCTCTACCCTTCTGTACTCTCTCAGTGTCCTCTTTTATCTGCCTGTTTGGAAATCATCTGTAAGACTGTAGTGCAACCCTTTAATCTTCATGCATGGGTAGGGCTGGGCGATATGGGGAAAAAGTTTATCACGATACATTTTTTTCACATCAATATATATCACAATAGGACTGGAAATATGCGTCACATCAGCCAATCAGAGTCAAGCTTTTGCTGCTCACTTCTGTAAGTTGCCGGAGAAGTAAACAGAATGACCGAACGTGGATCTAAATGCGGAGCTTAGGGCAGCATAATAGATGTTAGCCGTGACTTTGAATCATCCTCTGAAGATGTTATTGTTGAGAAGTTATTCAACATCGGTTGTGTGGCGGTGGTTCAGGTATCTCCAAAGTGACGCTGAGCAATTAAGCCAATGTGCAAGGTATGTCGGCGATCAGTGCTCTCAAAACCGGCAACACATCAAATCTGTTTAATCATTTGTAGAAGTACTAACTGAGTGATTGTGTGGAAAGCATGAAAATGTGAGCGGAGTCTGTACAGCCTGTCACTGTCGACAGCACAAATAGCATTAGCAGTTTAGCCTCAACTAGCGGTGCAACCACCAGACCTAAGCAGCAACCAACTGTTTATCTACATTTACATTTTAAGGCGTCTTCATTATCTCTGAGGGGGCCATTTGTTTATTTTGGGTCTTGCATCCCTGCAAAAACACCCAGGACTGTAAACTAATTCACTGTATTATCTAGTATTTATCTACATTTGTTTTACTGTTGAGTTAAATGTTTCTTATATTTTTCTATGTGTATATTATTCAGTTTGCTTTATTTACTTTGTATGTTAATAAAATGTTGAACTAATCTCTAGTTTCTTTAGTTTTTAGTACAGATACTTTAAAACGGGCAGTTTTAAAAAAAATCTTGATAATAATCGAGATCGGACATCATGACAAAATATATCGTGATCATTTTTTTTCCCAAGTCGCCCAGGCCTATATCAGGATAGAAAAAATTAAATTTAACAGTGCTTATTGGTAGCATGTCTTTTGCAATACAGCAAGCTACTGCATCTGTGAGGCCTTTGCTACTTGGTTCTAATTCAGCCAATGCTATCTCATGCTACTCGATGTTCAGCTCATAAGCGGCTGCCATGAGCCTCATGTGAGATAATTTGTTTACAATATATGAGTCATATATCATGATTGATTGCTGAATACAGTCCTTCATATTTAGATTACATATGTGTGTTATGTATGGTGTGAGCTGTACTGATTGTTGCTGTGTGTCTGTATTTCCAGAACCACAGTCAAATAAATCCACCACTAAACTGGACATGGGTATCCTTTTTTTTTTTTACGGGGGCACACACAATACACTTTGGCACTCTAAACCCATCTAAATCCTGGAGAATACACTTTTCTCCTTTTCAATGCAGACTATAGAATAGCATATTGGCCATGTTTTATATTGATATCGAGGGAAATTCATTTTCAATATATATCGTTATGATTTTATCGCCCACAATAACATCATTCTCACCATATATCTGGCCAGTGCATGCATCTTATCTCCCCACTTTCCTCTCCTCAGTCTCCACCCTCTGTGGTCCCCACCTGCCTGTCCCCTGAAAGGCTTCAACATGCTGCGAGAGAGCTCCAAGGCATGGAGCAATGGCTCCGAGGCCTACAGCAGTGACCCAGAGGAAGATGAGGAGGAAGAGGAAGAGATGGTGTTTGGGGAGACGGACCAGGAAAGCATGGCAGAGGAGATGATGGATTTGAGCGACCTCCCCTCTGCTCTATTTGCGTGCAGCGTCCACGAGGCTGTATTTGAAGAGGATGTTCACAGGGTGAGTAAGCATGTTTGAATCAATCGGCAACATCTTCATGCGCTCATGTTGAATTTAAGTCACTGCTTTCATGAGCACTTTGATTGGTTATCACACACAAACACACACTCACTTATATATCTGAGCCCTGTAGTTTTAAGCAGGGTGTGGATGTTAATGAATGATATTTCTGTAGTCATCCATCATTGTGTCAGATAGATAGATAACTTGATAGATGTCCAGATTCATTGGGATTTGACCCTCATGTGAATCAAACAGCCCAATGTAGCTCCTGCACAAGACCTGGGATATTATATTGTAAGAGGGTGGTTATGCTAATTACAACCTCAACAGGGTGAGACAAGCTCGCTACGCATAGTGACTTTAAGACTAGCCTGAGGCAGAAGCTAATCATTTTTTAATGGAAACTTAACATTTACACCACAGTATCAGCAGGTAGAGGTGAAATGTGCAGGACTTCTTTCTGTGAGATGTGATGTGTGTAATCAGGTTGTTCTCGAGGTCTCTTACTTGTTAGGAATTAATCATTGAAGTTACGGGGCTTTGACCAGTCAATAAAGTGTTCAACACAGCGCACAAGTCAGCTTGACTTGAAAACAGCAGATGGAAGGGAAAAGGCTGTAAACCACTTACCTACTTACTGAGGGACTTCATAGATGAGGCAAATTTCTGTGTTATTGTCAAAAAGTGTGATCTCTGCAATTGCATATATGAAAACAATCACTATTTGTTGTTGAGTTGTAGATGCATCAACTCGATTGACAATACTGGGGTTGCATCATAAAGATTCAAACACACACTATCTCAAGGATAAGTCAATAGTCCTCCTTGCATCACTGATGGCGCAATGATACTATAAGCCTGGATTTGCACTTTTCCTCAGTCTGTCATTTTTTGACAGCTGTCTTTCCTGCATTTACGGCTGCAGCTGTGATACTTTAGTCTGTATTACACATGGACTTCATCATTTTCTTGTATTCAAGTTTGCTCAAAGGTAGTAAAATATGCTCACAGTTAACTAGTTCATGTTTTCAAATGGTAATATACTCCACCCTCAACCAGATAACCAGAAGATATAGTGAGGGTATTTCGTACTGGCTTTGTTTGTGGCCCGGAATTCTGATATGACTTGCTTGCATCATCCCCTCATGCAGTGTGTTAGTCACGCCTTACTCTGATTTACAGAGGTCATCTCATTCAGTCAACGCACATGCGCTGTAGATTGCATACATATAAAATTACACACAGTTTATACTCTCTTAAAGATTCTGTGGGAAGTGTAGTCTATGTGTGACGGCCTCTCAGAGCAGAAATACTCACGATCACTGGATCCTTTTTTCTGGAAGAGGATATAAAGCGAATACTTTTAATTTTCTGCCCCTCTAATCCAATTATACTGTCCTACCATCCCTCCATCCCTCCAGCTGGCATGCTTCACAACCCTCTCTCCTTTTCTCTCTGTTTTTAGTCCTCTGTTCTCTGTTGAATTCATCTCTAATATATGTCTCTATCATCTGTCCACCGAGATATCTTCTTTTTCTTCTTTTCTCTCTGATCAGTTGTTTATCTTCTCTCTCCACTCTTAATTCGTTCTCTATTCCGATTTTAAGTGTTCTTTATTTACCCTCTCTATGTATACATGCAAATCAGAGAGGCTAAATCTGGCGCATACACAAAATCCCTTTAAACGAAACACTCCTGCTTTGTGCGCTTGCTGTTTGTACATTTGTTGCTCCTAGCGGCAGAGTCTGCCCCTCCATTCCTTCTCTCTTTCCCTCTCTCTCTCTCTTTTTTTCCTCCCCACTTCATTACAATTCACACTCCGCCTTTTAAGTGGAAATGCCACCCACGCACACTTCAGTCAGAGCATGTCAATAGATTGTTCTCCATATGGCTCAATTAAATAGGCTCCACCAAAAATAGAACTTCTGACATTTGTTTAAACTTTAAAAAAACCAGGACAGGAAGGGATGAGGTATGAAATAAGAAACAGGTTGCCTGTGATATTTTTTCAAAGCAGGAAGGAACTGAGTCTTTATGAGGTTGTTTTTGGATTGCAGCGGTGCTGTTTGATCCTAAACGCACAAAAACACAGAAATGCTACTCAAATAGTCCATAACTTGTTCTAAGGCTGATAAATTTGAGCATTTTCCTCACAGTTACAACTTGGCATCTCTAAACTCAGTGTGTATGGTCTCAATGTAAGAAACAGGGACATGGCAACCTACATTTTAGTATCTTAAGGCTCCGGCCCCCTCCCAGCAGCAATATCACCTTCTGTTTGTGTTCTTTAAGGTCTGCATGCAGAAGGACAGACTGTTTCTGTACTCTGCTCTAACAGAGGGAGAAACAGAGAGAGAGAGAGAGAGACATGTGCAGCCTTGTAACATAAGAAGCTCTTAGCAAGATGTAAAAGCATTTTCCTTTCTTCTGCATTGTGAAAAGAAAACCCCAGTGGCACATGTTTTCTCTTGTGTCTGCAGGGTTTGTTCCCTTGACCAGCTTTTAGATGAAATGGAAAGATATATTAGCAACATTGTTTGTTTCTGTTGTTCAGCTGAGGCCTGGTTGGTCCAGCCCACTTCTTCTCTGATATGACAAGGTTTATAAATCATTTAATACAGCTGCTTTGTTTTTTATTCATGGGACGGAAATGCTTTGATACTCACTCTCTCAGAAAGGTCAAAGTTTAGACAAACTAGTCTCAACATCATTTCAAATGAAACAGTTCGAGAGTAGATTTTTATCCACCGTATTACAGTCACTATAGATTAAAAGTAAATCTTTTCTGTAAAATAAATAATAATAATCAGCATGGCTCCTGGTTTATTTAAAGAACATCTGTTTCAGTTCACCTGAACCGGACACGCACATTGCATTCATAGTAAAAATTTCCACAACAATCCAAAATTCAACGTTTTTGCCTCATCGTCGAATCATAAACTGAACTAATATTTTACAGATTGATTTTTATCCATGTGATCTAGTTGTCCCTGGCACCACTCTAGCTATTCAGAATCAATACCCATTGTTTGTAGGGGGTTTTGATCAATCAGAATGAAGTATTTAGCACAGCCAGGAAGTTTGTTATAAAAACAGGTAATAGATTTAACGTAATGTTGGCCAGTGTATCAGATCAAATGATCGAAATTCATATTTTGGCGCTAATTTAAAAAATAGGTAACACTTTATTTGACGCCTATCTCTATAACGCATTGTAAATATATGTAAAATGCATTATAATCACATTATAGCACTGTATAACTATAGTTGTAAACACTCATAAATGATCATAATGCTTTATAGCAATAATCATGAAACACTATAAAGCATTTTATCATGACTTACAAGGTCAGGTATTATAATGTCTTATAACTGTTAACAACAGTTGCATTGCATTATCTATGTGGGCATTGTCAGTGAGTCATAACAGTTATAACACATTATAATACCAGACCTTGTAAGTCATGATAAAATGCTTTATAATGTGTTATGATTATTGCTGTAAAGCATTATGGTCATTTATGAGTGTTTACAACTATAGTTATACAGTGCTTTAATGTGATTATAATGCATTATACATATATTGATAATGCGTTATATAGATAGGCGTCAAATAAAGTGTTACCAAAAAAGGCTACATCGGAAGGAAAAATAATTGGTGAGATATTTAAAATTCATCTGCCATCAGAACAAGTCCTTGTTCTTTCAAAACATATCAAACTTTTAGTTTTAAGATATGACAATGAGCCTATACTTAAGATCAGTCTGATATAAATATACTGTTTACATAGCACATTTTTTAACTGCAAGCATCATTTCATACTATATTTGCTATATGATTGGCATCCTTTTTGGAGCAGTAATTAATGTTAGAAAAAAGGTCATGTATGCAGAGAAAAACTAATAGGTAAAACCACTAAATATAATTACACGTCTTATAGAGATATAAATTGAAACACGTATAAGAAACATAAGTTGAAAAGGGTCAGTGATTTTGAAAGCAAGATAAAAAATTGCGTCCTCTTTTTTCTGTCTTCAAACCTTTGACTGAATGGAAGAAATGAATAAAGTTTCAGTAGCTGCAGCTTCTAATTCTGAGGTGAGTCATGATCTGTAACAGAGACGGAAAACAAGTGTGTGAGAGAAGTGAGGGAGGAGGAGACAGAGGTGTGAGCGGGGAGAGTGAGGGAGGAAAGTGCTTGTCAAGAGTAAGGTCAAAGAGGCCATTATCTGTCGTCTCCGATAGTGCCCGGTGTAGATCAGGCTTAATCAGCGCAAGGCAAAGCTTTCATCGCCGCTCTGGCTGCTGTCAGACCGAGCTCTCCCCAATCCATAACCAGAGCAACTGAGCAAGCACCAGCTGCTAGCTTTATAAAACACAGAGCAAATGTTTTTCTCCAAAGGCAACAGAAAATCACACCAACTGTGCTTCATTTGTTACTCGGTATCACATCAAACAAGATGTGTTTGGTGAAATCTGCATTTAAGCAATACTTTTAACTTTGACAACCATCAAGCACAACTGTCTCTTAAGCTATCTCTTTAGCAGACCTCGAAACATTTAACAAGCTGTTCTCACTTGTAATACATTAGCAGTACATCAGCGATAACTGTAAGTATGTGAAAAGTTGAACCACTTTGCCTGATGCAGCAATCCCACTTCAGATGTGATGTGTCTGATAGTATGACTCATCCATTGGTCGATAAAGTAAGACAAGCCAAGCTCAGAGTTGAACAATGAAACACATCAAGGAGCAAAGACGACGTGGTGGAGGATGTGAAAAGTGAGCCACGAAGTGAGTGTCTGTGTTTCACTCGAGCACACTATGCTCTATGGATGCATGTGCGTGTTAGTGATATGTTTGCATGTGTCAGACTACAGTCTATTTTTGGGCATCGGTCCTGGGGGGGCTGAACGTGAGGGAGCGGGTGCTTGGCAGGCTGAAGGTCAGACATGATGCAGTGCAGAGTGAGCGAGTGCCCCCGGCTCCTGGCTGCTCCTGCTGCGGCCTGGATATTATTCTGGTACACTGACCCAGGTTGTCTCAGCGACCTGGTGCGCTATTTTTATTGTTATTTGTCAAGCTAAAGAAGAAACCAAAAAGCAATTAAAGAGCGGTAGACAACGGTGGAAAGAGCTGTTTGGTTAAATTGAGCTGTTTTGGCACTTGGGATGGGTTTGACAAGATGACAGTGTTTTCTTTTGCAGTGACAGTTTTCTATTTCTCTTTGTGAAACTACGTCAGTCTTTGCATTTTGATGAGAGTGTCAAGTTGAAGGCTGTTACCAGGTTTTTCAGTAAATCAGCGCCTTTTGCCGGGCTGCAAAAATAAGCTCACACTGTGATATGACTGGAAATCTATTCGTCGATAACATCTGCATTATCTTTACTGTCTATTTCTTCAATCTTTGCATTATGATACAGATCATTTCCCGCAGAAGCTGATGTAATGTATAATGTAAAGGAAATTGATTGGCCTAGAGGGCTAGAGGACTGTGTTTACCAGCTCATTTGTGAAAGGTATTTTAATTCATACACTGGGTGGATCAGGTATGCAAGGTGCATGTGAAATGCCCTGCACACTCATTGTGAAGCGATGCACAAGAGATGACTACTTTGCTAATTGGATTTCTTCTCAGAGTTCATGTAGATTTGTACAGATTGTGCTTGATTGACATCTCCCAGTCTCTGCTGTTATATTCTGAAGGATGGAGCAAATTACACACCAATAATTAGGTGTGCCAGTCAGACCAGGTTCCCACTTAATATCAATTCAGTATGCAAAACAGCCCGGCAGCTTGCCATCTGTGTCATCTTGAGTTGACAGCAACTGTGCTGCAACACATGAGCAGAATACTGTGTGAAACAAGAAATTTTTAAACATTAGAGAGAGATCCAGTAGCTAAACTGGAGCCTCTACTTGTAAACACACAGACTTGGCAGTACTTTGGGCCATGTTACCTATGAATTTACCTTTCTGACTCATTATCACACTGTAATGACCTGATGGGTTCACCATAATATTATTAATAAGACTTTCAAACCTAATGCCTCTTCAAGATAATTCATGACTCTGATCTTTCTCCTTTATTCACCAATTCATCATTGGCATTATAAAAAGACTCTTCATAATTAGCTGTTAATTATGATTAAGGAAATCTATGGGTTGAATACATTTTTACACAATCAAAGGTATTAAATTTCTCTGTAGTTAAAGGTGGGGTAGGCAGGATCTGAGGAAGTGCCAGTTTTTGGGAGAAATCTTGATTGTAAACTCTACTCCTCCCAACCAGTTTTCTCCTCAGCTCCTCCTCTCCCCTCCCTCTCTGCTCCAGAAAGCCCCGCCCACAAACAGACGCTCCTGCTCGCTCGTATCGTTCCAATTAAATTAGATATAATGCAGATAAATACTTCAGATCATTACAAATGGGGCCCAGTCAACGTGAAAGTAAAAAGCATTGTTGCTACTGTAGATGCCAACAGACTACCAGCAAACACAATGTTTGCAGGACTTCTACAACTAGGATAAAGTGACAAGAAACACTTCTGAAACACTTGGCTTACTTTGTTAAAGCGGTTTGGCTGTTCAGCAGAAAGGTATTTACTATGTTTTCTCGCTTGTGTTGGCAGTCGTGGCCAAAGGAGGATTCAGACAATTTTCTGTACTTTCTGGTTGGTTTCTACTGTCTGATATTGTAGCAAACTAACTTTATCTGGGCTCCTGAACGACACAGGGGAGCAGCATCTGCCACACAACCAATATGGATAGATATCAGCACACTTCTTGTATTGGTTCAATAAATGTTTATAAAATGGTTTTGTTTTGTTTTAATTAATTTATTCTGTTGCTTATATTTACAGAACTTTACGGACAAGAGGTGTAGGACAGGAGGCATCTTAATCTAAAATCTGACCTTTCCTACATACTAGACCTTTCTAGAAGTCATCTTTGGCTGTAACTTGAACAGACCTTTCCTTCACTCATGTTTCTTCCACCCTTAACCATCCTTAAAGAGTAAAATCTATGAGGAATCCATAGCTCTGCCACAAGTAATAAACCTTTAATATCTCTCATATTTTCTTACCCTACGATATATCACAAGGGGGCTTATTTCTGGGTTTTCTGTACTCTGGAGAGACACACATTAATGATGACTTTGTCATTTAGAAAAATCCCTTCACACCGCTAATTGAATCCAGTTACATAAGCCTGTTGTGTCATATCGTCCTTTCTAAACCTCAAACATCTATTTAAAGACAAACACTTTTATCCTCACACTGATCAAATTCCTGCTTGAGGAAAATACATTTCTCCTCTTTGATATGTAACAGCGATTTGTGTGCACGGTAGCTTTTTTAAGACACATCTCATTTTGTCCTTCCCCTCGCCCACCAATCAGAGGCTGATTATGAAACTGTAAGATTTAGGGTTTATTTGTTCTTAGTTGTGCCGCTGCGGTTCTATTTAAATCAGGATGATTTTCTGGTTCAGTCAGTCCAAAAAAAGAAATGCGTCTCAGGCATTTTTAGGAATGGCAAGTCAGAATACAACAGAAAATGATCACTTTTTTTAGCCGGTGCCAAATATAGATGCAATCGCAGTTCAAAAATGATTGCGGATGATTGCTTTTAGTCATGAATGTGTTAAAAAAAAAACTCAGAGAACAAGAAGTTGAATTGATTGGACTGCGAGGATTTATGAGAAGCATTTGCTTATATTTTTTCACTCTCTCAAAGACCACCGTTGTTTTTCTTTACAGGGAGTCGACTGGACATTTTTCTTGACTCCTGCCCTTCTTTCTTTTATTACCTCTCTGTTTACTTTACGAACCTGACTGTTGTTGATGACTTAATGTTGTGGGTCTCGAAGCCGTCTCCCCTGTGAGGCTGCTTCTTAGAGTTATTTATGAGGAGAGAGGTGTGGAGACCGGCATACAAATCAATTTCTGCCTGTTGTCATTTACAGAAAAGGACTATTGACATCCAGTTCTTGTTGATTTTTCTGCCAGCACTTGTTCATCACTATTGTGACTTTGCCAGGAAAAAGAAATACAGTTGTGTTCGTGTTAATGTTTGTGTGTGTTTGTAACGCTCCACATTTCAATTTGCTTCACTTTGGTTCCTTTTTATTCCTGGTTTTCTTCGCATTTTTCATTTTGTTCATTTTCCCCATGAGTGCTTTCCCCCCCTGTCATTAAGGGCTGTCTCTGTGTATGTCTCGATGACTCCGTCCTGTTTAGTATTGACAGTCTATATACCCACATTTAGGATGCCTAGGGGCCTGCGCGTCTGTGTTGTACAGTCCTGTCTCTGTTTGTGGGTGGTTTGACTAAAAAAGATCTTGAAGCTATAGCATCCTTCTTTTGTTCTTTCGATTGAGTTTACTTATGTGCCAGCCTCATCCTTGAAAGTTTGAAATCTCATCGCAACATTTTACAACTTGAGGATCCCTTGGCTTTAAATTAGTTTGAAATAAAGAATCAAGAGTTTTTTTCTGTCCTCTGGTGAAGCAGATAGAAAGATTTATTCCAGCCTTGGAAAACAGCACCCACTTCCCAGAGTGCTTTGAGATCGCCTCAGGTCCTATCCTGCCTGTTTTTTTCTTCTTCTTCTCCCTTTGTTGTGTCTGGTATTCATGCAGCCACTATGCCTGTTTGCAGGTCAGAGAAGCAGCCTAACCCATCCAGAGATTTGACCTGATTTTTTGATAGCAAAGCAATCAGTGGAACATTGGCACGTGTCGCTCTGTGCTCCTGTGCTCTGTCCCTGATATGCAGCCACTCAGCTCTGCAGCTCCTAAGCTGCTGGCCTGAGTTTAAACACTCGACAGCTGCTGGTGGTCAACCAGATGTAGGCTAGAAACCAAAAACTTAGCCCCATGTTTGGACTGTGTTTGTGGTGCTGTTGGTTTAAGCCCTGTGTACACAAAACAGCTCTGTTTATTTCATTTACAGTGGCTGTGTGATGTATTTTTTTTTGTTTTTGTTGACTGACAAAAAAGATTAAATAACAATTATGACAGCATAGGAGGAATAAATCATAAGTCATAGAGAAGCAATAAAGATTCCTAGATGAGGAAAAAAGGAGAGGAGACAAGGAAAAGAGAGTGAAAGTAAGAGTAAACAAATCACATCAGAATAAAAACAGATTATAAGAAGACTTCAAGTGTGAGTAATGCCAGGTAATATGGCCTCAAATCCATATCATAGGAAACTGAACCGTTTATCTCAGCTATGATAAGACTGTGATTAATTTCTGTGACACATAATGTCAGGCAGCACAGTTCATTCGATAATGAGAGATCTACTTTGTTGTAATCTTGATTTTGATTAACAGGAGGTCACAGAAATGATACAGTGGACCATGCCTGTGACCATGGCAACGCTCTTACACCTGCACTGAGATGGAGAGAGAGAGAGAGAGAAAACGTTGGTGTTTCTGATTATTCCATTACAAAATATAGAACAACATCCTGATTATTTGTTTAAAAGTACTAAATTTGGATAAAGCTTTGAAGTTGGGGTCCTTGAGCTCCTAATAAGTGGATAGAGACACAGAAACAAAGCACTGATCCAAACCTGATCAAACTACAGTAGCTTTGCTGCAATATAGTGCCCTAATGTCATGTCATATTTTAACGGTGTAAAAAAAAAACACAAACATCTATCATGGCTCACTGCTGGAGAACAGCTGGTTGATTTCAGCACCTTCACATATACCTAGTCTTATATTTCAGCCACAAGAAGTCCAGAACTTTCTTTTCCTTTAAAGCACAACATCTATTTTTAAAGATGTTTCAGGGTTTCTAGGAGTCAAACTTTATAAACCACATGCCATTGAATTCTGTTGAATCTGTTTACAGAATAAAATGTATATACATATACTGTATATATATGAATTAATAATCTTAAGGATGAAATAAGTGGTGTGGTTAGTGGTTTAAAATAAGGGTGGGAATCACTAGTTGCTCCACGATACCATACAACCTCGGTATTTGGGCCACGATACGATATTATTGCGATTTTTAACATTTTGCAATACAGTAAGTATTTTGCGATACAATATATTGCGATTTATACCGTTTTTTCAACTGTTTAGCTAATTTAGCATAAACCTTTCCTTTATGTTTTTCTCATTGACACGTATTTTATTTTCATGTAGCACATCTTGCTTACCTTTTATATATTTGTTGCACTAACTTTCTCCTGCTCTATGATGTCACCTCTGCCAACCTCACTGGACAAACAGTTGATTTTTTTTTTTCTATTACCATAGATTTAATTTCATATTAGCAATTAATTTGAAAAATCTATTCTTGGTAAATGAGACGATACGATATATCACCAAACAAAATATCGCAATACTACAATGTATCGATTTTTTCTCCCACCCCTAGTTCAAAATGTCTGTTTTGATCAATTTTCAATTAACTCACCATCTCTAGGTGTAAGTGTGAGTGTGAACAGTCGTCTGTGTCCATATGTAAGCCCTGTGATTGACTGGCACCCTGTTGAGGTATAACCAAGCCCGTCACCCAATAACAGCTGGGATCGGCTGCAGGCCCCCCTGCTGTGACCTCAAACAGAATAAGTGTTGGAGATGATGGATGGACTGACTAGGACCTAAAAATCAATGTTGGGCTTCCTGCTCTTGAATGTGTAAGACTCTTATAGTTTAATCTAAACTATGTGACTTTTATCAAACATGTTTTTAAAGTGTTAAATATTTTTTATTACAGATCATTCACATAGAACAGGCCAAGTTGCTTTAATTTTTATGTGTACAAACTCAGCCCTAGACTTAACGCCCGCCCACTTAACGCCGGTGAAGGGAGCACAGACGATTGATATCGTTAATAGAAAAAGTTTATAGTGGTAAAATAAGGGGCAATCATGTATAACCCTGTAACGGTCGTGTTTGTATCCAAGTTCAACATACATAACAGTGTTTAATTTTCCACTTGTACCCTTGACTGTGTAAATTTCCCATGATAGCATGATAGCAGGCCCAGCCTTGTTAATTAGGAAAAAAGACCAACTATCAGTCACCGCTGGGAGTTGTCTGTCACTAGTAATTAAAGCCTGATTGCCAGAAGTCGTGCAAAAGTTATCCATTAACATTCCCAACATCTAAATGACTTAACGCTGCTGCATCAGTAACACCTCCCTCACATTGCATCCTGTCAGCTCGTCCGCAGATCCGAAACCCTCTGACTGAACAGATTTCAGGTGTGAAGGGGTGATGATGCTAGAGTTGTGTCACTTGCAGTTTATGGCTGGTGTGTGTTTATCCTTATGTTTTCATGCTGCTCTTTGCACCTGGAAGGATCTCTCCCCCTCTGTCTGGATATTTTCTCTTACACCATCCAGTCTCTCTGTTATCTCTCACTCTTTCTCACCTACACTCTGTAGACGTTTCTCTTCGCCCTGTAGACACTCTTTTATCCTCCCATCCCTCTGTCTCCTCGCGGCTCCCTGCGCCTGTACTTGGCTGCGTGCTTTATAAATAGCTTGGCCTAGATTACAGCAGCTGCATTGGCGCTGGCACCAGGGCTTGGTTTGGCTGGGCCAAGTGAAGTAGCCTGGTGTAACCACAGGTTGGCAATGAAGAGATTGGGCGTGTGTGTGTGTGTGTGTGTGTGCAGTCATGTGTGTACGTTCTCATGTGTGTGTTCAAATAAGGTAAGGATAGTGCAGGTGCAGCCCATCTGCATGCTTGCAGTGGCCAAGCTCTATTTTTCCACTATGAAACCCACAAAATAACTCAGATAGACAATCTTCTTGTCCCTTTTGTGTCTGTGAGTAGTGTGTTTTCATATCTTCATTCATTTCTAATTTTAGATTCCTTTCATGTACAATTGTGCGCATGTGCTTGTTCAGTTCACCGGTGATGTAACACAAATAGACAGTGAATTTGCATGCATTTCTTTTTCTCATTGTGTCCATGTGTTGCAATGTTTTGTACCATGTGCGAGGGGCCTCATTAACATATGTGTGTGTATTATGAGTGTGTGTATCACAGCCCAGCATGATGATCCACTGCCCTGATTTCCACCCTCCCGCTCCTCTGCAGAGCGCCACTCCGGAATACAAATCCTGCTCGCCAGTGAGTCTAAGACACAGCGTCTCACCCCTCTGAGCATTTCTTCTGCCTCTCTGCCTCCTCCCTCTTCTCATCGCTAACAAAAGTGCATCATGCATGTCAGAGACTCTGCAGTTCCTCCATTTTTTCCCTGCGTGTGCTTTTGTGCGTAGTCTGTATGAGAATTTTGATGATTGATTTGTACATTTTGGTTTCAAGAGTTAGTTTGCATTTGATGATTCATTCACATATTTGGTTGTCACAGTATGCGTAAGATCAACGACAAAGAAAGAGCTGAAAAAGGGGGATATTTTCGAGAGTATTTGACAGAAAAACATGTTTTGATAAGAAGATCAAAGAAAGAGCTGGAGATGCTGGTGGCCTTTGAATAAGTGCGTACTGCAGTATACACTGCAGATGTGAATTTATTCTAGAAATAAGATATCCATTTAAAAAAGCTACATTCCCTTATTATGAATAATAACTAACTCTATCGTAAAACTCAAAATACGGCTATAAGCAAATACTGAAGTGGATAAATGTTGTAATCTAATGCATTCTGGTGAAACTAGATCGACAGAGCGGAATAAGAAGTCATTGGAGCATTATAATTTCCTGCATGGAGTCGTAGTCGGGGCGTACTCGCAGAGAGAATTGTGAATGAAGAGAAGAGAATTCAGAATGAGGAGGAGGAGGAGGAGGAGGAGAACTGCAGAATGAGGCCAGAGAGGAAGAAAAGTGCTACATCATCCACAATGATACGGACAACTTATCAGCAGTGGCTAAACCATCAAACAAGTACATCAACCAAGGGCTTCGATAACCAAACACAAATTCGTCATGTATATTGATTCATGTCAGTGCATTTTTTTTCAGGCCTACTCAAAACAGAACCCATTATGTAACCACACGAACCCCCACCCTCCAATTCACACCACTCTCATGTCCATTTAAACTAGTATTACAGAGAATTTTCCCCTACAGTGTTGCTCATACATAAAAGAAGGAGTATACAGTGTTTTCATACCATTTTATCATACATGGGAGGTCAGTTTGCATTCATACTACGAGCCCTGTGGCAGCAGCAGAACATCAATCATCTATTTGTTCTTACACTGCTGTGATAAATACTTGGCTCTGATTGGTCAATACTCCAGAGAAAAATTCAGTTATTTCCAGGCAGAAAAGCTCAATCAGGTGCTGCTCTGATTCATGCAGTTCTCCTGATCAACTTGTTTTAACTTCACTATCAGCAACTCAAGCAACTGTTATTGAACTATCACACATTTTTCTGGTCTTACTGTATATTGTATTAAAAATTTCTTGTTACTTTTTTCATTTATTTTTATTTAACCTTTATTTAGCCAGGTAAGAAAACCTATTGAGATTGAGATCCCTTTTACAAGGTTGACCTACCCAAGAGGTCAGCAGCACACATCACAACAACAATACAACAACAACAACAACAACAGCAGTAATAATTATAATAATAATAACATTAACAACTACAAAGATAATAATAATAATAACAAAAATAAAAGTAATAATAATAATAATGATAATAATAACACCAACAACAACAACAAAAATAATAATAATAATAACAATAATAATAATTATAATAATAATGATAATAACAATAACAACAACAATAATATTAATAAAAATAACAACAAAAATAATAATACAATTATAGTAATAATAATAATAAAATAATGATAATAATAACAAAAATAAAAAAAAATAATGATAATAATAATAATGATCATTATAACAACAACAGTAACAACAAAAATAATAATAGTAATAATAATAACAATAACAACAACAGTGATAATAATAATAATAACAACAACAAAATATAATAATAAAATATAATAATTATTGTTATAACAACAACAACAATAATAATAATAATAATAATAATAATAACAACAACAACAATAATAAAATTCAAGGACAAAATAATATACTGTATCAGTTTTGCTTTTCGTTGTACCCCACATGTTTAGCTACAAACTTCCTGCAGTCTTCCTCAGCAGAGTCACTTGATCTTTTGGCATTCTCAGCTGATCCAGGACCATCATGCCCTGTGTTGTCTGACAAACTTCAGACAGCATTGCAAGAAAAATTGACCTACATTTAAGGTTTACATAACTATTTATACCCATTACTCTGAAGCAGTGTTTATCTGACTTGAACATATGTCTTTTGTTAACTTCTGCTTTGTTCGACTGTTCCAGGTAGCTATATCTTTTACTACTTTACTACTTCAAGCTAAACTAATTCAATATTTAAAAAATATTATGCATTGATCAACATACAATTCGATCATCTTTTTCTGTCTTTGGTTTTAGTGTTGTCTCTTAGCTTCTTCTCACCACTGTCTAACATCCCACTGTCTTCTTCTGGTACTGCACAGCTGTCAACTTCTTCTTCTTTGGCCTGTGACTGCTGCACATGTTCCCCTCACTTTTTGTCATTAGCACCACCATGAGGAGTCACAAAAAAAGTCACACGGCAAGTCATCTCGGCAGGGGAATCTATTTTGAGTGTTGTATTTTTACTTAGCTTGAGCATGGATACTTCGGTCTGGTGTATTAATAATTGTATCAGGCAGGCAGGACAACACTTAATTGCCTAATCTGGATTTGTCCTGCCCTTAAATTGCTAATCTAGTGCTTGCAAACTCGCTTCCTAGAGCTTTCAATCCCAGAAACTAAACTCTAGTTTCTGTACTAACTCCAAACTGTGAATTCACCCGTGCCAAGTTGGTCGTCATGGTGCTACGTTTACTACTACATGGTCAGTTTTTTAGGAATTCTGTCTAAACTCATTAAGTTTGTCTTCATTTTGTCACTTTTAACACATCCTTAGAGCACTCCTCAACGATAACTGCTGCTTTACAGTGCAGAAAATACGTATTAAATAGGCTTTCATAGACTAGATTGAACCAGTCGAGTCTAAATGTAGTATGCTTGAAGGACCACACATCAACAGAGGCTCTGCTCAGCTGATGTTTCCTTGAGCAACACCATGAATCTCTACATCTTCTGTTTACCTAAGGCTTTGCAAATAGGACCAAGTCAAAAGAGAATTTTCCAACAAGGCATAAATAAATGATCACAACCTTTGGCAAGCTTAGACTACATTAGATTTCAGAAAACTGAGCGGATTTAAGAGAAAAAGGCAGCACTGGCACGTAGCTTTATCCATTCTGAGCTTGTGATTAATGAGCAACGGGGGAGATTTTGAAAAAATATCTAGACCTGTCAAGTTACATCTTCCATACTGCTCGCTCCCACTGCCATGGTTTGAAAAGATAAAAAAGATTTTTTTTTCCCCGGCAGATGAAGCAGATGACGATGCTGTTCAGGCTCAAACCATCATGTTACAGTGTCTGATGTGTGGTGCTTTTTGGCGTTAGAGGCAGATTGTTCCAGACTTGGATGACTGACTGATGCTGTCTGGTGGAAGAATGTAAGTCATCCTCTCATATCTCACGCATGTCCTCCGTCTGCTCTGCATGGACAATAGCTGACACACACACACAGACATAAATAACCCTCTCTGTCTCAAGTCTTAATATTAATGGCTTATAGGGGACTTAGCTGTCTCAGCTAGCCGGGCAATTATTATTATGAAAAGGCGGGAGGGAGAGATGATCTGAGTGATGGAAAGAAGACATGCTTCATTAGGAAATTATGCAATAGCTTAATGTCTGTGGGAATTTTTTTTAATGACGGGTGTGTAGCTGAAGTGGAAACTTGTATCAACATAATTAAGGAGGAAAGGAGCTGCGGCGTGGGTACAGTGGCCTTCATCAGCTGCTTTATCATGAGTGATGAAAAGCCACAATACACTTAATCTTCAATCAACAAGGCAGCACCAAAAGTACAGCACAGCTCACTGAGGAGGTATTTTTACCCTTTTAGATCAGAGTCGTTCAGTTAGGAGTCAGCTCTGAAGACTACAATGCCAAAATTAGAGGTAGACTCATTTCTACAGCATCTTGGGAGAAAACAGCACAATAACAGTTACACATAACCATGTTGTTTCTTGTTCTGAAGCCTATGAAGCCACAAACCATGTACGCAGCATTAACTGGGAGCATGCAGCTGACAGCCATGGTTATGCAATGATGTCTTCTTGACAGGGGGAAGGGGATGCCTTCACTCAGCATTTTAGTTTAGGCGCACAGAGCTGTGGTTGTCAGTCATTAAGGCATGAATTTTAAGATGATGATTCATACAAAACAATAACCTTGTAAAACAAAGTGGAGTTTTTCAATGTTTGCTCTTGATAAAAAAAGAAAGAAGGAAAGTTTAGTTTACATGAGAGGCCTCAACTTTTTAAAAAAACTTTTTCTACATTTTACAGCTGAAAAAGGTGAAATTAATAACTAAAAGTATAAGGGAGTAATCAATCATTAACAAAAACAATGACGCAGTCAATGAAATCTGGGTTTAAAGAGATATTCCTAAAAATTAATTAATTTAGGGTCAAACACACCATACCACCGAGTTAGTCACCCCTGCAAAAGATGAATGTTGCCTACCACTTGCTTGTCTAGTTATACCAACTTAATTAACGACCGCACAATAGCAATACACAGCGGTCTCAGAACAGCACCTAACTTCATCAACCGTACGTATCGGATCCCAGCCATAGTACTAGCCACCAAACATCTTTTTAGCTTTGCCTAATTTCTTTAGGAAAGAGACGAAAGAGATGAAATCTGGGTTTAATTTGATCCCAATAAGTTTTAATATGATGTTTTTGATATTATATGTATCAGTTTGACTAAAGTGACTTTTTAAACTGTACCACATGTGATAGTCGCCTTCTTGTTATTTTGCCTAATGATCACTGAACCTGCACATATAAAAACATCATATATATGATCAGTCAATGGGGCTCTTAGGTCACTGTCCAGCCACTGCAGTGTTGCTCACTGTACTTTATGCAAATAAGAGCCTCAGTCAAAAGGTAAACAACAGGCTCACTGTAGGAATGCAGGGGGTGAGTCAGAGAGACAGTGGAGCTGAAATCCCTCCATTCACAGCTTGACTTGCCTCTTGACTCACAAACTGAATTTTACATCAAGGTTTTGTCACATGACAGCTCTAGGGGAACATAAAACTCGAGAAAAAAAAGGGAAAAAATACACGAAAAGCGGAATAAACCGGAGAGTACATTCTGCAGTGCCCCGCTGCACGGTTCATCAGACACTGTAGTGGCGTAAAAGACGACGAACGTGCGGATGGTAATGACGTCAATGTGTAGCCAGAGAGGAGGGGGGAGGTAGGAGAGAGGGAGGAGTGGGAGAGAGAGAGTTTGCTCTGCTGCTGCAGCATCACTCTGAGCAGTCGGCGCGTCGGTGCAGTGAGGAGTCCAGCTGCAACTCTCTCTCAGCTGACAGAACAAGCAGAAAAATTCCGCCGGACTGCACCTCAACTTCTCTGAAAAAGGAGCGAAAATCTCCGTTTCTACCTGCTGCAGAGGAGGAGAAAGACTTTTACCCCATTTCGCTTGTTTCCCAACCACGAAAGGGAATGCCATCGATAAATATGAAACTGGAGATGGTGACCATCATCGCCTGCGAAGTAGACACCGAGGTGTTTACGTCTGACAAAATGCAGGTACGCTTTCTCACCTAAACGCCTGCTGCGTCTAATGCGTACCGCTTTGGCGTCCTTGTGGTGTGGTTGTGCAGCAGTTTGCTCGGGACTGTCTGCGTGCTGCTTGCTGAGTGCATGCATGTCTTTGGTGACGTTGAATGCAGCCCTCGCTCTCGCTCACTCAGACGAGGATTTTTATCAATGAAAGCCGCAGCTCGCCAAGACGCACGTTCCGCGCCGCGCGCACGGCAGTCTGATTGACGCTGAATGAATTGCAGAAATGGGTAGACAGGGGCAAGGAAGGGACACACAAGCAAATCATCTGTGCAATGCAGCAGTTGTCGTTTCATTGCGTAAGTTTTGTGAGGCTTTGTATGATGATGATGATGCGTATTTAAAGGGATGGGTGTGATATGTTCAGTTGTCCATGCCAAGCACATGCAAAGGGAAGAAGTGAGACAATTTTAGACGCAGTGGCAGACAGACCGTCTTCTTTCTTTCCCTCCCTCCTTCTCTCTCTCTCTCTCTGTGTGCTCTCTCCTCATCCCAGCAGCATTGCAGGTGCACTGGGGTAGATGGGAAAAGAACAGTCAAAGAAGGGGTAGTTACATAAGCACCAAATTAATGCTAAAATAGTGCCGGATAAATAGTGCGAGTACAAAAGGGTTTTTAATGATGATGCCACGAGGAATGAAAATGCAGCATTCATTATGAGAGCTTTCTCTAAGTGAAGTGACTTTATTCCAAAGTCATTTATGTAACTATAAACTCAGTACACACAGAGAACACATTTGGTAGTCATATTTTACTGACTGAAGCAAACTGTCAGTCACAGAGCAGGGAAGCAGTCGCACCTATATGTCCTCAAAAAAAGTCTTAAGACTTCACCTCTGGGACTGAAAGGTGCCAGTTTTTGGGCTTAAAGGGCCACGCAGGTAGACCGCTAGAGCTCAGTGTACCTGTGAAACCACTGTGTGCTTCTGTGTCACAGTATCGTCCCTCACCTGCTGACTGGTCAACTGATTTGACTCACCACTTAAGAGAAAGAACAAGATACAAGGGAAGAGGAGACATGATAAAACCAAGCTTTGATTCATCATCAACCTTTCATAATAAGATGGGATACGACACACTGAACGATCCAACATGATATGATCCATTAAAATGTGATGTGTTATAGTATGATAGCACAGGATTCAATGCAATATGATACGATGCATGTTATTGTTCAGATGCAGACATACCTACACATAGATGATCACAGACATTGAGTGTAAAGATGTGGGAGTGTTTCTGATCCCGACACAAACACAGTGATATTTCATCTCTGCCGCTTCTCGCTTCACTGTTTATGTACTCTGATAAGTGAGCGCTGGATTCAGCTATTTTCAGCTGCAATTATAGGTTTTATGCACCCAGTCACCCCACCTTAATGCCCACAGCGCCTTGGTCAGCCTTTTTATTTTGCTACTTCATGTCAATTACCTACCTTACTGTGAAATACCGTCTCTGCGTTTGGGATTGCATGAGTTGCACTTAAAAGAACAGCATGATACTGTAATTTTTTGGTGCTTGGAAATAATTGAGACATGAGAAAGAACATGTCAGCTGCTGAGGTCTGCAGCTGTTGTGTTTGCTCCCAAATATCCTGCCCTGTTAGAGATCATCTTGAGGGAAAACAACATTTTGATTGCACGGGGTTTGAAACTGAAAATAAATACCACTTATCCCGACCCCAGGACTTGAAAGATATTTTTCCCAATAAAAACCTGGTTAGTGCTCTAAAATCAGCACCTCACAGACCAGACACAGCGCGAGGCGGTCTTTACTTTCAAGTAGTTTTTATCAGCCCACCCCCCGCAATGAAAATGAGGTTTGCACAGAACTAAAAGAGCAGACAGAGGGCTGACTTTCGAATGACACAAAGAACACCACTAATCCTGGTTTCTGGCACAGGGAGCGCATCGAGGGAGAGGGCAGATTAACAGCAGAGCACGTGTGTGTGAGGGGGGGGTCTGATTGAGCTCATATCTCTGTTGGCTCCATTTGTGTTTATTATTATTATTATTATTAATAATCAACGAGATCTGAGCTTGTTTAAGCCCACTTTTTTATTAATATCTCTGCATCAGATGGCAAGCGGCAATAATGGGTGTCCTGTTTTTGTTTTAAAGCACTTTGGATGAACTTGTGAAGCTGCTATTAATAGACACTTCAGAGAAAGATTAGGCAGCGGTGCTCTAAGAGGCGACATGAAGAAAATCAGTGAATGGTGTGTTTATTTAATTAGAGGACATGCTGAACGGCTGGCTGTTGTGATTTTTGGAGCCTTTTGTTTTGACACGGTTAGAATGGCATGCCCACGCTTTGGCTCTGTGCCCGCTGGTTACATCATTTAAGAGCCGAACACCAACGCTGTGGACAGGGCAGGTTGTTGTTTGTGATAATGGCAGGGCTGCTGGTACAGTGGGCCGTCAAACCAAAGTGCTTTGTGGAGAAAACAGTTGGACTGTTGTTGTCGAGAGAGAGAGAGAGAGAGAGAGAGAGAGAGGTTTAGTGGGGCCAGATGCTGAGTGTGTGCATGTTCATCACAACACACTATCATTACCTGGGAATATATCCCAGCATCAGCACATGACATCACAGGACATGCGGTGAAGGTCACAGCATGTCGGCAAGCAGTGAATGTGTTACAGCGTGACGCAAGCCTGCACACTTACCCAGCATGCGTGATTTACTGCTGACATTTACATCTAATTTATTTATTTACTCACTCGCCGGTTCGATTGGTGCCCATTTATTTGGTCTTTTATACTTGAATAAATAATTAACCAGCCTGTCAACCTGCTCCTCTCCTTGGTAAGTGCCTCTTGGCTCCAGTCTGTTGCTAAATTACATGTTTTTTTTTAATTAGGAAGATTTGGGAGGAATTTGAATTTGGATAATGGCACATTCGCATTTTATTATGAAGTCATTTGTGATTAACAAAAGAGAAAAACACCCAAAACTGCATAATGAGCCTCAGAGAGCACCTATTTTCAACCTAAGATCGTTCTCCCACACCCTGTAGTAACACTGACACACTCACACACTCCAAACAGTGAGTCAGCGCACTCGCAGACCTACACACTAACACCTCTGTCAGCAAACCAAACACACACTAGTCCTTGCTGGAGAAGTTTCAGTCACTTTTCCATCCTGTCTGTCTGCCTGTCTGTCACTCATGTCTTCTGTCTGTCTCAGGTTTTCTCACCGCAGAAATTCAGCTTGTTATGAGGAACAGAGCTTTGATGACTAATCTGCTATTTGCAGTTCAGCATTGCTGCAGTGATTTTGCTGACGTCTGTGATGTTTTTCATTCTTTCCCACCGTCTCTGTCTTTGAAATACACCCTTATATAACAGGTTGTCATTTGCTTTAGTTCGGGACAGTTATTTTGAGCTTCGAAGCAACAAAGCAAGCCATCTTTGTGTTATTTTATGTGATTTTTTAGAGCCTATCAAAAGTGGAATTTTTTAGACGACTTCATCAGCTGAAGTCGCTGTGAAGCTTTTAAGAAGAGATGAAGAGATACCAAAAAAAAAGCACAATATTTTCTTGATTAAATATGGTTTATACGAAAATAAACACATGTGGGATGTGTTCATCTTTGTTGATAATTTTGCTGTTATACTGTAAATCTTTACAGACTGGTATCAGATGATTCGGTCTGCAACTGTGTCATGCCAAGATCAGACTTTACACTCATTATTTCTCACTGTTTTAACACCACCTGCATTAATTGACTTTCTGCTGTTATAAATCATTGGTCATTAACTCAGTGACCCATTTTCTCTGCTGTTTCATTATTTAGAGTAGGCACACAAACAGGCCTTCCACTCATCAAACATAAATCAGGTTTGAACGCTCATATGATCCAGGCGCAGCGTTTAAAAGCACCATCATGTCGTACCCTGACCGGTCTTTGAGGTGAAGGCAGGAGGCACAGGAGCAGAGGCAGGACACACAGGATGGATGTAGACACTGACCGGATCAGGTTCGGTACTGGTAGGAAACCAGATCTCCATCATGGCAAGGTTGAGCGATCCTGGGCCCGAGCAGTGGCTCAGGTGTGCTCGCTCCCCCCATCTGTGGCACGAAGCAGGTGGAGACGGGCAGCTCACATTGGCCTGAAACTCTAGAAAAGTGCCGGGGCTCAGGTGTCAGCTAAAGGTTAGTGCTGTGTCCGTTAGGGTGACGTAGAACAAAGGACGGTCTCCTGGGCGGGGTGTCTGGTTACTGTGTGGCCAAGACGACGCGTCTTTGAAGCGATAAGATTAGAAGCAGAGAAGAAGAAAGGCCTCGCAGTGGAATGTAGAGGCCAAGAAGGGAAAACAGCTTCAACAATGGATGGCCTTTGTTGTTGATATTGCTTGAACAGAATTTTCCCGTCAGAATTTCCAAATAAGTTTCCAGTCCAACACAAACAGCTTTAAAGGACAAGGCAGTTTCAGAGCCTAAAAATAGCGACGCAGAACCAGTGACCTTAAATGAATACAGAAGGGCTCCAGTTCATTGTGTTGGCAGCATACTCCCTGCTTGCTGGAGATTAACTAATGTTGCATCATGAAATTCAAAGTACACAAGATACTACTGAAACCATCAGTCAATTCAACAAGATAAAAAAAATATATACATATGTTTTTAATAACTGACTGAGGATCTGATAACTCATCGAGTAAATCAAAAATAACAGATTATTTCATCATCTATATTTTTAACAAAAGTAAACAGACTGACATCTTAAAAGAAAACTTTTGTTGTGTCTAGAGTTTAACAGTCAGAGATTTAAAGATTGTTCATTCAACTAGAGTGAAATAGTAAAGGAAATATTGAAATGTTTTTTGAAAAGAAGTGCCAGAATACAGATATCAGTCAATCAATCAGTCAAACTTTATTTTTTCAAGCAGGATATTAAAAACAATGAAATAAGATAAATAAAAATACAAAAACCATAGCCCACCCACCCTTCCAACCCCCATTCAACACATACAGCACTCACACGCTCACACACAGAGATGCATACACAAAAGACTACGTGAGGACTCTTCAACTTGCCACAGATGATTGAGGAAACGCTATCTGAAGTTTAAAAAAAATGAGGAAACACTGGATCTAGGACTAAAGTGATGAAACCATGATAAAATATAATAAAGACGAAAAGCGTCAAAAGCTGATTTAATAAAAGTCTTAAAATCAAACAATAACAGAAAGTGAATTTTTAAAAAAGAGGTAATGAAACACAAAAGAGTTACTTTAGGACTAAAATCGGGTAAAATCACATAATGCAGATTAAGAGATTAAATCAAAATTTAAGTAAAAGCCAGACTAAAAAGGTAGGTCTTGAGTTTACTTTTAAAAACATGAACAGTAGGTGTCGCTTTCAGGTCTGCAGGTAGGCTGTTCCACAGATGGGGACCGTAATGTTGGTGTACTCGTCTTGCATTCAGTATTGTCCTGTTAGGTAACCTAATAAACTGAAGCTCTGAAATAATTATGCTTCATCCAAAACAGTAATAAAAAATATAGAGTAACATGTATCCAAATACTTTATAAGTCTAAGTTGTGCAAAAGTATGTGTAAGAAGAAGAAGAACAAAAAAGTACATAACTAAAGTGAAAAGTGGCATCATGCCTCTGCCTTCGCCTACCTTTTCTGTAATACTCCATCATCATCACTAGAGCTGAGTGCTCTGTCATGAGCAACACAATGTCCTGATATCCAGGAGGGAGATGAGAGAAGCAGGTAAAACGCAGGTAAGCAGAATTGACAGTGATGAGCTGAGAGAAAGAGCTCCTCTGTAGATACGTGCTGCAGTTGCTTCAAGTAAAAGCGCCGTAGCTTCTCTCAGCTACCTTATGTAATGTTGTGTAACTCTTTGGCTCTCCATCTCCAAAGTGTGCGAATCCGTGTGGGAGACTGTGCAGACGAGCTATCTTGCGAGGAGCGTGTGATGTAATGAAAATGTGTTTATGTGTGTGTTCCAGCGATGCCTCAGAGCTGCTGAATAGCAAATGCTACCGCCTGAATAAAACCATAAGGAGCAGATTGCTGCTAATAGGATTAATGTGTCCCCTTATGCTGTAAACTGATTCAAATCTCCCCACTGTGGACATGCTGTCCCCCGGGGGAACAGCGGTGCAGCGCCATAGCGTCAGCCTGTATCGATACTGCTTCCCCACTCGAGCTATCGATCCCACTGTAATAACACTTGCCCCATTGACATATCCCCTCTGCTCATACATCCCCCAAAGCCATCAATCATGAGTTTTTTTTGTTGTTTTGCTGCTTTGCTAATATTTACGGCTGCTTTTGACTGAAGCCTTGTTTGCCGCTGACTTTATCTGTGAGCGTCGAGTCTCATGCTAAGCAGCCTGGAAGCTTAGAGCCATAAAATATCTCAATCAATAATGCACTGTAAGTCAGCCTGCTACCTCATACTGCACTCGACACTTTATATTGTTACCTATTAACCTGGTACCCTCCAGTAACGCAGCTTTATTGTGTCTGGTTTTTATGAGCTATAGTATGTTGTCTTCTTAAGTGTGTTACAGAGTTGTATTTTAAAAACTGTAGAGATCTTTTAAAGCCATTAAACATCAGGGAAGCTGGAGTCCATGAGTAGATTTTTTGTTGTGTAGACAAAAATGGAAGTCACTTGGTTGAAATGTAGCAACTTCCAGGTCAACATTACTTTGCTGTTTTTCTATCCTCGCCATAAATGAGGACAATGTCGTCCACTGAGGTAAAAGTGGAGGAATTAAAGGGTTTGTAACAGTTAGCCAAATCATAAAATGAGAGTTATGTGTTCCAAACACAAAAGCTCAGTCCCTGTTGGCTGCACATTCACATGGACGGCATGTCTTTATCACCTCCTCTTGTGAAATGTAAAGCCACAATACTGTCTGGATAAGCACAGACATATTATGCTGAAAGGGGCAAAGGTGCAAAGGCAGTCTGGCTGGTGGGGCTTCAGGGCTGACGTCACTCTCCATCTGCTTCTATACGTTCAACCTTCCAATAAAAAAAAAAAAAAGATCCCTGAGGAAGGTGCAGTCCACAGCAGAACAGATTCATTGTTCAATTTCATGTTTGCACTCATGGGTATTTATTTAAAATCAATGACTCTTGTCTCTGGCTGATCGTGTTTTTGTCAAAGCCAAATTAAACTTTTTGGAAATTCAACTCTCAAACAGTAAATCAGAAGGAAAAGGATCGACTGCTTTGAAGGAAAGCATGTTTAAAAGAAATAAACGGATGTGTAATCTTGTACTTCGACTCATGTTTCATCTGCTGTGATGAAGGTGGAGGCCTTCAGACCTGTACTGCAGCTGGTCACCAGGGGGAGCTCTGAAAGTTCTGGTTCACTTGTGATAGCTGTTGTACTAAAGCTCACTTTCACCCCAAGTGACATGCAGGAAATTTACAAATTGCACTTTTATGATAGTATCTGCAGTTACATTCGCTTCGTCTGTGTGTTTGTTGATTCTTGCCTCTAACCATCAACTATTTCTGTCTTTATTTAAAGTCTTTCTACCCTTGAAGCTAACTAACAAAGTCAAGCAATTTCAACCTAAGCTCATACAACTTTTTATGCAAGCTCCCATTTTTCTTGTGGCGCTAAAAATGTTTATTTTTTAAGATGGTAAGAGCAGGAAAAAGTAAAAGAAATTCCACTTTAAACCCTCACCCTCGGAGGTTGACTGGTTTGTGTGAATTTGTGTTGTGAAGATGACTTTTCTACTAATGCCTGACTGCTGAAAGGTTCACTATGTTTCAAACATGCTTCATCTCTCAGCTGTGACTGCTCTCAGATTGATTGCAGTGAAAGTTGGCTCGGTTTGAGGGGGGAAAATAAAAATGGAGCGAGATAAGCATAAAAATGTGCCAGGGCAGACATGCAGGTATGAGATTTATCATCCAGCTCTGACTGTTATCTCCACAATCTGAGACTCCCATTCGACCTCATTTGACTGGATCCAGTGTGGGCCTTTAGGGCGAATAATAATTAAAAAACGATGGTCCCCACATTTAAGAAATGAATTTTCTTAATTATTCTAACATGGTCTATTTTTAGTGTTAACACTGTCACTGACTCACCTCCAGGCTCCGTGGCCTAGTTTGTTGGTTTTCACCCAAATCCAGCTCAAGCACAAAGGTCCAGATTAGCAAAAGCCGTGCACGGGTGAAACTAAAAGCTTAGTAATTCACAGAATACGGAAAAATGAATGAACTGAGACCTATATCTATATGTAAATTTATATGTATGCTTATATATATAGTTTTTCTTTCTTAATTTAATTTATTTTTTTCCTTTGTCCCTTTGTTCTGTGGCATTATTCTTTTTACTTTTATTAGTTAGTATTATTATTTCTAGCTCTTATCCATTTCATATAACTCCTCAGAACAAATACATATAGTTTTATATAGGCATACATACACTCACAGACACACAAGCAAAGTAAACTGCTATCCTAGCCCCACAGATAAGTCAACTACACCTACCAGCATGTGAAATACAACCAATACCTGCTTGTGTTTGTCTTGTCTCGTCTCCCCAATCTGTTTCTTAGTTTGTTGTCCCTCACCTGTCACTTAATAAAAAAATTTTAAAAAGTAATTCACAGAATAATGATAAAAAAATAATAAATAAAAATTAAATGATCCCAATTTATGAGGATAAATTTGATGTAATTCAGTTTATATACTTTTTTTTTTTTTTTTTTGCTCCATCTGCTCCAACCATTTTTTAACCCGGCTAATCAAAGGAGAGATGGGACGTGTCTTTGTGTCCCAGCTGATGTGACTTGCTCACTCTCACCACACACAGAGAACAAACAGTTGAATATTTAGGTCTTATGTAACTCTCTGCACTGCACAGTGAGTTACCACAGTGAAAGTCATCAGCACTTTGAAGCGACCGATCGTCACAGTTCGAGCTGAGGAGATTTTCAGAGTTTAGTGTTTGTGTGGATGCTTCGGTGAAAACTCATTTTGAGCCGGTACATGTTGAACAATTATTGAGCTGGACACAGAAGTAGACGGCTTGATGAGAGTGCTCCCTGCACACAGAAACCTGAACCGTCTTTTACATAAGACAGCAAAACACTCGTGTCACAGGGTCACATCAAAGTCTGCCTCTTGACTGAGTCATTACCAGGAAGAGGTGTGAAGTCAATACTCTGCAGGTACTTTGTCATTCCTCGCTTGTGAATCAGGTGTACGTCGCTTAGTAACCCTTCATTTTCGACTGATCTTTTTTTTCAGATGATCGTTGTAGAGACCCCCTGGCTAGCTTTATGCTCAGTGCCTCAGTATGAGTCATGCCTGCAGACATGTCCTGTTGCCGTGTGATGACAGCTTTTCCATTACCATCAGGAACATAACTGCCTCATTAGCCAAGAGGCAATCTGCTAAAGGACAGCCCTGCAGCCGTCGACGAGTGAACTTTTGTTCACTACCAAGCTTTGTGACTTCTCACACCGGATCTTTGATATTCTAGGGTGGCTTTTTCTTCTCTGATTGACTTCTATTCCTTTTTGTTGTTGTTCAGGAAACATAAGTAACATCAGAGCCAACTTGTGCATTAGAAATTTATTTACTTCAGGTTGCTTGGTTAGAGCGTATTCAGTCATCCGTAGCTCTGCGTTCAACTTAAGCCCTTTGCTGCATGACATCCCCACTCTTCTTTCTTCATAATTACTAGCTGTCTTCAGGCAATAATCGCAAAAAATAAATAGCTTTCCTGTACATTTAAAGCATTGTTGCTCAAACTGTCATGAAAAAGGGTTGGAAAATGAGAAACAAAATGTTGCAGTTGAGCACTCTTGTTGAATCATTTAGATTTTATTGTACTTGGTAGCGTTTTGTAAGCTAAAGGGGTATACACATAAACTCTTTATACTATGGACAACTTGGTTCCACCTTCCACCAGTATACAGATTTAAAGCCGAAAAGCTCCCTGTAATTCTGCGTTTTCTATCCATTTCCTGAAACCAACATTACACAGTAGCATTTTACACACTCCACGACTTGCGCTGTAGCATTGTAAGCATTCGGCGGGAGAGTCGCAGAGAGTCGCTGTGATGACACTTGGCTCTAACACCATATCCCCTGGGTGAGCTAGGCAATCTGCGTCCACCCATAGGCTGTTTCAAGTGTCAATCATAGAACACATGAACCCCCTAATAACTTTTGAAAATGGAGCTTCACAGAAAAAATAGGACTTGAGCACAAACCAGTCCAACATTTACTACATGTCAACATCACAAGCAGGGGGGAGAAAAGATTTATATTCTGTGTCATAAATTTCTAAAGTTTGTCCCAAGCTCCATAGGGATTGCTGGAGGAGGCGGGATTTATGACCTATACTGCAGCCCGTCACCAGAGGGTGTCTTCACCCAGTGAGGAGGTGGATGACGTCCATTCTATATACAGTCTATGGGTATACATAAGACTATACATACACTGGCATAATAATGACTTACTTGACACCTGTCATTAACATGAATAAGGCGACATTAACATAATGACGACAACGCCTTCCCAAACAATGTCAATATAGCACCAAAGGCGTCATAATTTACCGAATGACACTTAATGACAACCTTCATAAGCCTTATTCATGTTAATAACAGGTGTCATGTCATGATTATGACAGCGTAATATGTACAGCCCTTCAAGTAAAGTGTTACTGTACTTTTTAGACCATTTTACTTTTTACCAAAAAAAGTGACTTCTCTTTGGTTTCCTTCCTTCTCATGGTGTTGTTGTCTTTTAAAGCATCACTTCAGAGCTGTCAGTTTCTACCAGAGCCAGTTTAGTCCGTGTGAAGGAGCTGCTTTCACACAGATCGCTAATTAAGGAAGCATCTCATTTCACAAATTGAAGATGCATTTCTAACTTGTAAAAGAGTCACACATACTCATGCACCACTCTTTAAAGTGGAAACGTTTTTGTTTTTTTTTATTCGTGTCAACATGAACGTGAGTGGAAAAGATGTTAAGTTGCAAAATGCCCATTCGGCGAAAACGGTCCCCACGCCAGTTCAGAAGTGCGTGTGCGGGACAGAGATGAGAGGATGTGAGAGGGGGGAAATTCTAGCCTGTCGAGATACACGCTGTGTGTTATGTAAAGGTGACATGGAGAAACATGCGGTCAGCAATAACTGACAGCACTCGCTGTTTGAATCAAACCGAGTTGTCGGCTATTTGAGAGCGGTGACTTCACACCCAGAGCTCTCCACTGTCTCTCCCACAAACACATCAGATTTCTCCTGCTGGAGAAACAAAGCCTTTGGGTAAAATGAGGACGAAGTCAGCTGTATACGTTGTGTTTTTTCTCACATGTTCTCTTCAAAGTACATACTTTTGTTTAATTTTTGGCTGCTACATCCTTCTCTGTACATTTCCTTCAGCAGGTGAGGTGATCTGGCCTGTAATGGATGAAAAACAAGTACATGATGTTCTCTTATCCTGCCTCATCTGTTGTCCTACAGCTCTCACTCCCTTCACATACAGTAATAACAGGTGCTGGATCAAGCAGTGAGTGTGTGCCTGTGTGAGTGTGAGTGTGAGTGTGAGTTTGTGTGTGTGTGTGTGTTTTGTGCGGCTAAAACCAGTTTATCTTTGCTGACAAGCTTTTGTCCTTCAGCTGTGGTTGGATACCTGTCACATTATTTTGCAGACATGCCGTCACTCAGTGTGTGTGTGTGTGTGTGTGTGTGTGGATACCTATATGGAGAGCTAATTATGGAAACAGTGAAGAGCTCTGAACAGATCATCCATATAAAACCACTCTCGAGCACACGCACTCTGTACGTATGCCAAATGACAACGCAGTGAGTGTCCAAAAAGCGTGGCTGTGAAACCGAACACCCCTCCTCTTTTCCTCGTTTCCCCTTCTCTTCCTCCTCCTCTTATTCCCTCAGGATGTCCGCTCATAGAGACCACATGAATAAGTGATCGAGCACGCTCCCTTGTCACACACCACTCACCCGTGGGTGTATCAGCATCAGCGTGAAGGGTTAAAAAACAAACTCGACATGCTATTATGGAACACGATCTCTGGAGCTTTCCCACATGCCTCCTTCTTGCCAAAACATCCATTCAGTTTAAAGAAGTTTCTGAGAAAGACGGCCTTATCAGTTTTCACGCCCGGAGTTTGATGACATGTGAGTCATAGCGGCGGCTTGCTAACACTCATGGAAAATTCACCGTTTGGAAAGAGCTTGAGTGGGCAGGGAGGTCAAAGAAGTGCTTTGTTTTCGTTTTCAAGCTGATTATGCGAAGGGGTCTAAACAAACAAACAGACGGAAACTGTTGAGTCTCTACATTTAAAGTCAGAGTTTGAATCCAACATTGTTGATACAGTGTTATGAGGCAGAAAATAATGGCAGGAAACATAAATCAATCAGACTTTAATCAAGAAAATCACAAACTTTTGCTGTGGGGGAAAAAGGGTTTTTTTTCTCTCTTGTCTGTCACTCACCCCCTGGCATCAAAAATTACAATCGATGAATTGTTAATCTGCTTGTTTATGGTCTTGTGTGTCTTCATAAGTCATAAAAAAGCCTCACAGTTAATTTCCAACCAAAAACTCCTCACAGGAACTTTGACGACGTTTTCTTTTAACTCTTGCATAATGTGCAGCGTTTCACTTTTGGATGATAAACTGTACGGATCCTTGTTGCATTTTGTAGCTTTGCAGTTTTATTTTATTTTTCTACAGAGACAGATGGCTGCCATCTTTAATGACAAGCACCCACATGAAACTGGTTTATGCTGCAATCCCAGTGCAAGTGAGAAATGGACTTAATAAAACCTAGTGAGGTGTTCAAAAGAGAAAAGGCACATATATTAGTCCAAACTGAGCAGAGAGAGAAAAACAGAGAGAGTAAATACTCAACATATCTATTGAATATGCTAATTTTAGTCTTAAACACAGTCTTACAATAAGATATTCTTTTAATTCCAAAATTACATCAGCATAAATACAGATACAAAAAGAGAAATTAAAGGATAAAGACACAAAGTTAAAGAAAGATATCATGTACATGAGTCTTATATACATATATTATACAGTAGAACTTTTGCTGTGTACAGTATATACACACAATAATTGCTGGTCACATGAGATAAATGTCATGAACTGCACCCCTTCACTGGTGGTTTATTTTTTCACTTTACTGCATGAGTTCAGCAGGATTTTACACAGAAGTTTGACCAGACAAATTCAGGGTGAAGTTAGGGGGAAAATTGAGTTTGTTTGCATTCACACATGCAGCTCAGCTTAAGAAATCATTCAGTCTTTATTAATATAGCACTTTTCATACACAACCATGTAGCACAAAGTGATTTACATAGAAGAGAAAGAAAAAAACAAAGAATACCCTAATCTATCCTAATCTTGAAAAGGGCTAGATTTCTTAGAAACAGGAATGTATACACTGACGAAATGCAATTTTAGAACTCAAGATAAGTAAACACTGAAGGTGGTGTTAAAATCTAAAAACAAAGTAACATAAAATGAAATTTAAGAAATAATAAATAAAATGAAATAAAAACAACAGTAAAAGATACTAAAATAAGTGCATCCAAATAGCTCAATAAAAGATGATCCTGTCATAAAAACTAGAAAGAAAGAAATGCTAGAACACTTAAAAAAAAGTTAATGATGTAAAATTTAGTCAAAAGCAAAACTTAAAAGGTACATTTTTAGTTTGGTTTTAAAATGATTAAGATAAGTTGTAGATGTTTGAAGTGAGCTTGTTTGCAGTCAAGATTGTACATTTCAGTGTCAAAGTTGCTTTTCAAGTGAAAGTTTGTTTTTTGTCTGTAGAGTGTGTAGAGTTTAGCCCATACACTGTATATAGAATGGACAGAGTCTGCCTCCTCGGCGGGTGAAGCCACTCCGAGAACAGCACCCTCTAGTGACAGGCTGCAGTATAGGTCATAAATCCTGCCACCTCCAGTAAAGCTTATGGAGCTGTGGACAAACTTTGGAAATTTAATACACGGAATATACATTTTTTTTCCCACCTGCTTGTGATGTTGACATATAGTTACAGTAGTACCGTTTTGTGCTCAAGTCCTCTTTTTTCTGTGCAGCTCCTTTTGTAAAAATTTTAAGGGGATTCATGTTTTCTATGAGTTACACCTGATACAACCTATGGGCATAGGAAGATTGCGTAGCTCACCCGGGGGATACGCTGTTTCAGCCGAGCGTCATCACAGCGACTCTCTGCGACTCTCCTGCCGAATGCGTACAACACTACTGTGCAATGTTGGTTGCAGGAAATAGAGAAAAACGTGGAATTACCGAGAGCTTTTTGGCTTCAAATCCGTATACAGGCGGGAGGTGGAACCAAGTTGTCCATACAGTCTATGGTTTAGCCCTTTGACCTGATCATGAGTGAAGAAAGCTCTGTAACACTTCCTGAAATCACTTTGATTTTGTTGTCTCTGAAATACAGAGAATTAATTTTAAATTAGCACAGTAATATTATAACACTTTCCTCTCATCAAGTCAGTCGGAAATTTTCCTTAAAATGCACATTGAGAGTTCAGATATTCACACACACCATCACACCTTCTGTGGTGAAGTAGAAACCTGACTAAAAATGGGATCACAGAGCCTGGAGGTGAACTCAGCACTGAGCCAGCAGTTAGCCAGCTACCTCCAGGCATTTAGAAACAAACAACGTGATACGCTTGCACCCGCAGAAGAAACAGGAATAAAACTCAGAGGGAGTGAAGGAGGTGTTTGGGTACAATAATTAATCAGCCTAATTAATCTGCCTTTTCTTGAAATGCAGATTGTTTTGTCACAGTGTACACCACACCGCAGCACAACTGTGGTTCACAGCTTGCTCAATCATTAACAGCTCTGCATGTGTCAGACGGCGTGATGAAGTGAATTTTAAGAAGAAATGGAGAAACTTGTTACATAACGTTCGATCAAAGATGCTGGCAGTCAGCTGGAGTGGAGCAGACATTTATCAAGGACTTGAGCTACAATAACCACCTCAGTGAATCGTTTTGTTCTGCTCTACAAATAATGCAGCCGGCTTAGAGTGCATATTCATTAAGAAGAGGCAAAAACGAGATATGTAACATGTGCTCAAATATTATGTCAGATAGAAAATGATAAGAGACATCAGTGTGGGCAGATAAAAGATGAGAGTTCTTCTGTATTGTTAGATATGAACATTTTTGCTGCTGTCTGATGGTATGTGAAGTGGATGCATTAATTCTGCGCACACTGTGATTACCTAGACGCACAAGCCTTAAGTAGTTTACCGAAGTGTTGAAAGCAGATGGCAAAATAGCGTTTTTCAGTGCACAGGTGAAGAGACGAGGAACGAAACAACATTCCTTTTTATCTCTGCCAATTTAATTACGAATCTCAAGGACCGTCATCCTGAACAGCACTGAGAGTCTCTGAAAAGTTAGACCAGGGACAACTTGTTTGCAGCCTCTACTTCAGCGAAGGAATGAGCCAAAGAAGGTAAAACATGAAAAACATTGAATTCAGGGCTTTTACTGACCACTCTTTCAACACTGGTGGAAGGTCCAGGTTTCTGATGTTGTACTTGGAGCCTCACTACACTGTGCCTAACCAGTGTTACTGCTCAGCTTTGTCTTTAGTCATATAGAAGAGTTTCATATAAGCTTTACCAGGGACCTCTGGGTAAGCCCTGCTAGCATTAGGGGTGGGAGAAAAAAATCGATTCGCAATATTTTTTCTGGTGATATATCATATCATCTCATTAACCAAGTATCGAATTTTTAAATGAATTGTTAATATGAAGACAAATCTATCATCATGGAAAAATAAAATCAACTGTTTGTCCAGTGAGGTTGGCAGAGGTGACACCATAGAGCAGGATAAAGTTAGTGCAACAAATATACAGTGTACAAGGTTTGCAAGATGTGCTACATGGAAATGAAATACAGCATGAATTAACTAAACAGTTGAAAAAATTATATAAATTGCAATATATTGTATCACAATACTCAATGTATCGCAAAATGTTAAAAATAGCAATAATATCGTATTGTGGGGCCACTAGTGATTTCCACTCCTAGTCAGCATGTGAGCCTCGGTGCCCAATGGATCGATCACAGTACATTATTTAAATTGTTCAATATTTCATGAAATCATCGTTTTTGTAAACTAAACTGTATTTATTTAATTTCATTTGATTGTGCTCAGTGAACAGATAACCTGGTTTCTTCTTCGGTTAAAGGGATATTCCGGCGTGAATTTAAATTAGGGTCAAACACATCGTAAAACCAAGTTAGACACTCCCTCAAGAGATGAATGTTGACGACCACTTGCCTCTCTAGTTATACCAACTTCAGCAACGACTGTACGATAGCAATACACAGCGGTCTTGTCTCCATGTGCAAACCTCAACAAAAATCCACTCTACAGCCACAAATGATGCTCAGAACAGCTCCTAACTTCATCAACAGTACATATAGGGTCCTAGCCATAGTACTAGCCACCAAACATCTTTTTAACTTTGCCTAATTTCTTTAGCAAAGAGACTAAACACAACTCACCCACTCTCCTCTAGCAGCCACTTGTTTGTAGGGGAGCCCTGACGAGTTGATCACCAAGTGCAGCGGAGTTTTGCCGCTCAAGGAAGAACATTTATGATCATTACTTTATGGAAATGGAATCAGAGTTCTTGTGTATCTTGTATGTGCACTGCAGACATGGTAGTTCTTCTGCCTTAGCGTCTCAGTCTAATTGCATGTCCATTAAGTAATAATCATAAATTTTCCGCTGCACTCGGTGATCGACTCGTCGGGACTTCCCCACAAACAAGACGCTTCTGGAGGAGAATGGGTGAGTGTTGTTTGGTCTCTTTGTTACCAGGCTGTCAGGTAACAAACACCATTTCAGTCCTGATAAGAGTGTGCTGTGTCAGCCAAACAAGGAGTGTGTTGTGTTGTGTGAGTATACAGTTGTTTTGTTTCCCATAGACTAAATAAGGAGGAAAAGAAAAAAACAGCACCACCACCATCCATCTTGTTTTTTGGAAATTAGATGCGGATTTACAGTCACATTTCCATCAGTTCGCTCTGCGAGGTGGTCAGCTCAGAGACACAGAAAACGTTAAAGTCGAGGTCTAAAAGTCCAGCTCTCCCAGAGGCCGTTGCCTTTCGACCTCCTACTGAGCTGCGTGATTGAGTTCACACCCGAGGAGGCAAATTTGGCACCCGTGGAGAGGACCAGGTGAAAAAAAAACACAGGAAACTGGAGAATATATCACATGGGTGTAGTTCAAGACAAAGTGTGCTGCACAGGAAGGAGGAAAAAATAGAGAGGGGTGTAATCAGAGAGAGAAGAAATATTGACAAAGACAGCCTCAGAGACGATTGCAGGAAAGTAACAAGAAGTTTTAAATCAAATTTCCCCGTGAAGTCATAAACTAATAAAAAGGATGGAAATCAGTTAGAGGCACAGCTTGTACTCAAAGGACGATTTCATATCTTATTACCAAAAATATCAAAAAGCTGACATTGTTTGTGAAAAAAAAACAGTGAAAAGTTGCTTTTCTCATTTCCTTTTCAACTGGAAGGCTTGTTTATTTCTTATTCTTTATTCTAACAATTTTTTTTACAGAAATAAAAATTCATCAAAAACTGAAACACAGGTTAGACAGTCAGAGCCAACTTGAACTTCCTCAAATCTTATTCATACAAAGCGTAGTTAAGATGGATACATCACAACACTTGGATCCTTTAAAATGACACACCTCTGACTCCACCCGTTTGCACCTCTTCCTGTTTTTTTTTTTCTTTAGGAGAGGTTTGAGGCTTTGTTCAGGATCTACGACGAACAGACAACTTTCCAGATGTTCAAAAGCTTCCGGAGAGTCCGGATCAACTTCAGCACCCCGGAGGCCGCCGCCCGTGCTCGCATCGAGCTGCACGAGTCCGAGTTCAACGGCAAGAAGCTCAAACTCTACTTTGCTCAGGTGAGTGACAGCTGAAGGGTCATGAGAAGGGCAGACAGGCTGTAGGGGCTGTGGGAAATGGACCGTCTGAGGAAGATACCTGCATACAAATCCACACAAAACAGGGGCGAAATCAAGCAGAGAAGGGTGACTGTCTCCGCTCTAGAGTCACTTCCTCTCTACTTGATTCATTTTCGTCTCCGAGCCACACCTGAACGCTTCCTCTACCCACCAGAACCTCCTGTCACAACTCATCAGACACATGATTAAGCACAGTAGTGCATCAATTCTTGATTTCCCCTTCATTTTAGGAGTGTGAGTGGAAATGTTGGTGTGTGTGTATCTGTCTGGGAGAGGAAATGGAAAGAAAAGCAAAGTACAGTTTCTAGTATAAACACAAAACCAGAAGGGCATGTATGTATCCACAGTCTGTAGATGTAGCTGTTATAAATCCTGTCTACAGAAATTTCAGAGCTGTTGTCACTTCATCTCTCATAGATCCAAAATGGCGACGAAGACATCGACAAGTCGTACCTGGCCCCCCCTCAGCCCGTCAAACAGTTCCTGATCTCACCGCCTGCCTCGCCACCTGTGGGCTGGAGCCAGAGCGAAGACGCTACGCCCGTCATCAACTACGACCTGCTGTGTGCAGTAGCCAAGCTGGGACCCGGTCAGTACTCAGCAGCTAAATTTGAATAATATTAGACGTGAAACACCAATAATACATCAATCAAATGTGAGTCACCCAGATTCGAACCAGAGGTAATTTCACACCCTGACAGGATGATGAAAATGAAGGTCATGTATCGAGAAAGTGATTTAAACAAAGGAATGAATTTATTGAATCATATGTTTTATGTTGGACATTCCCGCCTTTGTGTTCCTGTGCATGTGGTCCTCGTCATGCAGCAAAATAAATAAGCCCCTAAATGATCTTCACATTGCTGAAAACCATCTTTCCATGTCACAGGTATTAAAACCTCGATTCGTTGCATTCATACAAAAAAAAAAAAAATGCACCAATGCTTCTGTTTCCGTGGGTGTGACTGACAAGAAAATCTGTCCGTTTGGCTAATATCTCCCTGAAGTGTCTTATGACAGCTGAAGAACTGCACCGGCAGGCCTCTCCAGCATTGGAGGAATTAAAAACTCAGATTCTGATGAGCACAGATGGTGTTTCAAATGCCAAGAACGGAAGAGCAAAAGTGCGAAGACAAACGTTAAACATAATCATAAGCAGTGATAGTAACACTGGCTGCAACTGTGGGCATGTTCAGCTAACTGTATCATTAACAATACAGAAAAAAACATGCTGTTTATTACCTCCGTGGCTGAATAATCGTAGGTTACCCTCATTGTTAGAGGCCCTCAAATCTGCGACAACAATCATTGGAAACGATCTGTTCCTTTGCAGAAATAAACCGAATTTCAAAACAAAAAACGATTCAACTTTTACATCTTTTGATTAAAATGCAAATCAGTTCCACAGCACCCCAAATAGATCTTTTCCCAGTCCCCTTGCTTTTATGAATCTGAAATGTGTAGGCAGCAAAGCCCGACACAGATTTAGACGCTTTGAGATGTTTCCTAACAATCTTGTTCCCCTGCAGCTTTTTCTACTCAGAGATAATTTTGGCTCCGTCTGCATAGTGGAAAAGATTTCAGATTGCAGGAACCTTTATAAAATGTCACCTAACACACATTAAAAGGTGTGTTTTGTCCACGGGGTCTTGGTGTGTCTCTGTGTGCAGATGTCGTTCATGCTGCTGAGGGGGGACACATCATCTCTGTCGATTCAGTTTGACAGAATCATCCGTTTTACTTGTAAGAGATAAATCATTAAAGTTTCCTCACACATGCACTCTCCAGCATAGGATCACATTTGACACATTACCATAGCAACACGGGGCATCAGGAAATGGCTTTGTCCTTCGCCTCACATCCGAGAATCAGATTAGAGCCGGGCTGCAGCACAGCGCGCTGACTCCCTCTGTCAACTCTCCGTGGTAACAGCAGGACTCCCATTCACTGTCAGTCTTCCTGTTTGGCAACGCGGAGAAAAAAAAAGCTGCAAGACCAATTTCCTCCTGTCTGCCAGCTGTCTGATCTCATCTCCATGGCAACTGTGATACAATTGAGCAAGTGTGTGTTTTCATTCCCGAGTCCGCTGAGTTTGGCATCCGCACAAATACCGGGGCTATTCTGAGGAAAGCTGTTTTGTTTTCAGTTGAAGGCCTGTCTGAGTATCCGCCCGATCTTACACACACACACACACAAAAAAAACAGACAAAGAGGAGATTATTTTGTCCTGTAAAAACATTCACAGTAGTAACAAAAACAGTGTTGGCTCCTGAGTTTGCCCTACCATGTAAAATCCCTACACATAATTTTCTTCTGTGGATGTTAAGTTTGACTGAAAACATTGTTCCTAAAAGTAATATTCAAAAAAATCAAAACTCATGTTGTGAAAAATCTTTGAACAAGATGGCGCTGTTGCTGCCCTCATCAATCAAACTGAAACCAGTCTTATTACAAAAGTATGACTTCACACTGAACCACTGCCACAGTCACTTAAAGGGATATTCCGACGTAAAATTAAGTTGGGGTCAAGCACACCATAACACAGAGTTAGACACGCCATCGAGAGGTAAATGTTACACAGCGGTCTGTGGATCTACGCGCAAAACTCAACCAAAACGCCACTCTATAACCACAGATAATGCTCAGAACAGCACCTAACTTCATCAACAGGACATATAGGGTCCCAGCCATAGTACTAGCCATCAAACATCTTTTTAGCTTTGTCTGATTTTTTACACAACTCACCTACTCTCCTCCAGCAGCTGCTTGTTTGTGGGGGATCACTGACGAGTCGATCACCGAGTGCACAGCTAGAGTTTCACAGCTCAAGGAAGAACATTAATGATCATTACTTTATCATTTTCTTAGAGTTATAATCATCATATTAATCATTTTGCACTGCAGACAGGGTAGTTCTTCTGCTTTAGCGTCTCGGTCTGATTTGCATGAAGAGAAAGTTTCCAAAGCAGGAGAGGATTTGGGTCCCTGAAGTAGGATTTCACTCGGTTCTTTAACTAGCTCCTCTTCCACCTTCCTCCTTCTCTTTAGGTGAAAAGTACGAGCTCCATGCAGGTACAGAGTCAACCCCTAGTGTGGTCGTCCACGTGTGCGAGAGCGAGACAGAGGAGGACGACGCGGCGAGGCCAAAGCAGCAGATTGTCCAGACCAGACGCCCTGACGGACCCCCGAAAGTCTTCAACTAGATAGGCTTCCCCGTGACCCCGGCGCGGCCCCCGACCGCCCCTTAAAAAAACCTGCGACACACCTGCCCTCTCTCTCTCGTCTCTGCACTCACAGAGAGCGTCGACGCCCCTCATTTCAGTTCAACTACAAGCAAAAACAAAAAAACCAACAAACATTGCTCGAGAGACGGTGTTTGTGGGGGAGCGTGGTGATGGAATGAGGCGGCTTGAAGGGGATGGATGAGAATCACACACACACTCATCACATTCTTGCGGACAGCGTGGGGAGCGGCGGGCATGCTTCGCCTCCAACCCCACCAACTCCCCCTTTTTCTGCAAGAGGGGCCAGGAAAAAAAACCTGTCCCAAAGCAGGCACCTGTCACTTTTCACACACTCTCAGCTCTCATCGCTAGTCAGTAGCTCGCTAGTTAGTTAGCTTTTTAGCTTGTGCCTCTCCTTTCATCTCACTGTTGTTTGTACAGTAATCTTCAGTCGAGGTACCTGCGATGCCTCCTAACAAAGACATTTACTTCTTCTTCTTTGTTTTTTTTTTTACAATAAATTGTGTTCTCAGACTATTACACAGATATTATGTGTATTTTTTCATTCATTTGCATATCTGCTGTTCGTTGCTTCAGCTTGCATCAAGATCGAGTGTGTGATGTTATCGCTCTTGTCTGCATGTATATACTGTATAACAAAAAATACGTACAGAAACACAAATATTAACAAGATATATCAAGAAAAAGGAACTTATTTAACATCACACACAGCACGACGCCATATGTGACTAACAAAGTTGTGGTGGTTGTTTGACTCTTGGTTATTTTTTGTTTTCTTTTGGCTTGTTTTTGCTTTTTTTTTTTTTGTCTTTTTATTTGGAGAGGTGTTGTTTTCTTGCTGAACTACTTCAATGTGTATTCCTACTATGTATTTGATACCCTAATACTTTCTGCATGCTTAGTTATTTCTGTAACTGAGGAGCTGAGGTGTTTTGTTTTTTTTATTGATGTTTGTGACGAGAAGGACATAGTGTGACGCTTTTGACAAAAGTGCATATCTCTGCACGAAGTTTATTGACGTCTTAGGGCAAGAAAAAAATGTTTTAGTTTTTTTTTATGACTGACGGCTAAGTATTGAACTCAATGGCGAATCAGTGCTTGTCTCTATTGATGGCATTTGATTAATCAGAGACAATTCATTCCCCTCTTTTTCTTCAAGGGGTTTGGAAAGCTGATATTTTTTTTTTTGTATTTAACATCTTTAACGTCTTATGTGTCAGGATTTTCCTCCTAAACCATTTACTAATTGTGTTTTTTTTTTTGCACTGAGTATCTCTTGATATCCCCTGGCAATTGCAAAAGTCTTGACCGTCTCCTGCTGCGCACTAAAAAAGAAAAACTGTGCTGCCTGTTGCTGTAAATATCTGAGTGGTAGATTTGTGGAAACAGATCATTTATTTTAAAGTTTAACATGTAAGTATTTTACTGAGGAGGGAAAATTAGATCACATCAATTTAACTATTCACTTACCTCACCCATATATAGTTAAATTTTGCAGAAAGAGGTCACATTCACACATTTAAATGCGAGTACTGTTCAGTTTTATTTTTCCAATAGTTCTTTTAGGAATTTCCAAATCTCCATAAACTCAAATTATTTGTCCTTTTGTTTCACTCCCCTCTAAATTCCCACATCATATCAGCTCCTTTTATGCTTTAAAAGCAACAGGTAAAATTTCCTCATGGGGCTTTTAGGTGTCAGCAGCGAGTCTAAACCTTATCTGTCATCAGGCAGCATGAAATCAAACATGACTATTTTTGCTATATAACAAGATAAGTAAGCAAAAGAGAAGTCTGTCTGCATGTGAGCACTTTATTGTCTGTGTTTTGTTTGTTTCATGATTCTTATAAAACAGACAAAGCACGTCGCGTTTTTTCTCTTTTTTACATTTCGTTAATCTTAAGCCGATCACCTGGTTAGCCTTTTCACCAGCATTTTGCAGTGCGAGAAACACTCCACTTCCTTTTTTGCTTGAGTGAATTTCTGAGGAATTTCAGGCCTTCTGGAGAAATGTGAGTGTACTGCAAGGAAAGTGTGGACAGATAGGACTGGGATAGGCTTTATATGAGGCAGGATGACACTACAAAACAAAATCAGAGGCTTTGTTTTGGTCTTTGTCGTCCAGACAGGTTCATTTTATCCTCTGAGGAAGTAGTTCTTTGAAAAGCACTGTGTCGGCGGAGTGCACTTTTATTGGCTCTACAGTAAAGCTGTGGCGGTTATCTAAGCAGACAGCAGATTGGAGGAACTACTGAGGTGGGCGATGAAAAAGAGGAAGCAGCAGGAGGAAGACACTCCTGAAGAATTTTTTTACTCTCTGAGGTCATGGCGTTTGAAACTGGGTGGTCACGGTTGATATGAAAATGTATATTTATGTACATATGCCAAGTGTTTTTTGTTGCTGAGGCCAGTCCCAGTGTGCAGTTTGTTACGGCTTCTCTTGGCTATGTTGTAATGGAAAAAAAGAAACCAAGAAAAAAAAGAAAAATACAAAAATGTTTAATAAGTCCTTACAATGCTTGATCAAAAAACCAACTGTCATTGTGTTGTGTTCAACATGGACTCTGTTTGAATGTTTCTTTAATTTCTGGGGAACGTCCACTAAAAAGGTCAATAATGCCGTTTGTCACTGTTGTACTGTTTCTGTTGAAATATGAATATTGTGTCTTGTATTGTAGGAAAACAAAGTAGCAAAACAAGCAATAATTTACAGTTCTATGATACCGGTATGTGTATTTTCATGTTCTGTACTTATTTCTCAGAGATGGTCTCTGTCTCTTACAGTATCCGCTTCTATTTGTGTAGTATAATAGCAATTTGTTTCACATAGAGAAATACATAAAGACTTCTTCTTAAAAGCCATGTCCAGTGTTGTTTATTTTAAGCGCTTCACGCCTCAGATACAAACATGAAAAATACAACTCAAAATTACATAATGGTTAAAGAAAATATACAGTTAAATACCAGAAGTATTTGACTGAGATTGAATCAGAGACTGGGATAAAAAAGTGGATGATGTGACTCTAAACACTGGCATTGTGCTGTTAAAGTAATAAGCACTCTTCCATGTAAACAGATGGGACATGGGTCATATTACTAAATCAAAAACACATCAAGTCTAATGTTCTCAAGCATGTTAGTTCTTGTAAAAAATGGCTTTAAATGCTACGGATGGTAGCTTTAATTCTGGATTTATCCAAAAAAGCTCAGCAGATTCACATCTTATGCTCACTTTTGTGCAGCAGGAGGGGGAGAGGACACATTTTCACACAAATAAATTATCTATTTTGTCGGCTGCATTTAAAATTATTTTACATGTCTGGTGTTCTGGAAAAGTAGCAGATGTATCTTTGAAACTTAAAAGAAGTTTCACAGCTTTCATCACCATACAATTATCGTGACAATAAAATATTGCGATAATGATATTAATGATAGTCAAAATAAGACAATAAAATCAGGCAAATGGAAGAAAGGTAAGGCAAAGGTCAAACAACACATCACTTCAACTGCCTGACATGTCATCATCTATTTCTCATTTTATTTAAATTTATGATTTATCATGAACCTTGTGACTGAAACTTCTTTGGGAGAATAAATCGATAAACGACCATCTGTCAGGCATTTATTTTGATATGTTCCTGTGTATCAAAAACATATCAAAATAAAAGGGGTTCCTATGCAAGTATGGATAGTATGGAAATAAATCTGATCAATTTCTAGGTCTTAAAAAGTATAGAAAATGTACAATTCTACAGTTCTAAAATACAGTTTTCTTAAATAGAAAAGTAGGTATTTCCAAAAATAGCTGTAAAAAGTAGGGTATGGAAAAGTATGGAAACTGCAACTGTGTAGGAACCCTGTATGGAGGTTATGAAATTCACTGCATTGTCGAGCCATGCTTTTATTTTGAAGAAAACTACCAAGTTATATTCCTGTATCGAACATTTAATCAATAAATATAATAAATACATATTAAACATATTAAAGTTCTATCTAATCTAATCAAGTTAAATGAACAAGTTTTGGATTCACAAAGAAAAATGACGAAATTAAAAGCAATGACTCTTCTAACTTTCCCATCAAGCACTCAGCTTCACAATCTCACTGATATTTGCCGTCTGAACTGTGTCCTCGCTAAAATATTCTCAGAAGAACTGTTGCTACTTGACTATTCCATACAAGACCACAAAATACACAGGAAAGCTTTTCTCACCTCACTGACATGTATTTAAATCATTGTCTGGATTAACGCCAGCACTGGACAGAGGCACTCTTCACCTCATCTCCCCCTCAAGGCTCTCACAACAGTTATTATCGTGTCCGGTCAGAGCCTTGCTTCCTCAGTAAGGACACTGACAGCAAGGTTGTGTTAATGATTCTTCCAGTGAACAACGCAAGACATAAAATTTACGACACACGCCGAGGTGACTGTGAGGCAATACAGCCATGACCCGTACAGTCAGGAGCTTATTGTCTTCACAGCGGCAGTTTCCTTGTATCAGTCATGAAGGAAAGACAATGATAGCTCACATGTTCATGACAATAGTTTTCTTCTTCTTCCTCCTCCCTGACAAACTGTCTTTCTTTACCAAGTGAAGAAAGGAAAACAACAAAGACCCAGATTTTTGTCAAAAGATGGAGAGATAACATCTTCAAAACATCTTGTTTTTTTTCCATGTGTGAGTAGATTTGTGGTCTTGTTCCAAACACAGCATATTTCAAATGTAGAGGCAGGGGGTCAGCAGTCATAAACGCCACCTGTGTCACTGCTGACGTACTTGCTGGTCAATGATCAAAACAAACAACAGCAGTCAGTGTTTTATGGAGAGGATATAGCAGCATCTGTGGGATGAGGTATACTCTGTACGGCCTTGTGTCCTCAAAGAGGCCTCTCTTCATGGTGAAAAGTGAGGAATTCCACCTCACAATGACTCTCACTGTTGAAAGTGATGATGTGTGCGCACCTGAGAGGAACGGATCAGGTTAACAGATGGGGACTGTTTTTTAACCAGAATTTCCTTTAGAGGTACTTTCCTGAATTTCACAGCATGGGTTTCTCAGTTACTCAAGCAGAAATTTTGAGAGGATCATGAGTCATAAGCTGACAAAATTATTCACACGAGTCGAAGCAGCGCCTTAGAACGACACACACTGTAATCCATGGATGTTAATGGGTTTATTCTGGCTGAATTCAAACATTTACCTCAGCTTTTACACCCCCTTATACAATAAAGCGATAACAAAAGGGTGAGAGCAAACACCTTTATCTTTCTCAGGAAGTGAGTGATTAAAAGGTGGCAGCCACTGTAAGACCTTCTGTGGAATTGCCCTGAAAATACTGACAAAGGGTTATTCTATATAATTCTGTTACTGAATAAAGGCGCTATAAGGGGTTTTTGACTAGTTCAAAAACAGACTGAAACTCATACTGATACTGAGCATTTGTTTACTCTCAAAATGTCACACTTGCTGGGCATCTGAAATTGTTACCCTGATTAGATGCCTTGGGGATAGTGTCATCTGACATATCACTCGTGGGCCCTTTACATCCCAGAAAATAAGGGGACACTTCCTCTGATAACAGTGAATCATGCTTTGTTCCAGTTACCTTGGAAGCCGGATGTCGGAGCTGGGAATGACGTTACACCCGAGTTGACAGCGTTCCAGTTAACAAGTCAGAAAACCAAGATGGACGCCTAAAGTTACCCGTTGTTAGCTACAATTGTCAGTTGTCGTTGGCCGTCGTCAGTTGTTGTTATCATCAATACCAGTTATAAACAACACACAACAAAGTATTTTACTCTACAAACACCATAGCACCGTGTTCACATTTAGATGTTGGGAAGCAAAACATATGCCACTTTAATTTTACAAAAACAAAACAGAAGTGCTAATAAATAATACATTACAAGAGCTTTTACTGTTACTCTTTACTGTTTTTGCACTGCGCTGCGATCTTGAATTATGACGTTGTCATCAAGTCGGGGTAGGGGAGGATCATCCAACTTTCAAAGTCGGAAATCTGACTTCAGAGGGGCACTCCAGATGAATTTCCCTCTCGGAGCTCGGATATCCTGACTTCTGGGTACAACTGGAACGCAGCATCAGTACCACTTAACTGATATAGCCCAGATTTAGGATTTAGTCTAAACTTGGTCTAAATTTAGACATCTAAAAAACTTTCATTTTTAGTCCTGTGTTAGCCTGATTTTAGACCAGTCATCTAGGCTAAATTCAGATGTCTATTGGACCTCTTTTAGACCAAAAAATGCTCAGTGGGAAGTAATAATCATTGCTGTTACAGGTTTATCTGAGTAAAACATGAACCAGAGTCCTTCAAAAAGGATCAGAAGGTATTTTTAGGTTAGAATAGGAAACTATGGCTGGAAACGCTCATTATACAAATCCACTGCACTTTTCTTGTTTTGCCCGAGGAGAAGGAGTGTAAAAAATAGAGCTGGTGCCTTGGAGATGGAAACAAGCGATCCTTTCAGAGAGACAGGTACGCATTTAGGATAATACGAAAATACAGATTTTGAAAAAGAAAGAGGATGTGTGGGATGTTGAAGTTCATTAAACTGTTCATTATGAGCAAAACTAATGGATTGCTTTTCTAAACATGATGCCCACATTACACATGATGCATCTCACTTACTTACATAAAGCTTCAGGCGTTAATGGAGTTTAACTTGAGACAACTTTTAACAGAGTAAGTGATATTTGATGACACACCTACAGGAAACTCTGAAAAGCCAGCACACAGGTTGTTTACAACATTTGCACCAGACAGAAACCAACATAATACCAGGATGCCATTTTGAGAGGTGTATTCTCCTGTATGAAACTTGACCTCCAGCTTTAAAGCTTATGTGCCCTCCACACCAGCACTATACACGTCCTACGCAGGCCATTGGATGAAGCAGAACAATGTGCATCTGAAGTTAAGTTACACTTTCTCACAAAGGCTCTCCACTGAGTCGCTTTATAGTCGTGCGCACCTCCTCGCCCCCGGAGGTAACATGAGGCGACGGCCTGTTTGCTTTCCTGCTGCAGTGAGAGTGGGTGAGACTGATAGTAGAGCAGTTTATTGGCACACTATTACCTGTAAAAACATTTTCCTTTCAGTGCACAACTTTCACACTAATGCTGCCAAGTGTTTGAATGGAGCTCATTGTCCTTGGAGAAGAAAGGACAGAAAAGGCTGTTACGAGTTGTATCATTTCTACACAAATACACACCCAGTACCCTTTGGACAGTCATTACATTAGTACAAATAGTTAATTTTCAACTAGATACATGAAACATGTGCCTTCAAAGATTGAGGGATTTATGATAACTCTGACAGGAAGGACAAAAGCTGCACAAACAGGCAGTATAACTATTACCATCCACAGAATGCATGCTCATACTGTGAAGTTGTGAGTCTTATAAATGCAAATTACATAACAACTGTTCTTCATGATAAATCAGCAACTAAACAGGAAGTTGACATTGAATATCTGGAGGAAATCTGGTGGTATTTTTAAGTAGCATGATAAATAATCCACTAGCCACCTTTAAATAAGAGCTAACATTATTAATCAAGCACATGCTAAAATTACCTAAGCTAATATTTTGTAACTTAGTCAGTCAGTCACCTCAAAGCGAACATTATATTGACTTTGACATTTAGCCTCTCCATTTGTATAATGTAAAACTACCAAATAGTAGTATCTGGTTTTAGAAAATGACCAGCTGAAAGTAATAACTTCCAGTATGTGGCTTAAAGGGATATTCTGGCATAAAATTGCTTTAGGGTCAAACACACTGTAACACCGAGTTAGGCACCCCCTCGAGAGATGAATGTTGCCGACTGCTTGCTTCTCTAGTTATACCAACTTTAGTAATGACCGCACGATAGCAATACACAGTGGTCTTAGGAGTCAAACACAAACCTCAACCAAAACGCCACTCTATAGCCACCAATAATGCTCAGAACAGCACCTAACTTCATCAACAGTACATATAGGGTCCCAGTCACAGCACGAGCCACCAAACATCTTTTTAACTTTGCCTAAATTCTTTAGCAAAGAGACTAAGCACATCTCCCCTACTCTCTTCCAGCAGCCGCGTGTTTGTCACGAGACCTTGGGCCAGTCCATTACAGACTACAGCGGGGTGACGCAGCTCAAGGAAGAACATTTATGATCATTTCTTTATCATTTCCTTGAAGTAATAATCACCATATTAATCATTTTGCACTGCAGACGCGGTAGTTCTTCTGCCTTAGCATCTCTGTCTGATTGCATTTCCATGAAGAAATGATCATAAATGTTCTTCCTTGAGCTGCGTCACCCCGCTGTAGACTGTAATGGTCCGGCCCAAGGTCTCATTAGGTCGGCAACATTCATCTCTCAACGGGGTGTCTAACTCGACATTAGGGTGTGTTTGACCCTAAATTAATTTTACGCCAGAATATCCCTTTAATGCTAATTATCGTTGGTTCTTTTAGATGACTCCGGGTCTTCACCTCAACAACATAAAAGTGATGCCAGAATACCTTGAAGGATGTCCTTTGGCATCTTTCACATTTGGAACCAAAGTGTGCACAGTAGAAATTGGCTCTCAACATCTATAGCCTCAACATTGATGCCACACGCATTCTATCAAATGAACACATGGATGACAGAGAAAACATCCCTCAGGTCAGCACAGTCCACAGATTAGCAGCCTCTTGAGTCCGTTTGGAGTCAACACTCACAGTCATGGAAGTTTTAATGACTCTGTTTGATGAAAACTAACTTAAAAGACAGAAACTATGTAAGACAAACATTTCCTCAATGTGCACGTTTGATTTAAGTGTTTGACCCATGTCCCATCTGTTAACATGGAGGTGGAACTTAAGATATTCTGCTGCCTTTCACTAGGCTACACTTTTGAGAGATTGTCACATCATCCATCATGTTATGTTTGTTGCTATTTTGACAAATAAGTAATAAAAAAATATAACTCATCCACCCCTGTTAGAGCCACAGTCACTTACATGGACTAGCCTGCCATTCCTACATTGTTGTTATAAATACGGGTACACATGCTTAGGTCGTAATTAAGTTATATTAAGCACATATAAGTATCATACAATATTTTTATCACTTTTGCACATTTCTCCTTTGCACATCTACACTTACAGATTCATTCATCTTAGTACATACTATTTAAGTACTCATATTCATTCATTATCTTGTATAGTCTTGTATAGTCTTGTATATTTTATCTATTTTTTGTATTTCTCTTGTATTGCTTGTATCGGCTACTACAACAACCGAATTTCCCCTCGGGGATTAATAAAGTTCTCTATCTATCTATCTATCTAGCTTGATAACCAGTTAGATATTTTCAGTCCATCATCATTTCAGCTACTTTTTATCATGGAAGAGGTAGATTGATAATGATTGTCAAATACTTGCATGTGCATACGGTAACTGCAGACATGCTTAGTTTAGCATCCTAACATTTCAATTTAAGGTGGTATTATTCATCTTTGGTCAAATTCTGAGAGCCCCACCCTTTGCAGTGCATGTCACACATCCTGTGAGCTGCAGCCAGTTGGATTTTGAGAGGATGTAGTCATAGCTAGACAATTCAAGACAATTCTGAAGAGGCGCCTCACTTTTTGATCATAGGCCATGGCACGCCTAAAGGCCAGGCAGAAGGACCTGAAAAACCAGCTGCCTGACATTATTACTCTCAGCAAAGCAAGTGAGCAAACGTGGGGCCTACTCCTCCTCCTCCTTCTCCTCACGATCCTCCTCCCCTTCACATAAACACCGTGATTCCCACACTAAACACACACACACACACAGAGGTATCACTGCTTGTTTTTAGTGTGGCGTTTGATCTCACCCTGTCAGCTTGGACCTGTGGGACTGTTACTTTAGTAGCCCCCAGGACTTAAGTTTCTCACTCGGAGCAGCTCACACAGTTTTCTACTCGCCTGTGTCTCCTTCCTTAGAGCTGCCGTGACTGTCAGCCCTCCACCTGTGGACTATGCCCCCCTCAGTCAGCTGAGGGAGGGAGCTCATCGCTGCTCAGGCTCCCATCTGGAAAAAGGCTTGGGCTGGAATCAAAGAGGGGACGGAAGGTAAGTAAGAAAGTAAACCTCTGCTTTTCACTCTTTCTTTTCACCCTCTTCACCCTTTCTCTATCATGACTTGTTGTTCAGTCAGCTCTTTTTGAGTATTAGTGTTTACATCTATGTGTGTGTGTATGAGTGTACAGTTTATGAGAACAGGGGTTCTCCCCATGCAGACAACATGGCGTGACAGCAGGTGAGTCTTGGGTGAAAGGGAATAGCTCACATTCCACACAGCTCTCAGATTTTGAGATATACTCTGTTATTGTTGAACCAGTGGAACGACACAGATTTACGGCAGAGTTTGGAAAGATTCAGTTTCAGTTCCCACAGCTATCAGACATCTACATTTGTTTGATATGTGACTGTTTGATGATACGGTTCTGTTTATCATTTCATCAGGCATTACTGGCCTGTAGGAAAATGAGACCACTGCTTTAACTCAAAGTGCACCAGTGTTTGTTTTCATAGTGTGTAGGGCTTGGTTAAAATGTATGTCTCAGTTTGGATATTTGTATACCATTTTTAATCAGTTTATTCAAACAGGTAGCATACAAAATCAAAAAGTTAAAAGCGTAATGCAATATAACATCCATTCATTTTGAAATATGCAAATACAGGGGTGTGTCCAGACTTTTATGACTGGGGTGGCCCATCTAGGGTAGTTAAGTTATTTTAGCACTTTTAGCACTTGCCTTATCCGAATATAAGGCGAGTGCTAAAATAACTTTTGTAGATGTAGCCATCTTGTTTCCGCCTCCGATTTTTGCTTTTTTCCGACAAGGTAAATGAAATGCTGCTAACTCAGGTGTGACGTCATTTTCAGCTCCTACATCTGACTTCTGAGGTAACTCAAACGCACCATAATAGCTACTTCAACTCCTATCATTAAAGGGTCATACCGTCATTTATTCCTGTGTTTTTTCTTTAACTTTAAAATGAAACATAGCAGAGTGGCAACATTTTTTTTTAAGGACTTGAAAACAAGATATTTGTTCAAAGTTACAACTTGTGGCCTAACTAAAGGAAATGTGCTGCACTTACACATAGAAAGAAGGCCACAAGTAACCCAATCATGTCAACAATAGTGTAAACACAGAAGTAGCACAACAGCTACATTTGATCTGTGGTTCTGTCTGCAGGTACTTAACAAAAATATTAAGCAGTTACAATTACAGGACATACATGCTAGAGTCAACAGGACAGCACAGTAAAAGCTCACAAATGCTCTTACAGAACTGGATGAAAATATTACATTAAAATCAACAGATCCATTCACAATGAGTCTGTCTACCTCAATACAAACATTTAAGTGGCTGTTCAAGAGGAAACCCAGCTCTACTGCATAACCTCATCCTGACTAACATAGTGGTAATGTTAGTCATGTTAATTGATGCTTAAGGCATTAGTCTCATTATTGATTTAATTAGTCATGGAAAATCAAGCCCTGAAAAAAAAACCCCAGCATAAGTCTTAAGATTAAACCTTTTTTAAAAGACGATAATTCCTGTGTGCTTTTAAAGTCTTTTAATACCAAAGAATCTTAGTAAAGAGTTAAAAATAGTTGCCAGTGGTTAACTCTTGACTGACAGGTTTTTTTTTAGCTCCTGTGTGGACCTTCACAAACCTGTAAAATCTGTTACACTAACTCACAAATTGATGTATTTAAAGGCTTAAAGAGACGTGTGACTACTTTGTGTCAGAGAGAAGAACAATTAACCAATTTATTGATAATCTAATTTGCACAAACAGATTCTGTACCAAAATGTTATGGCCAAAATAATCATGCATGGCTGTGTTTATTGACTGTGATTCAGGAAATCTACAATTATTTAAAGCTCCTGTAAGGAATAAATTTGGCATCCCTGTGTAGATAAAGCAGTCTTTACTTCTCTTGTCTGACCAGTGTCACAAAGTCTCCTGTTGATTATGTTAAATTGTAAAAACGGGGCGGTTTTTTCATCTGCTAAGCTGACACCGTTCCCCTCATACCAGTTTAAGGCATTAAAAAGTACAACACAAAAATCATCAGTCAAGTCGCTGATGGTCCTCTTTGCCTTGTTAATTACAAAAAGACATCAAAATGAATTTGAGTCTATTTCTCAAATGTCAAAAAACTCCTCACAGGAGCTTTAAGATTTCTATCTGTGTATTTCATGGACAGCGTATCTTGAACTACTTCATAATACATGAATTAAAGAACTTTTGTGAGGTGAAAACTTTATCATTTCTGGCTATCAGTGTTCACATTCTCACTGGGCTCAGAGGTAGTGATTTATACTATTTCCTATTTTCTATGCATCTTTTACGTCATTGTATAATGCATCAAAGACCTGCTAGAGCTGTCGTAAATCCCCCATGTGATGATAAAGGTCCTAGTTAAATCCCTCTTCAGAGTGACATCTGGACAAACAAATGATACATTTACATCTGAGGAGATAGATTGGTCCTCTCCGCTAACACAGGTACACCTGAACTTTACTTATCAGGTCTACCTGTGTTACATCGACCTGCTTCAAATCCTCTGCTCATGTTTGATGAAGGTCAAACTTTAAAAGTGTTTTTGTGCGCGAGGATGGCTCCTGTGAATACTCTTTATACGAGCTGGAACACGTGCAGAGGGGAGAAGGTCAAGGCAGCAGACAGCTCTGTCTGGTTCTTCTCTCATATAAAGAAGAGGAATCTAAATTGTTCCTGTTCTGCGTTGCAAGACCAGTAAATGATTTGTTTACTGAAGGGGGGGAAAGAGGATATTGAATCTGGTGTAAGCGAGGCTGCACATGGGAACAACAAACAAACTGTTATATTACAGCAAGTAAAAGAGTGGTTATCAAAACAAAGTACTCTGATAAGATGAGGTAATAAATTCATTAGTACATTTTAACCTTGCAGATTGTTGAATTGCAATATATTTAATCTGTTAATAAACAAGCAAGAAGGTCCTGGTTCAAATCTATATATTTTGTCGAGAGTCTCAGTTTTCAATACATTTAATATATGTTTGTGTTAGCTGCATAAAAAAAGTTTCAGAAACCTTCACGGTGGTCTTCTTCCAGCACAATGCCTCGCTAAACCTTCATGACGGTCAAATTTTCAAACAGTAGAGCTATTTTACAAAACAAACAGAAAGCTAACTTTGCGCTGAGTGATACAATTAGCCAAGAATTAGCCCAGGATATGTTTGAGGACATAATATTGGGGAAAGTCCAGCCTCCTTCGCCTCTAATTGGCTTGAAAACGCGGGCTGTCGGCTCTGTACATCAGACAGAATATTACACAACATTTTTTCAACCCTCAACCTAATCCTAACCCTAACCCGACAGACAATGACGTTTCACAGCCATTAGGAATAACCAATCGGAGCCCTGCACTTCTAGCCTATCAGAGGCGAAGGAGGGCAGGACCTTCCCCTACCATCCGACAAAAAAAAAATTTGCATCCTGGACTGAGGCTGGTGCTCCTCTATCAAGCTTTATGTGAAGCTAAGCTAAGCCTTCGATGGCTGTAATTTCATGTAAACATAAATCTCTTCGCTAAAATAGAATTTTAATTAATTTTTTTCCCCAGACACATCTAGATTTTAGTTTAGTTTCTAGTAAAAGCATCTTTTCAAATTTTAATTGAAATAGATAATTTAGTAGTTTTTGTGCTATTATGTAACACAAAAACTTATGCAACAATAGTTCATATTTATAGTTAGGACTTTTGGCAATGTTCCCTGCTCAGGGCATTTAAGGTGTGAACTACTCCGGATGCACAAAGTTCAGCGTTTTTGTACCTGGGGAAGTTTTGCTGAGATAGTGAACTGCCTGTTAGATTAGGGTAGTTGAAAGGAGTCCTGATCTTGAAATGACCTCCACCACAGATACACCTATCCTAGCCTGTATTCAGTCAGATGTATTACCTAGTTCTGTTGACACACCTCATTTTGTCAGGGTTAAATGATCCGCCCACCACTGATGAAACATTGGCATGTGCCAGAAGTGACGTAAGAATCTCTGGACAAACCACTCTTTAATAGGGATGGCGTATGAATCCTCCAAACCTCGTGACATGACCACATGTAGAAAATCATTAAAATTGTCGCCACATATCACAGTCAGAAGAAAATACAACAGAGAGTAAAAAGACCAATTAATAAATAAACATCACTTAATGCAAAACCACGCATACCCTTACAGTGAAATCTGTGGTTTTATATTGACTTTATGAATAAGATTTGACATATATAATCATATTAACACCATCTGCATGCTGTACCTAATACCATGTTACCAAAGCACTGGTGTTACCAAGCAAACAACTAGTTATCCACTTATCAGGGGCTGTCACTTCTGCAAACAGCAACATGATCTATGCCATTGTTAATCTCTGCGCTTAATGGTATGTCAACACACAGAGAGAGTAGGTTGTACAGTGTTTGCCGCTGAGCAGGAAGCTTGATGTGAAGCATGCAGTCCACATGAGTATTGAGAACAATCTCAAAAGTTTAAGGGAGCTAATCCAGTTTCTGTTGGATATGTCTAACTTATCTTGACCCTGTTACAGAAACATGTAGTGTAGTTTATCTTTGAATGTTGATAACAGTCAGGTCACACAGGTGATGGCTGTCACATGTGTTGGTGTAAATGGTTTCACAATGCTTTCAGGATACATACAACTAGGCAGTGAATAGTTCTAAGCTCTGTTTATTTCTAAATTTAGCGTGCATATAAATTGTCTTTATATTAGATTTCTACTGAAGACTCCCATGAGGTGCTTTTTGACATTTATGTGATCGACCAAATTTTTTATTGATGCCTTTTTAAGAGACGTAAAAGCAGGGACAAGATCGACAAATGTTAATACTGTAATTTATGATGCTTGAAACTGGTGCGTGAGTGTAGGTGTCAGCAGAGCAGCTGCAGAAACAGCCTCGTTTGTGCATTTTTCACACATATATATTTACAATAAGTGAGAAATTACACAGGTCAGCAGGCAGAGAAGACACGATCAGGAAAGACTGCTTTGTCCACATGCACATAATCTTTAATAAACTTTAATTCAATTTGAAAAAATTTTATTTGTTCCCGGAGGGTGATTGGAGGCACATAGAACAGCAAGTAAACAATAAAAATTCATTGAAAAGATAGATGATGTGAAGGACATCAAACTTTGAGACTTTTTTAATTGTTTTATTTTTCTTTCCAACAGTTTAATGAAAGTGAATTCAACTATCACATCAGTACCTCACAGATGGCAGGATCCAATGAGGCTACTGCGTGTGTTTAAAAGACAAAGAAAGGGTTAATTCACTTTTCATTTAACAGGCTGCATAACAGACTTATCTTGACCAAATAGCTGGCATGTATTATTAAAGTTGTTTTATTCATGCTGTCTATTTTTTAATATTTCAGTGGCAGAGATAAAGTAGCACTACTGTATCTCTATTATTTCAGGTTAGCGCTGCGGTTTCATCTCATGTTTTGATGTGATAGCAGCCCAATGTCTGTCAGCACTTCTTACTCACCATATCATCAGCTGTATCTCACGCAGACGGCGTTGCCAGAACAGAAAAAGCTTTGCATACTTTCTGAATTTGACTGCGATCAATCGAGCAGCAAAGAGAGTGACTGAAGGATGAGTGCGCGATGGTGTTTGTGTGTATGTGAGTGTGTGTGTCTGTGCACAAGTGCCTGCGCAGCTCTTCCTTGTACCAGGCTTTTCTGCTTTTTATAGCAGATGCAAATTTTGTCCACTTGAAGCACCTGTTATGTTCTGCTGCTTTGCTTCACTCCCAGCAGACGCACCAGTTACCACGTCACTCCAATCCCTGCCTTAATTATGGTGATGATTTATTATGTCTTTCTGTATCCACCATCTCCAACAATGAGAGAGATATTTCCAAGATAACACATCCACCACAGTGTCAACCCCATGATGAAAAATAATGATATGCTAACACACTGGATGACGTTAGGATTAGTCAGTGAAGTAATAACAGCACAAAAAACACTTAAATGTCACAAATGAGGAAATTGAACAGGCAGTGATCATTGTTTTGACGAATAAAGCTTTTTTTTTTTTATTGGCAAAATAACAGAGTGGAGCTGGAGTGACTCAGTGACACTCATCGGCTGTACGTTTTCTGTGACAAGCAGGTGTCTGACTCAGAAGACGATGCTTATCGGCCTAGAGCAGAAACAGATGCAGAGGTACAAACAGAGCTTTGTGAATGTTAATGTAGGTCCAATTATTTTATGTGAAGTTTTGAACCAGGACCTTCTTGAAAGTCCTACAATTTTTGACTCAGGTAAAGTGTCTTTCACAGGGACAGCCTTGACCTCCAGCAGTGCATGGATGGTTTCCTGATCAGTATCAAGGATCCTCCTCCTCAGAAGGAAAGAAAGAAAGAAAGACAACCTCTGCTTCACACTAAAGTGACACAGTGGATTAGATTGAGATTATATTGAACTATAATGAAGCTGCCCTGATGCAGAACTATATCTGAGAATATGTCTCCTTGTTTCTGCATATTTAAATGCATCATGACTGAAAGCACACAGTTTGAAAGTACATCATGACACACGCAAACTTCACTAAACGGGGAACATTGTAAGGGAGTGAAGTGGCAGAAAGATATGAAAAGAATTGACTTATTGTTAAATACCTTAACTCTTATTAAAAGAGCAAAACGTATCAGATCGTACTTTATATTTTATTCACAACGCATAATGTAGGATTTGGTGCATGGAATGGAGAGGTTTTTTGCTTTAATATTTATTTTTATTTGGGTTGATTGAAGTTATTGTCATGAGTAAGTTACTTATGGTTGTAATGCTCTACTTGGTCTCTTTTCTGAGAAACCAGCTGATTCAACTCCATGTAATTTAGTTCATTTTAAGAATCACTGATCCAAAGTAGGTGTAAGGTGGCGCTCTTTCCTGCAAAATTTCTGCCTTTCTCTTTGCCATCAGAAAGATGTTTTTGCATTACGCTTGGACACAAACGCAGTCTACCCGCCTTAAGCGCACTGATCAGCTCATCAGGTCTATGATGTGCAATCCAACATGACTTTCGCCCCTGTGCAGACAGAAGAAGACAGGAAAATGCTAATAAATGTTGCATTATTGCTCTGATGTTACAATCAGGGTTGGATTTTCCTAAAAGTTGTCATGTGGTAGGGTTGACCCTGTCTGCTGTGGTCAGCAGCCTAGTGTCCAAAGCAGTTCTCCAAAAACTTCATACAACCTTACAACAAAAATGGAAACCTTAATTCATCAGGCCGTCAAAAATCACAAGTGTTTGTCTAAAGCTTTGGCGGACATGGCAGTGATGTATGAACCTGCAGTGTGATCTCAAAGCCAGCTGACAAAGAGCAAACACAAAGTTGTTCAGTCACACCTTTTCATCCTGGAACAGTTTTTGAACGCTCTGTGATCTGTGGTATCGTCTTCAGTACATGCTATGCTTTTATTTCCCCTTTAAAGAACTGTACAGTATGAGTTGTTGTTAAAAATAGATAGGTAATTTGGCAACAGCATCAGTCCTGTTGTAGTAAAGTTTTCTTTTAATAGCGCGTCAAACATGATGTTCTGGTGAGGATCCTCATTCCTGTGGTTTCTATTGATGCCGCTCCTTCTGTCTCGGCTGTGGTTGAGGGATCATTTAGTGTTCAAATCATTAACTTCCTTTACTGAAAGACGATGCTTTGACATTTTTATTGATTGACTAAATGTTTTTTTTTTCCATTTGTTTGTTTGTGTAGGTTGTTGCTGAAAATGCAAGACTCAACTGTCTCACCTGTGACCAACACGACACCTCTGAACACAACTGCCGTCACCAAGTCCAGAGAACAAATACTCATCCAGAGTAAGAATATCTGCCATGTATATCATGTGTGTTATTTGCCATGATCACCATCACATCTCAGAGCGTCCCTCAGAGTCAAAACCATCACCACGATAAGCCAAGCCTCATAAATAAGAACCCATTGCGTCATTCAGTCTAATCTGAATGGTTCGTACAGGAGTGGCACTCATGCATTTATAAGCAACTATTTGCCATGTTCTGTTTGCCTGTGAGTGATGCCGTTGCCAAGCAACCTCACATTGCTTCTGACTGGAGGATACACAAAATAAGTTTAACAGCATGGATCAAAGGGAATGTGTGAATGTAACATGCAAATTTAAGAGCAGACACAAACTGAAGAGAAGCCTTTCAGATAGTCAATCCCTCCCTCTCTTTCTCTCTGTCTGTCTGTTGGTCAGGTTCTGGGGCGATGATCGCTGTCATCGTCATCGGCATCATAATCATTCTCGCCATTCTACTAATCATCCTGAAGACGTACAACAGGTAGGCCTGCATTCCTGTTTGGCAGGACAATTCCTGCAGTGTAAATGTCACAAACAAAACAAAAATGCTATTCTGATCCACACCAAGAAGGATGAAACAACAGCTGCTGCAGCTTCTAACCTTATTTCCAGGCTCAGACTGTGATTTATATAAAAAAAACATCTGTGCATTTTAAAGGTTTTTTTTTCAGTACATAACCTAGTTAGCTTTTGAGCAACATCAGATCTTTTTATAATATTTCAATGCCACAGGTCACTGACAGTCAGACTGAAATAAAATAAGACCATAGGTGAAAACATCAGTAAACTGTAAGAATGAATATGAACTTCTTCTCTTTCCGTTGTTTACAATCTGAAAAATGCTGCATCTTCTTGTTATTTTAGCCAGTTTTCAGTTCCTGCATTTAATAGAATTAAAGCTCCAGTGAGTAACTTCCAGTAAAATTTGGCGCTCCTCTGTGGCCAATGCAGTCTTGCTTATCTTGTCCTGTAAAAGCTTAAATAGTAACTTTTGCCTAAAAAACTCACTTTGGTGACTTTTGACAGTCAAATGTATGATTTAATGTGATCATTTAATGTGGACATCAAAAACAAACAAACAAACAAACAAAAACACAGGGCCTTTGTACCATTTTAGGCATTAAGAATTATTCTGTACAAATTGTTGTTCTGCCCCTGATGGTCTTTTTGACTTTTGGATATTTGAAAGACATCAAAATTTCAGTCTATTTCATAAACGTCAAAAAACTTCTCATAGAAGCTTTAATTGAGAACTTTTATTTGGAAGTGAGGAAGTTTGACATGTTGTATACAATAAAATAAAAATGTTGTGTCTATAAATATTAGACCTAAAGAAAAACATATTTTTGCAGTGGTCTCTTAGTTTGGGACTTAATACTTGAACAGTGGCTCTTTTGTCCATGTTTTAAATCTAAATATCCCATCATAGTACTGTTTCTTTAATTTGTAAGTTTATTCTTACTGGTATTTTTGAAGCAGTTGGAGAAACATTAACTGTACCATATATCACCTGTTAGACACAACTACTCTTTTTCTCATTTCATGGTTTATTTGTTTCCAGGAGGACACATGTCTCCAGAGTCCTAGGAGTCAGCAGCGGCTCCAAACCTCGTCAAAAGTTGTCCCAATCCACCATGCAGAGCAGCATGCCGCTGAGCCCCATAGGAGTGAACTCAGTGTCGGGCAGCATCCCCAATTTAACCCCTGCCGCAGAGAACGGCCTCCAGCTGCCCAGAGCAGAGCTGAGCAGCCTGGAGGAAAACCATATAGAGCAGTTCAGCACCAACAGTGGCTCCACTGCAGTCACTATACATGACGTTCCATCTTTAGAAAACACATAGCAGAGAGACTGAGGGTTTGGTCTCACAACAGGCACTGACTGATGTGTTGTCTTCATACTGTGTGCTGACTGAATCCTGTGGAAACTCAAGCATCAGTGTCGTCACCGTCAATCTCCACCAGCTGAGCCACCGCCAGTGACGACACGGATGACAAGACGTCCTTTTGTTTTACAAAAATGAACACCATGAACAAAATGGTACATTGACAAACCCAACAGATTACATGAAGGATGATGCATGACAAAAAAAAAGGAGACTTTGTTGTGAAGAGTGTGAAGAGTTGCTCCTCTGCTACAGTCAGTGTTCACATTTTGGATGCCATAAGTTTCTTACTGTTTGTACTTTTGTTTTTCGCAGATGTTCCATCACTTCTAAAACAATGAAGGCAATGTAAAGACTGTAATGGCTTGACAATGTTTCTCTTAAATGTGTACATTTCTTGGGGACCACAGAGGCCCTTAAATAATGTGGAGTAATAATGTCAGACAGTATGAAAGAGATAAGTTTGAGAAATATTCCTCTTTAAATGTGGCTTACCTTTAAATACATATTTTTTCTATGTCTTCTAAACTAAGATTCAAGCAGATTAGTTTCTGTCTCATTAAATATCAGCGTATTTTTCCTCGTGAAGTGAAGAGATTACAGAGGTATTATGTGAGACATTGTGGTGTCAGCCCAACGCCCGGATGTAAGTCCCTTTTGAAGGATTTTGCACTTTATTTTTGATGATCCTTGTATTTGAATTGTTTGCTATTCTTTTGCTGAGAATAAAACTTCATATTTGTATTTGTGGCTGACTCACTTAAAAAAAGATGATGGGGTCATTTTTCTGAGAACATCTGACACTGAAGTGGGGAGAAGTTTGCAGTTGTTTGAGAACTGAAAGGCTTACAGGATAAAAAGAAAATAAAGAGAAAAGAAAAGGGTGATGATGATGTTGCATAATCTTTTATTCTTCAACAGGGAGCTGTTTGGATACTCAAGTTATTGCGCTCTCTGCTGGTGAATGTGTAGTACAGCGGCATTTTAAAATCAGAAAGATGCATTCAAGATCTCGAGAAATGTTGCAAAATATTTTAGTTGGTAAATGAGCACGTCGCCTTTAATTTGTTATGCCGTAACTATATGTTGTAGTACACTTTAAAAACTTGCCATAAGAAATAAATAACACTCTGCTGTTCAGGTAATGTTTATAAATTACAGCTAAACCATATGCATATCTTGAATGCGACTTCATCTTGACAGCTGAGATAACGATGGTGACCATAGGTAAGCGTCCAACAAGCCTATTTATCGTTTTCAGTCGTATCCGTCGATGTGAAAAGCTTTTCTCTTTGCTCTTGCATCAAATTAAACTTGAGTCTCTTTCGTCTTGAGCATGAATAACGCAGAAGTCACTCAAAAATAACTTACATTTTAGCGCTAATGCTAAGGAAGTAAGCTCACCCTACATGACAATCGGTACTTGTACCTCAGGTTCTGAAAGTGCTTTCTGGCTGTTACAACAGTTGTATCGGGTACTGGTTTGTTAACAGTGGCTGAATTCATCCTATAACAATATTAGTTGCATATGAAATGTCATGTATTGGCTGTATGTGATTTTGATGTGTTCCAGTGGAGCTGCTCAGTCTCATGCTGGTCTCAGCTCTGTGGGGCTGCACAAACCCACTCCTGAAGAGAGGCACAGAGGGGATAGAAAAGGTGACCAAGACCAGCAGAGTCTCACAGCTTCTGGCTGAGATCAAGTTTCTATTCCTAAACCTCAAGGTAAGTTCTGCTCTTTTTTGAGGTGGTTTTCATTCAACCATTATTTCTACAAACTTTTGCTCAAAATGCACCTGCTTCCTTTTGCCATTTCACAGTACCTGGTCCCATTTCTTCTCAACCAAAGTGGCTCATTGGTCTACTATTATACACTCTCGACTACGGGTAAGACACACTCAAAAGGAAGGTACAGGTTGTAATTCAAGTCAAAAGACCTTTTCAAAGCTGATATTTGAATCCATCACAGCACAATCAGCACAGGTGTGGCAGATAGCATAAATGATTAAATCAAAAGTGCCTCCACGCATGGTTCTTCAGGCTCTGAAGAGTCCCACCAAAACTGTGAAACAGCAAACACTTAGGCAGGGATTTTTCCTGCTCTGAAAACAAACTGCAGAGCTGTTTGACCTGCTTGCTTACAGAAGTGGCGCACATTTGTTTTGTGTGAAGCAATGCACCCCAAGAATTTAAAGTGTTTCTGTAATAAAAATGTTGATATGTGAGAAGGAAATCTTTTAAAGTCAACAAATTTAGAAATTATTCTGCACAGCTTTCTTAAATATGTAACTATTTACTAAACATGTACTGATAAAACGTCTGGCCGATCGATCGGCGCTGATTTTCTTAAATTTTGGGGGACCGGTGATCGGCTGATCCTTACATATGAAACCGATTTTATCCACCGACCTTATCTACCTCAGCAAAGGTCTGAAAGTCAGCCGTTGTAGCTTTTTGCTTTGCCAGAATTACAGGCCCGCCCACCAGGTCATGTGTGCATGCACGTGTACGTCAGTGCCAGTGGCACACACAACAGTCAGCCGGAGCATGATCAACCAAGCATGTTGAACCATAGACTGTATATACTATGGACAACTTGGTTCTGTCTCCCACCTGTATATGGATTTGAAGCCAAAAAGCTCTCTGTATTTCCGGGATTTTTCTTCATTTCCTGAAACCAGCGCTGCGCAGTAGCGTTGTGCGCATTCAGCGAGAGAGTCGCTGTGATGACGCTCGCCTCACACAGCGTATCCCCCAGGTGAGCTACGCAATCCCTGAACACCAATAGGCTGTATCAGGTGTCAATTTAGGACAGTTTATTGGTGGTTTAAGTTGTGTTGTTAGTTTGTCCTGTAGATTATTATTTTACCTACTTCCTCAAACCATGTGATTTCCTTTATTTGTAAAAGCAAAATACTGCTGTGCACTTCATTTTGGTAAGAGGCTCAAAACAGGCCTGCAGTGTGACCTGCTGCACAAGTATTGTAATTTTTAAAATGTGGAAAATAAAAAATTAAAGGAACTGATATAATTTAGTCGTTTGGACAGCAATATTCTGAATTTTTCATTTATATTTGAGAGAGCTACCTCATGTGCAGTTAAAACAAACACAAAATGTTTGTATTGTTTCACAAGTATTGTTCAATGTTTTTCATTAAAATAAGATTGGAGCATTGAAAGTGTTTGTTGTCAATTATAAAAATAAAAAAAAATCAGTATCGGCCAAAATCGTTACCAGCAGGTCAAGCTTTTCAAAGATGATCAGCCAGAAAATTTTGTTTTATTTTTAAGAACCATTATTTCTTATTAGTATTGCAATTAACACTTCTTGCCAATTAGCACTGTTACACACCCTATTTTTTAATGCTCTCTTTTTTTCAGAGTTATCGTTTGCTGTTCCTGTGGCTAACTCTCTCACCTTCCTCTGCACTCTGCTTACTGGCAAGTTACTAGGAGAAGAGTTTGGTGGCAAACGTAAGTGACTCATTGACTCTTATTCCTGCTTCTTTTTCAGTACCAGAGCAGTTCACAGTGTGCAGTTTCCCACAGAATATATTTAGGATGCTAAGATGCTGTAGGATCAAACATTAGGCTACTGGAATAAGATGAAGGATTCAGTTAAAAGCAAATAAAAGAAGCAGGACAATTTTGAACATTGCAGACCTGCCAAGATATCATGAAGCAGTTTACCTCCCCCTGTGCTTTTCTCTACTAAAAACACTGTACTGGTTGTGTTCTATCTTACAAGATGTGCTTTTTTTGTCTTTCGTATCCTCCTTCACATGTCTCACTCTCTGCAGAGGCAGTTGCAGGAATGTTTCTCACCATGGCTGGCATCACTCTGTGTGTCATAAGCTCCATTGATGACACAGAGAAGCAGAAAACCACCCAGGCTGCAAGCTAACAGAGACTAGGATTTAAGTGAAATTCTCCAGTTTCTTAAAGTTTTTCCAAAAGCCTTGCTGGAACAGGAAAAAGAGAGTGCAATTTAGATTCAGACAGAGACCCCTTGGAGCTATGGTTCGAGTGGGAGAGCTGTGCCTAAATGAACCCAGTGTGCACTTTAACAGACCTGTCCAGAATCCCTTTCAGCTCCTTGAAGAAGGGAAAGTGGGTTCATGCAGGGTTCACAACAAGGCCAGACAAGATTTACGGTGCTTGAATAGAAGTTGCTGGTTGTTAACTTTTACCTTTAAAAGGCCCTGTTGGCTCAGCATGTGACTGGAATCTGCATAAATGCTATAGAGACAGCAAACAAACGGTCTGAAAAAGGCACTATTAGCTGTGACTCCTTGGTTTAACTGCAGCATTTCACTGTGGCCGTATTTTGTGTGTTAAGGGAAGAGTGTGACAAATTACTGTATAGTTTGGACATAAAGGTTTTTTGTGTTTTTTATGTGTCCGTTTTTCTTCCCTTTCTTTTCTGCTTCCTTGTATACTATATCAGACTTGTCCTTATAATACTTGTGTTTTTATTATTTATATATTTACAAAGATTAAAAATGACTTGCCTTGATTTTGTGGACACTGTAAAATGTCTAAACAGATTGCACAGATTTTAGAAATAACACATCATAGTCAGAGTAATTTAGCTTTTTTGCCACTCAAAACACTGTACAGACAATTTTGTTGTTCCAGGTTCTAGTGGTTGAATACAGTTTATTGGCAAAGAAAAATCCTTCTGTCTTGATTTTAGACTTTCATTTCTACAAATAAAACACATCTTAGCTTCAGACATCCCAAATTATAGGTCCTTATGTACATATCTTACAGTATACATGGAATAAATCATCTCATTCAACATCTGCTTTATAATAACTTCCCTGTTAAAGCTCCTATAAGGAACTTTATTTTTATTAATTTTGGCGCCCCCTGTGGACAAAGCAGTCTTTTCTTATCTAGTCTTCTGAGAACAATCTCATCACTCTGACTTTTGACAGTCAAACGTATCACTTATGATGAATAATGTGGAGAATGTATAATTAGGGCTGACACCTACCCTCTCACACTGGTTGCATGTATTAAAAATCACAATATAGAAATTATTAATGTTGTTGCTGATGGTTCTGTTTTTTGTGTGTCATTAAAAACCATCAATATGCAAAACATCCTTGCCAGAGGACGGTCAGAGAATCTCACTTCATTGCCCAACTATGATGATGGTATTGTTATGCCGTAACTGATGGGTTATCCTTTGGACCCTCCTGTTGCAGAAAAATAATCAGAAATTAATAAAAGAAATTAAAATAAAGGGTGTTTTGCATCTGCTTTGGTTATTTTATTGGATTTTTCCCTGGGAGGTAGATGATGAAGGCCGCAGGTCAGGAGACATCTGCTTCAGTTCAGGCTCCTTTAGGGACAAGAACTATAGATTACTCACTTTTAGTTTGTTCAGGACTGCCGAATTTAAGCGTTTTTCTTCTTCTTCTGTATAGGTGTGTTTACTGTACCTCCACTGTTTCAGCAGACTCTTCAGTCCTTGTTGAATTTTCTGTCTGTTTCACACCATCTTGCCCAGATGACGGTGCCTTTTGTAGGACAAAAATATCACACTGAGCCCGTTTGTAAATAAAGGGATAACTGAACCTTTTCATGAGGACAAGTGTATTGTGATTATGTAAATGTAACCACCCACCCGCCTAAACGGTACCTGCTCTCCATTCTGCCTGCGTGGGTGTTCCCCCTCATTGTGCCGCTCACTTTTTTGTGATTTGTGAGTCTCTTGACAAAACATGTTTTGTGTTGCGTAAATGCAGGATATAGTATATGGATTTGTGATAGAAATAGATTGGAAAATGTGCCCATGTGTGTATACTTAAACAGCTAAAGGGTCTGCAATGTACAAAAACAAATGTCTTATTCGGACTATTGTGGTCCCAAAGATCCGTCTCTAGGAATAAATCATTTTTATAAGTTCAGTGTTTGATCTGAGCATGAACATTTATACCTGAAAGCCTAAACGGGAAGGACTGATTCACCTGGGCCATGACAAACAATTGCTACCTACCTGGTTTGTGTTTTGGAAAGGAACATCTTGGTTGTTTATCTCCTCATCCTCCACTATTTCTGCAACTCGCTTCAAAAGGAAAATGAGAGGCAGTTTTATCTCTGCTCTGGACATGTGTTTTCATGCTGTTACTTTACCACCAACATTTCAGTAGCACTTACCTGGTCAACAGGAAGCTCTATAGCTGTATTTTCATCCTCATGGACCTCCTCAGCCCCTCGTACCTCTTCTCTTTTCTTCCTTCCTGCTCTCTGAAGCAAAGTGGCCCGAACTGTAACTGTGAATCAAGCAGCTGATTTTGTTTTGATGTTTAACACAAAATAAAAATAATGGTGACTAGGAGGAGGGAAAAAAAGATTGATATGATACATGGGGACACTCACAGGATCCATTCCTGAGTGGTGGTCTTGGTGGTCCTCTGTTATAGCGGATCTTCACGGGCCTAGCGAAGAACATGGAGGTCTCATCTGCTGCGTCTCTCCTGTTCCTTTGCCGCTGTGTGGCGACTGGAGCTGCTGCTTCATCTCCTGTTGACTTCACTCTGCGGCCGTCCAACTGAAATTCATGGAACATGATTGAATACAGAGGTTTCGATGTGGTTTCATGTACTGAAAGAGTCGAATCTAACCCTTTAATGCCTTTTGTATCATGTTTGATACATACTTCCATGTACTTCTATCAAATCAATATAATCAACAAATTACAAAAAAAACCCCACCTGAATACAGTCAAATAAATGATAAAAATGTCCTCTCGTAGTTTTTCAGTTTCCAAAAACATCTAATGTATCAAACGAGATAAATAAATATATTTGTTAAATCTAAAGACATTTTGATTTTTTTGGTTTTCAGTAGTAAGTGAAATAAACATTTCAGCTCCAAAAAAAAATTTGAATTTTCTGGCCATAATTTGTGGTGTCAGGCGTTAAAGGGCTAAAGAGGTTTTCTCAGTGGTATACTGAATGCGTTAGGCTGTAAACATTAATCCAGTTAACAGTCCTGGTATAGCTCCTGTAGTGTAAATAAAAGATTGGGTTTCTCACCTCAGGGGAGTCAAGGAGAGCCGAGTCACTGTACTGGTCCTCTGGACCGCTCCCCGCTTTTCTGTTCTATGAGACGCAAACAAATCACAAACATGGCACATGAATCATGTGGTGTGATTCAATAAAATACAAAATGATCCAATTTGTTCAAGATGCCAAACCACTCATGATAAGATGGATTCAGTGAATTATGATTTAATCATGGAGCAAATCTACATAAACTGATGACTTAATAGTTGTACACAAGAGTTTAAAAATTACCTCATTTCTTCTTAACAGCCGTCTCTTTCCTGGGTGATATCTACACATAAAAAAGTACAGAGTATTTTTTTCCTGGTATTGCTTCATTATTATTTATAATTCTTTTTTTTTACTAAAGAACATCTTAGTCACTACAGCTGCACAAAAGGAGACTTTTTCACACACCAACAAAAGAGGACCTTGCAAAACAATACCTCTCAGTCGCTTTTGAAACCAACAGCTCCACATATGGAAGTTTCTTGAACTTTTCAGTTCCCACGGCAACATAGCAGTGGCCAGTCTCCAGCTCTGCAGCTGAGGCCACAGTCACTCCTTCAAGAGTGCACAACCTGAGAGAGCAGAAGGGTGAAAGGGGGCATTTACTGGGTCTCACTCTCTTTCTATTTGTATTCCTCAAAGCGTATGTGTGCAGCTGTGTCACTGACCTACGAACAGCTCCAGTTCGTAAGCTGACCTTCTCTGTGACCAGACTGAGTATCTGCTCGAGGTCCTGCCGCATAGTCCGGGGGATGATGAATCGGAAGGGTGGACACAAGAGATCCCCATTACGGAATACACTGATCAGAAAGTAAACATCCACATTTTTAATTTTTAGCTTTGAAAAATAAGAATCAAAGCTTGAAAGATAATAATTATCGACATAATCTATATGCACTGATGATTAATGTTTGTGTTCTGAAAGAGTGTGTCCGACTCACTGTAAGATGCAAGGGACAGGTAAAAATTTCCTCCATTTAGCAGAAACATTTGGTCTCTGCAGAGCTTTTCCCTGTAGAAAGATTTAGAAAATAACCATAAAAGTGCTGTGAAACACTTTCAGTTTTGCAGCAATACTGACAACTCCTATACATAAATTAGAAAATACATCCATCACTGCAAAATCACTTATGTCCAATGCCTAATGACTGATCAACCATTCTGCTCGTGTCAGCTCAAGTGCCACAGCTATGGAAACTGATGTTACTCTGAGACATCTTTGGTGGCACATTCACACACCCCTATCTCAAAGCCTTCACCTATGCTGTCTTGTATCAATAAAATCTGGAGCCGATATCTGATCCCAAAATGACTAAATCTAAAAGCAGACATTAAAAATCATCCCTTATTGTTTCACTTTTAATCATCAGACGTTGGATGTATTTACAGCAATCTCTCGGGGGTTGAATATGGGTGTCAGGCCTGCCCAGACATGCACCAAACTCTGATAACGCTGCACACTGGCAGAGGCTTATGTTTCACTTCTGGGATCAAACACAAGCACATATGGGCACACTTCCTGCGTCGCTCCACAGCAACCACAACACAAAGCATGTAAGACTTAAAAACCAAGGACCGCACTTTCCAAGTGGCAGACACCCAAGGCACATACGATTACTCTCCACTCATGTTTCAGAACTAACACTGAAGACTCAGGACTTAAGAGCACACTGTGTCTGAAAACCAAGCAGTGCTTTCCTGCCAGGTGGTCAGAATACAAAGTGTACACTTGTCAACATGAGTGGCTGTGTGTGTGTGTAACTGCTGTAACTACTGAAATAAATGTGTGGCAGTTAGGAGAACATTTCATCATCACCACAACCTGTTTTATTTTTATGTAAAGACGAAGATTTAACACCAACAACCTCAGATGTGTTCACAAACATAGAAACAGAGGGAATCTCGGACTCAATCCAGCTTTAAATACTCAATCTTATGTCTCATGAAGACTCCTGAAATAGCACAAAGCACAGCTAGGGTGACTGCTGGATGGACAGCACAGTGGCGTGTGATCATCCCATTATTTGAAGTATTTAACATCACAGTTAGTGGCATCAGCAGGATGGCAAGCACAAAAATAGACTCTGCACACATGCCACAATGTACATCTGAATGAAATATGCTTATAATGCAATATGTTACTACATTAATGGGCTTTTCTCTGTAACGGCATATTTGACTTGGCATGGATCTACTTGATTTTAGTTCAGCCTGCATGGTGGTGCATTCTTTCCAGTTAGACTTGGATTAATGAATGATGGACTCTGCTGTTGGTCTAAAAAAACAAGCTGTTGACTCTAGGGCCTACCTGGATATCCTCTCGAGGCACTGGCTTTTTCACTCCTGTGTTCAGGTAACTAAACACAAAAATCACATATTTCATTAAAAAATGGGTAACACTTTACAATAACCAAAATTTATAAATGGTAAATAGATAGCAATGAAACTATGATTAATTATTTTCATTAATTATTAATGGACTATTTATTAAAGGTTTATATAGGGTTTAAATATTGGTTGTAAAATGTCTAGATTACAATGTGTGTCAGTAGCACCTTGTAAATGGTTAATATTTAGTTTTTAAACAATCTATAAACATTATTGAGATTGTTATTAAGTTGTAACTGAAGCGGGTCCCGGCTAGGCCGCTAGCCGATAGATAATCCTGGACAGGAGTGCTGGAAACAAGGAAGAGTAAAGTGAAACAGGACCAGGACTGCTCATTCTCCAAGTCCAACGGATTTTGTTCATTCTCACATTTTTAACCTTTTCACTGCAACAATAAATTAAATCTGTTATTCTGTCTGCATTAAAGCACTGGTATAAACCATATTTGGATAACATTCTCATGAAATGTATATTTTTCTCAGTCTTCAAGAAATAAACTCAATAACATGAACAATTTCCTTTGCCCCCCCCCCCCCCCCCCCAGCAATAAACCAAAAGTGACTTCAGAGGAGATAAAACAATAATAATAACTCTACAAAAACACTTTTGTGAGTATCACATAACTGATGTTTGTAATACTTTGTGAATAATTAATAGGTGGTTTGTAAACCACCAATAAACATTACTTAGATGGTTCTCGTAAAGTTAGGGTTAGGGTCAGGTTTTTAAAACTGTCAAATTTACAATTTATTAATGGTCTATATGCTAATTATATTACCATTTATAAATGTTCTATTTACCATTTATAAGTTATGGTTATTGTAAAGTGTTACCGAAAATGCTAGTAGAAGTACTATACATGAACATAATCCCTAGTTTTACAGGTTTTTGTACTCACTCTAGTTTCTTAAACCTCTCAAAGCCAGCTGCGACATACTGGGCTCCAGTCTGCAGGTCCTGCAGGTCTGTGACCCTGTGGCCCTGTCTGGGGGTGTACAGAGTCCTGATGGCAAGCGGGGCACCAATGCTCTGAGTCACTTCATTCAGAAAGGCCTCCATAGTGGCCACCTGTCGCTGGTTCACCACAAACCTACGCCCATTGTAGAAAGGGTCTCCATTCCTGTAGACCACCACGCTCTTCACTGGAGGCAGGACGGTTGTAGCTGCTGTGCTGACAGCCATCTCTGAGCCAGCTTTTACTGTCAGATTCCACACACATACAAACACAAACACACTTTCAGACCCTGGAGGGTGTCTCCTATGATCCTATTCACATTACACATAATCTGGGTCACACTTCACACAAGTTCTATGATTTTTGGACTCACTCACAGCCGGTTCCCGCTGGAAGACGATGTGAAGAAAATAAATCGTAGGTGAAAATCGATCCCGTCTGTTGTTGTGGTCCGTCTGAACTCCCACTCAACACGTTCTGCTCTCTCTATCGCCCTCAAACACATACACACTTATTATACGAAGACACTCCACTCCACTGACGGCGGTGAGCATTTCCTGGTTGCCATGGCAGCGTGACAGCAATGACGGGCTTTGTGGGCCAAACCATCGGCAGCAACCAAAACAAAAGAGACAGGGACAGCGGACAGGAGAATGGATGTAAGCTGAATCAGTAAGATAAATCCGATTGTCAGTAATTTTTTTAAGACTTAATTGTAACATCTGCCCATAGAGTTACAAAACAAAGATCAGGATGTACCATGACTAAAATTGCCCATTAATGACATTTCAACAATTACAAAGAATATCAGGAGCAGCCTGTGCCTTCAAACTCATCCTACTATCCCATGTGTACTGATTTTTAACACAAGAATACAACAGTAACTAAATAATAAACATTTATCTTATATTTGATGGTATGAGCTCAAAAACTGTGATCCATATGGGATATTTAAGCTTCATAGACATACAACCCAAACTTGTTTAAAGCAAAGGACCTTCCCCTAAATCCTTATGAATAAGTCTTCCACCCGAATGTGGCAAGGGGGTGCTATTTTATTCAAAAATAGAGAATATTGTCTCCAACCAGCAACGCCACCTGGGGACTTGCACCCCAGGAAACTGTACTTTTAAACTAAAACCATAACAGGAAGCTAAAATAAGAATAAGGCAACACAGGTAAGTTCTGAAGAGGCAGAGACAGAGTTCAAAATATTTCAAAATGTTTATTAGATCAAAAAATGAAGTTCAACTTAAATATAACTGAGAAATTTAACCTAGGAGGGAAAGAAAGGGATGAAGTTAAAACAACATAACAAAACACAGATAAGGGGCAAGAAAGTTAATTTTATTTCTATAATAAAATTTAAAACAAGGCCTTCTACAAAAGTTAAAAAGTACAATAACCCCAACTTAAACTAAATCAAAGAAACCCAAACTAAGTTAACTTAAGATAAGCTGAGGCCACCAGAAGGGAGGCAGACTACAGAGGGAAAGTGCAGGGGGGTGCTCCCTTATACTCACCAAGTGAAGCACAGCACACCCACTGCAAACCTTCAACAAAAGAAACAAAATCGGTGTAGTCTTGTGACCCGGTGTCAAACTCATGCAAAGGTGGAGGGCCCTCACCCGGGGTGCCTAGCCTCCCAAACTAGTGGGCTCAACCTCTGAAATAAAATAAAAGGATTAACCAAAGAAACAAACAAACAAACCAGCGAACCCAGTTGGTAAAACTAGAGGGAACTAAGGAGAAAAGCAACTAAGGGTAACTAAGAACAGAATGCAAACTAATGGGGGAGTAACTGTGTAAAACAACCAAACTTAGAAGTAGAAACAAACCAAGTAAGGGGGGAAACCAATCAAAAGGGCAGAAACAATCAAAGTAAACAGGCAAAAATAACTACAATTAATGGGGGCAACAAAACAGCAGCAGGTCTACCACCTACAAACAAAAAGGACATGCTGTTAAAAGCAATCATAAAACTCTAAAGATTAAAAAGTTACCAGCCACCCTACTCACCAGCTCTCTGAGCAGATCAGAGGGCCGACTGCAGGTGAGCTGCTGCCTTTTGTTCAGCTGACCTGATTAGGGGAAGAGAGGGGTTAGAGGAGGAGGGAGAGCTGCATTCAATAGCAGCAAGGTGCTGCCTGCCACACAAACAACAAATACAGTGTAAATATATCACAATTAAAACTACAAGGACAACAACAGTGAAAGTAAATGGGAGCCTTTTTTAATAGAAAAAATAAAATTTATTAATTATTTTTAGGAACAAATAATACACGCTATACAGGATTCCTCAAACTCATCCTGAATATGTCAACAGATTTTCATGACTGTGTTCATGATGAAAACAAAAGCACAGACAGATGACACTTGAGTGAGCTCAGGTCTCCAGTTCAGATTACTTCTGCTGTCACGATATGCTCAGCCTGTTCTTCAGTGACAAGTACTACAGAGGGAAGAAAACACAAGAGAGAAAAACAAACTTTAGGTTAGATTTTTTTCCAAGTAAATCTGTTTGAAGAATTTGTGCGATATGAGTAGCAGCGAAACTCCTCAGCAGAGTTTGATCCTTAAGTTGGGATCATAACGTTCTTGTATGTATTTTTTATTATTGAGTATGATAAAACAACAGAGTGAAGAAGTAAACGCGTAAAGGTGCCAACTTTACTAGTTGGCACCTTTACGCCCTCTAGAGCTACAGTGTACCTCTCAGAAGCAGTGCAGCAGGATTCATGAAGACGTTCATTTTGTTAAAAATAAACAAAGAGTTTCAGTTGGTACACAGCCTAAATATGAAGTGTGTGGGCAGCTGAACTTGTAAGGAAACAACACTGCAGATTGATGCCCTCAATACATAGGTCAAACTAAAGGAAAAACAGGCAAGAAGATGGATATAGCATGAGACATATAGTCGGTTTGTTGACTGCACTCATTGAGACACTAAGATGCATGCTGCAGATATACAATACTCATAAATCCAGCAAGCATACTTTTAGCTATACTGATTACTGATTGGTTCTTCTACTTACCTTAAGAGTTACTAACTAAACTAAATCTACCAGCAGGAGATTCTTTTCTATTACCTTTTTCCTGCTGTCGATGGCCTGTTGGAGCCACAGCAGCTCCATGGTCAGAGTGTTCCTATGGAGACGCAAGGCCTCAGGAGTATGGGGTACCCCCTGCAAGGAGCCAGACTGCTGGGTACCTGTTGAAGGGTTGACAAATTCAAAATGTCTGATGATGCAACGAGCGACAAATTTATTTTCTCAAAAAAGTAAAATATGTACTAAATGGATACGAACTTTTGTTCTTGACCCCCGAAAATCATTACTTTCAGTATAATGACAATAAAGGGCATTCTGAGATACAATTGATAGAAAATGGCTTCTTACTATTAACATACAACCGATTTCAAGGTTACTTTATTAGCTCTTACACCATCTTGTACCTCTATTATAAATTTATAGGCTAACTTTAATTTGAAAATTAAAAATGAGAAATTAAAAAAAGACAAGAACAATAAATTGGGGGCTGTACAGTACTTGTGTATTCACTACCTTTGTAAGAGTCAGCATCTTGCTCCAAACTGCTCCACACAGTGGTCGAGTCCTCTGTGTTCTCCATCACTCCTCCATCTGTGGTCTGTCTCGATCTCCTCCTTTCCTCTCTAACACCACTGCAGGGGAAACAGTCCTCATGAGGAAAGGTCAGACCTTTGCTTTGGGAACCATCTCTCTCGGCCTCTATCTTTTCCAGCAGGATATGATGACCTTCCTCATCTGGTGATGGTTGTCTCTGCGGGCTGGCACAGGGATTGAGCTCTGGATCAGGAGGTCTGCTGGCAGCCCTGTAAGCTGGTGTCAAAGGATCGTCCTGCCAATGTGAGAAGAAAGGAATGAAAACAGCACAGAGTCGGTACAATCCAAGTTTCACAACAACAACAACAACAGCAGCTACTCACGGTGTCCGTGAAGTGGGGAGTGGGGATACAAGAGGCCACCCTCCACTCTAAATGGGTCAGTCTCCCATCAATCTCTTTCACTATGTCTTCAAAGTCTTCTCGTGCACGACGGACCTCACGTCTCACCAGGTACCCACGCACACGTGCCTACCAGAGAAAGGAGAGTTGTAAATACAGTGAAGTGAACGTTTTCCGGTTGACTTGAATGATTGACGTCAGTTGCGTAACTTCAGGAGTACCTTCCAAAATAAAAACACAACTACGTGCTTTTCCTGAATTAAGACGATAAACTTACCTGAAAACAGGTGAGTATTTTGTCCCATTCGTCTCTGTTCATCGCTATGGTTACATGACAGAGCTACAACAGAGAGCGGGAGATGAACTCAAACTTTTATTTTTGTTCCGGTGACACGTTAAAAAAATAAAAGTCTCCATTGTAGAATTTTGAATCATTCGTTTAAATGATTAACTCCAACTTTAATATTTCTTCACTTTTGTTGTACATTATATATTTCTATCATCAAAATGTATCTAAACTGACGGACAAAACTCTGAAGTAAAACGATTAATTGTATGTAGAGTTATATTTTGAAAGGACTGGAGCGGAAGTGATGCCTTGTTTGGAAACCGGTGCGAAATTCAGAATGCTGCTTCTCGTCACATGCTAATTTTACCTCAAACTTTGCGTCTCAGTCGATGAAAATGAGTAGTGGTCCAAACCAGAGGACTTTATTTCAGACTTGGGGTGCACCCGCTCCTCAAAACAGCGTCGTTCAACCGAAAAAAGACGGTAAGAAGGCAGCAGGACGGCGCAAAGCAACCTCAAGCAACACCTCACAGGTAGCAAAAACACACCCTCCGACTCTGAACCCTCTGTGGACTCAAATAGGTCAGTCCTGTTCAACAGCAGGGGATCCGAAATCTGCGTTTGGAGATGAAGATGACGATGATGATTTGATGCTGGTCGCTGTCTATGAAGCTGAGCAAAGCCTAGAAGCTGACAATGCAAACACCGGGAGTTATGACAACAAAGAGAGTATTGACCCCTCTCCTGTCCCGTCAGCTGGGAGGACATATCCAGACTTCCCTGGCTTTGACAGCTCCTCGGCTAAAGTATGGATTTACCCCACCAACTATCCAATAAGAGAGTACCAGCTGAAGATATCAGAGGCGGCCCTTTTCCAGAACTCCCTGGTTTGTCTCCCCACTGGTCTGGGAAAGACTTTTATAGCCTCTGTGGTTATGTACAACTTCTACCGCTGGTATTCATCAGGGAAGATCGTCTTCATGGCCCCGACCAAACCTCTGGTGGCACAGCAGATCGAGGCCTGTTACAAAGTGATGGGTATACCACAGGAACACATGGCTGAACTAACAGGTAAATATGATAAATAATGCTCTCTTATATAGGGAAGAGTGGGGTAAGATGAGCCATTTTTCATATTTTTGATCACTACATCAAGGCAATCATAGTTTTGTCTCTAACTAGTGTATCTGCACATATTTCAAGATATTGTGCATCCCTGCAAACCAACAGAATGAGTGTAAACATAACTGTCTCGATAATATAGCATGCCAAAATAAGTAGTCTGACCATAAGAGTGGGGTAAGTTGAGCCTTATCCCTACTACCCCCCCAATCTCCACCCCAGCCCTCCCTCAGCTTCTCTCTCCCTAAATAACAGTCACTTCTTCACATTCACGTGTATTTTTATCTATTATACGCTATTCAACTGGCCACAGAAACACTTAAGCTGTATCTACAAGAAAGTGATCAGGAAAAAAGCTGTTAAGATAGTAAATAATCCTTCTCACCCACTGGACAGTGAGTTTGTTATACTTCGTTCAGGCAGATGTTATCAAGTACCTAAGGCAAATTGTAACCTCCTTAAAAACCAAGAGGAACACTGGCTCAACTTACCCCAGAACTACTATGATGACTTTACTAGTCCTCTAAGCTAAAATGGTGGAGTTATTTGCTAGATTTTTGACCTCATGTTGTAGCTCATAGATACCACAATTGATGTATAAAACAGATTTTAAATGGTCTGAACACAATTCTAATAAAATTTATGACAGACTAAATTCACTTTCAAGAGTGGAAAAGTTTTTTTTTTTTTTTTTTTTTTAAAATAAATGTCTAACCCATGTGCTTCTAACCTTCACAGACTCCATGAATTGATGCCCATCTCCTAAATATTTGGTCACACGATCAATTTCTTTTATCATTTCCAAGCAACAGGGTGTGGCTCACCCACTCCCCCCTACTCCTCTCGTCTTTATTTACAATATTTTACCCCTTTATCTACAGGCAGCACAGCAGCAAAGCAGAGACAGGAGGTGTGGAGGACCAAGCGTGTCTTCTTCCTCACCCCTCAGGTTATGGTGAACGATCTGTCCAGAGAGACCTGCCCCGCTCAGCAGATCAAGTGTGTGGTGATCGATGAAGCGCACAAGGCGCTGGGCAACCATGCCTACTGTCAGGTACAGAAATGGTCACTTACATCTTTTATTTGTCATTCTTGAATATGTTTTTTTTTTTTAAAGTTACTTTTTCTAACTATTTCTAGAACCTATTTTCCATAAAAGTCAAGAAGCTGGGTAAACTGTTGATAAAAAACAGAGTTTGGTGGTTTGCAAATATTTTGCTGAAAAGAGTGCAAAGATAACATCTCTAATTTTTGAATGAAATATGTTTCTTCAAAGTTGATTCAAGTAACAGGTTTCCACAAAGTCGAGACAGGAGCATATTTACCACTATGTTGCATCATCCCTTTTTGAACTTGCTGTAATCATTTGGGAGTTTTGGAGACCAGCTTTTGTTGCTTTGAAAATGAAATGTTGGGATTGCTGTCACTCAACAGATTCTGGTCTCATTTGTCACGATTTTTTTTATTTCATGATGCTCCAAATGTTTTTAATGGATGACAAACTGGGACTGAGAAAGGCTACTCTTCTACTATGCTATTATATTGAAATAGTATGAAAAAGATTGGTTTTGGCATCTCCTTGAATAAAGCATGGCAGCACAGCTTGATATATTTGTTGCCTTCTCAGATGTGTGAGCTTACCATGCCCTGGGCACTTCAGCATCCTTATACCATCACAGATCACTGGCCATGCAGTGATTTCTACTACAGAGTCATGCCTGTTAAAATACAGTGCTGCCTGAGAGCCTAAAGATTTTAGCCAACCAGAGTTGATTTCTTCCCCACTTTGCGCCTCAGAGATAGACCATTAAATATCAACACTAAACACGTCATTCCATCATCTTTTGATTTGGGGTTGTATTATGATTGAGCTTTTATATCAACATGGAAACATTTTCAGATCACTACTTTAATGCAACTCAGCTGACTTTGTATGTAACTGCTTACTTCTGTCTCAAGCATTTGCACTGTGAGACAACCAATTTCTGGTTCAATACTGAGCTTTTCTGCATGCTGACAGTGTCTTCCACCTCTTTTCCTTGTAACTCAGGTCATCAGACAACTTAGCAGCCAGACTCTGCAGTTTCGAGTTTTGGCTCTGAGTGCAACTCCAGGGGGAGATACGAAAGTAAGAAAAAAAACACAGTATCTGCTCTTAAACACATTTTCCACTCAAGTCCCTCCACAACTATTTCAATCTTTCCTCTTTCATCCCACTCCACAGTCAGTGCAGTCGGTGATCTCTAACTTGCTCATCTCTCACATTGAGCTGCGTTCAGAAGAGAGCCCAGACATCCAGGCCCATTCTCACCAGCGCAGTGTTGAGAAGATGGTCGTTCCTCTGGGTGAGGCCCTTTCTGCTCAGCAGGCGCGCTACATTGAGGTAGGAAAAAGAAATTTTATCTTGTATTTAGCTTGACTCCCTCCAGGCTTTTGCTTTTCTTCCTCCATACAAATACAAGTCTGACTTAACAGTAGGCTTTTAGAGGAATGAATGAGAGTGACTTTTATTACTGTGAATTCAGAAACATCTCGTTTTGGTTAATAGTTGTTTTTGAAATCAGATGATTCCTATTTGGTAGTGTTTGATTGGTTATCTTACTTTTTTTGTTGAGCAGAAGACAGAGATCTTTAAGGTACATTGCTGCCACCTTGTGGTTTTGTCAAGCTGACTCGTTATTGAGAAGCTCAGCGGCTGTGATCATTTCCTCAGCATCACGTCTTCTCTCTTGCTGTTTAGTTCAAACCTGGTCAGTTCATATAACATGGATTGATTTGTCTTGAAAGCAACATCCTGTCTCACTTGGTGGTCTTGCCTTTAGGGGTCTGGGTTATTAACAGACCCTCCAGGCTGCCTCTCTGTCAGGGGTTGGCTCACTGTCTGAGTGTACTGTACTGTAAATGTGCAGCTTTGCTTCATCTGTCTCAAGCAGCTGAACAGCTGGAATGTGATATCTGCGTTTCAAAATCCAGACCTGTTGGATTTGAGCTTTTAGGTTTTCTTTTCTTTTTCTTTTTTTCGGGCTTTCCCTCTTTTTCTTTTTGCATATGTTATTTGTCTTTTCTTGCTTGTTGTGTAATTGCTTTTAGTTTTCATACTCTCTTTATATAACCCACTTGACCGGATGCTGTCTGCAGCCTGCTCCATTTCCCAGTGCCTTCCCTTAATTTGACCACAAAACTAGACATAACACTGTACTCAGGTGTAAGCTGAGCATTACTGCGCTCATTCAGGCAGAAAAAAATGACTGTTGAGAAAATCATAAAAATGAACTAGTCATGCATGTTTTCTTGGGGGTCAGTTGAGTGCTTTTCATTCAGTTTTTGGCCAGTTTCGTCAAAGACATTCAAGAGTATTCATCCATAAAACCAAAAATAGCCCTTTGTTTCTCGGGGCTTCAGCCCTGTGGTTTTGAATGAGCATGGATTGCGGTTTTATGGACAATGTGTGTAAGTCAGTGAACATCTAGGCCACTGTGTTCAGGCCTGAGCAAAGTTATCGGTCATGAAATATGCACTGTACTGGCAACTCGTAGGGCAGTCCGGGGCTTATGTTGTTGCAGTTATCTGTTTTAAAATGAATGTAGTTGATCCAGAAGGGATTTCTTGATGTTTCTTTGACTGTAGAGGAAAAAAATAACAGTAGAAGAAGAACTCATTTCTTTCAAGCCCCACAGTTTAACGTATCTCTATTACACACCCTTGACAATGCATTATACACTGAACTCTGATACACTATAATGTGTGTTGGACTCTATTGTGAAATCTTATCAGGTTACTTTGCTCCAGTAACTCAGCACCACCTCTTCTTTTGAAGTCGGTTATACTATATATTTCAGAACATACAGAGATGTGACCCTTTTGGTTTGCCACATTTGATCCCATCATGATGGAAGAATACCTGATATTAGAGTAGTGACTGAGGAGAGATATACCGGTCTGAAACACAACCTAATATGATTATTTCATGCTGTGTCACTGTTGAATATGTTCTTGTTGTCACACAAACTGCCAAAATGTTGAATTACAAACTTATTTTTAAGATTCTGGGCAATAATTAGTTGTTTGAAGCCCAATTTAACTAGATAACCTTTGTAGGAGGACCTTTTCGTAAAGAAAAAGGACCTTTTCACTGATGTTTTTAATTCTTACATTTACAAGCGTATCTGCGAGGAATAGTCAGTGAGAGGCCAACTGCAAAAAAATGCCAATTTATGCACATGGAAAAAAAAAGACTGGGGAACAAATGAAAGAAGACAAACAAAATAATACCAAACAAAAGCAGATCTGCAAACAGATTTTTTTTTCGTCATCAAACTGAAAGTGAGGAGGAAATTGTAAATGTATCACTCTCTTTTCTGTCCTGCAGTTTGCTCTACGTCTCATATTGGAGAGATAAGTTCCTCAATTAAAAAGGAATCTTTCCACTCGCTCAAGCTGGCCGCTCTACCTCACTGCTTATTCCAAAGATTCCTGGGAAACATCAACATCATTTCAAATTATTCTCTAATGAGGCTAATCAAACCTTTTTTTTAAGATCGACCTTAACCCTAAACAGAGAGAAGTACAGATGGCATCTCTCTGGTCAATATCAGTTTGATATAATTTAATAAATTATGATGTGATGTCTACATATTTGATACTTGATTATGTGTTGATGTATTGAAAAGGAACTTTGGATTATCGCGTTTGAGAAGAAAAGTGTCAGATCTTGTGACTGTGAGGAGGCAGAGAAGTGAATAGTTTCAAAGCAGGAAGAAGATCATTTCCATGCTTTTCCTGTATCAAGCATGAGAACCAGTCCTGCTGTAACCAAACACCCCAAAGTAACTAACCAGCTCTGCCACTCTGCCCTGTTGTATGTAATGTTTGTACCAGGAGAAGGCCAAGAGACTTATGAAGAAGTCATTACATTAAAATGACTTGTACAAACGGATCAGCCTGTTTGGTCAAGGTGACTGAGATCAGTAATGAGATTATCTAGCCTCACGGCTAACATTTTAGCTGGAATATTACTTCAACTGCCAAACAGACTGATTGGTCCATAGCTGTGCAGTCTGATGGATCTTTAGTATACTGGAAAAAAAGGGGAAAATGATGATGGCATTTGCAGTTTTAACAATAGAATAAAGTAGATGAAATGGAGAATTCTTCAGTAAAAGTGCAGCAGACTTCTTCTATAAACCCATCTGTGCCTGGGGCTTTCAGGTTAAGAGACTTTAAATTAAATCTGCCGTCCCCTCTTTACAAAGATGTGCTCTCAGCACATTCAAGCCACGCTTTGACAAAGAGGCTCCTGGGAGATGGAAATGTGTCCTCTCCTGCCAGCTCACTCTTGGTGCTTACTAGTAAAGGCGTTGAATTAAAATCCCTGAATTTCTGATTTGGATGAAGTCGAGCCAGACAGCAGAGCATCAATCTCGAACAGCTCATGGAGAGATTCAAGCTTTGCCCTGGTCTGTAGACTGTCATTTTTAGTGTTCTCCCTTTTGGACAAAACCGAAACACCCCATCCAGGTCAGTTTACTTTGTTTTGTTGATGAGACAAACTGCTGCTGCCAAAGTTGCTGATGACATTAGGGGTGGGAGAAAAAATCGATACAGCATAGTATCGCCATATTTTGTCTGGTGATATATCGTATCGTCTCATTTACCAAGTATTGATTTTTCAAATTAATCGCTACGATGAAGTCAAATCTATGGTAATGGAAAAATGAAATCAATTGTTTGTCAAGTGAGGTTGGTAGAGGTGACAAATATATGTAAGGTCTGTAAGATGTGCTACATGAACATAAAACAAGACAAAGGAAAGAAGGAAGACAAACAAAGGAAAGCCAAATGCTAAATTAGCTAAACAGTTGAAAAAATTGTATAAATCGCGATATATTGTATCGCAATACTCACTGTATTGCAAAATGTTAAAAATCGCAGTATTATCGTATCGTGGGGCCATTAGTGATTCCCACCCCTAGATGAGAAAAGACTTTTTCTGAAGACACTACCCTAAACTGTTTTCAGATTGATGTCGTTTCCCTTTTTGCTTTTCTGCCAACATGAGACGGAGGAAAGGTCCTAAATGGACCTCAAGGACCAGACAGTAGGCTTGGAAGTGCAAACCCAATTTCACACCTTGTAGATTTGATTAACATCAACATTTCTGTCGTTCAACTCTTCAGCTCACACCTTTCAAATCAAATGATATGTTTGAATTTGCTTAAAGGTACGATCTCCTAGGTATGAAGACAATAATACATGTATAATACATAAAAAAATCAACATAAGCAGAGGTCAGGGGTGACTGAGATTTTATTTTAAAATATAGTAAAGATATACATACATACTTCTTTCACTCTGAATTATGCGACTCTCATAAGATTGGTGATAAAACATTAAAAACAGTTTGAACTAAAACAGAATTTAGATTTCCTCTATTACAAAAAAAAGTATGATCACAGTAGAGAGATTCTCTGTGCTGTCTCTTCTCGGATGCCTCGCCTCTACCCAGCAACCGTGGCATTTGAGTAAGTGAATGCATACTCCCTAATGTTGACACCGAGTAGCAAGTAGAAAGAGCATGAAAAAGAGGTAAAAAGGTAGCTATTCCTGTGTGTGTGTGTATGTGTGTGTGAACGGACCGGAAACATGAGGAATGCATTGACTTGAATCATTTCCATAAGAGAAAGAGATGCGTATATTCTTGTACTTGGTGATTGTCTTTCAGCAGTAAAATCATGGAGGTTTTTTAACGGTAGATTTGTAGAGGTGTGGCATCTGTTTTTTACCATTTCCCTGTTGTTATACATTCATAAACAAACACATGTGAACTTGCCGTGTTCAAAGGTGTTTATTCTTTACAGTCCAGACTGTGATTTGTAAAGATGTGTCTCAGACTATGTGATGTGGCTGCTCAAGTGTCTTTGTCTCAACAACAATGTAAAATCCTGAGCAATGTCCACGCTGCTACAAGCAGTCCATGGACTGAAACAAACTGACAGTACAGTTAGATGGTGAATGTAAAGAAGAATCTGCATTTTACCCTGCATATGTTGGTGTTGGTGCCTACCTCGTTACCACAGCAACCCATGCATAATTAGTTTGGTCATGTCTGGACACACAAATCGGATCTTAAGAAGAGTGTGAAGAGTCCTTCTTAAAGATCTAATCCAGGAAACAAACCTGGTTTGTCTGCAGTCTGAACGAAGCTGACGTGTCATCTGTTGTGTTGAGCTGATTGGCGGTTAAAGCCACATGATCTAGTCTGGGTGTTGTTGCTTGACTGTGTTGTGTTGCATGCTGCAGATCCCCTCCCCTACTTGGCCGGACATATCAGCCACTGAACCACTGTGGAGGGGGTTAGATAGGAGGCGCAGTAACTGTTACAACTGGCTTGTTGATTGTGGGTTAACTGGCAAATATTGTGTACTTCTTCTTGATACAAAATAATGATGCAGTGCCATATGGATCACACAGATTTTTAACAAGTAGTGAATAATGTTGTCCAGCGATAAAGAAACAGTGGATCAACACTGACATGAAACACCTCAGAAAGCTAAAGAATAACAGAGTTATTATTTTTTTCTGATGTGCATTGACCTTCACCCCACATGACAGAACATTATAGCTGTGCAACAGACAGAAAGGGAGCATATAGATAAGGCTGCACGTTCACTGGGAACCTGCTTCCGCTGTGGCAAGACAGGCTGTTGCACATTTCTGACACCAATCAAAAGTCACTATGTTCACAAGCGCTGAGAGTTAAAACATTTTCAACTTTTAACAATAGGGCAATGCAGGTAGGGAGGGCGTCTTTAAGTCATCTCAGTGTAAGAGCAGGAGATGAGTGCTAATGCTTCTCTTTAGCGTCTGGTTGTGTCTGTGAGTTTGGCGGTTCGGTTCTCGTGTTCGAAACGAGGAGCAATCTGAATGAGCATGAATAAAAATCAGATGAGAGTAAAGCTAAGGGCTGATTTGTTTCGTCTTCCAGGCCCCAGCCGATCTGGAGTGTGCTGCTGGGCTGGTGGTCGTTTTTCAGGTAGAGGTGGTGGCTAAAGAGGATGTTGCACCTGAGGCTGTAGCTGAGCTGCGGCAGTGTTAAGGGAGTCTTTTATGAGGCTCAAGGGTCACAAGAAAAAGGATGCTGCTAAGTCCTCTTGTCCATCAGGGCCGTTCGAGGAACCAGATCTCGTTCTGGCGGTTGCTGTGAGCGGGGTTGGTATAGCCGGCCACGATGAACGAGTCACTGACGCACACACCTGGAGAGTCCAGCAGCTCAGCCATGGCGTTGATCTGATCGATAATGGTCACTTCGTTGGTGGGACCAGTAAAGGGCCTAAAGGAGCAGGGAGTGTTTTGTTAGTATGAGGCGATTCAAGCAAGAAAACAACCCAACTATTCATTATCGAATTACTGATCAATGCTAACAGGAGGTGATTGCTCCGTTTTTCATTGTGCACTGACCTTGTGTATACAGTAGCGGCAGGCCAGATCTCTATGACGATCTCGCTGTCAGTAGGCTGTGGGGGCTGGGCCTGATGATACTCAGGAAGGAAATAGGCCACAGTGACGTCATGGGACATCACAGAATGGGTCTCATCTGTGCGCACCACTGTGACAATGGGGAGCGTCATGCCCAGGTAGTCACCTAGAAGTATAAAGGAAGTGGTAATTGTCCAATTTACCTGTGACACAGTCTTGAAATGAAAACTGGATTGGAGGTAATCAGCCATTAATTAAAATCAAAACATTTAGCACTCCCTCGGTTTCTGACTTACCTAAAGCGTTCTGCTGACAGATGTATTTCATTATCCTCATAAAGCCATAGCAGATGCTCTGCTCGTAAGTGTCCTCACGCATTGTTATACAAGCCCAGTGGCCCTTGTCGTATTGCCGTTTCTCATACAGCAGCTCCCCGCACTAAAAAAAAAGCAGAAATGACGAAAAACAACACTGAGTTACAAATTGAGGTGGTCATGATACTGTGATAAATTAAATTATCCTTTTGAAACGGTTTTCCGTGACATTTGGTTTTATAACAGCACAATGGCACTGAAGAGGCCAGCAAATGTTCTGACTACTGACTGGAAAGCTGAATGTTGTCTAGAAAGTGCGTAAAAGAAATCATCCCACACAACCTCTGCTGCTTAAGATCATTCAAGCTGTGCAGTCTTTTGGCCCTGTGAGTGAAATTAGACAAAGAAAAAAATGTTTCATCACAGAGTTTTTTTTTCCATTATGATTTCTATCTGAATATTTCAAGACATTTATCATCACAAATAACAGTATTTGTGAACCTAAATGATACTGCTGTTGAACATTGTAAAGAGGTAGACACATCCGAAAATAAACCCAAGGGAAGAGGTGGGGCTGTGTGTATTTAGAGAAGTAGTTGCAAGTGTAAATAAAACACTAAAAGAGAAACTAGATGAGCCGATATAAGTTGCCATTTAAAAATGTCAGTGAAAACCCTTGATATAACGGAGGTACAGCAGAGCACAATACTCTGCCGAGCCAGAACAGATTGCGATTTCTACCTAAAGTAACCCACTTTGACAAATGATCAACAACTCAATAGACAAAGTCAATAGACAGATGTTTTTAAATCAGCATGTAGACTGGAGAGAAATTAAAAAACACAAGGCGACACTCAATGCTCATGACTACACTATATGTGGTTGTACCCAAACAACTGACCCTACTGTTTTGGCATCCTTCTGTTGAGGTACCAAGCATACCGATCTGACCCTAAATTGTAATGATTTCGAGGCAACAGGGGAGAAGTAGAGATCGTACTATGGCTTGTGGATAAAAAGGGTAGAAACACCAGGGCACTAACTAGAAGAGACTGTGATGTACAACAGCTCAGGATGAAATTTGGGCAAATGGTCCACTCATTATAGAAACTGTGTCGATTACAGTATCTTTAAAAAGACCCTTAAACAGTGAGTGAAAACAAGCCAGACCTGCTCTCATGGGTAACCTCTTTGTCTTCTCTGTTTTGTGTATGGACTTTTAACCTTTATGTGAACCAAGATTGACTTTTCATATACGATTTCTACATGTTTTCATCCAATTGTCATGGTGCTTTTTATGATACCAGATGAAATATAAAAAATTGCGTTGATCAGTGTGCATTGTCCTGATCAAATTAATTGATTAATTTATTTATTAATACCTTGCTCACGTTGGCAGTCTAAGAAGAAAACTGAGCTGAAGTTTACCAGATTAGACCTGTCATATTAAAGAAGCCAAAAAAACTCAGCCTGACAGGGAATTGCGCCTGCATATCTGAGTAGTAACTAGGGTTCATGGTTAGTTTACTGATTCGAACGTCTGACTGCATGAAAACTGGATATTTAGGTGCAGGTGGCACGTCTAATTCAGTGTTCAAACCTTGTCACTTCTCCCTCCTACTGTTTTAATGAACCTTATTGAAGAATTTAAGAGTGTAACACCAAGTAAAAGCCTGCAACACTGCTGTCCGTTGGTCAAATACTTGAACAACACCACATTGACCCACTCAAAGGGATCCTTTGCAAGGTAACAGTTAGTTTACACGTGTTTCTGAGAGATGATACAGTGTCATTAGATACGGTATCATCCCGCCAAAGTATCCATGTCTATGTGCTGTCCTTTAACAACGCACTGAATCCTTCTCTAAGAATAGGGTGCCACGTCCTTTGTTTAACCGGACTCTCCCGCCAAGTCCTATGAACTAATTAACTCACGTTAAACCAATTAGCCCTCTTTATTTATATGGTCCCCTAAGGGGTTTAAACGGCTTACTGCATTGGGCGACATGACCATCTAGCAAAAAATAAATAGCAGCTGACCCACACTCACAAAGAGGTTCTGTATGTACATACTCTGAAAGTGAAGCAGGTCAGGTTCTTTATTTATTGTTTGTGGAGAAACCGGATATAATCTCTGTATGTACAATCCAAGATTTAAGAGGGGACTCTGACTGTGAGGGATTTTCACAACTGTGGAATCTACTTTTAATTGTTGGAAGATTAAAACGAGGATTGTGTGTGCACATCGTACTGTACTGTGACAGTAAATGTGCTATTTACGTGATGCATTCAGCGGTTAACCGTCTTTTGAGTCGACAGCCACCCTATGCTGAAAAGGTTTTCATGTAAGAGCTAAATTTGCAATTCAAGCCTTTTGTGCAAACACAGTTGTATATATTGTATCTAGGTCATTGTAAACCAACTCATATATTTAGAAAATGAAAAGGTTCAGAAAAATCAGATTACAAAAGCTGAAAGAATAAAGATTCACAGCGTTATTCGGTTGGTCGTTGTCAAATAATACCTTGTCTTTGCGCCCGAGGAGAGTGAATGGGATGTGTTGTCTCTGGCTGCGCCCTTGGTCGTTGCTGGTTAGCTGTTGAATGGGTTCTGCCATATCTGTCGATAGACAAACACAGTATGAGGTCAGTTCAGACAGCGGTCAACAAGAAAAGCACTTTTAAACATATTAGGTGGTACTTGTTTGTATTTTTCGAGGATGCATTCTTTCTTCCGAAACAAACCTCATATTGTTTTCTTGATACTTTGTGTTTTGAGCCCAGGTTAAGGCGATTAAACTTTACTGGAACACAAGCTCCAAGCAACACTGTTACTTCAGCACATAAAAAAGCCGGTACTCTACACAAATGTATTTACCTCACATCATATCTACACTTACAGCCTCCTGTGTCTAATAAGTACCAAACCTTTTGGATTCCAGTAATCTGCTGGCAGGCACTGTTGGTAGTTTGTGTGGGAAAAGGCTGCCAGATGGGCAGAACGCTGTGCCAGGATGTCGCAAAGAGTAATGTTTATTGGATCTGATGGAGAGAACACTGACTAAAGCTGCCCAAGGCCAGATATAGACTGGAGTTAACGGGAGAGGAACTACAGCAGTACAGAGTCATGATTTTAAAATGAAGGGAACATATTTTACTTATTACTGGCTTAGACATATTTCATATTTTCTCATTGTAATTTAATTTATAAAACCATTAAGTTTTTCAAACCTGATATATTATATCCTGTTAAACTTAAAGTAGCACTCTTTTAGACATGGGCCTACACAAGGGTACGCAGATAAACAAAATGAACATAAAAAAATAACACTTTTTTTATGATGATCAAATAAGTGTTTTTCTGTCAAACTTTGAAGGTGATTCAGTTAAGTTTTGTCAGTTATACCACAGGGGGCAGCTGGGTCTCCTTGATCTGCAGTATTTTGATGATCAATCACTCGATCACAAACTCAGCAGGTAGTTGTTGAATGTGTGACAGAAGAAAAATGCTGGTGAAACTAAATGACTGATCATCAGGTGGAGTGGGTCAGCATGGATAAAGACTATGTTTATTTAACATGAAAACATCACCTGCCAGTTAATGTATGTACAGTATGTGTGCAATTCTTCGATAAACAACAATTTCAGGACTACACACCACTGCAGGGTTATCCCAACACACAGACACAACCGAGCAAACACATCAGTTTCTATGGCAGCACCTCTGAGCTGCTTAGTGTTGACGCAGAGTAGATAAGACCGAGTGCACGGTGATCACACACACACACACACACACACACACACACGCATGCATGCATGCATGCACTCGCTGTTGTGCCCGAGCGCCCTTATCAATACGAGCTGTAGTCACGTCCCACTTTCAGTCTGGCATCTGTTCCGCTAAAACGCCAAACAAGCAGGTTTTTAAAGGTGCTCTGTTTAGAATCTGTTTTCTTAAAGTATGCTATCCTTTAGGTTCACACTACAACTTGAAGTTTGATTTATCAAACTCTGTAGCTGCAAAACTTCCCTCACACTGTAAACAATACAGAGGAGGGTTAATAGCTCTGACTAGGCCAGAGACAATGTGTGAAACAGTTAGTGCACAATCTCTCTGTGGCTTTTCTTCTGTGTTAAATTACATAATACAATGTAAAGCACATATTACAGGTGTGTTGAAATGAATCAAAGTCCCTACTACACTACTGCCTAAAACTATTCATCTACACACTTTAAATCTCTCACCGAGTGGAAAGAAACCTAATAAGATTTCATATCAGATTAATAATTTCATTAAGTTTAATCTAGAGCTGCTTTGCTCCAAGCTTATTAATGTGTGTGCATGTTACTGGAAGCATCGTAACATTTGTCAACCACTTCTGGGAATGTCTGAGGTTATGACTGACACATAATATTATGATTTAAATGAAGTCGCAATTCACAGTACATTAAAGTGTCAGAGCTGTCCCCTCAGATTAATGATGGGAATTATCAGCTTGTATATAAATCAAATTAGTGTCATGTGACACAGAAAAAAACGCTGATCTCTAATTAGCTTTTGGCTTCTGGTTTTGCTGAAGCTTTTATTATTGTTGATTTTTATAAAAAAATTCAAAGTCCTGATCGTTTTCTGTTCATTATCTTTGTGTGGTGCCTACTAATGTAAGGATTAAGACACATCTTTCGAACTTGTTTACATCTTCTCCTCTGACCTCGTGTAAAAGAGGCATGACAGACATGCAAGTCGTACTCTGTGGAGCTTTTGTAAGGTTCAATCAGGCTGTTCTTTATAAAATAATACGGTCTAAATGAGGCTTAAGTGACCTGATTTGTGTTCACAGCCACCCACTGTGTGCTGCAACACTTGTTGCCATGGATACAAGTATAGCAATATATTAAATATTACTACGTGACAACTCTCTATGAAACACAAACATTTGGCAGCGAAGTTGAATCAAGGCTGCTCTCATAGCTTATGCTAACATGAACTAATCAACCACCTCCAACTTCACCCTTACCCTCCCCTCTCCACCTCAACTAGGGCAGAACACTCTGCGTGGCCCTGGCATGTGTACTGCGCCATGGTACTGTAGTCCAGGATTTAGCCACAACCTCTGTACCAGTACAAGCAAGGTGGATAATCCCCGCTGAGTCAGTCTAAAAGCTCAAGCTAGCAAATTTGAACTAAGTCCTCAATTAGTGCTGCAGTCTGACGACAGCGAGATGAGGACGTGCCAGTCTGTGCTACTAGATTCTCAGTGGGCAACCTGTTAAGAGGACAAATTACCCAATCACACTTTGAGTCAGGAACTACAAAGGGATTAAGAGAAACTAAATAAATGTCTTCATCACTAAATTATGTTCAGTCTTTTCAGGTTTTTCTCTAACTTCTTCCCTATAAGATGCTGCGACTTTTCAACTTTTTCCTAAACATCTAAAAGCAAATATTGTTTACGATTTTGGTTTCAAAGCATGTTTATACCATAGTGCCCAATTGGAGGGACACGCAAGCTACAAAGGTTAGAAAAAAGTATGAGCGTACAAAAGTGAAGCTGATAAAGAAGGCTCACTTTGTTTTACTGTTTTATGACGTTCCAGAAGTTGTTTATGTGAGCAGTGTTTTGACACAGCTTTACTTCTGGAATTAAGATGTTAAATGCTAAAGTTTGAGGCTATTCCAAATAGTTCATTATTGTAATTTTATGACTTGCAATCACCTGAATTGCTCCACACTTAAAAAAAAATGCAACTGTTGCTGTTTAAAGCTCTCCCTGATTATTGATTAAAGGCAAAATAGTTTAAATTGAACTTACTGATCTCAGTGAAACTTGCTGTAGTGTTAAAGTTTTAAAGATAAGATAATCATTGGTAATATCAGAGTCTGGAGTCAATACAGTAGATTGATTTGGTGGATGTTGTCTTTTTAATACAAAAACTCTGTCCATATCTTACACATCTTAAGTATACTGTAGACCCACACATATAAAATACCACATAATTATCGGCTATTTATTTACTGAATTTTATATGCGATGCCGATAAGATGCGACTTGCATCAAATACTGATCTTTATCATACTGTTTACCATATCAATTTTGCTTCTACATGACTAGTAGCAACACAGTTTTTTAAAGTGTTAAAGTGACTTCAAAAATCCAAATCTTCTTCTCAACATCTCCTCTCTCTGTTATTACGATCCCTTGCTTTCTGGGAAAACTGCATTAATTGTGCCTGAAGATTTCCCCAGTTTTAATCCACATATGGGAGAATTCCTGCCATTTACAATACACTACTTTGTGGAGGTAGAATTACAGGACTATTTATAGATGAACGCATTAGCAGTCTGTAGTGTGTCTCCTGATTGTAGCAGACAGATAGCCCTTAAAGTACAGCTCTGAACTTTAGCATTTGTTCTTTGTTATTGCTCATCTTTTTTGGATCAACCCAAATCCGAGGAGGTCACGTAGGCCCTTTGTGTAGCTTGTTGTTGCTGTTATATAATAGCTGGAGCCTTAAAATGACAGTGCTTCCTTATACTGTATCTATAGTTAAACTTTAAGTTTTGTCTGGCATTAACTTTAATAAGTATACAGGTAAATAGTTTATATAAAAGGCCTGGAGAACAGGAGTATGATATTTGCCCTACTGGAGCTGGTTTATCTATTTGTCTCGCTGGAAACTAGGTCAATACTGTGGTATTCAATGTAGGAAGTTTCACCAAACAACCTTTCCTTTTGTCAAGCTGGTCTTGAAGTCTGTACTTTCCTGTGAACTAAATGTGATATATTTTTAAAGAAAATGCTGCTTCAAGATGGGGGTCTCAAACTTTACGTTATATTATGCTAATGTTTGTTTGTTTTCCTCGACGTGGTTATTATTATTACTTTTATTTTTTTTTACCTTGGGCGACTTCCACTTGGTGTCCCCTCGCCACGTCCTGCCAGTAATGCAGCAGTCGGTCCTGGTCATCGTTGTCCTCCATGGTCTCTCCCTCTTCTTCGAGACTGCCATTTCCCGAGTCTGACAGCTGGTCCTCCGAGAAAGACTCCAGGTCCTCCAGCGTGATCATCCCGTGTCCGTCGGGCCCGCTCCGGTCACCACCGCCGCCATTCATTTGACAGCCACCTCGATCCATTTCTTCTCCTTAGACCTGAACCAAACGATGGAAAACACCTCTGAAGACCGCCTAACGACCAAAAAAACAAAGATTACTTTAAAATCTTCGCCAATTTTACGCTCCGTTTAATCTTCTTCGGTTATCGCTAGTCCAGGTTAGGACAGCCTTTACTTTCTGGTCAACAAACGGCGCATTACAGAGCTTTTCTCGACACATTAACCTATCGCCTTATTTACATTGTTAAGCCACACTTTAGTTAGCCATCTTCCTTCAACAAATGCGCTTTTTATCCGACTAAATACGAGAAACGAAGTAGCCTCCTTCGCCTGCGCGAAGCCGACTGACGCCTCCCTCTTTGTAGCCGGAGGTGACTGCGATGTTTACAGGAGAGGAGGGCGGACCACGTGACGCTGCGGGCACCCGCAGCCCCTTCTGCTTCCTGCTGCCCGGGACCATTAATACTCAAAACCCCATCTCGGGTGCGCGCATTTGAATTCACCAGCGTGATCAAGGGTGCCATTAATGATTAATGGTTGAACTTTGTAATACATTTGTTGTTACTGCTTTCTTTGTATCTATGAAAACAAGGCTGTGGACCTTTGGACTGCAGTACATGACAACTATTATTAGTTGCTTTATAACATTTTCTACATGAAGTGATTAACATACAGACTATAAAAACCCTGTCAATAGCTAAGAAAGTCCTCAGCTCACAAGGCAACGATTTAGGTATCCTACATTATTGTCATTTGTTTAATTACAAGTAAAATTTCAGCTCAATTATAAAAAGTGCAGATTTTATTGTCATTGTTGAAGGTTCTTATTGGCAAATCAATGTAGAATTTAGTTTTGGCAAATGATCGCATTACAATGATTTCTCTTTTGGAAAACTTTTAGGTATTTTGATAATTAATTTTTAATAAATTTATAAAAAAATTACCATATATAGTAGGGGTAGGACAAAAAATCGATTCACATAAGTATCAGAATTTTTTGTTTTACAATTTTTAATTTTTTTTTTTTTTATTGTAAGAATAAATCTTAAAAACTGACTTACATGTGATGTTTAATTTTGGGGGAAATATGGTTCCTTGAATAGTCAGTAGACAATCATAATCATTCAACTGTTTCATTACTGTTACAAATGCAGACTAAAAATCGAGAAAATCAACAATATCGTAGAGTTGTAATTTAAATCGAATCGGCATCCAAAAAATCGTAGAAGAGTCGAATCAGGAGAAAAGCATATCCTCCCAGCTCTAATATGTAGTGAATATATACAGTTTGATGTTTTTTTTCTATGTTTTTGTATTCAAAGCAGCCAGAAAAAACTCCCAAACCCAATGAGTAATGACAATATTTTTCCTCCCTCACTTATATTTATTACAATTGATTGACAGTGTAATAAAAAATGCATTTTTTCACTCTTGCCAAAGGGACATTTCCAGCAAATATACATGCACTACCCCCATTTGAAACATTGTCACTCAGCTGCAAAATGTGGTTTTTCAAGATTTCTAATGTTCTGATAACAGACACCCAGTGATAGAGGGCAGCAGGGAGTGAGATGAAGGTGTGTGTGCCTGTAGAGCTGCATCAGTCTGTGCAGCAGTGTGTAAGTGACGGCTCTGGTGGTCAAATTGATGGTATCAGGAGAACAGACATGCTGCGGCATCTAAAAACAACATTGACACAAACAGAGGAAGGCCAGTAAAGAAAATATATGAAGATGTGTTGAACAAAAATATCCATTCATTTTTGTCTTTATGCATTATTTCCAAGGACCTTTCTCCATTGTGGTGGGAGTAAGACAAAAACAAAAAAATCTTTGGAGGATAACAAACAGATTTGAACTTGTGTGCTAGGGGACAAATTAAGCAGGATTTCCTCTGATCTGTGACGCTGCAACAGCCAGCCACCATGTTGCACCCTTCAACATGCACGTAGAGAGGACATTATATAATCCTCTGTGGTGTGTGGGGGAGTCTCCATGTAAATACACACACTTGCAGTGATACACGCACCCCACAGCATGCTACATGGATCCAACAGGCCCCCCCTGTCTGGCTGTTCTCGTCAGCAGTTATCTTCCAACATCACATCATCACTGGGTTTGTGTTCAGCCTCAATTCTTCTTTTTATGAATCCTCCCAGGCATGCAGTGACTCATGATTTATCATAGCTGTAAATACACTCCTCTGTAGAAGTTAGAGGGTTTAATCTTTAATCACATTATAGTGGAATTTCCAAACTTCAATCAATCACAGCAAACCGTGTGTCTTTTCTTATGTTTACGTGTGATAAGTAAGCCTCAACCTGTTCTCACACTCATACCAAAGTGTTCTCAATTGTTGACTTGCAGGAGTGAGAGTCCAACCATGAGTGCTTTCTGTTATTAATAGCAGCCTGTAGACTCGCTTTTTCACCCATTCCCCCATCATGTAGCTCCATCCCCCTCAACCAATTATTGGCTCCTACTGAGCATGCTCAGTGGGGCTGCTGTTGAGGCTGTCATTTGAAACACAGCCTCTCCTCTTCTCTATCTGTAATTCATGTCTGGAATATTTGAATGTGTGAGGTTGCTTTCGTTCACAGCTTGGTCTGCTTTATCTTTAAAGGTGTTACAACAAGCAATTTGCAATATCACAGTGTTACGATTATTTTAATTATCATTAAAATCTTCCCAAGAAAGTTGGCCTCCTTTTATCTGTGTCATCTTTTTTCTTCACCCACTCTCTGTCATTAAATATTGTTTTTTGCCAAAGTGTTTTCCTTGAGGACAAATGTCAAAATCACTGAGAAAATTGAGTATTTTTCTGGGTGATTTTCAGGCAAAGGTTAAGGTATTAACAAGGTACAAACAAGACTTCAGGAAATAAACAAAAACCAACACAAACAATGAAACTGACTGTGAAGTTAACAGTTTTTCTTTCTACACAGACTCACTTCACATTCCAACCAGACAAAAACAGCAACCTCACTAATCTGGTTCAGTGTAATCTCATAATCTGGTCCTGACCACTGTGTACACATTCCCCTATCGAGCTCCACCTGTCAATTAACTATAGAGATTTTGTCCTGTAACCAGCTGGTGGTGGTCCTCTCTCTCTGCATTGTCTGCTATAAAATGCTGCATAAATGTTAAATGATCGTCATTGTAATCAAAGTAAGAGCGAGGACATATCACCATAAACTTTAAATGGAACCATTCTGTGTGTTTTACCCACATAAAATATCAGGGCCTCTCTGGTTATTGCATTGGGAGCATCTGTTGCAGATGGTTGGAGAGAAGGCTGAAGTGGGCCCTTAAGTGTGTCACCTTTGGCTTCATTAAACTCCAGTTTCCCTCCATTTCCTGATCCTCTTATGTCACCTACATTCGTTTCTGGTTCATCTGCGCCGTCTTTACCCCTTGTCAAGTGCTACATCAGACTCATACCCTACCTCACATCCTTATCAGCAGTCCCATCGATCCTGTTCCAGCCCATCTACGCCTGTTACATCCATGATTTATTCACCCTGTAAAAAAGTGTCACCACATATGGCTGTTCCCATTTATGATATGATGAATGCTGAATATATGATCATATAATCCTCTTTCCAGTTAAGTGTTCTGAAAACCTTGCCATGCCTCCAAACAGATGACCCAATGTGATCATTATAACCTGAAATATTTCAGTCGTGAAACAAATTTTTCAGTTGATCGGAGTTATTAAACTTTTTTTTTTCTATCGGGCTGTGGTTGGTCTTGTACTTCTCAATTAAATCTTAATTATCAATTACTTGATAAATCCCTGTTTTCCAGTTTGAACCATATCATATGTGATGAAGCCAAATCCAGACCAGATGGACCGCCCTCCTGAGACTCCTCTGAAAAATGATCAGTGTTAGGCAATACAGCTGCTGATGGTTTCACAAAGGTCAGGGGATTAAGGGTTGTGATTTGACCCATTACTTTTGTCTATGTAAGTGGTGTAAAGTGCACTCGCTTTCACTGCAGAGAGACAGGCGGGGGTTTAGCAGAGATGGGTTGGCCAGGTTAGCTTACAATGCAAGAGAAAAGCACGAGCTAATTACTTCTTTTAACAACACAGAAAGGGAAAGTTATCTATTTTATTATTGAAATGATCAAATCTCCTTGTATTTACAGTTTTTGAACTGTCTTTTCGTGCAATTCAAAGGCAGTGATGCCAGTTTGGAGAACTATATGATATCAAAATAGTAATAAAACAAGATTTATACCTAACTCACCCAGTTTTCATTATGTACTCTGTTCTGAATTATTATCAGATGTATTAAGATGCAGAAATGTATCAAAACCTTACATATGATCTTTAAAATGAATCTGTAAAGTCTCTGGTTTAGGCTGCTGTCATTTGCCTGACTTGGTTGACACATTAAATTAGAATCAAAACAAGCACTATTTACAGATTAAAAAAATACTAAATTGCTTTTATGTTACAAAATCATTTTTTTCCTTCTGTCCAGCTGATTGCAAAAGACAGCCCACTTCTTTCAGAGCAGCCTTTTTTTTCCCCTGTTCATGTTTTTAGAGCAGCACTTCCACGCAGCTGAAATTGAAGTCGTAATGACCCAGCCAGCCATCATCTGCAGTCGTGAGGATGAATAGATGTTGTTAAAAGTGTCTGTAGAGAAAAAGTGCCTCCATCTCTCCTCCCATTGTAAGGAAATTAGGACAGGAGGAAGAAAGCATCCAGAATCAAAACAGATTTCGTTCTTATTATATGTTCCTAGCTGAAGTTCGACTTTTATTCTTCGCCTCAAAAAGACACTTACCAATTGAGGGAACATGAAGGTATCACGAAGCAGTCACAGCGGGCGTGTATCTACCTGTCTGCACTACTAAGGGTTATGTGAGCAAGCGAGCGGGCGAGTCTGATTCATCACTCCATCACACGGAAAAATGACTTTCATCAATGACCTGTATGTCTGTCTGTTATGTTTTCTGCCAGGTTCTGGAGAAATTCATGTCTCGTCTGGTCCAGAACCGAGTGATGGCTCACAAAGACCTGCGGACTCTCAGCAAATACCAGATCATCCTCGCCAGGGATCAGTTCAGAAAGAACCCGCCTCCACACATCAAGGCACGGACCCTCCTCTCTGATTTCTTTTAGCGTAAAACCTGATACTCAGATAATGCTTCACCATGACATGTGTGATATTTAGTGGGAAATCAACAGATCTCTAAAGCCCTGAATATCCGTATAAGACGACGTTCAAATGTACTCAAAGCAGATAAATTAAGCTGATATCTGCAATGTCTTCTTTACTGACATCCTCTTTTTTTAAACGAGTGTTTCAAACAGTCTTTTCTCTTTCTGCTCTGTTTAGGGTCCACAGCAGGGAATGCTGGAGGGTGACTTTGCCCTTTGCATCAGTCTGTACCATGGTTATGAGCTGTTGATGCAGATGGGCCTCAGATCACTCTTTTTTTACATCCAGGGAATCATGGACGGGTCCAAAGGTCAGGCACTTTACCTCCCTGACAGAATCTTTGTTAAATGAGAGAAAAGTTCCACCTCACATCTGCTTGTGCACATAGTAACCTTTTATAATCCAGACTGTACATCAGTGCTCCTGGGTCTTTGTTTACTTAGTTATATCTGATGGTACTTTGTAGAGTAAGGGGCTGATATGAGCATTGTTCTTTTTTTTGTTGGTTTAGAGATGTCAAGGGCCAGAAATGAGCTGCAGAGGACTCCCACCTTTATGGAACTTTATCAACAGATGGAAGCGATGTTTCTGAAGCCACCTGCAGGTATCAAAGTGCTCACTTACACCATATTAGTCACACTTCTGGATCACTCTTACTTATATGGATAAGTCATTGAGATGAAACACTCATGGATACCACATCTCACAAACTAAGCGCACAAACGCCTTTTATTTACAAGTGCTAAAAATATATGAAAACTCTAAACATACTATGATGTATACCTCCAGGTCCAGATGAGCCATTCATTCACAGTCACCCCAAACTGGAGAAACTGGAGGGGGTGGTGTTGCAGCACTTCAAACTGTGGGCTGAGCGCTCAGCTGACAATACTGGTGATTTACTTATTATAGCGGAGTTGTGTTGTGACTCATACGTGCATATTTTTCCTGGGTTTAAAGCTAAAATCTACAACTTTATTTATGTTCACACTACAGCAAACAGAAACGGTTTTAGCATTGTGTTAAAGCTGCTAAATTGTGTTGCTATACCTATGTTAAACATGTAGTTTTAACTGTATGTTCATATTGAATTTTAAAAAATCTAATCATTGCGATTATTCAGAAGATTTAGAAGCAAATATTTTGTCTTCCTGAGGTTATATTTGATCTTCACATGCTAAATTTGGAGAGGATTACAGAACAAAGCATTCCAGTTTCTGAGTCAAACAGTCATACTGTCTTTTTAAGAACCATACGAAATTGGTGTCAGTGCTTATTTAAGGACTTCAATGTCTCATTCACGCCCAGGTTCAGGTCCTCAGGAAGTAAGCACGCGTGTGATGATCTTTTCATCGTTCCGTGAGAGCGTACAGGAGATCGCAGCCATGTTGGACCGCCATGCTCCGCTGATACGGGTCATGACTTTTATGGGGCAAGCTTCTGCGGGGAAGGGAGTCAAGGGATTCACCCAAAAGGAACAGCTGGAGGTACAGATTAGAGACTTAAATGCCTTTTTATGCAACTACTTACAAAGTGCAGCTCCAGGCTAAAGAGTGGAAAACAATTTATATTGTATCAATGAAAGCGTATTTTTAAACAGGCATGAGGGGGATACTTGAATGTAAGTTTTGAACTTTCAGAAATTCCAAACTTAAGTGTCTGTGACTGCTCACTTATTGGTTTTAGCACTGACATGGCTCTTCAGAACTTCTGTGCCGTCACTTGTAAATAGGAAATGTAGGATTGGCGCCCTGATGTGAAGTACATCATGTCCTGTATATACATCAACAACTGAAAATAGGCCATATGACTAGTATGTTATATAATGGGCTTTTCAGTATGAACTAGTACAGAGCGAGGTGTGTATGTTTAAAATTCACTCTACATCTATTGTATGGATACATGAGTTGAACAAAAAGTTATTTTTTTTCTGGTATTGATTGCTTTAATTGTGCTCTGTCACAGGTAGTGAACAGGTTTCGTACAGGAGGCTTCAACACACTGGTGTCAACCTGTGTTGGAGAGGAGGGGTTGGATATAGGAGAGGTGGATCTCATTGTTTGCTTCGACGCACAGAAAAATCCTATCCGCCTAGTGCAGCGGATGGGACGCACAGGGCGAAAGCGTCAGGGTCGGATCGTTGTCATCCTTGCTGAGGGACGTGAGGAAAGGGTGAGTGTTTGAGCTGACCCGGTTGCCCAAATTGGAGTGAAAAATTAAAAGCAAAATGTTTCTCTGATCACTTCAAGCGTTGTGTCTCAACACTTAACCATTGAATTATCAAAACGTACAACCTTTGTTCCCCTCAGACGTATAACCAGAGCCAGAGCATAAAGCGCAGCGTGCACAAGTCCATCATCAGCAACAAAAACAGCTTCCACATGTACCCAAACAGTCCCCGCATGCTGCCTGATGAGGTGAACCCAACCTTGCACAAGATGCACATCACCTGTGGGCAGTTTGACCACCAGCAGAGCAGCAACAGGTGCTCAACCGGGGGCCGACGGTCCCGCTCTGAGGGGCGACTCTCACTCATCCACCCTCATAACCTGAGTGAGTGAGGAGGCAGGAGCCGATTTATGTTATTCAAAGTGGAAACGGAGAAAAGAGCAGAACCGGTTTCTTAATTTGCGTGTGTGTTTTATGTGGTAGTTCTTCAAGGAAGTGCAACATCAGATGGCTTCCTCAGCAGTACTGAATATTCCCTCTGGGCGTCTACCATGAAGTTGCAGGAAGATGAGTCTCAGCCAACCTTGAAACAGTCACACTTCATGTCTCTACCCTGTGAATCATCCCCTCAGGTTCACTCTTGTTTTTTATTATCTTTTTTAGTTTTTCGATGTCCCATTAAATGAAGACAAAGTCAATAATTAAGACCAGAATTCTCAGACATGCCATCATATTTCAAATATATCTTGTATCGTCCTTTAATATTTTCCTGTTTTCCTTTTCTTAATTGCTCGATTTGCTGTTTACCAACACCTTTTATTTCACCACCTTTAGGAGGATATTCCCAAAAGTGGCCCACCATCCAGAGAGCTATCTTTGTGGGAATGGAGACACTGGCAGCACAAAGTTCTCCCAACCCATGCTGTGGATCACTCCCTCCGCTGTTACCACTTCCGTAAAGTGATGGAGCTCATAGACAGTATGAGAGAGGAAAATGAGGTGAGAACTGACGCAACAATGATCGGTAGTATGATAAAAACAAAGATCCGGATTGGGGCGAATTTTGCTCCATTTTTAACCATGAGGATGCGTGGCTTAATTTAGGTCTCAACTGCGTCAGTGGCTCAGTTGGTTAATCAGATGACGATGTGACCACTGGTTCAAAATTGGCACCAGCAAAATTTTTCATTGCAGGAAGCCAAGAGTCTCACAAAATAGCCCCAGGCATCTTGCATAATTTTTTGCTTAGTTTCATAAAAGAAAGACAGTAGTGTGTTTATACAGAGGGGGAGAGCAAACTTTGTAAACTCACATGGCTGAAGAGAGTCAGCTGAGATGCTTGTGAACCTATGACTGTGATTTGTGTTGAGTTACAAAAGTCATCGTCACAGCCCCAGAAGGCGAATTCCTAGTATTGCCAACAGGATGTGTGGTGTTATTTTGGTTTCATTGTATTTGATCTTTTTCATCTATAATGATACCAATGTTCATAATGAGGTTTCCTGGCAGCCTCTGAATTTGTTTTCTCTTGTTGGTTGTCATGTATCAGCAAGCTCAGTCAGTAGTCTTGCTTAGAGAGAGAGATTTTACATCAACAAGGTCATTAGATCCACCAATGTTGGCCACACAGCACACTGGTTGTCATGCTGCAGGGTCATATGTTTCACAAACCGCTCTGCATTGTCCACTCTGGTTTGGTACGCAACATCAGACACTCGATTAAACCGGAGCACTCTTGACCTTGATTACATGTACCACTTCCTCCCATCTCACACCTTATCACCTCATGTTCTGGGCCTCCTTGTCTCACTATCTGCTGTTTCATAAGATTGAACCATTAATAAGAACCCTAAATTCATTCATATCCTTGAAATTGGGTCAGAGATTATGGTAAAACTGACTATCGGCTGGACCAGCAATTTAGCTCTTATTACCTTTGTTATGTGTGGGTCTTGACTGTATTTGGACAGGAGAGAGAAAGTCCACCTGTAAAAACAAAACTGGATTACATTCAGAGATGGCAGCTAACTAAAGTTTGTATGGGTAAAATCAGGTCATGAAAAAACCTGAAAACAAAAGAGGATTTTGTGTAGTCACACACAAATGTGGAAAAAAAATGTGGTACAACATGATTAAGCCTCTTAAAGTGAAGAACAGTGCGCTGTAAAAAAACTAATAACAAAACCTTGAACCCTGAGTAATGCAGTGGCGCCACCCATTAAATAGCAGAGAGATACTGGGTTTGTTATTGTCACTAAGAATTATTGCTCTGACTGTGGCATTTGGCAAGATGCACTACCTCATAAATTATGCAATTTTTCGAGTATCTCTTCAGAGTGTTTGATTTAATGCGCATCCTGCAAAGCTGAAAGTTCTGTCTGACATACTTAGAAATAACCCATAAAAACAGTTAAAGTGGGTGGACTACCCAAAAACGGAACAAACATTTTGTCACGTATTCGAGTCAAGCACTGAGAATAATCTGGAATTTAACTCTTTCTAGGTGTATCAGAAGCACCAAAACAAAGATATAAACTAAACATACGTCATTTCACAGTACCAAGACAACCCTTTATTTCCACAGTGTCACATGATATTATATGATACAATACATATGATCAAATCATATCATGTGATCTTGTACCGTATCAAAGTGTTTATTGTTATCTTGTATCATATGTTCTGTCATGGCATTGTATCTTCTCATATTATAATCATGTAATCTTGTATCATATCTTCTTGTATTGCGTCGCATCACAATGTATCGTATCGTACCGTTTCTGACGTATCCTTTTGTTTCATTTCGCATCACCGTACCGTATCATACTGTATCGTTGCGTATCATACCATATTGTATTGCATCGTATCATGTCATTACGGTGTGGTATGTTATCCCATTATATGGTTTTTTTTTGTATCGTATCGTTGTATGGTATTGTATCATATCGTATCGTATCGTATCGTTGCTTATCATACCATATTGTATCGTATCATGTCATTATGGTATGGTATGGTATAGCATTGTATCTTTTTTTTTTTGTTTTGTTTCATTTTGTATCATACCGTACTGGATTGTTTTGTGTCATATCATAAAGTATTATTTTGTATCATTCCGTATCGGATCGTATCTTATCATATCATACCGTATCGTATTCTTATCGTATCCTGCTGTGTTGTTTCATTTAAAGTAATATTGTATCATATCATCTCATATTTAATCATATAAAACAGTAACTTACTGTAACGAATTGACTTGTATTCAAATTTAAAGATGTGTTACTGTAAGCAGCTGTTTCTTACTGTAGGAATTGAAACTATTATCACTTAGTGTACTGTACAGTCTGTAATTCATGAAGATATCAGTAAATTATAGATGCTATATTTGTAAACTTCAGTACCATTACTGTTGATGTAAACACACTGGTGGACCCTAAAAATGGACTCAAATGATGATCACGTGTGATGATGGTTAAGCCACTGATATGCACATTACTAATGCCACTTGTCATGTGACCAAGTCAGTGCACTGACCACATCATCACACTATTTCTACCAAAACCGTGTGTCCTTGGAGTTGGTTATTTTAAACAAAGTAGACGTTTGTGTTGTTTTGAATAACCAAAATCAGCATCAAAATGGGTATGCAAAAGAAAAATTACTTAAACTGTGTCAGTAGGTTTATTCTTGGTTGTACTGAGTAGTGCATGTCACGGTAATTATAATCCATTGCTTTAACTTTCCAACATGTTTGACTTAAATGTGCGTCAAGAGTCTTACATGCAGCAGGACAGAATTTATAACGCCATTAAAAAGAAGCAATTGATCTATAATTGATTCAGCTTGTTCAGAATAGTGTTTACAACATTCCCTTTGTCAGAGATAAATATTATGTCTCGAGGCTCGCACAAACAGGTCACTTCGTGCAAACAGGCATGTTCCCATTAACACACAGTGTCCCCTCTGCTCCTGTATATCCTGCACTTATCCTCTCTCTGGGAGGAATGACGTTAGCCACAGCTTACCTCCTTGCCCTGAATTTGCAGAGAGACCTTTTGACCCTTTGCTCCAGAAACATCAGAGGGGGGAGAGCAAAAACACAGCAAAAAAAAAAAATCCAAACTTTATTTTTCTCATAAAGCTAACCAACCATGTACACATTCCCCCTTTCCCCTAAAAGCCTTGCCCTCTTCAAGCCATTAATCTCATTTGAGTCAAACTTTTGTCTGGGTGAGTTCAAAACCATGCTGTGTTTTCTTTTGTGCTGCCTTGTTGTCTTTATGATGAGGAGACATAGAGCAAGCAGGCAGGCAGACAGAGGCCTCCCCTCCTGTGATTATGTAACACTTCTCTGAACTGTTACATAAAACCAGGAAGCTGGAAGTAGGTCATGTCTGCACGACCTACATGTACAGTGTAGTGAGCCCAGGATCAGAGGGCGGGAAATTGAAAAACAGATGCTAAAAATGCTAAAAGAAAAACTCGCAAAGACAGTCCAAAAATGTATTACTGTACATTTATTTTGGAAGGAAATTTAGATTTTAATGCATTTTTTTGACCTTTCAAAATAAGAGTTTCTTTTACATCTGAAGTTTCCTCTTTTCTTTTTGTTTGGGCATGTTCAGGCTCGACATGATTGTCCATCTGTTATCACAGGATGACGTCTGAAGTGTCCTTTTTATCTGAGATGCGTTCAGGTTATCTGTTCCTGCTTTGTCATATCAAGGCCAGTATCGTTACATCTAACCTGCATGTTCACTTTGTTCCCAGCCAGTTGCTGTAGTTGTTTGTGTTGTGCTGCAGCTTTTTATTGCTCATTACAGTTTGCAATTAGGGCAAATGACATTGTCAAATGATTAACATTCGCCAGTAAAATAACAAAGAAACTCGAGGAATTTTTACCCTAAGCTGTTGCATGTTTGGAAACAAAGTTACGCTGCCAGATTGACACTAATAAAGAATCCTTTGTTCCTGTTTCTGAGGATCCAACTTGTACGATTATTATTGGGAAATGAGATAATCAACAGAGAGGAGTTTCCACATAGCTGCTCCCTTCATCATGCAGCCTTAACCAATGAGAACCCTCTGACCCTTTAGCTCCCTCTCTCTTTCTTTCCCTCTCTTTCCACGTCATCAAGTTTATTTCGGTCCGCAGCATCTCTAGATCTAGAGCCTTAATCTGATCATTAATTAATTGTGTGCCAGAGGTTGAGGTTAATCCTGTGGGAATCAAGTTCAATTCATTATTTTTCACAAAGAAATGTTGAGAAATGCTGTCAAAACTCACCAGAGTCAAGATATTAGAATCCATCTTTGAGGGAGGAGCATGCCCTTGGTGAGCAGCACGGCTAAATCCTCGAATACCTTTAAGCCCCTGTTCCAATTTCATCAGGATTTTGTTTTTTTAAGGTCCTGCTCCAGCCATGCTCTCTATGCAAAGCAGACAGCTATGTGGAAAGCTTTGTCTGGAGGGTACAGGAGTTTTATGGATTTGTATAAGATGGATTATCCTAAAAAAAACAAGAAAATGTTCTTTATTTTCCGCAGATTTGGGATCAAGATATTTCACAATGCAAAGTACAGTGCAGTTACATCAGTGAGAGCATTTTAGGTCAGTAGGAACTCGCCCCGTCGAGACCCGCAGGCCATTTCTGCCTTCCTCGTGACAAAATGAAAGAGCTGCTGATACATGGAAATATAACTCTGATATGATCATGCACACACTTTTATGCGTTAAAGAACAATACCATTCAGAAACATTGGTCTGAACGACATTAAAGCTCTTTGAAGGTTAAAGCAGCTTTACAGGATGTTCCAACCGATTAATCACCAAATATTTCTGAGGTTAATCAAAACCAGTTTTCTTGATTTAAAATGAGGACACCAGTGGAGAAGCACAGCTGTGACTAATAACATGAAGAAAGTGTCACATCGAGTCAGGAGTGTGTGCAGAGTACCAGAATTAAAACAGTGAAGCCCTGAAACTAAAGTTACTACAGATAACCTAGACATGATCTATGTTTTTATCTACATCCTTTGAAAAAAAGCTGTAATAATGTAGAAATAATCCATGTTATTCATATACTTTTATTGTGTTGTTAAACCTCACTGTACGTGTATGATTCTCACAGACACAGGCCGCATGTTTAGATTACAAAAATCAGCTTTTCTCTTTTATGATACTGTGTCCCCCCATTATTATTTCTAGATAGATGATGTCAAATCTAAATGTGTGCCTATATTTTTAGAAATAAGAAATTCATAAAAAGAAAACAAACATTTTTTGGCCAAATGATTAACAAATGCACAATTATGAGGGTAAAATTTATGATTTAAACAAAGATATGTAGAAAATAGTCCTTCTGTTACCCTAAAAGCACATCAAATATGATGGTGAAACTAAAATGCAGGAAATCACTGTTTAAAAAAACATAAGTTTTTATCAGTACTTTTAATCGTGAATGGCTAAAATTTCACAAATTTTTTTTTGGATGAGAATTTCTGGAATAAATGATATCTAACAGTAATAAACAAAAATCTGATTGGAGTTAGAAATGCTGATTTTGAATATTGTCCTCATTCTCTACTGTCTTTTTATGAAATTCAAAGGTTTATGTAGGAATTTTGAATCTCATTTAAGGTTTTCAACTTGATTTATTGATTTCTAAAATGTCATTTGAAATTAAAAAGTCAACAAGGTTTTCTGCATTAAAGCATCTCTTTAAAATAAAGAACCCAACACCTTTAAACTTATTTAATTAAAACCACAACCAGTGATTTGCCATCATTTTTAGTGTTGTGTACTGTCTTGTCTCTGTCTGCTTAGTGATCCTGATATGAGTTTAAACCCTTGTGATGAATAGTGGAGTTATAAATAATCCCACTTCAATTGCTACTTATAGCATAACTTTATTTCCTTTTTAGTTTACTCCAGGTTTGTTGTCATATAAATCAACGTTACTAAAAGACATCAACTCTTAAACTTTCCTTTCAGTCCATGTTGATTGCATTCGTCAGTGAAACACTCGAGATGATGTTTAAATCTCTCTCAGATCAAATTGCAATTTTTTTTTTCCATGTATAAAAGCCGCTCCTGCTGAAAGTATGTGGCCTCCTTTTAAAAGTGCTGAGTGTTGAAGAGTTAATTACAGCTCCAAAGGCGAGATGTGCCGTCAGCAGGCGGCTCAGTCTTTGCCTCTAGGTTTGTTGCATGTAGAGATTAGGTTGGGTTGTCTAAGATACCAGGAAGTAAATACGTAAATTCAGGACTTTTATTTGTCAAAAATATCAACAAATAAAGGGTTTGATGTAAACACTAAGAAGCTAATATTCTGTGTTAAGTGTACAGTTTACAGTATAACAGCTTATTACCACTGTGTGTCTTATCGTCAAAAATGATTCTGCTGATGGCGGTTTATTATGTAACCATCATTTACTGGAATAATTACCTGCCACAAACGGAGCATTTTAAAAGCAGTGTGCTGATTAGGCGTGATAGGCAGGTCAACAATAAAAAAATGGCTGATGACAAATTACTCTTCAGGCTGTAACCAGGTTTCCAAACCTGCTGATCAGGACCTGAAGTAGTTCAGTTTATAAAGGCCATGCAGCAAATTTGAGAACAAAAACACTCATCCTGCTGTAACACATTCAGTAAAAACAGGCAGGCCAGCTTTTTTTCAATCATTCTTGGTCCCTGGAGGAGAAAACTTGCTCTTGTTGCTCTCGACTCTTGCATCTTGATATGAGCATGCAAAGCTGCTAAAACAAGATACTAACTGCTTGGGACAGGTGTGCAGGCATTGTCATTGGCCTGGTTTTTCAGTCTAGCTCTTGTTCAATATTGAAAACCACAAGTGACATTTTGGCAGGTGAAAAAGTCTGAGATGCATTATTAAGACAAACTCAGTTTCTCTGGAGCGTGAAAATATGGCAGCCTTTTTCCCCCCCAGAAACCAAGCAAGAGAAGAATCAATAAATCATAAACATCGGTGAAAAGCAAGTCTAACAAGCTGGGTTATACAAGAAAATGTAGATTCTGAACTTTTACAGGGACAGAAAGAGGAGCCTCTGCTGACCTCAGTTAGGAAACTTGTACAAGTTGGTTTAACAGGCAAAAATATAGAGTTTTCTCAATGACTTATATTGTAACTTTAAAATATATCTTGGAGCAGAGCTTATGATTAAAAAGAAAAGTGAGGATAAAGGCTCCTCTTTATGTTGTTCCTGTGAGAGGATCTGATCAAAGAATTTAGTGCTGAGTACTGAGATTAAATAAGTCAAGACTGGATGAGAGTAGGACATGATTTTGTTGCAGTAGTTGAGAACATCAAACTGTTTAAAAGCATCCAAGAAAAAGAAAACAACCGTTTAACAACTTCAATTTAGTTCTGGTTGAAAAAATTTCAAGACGATGGACAGCTGAGATCATCGAGCAATTGTGACGTGATAGTTAAAGAATGCCGGAGGGTTCTACAAAATCTGGGAGTGTCTGAGTCCAAGTCTAAATGTAGGTTTTATAACAGAAAAACATCCGAAATAGGCATTATTACATGAGTCATGATAGATTTCTTCTTCATAAAAAGATTGTTTGTGAGAAGTTTTCCATCTCTCTGGGCTGTTTCTCTCCCTCTGAAATCATTTCCTTTTTCTAAAAATTTACACATAAGTTGATCCAGTGATGAAATTATTTGCCCCTTTCAGGCATACAGATATTTTGCTCTTCCTCTACACACACTACACATCTTTGCTGCACATCAGGCTTTTCTCCCTTCCTTTCTGCTCACTGAGCATCGCCTTCCTGCTGGATGCAGGTTCGATGGCGCCCCGTTGGCCCAAGCAGGGTACCACTCAAGATGAATCACTTCCAGGTCACATGGTTGGCACAGAGGACAGGTGCTAGATGATTGCTCTGTGTGTGAGTGTGATTGTGCACATGTATGTGTTTAGGGGGGGTAATAAATGGGGAACCTTACATCAGACGGTGTGACTTCTCTTCATGGGGCACTTCCTGCTTGACTTGCTGAGTGGTCTCTGATTGGTGTGTTACATGTGTCGCCTGATTACTGCACTTCTCCCGCTGGGACTTTGTCTTACTCAACTCTCCTGTGTTTGTGTTTAGGGGGACTGCAAGTATGAACAGGACCTTCTTCCTTTCCTCCAAAAGGATGATTCTTTTGGCATTGTAGAGAAGAAACAGAAGAAAGTGAAGAGCTCAAAGACCTGCGCTAAAGCTACCTATAAGAGACACAAACCGTCACACTCAACATTTTCTGACCTTGAGTGGATTGATGAGGAAGAAGAGATGCAAAGGAAAGGTTTGATTTCTGAATTTATTGTGAGGAAAAAAACAAGTCCTCTTCAGGAACCTTGTGATGACTTTGCAGATCAACCAGGAAGTGAGGCTGAGTCCCCTAACTTCCCCTCTTTCCCTCCAAACAATGACTACCCAGAAGCAAGCACGGACGATTGTTTCATTGCTAGCAAAGATGCCATCAAACCAGAGAAGAAGAAAACATCTGATGAGCCTGAAAGTTTAGACAAATCTTCAACTGATGAAGATGTTGAGCTTCAGGCGATGTTCTACCTCCCAAAATGGGCTTCATCACCTCTTCCCTCTTCTGTGAAACTCACTCAAACAAGAGATGCAAGTCTGAAGATCATCCTCGCCAATGTGGCTGAGCTCCTGTCGAGGTCTCCGCCATCTTTGCCAGGAGATTTAGAGGCCGATATGGCCGCTCCATCACCTCCTCAGAGGCCTCAGCAGCTGTTCAGAGTGAGCTTTACCTTGGACGTTGACGACGACGATGATGACGTGGTGATGAGTGACACTGATGAAGCTCCTTTGAGGGTGGACAAAGACAAGCATCCAGAGGGTGAAGTAGACAATAAAAAGTATCATGATTGGCCTCTTAAGAAGCAGGAACAGAGCATCAGCAGTGGAAAGATAGCAGCGGAAAGTCCCACCTGGGAAGAGGTGTTTGAGGACGAAGAACTTGATATGAATCATGACAGAAATGACCAACATATGGAGGTGGATGATGAACGAGTTTGTGACATTGAAGGTGAAAACGGTGAAGATGTCAAGAAAATAAGAGAGGAAATGGAGGAAAAAGGAAGTCATTGGGATGGTGGTGTACTGGACAATGTGGACCCTCAGACAGATGAGAGCATGGACCTGTTTGGGGATGACGAAGCCTTCATGCAGATGACCATCCCAGAGATCTCCACTCCTGGCGTCACATCCAGGAAATCCCCTAATGCCTCAGACATCACCGACAGCACAACAAAGATGTCTAATACTTTACATAACCACATGCCAATGAACCCATGTAGCACCGCACACCCAGCGTACACAGCTGACTTGGAACACACAAAGCATGTAACTCATAGTCCGCATACTGAGCTGATAACAGACACTCACGGCTCTGCAGAGGGAAAACAAAACCCAGAGTCATCGGACAGATCTCATGACTACTTTTCCGTCAACTTTGACCTTGGCTATTCCTTAGAAGAATCCGAAGAAGAGGTAGAGGAGGATGTTCCTGCCCAGAGTACATCTCCTCTGCCCAAAAAGAGGGCCTTGTCCAACTCTTCCACTCCTTATAACAACTCTCATAGACAAATAATACCCCCACAGTCCACTGAAGCCAAGTTATCTAAACTGATACTGTCAGAGCAAGGAAAGAGAGAAACATCCTCCCCTCTGGCGCCGCCTTTAATGTTAAAAGGTCATGAACTGCCATCTCCCATCCCGTCCCCTACAGCGAGGCAGATGCTCGGTTACACTCAGCCTCACAGCCCGCCTTTGCTCCCCAGGTTAAAGCGGAGACGACTGGAGGGTCCTACTGAGGCGGGGAAGGCCTCAGAATCTGTCTGTTTGACTGACTCTCCACCTCAAATAGGTTTGTTTATGTTTTGAATCAGAATACCTTATTTATCCTCAGGAGAGGGGAAATTCAGTAAAGAACTAATAGCTGTCATTTTTAACATTACAAGTGTTATACCCCCTTGTTATCCTGTCTCTGCTTCCTTCTTTCTTAGTGAGAAACAGCAGCAGTGAAAGTGAGGATGATGTCGTGGTTCAAAAGAGAAGACATCGAGGCAAGGTCAACCCATTGTCGTCACCAGAAGTAGTGAGTATGGCCTTTTAAGAGCTGGGCTACAGCATTGACTGTATGTAAAGATGGATGTCAGGCCTTCGTCTCTGCCTATTGTACATAGATAAGTCTTAGCGGACATATAGCAAATAGAAGAACTATATGCAATGACGGAAACATGTCTTTTAAAGTTTGTTCCATCTGTTTAAGAGGCGGTGTTTTGATTTTTTTATATCTTGAAAACAAATATTGAGGGATAAGTTTGGGAAAAGTTTCAAATACTGAGATAAACATGTTGGAGTAAACAGTTTGTTCAAAACGTCACATGAGAACTGCTCAACTTGTGACATCACTTATTGGTGAATCTCTTAAAAAGGGCATAATCGGCACTTTTTCCATCTTTTTCCAAATTTCCTTTGTAAGATCGGGGGTCCAAAATGTATGGGCATAATTCATAATGAGTAACTTTTAATTGAGAAATACTAGTTAACTCAATAATAACAACTTTGTAGCATGGCAACAGTGGAGGAGGATTCAGAAGTGCTTTAAATTGCCCTAGTTGAAATGAACCTGACGGAAGATAAAGTAAGAGTTTTCAAATACAACAACATGTAGCCTGAAAATGAGCATAATACCTGCTCTTAAACATGGTGGAAGCGGAGTTTAATGTTGCAGCCAGTCAGAAAAGGAAGTTTTAAATTATCAATATATTTGAAATATGAACATTTAGAAAGCTGGAAACAGCTCTTTAAGCCTACTCTGCTCAGAGGGAAAACAAGAGCTAAGGCAACTGAATCAGATATCTGATTCATACCACTCAGGCGATCATTGTCAATCATCTTCACAGTATGCAGAGTTGTCATGGCAACCATCTGATGAGCAGGGAAGCGGCTTTTAGATTCTGAAATGTTTAAAACAATCCTCTCTAATCAATCGAATAGCAGACATATACAAAGTGAACAGACACAGGGAGCTTGTGTGTGTCTGTGTGTGTAGTCTGACACGTTTTGTCCCTATCAGTCAAAGATCTGCAGTGACGTGGACTCCCCTCTTATTGTGACCAAGAAACGATCAGCTGCACTCATTATAGTAAGTACTCTTCATTCTAATGCTCAATGAACTTCAATGTATTCACCATAGCAGATTTGACTTAAACACCCTCTCTGTATGCATCAACACAACAGGGTACCTACTGTTGTAATGGTTTAATAGCATCCCGCTTTATTACCCACGATCAGCATGGCATGAGATGCTGAACTAATTTGTTTTCTTGATTGCTCTCCAGACCGATGAAACAGAGAGCGGAGCTATATCTGATGATGATTTCAGTGAGTCTGTGTTCACACACAGACCTGCAGCAGCTGAGAGACGACAAGTCCAACGAGGCAAAGCCAAGGTGTGTGTGTCAACAGATGGCCCTGAAAGCTGCTGTGGTCTAAATCTGTATTACACCATTTATCTATTATTTTATATTACCAAGCAGCTCCTGGGTTGATGCAGATACAGCTCTGATTGTTGTTTCTTTCAAGTTGTGTTGTGTTCACAGTGTTACTTATTCTAACTTTGACTACTCCATATGAAAAGTCAACGTTAAAACAAAATTCAACACATTTCAGAGTATTTTTCCCCCAAAAGACACCGCCCTCCAAACAACAGGAAAATGTCAAGTCTATAAATATCTGTCGGCTGCACAAACACCTTCAGCATCTGTCAAACTTGACATTTTCCATCGTTCCTTTTACAGCGCGCCAGGAGCCATAAAGGGCGTCAGTTTCTGGACGAAGAAGCAGAGCTGTCAGAGGAGGAAGAAGGCGTAGACGTGTCATCTGATGAGGAGGATGGATGCGAACTGAACCAGTCTCTTGATGGTTTTGTGGTCGACAACACACACCTTTCTCAGGGACTAAATGGTACAAAGCTGTTTCAAGCAATATATTTTATTAGAACTGAAGAAGTTCAAAAAGAACTGTTGCATGAACACCTCCTGTTTTGCTCTCTGACAGACTCTGAGATGTGCGGTGTTTACCTGAAGTCAGTGAGAAGCCCTGCCGTCCACGGCAAGTTCAAAATGTCCTACAGAAACCATCACAACATGGACATATTCTCTCAGGTATTCAGCATCATTTAATCTCAGCTTTTCCAGAGAAACGTGAGTGACAAACATTCAAACAAAAAGTTTGTAACTGAAATATTTGGTAATTCTTTACTCCACTCTATATTTCTCTGACCCAAGGTTCCTGAGATGGATGAAACTTACGCAGAAGACAGCTTTGTGGTTGGGAGTGAAGTGGAGGAGGCAGAGAGCAGTGAGGAAGAGGAGGAAGACATTGAACTTCTGCCTGAAGTCTCCTACGTGGACGGGCGGAAGCAGTATGCCACCAGACGGAGAGTTTTTATTCACAAAGCCAGAGCAAAAGCCAAGACTACCACTGAATCTGCCCAGCAGCAGACAGCCGGAGTCAAACCCAAGCGCTCAAGGGTTAGATGCATCCAGGATTCAAGTGAGGATGAGGCCGAGGAAGCTGGGAAAAAGGGAAGTGTCACAACAGAAGCGGATGCTGCTGCCCCCTTGTGGCCCAAGACTTTACAGCCAGGACCGAGCAAACCTCAGGAGCAGCAGAAACCTCCATCTTCGTCTTCAACCATTGCATCAAAGGTCTCAAAGCTAAGCAAAGCTCAGAGAAGCTCCATGACCCCAGAGGAGCAAAATGAGAGGTAAATCAAGACAGAGAGGTGACGCATGATTATTTATTGTGACACTCACCATTGGTTTTATCTTCCAGGTAAATAAAATGAATATAATTTCAAACATTTAAAGCTGTGATTACTAAAGTTTGGATAAGGGAGGTACTGTAGTTTAGGTGCCATTTACAGTAAATACACAGATATCATAATTGTATTTTAACATGACATATTTTTAGCTTGAACACCTCCTGTTTCCTCCATATTTTAGCTTGAAAAGTATACTTGCATTTGTACTTTAAAAAAAACTTTTACCTTTACTTTTTCTTTTGAAGTTTTAATTTAATGAAGTAGGAGAGGAGAAAAAGATAGAAAACAGAGAGAAGAGTTAAAAAGTTGGAGCCAAAAGGATGAGGATGACAAGGAGCTGGATTAGGCTGAAGCTCTCCTTACCAAGCTAGACTCTATTTTCCCCTACTTCTCTGTTTTTTATTGTATTCTTTTTTTTACTAGAGCTCTTTTCTTTTTCTTGCAGGTACCGCCAGAGGTTTGAAAACCAGCATCTGCTCTCTGATGAACTAGACTTTGCAGAGACAGATTTGCGGTCATCCTCCAAGAAATCAGAGGTACACAGTAAACACAGCTGTCTGATAAATCAGTTCAATATTTGTAAAAGTATCAAGAGGCAACACATCAACCATGATCCATAAACAAGCGTGAAACTGACTTATGGTTTCATGGGATTGTTATTTTCCTATTTCCAGACCCTTCTTGCCTCTTCGTCTGTGCCTCAGACCACCGCTGCCCAGGAGGCGTCTGTCAGTGAGCCTCCTGCTCCCCCAGGGCCTGTCGGCATCCTGGCTGACAGCCGCTGCATTAGCAGTGGAGTAGAGCTGATGGCCTGCCTCCGCCAGCGTCACTCAGCCACCGTCCATGTCTGCTCGCTGGACGGGAGCTACTTCATTGTCAGCAACCGCATGGCTGTAGAGAGGCACAGCCAATCAGATTTGAGCTCAACGCAGAACAGGAAGAGATTGACTGAGAGGGTGAACAGTTTGCAGGGGTTGTTCGAGCGCGTTTGTCTGATAGTGGAAAAGGACCGAACAAAACAAGGTGTGTGTCAGAAATCATAATTGGTTGTTTGACTGGAAATTACTTTTACTTGATTTCAAGATCAGAAAGGTCGCAAGCCTTGAAAGAACACTTCATATTTCTAATTCTGATCATTTCCCTTGTCTTAGGTGAGGCATCACGTCCCTTCCAGCGAACTCGTTACTATGACAACACTTTGACAGCACTGGTGCGAACAGGGGTGCGCCTGCTCTGGAGCAGTGGCCCCGAGGAGAGTGCCGGCTTGCTGTCGGATCTGGCGCGACTGGAGCAACGTAAAGGTCAAGGAATCGCCGTACCTTTGGAGGTTAAAGGTCAGCGCCGGCAGCAGGCCCTGGAGCTGTACTCTAGCCTGCCCTCAGTCAACCATGCCCATGCCCTCAACATGAGCCACAACTTTAGCTCCATTGCACAGCTCATCAACAGGTACTGGAAGTAATTTGAGTATGCATGATTTGGCAAAACAAGAATAAAATGCTTTTGTCCATTTGTTTTTGCACATGTTTTCACCTCATTTTCCTTCTCTTGCAGCTCTGTTGAAGCCATACAGAAAGGTGGCTGCATGAGTCAATCCAGGGCTGAGGAGGTCTACCGCTTCCTGCGCTACTCCTGTGACTCTTTACTCTTGAACACATTAAAAACAGGAAAAAGCTGAAACAACTTTCCATCCTCGGCTCCTCTTTCTTTACCTCCACGACCTGCAAGAGCCTCAGGATAATGATTTCACCATCTTGCACAATAAGGGTAAAACAATTGATTTATTTGGAATACTTGAATGAAGTCAACTTATTGTTTATTTTGTGTTTGTTGAAGTGCCTACGTGGAAAGTACTTTCTTTACACACAGAATGTGATCTTATGAATTGAATCAATATTTGGTTGTTACTTGAATAACTTATTGTCTTTGTTGTTATCATGGATGTGCTTGTTTATAATCCTTTCCTGATAGGTTCATATGGTGACAAATTTCCTTAATAAACAGTTCTATTTTTGGATACTAATGTCAGACAGTATTTTGTGTCCCTGTGGTGTTCATAGAAAACCACTAGAGGGCAGTCCTCCATAGCTAAAACTCGATATTTTATCAGGCTTAGCTCAAATACCCCGTGTTTTATCCAATAACTGAGCCTCAGTTTATCCCATTTTGAGATTACGAAAAGTCCAACTCCTAAAATGTTGAGGTAACAGCAGCAACGACCATAAGAAAATACAGGAAAAAGTGGCTTTTATTTCACCTTTCTCTCACAACACTTAAGAGTGCATGCTCCTTTGGGGGAAGGATAGTTTATACAAACAAGTGCAGAACACAGAGGCACAATAAGACAGTGAATTCAGCCCTTTTCAAGACGTATCCTCCACCAGTACAGTTAGGCAAATGCACATGACAACATGATTGGTAGAGCAGTAAGATAGAAATGTAACTGAAGTGAATCTAAAGATTAATCCAAACCTGTATACTTAAAAGATGACAGTGGAAAAAAAACACCAGAAAATTCACAGTATGTACATGATTTTAACTTTGGACAACTACAGAGAAGTTTCAGATCTGTCCCATACACCCTGTAAGGAGGTAACAGCAGCATCAGTTCATGGCACAAGCAGGAAGATGGCAGTGAAAGCACTGATTACACTGAACACATCACCTTTGGTTAGTGTTATCCATCAAACCGTGTGCATTCATTCATTACTAATGAACTGTTATAGCATACAAAGACATCACCTCATGTGTTTCATACTTTAAGCTTTATGTAATTTTTAGATTTCTATTTATTATCCAGGGGAAGCAAGTGAATGCTGCATATTTCCTTTTCGTATTGAAGTCGACAGTTGTAATCAGTGACCTGTTGGTGTACAGAAATAGCTGCAACTGACTGAGAGGCTGTGATTCCTCGTGACTCTGGACAAAAGAATCACATTTGGTTTCAAGAAAAACTCACTTTCACGTGGTTATAGTTACCATCATAACCCAATCCTACTATAGTGGTAAGTACTAAATCATTTTCAAGTGACAACATTGATTGTTAAAATGAGTCTTCTGTACAAGTGCTCAATATCATACCATAAGGTGCTTCCAGGTTTGGTTTCAAAGTTTTTCCTCGCCACTGTCACTCATGTTGGATGAGATGGGTCAAATCTGTCCCATCTTAAAAGTTGGGTCTTTGTAATACATCTAACATTGAGTGTGGTTTAGACATGCTCTTTTGGAAAGCATTTTGGGATAAAAATCGTTGTGATTTGGCGCTATATAAATAAAAATTGATTGATTGATTGATGGCGCACCTTTGAAAAGAGTCCAGACTGGATCATTAAAGGCAAAGAGCTAAAACAAATAAAAAGCCATGACCTCACACTTCACAATAAAAAAATTTAGACAGCATCTGCGACATAAAAATCCAGCAGCTTCCCTTTTGTAACATTTATACAAAGTTGTAACCAAGACATTAGGACAGATGTGCATACACAAAGAGCATGTACAAGTACACTGGGGCTTTCTTTGTATTTGTAACCATTATCATAATGTTGTGTTTGCACTGACTGGCTTATGTTAAAAATTAAATTTCTTAACCACATTTATTTAACTGCTAAAACGAAACAGTCCAAACTTGTTCATGATCACAAAAAAAGACAAAAGTTGACGGATTTGGAGCATAAATCCAAACATATCTTTCATGAACTTTAACGCAGCGTTTTAAGACAAAGTGTTTGACTGACTCATAATTTAAGCACATGTGTAACCGTCACTGTACGGCATAATACAGTAACTCCTGTAACCGTCAAATTCCCTTAATTAAAACGCAAAAACAAGTGTCTAAAACCCAAAGACTTTTAAAAACAGACCTTATATACAAATGCAGCTTTTATCTTAAAATATATATTATTTAAATACTACATGTGGTCACTTTGCTGAAGCTTCGTGGGCAGATGCTTAGCTGGGATCAGTTCACCTTTCTGATAATCAAACACACCTGCACACCCTTCCATCTGAACTCAGTAGATCTGCTGATTGACTGTAGTAACACTCACTGCTGCACAAACGACTGCGTCTGTGTCTGCAGAGGCTGCAGCTGGACGGACTGCGGCTCAGGGTCCTGGATGCTACACTCTTCTCCGTCTCGCATGTACAATAAAAACAGAGTCACCGTTGCGAATGTGGTAGCATTCACCGGAAATGCTCGGAGCAAAGTGGAGGTGAGTCCACGAGAGAACACCCTCCACCCTTCTTTCTGTAAACTCTGCCTGACACAGTCCATGATGCCGTTATACTTGTTGACCCCACCGACCCCGTCTGCTTGGAGACGTGACTTGATCACATCCACGGGATAGGTGGAGATCCAAGAAGCGATCCCCGACATCCCACCAGCGAACAACAGCTTAGGGATCATATAGGGGTCCTCTGGTTCACAGCCCAGGGAACGTGTCAACACGTCATAAGCGAGAAAGTACACACCAAAACCAGGCGTCTCGCGCAGCAGGGTGGTCACCATGCCGCGGTTGATACCTTTGATTCCCTCCTTGTTGTAGATCCTCACCAGACAGTCCAGGGAGTTCTTGTACATCTTCCTCTTGGACTTCTTCTCTCCTGTCCCCTGCAGCTGCATGCGCGTCTTGGCGAGCTCCATCGGGCAGCAGATGACACACTGGATGGCTCCAGCGGAGGCTCCGGCTAGAAACTGGTTCAGAGGCGTGTCGCGGCCAAGCTTGCGCATGGCGTTACCTTGGACGCCGAAAACGATGGCATTGATGAATGTCAGGCCCATCATTGGTGAGCCAATGCCTTTGTAAAGACCAAGCCCCTGATGACAAAGAGACAGACAGAGGACGGGGTTAAGTTCAGGAAACACAAAAGCCGTGCAGGTACTAAAGGCAATATTTTGGATCAAATTTGAGTAATTTATCCACACGGGAAAATATCATTTTAACAACCCAAGGTGCTGCTTTTATACGGAAATTCTAGTGCAACAGAGCTAATTTCAGCCTTACTTTAATTTGTTAACATTTTGCTCTTTCTTATTGTATTGTATTTTATCTATTGTATTATATTTTATTTATTCTATTCTATTCTATTCTTGGCTTGGAAACGGACCTGGGTACTTATTTTGTACCACAAACTGTCAAAGGTGTGGGGTGTGACGAAGTTCCTTGAATCCTTGAGAGGAAGTTATTTAGTAAGTAAAGCCAATCAAATAGAGAGGAGCAAAAACAAGAGTAATAACAAGATCCTTTTAGAGGACCTCATGACTCTTTCTGGTCATAAATGACTTCCCTAAACTTGCGTCATTGTTTTATTGTAACCACAAGTTTCACACATAAACAGACATCAGCTCAATTTTTTTGAAAGAAATGCTCCTAGAAGCAGATTGTGTAATCCAAAAAAGATGTAATACATTTTCTCCGCTTTGAACCTCCTGGTAATAACACTAGTTGTGCTTGTTTTTTTTCCTCGAAAACAAGATACGAAGCAAATCTAGTAGACCATAATTTATGGCTCACTGAGCAAGCTGTAAAACGAAACAGGCTTTAAGAAATGTCAAAGCCAGGAGGCTGTCACAGGGGCCAAGCTGGAAAGCCAAAAAGTAACAACTGAAACTTCTAAAACATGCAGAAGCACATATTCCAGCATGGTAACTACTTTAAACTGTACAAACTCATATGGGCCAATATCAACAATGCGACACATACGTTTGTTTATGTCTAATCAAAGCAAACTTTCAAATTAAGCTGTCAAAATAACTTATATTTCACTGTGACTGTAATATAATCCTATACCTCTGTGTGAAACATAAGAACTCTACCGAGACCAAGCGAGGCTCACATGGCAGGATGTCCAAAGCTTTATTTAGCCTGTGCAGAAACAGGCTCCTCTCTAACCCTGGTTAACAGACACACACGCACACACACCCCCCTGACACCCATGTAAGGAACCTGCTGGCTAATGCCTGAGTTTCGAGATATGGCTGGTAATTGGACACTTAAATGAGAGCACTGGCTATGCTTCTTGGTATAGACAGCAGCAGCACATGGTGACGCTGCACTGGTTAGATAACAGCCATGAAAGCTTTTTTTTAATGATTTAATTCAAAAAGAAGTGAAACATTAAGAGTGTTTAAAGAACAAACAAAAGCCTTACCGACTCCTGGCGTATGATTGACTGGAAGCAGTGAAACGTCCCACGGTACAAAGGTTTGTCCACATTCTGAACTTGAAGCCTCACCTGCGAAAGACAGAACTCGTCTTAGAATTGCATGACAGAGTTATGGGGCCAAAGAGGGTAAAAAAATAACACTGAATAACAAGAGTTTAACTGTAAACAGAAGGCTTTATCATGGTTCTTTTCAGGGTAAAAATAAGGATGCTAAAGGATGCAGTAAGAAGAGGAGGAAATTAACCGTGAAGGGGGTTGTACAAAATAAAGATGTCTTCTGTGTCTTATATTTCTATGGCTCGAGACAAGACATAGATGAGATGGGAGGGGAAAAAAAGTACCTTGGCCATACTTACTAAGTCACATTTCCATGGAGAGGTTGTTTATTTCTCTCTCTCATCTACAAAACAGTGACACTGTTGCTGTTAAAGACAGCCCTCCCCCAGACACCAGCTCAGGGAGAAAATGACATTGAAAGCAAGGTATAAATGAGCTACAACCAAACCATTCACCATCTCTGTGTTTATGTTAGTGTAGGCTGTAATTTCAAACAATCCAGCGCTGTATTTTACTGCCAAATAAGTCAAGGCTTCAGAAAGTCCAACCTAAGGAATGTAATATTGAGAGCTTGCAGCCTCAAGTTAAAGGTATTCAAACAAGCTGAGTCTTAAATTTGGAACCACAAAGACGCTTGATCTGTGTAGTTTTTTACTTTTTTGAGCCATTTTACCATAAAGACGTTCTGTATACAGGAGTTACTAAATTTAGAGTCTCTGAAACTTCATGTCATGAAAACAAAACTTTAAGAGTTGTTTGGCAAGATCCTCTTTTCACTAAATAAGATGCTATCACTGAGATTTGAAAGGAAGTATTTCAAGTGTTACAACATAAATGTTTTGCATAAATTATAAGCACTTTTATATTTGTCCTTTTAATACCCCTACAGTGTAAAAGGGCCCATTACTCTTGCTCATCTCTGTTAATTCTATCATAGGCTGACTGTGTCACTTCAGCTTATCTGGATTTGAATTCAGACTGACTAGTCTGAGACATCTGAATTACAACATTTAACACTTCACCACGGGATCATTTCATTGCCTAACATGAGTGAACAATGAAGAGACATGTACCTTCACAGTGTCAAAAGGATGTCCAACCAACACACCAGCAGCTCCTGAAAAAGACAAAGACCAGAGAAAACAAATGTTAGCAAACACAAATTTCATCTCACTTGAAAAAAGAACCACCAAGTCAAATCAAAAGCTATACATCTATACACTACATGAATATAGTGAAGCCTTGACTCATAGATGGGGTTTGTTTGAAAAGGAGTGTGGCTTATAATCAAGCTGCTCATCCCATGTGGGGGTAGTAAACAGCCAGTCGCCCCCAAACTGATCAGCTGGTCACTGCACCGTAGCTAGTGACGAAAGCTTAATGGTTGTCTGTCCTTGACTTATGTTAATGAACAGCAAATCTGTTGTACCGCAGTAATGTCTTATTCCCTCCTGTTAACGAAGTGCAGAAAAATATGGGTTTGTGTACTCATGTGCAGGCGCTAAACTCTTCAAACAACTATAACAAGTTGCAACTTTTTCCAGTTGTGTGTGTGAGTAATAATAATTAAGTGTTGGAGCACTAGTGAGTGGATGTGCTAAGGGCCCATGTTATATTGTAGTAAACTCCTGATGTGACCAATTCATTTAGTGAAATGTTACACTTATTAATGTAATATTGTTGACAATATAAACTACACCAGTGTGAAGGAAATCAGGCTTTCTTTGACTTGGACTCATCATTCATGTCTTTGTGTCATCACGTTTAGACCACTGTAATAGTTTGTTTTCATGTCTAAGCAAAAAGGAGCTGTCTCATCTTCAGTTAGTGCAAAACTCTGCAGCGAGAACTCTAACCCACGCTAATAGGAGGACTCACATATCCCCTATTCTTAAAGCTCTACATTGGCCACCTGTGTCCTCTAGGATCAATTTTAAAATTCTGGTCCTAACATTTAGAAAAGTGCTTCACAATAAAGTTTACTTACTTACTTACTTTCTAGTATGTGAAAGCAAATGCCTAAATTTGCTATCCAAAGTGCAGAAACCCTTAGAAAGAGATTTTACAAGAGACAACAAAGGAGGTGTGCTCTGGAGTGGGACTATCTGAGGCGCTTCCTGTGCTGAGTTTTGAGTGGACCTGGCCTTGGGTAAAGACAAAACAGCTGTCGTGATTCACAAGGGTTTTAAGGTGAGGGTTAACTGCCTCCATTCAAGCAGGAGGGCATGGTTAAGTTTTGTTGAAGTCTTCAGAGGGTCACTCCCAAACCAGGAATGATGTGGGCTGTCTGACAATGTAAAACCGTCTGATAGAAACCAAGTGATAAAAGCTCCTGTTTGTTTGGACACTTTTTGTCTCTTCCACTTTCATTTTAAGTTTCACCAAATGATTTGCAGTAGACTTCACACACATTTTGAGTTCATTCATACACCCAAAAAATGTCAACACCACTCCCTGCGCGTGTATGTGAGTGTGTGAGGCACAGGTAAGGAATGTAACATCACTAACTTTACATTACATCCGGTATTTTCACTTTACTTTTGCTACACGGAACCAAAAACCCCTGCACATATGAGAATTAAGAGTCTGAATAGTATTCCTCAAACGTGGAAAATAAAGGTAATACAGTAACGTAGACGCTCGAGCTGTCCACGCGCTGCTTGACGGCGGTGGGAAACTCTTGAGCTGGCCGATGCTAATGCTAACTGCTGCTAACGTGGCTATAGTATGTGACACGACTATCCCTTACAACTTACCTCCTATGCAGCCCGCAGCGAAGTCCAATGCCATTCCCTCTTACAGTGTAACGCTGGAAATTGTCAAGCTAACTTGGTGGCTCACAATATAGTTCACTCTTTACTGTGTTGTCAATATTTTCCAGGAATCCCTTTCAACTTCTTTGCAAGTCCAGGCTTGGTGTCAAGCCAAGTTGACAAGTACTTCTTTCCAGACGCTGCTGATGCTGAGCAGATGTCAGATAAAGCTCCCCTCCCCCGATCAAGGCTGAAAGATAAAAAACGCTGATGTGTCCTCAATCTCACTACTGGAAGTGGTCTTTCTGCCAAACCTCTGCTATTTCTGTGCCGCGCAGAAGGAGGCGGGGGGTTCAGTGTAGCGAAAGAAGAAGTAAGCGTGTTTGCTCTTTTAAAAAGCAGCCCAATAGGATCACCTGGCAGGAGACAACTCCCCTAGCGGCTGCTGTCCGCCCCTCAAACTCATTGGCTGCCGTGGAGTGGAGCGGAGCAGCAGAGGACACTTTCAAACTGACACTGCAGCTCCACACAGTCAAAATCAACACTGTTATCATGGTGCCCGTCAGCAGCAGCTATCAGTGTCCAAGTAGAATACCTCAACAGGGTGACTATAGGGAGGACGTGTACAGGATGCCAAGTTTAGGACACACCATCACACACCGGCTGAGGTGCAATGATTGATAGTAAATGGTTGGTTGCAAATGTGTGCCTTTTACTCAAGTACTTAGATTTACTCTAGTCCACCTCCATTAAAATACACTTCATGCACAGATGAGTGGCTTCAAGATTGCACCAGCTGATTAAAACATTTTTATTTATTACTTATTTATTCATATATTACATTTTTATTATTTTATTTACATCACCCCAATTTTAGCTCCCCTTCACTGGCTTTCTCTGTCAGTTTTAGAATTGATTTTAAGATTTTATTGATTACTTTTAAAGCTCTCAAAGGACTCGCTCCGAGCTACATTTCAGAGCTTTTATTACCTTATGAGCCAACTCGCAGCCTCAGATTCCCTGGTGAGGGCCTCCTGGTCGTTCCAAAGTTGAGGCTCAAAACTAAACATGATTGAGCTTTCTCCACCAGAGCTCCTTGACTTTGGAACGACCTGCCAGAGGAAATAAGGCGTGCAGAGACAAGTGATGCCGTCTTTTCTCTTTTATCTCTTTTACCTCTATCTTATTTAGACTTACTGTCCTTTTAGCCTTTGTTTTACTTACAATCTTTTCTTATTTTACCTTTTAGGCCTTTTATTATTTTTTTCTGTTCATTTATGTTATTCCATTTTATCATTAATATTGCCCTCATTATTATTTAATTATGATTTTATTATTATGAATATTGTCTTTTTATATTTAATATCCTGTTTCCTGCTTTCTACCCCACCCCCTTTTTTTATTACATTTCTTTCTCTTGCCTATTTTATGTTTTTATTTTGGTCCTCATAGTCTTATTTTATGTTGTAGGCTTCTTGTATTGTCTGGGTTTCTTATGACAAATGAAATTGTTTTTAACTGAACTTTCAATTTTTTATTTGTTTTTACTTCCATGTGCTAATGCTTTACGACTGTTTGTCAAAGCACTTTGTAAACTTCTGTTTTTAAAAGTGCTATAAAAATAAAGTTATTATTATTATTACTCCCTAGAAATTAGGAAGTAAGTTTTAGTGTCCTAAAAGTGACTCATCATGTGTACACATTCTCACCCCTTGCTTGTAATCATAGAGTAACCTTGAAATACAATGCCATGCAAGCTTGTTGGTTTGTATTCATATCTTTAAATATAGTCAGTTAAACAGGAAATAAAAACTGTGAGTTTTTTTGCAGTTCAAACTTTGGGAGACCAGATTTGTCTCAGCCTGTATCACTTAAATTAGATGCATACCTTGTGCTATGTTACAATAGTCCTAAATCAATGAAAAGTAATAAATAGATGTCATAAAAAGAAGTAAGCTGCTCTTGAGTCAGGCTTTTGAATGATCCCAAATGGTAACAGTTATTAGCACTTTAAGCAGCATCAAGGTGTGCAGTTCTTAAAAAAGATTAGTGTTTGTGTAGTGAAATTCATCTGATTTTTAGACACTATCACAATATCACTTCAACAGTAATCAGAGATAGTTTTATTTTTGATCTATTCTCGTGTTCATGGATACATTAGCTTTCCCCCTCAGGTATCATTACAAATTATATGCATTATTTATATTTCAATTTATTTTCCAGGAAAACATAGCCTTTTCGATTGAACCTTTTCACCATGAGAATGTAGTTTTTTGTGTTTGGTTACTGAATAGATATGCCATTCACTTACATTTATTCTCAGCTTTATTTGTCATTCACCCTGAACTGATTTCAGGTTGAAGAGTTGGATACAACCACTGTTGCAGCAGAGCAAACATTTCATGAAGATAAATGTGTACAATTTTTGCAGCATGATACTAACAGGTAGAATTTAGATGTAGCATGAAGTTGTGGACAGTACCATGCTTAGTTAAACACAGAGAAGTACATTATCCCTTCATACATTAACATTTACATTTGCCCCAAGCCCTGATGTATTCTGAATTAGAAAATATCCCTTTCATATTGCAAATTAAACATTGAAAAGGTTGACATTAGTGACTCGATTAACCTTGACATCTAAGCCTCTCAGTGAGGCTACAAGTTAAAATTTAAAGGCCTCGGTGTCATGAACTGCTGGACCATCTCATCTGTGACTTGTTTGCGTCGCTCTTGGTGCTTGGCAATCATTGGCTGCAGAGTCTCAATCAAAATTTTCTTCAGTTCGCCCGTAAGAAGAGCTCCGCTTGCATAGTCCTGAAGAGAAGATTAGAAATATCAGTGAACAATGGGGACGGTAATTAGAAGAGGAGTGAAACACAGAAAGCAGATGTGGGTAGGTATGTGATTTGCATTATTTTGTCTTTTACACCCTCACCTGTTTGATCTTGTCCAGTTGTTCATCATCCTCCAGGAAGAAGGTCAAGTACATAAAGGAGACATCAACATCTGGGTTTCCACCATACTTTCTGTGCTCCTCTACTGTGTCTTTTCCTCCCGAAAATGCATGTTTGTTGATCTGTGAGCATAATTTCATAGGACAGATTAGACACCGAGTATTGACAAGGAGGACATTTGTGACTTTGTGTGACTAATTACTGAACTCAGCACCTTGTTTTTGATTTGCTTGGGCGTGTCGGTGAGGAAAATCGAGGAGTTTGCATCACTGGCGCTCATTTTTGTCTGGGCTCCTTGCAGAGCGGGGAAGAAGGTGGAGTGCAGCAGGGCTGGTTTGGGGTAGCCGATTCTTGGAGCAACGTCACGGGTCATTCTGAAGTAAGGGTCCTAGATGAGCAAAAAAGTAGACACAAAAACATATCACTTCAAAACGTGGCCCAATTTCATTATCAGTTTTATTATCCATTATATCAATGTTGCTGGGCTGACCTGGTCTATGGCACAAGGAATAAGACACTGTATGTCTTTTCTGCTTCCAAAGATCTGTGGGAAGGAGTTACTGAAGGATGGGGCTGCTTGAATGGCCGGGAAACTGATCTTACCTTAAGAGAAAAGAACAAATTAAAATTATTATAAAGGCCCAACTTTTAGAAGCTACTTAGAAATCTTGAGGTTTTTCCGTAATCTTACCAATGCAATCACTGTCTGTAAACCCAAAGATGCCTTTAACCTGGTTAAATGTCACATGCTTCTGGACCTTCACCACATTTCTGTAGAATTCAGGGCAGGCACTACAACAAAAAACAATATTACTATGTTAAAACCCAAGACATCTAAATTTAAAAAAACCTGTAATGTTTTATGATAAATTTCTTTTTCCAACAAAGATTATACATGTTTATGAAACAAATTACATTAATTTGATCATATTTTACCCCATGTAACCCAGGTCAGAGAAAATGAAGGTCTTGTTGACGTCAAAGCCACATGCGATGATATCTTTGGCATTTTCTACAGCAAAGCGGTGGCACTCTTCCAGTGTTAGATCCTTCCACAGGTACTTCTCATCATCAGTCAACTGGATCACCAGAGGGATGTCAAATACATCCTGCAACCATCTGCGACAAGAGGAAAGGTTTCATTTCTAACATTAAATTGATGAAAATAAGTACTTTCTGCTGTAAATGAAAGGAAAGTTGAAGTTGAACAACAATTCTTCTTTTTTTCATAAGAGAGTCAAACTCACTTGGTGAAGATGAAGGGGATGAGATGACCCACATGCATGGCTTCTGAAGATGGACCCCTGCCTGTGTAGAGGTAGAAGGACTTTTGCTTCTCATAAGCATCCAGAACCTGATGCATGTCTCTGACAAAAACAGCGACAAGAGAGAAATGAGTGACATTCTGTTTCGATCTTTTAATTGAGAGGCTTCAGTTAAAATACTTCAGAATAACTGAGTTAAGAAGTATACATTAGAACAGAGAGATCAGTGAAATACAGTCACCTTCTGCAATGCTTACCTGTGAGAGAAGAAGATCCCTCTTCTAAGAAAATGATGGGGTCTCTGTCCGGAGACTTTTTCTATTCTGTCCACCAGCTCCTGATCAACTTTACTGCTGCCGAACCTCACTAACAAAAACACAACACGATAAAAATTACTGGGCTGCTTTTTGGGAAATAAGAAATGCTCTTTCAATTCACCCCAAACCTCAAAAATTCATCACTGGAATTCATACATTAACTTGATCATAAACCTCAAACATGTTAAAGGCCACACTTATGTCGTATAAATCTTGCCTATGAGTTTGTCATAATCCACTCCCTTGGCGTTGGTGGTAGAAACGTTCCATGGGTCAACCGTGTCTTCATCGTCAGCGCCATCTGCTGCGGGTCCATTGTCAGGAATGACTGAGTTTTCTGAGGGTGGACAGCCTGCCTTGTAATCCTGACCTGTTACCTTTTTGTAGTCCACTTTCAACTTTAGTAACAACTGGACAGCAGCATCAACTTCAGCCTGAGGAAACAAACATTTCTCTCAGATAGTATACAAACATAAAAGCAACCAGACATAACAGACTAAAGTGGCATTTTGAAAGCTGTGCATTTCAGACTATTAAAAACAAGGTTCTTTCTAAAATCAGTGTACAGCCAATGACTAATCACATCACCCTGTGAGCATCCTGGAGTATTACTTGGGGGCAATCATCAGCTATCAATCTATGATGTAAGGGTAAGATGAGCCATTTTTAATATTTCGGATAACTGCATCAAGTCAATCATAGTTTTGTCTCTAACTAGTGAATCTGCATATATTTCAAGATGTTGTTCATCCCTGCAAACCAACAGAATGAGTGTAAACATAACTGTCTTGATAATATAGCATGCCAAAAAAAGTGTTTGAGGTAAGTTGAGCCGTATCCCTACTATCCCCCCACTCTCCACCCTCTCTCACTTTCTCTCTCCCTAAATAACAGTCACTTCTTCACATTCATGTGTGTTTTTATCTATTATACACTATTCAACTGGTACAATAATCTTTGTATTGTTATTGCATATAACTGCTAAAAAGCTGTTTTGTAAAAAGCCATTTTAACATGAGAATGTCTTTAAGTGATTCAGAACATTCACAGCTGTATTTTTGAAAAGAAAAAGTAACACATTTCAACAATCTGAACTGAAACTCTGATCCTCTCATCAGACTCCTTTACTTTCTCAGTTGAACCACTGGCTCAACTTACCCAGAATTACTATTATGACTTTATTAGTCCTCTAAGCTAAAACGGGGGAGTTTTATGCTCGGATTTTGACCTCATGTTGTAGCTCATAGATACCACAATAAAACACATGTAAAATGATCTTTTTTGGTCTGAACACAATTCTAATCAAACTTAGGACAGACTAAATTCACCTTCAAGAGTGAAAAATGTTTTCTTTTTGTAAATAAATGTCTAACCCCTTCACCTAAGTGCTCCTAACCTCCACAGACTCCATGAATCGATGCCCATCTCCTAAATATTTGGTCACATGATCAATTTCTTTTACCATTTCCAAGCAACAGGGGATGACACAACTTACCCCACTCTCCCCTATATATTGACACACTGCAGTCACATTGTCACATTCAGAATTTGTGCAACACAAGTCTAGTTCACACTGTATTTTAAACGGTAGTATAATAATGTTTACCTTCTCAGCTTTAGCTGTTTTTAAGGCTCTGACTTCGTCACCTTGTGCTGTCAGCTTCTCGTAGAGCTCCATTGGACTCTCGGCTCCCTGACAGTCTGTCATCGTCTTCACACTGGCCATGTCATGGAAACAACATAGTTAACATGTAATGACTGAAAAGATAGGCGTAAACATAAATAATTTATGTCCTGAGTAGCATTTACGGAGTCGCTAAATTTCTTTTGTAGCATTAATTCCCTTCCCCTAAAAGTGATATAAATCCCATATGTGAGGAAAGCACAGCTACCGTGAACCACTGAGATAGCTAATCATCCCATACGGACTATAACTGACCTAAGTCTTTAATAAATAAAACCGACCACTCAACAATTAAAAGAAAACCTAGTGTGAAACGTAAACAAATACAAACTCTAGCCCGCATACCGTGCAGTATTCCTCTCACTGCTGACAGCTTTCCCATTCAACTTACATCAGCCTGTATGGTGTTGTGTTTGGGTATAATTCTTCCCCCACTGAACATGTTTGTCTAAGCCGTTCCACTTGCCCTTCTTCCACACATAAATGCCACACCGCAGAGTCTTTATTTTTTATTTCTACTACAGGACTTTTAATTATTATTACATCATGTTAATTTAAGGGTTAACTAAAATTCACACTCCGCAAAAACATTTAAGACTGTACATATCGAAAGAGTGGGACATCCATTTTAGTTCCTACCAAGTACCTTCAAAATAAAAGCTACATTATCTAAATAGAGCGCGGTTTAATAAACACTGGTCGAATATTTCTCTTATTTTGAAGGTTTACATTCACTCAAGAGCAGAGACAGAAATGTGCAGGGTTTCGGACCTGCTACATGACTCTAACCTCTCTCAGTTGTGAGTTAATAATTGTTCAGTCATTTTTTTTTGGATATTTAGCATATGTACCGGACAACATTGTACATTTTCACAGGTTAATCTCTGTGGTTTAGTGAAAAAATGTGAGCTACTTTAGCTATATTGTTGTCCGTTAAGTTATCGAGGGTTCAGCCAGCAGGGAGTCAGCCTTAAATCTTGTACACAAAGTTTATAAGAGAAAAGACTTTGTTATAGATAAAGATAAATCGTCAAAGCGACTTTGCCTCGCCCGAAGGCACAGAGTTTGCCTATCATTAGCAGTCGTAAAAGTCCGATTCACACTGCTTTGCGGCGGGTGATGTAGGTAACCATGGCAACTAACGCACGTAATTGACGTCCTGCTTGCCCTACGCCCTTAATTGAGCTAATAATCTGCTCAGTTTCCTAATAAAAGAGCGCGTAATGAAGGTTTATCGCTTTTGTTACTGCCCAGGTTTAGTTTCGTTTTTTTGTGGTGCATAAAAGTGCCTTATTGATATATTTCTACACTATTGCCACTAAATTTCCCCAATTATAAAGCCTATCAAGTGGTTATGCCAACACATCAATACATGCAATGTACTGCTGTTTTCAATGCCATTTTAAGATGCCATGTCATACTGTGAGGTGCAAGGATCTAAGCAACCACTAGATGGCGACATTGTATCTCTAGTAGATAAGCTTCACTGACATCTCATTTGTCTCTTCCAGGGGGGCATCATGTGAAGATGTCTTCATTAGTGGCCTACGATGATTCAGATTCAGAGGATGATGCTGTTCATCAGACAGATGGGGCAGCTTCAGATTCTGTCCATACAGGATCATGTCCAGAAAATGCAGATGTCAGAGTGTGTAATTTCTCTGAGGTAACACCTGGCCCTCAAAGCTTCACACCTGAACCTGATTGTGCTGTGTTGGATAACCATGGAAATTTTTCAGACGGAAAAGGCTCATATCTTCAGGTGCAGGAAAGAAAATTCTACAGTGATCAAACAGCACAAGAAAGACATTTTAAGGTTCATGCAGCTCCGGGGAAAAGCTCATCCCCGCAAACTGTTCCTCATGTGATGCAGAGCTTTGGTGCTGGTCTAAAACCAGCCAAAAGACACGAAACAACCCCTATAGGTGTCAGACCTTACATTCCCAAGAGACAGAGACTTGCCACTTCAGTAGAGACAACAAACTCAGAGTGCCATACAGATAAAGTCCAAGGGAATCCGACCAAGGAAAGCCAAATTCTGTCAGAAGCGTCGGCAAGAGTGAAGTCGTATCTTTCTCACAAGCCGGGAGCAGCTGGGGTACCGAGGAGGCTTCTTATGAGCTTGGGAGGCCACCAGGGCCCCGTGAACACGGTTCAGTGGTGTCCTGTGCCTCATCTGAGTCATTTGATGCTGTCTGCCTCCATGGACAAGACATTTAAGGTAATGATGATTTATTAAAATTACCACTGCCTTCAGAGATGAATAAAAAAAGGGTTTGAAACTAGAATATTAAAAGAGAGTTTCATTGATCTGCAAACTCAAAATTTCCTCATAATTCTTAGTCTTTTGAAAGCTGACTGGTCTTTTAGATTTCACTCAGATGTCATCGTCTTTTCTCATATTAACTGCTTATTATTCTTGGTGGTCTAGAGAGCGAAAATCCATTTTTGGAATAGTTTCCAGGCAGGTGCCGAGCCAATTAGGGAGGTCTACATGGATAATTGCTCACTTGACATCCAGTGTAATTGGCACAGTGTTGCAGGAAGTGAGGTAATATCTACCTTGCTACCTCAGTGTATAAATGTACCACATACCACCTTCTTTAGTGTCATATCTGTCACTGTCAGTTGAATGTATGTCAGAACCCATGGGACACGTTACCTCTCTCTCTCTCTCTCTCTCTCTCTCTCTCTCTTTTTTTCCTGTATTTGTGATTTTCCTTAACCCCTCCCCCATCCCCCCTTTCAATATTTCACAGTAGGAAAACAATCCCTCATTCCCCAACAGTAAAGGTCAAGTCATGCAGGCATCTGCAAGCGACTAGATATTTCTATCCCTGTGTGACTCCTTGCACCCCAACCAATATCCTAAGAGGAATGAATATTTAATCGTTTAAATATGCATGAGGGCGTCTACATAACCATACAATTGCAGCGGTATAGCAGCCACCTCCTTTGGCAAGAGCAGTTTGCAGCAGGTGGTGGAGAAGAAAAGGGGGGTTGGGGCTTGGTTGTTTGTATGCGAGGTTTTCTCATCATCTTTTTCAGAGACTGTGAAACTATTTAATAGAGGAGCAAATGAAAGATTTTTGCCCCTCAACCCTCCAGAAGTTTAAACTTACATCAGAACTTTGAGTTCGTACAAGTTTTATGCATTGCTTTAGCTGCAGTCAAACTGAAAACAACCAAACTTGCAAAATTATGACACACAATCGAACAACAAAAACAACAATTTATTGACTAACCCACTTTTATAAATGTTGTTTAAAAAATCTGTAGAAATAGTTCCTCTCAACAATATAGAAAAAGGTAAGTTTTCAGGTTTTCCATAGGAAAATGAATCTGTGCCCCCTTTTTTTTGCATAAAATGACAGACTTAGTGTCTGAGAGTAATATTTACTCCTCATCTTGGTCAAAAGCTTTTATTTTAAGATAAGACAATTTCCTTTCCTGTGATTGCAGATATTCATAGTGACACAAATGCTGACAGATATTTGTTGATATACAGCACTGCACAATATGGCAAATTAGACAGCAGGTAACCATAGCAACAGGACTTCATTTTCACACTATGTTAGCAGCCTATTTTCAGCAGTTTAATGACTTTAAGAGCTTGCATTGTCAGTTCAGTGGACAAGGTCTTTAAATGTATGCCAAGGCTGAGATTATATCACTGTTTCTTGATGTCAATGTCAGCCATATATTGTGTTTTGAGCTGTAGCACAGTCATCTGCCAGTACCATACCAACGCTCTACTGCCAGAGTGCTCCTGTGTTAGTTATGTTAAACTGAGTCCAAAGTTGAACTGTGTTCTTGGTGTTTTTTATACCTTTGGACTTGTTGTTTGGTTGACTTTTAAATTCAGTTTCTCCAGAACATCACACTGACATTGTTTATTTTCTCGTCTTCAGGCAGCCTGTCGCACATTATCTCTCTATTTCACTGACACACTGTGCAGCAACATCAATTATTTCCTGGGCACTCTAACACTTTGACCACAGCTTTTCTCTTCTGTGTGTGAGGACAGTCAGGCGACATGTTCCGTCAAGTCGAAAAACTTTCCTCTTCTTCACTGACACCCTTCAAGGCTTTCCGCCTCCTCTTCCTCCATCCTGTTTGGCAGTTCCTCAGAGGCACTTGTCCTCAGACTATTATTATTCTGGCCTGTTTGCAACTGTCGTCGCCATGGCTACGGCAGGTGTAAGGCAGCAGTTTTAAGTTGATAACAGGAATGCCAATTTAGTTTTAATTACTGAGAGTCATTTAGGAAGCAGATTACCCGTAGTGAGTCATTGGTGAGGATCCGCTCTGCGTGTCTGTTAAGTGGCCGGTGAAATTAAAGGGGATGCAAATAAACAAGGGCTCATTTCCACCCATGCTCAGGTCTCACATTGTACCGGATTATTGCAATTGTGTGCGAGCTGAATGGTGCTGTTATGGTGAATCTCATTAATGCTGCCATTCATTGGAGACGAGATTTAGGCAACTTCCTCATTCGTTAGACTTGTTTTGCAGAAATTTTGTTCACTTGAATACTTTGAAGTTTTTGTGGCAGATATGAGATACAGAAGATTTTATTCTTACCTTGAGATGGCAGTGTTTCTCCAAACTGAAGATTAATAAATGTCATGGCCTTGGCACAGTAAAAGGATATATTCTTAATAGTTGTTTCTCCCTAGTATTAAGTATTTTTACCAGTCAAAGTGTTACTCTCTATCTCTTTTTCACTCTTCCTTTCTTTTCAAGCCTGGAGGCATCTCTGCAATTCTGTTTGTTAAATCACTTCCAGCTGGATTGATATGTCACCCTCCCCCTCGTCCATCCTTCCTCCCTCTGTCTGCCTCCTCCTCGTGGGAGCTGTGTTACAGAACTTCTCAATGTGTTTCTTTTGCTGCATGGAGAAGTCGTCTTAAATAATGAAACACAGACTGAGGCATAGAGGGATCCGCGGCACCCCACAGATCTTCAAAGTTCCTCCGTGGCCGAGGCAATGCTACAGAAGCAAGAAAATCTCCATCGTTAGGGAAATGCGCCTCACCTCTGTGGGCAGGAGAAGAGACCACCTACTGGATTCCAGGCTGGGCTTCAGAGAAACACAGACTTTTTCCACGTCTGGGCAAAAGATAAAACTTAATTAAAAAAATCAAACATAACGCACGTTACAATTTTGACCAGTCTGTTTGCGAAGTCATTTTTGTGAAGAAAACCCACAGAAGGCACTGTTAGGAAAACCAAAATGAAGAGTGGAACAAACAAACAGATCAACATCTCATTCATTAGTCCCCTGATATCTCTATACATACATCCCTTTTCTGGTATTTGTGCCATGATTCCAGTTTTAAAAGCAACAGGTTTCAGATAGTGTTGTCATGGCAGTCACCACAGAACAAAAGGCTGGGTGCTGTTCTCCTCTGCTCTGTCTATAATCAGAGGCTTCTGACAGTACAGAGCCAACAGAGCCATTAAAACCAGGGCAATGATTTATTGGTTCACTCAAAGGTAATTAGGTTGATTAATTAATTATGAAGCTTGTTTTTGCATTTAAATCAAGCAAATAAGCCTGATTATTACGCATATTATGCCAATTTATCTAGCAGCAATTTGCCCAGTGATTTCATTTTGTTTCCCCACAATTTAATTTGTATGAGGAAGGCCGGGATTACATTTTCCTCATCTTCGAAAGCTTGTGCACAGTCTGTGGAAAAAAGTCTTTCTTGCCGCACTTCTAGGTGTATTTGTGACTTTGGCTTTAAGCGCTGTGCCCGTGTCTGGCAGGTGTGGGATGCAGCAGAGAGCGGGCGATGCCTGAGGGTGTACAGCTGCCATTCGGGAGCTGTGCGAGACGCCTGTTGGACCCCCTGCGGGCGACACCTCCTCACTGGCTCATTTGACAACACGGCTGTGATCACAGACGTGGAAACAGGTGAGCAGCAACACCTCTCTCATGAACACAGAGTCACATGAAAAAGGCGAGAACAACCGCGGTGCACCTTCATGTCTGTCTCAAGAAAGTCAATCTGCATTTGTGAATAGAAATGTGGCTCAGGCTGCTGTCGAACAAACAATGCTTGCATATTGCTAAACAACAAAACTTCATGGCAGTCTCCCTTCTTAAAATTAAGTTTGTTTTTCTACCTCAAATTTAGAGTAAAGTAATTTATGTATGGAGTCTCTTTAAGTTGCCGTGGGCCCTCAAACCTTGTAAAACCCTTGTATAAACAGCAAAGCTGCCTCTCTCTCCCTAAAGTCATGTTCCATTTCAGTGACAACCTTGAAAAATCGACATTTCTGATGCAAATACATCACCGTAAGTCAACTATCCCATCTCAAAGACCAAACTAAGAGCAGCCAGGAAATGCTGTCTTAGTTTCCCCAAATTCAAATGAAACAACCAGCTTGTCCTTGAAGCTTTTAGTATCTCTAAATCCACAGGGGCCCAGCTGCTTTTTGATTTTGCATTTTATCTATTTCATCACAAAAAGTTGCTAACTCACCAAGTTTGGCACAACATTTAAAGGATGCTATGTGCTCCTCTATTCAAAATCTTCAGTGATGATTATTGAGGCGGTTTGTATGAAGTGAAGAACGAAAACACTCCCTCGATACAATCTAGTCCTTTAAGAATATTAATGTAAAAATTAAAATATAACCCACTATCTCCACCCTGCAGTGACATGTTCTCTGTACCTCTCTGGCATTATTTTGAGGAAAGATCTGAAAACCTGCAATCACAGTAAACAGAAGACTTGGGTGTGAAGTAAATCCTCTGGATTAAGTTCCACGGAGGCTTTGTCCACCTCCAGCAAAATTAACTTTGAACCAAATCCGCTGGATCATTGTGTCTGCTTCCCTCTTTGTTTGACCATTCCAAACTCTTTTGTAGGTGACTTTTACAGGGGATCAATAACTTGTTTTATTTCCAGAAATGTGTTTTCTGTCTGGCCCAGCAAGTATAGCAAACATAGCCATATATAGCAAATATAGCCAAAACAAATCTCTGCGTGAGGCTTGTTCAGAAGGAGTCACCTGCTCCTTCCTAAACAATGACTAGATTCCAATCCAGCTGAAATAAAAATGAAAGAGAACTTATTGAGGAGCTGAGAGTTTTTCTTTCCAGCTGAACCAATCAAATAGTAGCCAAGAGTTTTTTTGATTACATATATTTGCCAAAGATCAAAACTTAAAGTGAAAGATGTCGTTGTTCATATCCATGAAAATGCTTCAAAAGGCTCAACAGAAAGTGCCAATTTGTAATAGACATTGTTTTGAAGCCCCTGTGGCAACAACATCTCCAGGGTCAACGCATTGCTGTGATGACTTGCTGCCGTTTGCACTTCCCCTCTCAGCATGTCTGTCAATACTGCCAATAAAGCCTACGGATAATAGCTTGGCCAGCCCATTAAACACAGGCAGCTCCAGGAAAGAGATCAATAATGGATACATCACCACAGGAGCAGCCACCATGACCTTACACCCAAACGTCACAAACTACAACTATAAACAAACAGATGTTTATTTTGGTCGTATGCTTTGGTTTCCCCCCCGAGTGGCTCGCTGGAGGCTGTGTGGACATCCGTTTGGTTCAAACTTCAAACTCTGAGTTGATGTTGCATTTCTGAAGAGCCTCCAACACATGGATCCGGCAGCACTCTCCTATTTTGATTTTTGGAAATCTATTACTTTTATTTATTCTTGTATCTCTTTTATTATCATTATTCATTAAAGAGCGAAAAAAAAAAAAAACAACAACATTGTTTCTGAGAATGTAGGACTGGCAGATGTGAAGCATGCACTGCTACTGTGGCACGGGATGTGGCAAAAGTTTAATTTAGCTCCATATTAACATGGGAGTTGGGAATTCCAGACAATTTTCTGCCCTGTTGTAGAGCAATTTACCATTTTACAACTAAGCCTCAGCACTGACAAGATGCTATCATATTCAAGCAGCAGGGCACCATTCAGCAATCCCTCTACAAAGGTGAATTCCCACATCTAGTCCCTGCACATTTTTTGCAACCTTTCTGACAAATTTCCTCGACTTTCCTGCGACTTTTACCAATTGTACTCTAACCCCTTCATACAGGGGTGTGTCGCCATCTGTGTCGCTGAACTCACTTCTTTGAGATTCAAATGACTGATCCTTTTGGGTCTGAAGTGTTTAAAAACATAAGAGGGTATTGTTAAATGTGCTTTCAATATGTCTGGAAAAATGCATGATACATTTTAAGCGGACACCTGGATGGTTAAGGCTTTGGTGTGATCATTTCTGTTTCAGGATCCACCTCTACATCAGCCTCGAACTTTGTAGAGACTCTTTTAACAGTGGAGCCATGATTAGAAATCTCGCACTCGATTTCTCCTTCTGTTAATACTCAATATAAGAAACTTTTAGCTGTCAACTGAGCTGAGAATTGACCAGTCAGTGTTCAACCAGAATCAAGCAATGAAACTAAGAAGTGTCTGTTACTCTCTGTGCTAGTGAGTAGGATGGAGACAGATATGCACATTTCCAAATCAGTCTTTCATGATAGTTTACTTAAAGCTACTGGGAGGGACTTTTGGTTTCTGTCCGTTTTTGCACCCTCCTCTGGACAAAGTAGTCTTTGCTTACTTTGTCCTTTTTTTTTTTTTTTGCTTTAGTGAGGATTTTGGACAAAGAAAAAAAATCTCATCTTGCTGACTTTCAAGGTCAAATATATAATTCAATGTGAATATTTTACACAGAAATTGCAAAAACAGGGCTAATTTGTAAATGTCAAAAAATTTCTCACAGGAGCTTTAAGTTTCATTTGATTTAGTATCTTGATATGGAAGTTGACCAAAAGGACAATCAGCAGTTTCAGTCAACAGGTGGCTTCTGTTTGAGTGTGTGTATGAGTTGCGTTTTTTTCTGGCTTTTGTGCCTTTATTAGAGAGGACAGTTGCGGAGAAAGAAAAAATGTGGGAAAAATAGAAGGAGGATGACATGACTGCTGTATCTTCAGTACCTGGAGCAACTGCTTGGCCGGCCACAACAAATCTTTACAGAAGTTGCTACAAAACAGGCCAGAGCAATCACAGAGACAAGTCTGTGACATCTTAGAGGGACTGACTGAGGCTCATAACTTTATGGTTCCAGCATACAATCCTGTGTGTTTGTGGTTTTAATAGTGGTTCCTGATAAGCTTCCAACATTTCTACACTGTGTATGTTTCGATTAGATCTACTAAGAATGGTGGGAAATGGAGTCTCTGCTGACTCAGAGTGTAATTGGGATGAATGTGTTTTTTATGATATTGACAGAACTGTAAAGCATCTTAGTTCTAACATGTAGAGTCTAATCTGCTCTCTTTAAAGATGGGTGCTGGCCTATTGAAGATCAATGAAAGTATGTGAGACACATAACTCTGGATTCCTCTGCAGTATAACTTAGGCAAATGTTGTGCAAATTGGTTTGTTTAAAGAGAACTATAATAAGAGTGGAGCCCATGCATTCAAATTGCAGTGTGCATGGGGGCCTATTTTCTTTGCCCACCTTTGCCGTTTGTTCCTGTGTCCAATTTAATTTGTACAATCTTATATCCACTCCCAGTGGGCCATAGGCAGGCTGTCACAGCTGAATAGCAATAGCAGTGGGAGAAGAGGATATAGGGAGGGAGAGCAGGTTAAGAGGCGTAATGCAGAAAAGGAGAGTGAGAATGCAAGAGAAAGAAATGAAAAGAGGCAGAATAAATTCAGAGAAAAAGAAACAGAAAAAGAGAGCTGGAGTCAGGGAGCGGAATAAATGAATTTCATCTGGAGGGCATTAGTGTGAAGTGGCAGCTGTTGTACAGCCCTTTCTTGCTGTCCTTGGAAAGGCTGATTGGCAGAGGAAAATATGCCTGAGTAGCTGCAGGCTGCTACAGGTTGATGTGTCCGATTGTGTGCGTGTGTGTGTGTGTGGATGCAGATTTGGTTTGTGCTGTCCGGATTCTTGAGGCACCTGCAGTACATAGTTCTCGTTCCACAAAGCTCAATAACACATACATACAGTGGTACTGGCGTGGGCTTTGGCACTGGCCTTCTATCTCTCTTGGTCTTTTCGGATAACACCTGATGAATGACATCGCTGTCTTTAGTAAAGCTCAGTTGAAAAGTGCAGTTTTATGTAATTATAATACAATATACATTTTATATTATAATACAATAATATAAAATAAATTTTAAACGCATTTGTCGGTTCTTTGGTATTCTCCTATAGGGACTGAGAGAGAGCTTAAGCAAATCCTATCAGACACTCTGCACCAGTCAATAACAAGGTTGACCCTTAAAGTCTGACAGCCAGTCACAGTCACAGTCACACTAACACACCACCTAGTTTAGAGGCTATGCTAGTCTTGCAAGGGTGAAATAATGAGTCACTCTGGGGGTTTCTGACTCGAGTTCATACCCAAGAAAACTGTTTTTTTTACAGGTGGAATATCATTACACACTTGAGTTAACCATGCAAACTTTACAATACACAAGTTGCAAAAGCACCTGTTTTAGTTTTCAACAATTGTACACAGATTCCTGGTCTTTTTCTTCTCATTAAACATCCTGTAGCTTTCCTTCACACATTCATAGAGGTAGCCAGCACAGTGTGGCAGAATGAACACAGGAGCTTAAAGCCCTGCACACTAGGGTAGAGAGCAAGCAGCAGTGCTCTCACAGTTGTGCCACCAGCAAGCATATCTACATTCTGACCTACTTTGGAAGCTTCATTTTCCACTGACAAACAACCACACTGCCACAAGATTTAGCCCGCTGTATAACGAACAAAAATAGAAATATCCCTCAGCCTCGATCGATCCATTGTGACTGTCACTTTAACTCAAAAAGTGGGCAAGTGATCATTAAGTTAATTCGATAATAAATCACAATAAATAAATACATTTTTCATACTTCTGTGATTATTTGGGTCAAAGATATCCAACACGGGGCAGGATGTGATTCTCAGAGTGCTTGAGGTGTTTTGGAGCTGTTTAATACTTGAGTTATTTTTATCATAACAGGCCTATTTCCCCGTCCTCTCCAAGCTTTATACCCCAATGTCTGCAATATTAAGTGGATTTTGCACCACTTGTATGTCATCAGCAGCCTTTGATGGATAAACAGAAGTGATAACTCTAGCCCACTTCAGCAAACTTTGTGCTCTTTCTGCTGAAGGTTTTTTTTCATGGTGGTGTGCTAATTGAACACAGAAACACTTGAAAAGTTTCAGGCTGTAGTATTTTGGTTAATTGTGCTTTTAAAATGTATAGACACCTCTTAAAAATGTGTGATTTCACTTCCTGGAAGAGGTAAGCTTAGGTTTAGATAAGCATGCCTTGCAGCAGGGGGAGTTATTAAGGTTTTTTTTTTTGTGTGTGATGTACTTTTGTTTATTTAGTCATTAGAGTTAAGCTATTTCCTATCCAGTTAGGATTGTCTAACATTTATCTGTAAATCTTGGGTCCTTCTGCAAAAGTTTAAGTACTTCATAAAGTTAGGATTCAGTAAAGTTTCCTCACTGTCTTTTTTTTAGAACTACGCACTTTTTATCATGGGGAACATCTTTAAAACCTCAAAGAAACTATAAATATGGCTCATTAAGCATATTTTTAAAGCATTCTGGGGTACAGCTTGGTAAAACCAAGTTCTTTGTTCCCAATAGTAGCTTATGTTGCAGGCAGCACCCTGCTTTGGTGGATCCAGTAATGAGGCAGGGTATCTATTTCATCCCTGCTTGCTCCTGCAGCTCCAAGGTTTCCACCCTCACCCTCCCGATCATCCATGATGTCCTCTGCACTGTAGTCCTCCTCTGTGAATCAGCGCCGCAGCCTGATCACAGTGCAGGACTACAAAGTAAACTATGGTGAGGGAGGGACGGATCACTGCAGTCCTCCCTTATCTCCCTTCTCAAGTAGGCTAATTAATCTTCCGTAATTAAAACATGACGAGGCCCTATTTATTACCAGGAGAATGTTGATTTCTCATCGTCTTGCCAAACATGAGTTTTAAATCTCAGTGACACATCTTCTCTGTGTCACTTTGGGTAAGCCAATTAAGCAGTAAGCATGTGGTGGACAAAACTGCCAGTTAAAACTTTAGATCCATGTATTTGAACTGGGCACTGTGCACATCCACCATTAAGAGTGAGAAGGTCCATTTCTACTGCAGTTTATTATCCGAGACTCGTCCCCCTTCTTTAAATAGACCGGTTAGGAATACTCTGGAACAAGCGTGTAATAGGGTGCCGTTTTGTTTTTCGGGTCTGACGCTGTTTTATGGCCGGGTCTTTGTTGTTTGTTGGATGAATTAATGAGGAGCCGGTGAACCCAGAGGTGTTCTGCTTTGCATAGCCTTTGACAGAGCTGCTGGCTCATAGTCTGGCTTTGTTCCTCATAGAGCCGCCTTCATCATTATCCCAGGAAACTCATTTTTGGTAGCACCCCCGTCAGGCTTAATTATATTTAAGCCCCTCAGTGTTTTTGTTTTGTTTTTAAGTATGACATTTTTTAATTGATTTAGATAAATCTGCCTTGAGCCAAAACAATGTTTTTCTATTCTGTTTTTTCTTTCCCCCCTACATCACAATGCCTTACTCGCTTGATATTATCTCTTTGTCAGGAGTGATGCTGAAATCAGGAATCTTTTCACAGACTGATATTTTTGACAGGCCTGAGAGATTGTATGCAAAATATCCCAGATTTAGACTTCTGTAATCTGCCACATAAAAGCTTAGCAACATTACAGATTCCTGGTCACTTCTGTTATTTAAAAAAGTAAAAAGCAGACAGTTCAATTGCTTAGGAGTGCCAAGGCTTCAAATGCTGAGGTTTCATGCGGAGGAACTGTTGGTGGTCTTGTAAGAAAGAGACTCTTTTGTGATAGAATGATCAAAAAGTGACAGATGCAGCTTGCAAACAGCATCAAGCTTTGAGATGATCACAGAAAGCCTCCTATCTTTTTTACTCTATTTACACTGAGCTATAGGAAAACTATCTTTGGCAGCGATTTAAAGCAAGAGTTAGTGTTACTATTATTACTGAGCTTGTCTTTTGTGATGTTGTGTTAAACATGTTTATTTCTTATCAAGCAAAAGTGTCCTTTTTAGTATAATCAATGGGTTTTCTTTTTCAAGTGCCCTCCTCACATGTGGGGTTCCACAGGGCTCCATTTTAGGCCCCCTCATTATTAAAATAGGCCATTATTTTTTCCCTGTAATGCTCAACTGTACATCCAACTTAAGTCTAGCAGTAATGATTTTTTCCCTGATTTTTTTCAGACTCCACTGACAACAAATGCTCAATGTGAAAATGCCAGAAACCTTGAAGTGGTTTTAGACTCAAATCAATACTTAAGAGTCCAAACTTTTTGTCCAAAGTTCTGCAGCTTTATTTTTGTCATCTCTGAATTCTTTCCAAGGTCAGATCATTTCTGTCTTTGTAGAAAAGGTTATCCATGCACTCATCACCCCCAGATTGGATGACTGTACAACTCTGTACTCTGGCACTAGCAAGAGGAATAATCATGGGCTTCAGTTAATCCAAAAGTAGAAGTAAACACATCACTTCCATCCACACTGATTACCACGGGTTACCAGGCAGTTTTTGGCCAATCACCACACTACATTTTCGATTATTCAACTTTTCATGCACTAGATGAGTATTTGAGATCCTCTTGCAGGAATTTTCGGATTGTTCCCGATCTTCCGCTGGTGTCCAAAGGTGATTGGATTTTTGTAGTTTAAGCCTCAAGCTCTGTAACTCTCTGTCAGAGGATCTCAGTGTCTTTTTGTCAAAGTAACAAGGTGTCTGTAAAGTGCCTTGTAAATAGGATTTTGAAAGGTGCTCTATAAATAATTTTTCACTTATCATTGTTGTAAAAGAACAAAAGGGGATCATGCAATTCAATCAGTCAATCATTGATTTAATTTTAGGATCAAAACAATTTTTTTGACTTTTTCTCATTTATTATTCTTTCTCATCTGTTACAGGCAAACTTTTCTACGACACCCTTTCCTTATGTAAGAGAAAAACACACCAACAGCTGCGTCTTGACTTCTGAGACTTAGACGCATACAATGCAGCACAATCTGCAACTGTTTGTTTTAATTTGCACTGTAAATCAGCGTCTCTTAACTTTTCAGTACATTAAAAAAACACTAAGAAACTTTTAAATTGCAAGTGTGCTGACTTTTTCAGATAGATGTGTGTAGACTTAGCAAGAGCTTTGATTTTTTTCTGTCCAGGGATTAAACAGAAACAAGGTAGCTGCCAGACCAAGTGACTCAGGGAAATAGAGGGACCCAGAGAAGGGAGGAGAAACCAGCCAGGGGTCAGAGTTGAGCTGCAGTTGAGGTCCTCAGAGCTGAGAGTGAAACACACTCCGATAAAAATGCTGCATTCACCTCTAGAGGAGCAAATCAAAGCTGAGCCACATAAAATGGTCAAAGTTATCTGGATTTAGCAGTTCTAAAAATGCCGTATTCGATATTTCTTCTTCTGCTTCTTGTTTCTCGTGAACAAAACCTCTTTATTTTACTCTGACAGTGAAAATTAGTGGTGAATTTCATGTCAATCCTCTGTTTTGGTTTATTGTTTGATTGGCATGTTTTTGTTATTATTTCTTTGACAGCTGTAATGGAAAGCCTTACTCATGTTGGACTGAAATCACTGTGCGCTCAATACCAGGGGTACAAACACAGAATTCAGACTGACGTCCATTGATGTGCAGATTAACGCCTCCTTTAATCAAGAAATCCTTTGTCTGAAAAATGTTATAAAGGAGAAAGAAATGCCAATTTTTGCACACCAAAGTCCAACTTAAAACCATCAAAAGTCTGATTTTGCATCACTAATAATGAAAACTCTAAGGACAATTGATTTCTTTTCAAATTGCCAAGAAAGCAGCTAGCAGGCATGTGTAAATGTACAATCTTGGTAGTTTCTTTCTTTCATTGTATGAATTTTAGTTGAGGTTCAAAATACATGTTCCACATCCTCACCCTCGTCTCCCATTTAATAGCATCGACTCCAGAAGGAAGCCCTTGAAGGAGGCATTCATCTTACTTTTTCTCTCCCTCTTCTTTCTCCTTTGTAGGACAGCAGGTGGTTAAGCTTGACAACCAGTTCAAGGTGATGTGTGTGGTTCTGCATCCCAGCAACCCCCAGGTGTTCCTGTGTGGAGGTTATAGTTCGGTGGTCAAAGCCTGGGACTCCCGCAGCTGCAAGGTCAAACTTATTAACCTCCTCGGAGTAGATTTATCGTTTTTATTAACTCTGGTTCACCAACTGCAGTTTGAAGGTAGGCATGGGACATATGCTCCATGTCGACGGCTCCCTCTCTCCCCTAACACACTGACAGTTTGACAGTTGTACAAACAAGGTAGAGTTGATTGTGCAGGACCAATGCTGTGCAGGGCTAATGTTGCTGCATGCATAGATGTAACTCAGCAGGTTCTGCTTATCTGGCTTATCATTAACATGAACCTTACACTGCCAATGAAGTTTTTGATTTAAAAATTCTGCCTAAATTTTCATGAGTAACTTTACCCAGATGACTATCTAAGTGGTTTTCCCGACAGGATGTCACATTTAGTCCAGCAGGGATCGCTTCCTCCAGTAGGTGTCAATACTGTTTCAGAGTGAGCGTAGACCCAACCTCAGCAAATTGGTTTTCAGTGCTGTGGTTCCTGGCTGTTTGTCAGTCTTAGCCCTTGGCTGTGTGTTACTTGCTCCAGGGTGAAATTACTCCACCAGATAAAAAGGGCCAGGACCCACAGGCACAACATTAACTTAACTTCATTAGGGTGATCTGGATGTGAGAGATTTCTTTATTAATTTCAAAAGTTTGGTTCTAGTTGCAAAGCAGAAAGAGGGCAGCAGAGGTTAAAGGTTCAATTGGCTGAAGAGGAGTAAAGCTGCTTTTATCATAGCTCTCAAATATGGCAGGATCTGAGCTGTGTACAGTTCTCTTTCAGGTTAATATAAAAGGTATGAGTGAAACATCAATTTGTACAATCAGGGGCGCAGCTGATGAACAGGTGGAGAGCTGTTAAAAAAGCCAGCCTCAACTCCACTTCTTCGCCTGTTTCTACATTAACTAAGATAGGCTGAGGCAGCATTTCTAAGTCCACAGCTTCAAAACACATCTGTAGAAACCAATGTGTGACATCACTTCATCTATGTTGACATTGTAAACATCCTTAAACACTTACTCTAAAGCCCAGCAAGTCTCTGACCATATGTACAACTTATGGGGGATTCATGCAAATTCGTGCATTTGTGTCTTTTTGCAGGTGGTAAACGTATACAAAGCAGGGATCCAGCAGACCTTGGACATCCTGTTTCTGAGAGGTGGTGCAGACTTTATCACGAGCTCGGACTGTGTGAGCAGAGACTCTGCAGACCGCACCCTTATTGCCTGGGACTTTCAGACCACAGCCAAGATCTCCAACCAGATCTACCATGTAAGAAAACACCCGAATAAAAGTCCCGCCTAGTTAATGCACAATGTTGAAAATTACAGCTAAAGGCGTAACAGCAGCTTGAATTTTAATAGGCTAATCACATTTGCTATTTTAAGGTGCGTTTTGTGAAAAGTGTTAAATCCTAAATGTGGAACAAGCTGCTAAAGACGCCTGTAGAGCTGGCATGCTTTGACAGCTACATCGTGTTTGAAAAGGTGAGAATGCTGCTCGGGGCCAGCTATTTAAAAAACGGCTTTTTATTCACCGCTAGGTGTTTCTAAATGTCTCAGTTCTCATACCAAAACCAGGTTTTCTGCTTCAAACTGAGCTTTTTAACTGAGTACAATAAGTCTAATGGATCTCATAGGTTCTTTTTACCAATCAGGGTCAAAGGAAAGAAAAACAAAATAATAGAAATAAAAGGTTGATCAACGAATGATTTCCCTCTCTGTCTGTTTTCCCCTTTCTCTTTTTGCCACCAGGAGCGATACACGTGCCCCAGCCTTGCTCTGCACCCACTGGAGGAATCTTTTGTTGCCCAGACCAATGGGAACTACATTGCAGTGTTCTCCTCGCAGCAGCCCTATAGAATGAACAAGAGGCGGCGGTATGAAGGACACAAGGTCGGTTATGACTGTGGCCTCAGGGGGGGTGTTAGGGATGGGGTCGTGGGGTTACACGTACCTCATCAATACAGAATGCACACAAACAACTTCAGCAGCCTTTCACATGCACACATATCTGAGCAAAGGCAGTGTAATGAACATATACGCAGAGGAAACATCCTCTGTGTACCAAAGGACAGATAGTGGATGTGCACAGATCCATAGCCTGCAGTGTTTCCTCTTCAAGGCAGCATCCTCTCTCTAAACAAACACACAAAGGACAACGCAATATTTCCACTGATGGAAGCAAAGACAGAACAGTGTGGCTGTCAAATATTACAGGGTGAATGTTAAGCTGCAATCACACTGTCCAGTTTGTTTGTTCGAGAAAAAATCAGACATGGGCAGATGGCTAACAGATTTCTTGCATTGCAGGGCCTGTTTTTTTTTTTCCCTTTGCCTGTGGCCCTGAAGAGCAAAACTCACCAACATTTGAACAATACAGAGGAGAACAATGCAGTAGACACAAGGACGTTTCATCTCTGAACCTTTTTCATGTTTTCTTCTCTACTTGGCAGCAAAAACACTTTGAACAGAGCTCATGTGTAAGCAGTCTTTGTAAAAACAGAGCCTGTCTGTGTTGGAAGTTAGATCAAAAACGGAGAACAATCAAAGAGCAGGATTTTGAAAATGTTACCTGATACAAAATTTTGTCCATTTGTTGAACATTACATTTCTCATTTCAGTAATGGTCTGTTAAAGATCCATTTTGGGCCGTTTTTTTGAGGCAAGAAAAGGTTCTGTAGAGCATCTGTTGTATTTATACTGCACTTGATTACTAACACCAATAGTATGCAATAACCTAGAATAAGTTAGGATTATCAAGGGACAGATGCAAAAACTTTGATTAAATTTCATAGGTCAAAGCCTTTTTATATTTATTTTTTATAACAGCTTACTTGCTTAATGGTTTAGCAGACTAAGACTAGGGGTCTCCTCCTGGTCTTATACACCACATTTTTAGTCTAAGATAATTATTAAAAAAACAACAACACTGGTATCAGAATCGGCTATTAACTGAATGTTTATTTTTAACAGTGGCATCAGCCTTGGTTTTCTTAATTTACTCATAATTTAGAGTTTTTGTTAGGATTTTTTCAGCGATTGTGAAATAGACTTATATTTTTACTGCCGCTGTTTATGATACATAAAAGCAAATGAGAACATTTGTGAGAAGTATTTTTAATGCCTCAAACTGTTATGATGCGGGTAGGTGTCAGCTGAGCAGCTAAAGAAACAGCCTTGTTTTTATAAGTTCAACACTTATAGTCAAAGCATATAATGCAGCACTTTTTACTTTTTTTAAAATTCAAAGTCCACTGTCTAGAAAGGAGAGTAAAAGAGGAAACAAACTGAATATTCCAGTGTGTCAATATGGCTCAGAGGATAAGAAGACTGACTGGCACTCCTGAGGTTGTGGGTATGAGCCTTATCCAGGGGGAGGTCAGTTTTAAAGTCTAGTGCCTAGAAAGGAGAATGAAACTGGAAACAAACAGAATATTCCAGTGTGTCAATATGGCTTAGAGGATAAGAAAACTGACTGGCACTCTTGAGGTCTTGGGTTCAAACATAATCCAGGACGAATTTTAAAGTCCAGGAGCCAAAGTACCAAGATAAAAGGAGGCATCTCTTGCGTGTTGAGGCGGTTTCGAACCAGGGCTGCCCGCTTGACTTGCATTAGGGTGTCAGTTGTCTACCGTGCTGCACCACCGGATACCATCCACACTTGGGGATGAGCTCTATGCCCTTTTATCTTGGTACTTTGGCTCCTGGACTTTAAAATTCTTCCTGGATAAGGTTCAAACCCACTACCTCAGGAGTGCCAGTCAGTCTCCTTATCCTCTGAGCCAGTCTGACACACAGGAGAGTTTCGTTTTTTACCTATTTCACTCTCCATCCCTGACACTAGACTTTAAAATTGACCTCCCCCTGGATAAGGTTCAAACCTACAACCTCGACTCCCAATCAGTTTTCTTATCCTCTGAGCCATGTGGACACACATGAATATTCTGTTTGTTTCTAGTTTCACTCTCCTTTGTAGACACTAGACTTTAAAATTGACCTCGGCTTGGATAAGGCTCAAACCCACAACCTTAGGATTCTAAGTCAGCCCACTAACCCTCTGAGTCACTGAGACACAATCTTTACATATTCATTTTTTTCATATATTTGAATTTCATCAGAATTGGATTTTTGTGCAGAAGACAGAATTAAAACATGTAGAGGACTAGATTGGCAGAGACTGATTTAAACTAGGGGCACCAAAATTGTCACAAACCAAAAGTTCATTAAGGGAGCTTTACAGATCTTTGACAACTTTTTGTTGTCTCAACAATTAAAAAGTTCATTGTCTGCTGGTATCTCGATACACCCAGATCCCTGGTCATATCCTCACTCACAGTTGGACTCCTGGAATTTGCTCGGTGAAACTACAGCCCTGTTACATCCAATCCTCTGCCATAGTTAGAGGTTAAGTGACTTGCTCGGGGGCATCCAGTTGCTAATAATGATGCGGAGGCAGCACCGTCCTCCTTACAAATTTATGCTGCTTCTCTGATTATTGAATCATCACACCCTTCTCACCATTGCCTGAGTCTGTAATCAGCTGTGTCATAACCCGCCGATTATGCAGAGATTTTATTATCCACATGTTAATTTGGCTCTTTGTGAAAGGTTTATGCATCATGACTAACACATAAACTCCTGTTCTAGGTGGAGGGATACGCAGTGCGGTGTGAGTTCTCTCTAGATGGCACTATCCTGGCCTCAGGAAGCTCCACCGGCTCTGCTCACTTCTACGATTACCACAATGCTCGTACTCTGCATACACTCTGCGCCCACAGCCAGCCCTGCCTGTGTGTGTCCCAGCATCCCGTCCTGCCTGCTACTGTGGCCACCTGTGACTGGGCTGGAGAGATCAAGGTCTGGCACTGAAGACTCTGAATTGAGGAGTAAATATAGACTCAAACATTAGGAGATGGAACATGTCAGCCAAGGAAAAACAGCTCTGTAGTACACATCCAACTTCAAGACTTTATCTTCTGCGATCTGTTGGCATAGAATGAGATCTTGGCTAATCTACTATCTGCAGACACCTGGAAGAGCTTTTTTTACACTTTGCATGATGTTAAAAACCACCCACACTTTTACCACCATTGGTGCAACTCACATGGGCACAGAAATAGTCCATTGTGTAGCTTACTATAGGTGTTAATCAGGTTTGGGCCATTCTACTTCGTCTCAGTGAGCCAAATGAAGGAAAATCACAGTTCAGCTGAAAGAAAGAGTCTTTGTTATGACTAATAATAGTGATTATACTGTTAATAAAGCTTTTTTCATCACAAAAGAAAAAACATCTCTGATTTTTTCATTTGGCATTCAGTAAACACAACTCTTTCCTCTTTGCTTTCCTCTGATTTGACATTTCCTTTCACACTGACAGCTTAAAGCATCGCAAAGAAACAACAAGAGAAAGCTAGACATCTGTCATAACACTGCCGGGTTCCAAAAACCTGCCAGTCAACAACAGAGGTGAAGTGTAAACAGACGTCTAGGATCTTTATTCAATATTTTAGTTAAACAGTCTGAAGTTACTCTTTATCTGAAGCTAAGCGATATTTTAATGACTAAGTACCTTTTTCTTGGGTAAAGGGCAAAAAATGATACCTAGTCTTAATAACCAAGCTTACAAAAATTAAATTAAAAAAATAAAAATATATATAAAATATATATATAAAACTGAAGGGATTGATATGGGATTATAAAATGTGGAATATGCACATATGTGTGGCCTGCTGACATATGTTTAGACACTGTTTGAGGGGCAAAGGTTCTTGAAATGAGTCATGTAAATGATTTTTCACTGAAGCGCACGGTGCATTTCCCAACACCCATCTTTATTAAGTAAATAAACATACAACAAAAATGTATAACCATGCATCAGACAGACAGATTTTGACATTTCGACAGCTGGCCTGTTGTTCCTGGAACAGAGCTGGAGGTAGGACAGGACAGAACCACTTCAGCCTCTTCATTCAGGGTCTTCACATTCAGTGAATATAACACCAACTCAATGCTCCATTTGAAAAAGGTATAGAGTTACACCATTTTTGTGTGCAGTATTTTAATGTTTTTATACAACAAAAATGCCATATTTTCCCTTGATCCCTGTTCATTAGTTCACTTTAATTCCAGACTTTTTTTTAGCTCCTTAGATACTAGCAAATAGGAATATGATTACCTTCTGGGGCTTTTATTTGCTGCAGTTTCGCTATCGTAAACACCACCAGGTCAAACAGAAGGGATTTATCTTTTAAGTATTTAAAACAGCCTTAAGCCAGTTCCCAGATCTGCAGGAGTGGGAGAGGTAGAAGCATTGCCTTCTAAAAAATAACATCCAGGACCTCTCTAGGGAATAGCAGAGGTCCCATTATTTAGCTTATCCCTGTCGCATTCCTTTTAGATCTGCAGGCCTGTGAGACAAAAGAAACTCTTAAAGATCTAGCATGCCAAAAAAAGTGCACAGATGTTTGAAATTTGTCTTGAACAACAAAAGGTGGGGTTTTCATCACCAACAGGACAGCATGTCTTTGCCATTTTCTATGTACGTAAATAAACACAGGCTTTGTCTATTTTCACAGTGTTTTCTCTAATTGAGCATGCTGGTATCAAAACAACACACTGTACAGGTTTGGATTTGACCGGCTGTTTCTTTCTTTCTTTCGCGAGTACTTTTTTTTTTTTTTCTTCTGTGAACTTTTTGTGCATACTTTGCTGAACTGCCAGCCAGCCTGGAGCATATTCCAATTCATCCCTCCAGAAAACTAGAAGATCCAGCACTTTTTTGTTTTCAGTTTGTGCAAGGAGCTCCAGAAGAGTGTGTAACAAGGCAGAGATTTGACTCCGCTTGCAGGATTTTCAGGCTGGGATCAGGCTTCAGCGTCACTGAAACTATACTCGACGCAAGAACGGACGTAATTATTTGACAATAAGCTGTGTGTATGTATGTGCCGTGTCTGACAGGAAGAACATGTGCTATAACAGTAGTGTATTTGTATAGTAACAATAGAGGAGATTTATATACTGTATGTACACAGTTATTAAGGCAATTCCACAAGTGTCCTGCTAAGAGGGCATATTCTGTGCAGTACAGACTGAGATTAAATCTTTTTATTTTCATACAAAAATAAGAAAAATTCCACTTTGTAGTTCCTTTTGATCATTTCTGCTGAGAGTGTTTCAAGTCGCACAATTTAACTGGTAATACATCAACTTTATCTTGTACGCCTTATCGTCATTTAAACACCTAACATTCTAACAGATAAGATCAGGAATTTTTAATTTCCCAAATAAGTTAAAGATTTAACATCAGGAACTCTTAGCACTAGATTTAGCGTTTCGCTATAAACAACACATGAGGTTTAAATATACTACACCTTTTTATAGCATCTTTAATGTAGCCAATAAATAAAATCCCTCTATATAAGTTCTGTTTGGGGGTAATGTCCCCCTGTGAAACAATTTAACCGCAAATGTGTTTGTACATCTTATTTATATGCATTAAACAGCATGCATGTCAAGAGAAAATAAATTGTTTTAACAGCTTGCAGTCAGCAGGGTCCACAATACTTAATTAATAAACTTTCTCCCGAACATATAATTAAGTCACCCTAAAGCACACACTTAATTCCATCATCCGTACTGTACATGAGCGCAGAGTTGATGGTCTTTTGCTGGTTTTACTAACAGTACTTGAAATTAAAAAAAAGAGCAAATAGCACAGTGTGTTTATGTAGCCAGAGCTGTGGTTTTATCTCGGTGGCTTTGAATAATCGTTATCCTCAGAACAAAAACATTGAATAGCTAATCAGGTAGCTACAGCTTTGCATGACATACATTGTATAAAAAGTGATGCAGACTGCAAGAAAAGTGTCTTGGCTAAGTAATACATGAGAAAACAGCAACCTCATACCTGATCACACCAAGTATGTGTTTGCTGCAGGAAATGTTGGAGACATACAGTACAGTACAGTACAGTACAGTACAGTACAGGAAGTTAGAAATCATCATCATTCTCATGCATAAAATAAAAAGCTTGCTCTTGCCACTCAGTTCAGCAGTGTACCGTATAGCTGCGCCTTGGTCAAACTGTCCTTCCTTGTCAGTCCTGTGCTGCCAAATTTTTGGTATCTTGGAGAGGTCTTCTTTGGGAGTGCAGGGCCAACGCTGACAGCTGAACTGGAGCTCGGTCGAGGCCGGACGCTCGGTCTGGGGGTGGGGTAGTGTTGAAGACTAGAGGCTTCAAGGGAGCTTTGGCGTAGGGACTCGGGCGAACTGTCTGCGCTCAGATTCACATAGTCCTTCTTGGTGCTGCTTGCCGCCGTTGCTCCCACACTGCTCTCCTTCTCTTTTGAGCTTCCTGAGAGGAACAGACTGCACTCAGAGTCCTGACTGTCATCCTTAGCTCGATACATCATGGATGTTTTCTCCTGTTTGCGATGCTCCATCGGTTTAGAACTGCAACTGGTTGAGGGGGAACCCAAATCAAAGCATTGGTCGAGCACACGACTGTGGAAGACATCATCTTCTTGAAAGCTGCTGTACAGGTTTCCTTTGACCTTCGTGGAGGGGCCCATTTCAAAGTGACGCTCAGAGAAACTGTACGGAGAGGCCCGGCCTGTGAGGTTACGGTAAGAGAATGTGTTGATGTCTTCCACGCTGAGCTGTCTCCAGCGGCTGCTTAGTTCATCCTCAGGGACCTGGATGTCACCTTGGCTGTCAAGGGTTCCCCCTCGGGCCTGGCCAAGTCCTGTCGTGGACCCCATACTGTGAGAGGAAGCCAGGCGGGGTGTACTGGAGTGGTACGGTTCACTGAAGCATGAGGACGTCCTTGTGTATGCTGGTGCGCTGCCTTTCTGTGGACTCCTGGAGGTCATTATGTGCTGGATGCTGAGAGACTTGGGAAAACTTGGGCTGTCTTTATCGTAAGAGGATGTGCTTTTGCGCCCATAGTCCCCACTGCCATCATCCCGCCACTCCATGTAGAGACCCTGGTGGGAAGAGGATAACGTGCTGCTTGCAGTGGGCCCGCAGCCACCACTAACTCCTCCCTTGTCATCTGATGCGAGGCTGAAACTGGAGTAAGTGCTGGAAGCAGGGAGGCTACCGGTGCCAAACTCATCATGGTGGTGGAAGGAGGATGGAGGCTCATGGTGGGAGAAGCTTCCAGAGTGGTAGGCCTCCTCTTCTGGATTGCTGTCTGTTGAGTTCTGGGCATGAAGCTGGAGCAGGTTGGTGCCATGAAGGTCAATGCTCTGCCTGCGCTCACTGTCTTGCCACCTTTCAGGGCAGTAGAGGGCCGTATCACTGCAGTACAAGTCAGATGTCTTATAAGCAATGCGGCGGTTCAGGTGATCGGTGCTACCTGTACCTGTGAGAAAATCTCCATCCTGTGGTTGTGGGCTTGGAGAGCGTGTTACAGGGCAGCTGTTTCCTGGTTCAGGCTTTTCCAGGACTTTGGCAATTATGGCTGTTGGCACGGCGTCAGAGTAATTGGAGTGTGAAACCGGTATGGTGGCTCCGCTACCACGATTATGTTTCTCAATGTGGGTGCTGATACGTTCCTGAAAGTCCAGTGGAAGCTGAAAAAAAAGAGAAAACAAACATTTAAAAAGAAGAAAAAGCTTAATGATGCTGGGAAATAAAGACCAACACACACTTTTGTGTTTTCGTGCAACTATGGCTTTTTCTCTATGAGACCATCAAGAGTTTGAAAAATCAAGTATTCCTTAAAATCCTCGACTTTTCTGTACAAAAATCTTGAAGGAACACTTGAAGCGTATTTGAGTTTTTCTGTATCTGCACTGAGGGTATTTTTAGAGCCGTTCCTGCAGGACTTAATTCTGTTGCTGTAGTTTAGAAAGTATTCATTCTTGCAAAGTTCACACAGTCAAGACCAACTGGTGGATCTCAAGGTAACTGCACTGCTTGGCCTTCCTAATAAACCCATCAGAGGACTGCTAAGCACACGCCTTTATCTATTTATCATCCTCTATTAATTCCTTTTCCTCCTAACGCAACTCCATTCATAGCTTTACCATGTATTGTTCTCTTAAATTTAACTCATGTCATCAATAAAAATCAAAAATGATGAAATTGTTTAAAAAATGTTCAACATAGAAGAATATTTCTGTCTTCTTGTCCTCTACAGCCTCCTCGGCTTCTTTTCCTCGTATACACATGCAGACAGACTTCTAATCTGTTTGATTGGCTCATGTTTAAGGAAATCTGTTCCTGTCAATTACAGACGGGTTCTTTGTGCCAATTAAAGCTGGTCAGGGTCAGAAGGAACTGTTCCTGCCACACTGATTTCTCTCTTTTCTTCTCCCTTTCTTAATCCTTTCATCTCCCTCCTCCTGCTCCACTGCCTTCTCAACCAAAGAGTTTTCATTCCCTCTCTCTCAGTCTCTTTTTTTCCCTGTCTCTTTATTCTGTCTACCATCAAACACATATCAGCTCCACAGGGAACGGCTTAGATTCAAATTAAACTAGTGCTCCAGGTCTCCAGCTGGGAATAGAAAAAAAAGATAAAATACTGACTTGGCTTTGTTAAAAAATAGAAGCTCGCTTTGGCATAAAATAACCTGCATCTTTTAAGACAGGGCTATTTTTAGCAGCAGCTGCCTCTCCCAGAGGGAATAGAGATGGGAAGTAGGTGAGGCTGTAAGAGAAGGGATAATATACAGTGTGTGCTCCAAGTAGGCTAGCTCAGCAGTAGCTGCTATCTCAGGCAGATCTTAATTAAAAGCCACACAGTTTAACAGTTTGAGTCCACGTGACGGCACGCATGTCTTCAGGTCCTGCTCCGCTTATAAGGAAGACGTCTAATGGGGTATAATTGAACTGGCTATTATTATTTAGCCGTTACAGCAATTTTCTACACCTCTTTAAAACCTTTTGATAACACTTTATTTGACGCCTAGCTCTATAACGCACTATGAATATATGTATAATGCATTATAATCATGTTACAGCACTGTATAACGATAGTTAGACTCACTGACAAAGCCCACATAGATAATGCAGTACAACTCTGACCTTGTAAGTCATGATAAAATGGTTTATAATGTGTTATGATTATTGCTATAAAGCATTATGATCATTTATGAGTGTTTATGACTATAGTTATACAGTGCTATAATGTAATAATAATGTATTATGCATATATTTATAATATGTTACAGAGATAGGCATCAAATATAGTGTTACCAAGCTTTTTCCTGAAAATATAACACTAATGAAAAAGAATTTACAGTTATGTCTCAAAACAGTTTTCAAATTTTTGTTTTTTAAGTTTTATTTTGTTACATTTTTCAGCAACAGCTTATAATCAGGTCTTAAAAGACACAAAATAGTGATGGAATATAATGGTAGCTATACAGTATACTGGTAATCAGTAAAAGATCTTTAAAAGGAAGTGAATGAGGAGAAAGAAATTAGCTACTGGTTTAGAGCACATGAAGTTGTTGACATAAGCAATATGCATAAGCAAAAATCTGTTTTTGCTAATTTGAAAGGTACGGTGCATTTTTATCATTTTATATGTCCTCAGCCTTCTTTGTTGTCCTTATATGTTGCTTCACTCAGTCACTAACTCGTTCTGTTGGGAGACTTTTCATCAGGTGTGCATCAGGTGTCGTCTCAGGCCAGGCTTCATTCATTCATTCATGCATTATGCATAGCCAGGGTGCAGACAGATGGCACTTCAGACAGCAGACCTTCATCAGTCTGACTGAAAAGGCCATGAGCACTGTGACTCTGTCGTATTGTGAAGACCGCTCACCAAGGCTTCAGTGTTACACTGACATGACACAGGAAACCTCTTTTTGTTATAGGAATAATGCAACACAGAAAGACGATGTTGAACGGTGATCATGCAGCCTTAATCTTAATCAGAAGTTTTAATTATTTATCTCATGGTTGTTGTTCCCAAACATGAGAGTCCTGATGCTTGTTTTTATAATTTTCTTGCAACTCTTGCTGGAGAAATCCTGAGCCTTTGATTCAAATTGTGATTTAAATTGCATGGTAAGCAGATCTAGTCTTAATACCTTTTTGCGGCAGATATATTATAAATTGAGACACAGATGTGGTGTAGGGGGGCTCACCTCGGACATCTTGTGTGCTCTGTAGTGAGACTTGGAGCACTGCAGCAGCTGGGCTGCCAGGTTGCAGTCTTTCCTGTATAGGTCCTGAAAAAGGCAGAAAGAATAACCTCAATCCCTGAATTCATGCTTCATAATCTTGCAGCCTGATGGTTCCAGTAAGCTTCTGACCGATGGGGATTATGTTCCAGCACCCCTGGGAGAAACCTGTCACATTTTCCATGTCAGCTCTCTAATTGTGGTGTAATTATTTTTTAATTATGGGGACTACTGGGGGAAATAATTACACAGTTATGCATTATACATGCAATGTTGGCGTGGTAGTACAGCAACAACACATCTAAATTGTATCCATACATCATTATGAGGCATTTATAACTTCATTAGCTGCTTTGAAAGATTTTTTTTTAACTTATATTAGAATTTTTTAGTACAGCAAAGGATATTCCATAGATTTTAATATGCAATAGATTACTCTATGGGAAAATTGTGTTAAAAAAAAAGGGTCATTTACTGATTTAGTGACCCATCAAATCCTAGAAGTAAGTTCATCAATATGGCTGGTAGAGCTTGATAACTTCACGAATAGTCCTCACCTTGGCAGTATTATTCCATTAGGTGGATATCAGCTTTTTCATGTGTAATATAACTTGTGTCTGTCCAGTAAAGTCTAATATGCAAATTTCACTTGGGGTTTCTGACATAGTGCTTCCACTTATCTACACCTTCCAGCACAGGAAGGCCGGTGCAGCCTTATTTATACCCTTCTGTGTGTTTTCTCTCTATAATAGATGTTTTTTAATTTTCACTTAAATTCCAGAGCAGAATACGGGTGGCCCAATGCCACAGCAGATGGACATTTTAATTGTTTTTTGTGTTTTCTGAATGCATGTGTGTGTGTGTGTGTGTGTGTGTGTGTGTGTGTGTGTGTGTGTGTGTGTGTGTGTGTGTGTGTGTGTGTGTGGGTGGGTGGTAAGCTGGTTTAGCCGGCTTTCAATTCCTCTCTCTCCTCTGTGAAATCCATCCACTTATAAAGGTCAGCTCTTACTGCATTGTAGCAGCCTCCCTGTGCCTCTGTCACACCGCAGCTCTGACAACACCCCTCCCCAACCCCTTACATCAGAGCCCTCATTTTGACACTTTATATTTAACACTGACTGCTTTCTGAATCACTCTGTCTACTTGTCATTTTGTCGCCGGGGGACATTTAGGCTTCCTGTAGTTTCCTGGACATTTTAAATGGACCTTTGAGACCCTTGGTGATGTCTTAGTTAACATCAGCTGTGTGCTGTGTTTCTCCTGGGAATGTTGGCCTGCTGCCTCAGTGGCAAGTCAGTATCTTTTAGGAAAGCTCTGTGTCCATTACACCCTTTCCTAAATCTGTCCTCATAACTCTTTAATGTCTGACATCACAAATTATGGCCAGAAAATTCTTTTATTTTATTTTTTTTGGAGCTAAAATGTTTATTTCACTTACTACTGAAAGCCAAAAAAATCAGAATGTCCTTAAAATTTAACATATATATTTATTTATCTCTTTTGACACATTAGATGTTTTTGGAAACTGATGAACTTCAAGAGGACATTTTTATCAATTATCGGACTGTATTCAGGTGTTTTTTTTAGTAATTTGTTGATCATATTGATTTGATAAAAGTATATAAAAGTATGTATCAAGTATGAGACAAAAGGCATTAAAGGGGTAATATGTATTTTATATAGTTTTATCACTTCTTAGTAAGCAAATAAAATACCTTTTATTCAACACAAATGCATCGTTGTACATATCATGGTATTGACTTGTTTCACTGTTTTAGAGTAAGCAGTAAATTCAGAGCCTGCTCCCCGGAGGAAATGCCTACACTGCTGCCGGCTCCAATGTGACAAATACTCTTCCCACTCAAAATGAACCTTGACTCCAATCAGCCTGGCCAGATCTGGGGGGATTCTCAAAATACTCTGAGGCTCAGAAGTGGTGAAAACCACCATTGACCCTTGAGAGAAGATCTCACTAACCTCGCCTCCCCCTCCAGTTGAAATACAAGTTGAATCACTTCATAGAAAACGAGGCAGCAGACTGCCACATACCCTGCATACCCTGAGTTTAGAGAAGCCATGAGAGTGCCCGCTGTTTCCACTATAACCACAATGACACACTCTGTGGCTTAGAGTCAATTCCTCTTCTCTGCTGTGTCTCCTTGGAGCACAGGTACCCACCATGTCTCAGAAATGTATGCAACATGATGCTTAACCTATAGTTTTTTTTCAAGCCTCCACTAGAACAAAATACAGCTTTTTTCCTTGTTGCCATTTTTGTCTCCCTAGCAACCGATGTGATGCTGCTAACAAGTCTGGATTTCTGACCAGACAAGGAAAGCAAATGCCCCAGGGTCTCTGATCTCTTTGGTCCTGAATGCCCCCAGGCTACTGCTTAATTCGTGGGTCTGCAGGCAACTTTAAAACCCCCCAGCAGGAGCTTCAGGAAGCAAAAGCATTTGCGCACAAAGCTGCCTGGGGTGTCTACTCACTGAAATTACAGTATTCATCCCAGTCTACTCACGTTGTCCTCTCTGAGTTTATTGATAGTGATCTTTGCCTCCATGAGGTGGTTGTTGAGGACGATGATTTCTCGGCTGAGGGCTCTCTTTTCCTCTTCGTGGTGGTGGGTCTGCAGTGAAAGTGAGGAAGAGTTGACAAAGGAGAAAAGAAAGGGGTAATAAACGCAGACAGAGCAGAGGATAAGAAGGCCAGGAAGCAAAGGTTGAGAGGAAAGGGTTGAGTGTTGAGATAACAAGAGAAATATGAGTAAGTCGAAGTTGGAGGGGCAGAGGAAGAGGAAAAACAGGAGGATAGAAGAGGTGGAAGAAAAACGAGAGGAAGCGAGCTGTAAGTCAGTATCAGTGTGAAGCTGAAGCCAGCAGCAGGTCTTAATTAAAAGAAGATTACACTTGCCAGCGCTCATATCATATCAATTACTCTGAGAGAAAGAGAGAAAGAAAAATAAAGCAAGTGAGAGTGAGAGACAGACAAAAGAAACACCCGTTCTATTTTCAGTGATTACTGTCAAAGAAATACAAAACCACCATGCTGGATTGACTGTTCGACCCTCGAACAGCACAGACTAATGATGCTTGTGTCTGTTCCAGGATGGTGTGTCTGCTCACTCTTATCTAACGGCTTCATTATTCATGGTTCCCAGAAGATTACACCAGATGGTTTGGGTGGCCCAGATCTCTCATCTTGCATTATTAAGCTAAAACGCATAATTGTACACTAAAACAATGAGATTGAATGATGAAATGAAAACTTCTTTATTTAGTCTCGTTCCCCTGAAGATGAACCACTTGAATTCCTACAAATCTACCAACACTCTCAGCTTGAAAAGGGAAACTTTCGCACAAATATATGTGCATAAAAAGGTTGTTATTAGACTGTGTTATACGATTATTATATTCTAAACCATTTAAATATCTAAATGATGTGAGCTTTAGTTGACATTGCAGCCTCTAGAGGCCGTCAGTCAAGTCTGTAGGCTGAGATCTTTTTTTTTTTCCGCCAAACACGCCCACGTGATCAAAAGAGCCGCCACACAGCGCCAGCTGATAAATGACACAGCTTTGAGCACTCAATTGGCCTCCCAACCCTCCTTCTTCTAATCTCTCAATGACGGTGATTGTTTTGAAATAAGGGGTTGCAGAACCAATCAAATAGGTAGCAATTAATGCCAGTTTAAGCAACAGGCCGGCATTGATATTTAAATCCAATACTGTTAAGGTCTCATTAATCTCCTGCCAAGACTTGCAGCTCCCTGGCACTATTTCTCCTGCTCATTAATTCATATTTAGTGATGTTGGTCGTAAGGGTAATAGCATTAGGGCATTTTGATATGTGATGGCTTTTTGTTATAATCATGTTTTATTGTACCAAAGACAATTTTGGTCTCATTATCCTCATTACAAGTGATGTAATTATTGAAAAAAAACTAATATTCCTCGGTTCATTTGGATAAAAAGGAAACCAAAAATCTATTTAAAAGTTCTAATATTTAACAGAAAATCTAACCATCAATATTTTTTTTTATCATACTTGTACACTCCAAAGAGAAGTGGGTCAGTTTTAGGTAGATATTAAAAGACGTACACTGCATGTCTTTAGTTAAGCAGCAGAATAAAAGTTTATCCCTGTCGATTCCTGAGGTGAAATATCTAGCTGGTTGGCTGATCAACGTTCCACTATGTCCACCAACTAATCAATAAATGTGTTTGTGTAACTTTGGTGCTAAGCAGGTAGATGGTGGTGTATATCTAAAAGTTTTTTGTTTCGTTTTTATCTTTTAATGAAAAAAGAAAGCCTGCTACACTGATAAGAGAGGTGAGAGTAAATCAAAATGGCCCTACATGTTAGCTAGAAAACCAAAGCAATGAGCTAAGAGACATTAAAATCCTGAACTTTCAGGGTTTTGAGTATTAATGCTATTTAATGTCACTCACTACCACTACTAAGAGCCGAGGGGATCAATGATGGAGGGACACAGTGATTGTCCAGAAGCTCAGAAGTAGGCAAAGTTATTCAATGACTGAATGTTATGCTATGTACTATACTGCTTTTTGTGCCTCAGCTGTATAACTGTCAATTTCCCTTTCACTGAAGCTGCTCCTGGTTACTTTCATAACTACACTAATTTCTTGTATCTTCCTGCACACAGGTGCTCCACATGCTCATGATTAGGCATACATTTGGAAACAGAGACTATGTACAGATAATAATGATCTTAATGGGCTACTACTACTACATACTACTACTACTAACAACAACAATAATAATAATAATAATAATAATAATAATAATAATAATAATAATTGATATTATTATTATGATTATTATAATGTTGATGGTGATTATTATTATTATTATTATTATTATTGTTAACCCTTACACTTTGAAAGAAACTCCAAATGGTCTGAAATGTACTCCTAAGTAGGTCCTGGACAGTGATTTTAATCCTAACCCCTAACCCTGATCCTAAAAACTTTTGAACACAACGTCGTAGAGACTTCACACTACACTATCATGGCCAGAGGAAGAATCTCAGCAGCTTTCGCTTTTTTTTTTTTCCTCTGTCACCAAGAAGCTCTTATCAGTTTGTGCCACACATAGAACAGCATCAAGGAAAATTAATATGCAAATTTAGACTATCGCATCTCAAGGAGATTGACCCAGAAAAGGAGAATATCGTTTCTCACCACAGAGTAGTTTAGAGACTCACTGCCTTTCTTCTCTTGTGTTTTGACCCTTATGATGCAACTTTCGACCGTCAATCAGCAGATAAATGACCAAGATGTTTGGACATGTGTTTAAAACCTGACTCAGCCCAAAAAGGTCAGTTCTTCTCTCTATGTTGAAGCTATTCAATAAAATAAAACGATGACAACACCAGAACGAAACCTTTGGAGCTTGTTTCAATTATTGATCAGAAGGATTTGTTGAATTGAGGGCAGAGTGTTAAAAAAAGTCAGTGTTTTTTTTTTTTTTAAGACTGCCCCCAATTTGTTTTAACGTATTCTTCTGGAGATTGTGCATCTCTGCTGGACAACAAATGAAGCAGGAATCCCATGAGATGCAATTACAGAAGTCTGCAGTTCACAGAGAAGAGCAGAAAACTCCACTTCAACTAAGATGCAGTCTTATTTTACATAGAAGGAAAAGAGACAAGAAACAAATGAGATTTTTTCAGCCTCATTAACGAAGTTTTTTTTTTTTTTAATGCAGACAACGAAGGTAACCGACCCCAATCACCTTAAAGGACACGCACAGATGGGTGGAAATCTGCAAATACAGCTCAGTTTGTGTCTGATGGAGGTAGAAGATAATGTCAGACCTCAGCCAAATCCATTCAGGTGGTTTTACAGATACTGCTCACGTAACACAAGGATTTTCTTTCCCCAAGAATGTAAGACATTTTTGTTTTGCTCTTTTTATTTCAGTTCAATTTTGTTTTGTCTTTTACTCTCATGAAGTGTACAAGCTACACTGTCGGGAAATCAAACCCAGTGGACAAAAAAATAAGCAAACGCTGTTCTTGTTTGCTGCCAACTGTTAAAAGATGAGGCTGTTATCCCTCTAAAGAAGTCCTTTAAGAAAAAAAAAACACCTAATAATGTTCTAGTCTGCTGCAACACAAATTTCTGTCCCAGTCTATCCTTGAGTCTGAGACCTTTGGTTCCTGCAAAGATAGAAATGTTCAAATCTAGTTACTGTGGGTTTTTGTGTCTTATTTGTTGAGTATTTATGGATTAGTGTAGTGTATTGCCATCTTTTTGTCAGGCATATGTTGTTGATTATGTGTGTAAAAAGAAGCTTACATGACTTTAAAACAAATCTACCAATGGACGACAGACCCAATAACCTAACTCAATCTAAATATAGGGGAATAGTGGGGTTATTCCAATGGTAGATGAGCTGCTCTTCTAGTCACAGTACATGCCACAATCACCCATTTATGCACAGATGGCTGAGTCGGCTACATTTAGTGCTCATAATATTACCTCATCCCATTCTAATGGGATGAGGTAATACTCTGGCTGTGCAAATAGGAGAATTTCAGTGTCTCGCCTTTGGACACGTGTACATGTAGACAGCAGGAGCCGGGATGAACCTGCCATCTTACTACATGGATGGGAGACAGTCAACTCCAACCACTGAGCCTCAGCTCCTCCAGCCAAGAGTGTACCCAATGTGTCTGTTGTGTGGTTTTAGAAATCCATCACCCCATGTTAGGCAAAGCTGTCATTACACAACAAAGGAAAATAAAAAAGGAAACAAAGCTAAACTCACATTAATTTCTCCAAATTTAAGAATTTCTGGAAAAGTTGTGTGCAAATATTACAACTGAATGGGAAAAAAAGAATGAAAAATAACAATAAGCTAATAGATAGGGCTGCGTGATAGAATAATAACGGTATATATATCAAAGATTAATTTCCCTCAATATCAATATAAAACATGGTCAATGTGCTTTTCAATAGCCGGCATTCTGCCATGTTTTGGTACTTGCCGAAGTGTAATTTTGATAGGAGAGTGACAGTCGTGTTAATAGCACTAAGTAGCAAACAACTGCGTAGTAGCAGGCTGCAGCTACACGCAACCATAGCACTTTAACACGTGAAGCCAACAGCACTGAGGTAGACAGCAACACAAAATGAGTGCTACCCCCGGCAGAAATGCAGATGAAGGCTCAACAGACGATGACATCATTGACAACACTGATACGAAAACAAGGAGCCATTGTTTTTATTCCTGCAGGACTCTATTCATATTTGTTTGATGTTTTCATTATTCTTCTCTTTTTCAATAAAGTGCACAAACATCTATTTCATGCGCCCTTTGTTTTAGATTTAGATGAGAACGCCACAATTAATTACTGGCCAATCGTTGCCATGCATGACAAACTGAACAACTTAAAAGCATTGATCGCGAATCAGATATTATTGATCATCTTAATGTCTTTTGTACAGACGCTTGGCCAAGTGAGAAAAGATCAAAGACCCCAGAGATTAGACTGAGCCTCTGTGTTTCATGAACAAACACATAAATAATTCTGATGGATTCTGATGGGGGACTTTGTGTGGAGTTCAAACTAATTCATTCTTCATTATTGATCATTCAATTGATCAAACCTTCAGATGAGAGATGATTTATTTAGTCTAGAGAAAATGACAAAACGCTGACAAACGCCCATTAAAGACTGTTTTTATCTTCATGAACACTTTACATTGTCATGGCGACACAGGACATTTGACGAATATTGTAACTGCTTTTTTATTTCACAAAGGGATTTTTAGAATCAATTTATAATTATATTATCAAAAGCTAACTCAAATCACATCTCACAATATTCTAGATAACTCCTTCATGTCAACAACTCAACGTTCAGCTCCTCTATCAATCACTTGTCACATTTATGAAATTGCACTGATATGGTAAACGGATATAAGCACTTATAAATAACTGAAGCCCCTTTTCGGCACAGATTATTGGAAATGCATTAACATATTAGGGAAAAACACAGCTGAAATTGTAAAACTAATGAAGTCAGTGAGAGACCCTGCGCCCTTATACCTCAAATGTCCTTAAAAACTGTATAACGCTTTATCACTATTGGTTACAGATCATTTCTAAAGCCATTTACTGTATCTACATTTGAAAACATGCACAAAAAAGGGACTAAAATCAACTTAATTCAAATTAAAGTGCTGCAATAGGAGCTGTGATTTGCCAGACCAAAGGGTGAGGAGCTGGTCAGATGGTGAAAAACTACAGGTTTGCATTGACAGTGAACCAGCCTGCAGTAATGATGTAAAAGAAGTGAAGCTGAGCAGAGTGGTCTGTAAATAGTGCATCAAGGATTTCATTATTTAATCTAAAACCTCTGAATTTAAAACAAATACAATTGAGTTAAATGTGTGATTATTTGCCCCTGAAATATAGCAGAACCTAACTGAAGAAGAGCGTAAACAGATATGGCAAAAAGATTCCTCAAACTGTGCTCACTTGAGTTTATTTCCTTATTATTCGCTAAATCTACTTGTTAATTATATTATCAAAAGCTAACTCAAATCACATCTCACAATATTCTAGATAACTCCTTCATGTCAACAACTCAACGTTCAGCTCCTCTATCAATCACTTGTCACATTTATGAAATTGCACTGATATGGTAAACGGATATAAGCACTTATAAATAACTGAAGCCCCTTTTTCGGCACAGATTATTGGAAATGCATTAAGCATCCTTGAAGGATTGAGAGAAACAATGAATTTCAGCACCATGGACAGCTCCGTTACGACTGAGGGACTACAATTCAACCACAGCTGGTAACATGGAAACTATCTTAGAATTTATCTGCTCAGATCTCCATGGTATATTTAGAGTTTTCTCAAACAGAAATAAAATAAGCTGACTAACAAACTGTCTGTGAATCTGAATTATCTGCTTGCCCCAGTGCTGTCTCATAGGAGGCTGGGAAATTTAATTTGAACTCTTACTAAACAGTCTCACAGGCGCTGGGCTATAACTGGTTCACTGCTGACTGTAGCAAAGTCAAACTGGAGCAATGTGATTATTTTTATTAAGTAAGGACAAATGATGTGTTATTTTATTCATACAAACAGTTTTATCTGCCGCGCCGTTTATCGACAAAATTGACAGTTTCCCTTTTGATGCACCTTGAGTACTTTTTCATCAATGTCATCACAAAGTGAGTCCGACAGTCATTCCTGGGTGTTAGGCTCTCGATTTGCTCTTTTTGAAATGGTTTTGTTCGTCACAGTTCCTTTTTGACCTTGCCCGTTCAGGTCTTTCAGTACTTTTAATTATGTGTCTCATTTGATTGGCGCTGCCTTTATCGCTGCCTGCCTGTCTGGACTGTCTTCTACAAAGGAACATATCCCTCCCCCCTCCTTGAAATGCCATTGCATGACAAGACATCAAAAGAAATGGCAATCCCGATGAGGCCTGCCGCGAAAAAAAAAAAATTCCCATACTGTCTCCTGCCATGAAGACCGATTTGATACACCAGGGCTCTCTGCGAGACAGACGATCCCTTTGAAAAGCCAACAGTTTTTAAAATCACTTTCACATGATGAGAATGCGTTGATGCAGTGAGCGCTGTAATAGAAGGATGATCCATGATGGGGAGACATTTTAAGGCTCTCTGTCTTTTCACAATACAACAAAGCGAGAAGGATTACACTGACCCTTCGCCTATAACAAGCAGCAAATTCTGCAGGACAGATGCTGTTGTAAATGGCCGTCTTCTGAGTATACAGTACTCCATGTCATGTCCGCGGTGATTTATTTCAATTTTCACGCCACACTGGTTCACCATCTCAAATAACTTCACTGAGGATTCATCCAGCAAATCTCCATTATCTGCTGCACATCAAGATTTATGTCTATTCACAGTAACATAAGGCTCCTTTAAAGGGTCACTTCACACAAGTTATTACTGTGCCGTGTTATAAATAATTAATAACAACTCAAAAACTAATCTCTACGTCTTCCATCGAGTCCTGCAACAGCTGTGTTTTGTCCGTTTTTTTAATTTTACAGTTGTGTTACCTTGACGTAGAGATTCATCGTGGAGATGGACATGATAAGTTATGCCTGTTTATAAACTTAAGCACTTGACTCTGATTGGTCAAAACCATCAAAGTTGTGATAAATGGTCAGCAGCAGAAGCGATCCTAGGAACAACCTCAACCCAAGTCAAATCCCTCAGCCTGGAGAGGAGCCCCACATACGTTACCTCTGCCTGCTGACACAATTGGAAGAATATGTTTTATGCTACTTTTAATACATTTGGAGGGCACATAACTTTAGTGGTAGTGACCTTGGCAGAGTTAAAGGACTGGCTGTGTAAGAAAGAAAGGTCAAGAGAGTTTAAGGACATTACAACGTTACCCTTCTCCTGTGTTAGGGTCTGCATCGACACGTTTTTGTTTTTAAATGCTTTAAAAAAAAAAAAACACATAAAATAGCTTTTTCACATCAAGACTTTTTGACTTTGTCAGGAACCTCTATTTTAACTTCTATATAAAAAAATTAAATTGACTAAATTATAAAATGCTCTTATTAAAACTATGGCACTTATTGTGTTAGGGTCGCTGTTGACAGAGTTTGATTGAAAATCAATAATTAGAGCAAAAACTAAAATCATAGGTGCACTTTCAGGCACCACACTGACAGTCAGATTCTCTTCAAATGATGTGAGATTTAGGAAATTCTCATTTTGCCTGTTTTTCCCTGCACAAAAAAACAATGTCAGGCATGTCCAGACATGTGAGATCAATTCAGTATAGATGTCTGTGTGAGGGGTATACTGACAAAGAAAGGCCAAGAGGTCTACTACAAAACTATTATGAGCAATATAATGAGGCCTAACAAGGTAACCTAGAGATGAGAACCAAACTCGATGATAGAGAATTGTTTTTAGTGTAATTTACAGCTGATTTAAGACGCTGGTTGTAACCGACCTGTGAACATATTTGGTGCGTAGAAAATGCTAACACAGGAGGAAGGTTAAATCAGGTGTTATGTTTAAAATACAGTAACAAAAGTTAATGTTAACTTAACCTGTGAGCTAATTAGAAAATACTGCTGCTGTGGGACTGTCATCAAAACAGAAATGAAGGAGACCGCTATAATGATAAATCATTTTTAAATCACTAAAATCAAAATCTAATGATTAAATTTTGTACTAACTTGGTTATTTCTTTGGTTACAAGCTAACGCTACATAATCTCTTATATAGACACTAGTATAAATCTACAGATCTAATGCCAATCCTGTTCCAGTTTCATGGCTATTAAATTTAACAATCTCATTAAATTACAGACACTCACAATAATATTCAGAGCAAGATACAAAATGTTACCAGAAAACCTGCAAAAGTTGTTTATTTTCAGTTCAGAGGATGAAGAGCACAGACAGTGATATAATTTTAATCACCAGTTTGCTCGGACAACTTTAAGACAGATGTGTAATTTCATGGTCGGGGTTAAATCGTAGCATCCCCTGCAGAATAATTTGAAGGGCTGCACAAATATATTTCAGTTTAAAACAAAGTATGAAGAAAGTATTATAACAAAATATGAAGCCGACGAGTAGTGTTATGTGATATGCATACGTTCTGACAGGGATGCTGACTTTGATTTTGTTCGTTTCCTTTTATGTGGTTGTAATATTGTTTGTAAAGTTACAGGAAAATAACCTGAAGTAGACAGACCATCTTACATTATTGCTCATTTCTGTTTTGAGTGAGGGGCAGGGTAAAATAAACCTTGTCTTCTACCTGCTTCATGTGCTGTGCTACAGTTGTTAAATGCCTTTTGTATTAATGGAAATGCTTAAAATTGGCCATAAGCGGAACAAATAATAACGAAATGAAACAAAATGAAAGTTTAGCCACCCTGCCAGCAGAAAAAGATATCCTGCTGTCCACGTTTCTCCCATGCCTGTGCTCCTGATCCCAGTCTTCTCCTGGTCCTATGTTCATACTTAACTTATAAGTGTGATATCAATCAATAACCAATAACCTCTCAGTCCTCTTCCATTAGTGTGTACGCTGGACAGAAAAGCCTCATAGTTCAGACATCTGATGAGATTACGATCCACTTTAATCAAGACACTGTAAGTCATAAGAGACAGAGCTGGGCTCATCTTCTGCTCTGGTTCTGGTGGATAGACCCTAAAAGCAGAGGCTGCGGCTGAATTCTCCTGAGCTGATTTGATTGGACAGCTGCTGCTGACTTGACCAGAACAGCAGTTAACAGTAATAGTTTTCTAACAGAGTTGCTCAGCAGGTAAGAGCAATTACTTTGGACATTGATTGTGCTCCCTTTCTTTGATCATGTAATTGCTTTGAGAGAGATGAAAGCGTTTCTGCTGCTAAACAGGTGCGCCCCAATCGATGATGGTAGATTTCTCATTTCTTAGACAAGAGAGAGGGAGAGAAAAAGAGAGAGGGAGCAGGAGGAGTAAATGTCATCATCATGCGTGCCATATCAAATCTTTATAAGACTAAAGTTTAATATTTCATCATTCATCATAATTGCTGTGTTTATGGATCTGAAGCCTGTGTAGTTATCTTTATTTTCTTTCTCTTCTGCCTCTCAGCTTTCAACTTCAGTCTGGCACGTCTCCAGATATTTTCCCTTTCAAAAGAGGTCGAGGGCTCTCAGCGTGGTTTTAAACACTTAATACGGCCATTGATCTGTGTTTGAGTGCGTGGGTGCAGACTGCATTAAATTACATTACACACATTTAGCAGATGCATTAGTCTACAAACATCATGTCTTACAGTTTAACAGACTTAAAAGAGAGGAGTGTCTTTTTATTGGTGTGAAAGTAAAATTGCTTATCATTATGAAAGGCATATAAATTTTTAGAGTGCACCCAATGTTCCCACTGGATGAAAAGTGTTTGTTTCTCTAATTTTAATATGAAGGTGAAAGCTCAAAAATAACTTTCAGACTCTCAAGAAGCACAAAATTATAAATAAACTGGGCCACATTGATAATGGATTACCTACAGCTGCCTTCATCTCCTGACAAAATGGCAAAGATTTATTGGTTGTGAAGTATTTATGGACACCCTCATGAGGCAATTTGAGTTTTTATACACAAGTTTAAGATAATTCAACTGATAAATAAATATCAAATGTTTTTAGTGGTTTTCAAAAGTTTAAAAAAGTTTCTCCATGATTTTCAACTCTAACTGCAGGCTTTATATTTGCTTTTACAAGCTTCTTGTTAAATTTGACCTTCTGTGTCATCTCTTTTTATACTAAAAAGTCTTTTTTTCCTCTTGGATTAAAAATCATAAATTGTGCACTTTGTAAAGCAGAGAGATGAGGTCGTTTTTGCTGCCAAGAAATCCGCTTTTCTCATCCGTCCTTGTTCCACAACTTGCTTGAAGATAAACTTGCCAGTTAATATTGCCTGGTATCTCATCAGGACTTTGTCTTTTCGAATAAATGATTCAAGTTCAAGCTTCAGGTCACACATTGTTGAGCTGAGTGAACGTGTGTGTCTGCAAGTAGCTAAGTTTACCAACACTTATCACCTTTTTAAATCTTTTATGAGTCTTGGAAGAAACTTTGGTTTCGCAGGTCATCTTAATACGATGAACAATCCACAAGGGTCAGGAAATGTATGAGTGTACAGAGTTAGGCAGGAAAAGTAGTAGCACAGTGTGGAAAGTTGTGCAAGCTGTCTGAGTCCCACGAGTTTGAGAAGCTAGAAGGATGCACGTCATTATTCCTCCTCGAACGAGTCCATCAGACATCTTTTTTTCAGTATGATTTGTTTGAGGCCCTTGTAAGAAACTTTGGGTTTGCGTCAGTTTGGCGGTCCCTGAGGACAAAGACGTCTTTACAACCTCTGACCCAAAACCCCCTCCTGCTGACTTTTGACAGCCTATTGTAAAGTTTTAAATGAATATTTTATGCAGGAATTGTAAAAATGTCTGTTTTCAAGCTGCTGGGCTGACATCTACGCCCTCACAGAGGTTTGAGGCATTAAAAATTATGATATAAAATTTGTTTCGTGTGTAATCGTCTTAGATAGAGATATTAGATTAAGATATTTTCTATTTACATTAAAGAGTGCTAATCAGGTAAATCATTTTTGCTCAGTTTTTACATAAACAGAATTGCTGAAAAAGATAAAAACAATATCAATAAGTATAAAAATAATAAAATTAGAGTCGTCATAGTTTTGACTATATGACAGTACAAACTAAAGTATAACCAGAATGAAGGGGAAAGAAATACAGAACACAAACATACACAAATAATAATGTTAATTATACAAAGTTGAGTTAACATCATTATATAAATAGTGAAAAAAAATTGTTAACATCTTTAAGTAAGATGAAGTTTGTCTTCAAATGACAAATGCAAAGGTGTGGATATTTTTTGAGATAACATAATGAAACCGTTTGGGAAAACTATGCAATGGACTAAAATGTAAAGCAAATAATTTAAAATGAATATAAGGCCCCTTCTGGATATGATATTAACATATTTTTCTTATCAATGTCCAAAAAAACAGCATGTTGTTGGCTTCTACATGTAAATACGACAAGCTTAAATGGCATCTAAAACCCTGATTGTAGTAAAGTATTTCTGTCTGAAAAGTTAAACTTGAGTGAGCCAAAATGTTATTAGCTATACGAGATAAAGCAAATAAAACCTTTAAACCCTGAAAAGTGACTTTTACATCCCTTAAAAAGGGCTTTTTAATCATGGAAAGACATTAAATGAGTTGCTAAGAAAGTTCACTTCAGGGAAAGGCTGCAAAATTAAAACAAACAAACTAACAAACATGGTAATATCAAGGCTTTTGTTTTAGATGACCTGTTAAGCTCTTTTGTCAATGATATTCAGGTTAAAGCTGCAAAAACCTTGGCAGGCATCTCTTACCGTCCTGTGCATCTTGTCCTCCAAATCCTGGTTGATCCTCTGAAGAGCCGCATAGCTGCTCTGGATCCTGAAACAACAGGAAACGGATCACAGCCTGTTAAAAATGGCGAATCACACCGTATGATGAGTGAAGAATATATTACTTTTCACACAGCTAAACAAGCCACAGTAATCGCCACATAAATTTAGACAGAGAAATAAATAAATGATGAGATCAGGACGCTGACAGAAGAGTCTCAGAGGGGATTTGCAGGATATTTTAAGTTCTGACTCATATTTGAAGATCACTCAGGACAAAAGCTGCTGGGCCAAAACACAGAAAAACAGAGTTTATGATATGTTTACCACCACTGGAGGAGATACTGTGAAATCCTTTAATATTTGATGGTAAGAAATCAGTAAACATGCATAATCTCACCAACATGTGGAGCTTTTAAAGTTTCTTTCTCTTAAGCGCTTTTTTTTTTTTTCTATAACCTTGTCCTCTTCTCTCTCTCTTTTCATTTCTCGCATTTTTATTGATCTTTGGTAGACTTGCAGTGCATTAGCGAGCGTAATGGAACAAGGCCCTGACTCCCTGTTTGTTAACTTGTTCCCCAGTGTTTTATCATGCCACCTCTCAGCTCAGTATCACACTCTCACATTAGCTCTCAGGCCTCACACTGTGTTGATAAACCAACATTTATGGCTCCATTAAGCAGGCAGACATGGAGGGTGCCGGCAGAGGAAACAAAAAAACAAATCATAAACCCCGATTGTGATTGAAGAGGGTAGGACGACCATGGAAGAGAGAGGTGCGCTGATTTATGAGAAACAAAGAGAGAGGCCTCGGAGGAGAAGGAGATCTCCTATTAATAATGTGTAAGGCAGCTTTTTATGTCTTCAGCAAACTTTGCCAAACATTCAGATGGTTAAAGCTAAAACTGTGAGTACGGACTGGGTCCTGCCAATCATAGTTAAAGAAAAAATTGGAACTTGTACTTTTCCGAAAAGGACCAGACAGGTGGCTGGGCTGTCTGCTTTCCAAATTAGCGAGTTTTCGAGCCAGAAACAAGTTTTTGAAAGAGTCATAAGTTGAAAAAGTAAAAAATAAATATGCACATATAAGAAATTCAAATGAGAAAATCAGAGGACCACAGAAATGAGCTTGTTTGGTGCTTCTAGTGCTGCAAGGAAACAGAAACAACCAATTAGGTTAATGAGTCCAAAGAGGTCTGAAAGGAAGTCAATAATAGTTTTGAGTACAGTAAGTTTACGGTCATCAATATCAGAAGGCACACAGTTGAGGCTATAAGTCATTGTTTTCTGCATAGACACTATATACGTAGATGCCTCGTTACGTGCTGGAGCGTAATCCAGTGTCGCCGCCATGTTGGATGGGTCTTCCTACTTCAGGTTCGCTCAAAAGCCAAACGGGTCAATGGAGAACGAGCAACTATGCCCGTATTTTTGCACTCTATGGTTAAAAACCCGTTGCAGTATTGAAACCAGATCACGTAGGATTACATTTCCCAAATAGGATTGAAAAATAATTTGGTTCATTTTTAATGTGTGATATTGTCCTGTATTATGGCTACATCCCTGCCATTGTAACAAACCAAACTGTGAAAATTGGGCAGAGATTCATAGAGTTGTTATTAATATGGTTGGGCATTCCTACCTACCTTAATGCACTGGAGGCACATGGGGGACCCATCCAAGATGGTGGCCGCACTGATACATGAGCTCCAATAGGCAGCGCCAGGCTTTGAGGCGTCTACGTATATTATGTCTATGGTTTTCTGCCTGTATCAGGTACAAAGACGCTGCTTTTGAAGGAGAAAGTAGGTTTTTCTGGCTCTATTTAAAATATGTATAAAAATAAAGACTAAAAGTAAAGACTTTCAGACCCCATCTGAGTTCTTCTTATCTATTTTTGTTATTTCTTTATTTATTATTTTCCTGTCTCCGTCAATCTGTCTTCCCATACTGAGAAAGAGACTGTTGAAATCTGATTGAATACTCTGCCATGACCTGACATGACAGCTTCATGATATCAGGTCAATGTCAGGTGTAAGGCGTCAAAAAGAGTAATGAGTGTGAAACTGTGTGGTGCATCATGGATTAAACTAGACTGTTGAAGAAAAGAGAAGTGCGTTTGCTTAAAAAAGTGAATATTTTCCCATCCTACAAAAAAGGATCATTTACCCGATATACACAGCACATCCATTTTTATACATATTCATTTTATACTGAGTGTAACTCAAAATCCTGTGCTTTTACAGTACAAACAAGGAGAATAAGTCATTGTCTTGTCTCTTTATTCTCCAGCATGGACACTGGGAACATCTAGAAACACTGATTAAAAGACTCAAACGTTATTTTTCCCCCTAAGTTTTCTTTCCCATGAGATCCACTGTGATAGTAAACTTGTTAGATCGTTCCTCATGCCTGAACATCACTCTTTTTCCTTGTGTCCCAGCACAACTCTGGTGGGCATCCTCCTTGAGGGAATTTGATGATTCATGCAACTACAAAAAAGGTAAGATGCCCTCAAAGTGCCGCACATGTGCAAATACGTACCTGCGAAGTTTCTCTGTAAACTTCTCCAGCTCCTCCTGGGCCCGCCGCAGCTCGGTCTCCAGGTACTGCCGGGTGGAATCAAACTCCGTCTCCACCATCTCTAGTTTGTGGGTGGTGTATGAGAGGCGCTTACGGAGATCGTCCTTGTGGTCATGGAAGGAGCTGAACATGCAGCGGGGAGAGTTTAGAGAAGAAACGGTCACAATGCTGATGCTCTGTCAAAGTTTTTCAAAGAGAGAGAGAGAGAGGCAGAGCAGGAGAGGGATAGAGGAGGTAATGATGTGAAAAATAAACTGTGTTTGTAGGAGAGGAAGGGATGAAGTGTAGTTGAAGTGTAATTTATTTGGAGGGATACAGGTCCAGGCAGAATGGGAAGAGGAGATGGATGAAGGAGGAATACTAATCATTTCCCGTTCACATCTGGGGAGCAAAGCCAGGAGAAGGAGCTCCCACTGGTGTAATGTTGAATTCCATTACACTACCCCCTCATCGAAGCTCTAAAGAACAGGAAAGGATTTTTGCCTCCAGACAAAGACCACGCATGATTCATGATGGAGGAGGAGAAAATTCAGAGTGGACCGTGGCTTTATGTGTGGAGAGGCTTGAAAATGGGGTGAAAGAGCCAGAAAGAGTGATGAAGAAGCATCAGAGTGCGTGTGTGTGTGATAGAGAGAGAGAGAGAGAGGCCCTGAAATTAGCTTCTCAACAACACATCAGGCAGAGAATAATATTTTGGTTGTGGGTTCGAAGTGTGGTGGATGAAAACACACCAAAATGACTGAGAGAGAATGGATGCAGTAATGAAAGGCTGGAGATGGGAGCAGGGATGGTGTGCGCTCTGGGGGATTTTTCATTTTGCCAGACTGATGGATATTTGGCTCACAGAGAGGTTCACAGAGATGGCTCAGTGCCACCAACCAGCAGGCGCACTGAGAGCACCTCCAAGTTCACCTCGGCCCAGAGCCTCCATGAGGAAGCTGGCAGGAAAGGAGGAGAAGATGGTGTCTGTGTATGGACTTAAAGTCCCACTCAGATTTTTTTTTTTTTACTACTTGAAGTGTTCTCAGTGGTCTTCAAATTGTGATTATGAATTTTTTTTTTATTTTTATTTTTTACCAAAAATTGCATCACCTGTGTTTTTTTTCTGCAGAGCTCCAGTAGTTTATTAGCAATTCACCTCTGAGTCATGGGTGAAGACAGCGCTGCTCTGCACACCCGTCTTCACGTTAGCTTGCAGCCTAACATTACTGGTGTGGTAGAAGAAGCAGGTAACATAGGAGCTACTCAGCTCTTGGACACTAATGTCTTTAGGGACACGATGAAAGTTAATATCATAATTAGCTTTCTTACGAGCATTGCAATACGCTAACGCGCATGCTTGTTCCGCGATTGTCCTCTGTATTTCTTTTCTATATTCAGAATGTGGCCTGCATAGCGGGGCTCCAGGGGCGGAGCTTGGATTGGTTACGTATGAAACCTCAATGTTTCTAAACCCGCCGTTTGGGTCTGCCAGAGATTCACAGCGATTTAAAGGGAGAAATACTCAGAAAAGCAATTTCACATTTAGTTTTCTCATGATATGTCCGAAAATGCCATGTGAACATACAAAAAACATGCTGTGAGGCGTCAGTATCAACAGCAAATTAAAGATTAAATATAAGTTGTCGAGTCCTGCAACCCATATCCGAAACCCTGAGTAATAATCTGAAAGTAAAACTAAAATGTTCAGCTTTTAAATCCCACTCTGGCAGAAAAGCAAGCAGACGTGTGTCCCGAACTGTTGAATTATTCCTCATGAAATGTTTGCTGGACAGAAAGATGAGCCCGCTGAAGAGGTTGATATCATTTATGCTGAGGCTGGCAGGTTCAGCCCACCCAGCTCGCCCTGACACCACAACAAAACAAAATCTTTACAACCTCTCCGCTGACTAACAGCTGCAAGTAAGGTTGTAAAATGACATGGCGGAGAGCCAGAGAGCTATTGTCAGAACATGTAAAAGAGGCTCTGGGCTCTTATCACTGCGTAACGCCGGTTTAATTAACTCTGAGCTCACAGCCATTGATTATTTTTTGGGTAACATATTTTTTCCTCAATAAGTGGAGGACTTTTTTTTCTTTTTAGCTTTGATGCAGATGTCACCTGCTGCTACGCGACAAGAGATGTGGAGATGAATGATGGGAGAGAAAAGATGCCACATTATATTTTTTAATGGCTTTTTAATGGTCATGACCTACGAAAGAGAATCCATTTCCATTAGCGAAATGAATGAAATGGATTTCGTAATTATGAGGCTGATGTTAAAAGTTTAAAAACACTCTCCAGAATGACTCATCTTACCTTCTTTTCTGATGTTTGCAACCATTTCTCTGTGTTTTGAGGGCAGTTTTGCCAATATATATCTTTTTCATATTTTACCCTCTGCCCCGGCTTTCATGTGTGTGTAGTTTTCGCCTCTTTTGCTGCTGCTGGTCGACTGAATGTTGAAGCCGAGTTTGAACTCTCACCACAAACCAACAGTCAAAGCTCTAAGTCTTGCCTGGGGAGGCAGATAGGAGTTGGCTATCTGTGATGACCCTGGCAAGAGAGCAGAGAAAAACAGCTTTGAAGTCCCACAGATTTAGCAGCACATTTAGTTCTGTTGACTCCAGAGAAAAACACAGACTTTGTGTGCGTTCAGAAAATGAGCCAGTTTGGTGCGGCAAAAGCAGGGCTGGGGAAGCAATTAGACGAGATCAGTAAATGAACTTGTATACAACGCTTTGAACTGTGCAACTTGAGCTGAACCTTGCTCTTGCAATTAAAGATCAATGCACAAAAACCTCTTATTTTTTCCCATAATTCTTTAATCCCAAATTCCATTTGAATTTCTGTGATAAAACCCTCTCAACAACTGTGAAAAAGCTGCAACACTTCCCAAAGATAAATATCTTTCAGGCCTGAGCCTTCCTCTCTGTTATTATCTCCTCTCTCTTGTTGGTAAAAATTGAATGCAGCCACCACAAAGTACACGACCGTATCGAATAGTGAGTTATTGACTGGCTGACCTCAGAGGTTATTCCTCAATAAATCAGTGTTATGATGAATGTGGCTGTGTTTCTATTTTCATCCTTTGTCATTGCTCTGCGGGGATGGGAGCTTGAACCCTGGTCCTCTGTACCTTTGAAACTACAAAAAAAAAAACTGCCACCACAGCAAGAATAAAACTACAGAATAAATATTTTTGGTTTTAAAATATTCAAAAAGTACTGTCAATATGAATTTGATGTTCCTGATATTCCTGAAAGACTCAAAAATGGCTTTATGCTAGAAGATTCACGTAATGACAGTAAAACTGTGTGTTTCAATGGTGATTTATTTCTAGCCTACCTAACACAAAACAGCAAAAGAAATATGAACAGAAATACGAATGCTGTAACATATCCAGCTAGCTCGCTGCAGTTATCTAATCGAGCGTAGCCTCCAAAGCCGAGCCAGAACGTTTCATTAGCTCACCACATCTAAAGTTGTAGGATGCTAAAAACCTATTAACAAGAACACATCAACTCTCCGCTAATTACCCACTCTATCCAAGCTTAGCCTGGATGATATCTCAGCTCCGCATTAGCATCAGCGCTGTGGGTTAGTCTATTAGACCAAGGAAAGTTTCTTTGGCTTAATTTACACCGCAAGACAAGAGCCATGCTGCCTCTGAACATGTTCGAGAGATTAGGAGCTCATGTGCTATATGTATTTATTCTTTATGGAAATATCTTTAGCCCAAGTCTTTCTGTACTGCATAATTCATACAGCCATCTGCATATTTAAGACTGCTGGCAAGGAAATCTCAAAAACAGCCCCAAAAATCACTTATTCTTGATTAACTTCAGATCTAATATATGTGGTTTGAAGTTCAAGTCGGTATGAAAGTCAGGGCTCTCAAGTCTCACGCATTGGGCGTGTGACATACGCATTCCCACCCATTCACACGCCACACATTGTATTTCTCACGCATTTAAATCACCACGATGACGTCCCCCAAGTTGCACCTTTTTATACAATGGAACAGGTAGGAATCAAGTGAGTTCCCCGAGAGCTCAGACGCTTCGTGCCACGTGCAAGCCAATCAAATAAAGTAAGCATAAAGTAGCATTGCTGTATCCGGGTAGATTTTTGATATTTAGCCAAACTACAAAAGAAGATGGACACTCACCGAAATGAAGCAGGTTTCATAAGGACGAAAAAGACCCGATGATTACAACAAGTCAGTAACCTTCATCTGCGAGGCCTCAATATCTCGTGGCATATAAACTCATATGATAAACTAAAGCCCTATGCTGTGAAGAACGGCTACTTCAATGTTCAAGCTTTTGGCCTTCTAAAACAAACAAACGTTTAGGGGAATTTTGAAGAGTCCTCCTGAAATAGTAAAAACATCCAGCAGTAACATCATTTTTTAGAAAGTGCTAGCATTAGCTTTTGTTAGCCAGCTAGCTTTGATTAACTCTGATGTTACTGTTAGCTTGAAATGGAGCCCGTTCCAGGAAAAATGGAGATTGGATAATAATGATTGTTTTAAAAATTGCATTATGTGCTGTAGAGGGAGAAAAAAACAGGACAGCTTGACAAATAAACATTAACTAAAGGGGTACTGCTATAAATATATACCATACACCTGAGTGCAAACATTTCGATGAGTCCATATTTCTTTTAAAATATCCATGTCTTGTCCTTAAGAGCAGACTAAGCATAAATACATGAATGGAGACCAGGCTTGCCAGAGGCATAACTTTTATCAGTTCCTGCAGAGCGGCAGGCCAGTCCAACCACAAACTGGAGTGAATCTTTTACCGCCTCCCGCCGTTTATAATGTCACCTCCACTTATTATTTTTTAATCTCCCTTCAACACTGGCTCAGGAAACAATGGCAGTTTCTGGAAACACTGTCACCATTGCTGCCTCCTTATCGGCTAGTCACAGAGAGACACAGTAGACGGAAATAGTTGCTGAATTGGTAAGAAAGAGTGGATGAATAGAGCCCATCCTCGTGTACACAAACATAAACACACACCTCCCCTCCGTGGATACGCAGCACTGTACCCTCACTGTATCACAACACCTCCCACTGGGGGATAAACAGCAGATCTTGGCGCCTTAGGTGTTGTTTGGCAAGGTAAACAGCATCCACAAGAAGCAACACGTCTAAGTCCTCAGAGAACCTCTTGATGGGTTTACCGCTGTTTTTACTCTGCCAGAAAAACTCAGAACAGCAAAAAGATATGTAAATCAAGCTCACTTTCCTGTATCCAGTGTTCCCTCACAGGTATTGAGATGAGGATACAGTGAAGATGGAAACATGAGTAAATCCTGTTTACCTGAAAAACTTTCCCCGTGTGCTACAGCTTGTCATGATGCTCAGACAACAAACACAACAGGGAGAACAATGAATGTTTTTTTGTAATGCTGCAGAGTATAATCCACTTCAGTTTCCACCTCCCACTCTGCCTGCATACTTTCTCTTTTCCATTAGAGCGGCTCTGACGGCAAGTTACTCCAGTTTAATCTATAGGAAAAAAAAGCCTTTAATACAGAAGCTGCTAAAGGTCACAATCAACCAACATCAGCCTTGAATCTACAACGGGGAGCCCTTGTGGTGCCCACAGGTTGATTTACTAGTAATGAGCTACAGAAGGTGAGCGAGGTAGAGCTACAGTCTGCTGGATAAACTATCCACTGTGACCAAATGAGGACATTAAACTTTAACGGCTACAGTGCCATCCCTCCTGTAGTCTGCTATTAAATGAGCAGCTCACAGAAAAATAAGCACTTCGCACTCTGTAAACATTCAACCCTCATGTGCAAGCTTGGAGGAGAACTCCACAGGTGTTAGTTTTCTTCTGTAGGGCATAATTTCAGTGTTTGTGATTGCTTAGCAACAATTTCAAAGAAAACTTTAACAGGCATGAAACTGGGCACATCAACTTCTCTGTTAAAGGGCTCATGACAAAGTTATAATTTACAGTGAATCGTATTAAAACAGGCTAAAATATTTATTTTATTTTATTCTTTTTTTTTCGAACATGTGTGTGCAACAGAAGAAATTGAACTGAAAACCAAAACCAATGAGAATATTCAAAATAACAATAACAATAATCAAAGCAAAAACAAAATAATAATAATGTGAACCTAACATGTTTGAAAAGAGGTAGGATGAAGCATTTTGTTTGTTTTTTTAAACCTACTCCTTCTCCGCTACTCAGTAAACAGTCAGTCTCTAACATATTAACATTATTTAAAAAAAAAAAATAGAACATAAATAGAGTAAATAAGTACATAAATCATTTATGAAAACACCCGCTGGTTAAAGCCCTTCTTCCATCCTGTACCTGGTGAGAACCATGTTTTTGTACAGCTTTTTAAACTGGGTCATGCTTGGACATTGCTTGAGCTCCACACCTAGTCTGTCCCATAACCTTACTCCACAAACATAAACGCAGAAACTTTTTAATGATGTACGTGCCCACTGATGCTTTAAGTTTAAGTCCCCCCTCATGAATAGTTTTTAAATTTGTGCAAAACTATCCCAACTGTTTTGTTTTAAGACTTTATATCTGGATCAGGTCCTCTTGAATAGAGGTTGCGAACTTGCGCCGCCATCGTTCTACAGTAGCACAGAGCAGACAAACTTGCAACCACTATTATGTGTTTCTGCATTAAGTTGCTGGCAGTCCAAAGCACACCAGTAGGAAGAAGGCAAAGAGTGTGTTTGTTGTTGTTGTGTGTAGAATTTGACAGTAAAAATTTGACAAATAAAGGATCACACTTATCATGCATCACTGCGGCTGCTTGTCCTTGAAAGCCAAGGTTGCTTTTGAAGCTCCACCAATGGAAGGAGTAAGAGAGTAGTGTGTCGATCTAAAATCTGGCAGCCAGATATTGCTAAATATTCACATTTCTTCACACTTCACAGCTGGGTAAAAACCAATACTAAAAACTGATCCTGCTGACACTTCAGGAAGTTACCAAAGACTGCAACTTATACTCTGACCCACAGGCACAACAACTTTCCAAGCCGTAATAATCTGATGTTATGTAAGGACATATAATTGTTATATATATATATCTGGTGAACTATTGTTACATTATTTATTGATTGATTAACAACTGATTAGTCAACTAAAAAAGCCATATTTCAGGGTAAAGGATCAAACCCAGCAGCACATGGACTGCTTGGGGTTTTGAATATGTAGCTGCAACTTGATAGAGTCAAATGTACGTCCAGTCTTTTCAGTTTATTTCAGAAGGTGATGAAGCAATAAATTAGTCGGATTTCAAGCGGAAACACAGCAACAAAACAATATCATCTACAGCATTCGAGCATCCCACCCTGAGTAATAGCAGAGGAAAATGGTTGTATGGTGTGCAGTGAACGATCCAAAGAACACTTGGTTTTCCCTGAATTTAAAGCTTTTGCTTCAGGGTTTGGGTGCACACAAAAGTATCTATTTAATTAGATGGAGGCACTAAAATATTGTGATCAAGGCTAGAGGGAAGCCATTGCTTTCAGCTGTCTCCCTATTGAGTCTTTTATTGCAGAATAACATCATACTTTCTCTTCTTTTGGCCCTGACAGACTGCCGTGAGTCATTAAGGGGCCTATTCAACTCTATCCTGTAAAATAAACTGTCCAATTTTGCCCATCACCTACATCCTACAAACTAACTTGTTGAGATTATAACTATTTCTCAAAAAAAATGATGATAAAAACTACAAAATTAAACCCAAGTTGTAATCATTCCTTCAAATAAAGCATCAGTCTGAGGGATACAACTCTAACTTCACAGATCAAAAGCCAAATTAGACCAAACACGAGCACAAGTGGTGGTAATTAGCAACATTATTCAACTTTTTTTTTTCAGTTTTCCCCTCGGTGGTCTACCGCTTGGTAGAAGCTTTACATGAGAGGCATGAGACGTGAATTTCTTCTGATGCAAGACTGCAGAAATACGACAGTCTCTTGTGCACGCTCCAGTACCAGCAGCCAAAAAAACTGCTCTGCGGATTAAGTCACTAGAGCAATCATGATGACTAGTCAACACAGCTCTTTGCCCAAAGATACGAAGTGCAACTGAGGACTGATCCCACCACTGTTTCTGTCTCCTTTAATTTCTATCTCCACATCAAAGAAAATAAACTTAAAGTGGGTGAAAGGGAAGAACTTGTTGGCCTCAGAACTCATAAAACTGCAAGTCAAACTCCTTGTAAATAAACACCTGGAGGGTTGGTTCTGAAATCTAAAAGTGTCAAAGAGAAAAACTGAACTGATTAACTTCGGTAGAGGCATAAATAAGGAGCCTCATATATTGTGAAAGACTGAAGTATCAACCCTGACCATGTTGTTGCAGATAATGTCAAACCTAATTCAGAGCCAGGGAGTCCGGGATGTTTGAATTCTGTCAGATTTCGTGACCATAACTCTGTTTTCCAACATAGGAAGCTCTTGAGGATAAATTATCTGATAATAAATAGTTTCCTCCCTCTGCTGCGCCATGACTCACAAATCCCCGCCTCTGGCTCCTTCATGTATCCTTGGCCCTTTGAACAGCATTTCTGTCACAGATACAGAGTTTTATCTGTGGGAGTGTGTGCGAGGTGTGTGTTTGCCTAACGAGCATCAGAGGAAACAGCAAATGCTCAATCCGTTTTGACAATTTGTAGGCACATTTCACACTATTTCTGATCAGATCAGATCACATCAGGGGGTCCACAGCAGGGGGGATTCAGCACATCACGCTGGTATGTGTGTGTGTTTGTTGTTCAGCTCAAGGTTGGGTGTGTTTATTTAAGACATGGCTTCTTTCTGTACTTGATTTGACAATTCGGAGATGGAAAGAATACAGCTTTTTACACAGCGATGAAGAGTGTAGAAATTCCATAACATGCTATGAAAATGGGGAATGATTACAACAGAGAGATCTCGGTTATGTCCATATGATCCGTGAGGTAGCACTCTGATAAATAAACCATTTTGTCTCCTTCACTGACAGCCTCTATGATCGCCAATTAGTGAGTCAGTACCATCTCACAGCTTAGAGTCTTTAAGCTAAGTGACATAAAACCACTTTGCCTGGGTGGAAAAGCTTCACCTGGCTGTAGATCGATCTAAAACGATGGAGGAGCTTTAGACATACTGCACTTCAAACAGGAGTTAAATTACAGCCCCATCTGTAAGTTCCTGCTGCCAAACCAGACCGACTACAGTCGGGCGCTGGCAGCTCATAGCTCTTCATAGTCCAATAAAAATCTGCTTTATTATGCTGCGTGGTGCTATATATCTTTGCTCTGTCTGAATCATCTGTCAGAACAGAAGGCTCTCGATTTAAGTGGTCCATCATGACGATAACTGTGCAACAAGTTTTTTGTGTTTTTTATTATGTCAGCTTTGGTGCGGTAGCAAACACTTAGGGTCCACTTAGAAGAGTCTGTTTACTCCCCAGGTTAGGGACCTGCTACCTGCAAAAATATTAGACAATGTCTTGTGTGGCTTGGAAAGTTTTAAAAATTACCTGAAAAAAAATCTCTCTAGTGCCATAATTTTTTGGTTAAATGGCACTAAAGCTGCTTGATTATGGCATCATTATCAGGATTATATTGGCTAATTATGAGAGTGCAGTTAATAGAGACGTTAACTCATGATTCAGCATCTAACACTACAACTATCCAACAGAAACTTGAGAATCTAAAATGCAAAAACAACAAGATGTCGCAGCATCTTTTGCATTGTGCTCATTCTGTCCCTCTGCTTAACTAACACACAACACAATCCGCATGCATGACAGTTTGTATGGCTGTCGTCAGTGGTGGACTGGAACATCGGGATCACCAGGCCGATTCCTGGTAGCCTGGCATCGCCTGCAGGCAGGCCACTGAACTTGGAAGCAGGCAAGGCCAACAGTAAAAGGGTTTATTTAATTTATGTCCATTACCGTGGCAACACGTAGCTGGTGCCACCGGAAGTAGAGCTATGAGGTGATCGGCTGCAGATGTGCTGATCGATCGAGCATCGTTATTTGCTCCGCTCCCGCGCTGATGGTGTTTCTTTCTCCTCCTCCCCCTGAGGCAACGTCTTTAAGTGTTTTTCATGCTGTCGCTCGAAGGTGTGGTTGTTTTGAGTTTAATAAGGTCGCCAACTGACACCGAGACGGCTACTATGCTAGTGGTGCTAATTAAAGTTTTATGCCTCTCGAGAACTTTTTCTGACTTTTTCTGACAGGCTTTCAATGTTTTATTATATTACAACATCAATGTGGTAGACTACATTCTTAGTTTAAATGAATAAACAAACAGTTAAAGGCATGACTAATATGGAGTTTTTATAACCATTTTGTTTTTACTTCATATTAAATTTGCAGTTATGTAGCCAATGTTGAAGCATTATATTCACTAAATCTGGCTTCAAATGTCCAAAACTTTTCGCCAGTGCCAGCATTTCAGCGTTTATGTGTATTGGCCTGGCCTGGATGGAGTCAAACCCCTGGCCTGATTTATGGTCCCAGTCCGCCCCTGGCTGTAGTGTCACAACTTAACAGGTTCACCAGCACCTACTTATTATTGATTCTCTAACAAAGTAGCGACAAGTGCATTATGGGAGGGCCAGAAAACCCTTTGTTGCAGACCTCCACTGTGAGAACTGGAAGTTGATTTGAAGCCTTTCAAAATAAAAGCAAATCTACCCGGAGAACATTCTTTTTTTTTTAAGGCCGTGGTTGATTCGAAGCCATTCAAATTAAAAGCGATTAGACCGGGAAGTACATATTTCTTGCCTTGTGTGAATACATCTTATTTCTTGGGGCTTTATTTTATGTATATAATGTTAGCATGATTTTTACCATTTTAAAAACAAAGATAAAATGTGAGGAAAAACTCACAGTGGAGGTCTGCAGCCAGATCCCTCTCGAATCTGGACTCTTGTTAATTAACTCTTGTTAATGCTACAGAAGAAACAACACATCATGTTGTCTTACCTGCCTTTTCATGCAGGAATTACATGACTAAAGTAAAATGTCTGGAAATGATGAAAAGGAGAAATGTTGGACCTTTTATGAAAGTTTCATAAAGTTTAGTATTGAGAGGAATGATTCTTTGTAAAGCTTCTCATTCCTTTCTTCCTGGGCGTCTCGTTGAATGTAGATCACCCTTTTTAGATGACAGGTCTGCCTGATGTAATCGCTCGGTAATTGCCTGAGGACAGTCATCACAAAAAGTTAACTGCATGCTGCCTGTCCAACTTGTAACGTGGGTTTGAGGAATTTTGTGAAGTGCTTACTTAATATTTGTTCAGTCTTCATCAAATGCACTCATACTACTTTCCCTCTGACGAAGCATTAATTTTCAGATCACTATACATGCAATTTTCTATGCAAACTCAAACCTCAGACGGGGTTAGGTTTGAAGCGCATAATGAGTTTCTTTTTCTGCCTTTGAATTTGCTATTCATCCCCAGTGAGGAGGTAGAAAGACGTACTTGGTAATCAGTGAATAAAGAAAAATACGGCTTTAGATTGCAGGTTGGGTTTGCATCTCCAAAACAGCACTGTCAGTCATGTTCAGTCAGCACAAGACTGCCTCAGGCTAAAATGCCAGCTTCATCTTATTTTCTGTTGGAGTGTAAGACCTTTAAATCACAGTTTCTTGTTTAATTCAACAATATTTTGAAGAATTTATAAGCTGATGGAGTGAGATTAAATACATGGACATTGATATCCTTGTATTTCTCCTTTTTATCAATTAGGAAATGCATGGCAGTGTGATTCAGAAGATCCTTCTTGACATTGTGTACATTTTTTTTCTAGGTTAAAGATGGAAAAATGCATTAATGTCTAAACTTCAAAGTAAAAAAGAAGATTCGCTGGAATACCTTCTGGGGAACGACTCAAAAAATAGACTTGAGATTTATCGGGTGAAATAAAGTTCAAAGATGTTTCCCTTCTCATCAAGAAAAAACAACTGAGCAGGCCTCTTAAATTTAATTCCTTTTTTTAGCCCAGAGCAGACCGTAAAATCTCTTTAAGTTTAGAGTCCTTTTTTGTGCGTGGAGGTCCGAACTGCAGTAGAGACTGAATGATTCACGTAGCCAGACTTGACCCACAGTGTCCTCTGTCTCTCCTTCTATTTTGCTTGACATAAGTAGAAAATATAGTCTGCGGGGTTACACAGAGCTGCAGGCCTGTCGTTCATTGTGCTCTAGCGCTTCATTACGTTTTTACACGAGAGAAAAGAGAGAAAAGAGAGGGAGAGAGTTGTAGATGTGCGTGTTGAGACTACAGGCTGAGTTAAGATTTCTTCATTGTTAAAATCCTGTGAAAGTGAATGAGTTCAGCACTCACTCGGGTTGCCAAGACAACACAGTCGTGACATACCTGAGCTCTCAGCCAGCTGGAGGACGACAAGAGATCGCAGCACAGACTGATGAGATCCAACACAACATAGACTGAGATGTGGGTTTATAATTGTAAATAGAAACAGCTTCATCTGACTAATTACTACTTCCCCTTAAAATAAAAAGTCACGGCCGTATAGGGTAACATATTTGGGTGTGTTCAGACAAATGAGCATCTTGGAACAACAGCTGATAGTAAGCTAAACTTGTCAGATCTAAAAAGGGACACAGACGCCTTTTCCACTCGAGAAAACAGTCTTATTTCCTCATTAGTAGAACCTCAATGATCTTGAATAGATTATTGAATCGATTTTCCTTTTTCCTCGGATTTCAAAAAATGGAAACTGTCTAAATCAAATTGTGAAATTTGTCCAGTGGGCTGATTGGTGAGACAGATTCCTGAACATCAGACAGTTACAGAGGATGGTAAGTTATGGGGAATAAATTCTTCTTCTGTCTGGGTGTATATACAATACAAGCATGTGAAACCACTCACTACTAAAACAGCTTTGTCTGAGCCGCTATCAGTATAACAGGTCATGGTGCACTAAAGCTGCAGCTACTAAATTCTGTGTATTTGTTGAGTATTTATGAACACTTTTATCCTGGCTGGTACTTTTTGACTTATTTTATTCCATTTTTTCAAATGTATTTAAGTATTTTCAGATTCTAAATAGGATTTTATTCACCTTATATATCTTATTTTACTAATGGCTAGTTCCTTATCTTGCATTTTGTGCAATGTAACCCAAACTTAACCAAACCTCCCCTAACCTAATCTTATCTAATTTAACCCAAGATAACTAAATTTGACCTAACCTGACCTAATCTAACTAGAAGAGGTCTACTAGACATCTAAATGTAGCCTAGACAACTGGTCTAAAATCAGGCTACCACAGGTCTAAAAATGAACGTTTTTTAGACGTCTAAATTTAGACCAAGTTTTAGACTAGCTGGCTAACAGAGGTCTAACTGTCTATTGCTCAACGGCTATCATAATTATTTTGGTTAAGAACTTGGAGGTCAGTTATGCAACTCGCAGTTGCTTTTTGAAACAAATAGTTATTGAATAATAGGTTAAAGTGCAACATCTAAATTACGTCTAAAAATATAAAGAATCTAGACGGTTGGAATTAGGTCTAAAAAAAAATAGACGTCTAATAACCATCTATTACTCAACCTAACTACCTGATCTGATGCATTATTGCTGTTGTTTTTGTTGTAGTTGTTGTTGTTATCTTGACCAAGCTAAACCAGCCCTACTCAGCCCACCTCACCTAACTCTAACCCAACCTCGCCCACCTACATTTACGGAAATCTCCGTAAAGTGGTGGTTTATGCCATTGGAAGAGTGCAAGCTCTCTTGAAATAGAGTACAAGAAAGTCATGGTATCCTATTGACTTTGCACTGTGTGGAGAAGTCTCCTCACCTCATTTGCTCGTTAACAAATACTGAAGACAGAAAAAAATGCTTTAAGTTTTCTGAATAGTGAAAAGCTTTGAAAACAAAAAAACGAGCCTTTCGGAGGGCAAACAATAAATTAAGGGATGAACCCTTATAATGTGTGACCCATGGGATCCTGACGCTCAGTGTATGAGATTGAAGCTAAGAAGTACCAAGTCTGGTTTTGATCTTTGCTTAAAAGTGATCCTATCCAATGAGCCAATCACAACAACAAAGGGGAGACGTGGAAAGGTAAAGCAACACTGTCATTGTCCTGTCACTCAACTTTTCTCTCTGGTAGACAAAAATAAACCTCTCACGTGCTGACACATGTTTTTCCAGCCAGCCGCAGCCATCCCATTCCCAATCCAGCACTTAACCACCATGGTGCCACTGAATTGAAGCATTTTCACCTGTGTCTGTACTTTTTCTGCTCTAAAACTTGTTATGAACTTTACCAATTTATGGTCTAATAAATTCTCCTAAATCCACTGATAACAGCTGCTAGTGAGAGTTTAGTGAAAGTACATGGTGGGTCAAAAAGGGACAAAAACCAGCAGATTTTATACCAGTGCCATACCCTTCAACAACTGCGAGTCAAACCCTTCAAAAAACTTGAATAAACATCCAAACATTATGCATAATTGATTAAACTACGAATCACAACTTCTGAGATGACAGTTTTCAAGATCCTGTCCCTCCACAGTGGGTTTAACAGCATCTCAACTCCACACTGCAGAGCACACAGAGCTACAAAGAGCCACGACAACCACATTACGCCTTTGAAGAAGAAAATCGAGTCCTTTTACCTCTGAGTCTTGTCTCTTTATCATCTCCGCACAGACTGGACATCTGGAAATCCACCATGCATTAAACTGCAGGAGGGATGGTGAGGTTGTGTGCATGTAGGATGAACATAGAGCAGTGTTGCAAAGCCCTCCAGGGAGCACTGAAGTATTTATTGAAGTGTAATGGGTGCAAGAGGAACACCATTTATTCAGCAACACGTAGCTTGTAAGGGTGCTATGTGCGTTTGTTTAGTACATGCTGAGGCCTCTTGTCTTATGGAAGTGCATGTTTTATTGCAGCCCGTCACACAACAAAGGCTGTATCAACAATTTATTGTTGATATAATAACTGCAGTGATTGAACCATGACCCTGAACTCGAGAGATCAGGATAGAAGCTGGAGCTTTTATTAAGCACTACAGAGAGAAATGAACCCGTCAGAGCTAAAAGGGCCCGTGTTTAACCAGTGAGATCAAGTTCAAACCTATGTTTTGAAGAGCTTTATCCTTCTTATTTTATATGTGACATTAAAATGCCATACATCCTACTCTCCACATACGTTACAAGGACTTCAACTCTTAAGGTCCCCTGTATGTGCACTCCAGAGGATTATGTTGCTCAGCTGAGCCTGTCCTGTTGGCTTTGATGGAGCCTCATAAATGCTGTGTGGCAGACAGGCGTATCTCCAATAGTCCAGGGAGCGACGAGGGTGGTGAGGTGGGAACTCAAAGACAGAGGGAGACTTAAGACTTGGACATGTGATTCACAGCGGGCTAAATCCAAGAATACAGATACATGTGCACACTCAAAGACAACACCAACCTCTTGAGTGCACTCCAAAGCAGATCCCTCATCAACCCTTTCCAGATGCTCGCAGTCCATCCTCACAAACAGCCACCGCATAAATCTGTGATCTCATCGTCTCAGAGATAATTAGACAGAAGAATGAAAGAGAGCAGAGGGGGTAAACTGCTGCAGGCTAACCTGGAGGGAGCACTCGTGCAGCATCTGCTTTTGGATGCTACGTGCTTAGCTTGGAGAAAGAACAAATAAAGCCTCTTTAGGCATATTCCTCAAAGTCAGAGAGAAGCCTAGTAAAGGGGGGGTGATGTCTCCTAGGGGCCCAGCCAGGAGGCGAAGTGGATCTTTGGTGGATAAAGCTGATGAATGAAAGCTGAAACATTTGTAGAGACCTAATTAAAACTTACCCAGCAAGTGAGGTCAATACAACTTTTCCCTCTTGTGCTCACAATCGAGGAAGCTCTTTGTACTTTTCAGAACATTTTATCATAAAATAAACTTATACTCACAGGACGTACACAAAGAAACTACTTATTGAATTCTTTGACAAACTGAGCTAAAACTGTAAAAGTTTTTCTATGAAATTGATCTGAAATATACAGTATGTAACTTTTCCCATCTGTCGGTGAGGAGGATGTTTTTCAAGAACATGATGTGTGCACCATTTTGGCTACGCATTTTCTCTGACTGGCTGGAGAGTGAACAGTCTCAGCAGATTTATTCTTAAAGGTGCTGTGAAAAAATTGTAATAATAATAGAAATAAAAGAATATAAGAGCACTGTGATTTATATAACAAGGAGCGCAAAGAACCTTAAGTTGGAAATCTTGAGTTAAAGTTTTTTCTTAACTTCTCAATTTAGCTAGCATTGATCTAATTCGGCTTAAATCAGAGACACAAACTGCCTTTGTCAATATGTTTTGGCTGACTGTTTCTGACAGTAACCATTTCGAAAAACTATAAAGTAGCCCTGCACAGTGTTCTGCTGTGGAGCTGATTTGATATAAATCTGGATGTAAGGTTTTTGCTGTCGTAAGAATCAAAAGTTTCAGAAGAGTTTGGGTTATATCACCAGAGATCTCGCCTTTGTTATGAGCCAAGCTTAGAAAGTTGTCGTATTAACTTTGACAGGTTCAATTAATGAGATATCAGGCCATGCACGAAATCAGTGTCCTCTTTGAAGTGATGATACATAAATTTACATACCAGCACCGCACAGAAAACACAACTGAAAGGGTTAACACTCATTGCTCGCCCCTCATTCATATTCATCCTGCTCTTTCTATTGTGCATTGGGCAGTCTCAAAGTTTCCCTGAGGACAGCAACTTATCCGAGGTGCTGTTTGCTTTAATTACGTAACGGGAAGCGGGTATCATCTTCAAAAATCAATGTTTCCCTAACTTACTGCAGGTGAAGGCTGGAGGTGAAAGCAATTAATTTCTAAGATGTTATGATCCTAATACGCTGACATGCAGATTACAGTAGTACCTTAAGGCTCCATGATGAACTCTCAAAAATACAGACTAATCATGTGTTCTCCCCTCAACTAATCAAGTCCACAACCTCATGGATTTACCTTTCTAGCTGCCTCTCACTTCATCCACACACAGTTTTAATGAGAGCAACTTTCTCTTTCTCATGATGTGCTTGTTTGGCCATGACTGCTTCTCTACGGTATCATCCGGTGGAAGTTAATTGAGAGATGGGAAAACAGTTGGCGCCTCATTATTCAGATGACGGTTAAAAAAAATCCAAGTGACAGCTGAATTGACAGAGCACAAAAGCGTCCACAGGTTTTTTTTTCTCCAACTAAACCAAACTGACTTTAACACTCACTCCCTTTGCGGCAGAGATTACAGCGACAAAAAGCGGCAGTTGACTTGAACACGCTGCACAACATGTACTCAGAATCTCCCAACATGCTGCACTGTTGAATGCACACACGTATCACCCAACCCAGTCATGATTTTCACAAGAGTGGCGAGGCAACTACACACGCTCATCTGAGAACAGCTGATGAAAGCATGCATGCACTTCTCTGTTTGCCTTACCGTTTATGCGCTTTTTGCCTCATTTTCAGCAGATAAGATCACAACATTCATGCGCCTGTGCATCCCCCTCAGAGCGGCATGCATTGAGAAAAAGCCTCCTCTAATTCTGACTGGAGACAGGCTGGTAGGCAGAGAGAGAGAGAGAGAGGAGAAGAGAGAGAGAGAGAGAGCTGAATGGAGCAGGAGGAGGTGTGTGGGAAGAGGAGGGGTTACAGAAGTGATGGTGAGAAGAAAGAAAAGGGGAGGAGGGAGGGAGAGAGAGGTATGGTGTTGGTGGTGTTAGTGCTGGGAGGGGAGGAGGTAAAAGTGAAAGTGGCTAACCTTGTGTTCTGCTGCATCTCTCCATCAGGATCCTAGTAGGGAGGAGAAAAAAAGAGAGGTTGAAATAATTACACTTATTTATCAAGCACAAAATTATCCCGCATCACTGCCACACGCTGTGGAGTACCTCTCATGTGTTAACGAGCTCTCCGAGTGTCAGTCCCTGCAAACAAATATATCCATTATTTCTTACTCTCTGGCACACAGAACTATGTCAGTATTGAAAGCATTTAGTGAATGAAGGAAGGAGGAGGGGGCGGGGTGGGTGTGGGGGGGACAGAGCAAGAAATGACAGATTAACAGTGCTGAAGAAAAATGCAGTGAGCTGCAGAAATGGAAAGGAAGTGCCGGAGGCTGAAAGGCAAACTGTGGTTTCTGAAAAGAGAGAAGCAAATCGTAATGGATGAATGACAGAGGTTTGAAAGTTACAGAAAGAAGACGAAGGAGATTAATTAACCAGAATCAATCTATAAAAGTCAATAATTGTATAGTTTTTGAGGAAATTGGCTTTCTTGAAAAGAGCAAGAGGAGGAGATTTACACCACTGGGGTGTTTGCTTGATAGGTATAAAGTTTGCCAGGTCAGTCTGACAGCTCGACCAAGCAGTATCAACAAGCTAGCAAAAATATCGAGCTTGGTAATAGTTCAACTTTTTTTCTTAGGATCTCAAGTTTTATTGCACTTATAGGCAAGAGTGGCTGAAGGGTATCCTCTTTAATCTAGTTGGCGAAGTTGATTGCCATCTGATGTTACCGAAAAGTTGAATAAGAGGGAAAAACCATAGACTGTAAATACTATGGACAACTTGGTTCCGCCTCCCGCCTGTATACGGATTTGAAGCCAAAAAGCTCTCTGTATTTCCAGGTTTTTTCTTTATTTCCTGAAACCAGCGCTGCGCAGTAGCGTTGTGCGCATTCGGCGGGAGAGTTGCCGAGAGTCGCTGTGATGACGCTCGTTTCCCCCGGGTGAGCTATGCAATCCCTGAACGCCAATAGGCTGTATCAGGTGTCAATCATAGCAAACATGAACCCCCTGATAACTGTTAAAAATGGAGCTTCACAGAAAAAAAGAGGACTTGAGCACAAACCAGTCTTACTGTAACTACATGTCAACATCACAAGCAGGGGGGAGAAAAATTTATGTTCTGTGTAATAAATTTCTAAAGTTTGTCCACAGCTCCATAAGCTTTGCTGGCGGAGGCGGGATTTATGACCTATACTGCAACCCATCACCAGAGGGTGCTGTTCTTGGAGTGACTTCACCCAGCAAGGAGGCAGATGCTGTCCATTCTATATACAGTCTGTGGGAAAAACACAAACTTTCCTACCAGCTCCTTTGCAACAAAACTTACACGTTTATAGACCCTTTTTCCGGGTACAGTGTATTTAATATGGTATAATGTAGAAGTCTCACTGCATTCCTCTAGATATGCTACATCACGTCTTCCTGTGAAAAAATGGAGATGAACTGGAGAACAGACCCTTGTTTGCATATGTTTGTTTGGGCCGTATGAATAATGCATGATGCGGATTTCACAGAAGCATTTACCATTTACATTTTTACTTGGACTTAATTCTTTGGTGCAGAACCAATTTTTCTGCATCCGTAGACCACAAGTGAAATAGCAAAGCATATGTGTGCTGCTAAGGTCCAGAATAAAGGATATGTTATTGGACCTTTCTAACCTTTAGATGATAAACCTTCTCAAAGTCACATTTATGATGATTATGTGTATGATTTTTCCAGAGTTCAAGAAGTCAGATTTTGATATTGATGCAGAGTTTACATGAGTCAAGTAGGCTGCAGTTACACCCTGTATCAGGATAAGAGGTAAAGCGAATGTAACAGGTAAAGAGCTGCAACATATGATAGTGCAGTTGGTGTTTATCAGCAGGTGTGCACTGTGCTTCTCGGTGCTGTGTAGGTGTTACAAACACTGAGTGATACAGCAGGATGACTCATACAGCTACTGAATGAGACAATGCTCAGTAATCTCCTCTGTCCATCCCTCTATCCCAGCATCACTCTGTGTGGGGAGGGCGAGCCCAGAGAGAGGGAGGAGGAGAAGGAGGAGTGGACTGGCAGTCCCGGAAGGCGTCCCTGAATGATAATCTGAGGCTGCAGCTCCTGATGCACCCTCATTCAGTAAAAAAAGGTGAAATGTAGACTTATGTTGCTCAATTATAAATCAGCAAACTTTAGGTGATCAAATAAGGTGACTGCAACAACCATTGGGGTTGGTTATCTTTCTTTACACCAGAGATATCACCCAAAATTTCTCAGCGTCAAACCTGAGAAACAAACACTGTCATATTATTATTAGCTTATACGTTGATAGAGTAAACTTTATCATATCAAGCGCTTTTAAGGGCTGTCAGAATATGACATTTCCTCCTGAACGTTAAAGGTCCCCTATTATGAAAAATCCACTTTTGGGTAGTTTTCTATCAATAACATGCATCCCCTCAAGGCTGACCCCCACATGGAAAAAATTTCATTCTCTCCCTCTCTTGCTTTTCCCTCCTCTCTGAAAACATGAATGCGAATGGGCGAAAGGAAAAGCTGTGCGGTTATGATGACATAACTGCATAAGCCCCTCCTTCTATTTCTGTCTATTTCTGCCTCCTTTGTCGGAGATTCGAGGACCCAGTGGATTAATTTTATTTATGATGGAAATGTACCCACAACACCTCTGAAAATGTTGTATAAGTATGCTAACCATTTCCCCATGGACTGTTTAACCAATGAGGGGCAGTTCAAAGCAGGATTCGCTAAGAAGCTGAAGATAAAACCTGGATCCGTACCGACTGTCCATTTCAGGAACCAAACTTCAAATGTGGAAGCTGTAAGTTTTACCATTTTATGTTGCTTTACCCCTGCCCGTGCTTTGGCTGCAATCGCATGTGTTTACCATTGTTGGTATTCGTCTTCAGACTCGCTTCTATTTACTTTTATTCCTGTGAGCAGCGGGTGTTCCTCAGGGGTGCGGAGGCAGGTTGGTGCTTCCAGCTGTGGTGGTCTGGAGGTCCTTTGAAGAAGTCCCAGAAGATCTCCACACCACCACCACTCAACATAAATTAACACAGTCTGGGAACAGGCTAAGTAAAGACACATATAGACCCAAAACAATGAGCTGAAAGAGGCTAAAGAACCCTATCAAGCCAAAGGATACGTTTCTTTTTTACTTCTAGCGACCTTCCAAAATATTTAGCCATAAGTCATGGAGGAGTCATATTTTTCAACGTGACCTAGAAACACTGATTAAGACCTCCTTGTTCATCCAGCGGCATGCCATGACACCAGCTCTAGTTCCCATTCAGATGACAGCATCTCTTCTCCCTTTTATTGCACACAGCCACTCTATGGCCAAACAGTGAAAGGTACCACACAGAGAATTAATTTCCACCTAAAGGCTACATCCCTAACATTTCCCTGCTGGAAATTGGTCAAGGTCCCTTCATTTAGCTGCAGAGTATTTGTACAACGGTGCAGCATGGTGTGAGAGGCCACACTACTGAGTGGTATTATAAGCCTTAGGCTCCATAGCACCAAAAAGGATGGAGCAAAGTGTTTAAATTATTTATGTATTAGCTACCTTCACACTGGCAGCCGAGCAGGAAAGCAGGAAAGCAAAATTTGTTTGAAAGCCATGCAGTAAATAAGGGTGGCTGTATTTTTTAATGTTGTATGCCAAAGGGACCAATAGTTCCTTTTTTTCCAAATCTATCTGTTGGATGTTTGGAGGGCAGAGAGATGCTAATGCATTTAAATGAGAAGTAATATAGACCTTTGCAGAAGCACCCCTTTGAGAGCAACCAGGCTATGAGAAAGCACATCTTGGGAAAAAAACAAGATTCATTCAAACTGCGGGTTATGCTTTGATTTAGAGTCTGTGTTTGAAAAGAACCAGTACCAGTGAGGATATCAGCTTTTCTTATGCTCCATATTCCTGATTAAATTAAACGTTCACATCAAGTTAATGAATGACTGTGTTTGCAGATTTTGTTTTGAATGGCAAGAGGGTGATTTAGCAAAACACCAATATGAATGATTCACATCTAATACGTCTCAGAGGAGTAATATTCAGATAACAAGGAGCAGTGTGATGCAATGCAGCATATCAAAGCCCTGAATGAAGAGAGAGTGAAATCATCAGAGGCTTGTGTAATCTCATTCATTTGGGTGCTCATTTCCAGTAATCTATGTCAACTCTTGCTGCATGATGAGGTAACAGAGCAAACAGCTGCACGGAGAGTGTATGTACTTCCAAGATATAATTTCATAAAATGATCACAGCAATTATCCTTACAATATCTGATATCAAATTAACTGAGGATGATGTAATAACTGCATATTATGTAATAAAATCCATATTTCTGCAACTGCAGCTCTCCTCTGCGTATCTGCCTGAGGTTGATTCATTCAAAATATTATGAAAATTACTGAATGTTGGGCCAGCTTCTTCCCATGATAGAACTAAACTAAATCGCTCTGATTCAAATATTGTTTTCACACAGAAATTCCTTGTAGGGAACGCATTACAGAGTACAATCTTTCCAGCAACGCCAACTATGTCTTGAATTTACCCCAATGAAACAGATGAAACAGTAGGCCTACGCTCTCTACTTCCCACCAGGCTGCAGCTCGAGCAGTGACTATTTATTCTTGGTAAACGCAGGTCTGCTCCTTCTCTTCACAGGTAAAAAGCAGCAGCTGGCTCTTAAATTTAAACAATAGAAACGTAGCAGATGGTAGTTTACACCCTTCTGCTGCCAAACGAGGTGCTGAGAGCAAAACGTACGAGGCGCAAACAGCTTAGGAAGTCCACTGCAAATACTGCCAAGTATTAACAGGAACTGTGCCACGCTACATTTAGATCCCTGCATTACAATAGGTGCATTTATATTTGTACTTTCAAAATGAGAATGAGCCAAACACTCGACTAATTTAAGACTACACTTCCATTTCATAACAGAGCCTTTTCCTCTTGAAAAAAAAATATGATTGTGCCCCCACTAAGCATAACCATTAAAGTTCATTTCACAGACTTCTTAACCTGGACCTGTATAATGTGGTAGGTTACATTTGAAAGTAAAAAAAATAGTTGTTAAGGATTGCTGAGCCAACATTTCAGTCTTCTGACTGGTTTGTTCAAATCTGGACACTGCTTGGAGAGAAATGTTTGTAATTTTCCATCGCTATGTCGTTGGGACACCTGAAAAGATAAATCCAACTATGATAGATATCTTGAATTTTAAGTAAGTTCAGTTAAACTTTCAGCCGTGCTCAACATGCAGAGGTTTTCTGTTTTTGTTAATAACAATAGTCTGTAAATGTAGTGTTACTTACATTGATATTTACAGGTCTGGGTAGTGAGGTGGACCTGTAGGACATTCTGGGAAACCCTTCTGGCCAGCTGAAGACAGGGCAAGGGTTACTTCGTCCACTGGAAGTTGCTGGAGGAAGAGAGGGCTCATATCTGGTTGGTACTGCTTGCTTCTCCTTCCCCCTCCCTCTCTCTGGCCTTCTGTCTTTCTCCCAGCAAGGTCTTTCGCTTCCTTTATCCTTTGCCTTCCCTTTCTCTGTTCCCCTGTCTCTATCCCAGGGGCTCACTTTCCTCTTCTCCCTTTCCTTACCTTTCTCCATCCCCAGGCCTCCATTTCTCTCCCACGGAATCCTGTTTTCCCTCTCTCTCCCTCTCTCCTTCTCTCCTTTTCCCTCTTTCTCCAATCCTTTTTCCATCCTTTCTTTCCCCAGGGTGCCATTAGCCACCAGTTCATCAAGCCGCCTAACTCGGTCAATGTCTGTCTCTAGATAAAGTCTCCCAGTGGAGGGCTGCGCCTGAATCTTTGTGCACTGCTCTAGGTTCTGCTCAGGGTAAGAGTGACTTTCCCCTTTAATATTCCGTAACACATCCTCGGGCTCCAGGATCTTACAGCTGGGTAATGTCTTGCTCCACTGGTAGAGGGAGTTAGCGATGTTCTTTGGATCGTACCCCCGGATGGTAAGGAGGTTTGGGTTGAACCACATGTTTGATGCTGCTAGAGATGGTGGCAGTTGTGGATTTGATGGTGTTGAATGTAGGGTTGTTGTTAGAGATGGATGAGATGAGCTAGATGGGGTTGAGGGCGGCGGTGGTGGAGGAGACGGGTAGCGATGTCTAAGAGTGGACTGCTGCTGAAGAGGACCACCATTTGACTTCAACACCCTACCAGTCACCTCATTCAAAAATTGCGAGAACTTGCGCTTGTCTTCGGTCTTCTCGTCTCGCTGGTGGGGTAATATTGTGGAGGTATTCTTGCTCAGGCTGGGTGAGGAAATGTTTGGGGTTGCCCTGTCTTTCCTCAGCAGTGTTGGAGTTTTGGGAGCACAACCTCCTTTGCTTTCAGTTTTGGCAGCAGGACGTGAGAAGATAAGATTCTGGTAAATGATCTCAGGTTTTGCTTTGGAAGAGGTAGATACTTTATCGACATTGGCAGGCTGTTCACTCGAGTCCTGTGATGCCTCTTTGTTGGCTGGTTTGGCAGGTGTCCGTAGCAAACAAGTAGCCCCAGAACTCCAGCTGTTAGTGTCCCAGCTGCCGTCATCGTCGCTGGAGCTGGCATTTCCACTCTGCAGGCTGGGACTGATGCTCCTCTCACTGGGGCTAGGGCTCAAGTTATCCAGGATGCTCAGTGACCGCTTCTTTAACTTTGAGATCGATCCCCTCAGGTTGGATAAAGAGCCCTGAAAACTGGGCATAGATCTTTCAACACAAGGCAATGAATCATTGAGGCTGGAAACAGACCCCTCAAGGCTGGAAAGAGAACCTTTAGGGCTCGGGCTGGTGGAGTTTTGTAGACTGGAAAGAGATCCTTGGAGCAGAGGAGAAGACTGGCGGCGTAGGCGCAGGGGTGGGTCTTCTTCCTGGTCGCTGTATGGTCCAGAGAAGACAGGGCAGGAAGCGGTGGAAGAGCAGGAGCCGCGATCCTGCCGTGTTGATGATGTTCTTGATCCTGGTTGGCGCCGCAGGGTAGCCATATCATTTGCCTTTTTTTCCTTACTTCGCAATGTCTCTGGTGATCCTTTCTGTACAGACTCGAGCCTGAGACCATCATTTGAAATGGACACGCACAAGTGAACCATGTCAGGCTCAGGAGAACTGATTTCCAATGGTTTTTCCGGCCTCTTGCTTTGCCCAGCTTCAATTGCCTGCCCTAGTTGTCCAGACCACCAAGCTGTTGCAGAGTGACATACTTTCACCTCTCCAGCTCAGCACACAATGGGATCATAAAGAGGTTAGGCGCTGATAGTCACTCAGATGTTAACCAACCTACTTTCATTACCATTCATACACTGTGACTGTCAGATCTATTTTAATAGCATAATAGATCAACAGCTGCATCATCAATGCTTTGTCTTTGGGCATTATCAGTGGGCCTAATGAATTTGCTTATTGATGAAAATGGTGTTGGAAAGCAGCTGGGTATCCAGGTCAGAGATATTGACCACAACTGCCACGTGAAATCTGTTTTGTGTGCAGCAGACAACAAAGTGGCAAAAGATCGATCAGTCACAAGTAGTATTTTTTAGTGGATTCACACTGCAGGGATGAACTTACAAGTCTGGATGCATTCACTTAGACTCAACCCACAGGACACCTTTCATATCATTAATTTGTCACTCCCACTATCTTTTTTCACTTGAGGACAGAACATCCCTGTCAAGGTGCTGTGGTGCAGAGACAGCATCTGGTGGCTCTGCTCAGATGAAAGGAGCCTCCACAGCAGATGTCAAGTTGCCCAGACACCTGGCCTTTAAAGATGCAGCTCCTATCTGAGGCATCAGCACGCCACTTCAGCTGAAAGGTTACCACATGTGGGCGGTACTTCCGGCAAGTTCTGCATTTTTTTTCTATAAACACATTTCTATTTGAAACCCTGCACAACTTTCAAGCTCAAGAATCTCAGTTAAAAACCACATAGTACATTTCCCAAATCTGTATTTATCCTTTCAAACATATTTCATAGAAACTGCTCAACAACATTAACTAAGAAAAATGCATTTCCTCAGTGGAAAATGTGAGAAAAAGGCTGAAAGCTGATAGTGATAGAATTGCAGAACACTGCCGAAAAGTATATAAAAGAATAAATATCGAAGACAATTCAGGCACAGTTCATACTGAGTGGGAAAAAGGAAGAACAGAGCCTGCTGGAGGATAACTAAAGAGAAAAGAAAAGATTTTAAATCAGGACAGACAGTCCTCAATCGGCTCTGTGTTTAGCACAATGAGTCTTTGGCGAGGGGACATCAAAGCACTCCAGCCTTGTTTTACTAAATCACAACTTATTTATATTGTTACACTTTATTCTTTTGAAACTGAGAGCAATGAATATTTTTTGGTTTATTTTTACTTAGAAGACAAAAGGCTATTTTCTCACCACTTGATCCACCTCGCTGATGCTGCCATGTGTTCCCCTCCTCTGAAGGAAATGGGTTAGATTATGGTGCTGGTTTGTCAGTGGCTGACACACTTGGGTACCAGTCAGGTATCTTGGCCAAAACCACAGAAATTTTTATATATCTTAACAGCTTTCTAAAAAGTCAGATATCCCACTTATGACCTACTTTTGTTTTCTATATTGTGTTTTGATTTAAGAGTAGACAAACATGGTAGCTAACTGGATGGTTTTCAAGTTTATTTTTGTATCCAGTGTGGTGTCAACTCCACTCTTTGTCAGTTTGACTGGTCAGTCACAACGGCACACACATTGACACAGTGTCAAGTTTGTACATGATGTGCCTGGAGAAGATCATCCCATTATTGTGTTCGATAACAACAAAAGGTGGAAAAAAAAACTGGTATTCTAAATGGAGCTAGCACATTTTGTTCATGAGCTTACTGGTTTGCAATTGACTGACTGACTGACTGACCGACCAGCTGACTAGCAGGCTCAACTGTCCTGCTGTGGGCAAGGGTTCCCTGCACCCAGCAAGCGTCATGTTCACCAGTCGAGTTATGTTTTCGTCTACATTCTACCTCATGTCTTGAGTTTCCTGTTTGCTTTATTTTTAAATAACTCTCCCCTGTCTCTATTTTATTTTTAACCTCTTGTCTCATCTCCAGTTTGTTGTCTTTATGTCATGTTCCAGAATTCATCTAATTACTCACTTTCATGATCTTGACCTTGCTAGTTTTTTTGGCCTCATGTTTTAGATACCGCTGCCTGTGTTATTTGTCTTACTGCGTACCGAACACTGGACTGGAAATAAACCTGATTTTTGCTATATAGAGGACTGGTTCTGCCATTGAGTTCCCCTTTCTAAGCCTGTTTATGACAACAGGAAATCTGTTTCAACTTCAAATCAGTGCAGCCGCTATCTTCTTCCAAACAGATCGGCGAAGTAATCAACCAAAACTTTGATTCTTGCTGACTTTGGCAGACGAGGGAAATCAGGATGTTATTGGCCCAATTGTCTCTAGACGGTGACTATCTTATTATTGACACAAATATATGTAGTCTTGTACAAAATTACTATCAGCTTTAAAGAAAATAATGCAACATAAAAGCCAGTTAATATCTGTATAAAAGAGTACAAAATATCACACTGGCCTTCACATTGACCATCAATTATGAGATGTTATTTTGTACCTGTTGTGTGAAATTTTTTATTAATTTGTGGAGAAGTATTAGAAATCATGCTTCCCGGGGATTTAATACATCACTGACTGTTTGACTTGCAATTGTTCTTTTATAAACGGTTACAAATTGGCCCCCAGAGCTGCAAAAAGAAAAAAAAAAATCCCCAAAACATTGGTTTTTTTTTTTCAGTGTGTTCACCACCACTTTGTTTCAATGAGTCCCCTTGAAAAATTTACCACAAACTGTGCAAGACTGATTACTTCACACAGGAGGGGACTCTACCAAAGCAGGAAGAGGAATGCTGCACAGCGAGCAAACAGTGTGGAGCTACTCTACATGGCAGATGGGATAACCATTGAAGAAAACATCCCCAGCAACAGCTGCACCCTCTTTAATAAAATAGTAAAAAGGAAGATTTGAAGGAGGAGGCACATGGAAGGAAGATGGAGAGATTGAGTGATGGCAAAACCAAATAAACAAAATCCAGAAAATTGGGACTGGAATACGGGGGGAAAAAAGATCTACGCCACAAGATGATAGTCAGCAAAAAGGAGCCGACATTAGGCATGTTTTATTCTCTGTATGTAATGTAACCTGTAATAATAAAGACAGAAAACCTCTTGCTTTTTCAGCCTTTACCACAGATTTAATAGGCTTGATCAAAATGCTGATCTTTTCGTTTCGGATCTATTTATAGACCCAAGGTTTCACCTTTGCTCTAACAATGCAATTAGTTGCTCTGTGGTCACACAAGACTGGAGCGCTGCTTAGGATGCTACTGATGCCCTGTTTTCTGTGCTCACACATGGTATTCATACAGAGTCAGTCAGGCCACAGATAGACGGTATGTTTGTGTTTTTGTCAAAGAAATCTCAAACCACCACTTACAGAAACCTGTAAGTGGGGTGTCTGTCTGTCTTTCCCTGTAGGGCAGCTTTGTAGCATATAGTTAAATTGCTAAATAGATAAATGTCCGTATCTGTAACTATCACTCTGATGGTGTTTAACATTACCTCTGAGGGGCTCTACCTGTAATCAAATTTAAAACTCTGCTGGCCACAGCTTTAATTACAATTTGCTTATAAGCCAAGAGGATAGTCGTACATCACACATATAGAGCAGCTTCTTGGTGATCCATCTTGTCTGCTTTAATCCTCACACCTTACAGAGACTATAACTCCTGCAGCAGGTTGAAGATGGGGCTGCACAGAGTTAGTCTCACACTATGAACAAAATCAAATGAAGAGACCCAAATCATACATATTTGGGTGAGACATTGAGAGGGAAAACTCTTACCATTAGTCAATGTTTTCAATTAATGTAGCTCTGTCAGATATTTTTGCGTTGTTGAGGTCCAGCCTGAAATTTACCAGCAACTGCAAAACAGGTTTGTCTTAAAAGTATAATATTCTCAGATAGTGAAGGTAGCTGTAACTTGGCTACCCATTTTCCCATTTTCATCAAGCAGCTACCTCCAGTTTAAGAATTATGGCTTTTGCAAAAACAATAGTTCCCTGAATGTCCACTTGAGGCCAGCAGAAAGAGCACGTGAAAACACAAACACACTCACACAAACATTAGGACATCTGCATGGCTACAGACAATACTGTAGTCGAACACAAGCTAGCTTCAGCCAATTTACATCCTAGAACTGCATAAAATTGAATTCAGTCAATTAACTTTTCCTACAATTCATCGAAGGAAGTTTCCGCCCTTCGAGTCTATCCTCAGACTACAAAAAAAGCTGTGTCGTCATCAAAACTCCAATCGAATTCAACAGGAAAATAATAGTCTCATCAGATGCAGAAAGGCAACCATCCCCAAGCTCTTTGAATAATACACCATGGTTGTGTTAATAAGATCTCTGCTGACTCATCATATCCTCTGAGCACACTCTGATTCACAAAAGCCTGTCCTGCTGAAACAAAAAGATCAGATGCCTCATTTCTTCCCTTCAAGCGGCTGCCTGATGAACTCTTCTGAGATTTGCTTTGACATCTTGCTAACACTTGAGATTCATAAGTTGGAAAGAACTGCATAGAGATTGGTATTTTAGCCTTTGTGATTATAAAACCATAAATCAAAACTATTGATGTAGACAAGGAGGTGATTAAGGATCACTTCTGCATGACAATAACTGTGCAGAAAGGACTTGTCTGTAGCCCCTGTTTACTCTTTATGTAGACCTTTTTTAAGGCCCTCCCTACGTTTTCATGTCTACATGTTTATTTGTTATTTGCATTAGGATCCTCACTGTTTCATTTGCAAATAGGTATTTAAATAGGTAGCCTTGGCACTACCTAAAACAGTCTTCATAACTCAGAATGAGATGATTTCCCCTGAAAGCCTTTAAATAAAACCAGACTTCATTCAACATTGATGTGGTTGTAGCCTCCTCCGTTTACTTCCCATATGCGGTTTATTTCTTGTCTTAATAATCAGAGCTCCAATAAATGGCAGACTCTCGTGTCAACATTGATGTTGTCATAGAAACAGTGATAG